TGAAGAGGAGGATATAGAGATCGTGAGATGCTCAAAGTCGCTGGGTTGTACTCGAAGAACGCGCGGGTCGAGTCCGAGTCGTCTGTATTTTTGTATCGCTCTTCCACAAGCTGCTGGTTGAAATCACTCACTACTTTGAATAAACATGAATTTTGTACACCTACCATGATTACAAAATGATTCAGGGATGAATCAGGCCTACGAAAATGTTACAGAGTCCCCGATTCACGGAGACTGTGTGCCGAACGTGGGCCACATCTGAACCGCGGCGCCACACGAACTCACACGAACTCTATCAGTTGGGTACCGACCGACGCGGAAAAAGCGTCGCTTGTTTTTGCTCTCTCAGCAATTTGTCTCGGTCTTTGTCTCTATGGCCAAAAGAAGATTATTTCTACTCTAGGAAATAATTGGTAGAAGGCCCGACTGTGTCCCGAGAAACGTTCTGGCGGATGCCCATTGCTGGCACATGCGGTCTTATGGTGCGTGGATCGATGATTCGAGGGCACGACGTCCGTTGCCAACTCACGCATGGTGCAGGTACAGACACAGCGGACGGAAGGGCCGTTTATGGTTCCGTGTCGCTGAAGACAGAGAAAAAATACCGCCAGATGGATAGATAACAACACAAGAGTCCGAGGTGCCAGTGGAGACGGTAGAAAAGATCAATAAATGAGAGCGGTGCGTTTTGTTCACCGTTCTCGACGCTGTTTCACCCAGGATGGAGTACGAGTTGTGTAGGTATGGACCCACAAGAGAACAGAAGACCGCGAACATAGAGGGTAAGACATGGAGCGAGACGGGAGGTGCGTGTGTTCAACCCCCACATGAGACACTCGTTGCTAACCATCGGAACGCCAGGCTAATACAGGAGGTACATAATCAAATTACAAAGTGACGATCTCGCCTATACATTGAAGAAAAAGAGACAGCGCAGGGCCTAACGGGTACGCGACCCTCAAGTTGGCTGAAATACATGATGGCGTTCAGTCTAGACAGGGGCCTGCTTCTCCATGCCCCGGCGGACGAAGGAAGACACAAGATAAAATGAAGCCAGAAAAATAAAAAGGTGAGTGGAACTCCGAGACAATAAATAGTCCAGAGTCCCCCTCCTACGTGAAGCAAACCGCCAAACCCATCCCCCTACTCGCAACCACCCCCAACCCTTACACTTCGAACTCCCCTTCTTATCGCCCACCCTCCCCGCTCGCTCTACTCGTCCTTTCCTGCGCTCTCTACCTCTTCCCACCCTCCCCGGAATCTTCACCCGGCCCCAGGATCGGTACTCCCCCTCGGAGCACGTCACCCTTCACGGTGGCCGTGTGAAACTGGTTAGCTAGCTTCAGCTGACGGCCCATCGCCGTCAGTTTGAGCTGCTATACCTTTCGTATGGTGCATCTTGAGGGTTCAGGCTCTGGTTGGTGCCCGCCGTAGCGGCCATGTCCCCTTCAGCCGTCACCCCGCGTGGTGTGTTGGACCTCCTCCTCTTCTTCTCCGGTCCCTTGCTCTCGTCCCTCCCCTCGTCCTCGCTCCGCGCCCTCCTCTTACCCGTCATAGCAGTCGGCATCGGTGCTTCTTTGACGTCGATTGCCCGTTGAGGCGCGATTTGGGCGTTATATCCGCTCAAATCCCATCCTTCGCACTTCTTGTTGTACAGCCTTGGTTTTTTCCCCGGAAGACTGGTGTCGGGCGGTGGCTCGATAGGCGTCTGGTCGGGCATCGAGCATGGGATAAAGCCCCCTTCTTTCTTCACGCGCTCTGTGTGAAGACTAAAGTGGCGGGCTTGTCTCTGTTCCCAGAATTCTGATGGGCCTTCTGGTGACGCGGGCGGAGAATCTGTCGCGGGATGGCTAGGGGGTTCCTCCCTCGGTGACTCTAGGATCTGCTGTGGAATCGGGTGACCTCGAGAGTCGTCGTCGCGAAGGTTTGGATGATGGGACAGACCTCCCGTCTGGATCGTGGTCGGGGCTTCGTTAACGTCAGGGCTGGACGGGACAGATGGCGTAGCGGTATCTGTATGTTGAGGTGTGCTGTTGGCCGCGACCTGTGAGTAGAGTGCGGTAGCAGGCTGGCTAAGAGGCACGTACCTAATCTCATCTTGCGCCTCCGCGGCCTGCGTCTCGACGTGGCCCGTTGGCTCGGAAGGCCCTTCGCTGAGTACGCGCTCTATTTCCTCCTCCATTTCGGGTGTGACAATGAAGTCTGGGTCCATGAGGAAGCTGCATGACTCGTCTACGTCGACATTGTCGTGGGATTCGGTGCTCGAGGTTGTCGTGGGGGATCCCACCTCGCGTGAGACGGGACTATCGACGAGCACGCCGTCGCGGGCGATCGCCGACAGGGTGGGAACGAAACGCGACGGATGAATGTTCGACGCGATCCCGTCGTGTTCTGGGTCGGCGTTACGAAGGTGGGATGCGCTCGTCGCGGCCGTTCGCTGATGGGGCAAGATGGTTTGTGGGATACGAGGTGCAAATCCCACGTTCATGAAGACGGGATTAACGCACGGCGCTGCGAGGCTGGTTGGGTTAGGCAGGAAACCGTTGGTGCTTTGTCCGCCGGGTCTCGATACCTGCGCGACAAATGACTACAACGTCAGTCACTTAAGACGCAGGGCAGTGTAGAAGAACAAAGAAAGAGTGAAAGAGAAAGAGGGGCGTACCTCGACTTGTGTGGCAAAAGTCCTCGCCAGAACACTTGTAGTGCTTTCTGCGCGGGCGAACGCGCGATGACCATGGTGCGTTCCGTTTGAAGAGCTTGCTGCCATATTGACCTGCTGTATCTGCTCATCAGTTTCTCTGGCATATGTTTTATTCTAGAACGGAAGGACGGACCTGGGCCACAATCGGTTTCGACGCCACATCCTCGCTATTATACAGCCCCGATGACTCGTTGCTCTTCTTGGGGTTCACCTTCGACTGAGAGGGATGCAAGACGTCACGATCGATAGAAACGACAAAGACGGAAGGAGGATATAAGAAAAATGGTATGTACTCACCATTTGGGGACGACTTGCCCCGCGCTGCGAACGCGTCGCGCGTGTCGCGCTAGCCTGGACATCTGAAGTTTGGAATTATTTTGTGGGATGATCAGCACGAGCTCGACCCAAACAGCAACGCTGAAGAAGAGGACGAACATTGAGCTGATGTCGACCGATGGCCCATTGGGGCGACGGTGTCACTTGCCACCCTTTGTGTCTTTAGGGCTCCTTGCCCGTGGGCGGTCTGACGTTGGGCGCGGATGGTCATCGAATGGTAAGAAGTTTGGAAGTTCATGTTTTCTATTGTCTGATTTGTTGTGATTGCTTTGCGAAGCGATTGGTGGTGGTGGAGGATGGGAGGAGGATGCTGTTGAGGGAGAAGGAGAGGATGCGCGTCGCGCGACATGATATGCAGCCAACACAGTCTCGTGACCAATTGGACGTCCGCCCCCGGCTTCACCCCGTACATTGTCTCCCATTTTGCCCAGCCTCTCCGGTCCTTTTGCTCTCCCTTTTTGGCCTCTGGTTTTTTATCGTACTTGTGAGTCTCATACATTTATTGTAGAAAATAAATACTGTTATCCTTCTTTTTGGGACACGAAAATCGCGACGTTTTTGTGACACCGTGCTTGTGCCTCCTGGACGACATTATGGCCAGGCCTGAACAAAAGGGAAGCAAACGGATCTGTGGACTCGACTCACGACAATGGCGAGTTTTCTTTCTTGGACCACCCTCTACTCATGCCACTCGATACAGGTCTTTGTGTCGTCACATCAACATCGAGCCACTTCAAGTTGCTGGTCAGAGTTCGAAGCAGGACTGTGAACCTGAGAATTACAGAGGTACGGTGAGTGATCTTCGTGTATTTTCCGCTGTTCTTCTCCGGGCTGTCGAATTCTTACGCTGCACAGTGCCACATTTTGGTGGAGCAATTGGGAATCTTCGACAGAGTATCCCGAGAGGAGACGGAGAATATCTAGGTAGAGTTGGAGGCTCCATATATTCTGGCCAGGCTCGAAAATTATGCGCCAATTGATGTGTCTGGCATAGTGAGTGTTGAGAGACTGGCGAGCATGAGCTAGAAGGAATTGATATGGGGAACATCTCTGGGCCCATGGTCCTGTCGTAAGACTGTTCAAGGTTGGTCCGAGTCCTTTACCCACTCTGGCCTTGTGTGCGGTATACTGCTGGAGACAGCTTCTGGGAACGAGTTCGTGACCCTGTCAGGATATGGATTCGGGCTCGTTGTCTCGTCCGTAGAAGCTCGGAGTGACCGATATTGTCGTTTCGATTACTGTCTCCATGACCTCCATTCGAAGCGCATCGTTTTTCTGCTGGTTGCGCCATTGCTTCCGTCCATCTACAATGTCTTTTATCGCGACTACCTGAGCTCAGACAATCCTTCTCGGACAATCAAGAAGGCAGCTGATGTCGAGTTCGTCTATGGGATATACTCGTGGTTTCCATCAGTCTGTAGTCAACAATTATTGCGCAGATTTTATCACATGCCGGAATCGTCATTTCTTCTGAAATGTGCTATAAATCAAGCCTCTTTGTTGGTCCTTGACCTCGTCCCCACTTGTCCCAATCTATCATATGCTCTGGTACATTGGCCAAGGTAAATCGTCCTTGGGTACTCTTGCGCATTGCTGTCACTTTTCTTGCTATTTTGGCTCAGGATGATTACTGGACTTGATGATCAACCGACGAACAGTACGAAGTCTACTATCATTTGGAGCTTTTTATCCTCGCCTTCCAGCTTCTTCCACAGCATTGTTTGCTCTCAATCTGTCCAGTCGGCTGCTCTAATCAATCCCCAACCCATATTCGAATATATCACTGTCTGACTTCAAGAACTACGACGGCGAAAGGAAGAACACGATTTATGGGTCCTACAGATGGCGTTCTGTGACGCGCTGGTACAAGAATTCCGTGATGATAAGTTTGGTAAAACTGCTCGAGCTGAGGGACCTGCAGCACCCTACTAGGGGTTAAGTTGTTTGCATTTTTTTATCGCTCTTAGACGAACTGTTGATTACCGTTGCTCATTACTTTGAATATATGAATATTGTGCGCATATAATGGTAACAAAATGATCCTGGTTCGAAGAACGCCGACGAAAATGATACATAAGTAGTTCCACGGAAACTGTAGGTTGAACTTGGGCCACATCCGAGTCGCGGCGCCACACGAACTCTATTAGTCCTGTACCGACCGACGCGGGAAAACGTCCAGTCCCGAACTTGTTCCCCCTCTTTCTGTCCGAGTAATTCGTCTAGGTCTTTGTCTCTGTGTCCAAAGAAAGATTATTTCTACTCTAGGAGACAATTGGTAGAAGGCCCGACTGTTTCCCGAGAAACAAACCAGGCGGAGTCTCATGCTGGCATGTGGTCTCATGCTGGCATGTGGTCTCATGGTACGTGGATCGATGATTCGAGGGCACGACGTCCCTTGCCCACTCACGCATGGTGCAGGTATAGACACAGCGGACGGATGGTCCGTTTGTTGTTCCGTGTCGCTGAAGACAGAAAAAAAATACCGCCAGATGGATAGATAAGAACACAAGAGTCCGAGGTGCCAGTGGATACGGTAGAAAAGATGAAGAAACGAGATCGGTGGGTTTTGTTTACCGCTCTCGACGCCGTTTCACCTTGTACGGAGTACAAATGGTGTAAGTATGGGCATACAATAATGATGGGAGAGCGCGGATATTGAAGGAGGCGGTAGGACATGGAGTGAGACGGGAGGTGCGTGTGTTCAATCCTCGCCTGAGACATTCGTTGTTAACTATCGGAACGTCAGACTAATACAGGAGGTACAGAATCAAATTACAAAGTGACGATCCCGGATATACAGCGAGAAAACAACAGAATGGGGCCTAACGGATACGCGCTCCTCAAGTTGGCCGAAAGACTTCATGACGTTCAACCCGAACGAGAGCCTGCGTTTAACCCGAACGAGAGCCTGCGTTTTACCACGGCGGACGCAGGAATTGGTGTGAAATGAGACCGAGGAAATAAAAGGTGAGTGGCACTTAGAAACAATAAATAGCTCAGAATCCCTCTCCTTTAACGTGAAGCAAACCGCTAAACCTATCTACTCGGAACCATCCCCTCCTCCTACACTTTGAACTTCCCTTCTTATCACCCCTCGCTCCCCGTTCGCTCTAGTCGCCATCTCTCCTGCATCCTCTACACCTCCCCACCCTCCCTAGAATTTTCACCCGGCCCCAGGATCGGTACTCCCCCTCGGAGCACGTCACCCTTCACGGTGGCCGTGTGAAATTGGTTAGCTCGCTTCAGCTGACGGCGCATCACCGTCAATCTGAGCTGCTAGACCTCTCATATGGTATTACCTTGAAGGATTCGGGCTCTGGTTGGTGATTCGCCGTAGCGGCCACGTCCCCTTCAGCCGTCACCCCTCGTGGTGTGTCGGACTTCCTCTTCTTTGTCACCGGTCCGACGCTATCGCCCCTCCCCTCGTCCTCCTCGCTCCGCACCCTCCTCTTGCCCCCGCTAGCACTCGTCAATGGCAGGCGTCTGACGTCGATCGCCCGTTGAGGTGCAATTTGGGCGTTATATCCGCTCAAATCCCATCCTGGGCTCTGCTTGTTGTACTTCCCTCGCGGCCCTCGTTTTTTCTTCGTCTGCGTGACCTTTTTTGTGTCAGGGTCCGGCGGTTCATGGGTTGACTGAGGAGATGGACCCTCGGTCTGGATCGAGGCCGGGGCGTCGTGAACAACAAAGTGAGACGGGATGAACGGCGTGGCTGTATCTGTGCATTCAGGCGTGCTGTTGACCGCGGCTTGTGAGTGGAGCACGGCAGCAGGCTGGCTAGCAGGCACGTACCCAACCGTGTCTTGAGGCTCCGCGGCCTGCGTCTCGACGTGGCCAGTTTCCTCGGAGGGCCCCTCGTCGAGTGCGCGGCCTATCTGCTCCTCCAGCTCGGGTGTGACGACGAGGTCTGGGCTCAATAGGAAGCTGCATAGTTGGTCTAAGTCGATATCGTCGTGGGTTTCGACGCTCGAAGTCAATGTGGGGGTTCTTGGTTGGTGTGAGACGGGGTCATCGACGAGTACACCGTCACGAGCAACAGCTGATAGGCTAGCACCGAAGCGCGAGTGCTGAGTGTTTGATGCGATCCCGTTGTATTCCGGGACGGCGTCAGGAAGGTAATATATGTTCGTCTCGGCCGTTCGTTGATGGGGCAGGATGGCTTGTGGAAGACGAGGTGTAAAGCCCACATTCATGGAGACGGGGTTGACGAACGGAGCTGCGATGCTGACTGGGTTAGGAGAGAAACTGCTCGTGTTGTCTCTTCTGGACGGAGATACCTGCACGAGAAATGTTTACATCGTCAGTCGCCTATGACGCAAACATGAAGCAGAGAGAGCGAGAAAGAGAGTCGTACCTCGACTTGTGTGGCAAAAGTCTTTGCCAGAAGAGTCGTGGTGCTTTCTGCGCGGGAGAACGCACGATGACCATGGTGCGTTCCATGCGAAGAGCTTGCTGCCATGTCGACCTGATGTATCTGCTCATCAGTTTCTCTGACCCATGTTTTATTGTAGAACGGACAGACAGACCTGGGCCACACCCGGTGTCGACGCCACACCATCGCTAATATAGAGTCCCGATGACTCAGTGTTCTCCTTGGGGTTCGCCTTGGAATGAAAGGGATGAAAGAATTCATGATCAATGGACACAACAAAGATGGAAGAAGGACATAACAAAAAGGGTGTGTACTCACTTGTTGGGGTCGCGTTAACCCGCGCTGCGAGCGTGTCGCGTTGAATCGTACATCTGAAGGTTAGAATTACTCAGTGGGACGATCAACACGATCTCGGCGCAAAGAGCGATGCTGAAGAAGAGGACGAACTTTGGGCGGATGTGGGCCGATGGCCGATAAGGGCGACGATCTCACTTGTTGCCCTTTGTGTTTGCGCGGCTGTTTGCCCGTGGACGCTCTGACGTTGGGCGCGGATGGTCAACGAATGGTAAGAAGTTTGGAAGTTCATGTTTTCGATTGTTTGATTTGTTGTGATCGTTTTGCGAAGCGGTTGGTGGTGGTGGATTGCAAGAGGATGCTGTTGAGGGAGAAGGAGAGGATGCGCGTCGCGCGACATGATATGCAGCCAACACGGTCTCGTGACCAATTGGACGTCCGCCCCCGGCTTCACCCCGTACATTGTCTCCAATTTTGCCCAGCCTCCGCGGTCCTTTTGCTCTCCTTTTATGGACTCTAGTTTTTTATCGTACTTGTGAGTCTCAACGTCTATTGTAGAAAATAAAAACTCTTCTTCTTCTTTCTGGGAAACGAGAATTGCGACGTTTCTGTGACACCGCGCTTGTGCCTCCTGGACGACATTATGGTCAGGCTTGAACAACAGGAAAGTAAGTGGCCCTGTGGACCCGACTCACGATAATGCTGAGTTTTTCTCTCTGGTGCCACCATCTACTCATGCCACTTAATACAGGCCTTTTTGCCGTCACATACATCGCGCTGCTCCTCAAGGTAGAGAATGCGTGTCAGAGTCCGAATGAGTATCCTGAACCTGTAAATTATGAATAGTACGGTCAGTGTCCGTGTCGTATTGCCCGCTGTTCTTCCCCGTGCTGTCGAATCATTACGCTCCATAGTGCCACATTTTGGTGGTGCGATTGGGTATTTTTCGACAGAGCACTACGGGAGAAGACGGAGGATATCTTCGTAAAATTGGAGGCTCCGTAAATCTTGGCCAGGCTCGAGAAATATGCGCATTTCGAATGTGTCTCGCATAGTGAATCTCGAGACCGATGAGCATGTGTTGGGACAGGTCAAGATAGGGAACATCCCTGGGCTCATGGTCTTGTCGTGGTGCTTACTGGCCATGGTTCGTCCGAGTTCCCTACCCAGTCTGGCCTTGTGTGCGGTATAGTGCTGGACACCGCTTCTGCGGACGGTTTCGTGACCCTGTCAGATACAGATTCGGGTTCGTTGACTCCTGAGCAGGAGCTCGAATTGACCGTTATTATCGTTTCGTCTGCTGTCTTAATGACCTCCATACGGAACGCATCGTGTGTCTGCTAGCTGTGCCCTTCCGCATTTTCCATATTCGACGTCATTCATCGCGACAACCTCAGCTTTCCTGATTCTTCTCGGACTATCAAGAAGGTAGCTGACATTGGGATCGTATATGCGCTGTACTCGTGGTTTGCATCAGTGTTAATAATGTTGATTGCGCAGATTCTATCATAGGCCGGAATTGTCGTTTCTTCGGAAATGTGCTCTGTGTAAAGCCTCTCTGGTTCTTGACGTTGTTGTCCTCGCTTGCGTTGCATCGATATATAATCTGCTCTCGTCGTTTGACCGAGGATCATGTAACGGCGAACTTATACATTCCTCCTTGCTTCGGTACCCATCGAAGAAGACATCAAAAATGAAGACTCTTATCCTCATGTACAACCCATGGGCAACGATGCCTTCCCCTGCGTCTGACCTTTCGGTTTCTGACCCGTCCATCACTCTCGCTGTGCAAACGCCCAATAGAGATCGAGACATGGATTTGTGTTGTCAACGTCATCTGAATTGACGGAAGTAGACTTCCCATCTCCCAAAAATGGCAGAGACAGTCCCCGCTTCTACCACACCGATAATATCGATCTGCTCCTACCATACCTCTAGCCTTGGACTGTTCTACTTTGCTGGCTCCTTACCCTTTCATCCTCCTTATCTTTTCATCCTGATTCCTCTGAATCCTCGTGCTCGAGGTTCGCGACCAGGATGGCGTTACGAGCACTCTATTCAGCCTCATTTTCCCGCCACGAATATCTCTCCTTACCGGGTCCCTGTCATCACAATCACCGTCTGCCCCTACCATACTTCGATTCTGACTCACGTTGGGGCGTTCCAACTCGTCGCTCCAGTGCATTGAGTGAATATTTCGCGACGGCAGAAAAGCTGGGACTGATGTGTGATAATCGAGCGAGTCCCTAATGCTGGGGCGACACCCCATTGCTCTGAACCTTCAATGTCTTGCAGTGGAAATATTTTGAGACAATAGTTTACGGGTACTATGGGCAGCCGTTCGTTGCTATTTACCTGGTCACGATTCTCTTGGTATTTGCCTGCTCGGTTGTTCTGCCTAGTGTTACTAAAGATGCTGTTTACTTTTGACAGGTGTCGCTGATGAAATCTGGGAGAATTCAGGCGGCGTTGGATAGGAGAAGTGACTCAGGAAGAGCTGGTGAAGAGCAGAGTTGGGTCGTCTAACTTTTTGTATTGCTCTTATACCAACTGCCAATTTCGATATATCTTTGCTTCAAATATACACGCGCACACATACTTCAAAAACGAACCGTAGAGCGCCGACGAAAACAATGCATAGTTCCCAATTCACGGAGACTGTGCGGTGAACTTGGGCCACATCCGAGTCGCGGCGCCACACGAACTCTATTACTCCTGTACCGACCGACGCGGAAAAAATGTCGAATTCTTGGGATTGTTCCCCTCTCTTAGTTATGCGTCTTTCTCTGTGTCTCTATGCCCGAAAGAGAATTCTTTCTACTCTAGGAAACAACTGCTAGAAGGCCCGACTGTATCCCGAGAAACGCCCGGAGTCTCATGCATGCGGTCTTATGGTGCGTGGATCGATGATTCGAGGGCGCGACGTCCGTTGCCAACTCACGCAAGGTCCACGCATGGTGCAGGTACAGACACAGTGAGCGGAAGGGTCATAAAATTTTCCCGTGCCGCTGAAGACATAGAAACTTACCGCCAGATGGATAGATAAGAATACAAGAGCCCGAGGTGCCAGTGGATATGGTAGAAAAGGCGAAGAAATGAGATCCGTGTGTTTTATTTACCACTCTCGATGCCGTTTCACCTGCTACGCAGTCGTATGGACCCACAACGAGGATAGGAGAACGCAAACAAGGAAGGAGGTAGCGAGACATGGAGCGAGACGGCAGGTGCGTGCGTTCGATCCTCCTTGTTAACCATCGGAACGTAAGACCAATAACAGGAGTATGAGAATCAAATTAGACAGTGCCGGCCTCGAATATGTATTGGAAAAAGAAACAGCATTCGCTATGCCATGGCGGATGAAGGTGGAAACAGGATAAAACGAGGCCGAGGAAAGAAAAGGTGAGTTGAATTCGCAAACAATAAATAGCTCTTCCCTTAATGTGATGTAAACTGCCAAACCTATCCCCCTACTGGCACCCATCCCCCAACCTCAACGCTCCGGACTCTTCTTATGATACCCTTCGAACTCCTTGCTCTACTTCTGCTTCAGCTGCATCTTCTGCACCCTTCATCTCCTCTCCTGCATCCTCTACATCTCCCCACCCTTCCCAAAAATTTCACCCGGCCGCAGGATCGACGTCCCCTTCTCGGAGCACGTCACCCTTCACAGTGGCCGCGTGAAACTGGTTAGCTCGCTTCAGCTGACGGCCCATCGCCGTCAGTCTGAGCTGCTATACCTTTCAAGTGGTTGATTGTTGAGGGGTTGAGGCTCCGGTTGGTGTTCCGCCGTAGCGGTTACGTCCCCTTGTGCCGTCGCCCCTCGCAGTGTTTCGGACCTCACCCTCTTCGTCTTCGGTCCCCTACTCTCGTCGCCCACTTCTTCCGTCTCGTTCCGCCTCCTCTTCAAAGCCCTCTTTCCCTTTGACGACGCCTGTATGGGTTGCGTATCGATATGGCCTTCTGGTCGAGACGGCTCTCCATCGAGTTCCCAGGCTAACATCCTGTCCATCTCGGGCGTGAGGATGAAGTGCGCCTTTTCGACAAAGGCCGCTATCTCCTCTCGATCAGTCGTGAACGGAATGAGGTATACCCCTGTCGCCGTTTCGATTGCCAGCGGGTAGGGGTAACTTGGCGGGGTTCTTTGCGGACGGTCCTCCATGCTTGCGAGTGTCGCAGGGGACGGTACAGCGTGCAGAGGGTATGGCGCGAGAGGATCACGAGGACGGTTTGCGGTCCGTGAAGGGGGAGAGCTGGGCAGTCGTTTGTGCTGCTCGGCATTTGCGAATCCGTCGTATGTGGAGGTGGGACTATCGAATGGAGCTGCGAAAGTGTTTTGCGCGAGGATGGGGGGGTTGGTTTCCTGTATACCGGACCGAGATTCCTGTGTGATAAAAGGCTTCGTCGTCAGTTACCTATGACGCAGGTAGGGTCGAAGATGGAGGAAGAGTCGTACACCGACTTCCGTGGCAGGAATATTCGGCACCTTGTTCATGGTGTTGTTTGTGCAAGGGAGCGTGTGATGATCAGGCGGCGTTCCATCGCGGTGCTCATAGGAAGATGTCGATGTCGTGTTGTCCTATAGTATCTACTAATTAATTTCCTTGACACATATTTTATTGTAGGACGGACGGACCTGCTTCAAAATCACCGGCGACGACAAACCCTGTGTATCATGCAATTTCCAAGATTTGGCAATCAAATCTGGATCCGCTTTGGACTGAGACGGTCGAAAGTTACGATCAGTGGACATAACAAAGATAGAACAAAGGCGGTATGTACTCACCCGCTGATTCCGGCGCCGCGGACGTTTTGTTTGCGATTGCTGAGCTGAAGATTGTTAATTCCCAGACAGACGATCAACACCATCTCGACGCAAATAGTGACGCTGATGAAGAGGACGAACCTTGCGTTGACGCAGACGGATGGCCCGTAGGGACTCTGGTGTCACTCCTTTGTGTTCCTTGTCCGTTTGCGGTACGATTCTGAGCGCTGGTGGTCCTAGGGCTGTAATAGATTTGAGGATTCATGCCCTCAATGGTTTGATTTGTTGTGATTTCTTTGCGAAGCTATTGGTGGTCGAGGATTGGTGGATGATGTTGTTGAGGGAGAAGGAGAGGATGCGAGTCGCGCGACATGATATGCAGCCAACACGGTCTCGTGACCAATTGAACGTCCGCTGCCGGCTTCACCCCGTACATTGTCTCCCACTTCGTCCCACTCCGTGGACCTTTTGCTCAGTTCTTTTTAGCATACTCGTGAGTCTCGGTCTCTTGAATAAAATAAAATCTGTTATCCTTCTTTTTTTTTTTGGAAACGAAAGTCTTTTTTGTGACACTGCGCTTGTGCGTCCTGGACGACATTATGGCCAGACCTGAACAGAAGGGAACCCAATGGCCAATAATGGTGAGTTTTCTATCTCGTGCTACCCTTTACTCTTGCCACTTTATTCAGGTCTTTTTGTCGTCACATCTACATTGAGCTGCGCCTCAAGGTGGAGGGTGCGTCTCAGACTTTGAAGCAGTATTGTGAACCTGCGGATTTCGGAGATACGGCGAGGGATCCTGTCGTATTTTCCGCCGTTCTTCTTCGGATCGAATTCTTACGCTGCATAGTGCCACATTTCGATGGTGCGATTGGGCATTCTCAACAGAGCACTCCGGGAGAAGACGGAGAATATCTAAATAAAAGTAAAACTCCATATCTTTTGGTACGGCTCGAGAAATATGCGCGTCTGAATGTGTCTCGCATAGTGAGTGTTGAGAGACTGACGAGCATGAGCTGGAAGAAATCAAGATGGGGAACATCTCTGGGCCCATGGTCCTGTCGTGGGACTGTTCACGGTTGGCCCGAGTCGCTTACCCACTCTGGCCGTGTGTGCGGTATACTGCTGGAGACCGCTTCTGGGGACGAGTTCGTGACCCTGTCAGATATGGATTTGGGCTCGTTGTCTCGTCCCGTAGAAGCTCGAATTGACCGTTTGTTTTTTTTCGTTTACTGTCTCCATGACCTCCTTTCGAAGCGCATCGTTTTTCTGCTGGTTGCGACATTGCTTCCGTCCATCTACAACGTCTTTCATCGCAACTACCTGAGCTCAGACAATCCAATCAAGAAGGCAGCTGATGTCGAGTTCGTCTAGTATGGGCTATACTCGTGGTTTCCATCAGTCTATACAACAATTATTGCGCAGATTTCGTCATACGCTGGAGTCGTCGTTTCATCGATGAGTGGTGGTGATCCCGGCTGACGTGCGTTCACAAATGCTCTCTAAATCAAGCCTCCTTGGTCCTTGACTTTGTCATGCTTGCATGCCTTAGTCTATAATATGTTCTTGTCTTATTGACCAAGGGTCCTGTTACGGCGAGCTTCACGAGATCGCTCAAACCAAAGAGACTTGAGCTACACTCGTGCCGTTCTAATGTGATTGTAACTCTTTCTCGATGCGGGTGAGTTATCTGCCAATGGACATCGGGCCAATATATCCATCACCATCCCAGTTTGACTCCGACAGCCCCGCTCAGAGCAACAAAGTCGGTCCGTTCTGGCCCTGGTCTGGTCCGATGTGCTAGCTCTCTTCCCCCCCTTTTCCGGGTCCCTGATCACCACGATATTAAGTGGGATAGAGGCATTCTCTGCTTTCCAAGACGAAAGCTATACTTTCTGCATAATTTTTGCAACCTGACTTTTCTGTTGACCACAGTAACCACCCACTTCGACTCTGACTCACTTTCAGGCGTTCCAAGGTCACTCTGTATTAAATGAATTTTACGCGACGTCTAAGAGCTAATGAATTAGTATCGAGCATATCTTTATCACCAGTGTGGATGACGTGCCTTCGCTATTGATCTTCGACGTAAGTAATGGAGTAGAAATTGAGATGTTGCGAGACAATAGTAGGGCGTGGGTGCTAAGGGATACCGTTCTTCACCCGGCCGCGACTCCCTTATTATTTAGTCTATACTGAATATCATGCTCCACTTTCCACGAGTGCCGATGATGAAATCTAGGAGAAATCGGACGGCGTTGGATTTGCGTTGGATGGGAGAGGAGGTCTAACGTTTCTGTATCGATCTTACACTGATAGACTGCCAGTTGAAGGATTTCTCTGTGCTGCAGACACACGAACTGTGGGCCTACTAGAAAAATGAAACTGAGAGCGCCGACGAAAATAATACATGGTAAGTATCCGACTCACGAAGACTTTGCGAAGACTGTACGTTGGACTTGGGCCACATCCGAGCCGCGGCGCCACACGAACTCTATTACTTTTGTACCGACCAACGCGGAAAAAAGTCGAACCCCCGAGTTTGTTCCCCCTCTCTCCGTCATGCGTCTAGGTCTTTGTCTCTATGCCCAAAATCAGACTCTTTCTACTCTAGAAAACAATTGCTAGAAGGCCCGACTGTTTCCCGAGAAACGACCCGGAGTCTCATGCATGCGGTCTCATGGTGCGTGGATCGATGATTCGAAGGCACGACGTCCGTTGCCAACTCACGCAAGGTCCACACATGGTGCAGGTACAGACACAGTGAACGGAAGGGCCGTTTCTTGTTCCGTGTCGCTGAAGGCATAGAAACTTAGCGCCAGATGGATAGATAAGAGAGCAAGAGTACGATGTGCCAGTAGATACAGTAGAAAAGACGAAGAAGTGAGATCGGTGCGTTCACTTTACCGCTTTCGCCGCCGTTTCGCCTGGTATGGAGTATAAATCATGTACGTATGGACTCACAATGAGAATAAGAGGACGCGAAAATGTGAGGAGGTAGTAAGACATGGAGCGAGACGGCAGGTGCGTGTGTTCGATCCTCGCCCGAGACATTGGTCGCTAACCATCGGAACGTAAGACCAATACAGGAGTGAAAGAATCAAATTACAAAATAGCGATCTTGAACATCTGCCACAGCGGACGGAGGGAACAATATCGCACGAGACTGATGAAATAAAAGGTGAGTGGCACTCGGAAATCATAAATAGTCCCGAATCCCCGTTGTCTAAAGTGAAGTTCACCGCCAAACCCATCCCCCCACTCGCAACCATCCCCGCTCCTACACTTCGAACACTTCCTCGTATCGACCCTCGCTTCCCGTTCGCTCTGTCTCCTGCATTCTCGACGTCCCCCCACCCTTCTTCAGAATTTTCACCCGGCCGCAGGATCGACGCCCCCTTCTCGGAGCACGTCACCCTTCACGGTGGCCGAGTGAAATCGGTTAGCTAGCTTCAGCTGACGGCTTGTTGCCCTCAGTCTGAGCTGCTAGACCTTTCGCATGGTTTACCGTTGAGGGGTTCGGGTTCTGGTTGGTGTTCCGCCGTGGCGGTCACGTCCCCTTGAGCCTTCGCCCCTCCTGGGTGCATTGGACCTCATCTTCTTCGTTGGTCCCTGCCTCTCGTCGCTCATCTCCACCGTCTCGTTCCGCGCCCTCTTAAAGGCCCCCTTGCCCCTTGACGATGTAGTCGATGGCGCCCCGCGTTTGACGTCGATCGCCTGTTGAGGTTGCGTATCGACGTGGTCGGCTGGTAGAAACGGCTCGAGATCGAGTGCCGCTAACATCCTCTCCATCTCGGGCGTGAGGATGAAGTGCGCCTTTTCGACAAAGGCGGCTATCTCCTCTCGATCAGTCGATTCAGGTATGAAATGTATCCCTGTGCATGTTCGGATCGCCAGCGGATATGGGTAACTCGGCGCGGCGTTTTGTGGCGGGCCCTCCACATTTACGAGGCTTGCATCGTGCAGTACGGCATGTGTATTGTGAAGTGAGAGAGGATCAATGGGCGGGATCGTAGTCTGTGTAGGATGAGAGACAGACAGTCGATGGTGCTGCATGGGATTCGCGGAGTCGCTGTTCGTGGAGGTGGAATCACTGGACGGAGCTGCCGAAGTGTTTCGGTCGAGCGAGAGGCCGTTGGTACCCTGTCTTTCGGACCGCGATACCTGTGTAGAAAGACTCCATCGTCAGTTACCTATGACTCAGGTAGCAGTGAAGGTGGAGAAAGAGAGTCGTACCCCGACTTCCGTAGCAGGCATCTTCGGCATTATATTCTTGGTGCCGTTCGTGCAAGGGTCCATATGATGATCAGGCGGCGTTCCAATGGGGTCAATGTCCGAAGATGTCGATGTCGTACTGTCCTATAGTATCTGCTAATCAGTTTCTCTGACACATATTTTATTGTAGGACGGACGGACCTGTTTCAACACCACCGGCGACGGCAAACCTTGTGCATCATCGAGATTCCAGGACTTCATTATCAGGTCGGGGTCCGCTTTGGACTGAGAGGATTGAATGTCAGGTTCGATGGACATAACACAGATGAAACAAAGATGGTTTGTACTCACCCGCTGATACCGACGCCGCGAAGGTTTTTTCTCAGATTGGTGAGCTGAAGGTCGATTATTTCAGACAGACGATCAGCACCATCTCGACGCAAATAGCGATGCTGAAGAAGAGGACGAACCTTGGGTTGACGTTGAAGGATGGCCCATAGGGACCCTGGTGTCACCGCTTGCCCTTTGTGCTCCTTGTCCGTTTGCGCTCTGATTCTGAGCGCTGCTGGTCATCGGGCTGTAATAGATTTTGGGATTCATGTTCTCAATGATTTGATTTGTTGTCTTTGCTTTGCGGAGCGATTTGTGGTGGTGGATTGGAGGATGTTGTTGTTCAAGAAGAAGGAGAGGATGCGTGTCGCGCGACATGATATGCAACAACAACACGGTCTCGTGACCAATTGAACGTCCGCCGCCGGCTTCACCCTGTACATTGTCTCTCAATTTGCTCCAGCCTCCGCGGTCCTTTTGATCTCCTTTTATGGTCTCTAGCCTTCCACTGTACTCGTGAGTTTCGGACATCTATTATAGAAAATATACCTGTTTTCCTCCGGTTTTTGGAAACGAAAATTGCGACATTTTTGTGACACCGCGCTTGTGCCTCTTGGACGACGCTATGGTCAAGACCTGGCGCGACCTGAACAAAAGGAAAGCAAGTGGCTATGTGTACTCGACTAACAATAATGGCGAGTTTTATCTCTCGTCCTACCTTCTACTCATGTTGTTTGGTACAGATTTTTTTGTCGTCACATCTCCAGAGTCGAGCTCCGCCTCAAAACAAAAATTGCGTGTCGGAGTTCGAAGCAGTACTGCGAGCCTGTAGATTATGGGCACGGTAAGCTATTTTGTCTGCTTTCCTGCTACTCTACCCCGGGCTATCGAATCCCCGCGTGGCTAGGGCGACTGTTTGGCGGTCTAATTGAGCATTTGTGACAGAGTACCCCGCGAGAAGACGGAGAATATTTGGGTAGAGTCGGAGGCTCGAGATATCTCATTTGTGTCAAGAAATATACACTTTTGAATCGGTCTCGTACAATCAAGGACCGATGAGCACGATCCAGGTTATATCGGAAACTCCTTGGGCCGATGCCAGTCTTGTCGTAGTAATGCTCACGGTTGGTCTGGAACCTTTACCTGGATAAGATTTGCGTGCAGTATACTGCTCGAGACAGCTTCGAGGATCCCTAACTGTTCTTACTGGTTTGGTCCTTGGGGAATCTTGTGCTTGGGCCAGCTCTCTATCACATCCTCCTTGCTACGGTTATCTCGATCTCGAACGCACCGGGTCGAATCGAGGTAATTTCCGCAAGGATGCTCGCTGTTCTCGCCCCCGAAGTTGACGCCATCAAATACGGATCCGAGTTCCCTGTCTCATTGGTCGAAGCTCGAACCGACGCAAAAGTCGTTTCGATTACTATCTGCATGCCCTCCGTTTGAAGCACGTCGTGTTTCTGCAGGGCGCGTTATTGCCTGCGCCGCTCTCTCTATGCTCGACATCTTTCCTCGCGTCTACGGTATATTCTTCGCGTTTCATTATCGTATCCTGCCTTTCAAGAGATCTGGAAGAGATGCCGACTTTGAACAATGCTTACGAATATTCATTTCCACTCGGACTTTCCCAATGCTGGGCCGCCGGACCACACTGTGCAGAAATTGTCGTATCTCCGACCGTGTTTGGAGCTGACATCTCTTCGCAAGTGCACTGTAAATTAGATCTCTTCGGTACTTGAGTTTGTCGTCCTTACTTGGCTCCATCTATGGCTTGTTCTGGCCTCCGTTGGGGTGTCACTCGCGCCTTTGCCTGCATCGCGTGAGTCTTCACGCTTCAGTTTCCGTCTGCCTGAGTCGGTCCCGGTCTTGTGAGAGCCTTCCATAGAGGTATATCAGTATGTGTTTAACTGCGAGATGCTACTTTTGCCTCTGAATCATGCCCTCTATATACCAAGATAATATCACAAAGTTGACGTCTGGGGATCACTGAGCTTGGGCCACCGCCACAATGAACTCTAAACGTACGCGCCCGACCGACGGAAGAAAACGTCAAGTCCCAACCCCCTTGCTGGCCGTGGCTTCAAGGACTCCACTCTCCTCGACTTGGTTTTTTCTTGATCTCAGTCTACACCAAGGCAATGGACATCATCTTCTTTCTCTCGGTCTCTGTGTCTCGAAAAAAATGGCCTCGAATCCGTCAGATACGCGTATCTTACGAGGAAAGGACTCCGGCATGCGGCCTCACAATGCGCTGGTCCATCGATGCCACGACGCTCGCTGCTCAATCACGCCAACCTTTTACACGAAATGGACATGCGGACGGAAAAACGGTAAGCTATACCTATGGATGGACAGATAACACAGAAGGGCCAGGGGAGAGTACGGAACAATAGTGGATGGAGTCGTACTGATGCGAACTGTTCACTGTTTCCGACGCCGTTTTACCCTGTAAAGAGTACCGCGTACGGACCCACAGCGGAGAAGACGGATATAGAAGGGAGCGGGAGCGGACAGAATGAATCAGCAGGTGCGTGTGTCCAATCCTGCCTCGAAACGCTTGTTGCTAACCGTCAAATCGTATAGCTGAAATACAGGCGAATAAAATGAAATTACATGGATACGATGACGGTCCAGCCCAATCTGTGCCCAATCTGTGCCCCGGCGAAAAAGGAAGGCACGAGAACACAATAAGACTAATGAAAGAGAAAAGTGAGTAAAAAAGACCTAAATAGAAGACTGAACCCCTCTTCCGCACTAGCACGAAACACGCTCTCGATACCCCCACCTTTCGCGCTCCTCCTTCTCCTCTACTTCTTTCCTATCTCCCCTCCTCGCTCCCCCCAACCATCCTCTACGTCCCTTCTCTCCTACGAATTCTCACTTGGCCCCAGGATCGACATATCCAATGAGGATCTCATCTACCCTTCGCGGTGACCAAGTGAGAATGCTTTGGCTAGGTTCAGTGGGCGGCCCTCGCCGTCACACTGATCTCCCATACCTATTGCTTGGTTAGTGTTGAAGGGTTTAAGTCCCCATTGTTGTCCGGCCATAAAGGCTGAACTCCGTGGTACCGTCGCCCCTAACGTTCTGCCGGACCTGAGCTTCTGTTTGGCCGGTCCGGCACTGCTTCCCTCATCCGCGTCTCCCATCTCGCTCCGCTCTCTCTTCCTCCCCTTACCTTCCCTTGGCTGCCCATTCGATGACGACGCTCCGCCCCTCATCGCCCCCATCCACTCCGCTCCTTGCCCCACCGCTGTCTCAATACCCAAAAACGACGGCCCCAGCGCCCAGTGTTGTTCGTACCACTCAGATCCTTGTCCCGAGGGTGGTGCTGGTGTCGAGTCTGAAGAAGACAGACCCACGTCCGTGAAGTAGTGTGGGTCACGTTGCCACGGCCGGACGAAACTGATATCGGCGGGCTGGGCGAAACCTGACGTGGATAGGTTCACGGTCAGGTAGTTCCCGTCCGCTGTCGTGGGGGAATCGTGTCCTGTGAAGGATACCGCCCCATCGTCTCCATATGGGACGGACGTCTCGGCTGGCTGCTGAGGGTTTTGAGCCAGCATCTGCTGGGGCGGAGGGTCGGTGTGAGGGTCCTGGCACTTTGCAGGACTCGCCGACCCTAAGAAGTCCTGCCAAGTGAACAGGTCCTCGATATTGGTCGGAGTGCGGGGGACGCTTTGGTCCGAGACGGAGTGGGTCGTAGACGAATCGTGCCCTGCGAAGGATATCGCCCCATTGTCTCCATATGGGACGGACGTCCCGGCTGGCTGCTGGCTGTCTTGGGCCAGCATCTGTTGGGGTGGAGGAATGGCGTGAGCCGCCTGGTCCCCCGCATGACTCTGTACGCCTATGAAGTCCTCCAATGTAAATAGGTCCCCGATATTTGATGGGGCGCTGGGGACGCTTTCGTTCGTATCACGCTGTGCGATCAAAGTCCACATTGTCAGTCCCTTATAGTACACGATAGGATGTAGCGGGAGACGTACTGTTCGCAGGTTTTTAGAAATAGCCAAAACTATCCCTTGCTCTTCATGAAGTCTTAAGAATGAAGGTGTCGGCTATCTCTGCTTATCAGTTCTCTGATACTCTGTGTTCCAAGCAAGAAGGACAGACCTTCGGCGCCATCACCAGCGGCACATCCTGCGTGCCTCCCACGCCCCTCCACGACTCTCTTATGGACCGTCCAGTGGCCCTAGACTGGAAGAGAAGAGAGTGTCAGGATAGATAGACGAGGTAGCAGGCAGGGGAATAAATTGAGATGGATTTTACTCACCTCTTTCTCGTGTCCAGTTCTGCGCTTTGGGGCAGGCACTTTGACAGGCTTCCTACATCTGCGCCTGTGAATGTGTCAGTGTTGGTCGGAGACAACAGGCAAGGTTGGCACAGTGAGTGATTGTCCGATGCTCTAGATGTTATACGCAGGAGCAACTTACGAAATGTAGGGCGCATGGGACAATACAATTCGTTTCGGCGGCGGCGTGGACGACACCGATGTCGTACTGGTGGTAGCGTCGACGCGCTCGTTGGCGCCGTAGGTTGAAGTTTGGATGGCGAAGTCGTTTGTTTGCATGTTTTCTATGTTTTAAAACGCGTCTTCCACTTTTTGAAGCTATTCGCAAGCGAGGGTTTGGAGAGATCGTTGAGGATCGTTGTGGATGAGGAGAAGAGGGAGCGACGCTCGCGCGAGGGTTGTTTGTTCAACAGCCTCGTGTTTGACTCGGTATGTGCCGGCTCCCCCCCTTGCATTGTCGTTCTGTGGCCACCTTCTCCTGCTCATTTGTGGCCCCCAAGTCTTCAGAGTGCTCCCTTCTGACGAATTTATATTGGACAAAGCACCCACTGATTTTTTTCGTGGAGCTAGAAATGTATGCATTCGTTGAGACAGCGCACATATCTCCCGGGTCAGGTTAGGGCAGAACCTGAACAAAAGGGAAACCAGCACCCTGAATTCCCACCCTCACTGGGAGTATTTTCCCATAATTTTGCTCTTCTGTCTCGCTCAACGCAGATAATTAACGCACGTTCCATGAAACAGATACTTTTATCACACTACAAGGCGATTTTCGACGAACGTAAGGTGCGTATATTTCGTCTTGGAGGGCTAGACGAAGACCGCGAAGTCCCGAACAGCGACAGGCCACATATCTTGTGGGCTTCTTGCCCTTAAATTTGGCCCTTCCCTCAGACGTCAGTTCTAGAGTCTTCTGCTTCACCCGAAATTATGCTGGAAGTCGCCTCACCTGTGTCTCACAGATGACAGCGTAAAACACTATCAGGTTACATATAACCAACTACATAACAATTTGACGACGTAAGAACAGGCTAGATACAGGCGATGCGATTAGAGAATATGTGTAGCATTTTTCAGTGTCGAATTCTCCGCTGGTTCTCGCAGATATTGAGGCGCTACAAATACACCCCGTGGGAAAGATGAGGAAAACACGGAGCTGAAAGCACGTTTGGGGGCATGGCGAAAAATATATATCTCGAGACACACTCCCAGAACATCTATCTAGAGCAGAGCTCGCAAAATTAGTAACAAAATGAGGAGGTTCGTTATCGTCTCTGCCGCTGTCGTCGTCTGGGGCCTACTTCAGAATCGTCGTCGTCGTAGGCATGGTCCATGATCTAGGAATGGGGATCGCCACGAGTTTCAGGAACATTTTGCGGTGAAGAGCCTTGGAAGAGGAGTCGGAGGACAGATAGGGTCGTTCATGATGATTCTGTTTGAGTACAATGAACAAAATCGGATCAAACCGGAGATGCACTGCGAATCAAGAGAGGTAATATATTTTACGTTATTTCGGGTATACTCTCGAGACACGTTTTATATTGAGGACTCGTACGTACCATTGAGAGACTCGATAACTGGACGCGACGGAAATAGCGCGGAGCAGGGATTATTATCTCTAACGGCGGCTAGACTTTGGCTAGACTCTGCGTGACCTTGAAGGCTTGCGGAAGCGCCTCGCTTTGCGACGATGTAGCTTGAAGGACTCGAGCCGCAGGAGCGCCCCCTTGTGTTCCGGCGCGCCCAGTTAAATCGTCATCGTGAGAGATGCTGTTGTCCTCAGGTTCACCGTATACGGAGGCTTCCCATAGGCTAAAGTTAACCTGCGCAGCAATGTTGGTCAGTCCGAGAAAGTGTGGCACTAGCTGAGCGACCCCAACTGCAACGAAAAGATGTCGTAGAGAGACAAGGGCGTACGGCATTGAGAAACCCTTCCGCCCTCACTAACTCTCTCGGCCATTAAGGTCCGAAGAGAACTCACCCGACTCGATACTGGAGAGCTCGAGCCTCCGAGAGGTCTGGGGCTGTAGAGCCGGAGAAGAATATCTGCACTTCGGACAGCACCTCCTCGATTGGGATGTGCTCTCCGCCTAGTTTCCCGCAGAGACATGAATATTGAGCTTTCTTATCACAAACCGCATAGACATATCCCTGGCAATTTTGGCACCAACAAACCGCGAATTTGGGTTGATATTTCTTGAAGGAATCGCAGCAAACTTGACACCCAGATGAACGCACTCTTTTGCCGCTGTGACAGAATCAAGGGATTTTTCAATAGCCTTCACAGTCTGAGGGCATGCTAATGATAGGCGAGGAGAAGTAAGTGACAGGACATAAGGGAATACATACATCTGGTGGGCGCGGAGCTGAAGCTTCGTCACAGAGACAACGCCAAGGGACAGCGTTGCACATTTGGTGCAACTGTGCACGGTGACAGCGGTGACGAAGAGCAAAGAATGAGAAGTATGTCAGCATACGCGGCACGTAAATGCAATCCACAAGGATTGGGAATGAGACATACCTATCTGGATCGGTTGATGAAGAAGTTGAAGGAGTGTTTGACGAGGAGTATGACCAGACGAAGGAGAGGAAACATGTGCCGAAACAGGAGATCATACAGACAAAAAACTAGCGACATCCGTAATGCTCAACGTACGTAGCTATGAGATTTATGGATGGGACTTCGATATTTGATGATGAACCCGGCAGCGATAGTCACTGGCCGTCAAGCGCACTGGCAGATGTGTCGGAGACGTTGAGCTTGACCGTGAGGCAGGGTTTCGGTGGTTCGCCGCCTGAAGCGCCAGGGACAGCAAAAATATGACAAGAAGTTCAGAGTTGCTGAAGATGTAGATGGATCGTGAAAAAGGAAGGTCGATCTATGCGGAACTGGGCGTTCAAAGATGACACAGGTGTTGACGACGCAGTTGAGAGAATGTATAAGGTAGAAGTGGGCAGTGGGAGAACGTGTAAGCCTATGTAGGTAGATTGTAGATATTAAAGGCTGCGACGCAGGTTGAGTGCTTGATTGGATATCGTCGACGGGAGAAAGGACAAGTCAAGAAGACGAAAGAAAGGCGAGACTCGCCGCGGTGTCAAATCGACACGTGGCTCTGAGTGCCACTATGGAAATTCTCACGGATGGTGCGACGCATGCCACTGTGGCACTTTACAAGAGACTCGCACGGGAAAATTCAACAGACAGATGTGGATGGATTCTAGAGCATCTGTCATAAATACAACGCAGTACAATTCAGCAGAAAACACGCCACGAATCAGAATCCCAACCAACGAGACCTAAACGAGGAGGATAACATAGAGAAAATACTGAGTAGATCGGAGAGAGCAAGGTAAGAAAGCGGGAGGGGTAATGGGGGCGGAATCATTCGGGAGATGGGAACGGGGAGGGAACGGAGCGAGCAAAAGCGTTATATGACATGTAGATTTACAGAGCGATCAACACGACAAGAGAGCATGAAAAGAAAGCCATGTACGGCGTGACACCGTTGAGTACAGCAGGTGCAGAGAGGAAGGAAAGATGAGGAAAGTAAAGCGACTGAGGATAACACGATATCAATGAAAGGGAGAGAAAGTGGTAAGAAGTATTGGGTAGCGCTCGAAATCACAGTACACTGCGCCATGAAGTCCTAGACGTGTGGCTAGACGGGAGTCCCCACGTTAGTCCGAGAACGAAGGCGACACGGCACGGACGGTCATCCCGTCGTCCTCGTCGCTCGTCACGTCGCTGTGGTTGTCGTTTACGCCGAGGCTCGAGTCATCGTCCCGCGGGTCGCCGTAATCCGAGCTATCATCGAAAAGGGCCTCTTCGTACTCAAAAGACCCCGAGTCGTCGTTGTTGAAACCACCATATTGGGCATCGTCCGAGTCGTCATTGCTATCACCATTCTGCCCAGCTTCTTAGTCTCGAGGCCCCCGACATGTATACCCACTCCTGATCTTCGGTCCATTCATCAATCTGATGCATGACATAAGTCAGAGGGCATTCGCACCCGAAAAAGATAGGCCCAAACGTCCGCGTAGAAAGTGTCGAGTCCGCTACCAGAATAGGCTCCCGTCTAGGGAAACACGTCGTCGGTGTAGTTGGCTCGGAATGATTTCGCTGACGCAGATGCTCATGGGTTTTGGAGCCACATCAGTGAGTTCCGAGCAGACTACCCCAACGGTACCACCGCGAATGCAAGTAACGAGAAACTCACCTCCATAGCCTGCTATTGGTCCTCATCGACATCAACGCGCACAAATCTCGAGCAAGCCCTTTCGAGTCTGTGGTATCGTCTGACTCACGAATCCTCCATCCAATATGTCCAGAGAGACCAGGAACCCCCTTCGGTATCAGGCATTTGCTCGCTATGAACGCGTTCATTGATGTTCTTGTGGGCTATTGAACACGAGGCACCTGGCTTGTTCGAAGCAAGGAGACCACATGAGCAGTATACTCTATAAGCAAGTCGTTATCGACATCATAAGATGCATGGTAGACAGAGAGAAGAGTATGAGCCAGCTGGAAACATTGGGGAGTCGACAGTCAGGAGTCGCGACTTGGTGTGTCTTCTCAGGTTTTGAGTCACGGTCTCTGGAACGGTGAATGCCAGAACGCAGCCAAGAGACATTAAAGCAGTTCTACCAGCGATATCTGCTGCAGTACGGACGATAGGAATACAGAGGAAAACTCGTAGAAAAGTAGCAGGACTGGCGGTGAAGAGGATAGAGCGAAAAGTGGTCTGATCTTTTGCGCTTGATTCTCTTCGCGCGTCGCGTTGGGGAGGTGCCACTGTGGCGCCGCTCATCGGAGTCGAACGCAATCTTGTTGTATGTATCTTGCTCTGATCAACTCCACGACGTTTCTCAACTAAGCCAATCTTGAGCTCACTTTCATCCTAATAATTACGCTGTGTAACCCCTTTGGAGGCATTTCGAAGGCACAGGGAACCGGATACTCAACTTCGACGAAGCCTGCGACTGGTTTTCCTTCCATCCTCGGCGTTGCCTTCATCATCCGTCTTCAGGTCAGTCAAGTTATTTTCTCGACTCGCTCCGAACTGGAATAAGGCGGAGAAGGAGACAGAGATGATGGATGAATCAGTAGACGTGGATGTGGTGGAGAGGAATGCATGAAGGCCGTAGAACTAGCTGATGAAGTCGCCGTGGAAGAGACGGTCCTAGCGACCGAACCACGAGAGGCCTTCGTCCACGACACGGACGAATCGTCGCTCTAGTTCGGAAGTAGCTCCAGCTAGAGGACGTTTCGTTGTTTGTAAAGCTGGCGGGCCCACGAAATCATCTCTACGTCCTGCAATTTACGGTCGTGCAAAAGTCACGGCTGACATCCCACCGAACTCACAACGAATGGAGTATCAGGTATGTTCACATCGAAGACAGGTGAAAGGGCCACGGAGACTGGCAAAGGGATGTATATACTGGGGGTGATTCGGATGACATGTGCGGACGAGGTGTTTACGGTTCGTCGATCTGTCCATGGGCTTCATACCTCACCCAGACAGCGCGCATGTACTGACTAGAGCACGTATGGTCTCGTCTCGCTAGAAAGATTTATGGCTGATAGTTGCTGTACTCCCAGCTCGTACCGGTATGCACCGTTGCCAAACATTGCGAAGTGTCAACCAAAAAAACATGAAGTAATAGGTGAGTGAGAACAAAATCTCGAGTCATGACAAAGGACGCTAGGGTGGTCGAATCGTATCGCCTAGTCCCTAACGCTCGCCCCTTCACACCCTCTACTCGTCTCACCCCTAGACTTTCCTTCCTGTCTACACCTCCACCTCCCTGCAGAATCTTCACTCCGTCCCAGGGTCGACATGTTAGGAACACGTCTACCCTTCATGAGGACCGAGTGAGAATGTATGGTAAGCGTCAGTTGACGGCCCTTCGCCGCCACCTGCGCTTCCAGACGTCGTACTTGGTTCCTATGGAAGGGTCATAGTCCCTGTCGATGGACACCTTGGAAGCATTACCCTTCGCATTACCTTTCGAGGCCCTCGCCATCCTCGCCTTCTTCGATGCCGGTGCCACGTCGGACTTGTCGTCACGATCCCGTTTCTTCTCTTCCCCACCACCAGTAGGCGGTTCCACAGAGACATCCACTATCTCCTCAAATGGTGAAGGTTTCGGGACACGCTTGGCCCTCTCACCGTTCCACTCGTCCATGAGTAGCGGATCCTGCCAGGATTTGATTCCCTTCTGGAGAGGGTTGTCGGTCGGCTGGCCTGACATGGGGGCCATGACCCAAGGGTTTCCATTCATCTGCCGAGGTGCGCACCTCCCGCGGAACGATTTCTTTTCTGGGGCTTGCTGGTCTACTTTGCGTTGGGATCGAGTACGTCGGGGTCCAGTGCCGGGCGGGCGGAGTTGTGGGTGAGGTTGGGGACGAGGATCTCGAGCTGCCACGGGTTCGTGCGTGTGGCACTTTGTCGGGAAGCTTTTTCACTGGCGACGACACACCCTGTGCATCATTCATGCCCCAGGACTTCGCGATCTCCTCCGGGTCCGCTTTGGACTGAGAGGTTCGAAAGTCACGATCGGTGGGTATAGAAAAGATGGAAGAAAGACGGTCTGTACTCACCCGCCGAGGAGGCTTGGTCCCACGCCGCGAATGTTTCGTTTCAAAGTGCTGGCCTGAAGATCCATACAGACAATCAACACCACCTCGGCGCAAATAGCGACGCTGAAGAAGATGACGAACTTTCGGTTGGTGTAGGCGGAGGGCTCATGGGGTCATTCGTTACAATTGACCCCCTTCGTTTCTTCAGGGCTCGTTGCCTGTGTGCGCTCTGATCCTGAGCGCCGATTGTCATGGAACGGTATCTGCTAACCAGTCTCTCTGACACATGTGTAATTATAGGACGGACGAACCTGGGCCACACTCGGTGTCGGCGACACACCCCGTGCATCATTCATACCCCAAGACTCAAGGATACTCTCGAGGCTCGCATCAGACTGAGAGGGACGAAAGAAGTCACGATCGAGGGACGCCACCAAGATGGAAGAAGAATGCAATGAAGATGGTCTGTACTCACCTGGTGTGGACGTTTCGACCGACGCTGTGGACGTTCTGCACTAACTTTCAGATTTGAATATTAGTATTATCATCATTTAGAGGGATGATCAACACAACCTCGACGCAAGTACTGACGTTGAAAAAGAGAACGAACTTTGGGCTGGTGTACGCGGATGGCCCATGGCGTCTTCGGTGTCAGTAGTTGCCCGGTGTGTCCTCAGCGCTCCCTGCTCGGGTGCGCTCTGATCCTGGTCGCTGATGGTCATAGAACGGCGAGAACTTGGGGAATCCATGTTGTCGATGGTTTGATTTATTGTGTTTTATGTGTAAAGCGATTGGTGGTGGAGAACTGCAGGAGGGTGCTGCCGAGGGAGGAGAGGATCTGCGACAAAACATGCAGCCAACATGGTCTCGTGACTAATTTGACGTCCGCCGGCTTCATCCCGTACATTGTCTCCCGTTTTCTTCCAACATCCATGGTCCCTTTGCTCTCCATTTATAGCCTCTAGTTTTTCATTGTGTTCGTGGGTCTCGACGTCTATTGTAGAAGATAAAAACTGTGTTCCTTCCTTTTGGGAAACAAAACTCGCGCCGTTTTTGGGACACCGCGCTTGTGGCTCTTGGACGGTGAACGGTATGGGCCTGGCGCAACCTGAACAAAAGCGAAGCAATTGGACCTCTGGAATCTACCAGCAATAATGGCGTGTTTTACTCATGCCGCTTCATGCAGGTCTTCTTATCATCCCATCCATATCGAGCTGAGCGTCGAGCCGGAGGGTGCGTGTCCGAAGCGTTCGAACCTGCATCGCGAACCTGCAGAGTACAGATACGGTAGGCTATCATTTCGTCTTTTCTGCTGTTCTACTCCAGGATGTTGTATCCTTACGTTGAATAGTGCGATTACTTGGCGGTGTAATTGCGCATTTGCGACAGAGCACACCGTTGTCCGGGAGATGACGGTGGATATCTGGATAGATTCGGGGGCTACATATATTTTCAAGAAATATACACGTTTGACTCTGCCTCGCATGATGAATGTTGAGAGACCGATGAGCACGATCCCGTTGAACAGGTTTAAATGGAAAAGTTCTCAGTGGGCCGATGGTCTTGTCCTAGCACACTCGAGATTCGTTTGGATCCCATACCGGCTTTGCGTCCGATATACTGGCGCTTGGCATCGCACCCTCCTTACTACGGTCAACTTGGGCGCACTTGGTCGAATCGAGGCAAACTCTGGACTTTAATGCTGCCTGTTTTCACTGCCGGAGTTAGCCCGTCAGACATGAACGCTGATTCGTTGGTACGTGGCTAGGCGTTCAACTTGACTGATTATTGTTGTCATTCCGACACAGGAGCCGTTTCGATTACCGTCTGAATGCCCTCCTGGCATTGAAACGCATCGTGTTTGTGCTGGAAGCGTTACTGACTGCTCCCCTTCGATGTGTGACAATCTTCATCGCGTCTTGGGTATATTTGTGGTGTGTTGATATTATGTTCCGCCTACGAGGTTTGGCGGGGACCGTTAAACAACCCTACGAAAATGCTGCTCCGCCGCGAGGTCCGAATACTCTGCTGAAATCGCCATTTTCTCACTCGTGGTGTATCCAGGGTGGCATTCCTTTCAGATCCAGCTATGAACGAAGCCTCTTCTGTCCTTGACTTTGTCGTTCTGGCTTGTATTCAGCCATAGTATGTTCTTGTCTTGGTGCCTTTGAACTCGCATTGCATTCTTGCTGGAGTTTCCGTGCTATGCGTCTACTGTAACCTGAGTCTGTATCGGTCTGGCGCGATTAGGGAATACTTGAGTCTGTTATTGTTGCGAGAGGCTCTCCTGTACCCTCTAAGTACTAAGAAATCGGTCCTCGATTTCACGGCGACTTCTGGAGATCAGTGAGCCTGGGCCACCGCCACAATGAACTCTAAACCTACGCGTCGACCGACGGAACAAAACGTCAAATTCCCAGATCCGAAAGCTAGCCGTCGCTTCCAATCTCGAGTTTCTCTCCTCGCCTTGATTCTGTTTTATCTCAGTCTACACAAAAACGAGACTCAGCTTCCTCTTGGTCTTGGTCTCTGGGACTCGGAAATGCGGTCTCGACTTCGTTAAATACATGTATCTTACGAAGGACGGGCTTCGGCATGCGGCCTTGCGATGTGCTGGTCCATCGATGCCTCGACGTTTGTTGCCCACCCATGCAAACATCACACACGACACGGACATGCGGACGGAAAAGGCGATGAGTCCTACCGACAGATGGACAGATAAGACAGAAGAGTCCGGGTTAGGTACGGCATAACCCTGGACGCAGTAGTACCGATGTGAACTGTTTTCTCTTCCCGACGCCATTTTACCCCAGTCAAGAGTACCGTGTACGGACCCACAGGGGAGGAGAAGGACATAGAAGGGAGCCGGAGCAGTTTGGATGCATCAGCAGGTGCGTGTGTCCAATCCTGCCTCGAAACGCTCGTTGCTAACCGTCAAATCATGTAGCTGAAATACAGGGGAATAAAAAATGAAATTACATGGATACGATGACGGTCCAGCCCAATCTGTGCCACGGCGAAAAAGGAAGGCACGAGAACACAATAAGACTAATGAAAGAGAAAAGTGAGTAAAATCAGAACTAAATATAAGACTGAACCCCTCTTCCGCACTAGCACGAAACACGCTCTCGATACCCCCACCTTTCGCGCTCCCCCTTCTCCTCTACTTCTTTCCTATCTCCCCTCCTCGCCCCCCCCCCCAGCCATCCTCTACGTCCCCTCTCTCCTACGGATTCTCACTTGGCCCCAGGGCCGACATATCCAATGAGGATCTATCTACCCTTCGCGGTGACCAAGTGAGAATGCTTTGGCTAGGTTCAGTGGACGGCCCTCGCCGTCACACTGATCCCCCATACCTATCGCTTGGTTATTGTGTAAGGGTTCAAGTCCCTGATGTTGTCCGGCCATAAAGGCTGAACCCCTTGGTACCGTCGCCCCTAACGTTCTGTCGGACCTCAGCTTCTGCCTGGCCGGTCTGGCACTGCTTCCCTCGTCCTCGTCCTCGTCTCCCATCTCTTCCCAAGCTCTCTTCCTCCCCTTACCCTCCATTGGCAAACCATACGAAGACGATTGTCCGCCCGTCATTCCCCCCATCCGCCCTGCTCCTTGCACCATCCCCATCTCGGCCTCAAAATACGACGGCTTCGTCGCCCGGCATCGTCCGTACCCCTCAGCCACCATCCCTACGCTAGTCTGTCCCCGTCCCAGTGCCAAAGAGGGACTCCGATGCGCCGGGCGTTCGGTGGGCATCTGTATTGCGTACGAAAATGACAGATAATTCTTCCCGATCACATCTATTCCGGAAGCGTGATTGAGGTGTCCTTCTGGCTGTAAACCCATTGGGAGATGTATTTCGGGGGCAGAGGATCCTCGCGTGGAGCGGGGTGACGGTGTCGATTCCGACGAAGGCAGACCCTTGTCCAATAAGCCATTGAGCTGCTCCCAAAGCGACGGCGAATCAGCGAGGTCAGGGGCAAGCTGAGCGAAACCTGACAGGGACGGGCCAGTTACGAAGTCGTCCGATGAGATCGAACTCTCTGTATCGCTCTCGATATTAGGGAGCCCGTTATTATCGTTGTCGGTGGCTGGAGTATGACTGGGAGGCTCGTGTGTCACGGCCGGGTTGGGCGCTATCGTCTTGAGCAATGCCGAAGACACGCCCATGTTGATGAGCATGGATGATGGACTGCTGGAAGCAGTCTCGCGCGGGTCGAAGCGATTGCTGAATTCTACCCGTCCCTCGTTGGTCATAGTAGCCTGTGCGACCGATGTTCACGCCGTAAGCCTCTTATAGTACGTGATAGGCTGCAGTAGGAGACGTACGTTTTGAGAGCACTTCGAGATATTCATAACTGCTTCGTGTGTTTCATCCAGTTTTTTCCAGAATTGGTACGTAGTCTATCACCGCTTTTCAGTCTTCTCACGCTGTGTTCTAAGATAACAAGGACATACCTTCGATTTAATGGGCGGTGAGACATCTTGTGTGTCGCCTAGGCCCCAAGACTCCGCTATGGCCCTTCTAGTGGCCTTTGACTGGAAGAGAAAAAAGTTTAGGATGCATAGCTGGATAGACGAAGTAGTAGGCAGGGGAATGAATGAACGTAAACTGTACGCACCTCTCTTTGATGGCCAGTTGGGCGCTTCAAGGCAGCTGTACTCTCACGACTGGATGTGTCAGTGTTGGTCGGAGACCATAGGCAACATTGGCACAGTCAGTGATTGTCCGATGCTTCAGTTACTATAGCCGAGAGCAACTTACGAAATATACGGTACATGACCTCGCACGGGTCGGAATAAGAATGATGGGTGAAACACTCTTGGAATGGGTTCCGATGTCTTGATGGTGACAGCCGTGTCGTGCTCGTGTGCGCCGGGGGTTTGAGTTCCAGTGGTGAACGTGGTAAGATTGATTTGGTTCATATTTGTAAGTGTGAGAACACGTCTTATATCTTCTCAAGCAATCGGTAAGCGATATTTGTGAGAAATTGTTGTGGATGAGGAGAAGAGGCAGCGACACTCGCGCGAGGGTTGTATGTTCAACAGTCTCGTGACTCGGTATGTGCCGGCTCCCTCCCTTGCATTGTCGTTGCGTGGCCATTCCCCCCTGCTCATTTGTGGCCCCAAATTCTTCAGAGTGCTCTTTTAACGATTTTATATATGGTCAAACACTCCCTAATTTTTTTCGTGGAGCCAGAAATGTAGGCATTCGTTGACAGCGCTCATATCTCCGGGGTCGGTTAGGGTAGAACCTGCACAAAAGGGAAACCAGCACCTTGAATTCCCACCCTCACTGGGAGTATTTTCCCATGATTCTTCTCTTATGTCTCGCTCAACGCAGATAATTAACGCACGTTCCATGAAACAGATACTTTGATCACACTTCAAGGCGATTTTCGACGAATATAAGGTGCGTATATTTCATTTTGGAGGGCTAGACGAAGACTACGAGCTCCCGATCAGCGACAGGCCACATATCTTATGGGCTCCTTGCCATAAAATGTGGCCCGCCTCTCAGACGTCACTTCCAGAGGCTTCTGCCTCGTCAGTGTCTTATAGACGATGGCGCAGAACAATATATGGAGTTAAACAGTATAAGATAATGTGTATACACGACTATGAAAATTTGACACAATTGAACAAGTTAGGATCCGACGACGTAATTTGAAAATATATGTGGCATTTTTCACCGTTGGCGTCTCCGCTAAATATCGCAGGCGGGACACGACATTGAAACGCTACAAATATGCCCTATCGGAAAAATGGGGAAAACAAGCGGGCCGCAAGCACGTTTGATGCCATAGCGAAAAAGATCTATCTCGAGACAGGCTCCCGGAGGATCGATCCAGGCCAGAGATCGCCGCATGAAAAAAATGAGGAGGCTCGTTATCGTCGCCGCCGTCGTAATCGTTCCGGCCGCACTTCAGGATTGTCCTCATCGCCGAAGCCATGGTCACTAGTCTAAACGGGAATCGCCCCAGGTTTCAGGAAGATTCTGTGGAGAAGATATCTAAAAGAGCATTCAGGGGACGGAGAGGTTCGTTCACGAAGAGACGCCGTTTTGGTAAAGTTAACAAGATCGGATCAGATCGGAGGTGCACTGCGAATCAAGAGAGAAATTCTTGACGTTATTTTGGTGAAACCCGTTTTATATCGAGGACTCAGACATACCATCGAGATACCCAAGTGGGCTGAGAGGAATTAGCTCGGGGCAAGAGTATTGTTTTAGACGGCTGCTAGATTCTGCGTGACTTCGAAGGCCTACGGAGGTGCCTCGTCTGCGATGTTGGGGCTCGAAGAACTGGAGCCGCAGGAGCGCTCCCTTCTGTTCGGTCCTGCCCAGTTAAATCGCCATTGTAAGCGTCACTTCTGTCCTCGGGTTCGCCGTATACCGAGGCTTCCCATAAGCTACAAATAACCTGTGTAGGCGTATATTCATGGTAATTAGTCCATGAAAGTGTGGTACTAATCCAACGCGTAGATGTCGCAAAGAGACAGGGACGTACAGCATTGAGAAACCCTTGCGCCCTTACTAGTTCTTTGGGCCAATCGGATGCGAAGAGAACTTTCCTTACTCGGTACTGTAGAGCTCTAGCCTCCGAGAGGTTTGGTGGTGTAGAGCCGGAGAAAAATAGTTCCACCTCGGACAGGACCTCCTCGATTGAGATGTGCTCTCCGCCTAGTTTTCCGCAGAGACACGAATCTGGAGTTTGCTTGCCACAAATTGCGCAAATCAGGCCCTCGCAATTTTGACACCAACAGACCGCGGATTGTAGCTCGTATTTCTTCAGGGAGTTGCAGCAGACCTGACACCCGGATACAGCACAGAGAACGCACTCTTGGGAGGCTGGAATATAATTCAGAAAATTTTCAATTGCCTTCAGACCCTATGGGCATGCCAATTACACGCGAGAGGAAATGTCAGTGCAGGGAAAGAGGATTTATGTTCGACAGGAGTAAACGTACACTTTTCGATGGACTCATAGCGGGGGGTTTGTCGCAGAGACAACGCCAAGGGGCAGCTTTACACATTTCGGGGGACTATGCACGGTGGCAGCCGTGACGGAGAGTGAAGAAGAAGAAGTCGTTTAGCATATGCGACATGTTCAAGTGATTCACAACGATGGAGATCGAGACGTACCCGTCGGGATTGCTCGTTGAGGAGAGCAGTCTAAGTTGAAGTGGGGTTTGACTTGTGGAGTACGACGAGACGAAATAGAAGTCCGTTAGAAGAGGAGATGGTGCAGCCAGACTAGCAAAATTGGCGATGCTCAACGTACATAGCTATGAGCGAGCTACGAATGGGAACTGATGCCAAGTGGTGGATACGGTGGCAAAAGTCAAGGGCTGTCGTGCGCAATGTATCGGAGACGTTGGACTTGATCGTGAGGTCAAAGATTACACAGGTACTAAGGACACCGTCTACAAGAGCGGGAGGAGGACGTAGGTCGGTATGTACGGGGATGGAAGATATTACGGGGTGAGTGCTTATCGTCAACAGAGGGCAGAAGAAAGGCGAGAGCCGCGGTGCAAAAGCGACACGTGGCTTTGAGGGCCAATATACAGATTCGCACGGTCGATGCGACGCTCCCCCACTGTGGCACTTTACAGGACACTCACACAACAAGATTCGAATCAACAAATGCGGATGGATTATTAGAGCTTCCATCACAAATACAACGCATTACACTCCAGCAGATAAAGGACCACGACTCAGGATATCGACCAACGAGACCTAAACGAGGGGGATAACTTGGAGAAAATACCAAGTGGATTCGGCGAGAGGGAAAATAAGAAAGCGGAAAGGGATAGGGAGACAAGATGGAAGACTGGAACGGGGAGAAAATGGAGAGAGCACAAGGTCATTGAGATGTAGAGGTACCGAGCGATTAACACAAGAAGAGAGTATGAAAGACAACTATGTACGGTGTGAAAGCATGAAATACAGCAGATGCAGACAGCGAGGAAAGATGAGGAAAGTGAAGCGATGGAAAACAGATTCAATAACACGATGACAATGAAAAGGGAAAAAAGTATGGTAGGAAGAGATGGACAGCGCACGAATCACCACACCCCAAGAAGTCCTGGACGTGTGGCTGCATGGTAGGTTAGTCCGAGAACGAAGGTGACGGCGCACGGACGGCCATCTCGTCACCTTCGTCGCTCGTCACGTCGTTGTAGTTGTCTTTCACGCCGACGCTCGAGTCGTCGTCCCTCAAGTCGCCATAATTCGATCTGTCATCGAAGAGCGCCTCCTCGTACTTAACAAACCCCGAGCCGTCGTCGTCGAGACCGCCATGTTGGACATCGTCAGAATCTTCGGAATCGTTGGTGTCATCATTGCTGTCATCGTCCTGCCCAGCTTCGTCGCCCTGAGGATCCCGACACGTACACCCACTCCTGAGGACTTCACCGCACCACCAGCAGAACAAGTGCATACACTTCCGACAATAGCACATCACCAGCCCATTCACCTGGACAGGTTGGAGTGAGCGGCAGCACCGCTTGCACCCATCTATTGCGCAGTAGAAGCATGATGGATGAGCACAAAGCTCCTCCAGGTCTTCCTGGACCTGTTCGACAATCTGTGGGTAACACGGCAATGTCTCCGTCAGTACAAACTCGAGGCGAGAACTGTGAGAGGAAGACGTACATATCTTGGCGGGTATTGGACGGCAGGTTTGGTGCAGCGGCAGGCTTCAATGGGATCCGAGCACATTTTGAGTCGATGAGGCGGAAAGTAAAGGGTGTACTAGAGCAATGACGAAGATATGTGTCAGGACATGTTTCGATACAGCCGGCTTGTAGTACCAAGGAATGCGCGACATACCTGATGGAGATGGAGCTGGGTAGAGGGAGAGGTGTATCGGGACGCACGACAACTATCGGAAGGCTGCGAGAAAACCGTCGGGTGTCGGTGCGAAGTCGGAGAAAAACTTAATGCAACGTTGATGTTGAGCTTTGTCGTGTCGCGTCGCGTCGGGATCAATATTGCGTCGCCTTTGGAGGAAAAAAGCAACGACAGTAAAGGCAGTCGTGGGGTAGAGGAGTAGGGGATTGATGGAGATAAAAGGTGCTCTAGATAGACCACTCTATGCGCTGATCAATATGAGCGTCGCGTCGAAGAGAGACGATACGACACAAAAGATAGCGTGGAGAGGATGGGATGGGAGTACACAGTGAAGTATCCAACGGTATTCGTATAGCGGTGGATGGGAGTATGAATCAAACTGTGGTGGATGGATGCGGGATGTTGATGGTGTGGGGAAAGAGTGGGGAACAGGGAGGACGAGGACGAGAGGCAGGATTTTGTTGTTGATCAACATTCCCACGCTTCTCTTTGACTTGGAGGCCACCGTGGCGCTTTCCCACGACGCGCTTGAGCCACTCCCTCAACAGGCTCTGCACTGCTTCTTGACGAACTCTTCTACACTCACAGACTGGATATGATGCTGACATACTCACCTTGGATAGAAACGCTTGATGAGAACATAGCTGGTCAGTACAGATTGGTGAACCTCAATATAATCGAGCCCATTGTCAGCAGCGACCTGAACCCAGCAAGGCTTGCAGTCTTCCGCCAGGGCCTTTTGTACTGTTGAATCAGTCAGCATGGAGGTAAGTGTGCGAAGCTACTCTTGTCCTCTCAGTTTCGACGACGCGCACTCGAGGCTGGCGTTGGTCAAATACATTATATTCCTGCGCGTCAGTTATATCTATCCTGAGCATTATTTGCTTGAGGGTAGAGGATCACAAACAGCGAATCACATTTCGCAGGTCTGTGCAGAGCGATTATCATTAGCACCTTGACGGTAGGTCAGATTTATTGATGCACATCTGCACGTGCGCAAAATCCTCTACGTTACCAGTTAGTCGTGTACAGGATTGGTTTGGGGACATACATTGTTATCGCAAACCCGTCCGTGTCGAGGGGTTGCACCTTTACGTGACTCTACGCGCTGCTAGCTTGGACTTATCAAGTCCACAAGCCATGCATAACAGGGCACTTCGATGACTCACCTGTCAGACGTCCAAGGAGTTCAGGCTCGACGATTACAACGAGGGACATACGTCCGGCTCTGATCAGTACACTTCGTACACTTCTTCCGTGCTCGCTACCTGAAGTCAGATTCCAGGCGAGGTGGACTCACCACATCTTCGTATTGAAGTCCCATGTATCTTTTGATTGATCAATACCGTCACGAGCAAACAACATGTTCAGGTATCATCGTGACCCGAACAGGGTGCTCTACACGTCACATTCGATATTTTGACGATGTGCATGACTATTACATGATTCGTTGGGCATCTTGGAGAGCATAACGGTATCTCATAGGGAATTCGTACGCGAAAAGTACGTTCAAACTTCCACACAGACAGCGTCAAGCGCGCTACCAAAATAGGCGCCCATCGAGGGGAACACATCGTCGGTGTAATTTGGTCGGAATGACTTCGCTGACGCCGACGTTCATGGGCTTCGAGACCACGCCAGTGATCGCCGAGCAGACTACCCCAGCGATGGCCACTACGAATATCAGTAACGAGAAACTCACCTCCGTAGCCTGCTGGCCCTTCATTCGTATCAATGCCACCCAACCCTTCAAAGCTTGGCGAGCCACTTCGAGTCTCTAGTATCGCACAGCTCCAGAGTCCTCCATCCAACCATTCCAAAGCGTCCAGAACACCCATCTTCGGTATTGGATCGTTATCGAAGACAAGCGCGTTGGGTTATGTTCCTGTGGGCTCCGAGTGAGCACGAGACGCGTGGCTGTTTCGAAGCAACGAGATCAAAAGAGCAGCCTGGAAACAAATCAAGTCAAAAGATTTGTGTTAGACAGTGAGGAAAGGAATTATGGGCCAGGTGGGAACGTTGGGGAATCGGCAGTCAAGAGTTGCGACTGTATTTTCCCCCAGTTTATGTCTCTCTGGCTCGTTGAACGCAAGCACATAGACGAGGAGCTATTGAAGGAAGTCTATCGGTAATATCTGGAGCAGTAGGAACGATAGGCAAGCTTGTAGAAAGGCAGCAGCACTGAGTGCGGTGAAGAGGATAGAGCGAAAAGTGGTCTGATTTCGTTCCCCTACCGCAACGCGTTGGGGAGGTGCCACTGTGGCGCCGCTCGCTGAACACGGTTTTTTTCTTTCTTCGCATGTATCTTCTCTAATCGACCCTCCGACGTTTCAAACAACTCTGTCTCAAGCTGACGTTCATCCTCAGTATCATACTCTGTAATCGTCTTGGTGCGTGTCTCGAAGGCCCAGGAAAATGGATACGCAACCTCGACGAAGTCTGCTGCGACCCATTTTCGGAGGGGGTCCTGTCATCCTCGTCGTCGGCTCATCAATCAACTTCAGGTTCGTCAAGTCATTTCCTCGAGATGCTCCGAACGAGGACAGTATGGAGGTGGCGAAAAAGAGGATGGATGCGGTGGAGACGGAACGATTGAAGGTCCTAGAACCTCTGGTGAGGCTGCCGTGGAAGAACGGTACTAGTGACCGAACCAGGAGAGGCGTTCGTCAACGACACGGGCAAATCGTAGCTCGAGCTCAGGGGTAGTTTTACCTAGGCGACGTTTCGTTGTCTATATGGCTGGCAGATTATCGCGTTCACCCCAACAGCCTGGAATCAATTGCGCAGAAGTCACAGTCGACATATCACCGAAGTTACAGAACGACTGGAGTACCAGGTATGTCCTCATCTTCGAAAGGCGAAAGGGTCATGGAGACCGGCGAAAACGATGGATGGACCAGGGGTGGTCCGGACGATAGCCAGCCGCCGGAAACAATACCTCACACACAAGTCCGATGTCTCCTCTGTGGGGCCCGGATGTACAGCGGAAGTCCTATCCCGTGCTTTTCTGTGTCTTGGTTTTGAGTCTGGAGCTAATCGACTTGGATAACTCGTCTCTGTTCTGAAAACGGCAGTTCCCTTGTCGCACGTCATCGCGTTCCCTAGGCCTAGGAACGATAGGGAACGATCCGGACGGAAGAAGTGGTTGGGGTTCGCCGATCCATCGATGAGCATCATACCCCACCCATGCCGCACGCATGATACTGGCCGGGGCACGTATGGTGTCGTCTCGCTAGAAAGATACCGAAAGATGGATGGATCAAACGTAAGATGGATATAGTACAAAAGATTCAAAGAAGAAGAGACTCCGTCGGTAAGTCTTTCCCTGTATGCTTCGCCCTCCCTCATCAAGTTTGCACTGCAAGAGTATGGACCAAAGTACCGATGCATGAACGCGTATTGGAGGAAGAAGATGTGGAGACGGAAACCAGACGTGGTAGGTGCATGCCATTGAGCTATGAAGGTATGTCGAAAGACCCTGGCTGACAGTCCTCCTACTTCCAGCTCGTACCGATATCCACCGTGCCGAACATGTCGATGAATAAACAAAAATAGAACGCAATAACAGGTGAGTGAAAATCAAACCAAGAGCTATGAGAAAGAAAACCAAAAATGGGTGGTCGAATCACATCGCCCACTCCCGATACCCAACGCTCGCCCCTTCACACACCCTACTCGTCCTACCCCCGTCTCCTACATCTCCTCTACCTCCCTGTAGATTCTGCACTCCGTCCTAGGATTGACATGTTAGGAACACGTCTACCCTTCACGGGGACCGAGTGAGAATATATGGTCAGCTCCAGTTGACGGCCCTTCGCCGCCAGCTGCGCTTCCAGATGTCTCAATTTGTTCTTGTGGAAGGGTCACAGCTCCTGTCGATGTCCCGCTGAGGGACACCTTTGAACCGCTCCCCTTCGCATTGCCTCTCGAGGCCCTCGCCATCCTCGCCTTCTTCGGCGCCGGCGCCACGTCGCCCACGTCGTCGTCGTCGTCACGACCCCGTTTCTTCCCTTCCCCACTGCCCACAGGTGAGTCCACAGAGAGTTTCACGATCTCCTCGAACAGCGCAAGCTTCGGGACACGCTTCGCCTTCTCACCGTTCCACTCGTCCATGAGTAGCGGATCCTGCCAGGCTTTGACTCCCTTCTGGAGAGGGTTGTCGATCGTATGTCCCGACATGGTCCCCATGACCCAAATATCTCCACTTTTGTGCCGAGGTGCGCACCTCCCGCGGAAAGATATTTTCTCTCCGTCCTGCTGCTTCGCCTTCTTTTCTCCATCCTTCTGCTTCTCTTTCTTGTCTCCGTCCCGCCGCTTCTCTTTCTTCTTGCCGTCGTGCTGTTTGACTTTGCGTCGAGATCTAGTGGGCAGGGCGGGAGGAGCTGCGGGTGCAGCTGGGGACGACGATTTCGCGCTTCCACGGGTTCGCATGTTCGGCACATCATTGGGAAGCCCATGCGGAATGTTCGTACCATGCATGTTGCCAGCGCTCGATGCAGTATGGCCGTTCGATTCATCCGTGCTCGACACGGCAGGTGCTAATCCCGCCTCTTCGAACGAGTTGGGAGCGACCCCTGAGTTGCCGATCGATCCTGATATGTCGTTAATCCGGCTGGGGATGGGACTGTTCAAACCGGTGGGGTCGCTGGGGCTGATGGATCCGCTCTCCCCATCGACTGCGTCAGTTTGGACGCCAGCGAAGTCCTTGTTCGGAGGATACCCCAGCTGCTCGCGGGAGACGAATATCCCGGATGATTTCCTGCATCTAAAATCTTTCCTTTTGCCGAAGTCGTCCTCGTAGGCCTGGGCATCCTTGAATCGCGGTCAGATCTTCGTGTCGCAGTATGAGACATAAGGATATAGACGCACCTGGCTTTGCGCCGAATGTTCCTGTTGCGCGAGATCTTGTGCAAATCGGTTTACCATTGTTGGCTCGTCGTAAGCACGATTCCCATCTCCCGACGCCATGCCAAAGAGAAAGGTTTCAGAATCATTCTGTACCTCCCCGCTACCCACCAGAGCACGGACCAACTATATATCCTTATCAGTTATCGAGGAGATATTAACCATGAGCAATTATCGACAGACCTCTCGATGTACGAATCCTCCACAATCCTCTTGATGTTCCATCGATGACGACGATGGACTTTGGCTACGCGCCATCGGAGGAGGCATAACTGAGTGTCGTTTTGGGGTGTATCCCGACTGTACGACAGGGCACGTTGAGTGAGATGTCAGTAGATGAATACAGATCGCGGCGGAACAGATCGAGCTGGCTCACGTATGTATTGCGACGTTGTCTTGGAAGTGGGAGGTGTGAGGATGTGTCACAGGGCGTGTCGCGACTGTAGAGCTCGTCCTCGCTTTGAGCGCGAGGATTCGGAGGCAGGTACAAGGCTGGATAGGTATAGAGACCAGTCCCAGGAGCTGGATTGAAGAGGGAAGTGGAGTACGAGGGTAGCATACCGCTATTCGGACTCTGAGGACGATGAACAGGGTGCGCTCCCTCGCGGACATGTGGGCTCCGCGATACCGAGCGGCTTGGAAGAGCAAGATGAAGAGGTGTCATGGATTTCTGTCTTCGTTTCTCAATGTAGAGGTATCGCTCCATTGAGTCCAAGTTTGGCGATAGGTGAGTTTGTGCACTCTCTGGGAAAGGGCCTCTGACACTGTTGTTGGACAATGCAGGGACGTCTGTGTCGTAGATCTGCAGGTCGCCGAATAGGTGGCCGGATACAGTGTGGTTGATCGATGTCATGTTTTGTTTCAGATTCGGAGAGCGTCTGTGGTTTTGCAGCAGATGCGATGGAGGGATGCAGTTGGATGCAGTTGGCGGAAGCCTGGAGGAAATGGCACAGCGACACTTGCACGGGGGACCGTGGGGACGTTCAACAAACTCTCGTGACATGCGTCATCCGTTTGGTTATCGATAAAACAATTATTTTCAACATTCCTCTGCACTATTCAGGCCTTATATTATTCACTCTATTCGTCTTGGGGATACTTATGCTGATCGTCGTATTGATCTCATTTTTCAGATTTTTGCGAGCGTACTCGTGGAAAAATGCAGTAGCTCTCTCCCCGTTTTCTCCAAGCTGTTTCGATAATGGGCACCAAGAACGCAACTCTCCGATGGGAGGTTCTGGCTGCTGAATTGAGTTGGTAAGCATTTCTTACTACACCACCTCATTTCATTCTTTCAACGCTGCAGCCTGTTCGATTCTTCGTGCGCTATTGTAGCTGAGCGGTGTCGTGGGGTGGTACATATGTGGTCGTATTGTGGGAATAGATAGCTTATCACCGGATTCGAGCTGTCGCGCTCTCTGTGTACAATTTCTACTGGTTTCTCTTCTCTCCGACGATGTCCCTCAGCCGTTCTACAACCACTGAGGCCGGCGTCGAAATGTTCAGATACCTTAAGCTTGCGACTGTATCTTCAACGACGGAGGCTCTCATTTCATCTACATATATTACCTGTCAGAACCCAGATACTCGTTATGTATATTCTGGCATAATGACACGTTCTTCGTCTTGCCCGTCTGAGAGAGATGTGGCGAAAGTAATCATTCTGTCAGGAAATTCGAATGCGCGAGATGCTCGAGTCTCAGGCCACTATGTTCTGCTTAAATGCTAAGATTTGTATACGCTCGTATTTATAACGCAAAAGTAAAGGCAATCGGGATTGTCGTACCATGAGTGAAACCGAAGAAGTTGAGAAGACCTGGCGGGCGGAGGGTTCGAACTTTCTAACGCCACAGTTATTCCGCCCTAACCCCAGATCAAGGTTAATGCGGTGATCCACGAAAAAAAATATGGTTCAAACTTCAAGTCGTACGTACACTTCCAATGCACTCCGTCTTGTCCCTCCGTCCCGCCTTTGCGCCTGGTCAATGTCACCCCTAAATAGCCTCGAAATACAGCCTAGAGGACTCGAAAAAGATATGTCAATTGCTATGTAAAGTTGTACAGCCCGAAAAATTCTCCGGAAGGTGCGTGTGCCCATCGATGGCACGCCTCGACCTGCCGCTCATTCATTCCTCATGCGTGATTCGTCGGCCGGAGCAGTGTATTTTTTCGTCAGGGAAACCCCAGAAGATTGATTGATTATAGATAAGCACAGGAATATACAGGGACAGGAAAATTACAAAGAGGAGAAGAACATTCGGTGAGCTGTAACTAGTATATGTTTCCTTTCGACGACGTCGTCCTACCAAGCATCGAATACGGTTCTTGCAGACGAGAACCTTCACTGCGAATAGTCAAATACGTGTACAAGTAATTGAAGGGCGGAGCGAAGATGTGCAGAGAAGGTACGTATATCCAGTCCTTGACCTAGAAGTTTCGTCGCTGATTGTTACACTGTGCAACGGAACGGAGAAGATAAAAAAAGTTGGCAGGATTACATGGAGAAGAAATCATGGAGACCAGACGTAGGGTGTGTGCATTGCCGTTTTCAAGCGAGCTCTGACCGATCATTGCTGAAAGGCAAGTCCAACTCGGATGAACGCACGCCCATCAAGCCAGGTCACCGTGAATACATGGAATGAAACCGAGAAAGACACCTGCCAACGTGAGTTGATTCTAATTCAATAAAGAGAAAAAAGAAGAAACTGATCGTCCTCGAACACTAGTATACCCACACGTCCATGCTATACTCTTACTCTTCTGGTCGTCCAACTACGCAGAACATACCAATCTCTCATCCTCGTCGCCTCCAGGGGATTTCCACCTAGCCGACTGATGGACCTGACTCGCCTTCGTAAGACTCATCATGCCCTTCGTACGGACCTGGTAAAAATATTCGGTGCACCTGATTGAAGGCAGTCGCCTGATCAACGGGGCTACCGTATGTTCTATCTTGTCTAAGCGAAGGGTCTGAAGTTGCGCGGACGCTCCTATGGCTGTGATAGGGTGTCGCGGTTTTCGGACCCTTCGGGTTGTTCTTGGTGGTGGTGGGTATTCGTCTCTTCGACCTTGGAGTGGGGTCGTCAACGCTGTCGTCGTCGTCGGTGCTCCTCCCTCTCTTCTGACCTCTCTGCTTCCCGGAGGGTGCGCTCGCACTCCCCACCAACGCCTGCTCCTCCACCTTCTCGCTCTCCTCCTCGACATCCAACGATATCAGCTCCCCTCCTACCAATGCTTGGCCCAACCCAGACTCGACGTCATTGGGATATAGAGCGGGCCCCCGACCAATGCCTCTACGCTTTATCCCGTTAGGGTACGCGAACCAGTTCCAAGCCTTGTTAGTCTGCTTCGGCTTTCGTTCTGACTTCGGCTTCGGCTCTGACTTGGGCCGTCGCTTGCGCTTTGGCTGCGTCTCCGGACGGGAAGTAGCGGGCTGTGGTTTCTTGCGTTCACGTCTCTTCGCCTGGGGTTTCGGCGGAGAGGGAGACGTGACGGTTGGAAGGGAAATGACGAAGGGGGACGCAGAATGAGATGGGGAAGAGCTCCAGGGGGACTCGGTATGCGTATAGGAGTGGGTCGCCGATGCAGAGGAAGTGGAGCGCATGGAGTCGTTACCATCGCTTCGTGTAGGAGAGGCACCGCTCTGCGCTGTGTAGTCATCGTAGTAGATCGCTTGGACGCTGGCGTTGACTGCGCTCTGGGGATCGTTCACAACGGCCTCGAGGTGTTGGACGGTATTGTATGTGGCGTGTTCGTGGGGGAAGGAACCTTCCAGAGGAGGGAGATAGTTGACGGGGCCGGTGTTGTTGTCTACGAAGAGTTGATTAGGTTGTGGCTGGTGGGGTGCGGCGTTGTAGGTGCCCTGCTGCGGGTAGACGGCGTATGCGTCCTGGTCCGTGAACCCCGTATGGAACTCAGTCGAGTTCGAGCCCGCGGGGGAGACCGAACCATTCTGCGTCTGGTACGAGGGGCTCCGGTCGCGCGTGGTATTTGCCAGGACGTATCGTCCAGCATCGTAGTCGGTTGCCGTCTCCGGGAAGTGGGTCTCATATGGGACCTGATGCATACATTGCGTCTGTCAGTATTTGTTTTCGAAATGGCGGACAGAGAGCTATCGGACGAACCTCTACCTGCCCGAAGCTTTCGTCCACAATGATGTTGTTGAACACGTTGGCGGTGTTCGGTTGGTACGTGTCGAAAACGCCATTCGTCTCGCCGGTGCTGGTGAATGTGGTCTGCCCCGCGTCGTCCGTATACGGAGAGACATCGAACCGCTGTAATTGCTCACGGTGAGTCAATGTTAAGGGGAAATAGCGATAGAATACGAACCTGCGTTGGCACAACTGGTGGCGGCGTCGCTTGAGCGCCGAGGGCCACGTTGGCTCTAGACATCTACAACCCCGCAGGAGGTTATGTTCGTCAGTGGGTATAGGTGCGTATCCTCGAATGTACTGACCTCGTTTCCCTCTTGCTGGTGTAAGTAAGGGTGTGGGTAATAGTATTGGGCCGAGTCCGCCACCCGGGGAGGATTGTTCCAACCGCCCGCCCTTTCCTTCCATCTGGCATATCCGTCTTGAACCCACTGGAAGAGAGTTCCTCGTCAGCTACCTACACACATAGGAGCGTCGAAGACTCAAATCACCTTGGGCACCACACTTCGAACGGCCGGGGCCGTGGACATGATCGTGTGAATCTCCTCCCATCTTGCCTTCAGAGCCAAATCCTGGATGAACTCAATGGATTGCTGCATAGAGGCGACAATGCTCAACGCAGAAGGCTGAGGGGAGACCGTTGTCGCGGCCGTGGGTAGGGTTGTGACGGGTGGCGCGGGCTCTGTACGGGGAGAAGGGGCGGTTGGGACTATACTAGGGCGTGGCGGAGACAAACGCGGCTGGTTGTAGGCGTCTTGGACATTGAGATCCTGCCGGAATGGAGGTAAGGCACCCTCAATTGTGTAAGGGTAAGCCCCATCGATGTTGTTGGGCAGGTTGACGACACTATTATTGTTGACCGCCCCGCCCTGGGTGGCGGGCTGAGGACTACGACGAAGGTCGTTCCTAGCATGTAGGACGGCGTCGAGGACGCGAGGCGCACTCGACCGGCCGTTATGGCCGTCGACATGGGGAACGGTGGTGGGAGGGCACCCTTGCGAGCCGGGGGCGATAGTTCGGGGGTCGAAGATGGGTGGCGCGCCTTGGCGACTGTCGTGTTAGAATGCGCCAATATTGACAATCATAAAGTCTGGAGTCTTACCATATGTTGGATACTCATATGCGCGGGGAGTCTTCCTTGCAAAGTTGGCCCTCGTATCATCGGGGAGCATCCGTGGACGCGACGCGAATTGTGGGAGAGACTGGTATTGTCCACGACCGTGGAGGCCAGGTGGCGCGTAAGAGGGCCACGCGGCTTGACGAATAATGCCGAGCGTGTTGTTAAGAACGGAGCTCATGGTGAGGTCTTTTGTTGTGCTATGAGGCTGGGATGATGCTGAATGAGTTGGGTGTAGACAAAGAAAAGAGGGGGTAACAAACAAGGGAGAGGAGGGCCGTTTATAGAAGAGGAAATCCAACTCGCGGCCACTTCACGGTGCAGTGGCTTACGCTATCAAGAAGCTTCGAATTCACCTGCCGGAGCCACAGCCTCGAGCGCAAGAAACACCGAAGAAGGTCAAAGCGCGTCCAAGCGCGTCCGCATCATGATATCCTCGTGTGGCGTGTGCAGACCTTCCTCCCGTTTTCCAGCATCCTCAGTCCTCGTTCCCTGGCGCCCGTGGCGAATATCGAATTCGCCTAACTAGCCTTCCATTCCTCCCTTGATCCAGATATCGACCGTTCCCGGTCACTCCTCACTTTCCACTATGCCCTGACGCGTATGTAGCGTTCCGACCTGTCCCCGGTGGGGCTACGGATAGCCTAGCATCATTCTTTCACAGTATTTGCCCCATTTACTCTGAACGCGATGTTGTCAACATTCCCAAAACCCAAAGCTCATGCTGTCTGGGCTCCACGGCGGTGGCCCCCTGCAGTGATACGCACATACGGGAAAGCTGTGTCCCTCGTAGTCGAGGAGCTTCGAGGAGACTGTAAGGTGGCACCTTTGCTTTGTCCCCAATTTGGTCATGCAAGTACAGGAGCATCGCGTGTTTCTCGAGGCCCTGGCTTGCCGGCCTCGATTTTGATGCGTGCGACTGCCGGACGAACTGTGTGGTATGCAGCATGCGGCACGGTTCCTAATAGCCTCGAGGTTTACGATGTCGAGCTCGAGCTCGTATAGTCTGCCTCGAGGCGCACAGAGCGATGTTGGAGCGATGTCAACATTTCCTCAGCGCCTTTCCTCTGTACGAAGTTCGGACTTACTTCAAGGTTCTGACCTAGGTGCCGTAGATCCCCGATTATGGCAGTACGTAGTATGTACTGAGAGAAATGAACACCGTGTTCTAAGAATGTAGGTGGGTAGCGCTTTCGTGGAATATTGCGCAGATTAAGCCCTTAGACTATAGTATAGCCCGCTCGCCCATTGGACTTCATAACATTCGGGCTCGAGTTAACACGAATGCGAACAGATACGTTGGTAATGCTTCGAAAGTAGCCTATCAAGTTTTGATCAACTGTGCTTCTGCCGGAAGGGATACAGAGTCTGAGGCCACACACCTCCACGGGTGGCGTTCCCCAAACAGCTGGTTTTCGTTGGATATCGATGTTCCTGAAGAGAAGGTGAAAATTACTTACCTTGCTTACAAGGTCCTTCGCACCGCCGTAATTATGACGTCGGGCTCCCGTTTCAACAAGTACAAACAGCTTACGTACATCTTTTGTCTCGTGCCCCTGTCCGTTTGGCCTCTCCTTGCTCAGAAACTAACCATCGAACGCGTGTTTTTCTTCTGTCCGACTCTCTTTATTATAAACACCTTTCCTGATGGTCAGCATACAACACTGTTGCTGGTTGATCTACCTCGTGCTGCTCTTGACGCCGCTATGTTCACTTTGCGTTTTGCAGGGCACCAAATACTTCACTCGTACCACATCATCGCTCGCACTCCCTTGCCTCACCCCGTCGCGGCTACAACACTGGTCATCACATTGCCCACCACTGCTTTCTGCTCCTGTTCAACTCCTGCAACCGATCATCTTTGTCTGGAACTGGTGCTGCGTGTGCTTGCAGAAATAGGTCGTCGTCGAAGTCTCTCAGAAAACGAACTGTGGCCCTTCCTGTGCTCCTCGATAGTGCGAGTCGGAGCGACATAGAGATTGAACAACGATAGCCCGCATCTCGGAGGAGTTCGGATGTCCACTGTGACATAGAGAATGGTTTGCCTCTGTGCTCAGTGGTCTGTGAAGGCGTACACAGCGGTCATCGGAAACTGTCGCCGCACCACCCTTCTCATGCGCCACCCTCCTCGTCTGTATCTTACGATCGACCCGTGTACGTCCCTCGAACGTTCGTGACAGAGGCTCGATCGGCAGCATGTGCCGTTCTTGGTATGTACCGCTCGTGGTCTTCTTCATACCGCCATGACATTGATACTGGACATATCAAAGGAGTCTGTTTGTACGGGAAGGTAGGGATGATGGGTGTTCTCGTCCCTCCCGCTCCTCGAGGAGTCGCCGAGGAAGAGGCTCCTAAGGAAAGACGACGATCCATTCCCTCCTCTCAAGGCCGCACACGTAGCTTAGGTCGGTTTGGGATGTGCGTCGATGAGTTGTTTTTGGTTGTTGCTCAGGATATGGTTTGCCTCCGTTCGATGTCAATCAGACCGGTTGTTCTTTATCAGGAATTTCGAGTTGTCCAGCCGCGGAGAGTTTTCATGGGTCCTTATATTAATGCTACATATATATATGTATTGTATTATGACGGTCTGCCTGTTCTTTTCCTGGTGTGTTTCTGGCATTTGAGGAGATGGAACACATTCGTTTGCTTGGGCCTCTTCATAAAACAAGACAGCGCGTTACCACACATGCACCAAGATGCCCGAGCGCCGCTCAAACGAAACATGGATTATGAACTGCCTGGTAAAAATAGAAATCGTGCCACCCTCCCCTCCAAGCGAGGTTGCTGCAGACGAAGTCTGCGCTCCCCCAGTGTTCCATCACGCTCTAGAATGAATGATCATGAAGCTTGGTCCTGAGGTCGTTGATTATTTTGGGGTCGGAAAGGCCAGGAATTCTGATGGTCGATGTTCCCAGACTCCTTCAGCAGTGCAACCGTCATCGTCAAACCCGGCAGTAGGCACCTAACCCCAGTGCAAGGTTCAAATGAGCCCAGTTGGAGGCTTGCAGAGGCTTGCACAGCTTGACCTGAGCGCTGAGCTGTATGCGGATATCTGGAAAATTCGTTTTACCCAGAGGCTCTATGCCCTCCTTCTGGCGTCTCGAATCCTGGTGTCTACTCTTGAAAGCATCTATACCGGTGGTTTCCTCATTATTTGGACTTGGCCACTCCCATGATGTACTCAATTAAAAGGAAAGACTCGGAGGTGCGTATTTTCGTCGATACTACGACTCGATTCAATGCTGATAAGTCGCGTCTCTCGTTTTACTATTAATGACCAACACTTAGTGATGTAACTATCTTACGAAGCCTGATGAGGCAGAGCCATCGGCCAAAGAAATACGGACATGGGTGAAACACAAAGGAAGCCGGGGCGAATGCACATCAGATGAACGTGTGTTCGTCTCTTCCCTCTCCTCCTCTCGATCATACATCTTCGTCATGTAAATACGGGCGCATAACGTGGGCTTGAGGATACGGGCGTATGAAAACGAGCAGCTACCGAGCGGTACGTGGATTCGGTCATCGTCGCAGGCGCGCCATCGCTCATGTTCATGCCATCAGATCACGGGAGCAAGGCAGCATGTAGGAGCGACAGTCAAGTTACCATCAATGGGAAGTTGTGCCAAAGATTTGCATGCAACGACGATCCATGAAAACCTACCTACTCGCCGCCGTGGTAATGGACTGTTTTCCTCAAGACGAGCACGTGTCCACAAAGGGGTCGCCGAGAAACGCGAGAGAACGAATGACAATGGTTTTGCGGTGAGTGAAACCTTTCATTACGGACGTGAAAAAGAACATAAAAAGAACCTCCCCTATAGATACACTCATATCCTCCATTATATGCTCAGTCCTCCTTCGCCGCCACATCGACTATCCCGTTCCTCCCTACCCATCCTCCTCATCTATCTTCCCATCTCGTCCGCAAAGACTCGATTCGTCTCTATGAGACTAGTCACGTCTTTCGTGCGCACCAGAGGAGAATATCCGGTGCTCTATGCTTAGGACAATTGCCCATCAGATAGCGCATCCGGATGTTTCTAAAGGTTGTGTTCAAAGGCCTGAGTTCTCATAGGCGTCGCAATCGATTGGTGGATCGTTACAGTGCTCGGTCCTTCTTGATTGCTGTTACCGATGGCGTTCGGCGTCGAGGGCTGGGTTGCGTTCCTAAGGACACGGTGCAAAGAGGGCACGCCAACGAGCAGGCTGAGGATGTCGTTGTCAGCGACGCCACCCACGCCAAATAACAAGCCCCGTTGGGTATATTACGTGGGGTCAATGCCACTTCCGTCGCGTACTCGTGTCGTATCTCTGCACTCATCATGGATCCCCACAAGTCTTCCGGAGACCCATCGGAGACCTGCGTATGAAGACTCTGGCTAGTGCCGGCGAGCGCCTGAGACGTTCCGGAGTACCTGGAGAAATGGGCGTCGTAGGGGGGGCTCGCGTATTCCTGGACAATCAAAGTCAATTCTTCCGCCGTTATATGAACGAATCATATTGAACCTTACCCCTTGTCCGAATGCCGCATTATACAGCCGAGTAGCCGTAGGAAACTCATGGTAACCGGTCAAATTTATACGCAGTTGTTTCTCTTGATCTGTTCTTTCAGTCATATGAATTTTCGAGAACGTCGCTTTCTACGATGTAAAGATGTTCGCTCAACACGCGCAGCACCGAAGGCTTTGTTCTCCGTATTCGGATGCCTTACACTTCAAAGTCAACATGGCCCACAGGCTATCCTCATTTTCGTCCAAATCTGTCGACGAAAACTAACTCTTCTGATGACCCTCTCCTACTTTGTTATCTGCGCAAACGCCACGCCACTTCGCTCCGCTGGTTTTCCTTTGCCTCACACAGGCTTGGGCATTGAGATGGCTTGCAATGCCTGTGGTCTTGCAGAAAACGATATAGCCTCTCTACATGCGGCGACTGCTCTTGTTTTTTTATGGCTGCCTTGCCTAGAAAGATCGCGGACTGTTCCACTTGATAAACACAGGCGTTTGCCTGACTTTGATCAGATGGATGCGTCAATGATCGTGCCTCCAAGAAAGTTAGTAATCCTGTTTAGGCTTTTGGACTGGTCACACTTGGACATTTGGTCTGTATTCCCGGTATACAGTGTCCGTACGAGGCACTCGAATAACGCTGATCCATGGGTCTCTTGACCAATCAGAGTTTGCGTGGCGTCCCCTGCGCCCTTCGTGAGAGTCCCCATCGTCGCATATATAACCAAGCCCCAAGGTCAGCGAGGTTATTGGAGCTGGTTGGTTACAACGATTCATTTGGCCTCCGACGTATACGCCTACCTATCCTTCTAATCTTCACTTTATACATCATTGGCTTCTGGCATGAAGGACCTCCCCTACGATTTACTCGTGGAGATTGCTAAGCATCTCCGTCCTCCGAACAAAATACAGAACTCAGAGCTCAGTTCTCTGTCTGCTATCAGCACTCACTTCCATGAAGTGTTTCATCCCATACTCTACCGTCACATCCGGGTCGACTGCCATACATACGACGATTTAGACGACCCTTCCAGTCACAGCACGCGCTTAAAGCAACTGTGCTATGCCCTCGACAATCCGATGAACGCATGCGTGGTAGAAAGTCTGGAACTTTTAAGGCTCTGGTGAGTCTTTCGTTGTATTTCACACTAGCTCAACACCAGCCTGTGTGTTGTGTTGTCAACGTTGTGGTGGAATGCATCGTGGGATGATCTCATGAATAATTCCACAGCGATGATGTAGTTGATGATTGTATCTCTGATCTTCAACGCGTCCAAGCTCACCTTAAAAATGTGGAGGTCCTCCGTCTCGACCATATACTATGCTGTAGGCGCACCTGGAGCTCGCCTTCAGATCTCATGAAGTCCTTTCATCTCCCAAAACTTTCGACTTTCATCATCCGCGCCGAACGCCTCGAATCATCGCATACCAACGAGTTCGTCTTGCAGCATCCGCACCTAACCACCATCGACATCTGGATGGAAGAAGAGGAGATTGAAACGTTTTCCTGGGATCATGATGTACCACGAGTTAGCCCAGCGGAAGACGATGATTATCCCCTGGCTAACAACACTCCACCGCCCATTACCCCACTGCCACTCACCACTCTCAAACTCAAAAAAGTCGCTGCTCATGCGCAGTTCTTTGAACGACTCCCTGCCACCTGTGTCATCGAGAAGGCCTCTGTCGTGCTCCATGATACGGCGTATCACTTCCTGAGCATGTCGGACGACTTTCCCGCAATCTCCGCGATCGACAGAGCACCTCAGACCGTCCGTTCGGCTATCGATGAAGTACACACACACTTCGAACCCGCTTGGATGAGGTGTATCGCACGAACACTACCCACTATATCCGTCCTTGATTTATGGAGCCCTAAATACTTCAAGGACAATACACCGGCATCCGAAGCAGGAAACGTACGTACTATGCACACAATTCTACAGTATGCCATCGTCGTAGCACTCTGATGTTGCCTCTCATCACACTTATCTGCCCTCCACGATTTCAGGTTTATATCAAAGAAATCATTCCCTTGCTTTCCTTGTTCTCCAGCATCTCACACTTTGCTTGGAATTCCTGTGGCCGGGTTCCAGAAGAGACTAAACCCGAAAATGTCCTCGCTGTAAGGGCTTTTGGAGAGGCAGCACCGACACTTCGATACGTCACACTATGTACGCTCCTCTTCCCTACGTCTCGCTTGCCTCCAGAATATTCAGGATCATCTAACATTCATCCCTTGGTGCTGACATACTTCTGTAAATTCAGATGAGAGAACCTGGACTCGAACGAGCCCTTCCGCGATGTGGCAAATGTTAGACCATTCAAATCGTTGGTTGCCGCTGCCGGACGTCTTCCACCCACCGATAAGAGACACTTATGCAGACGATTACGATGAGTATCGGGAGACGGGCGCAGATTTCGACAGTATTGGTTCTGAATAAGAGGAGAAAATGTTTGTCTGACGTCTCGAGTCGTAGACCTGTTACTTAATACCTCTCGCTCTTGATGCTTGGTCTGTGTCCTGTACTGGTCCCGTACGCTGCATATCGGCCAGAATAGCGACTCGTGTTAGCGCACCACTACTTTACCTTCGGGCGCCCCCTGTACACCGTTGTAGTGAAAGCACAAAACTTGATCACCGTTCTACTTTTTCCATCTATGCGTAGTCTGCGAACGTTATTTGAGAGCAATGCTAGCTTAGGGTGGCGAACGGAGGCTCGTCAAGTTCATCTTGAACCGATATGTGACCCGCCGTGATTCCTGTCATCTGCTGTATAAAAATCTAGGGGGCCCGCTGGACAGCTACTTCTAACCGAATATTTTGTGTGATGTCTTCTGAGTACAGAACCAGACGGGCAAAGAGATGGGACGGGGGATCAAAAAAAATTTCGCTGATCCTATTCATGCTTATATCCCTCGAGCCAGGATCGAACTAGCGACCTCAAGATGTTTTTTTCGGATTTCCAATTACAGTCTTGCGCTCTCCCAATTGAGCTATCGAGGGATGTTTTGACTGCCAAAGTATCCGTATGCATTAAGCATTCTTCAGGACGACACGATGTGTACTATGCGAGCTGCCGAGCCCTAGATATAGCATCTCGATTCTCGAACCACCAACGCAGTCACAGGAATGGAGGTCGACCTATCCGAGAAGGTGCCGCAGTGGAAACACATACTAGAGATCGTAACGAGCGTGGGCGCACCGTATTTGCTGAGGAAAGCCATGTTGTTACGCCTCACTCTATTGAACTTGAACGAACATGTGAGAACGCCGTCGCACGCGGTATCACCAAAACGATATCTATGATGAACGATGGAATGAAGAAAAAAAGTACAACACGATGATCTAAGTAACCAGGGACATAGAACCATCCGAAAAGGAAAAGAAAAAAAAATCCACAAAACAAATCGAAACGATAACTTAGTGTGAGAGAAAGAAGACTCATGGTCCGACCAGAATTGAGACACGATAGAAAGGATTAGCGGTGTAAGAATAGGATGGTCAAGATGAGGATGATGAGGAAGAAGAACCAAGATGAAAATATGAACGACGTCGACCTCCCGTTCAAATTAGGCTGTGGGTGAATATGTGCACCCCAATCACTCCATCACCTCCGTGATACTCCCATTCGCAGTCCCCAACACCTCTTCCCCCTTCTCTTTCACCCTCTCCGCCCTCTTACTTCCACTGTCACCCTCACGTGGCCTAAAGCTCCAAATCTCCACAACCGTCTTCCCCGCCCGCTTACACATAACCGCACACACCTCCCTCCTAAACACAACCTTCCAAACGCTCTCACTAACCTCGCTCATCTCCCTCACGTAGTTCCCAGTCTCTACCTCAAACAGCCTCACCCGGCCGTCATTCCCACCCGTCACCAGCCACCCGAAATCTGCGTCAAATTGGAGCGCAGTGACAGACGAATCATGTGCGGCGATGCGGTTTCGGACGGTGAAGTCGGAGAGGGCGAAGGTGATGACGCGGCCGTCAGCACCACCGGTGACGAGGAGGGAGGCAGAGAGCTGGAGTTGGCAGACGAGGGCAGTGTGGCCCTGGAGAAGGGTAAGACATTGTCCGGTACGGGCGTCCCAGACGCGGACGGTGGTGTCGAGGCCACCGCTGGCGACGCGTTCGCCGTCGAAAGCCACGGAATAGATCTGGTGGAAGTGACCTGTGAAGACGTGGATACATTCGCCGGTGTCGACATCCCATAACTATGACAAGCATGACGGTCAGCAAAATCTCTATGGAGAAGACGAGGAACACAGACGAACCCGACAAGTGCAGTCGTAGCTCCCGCTGACAACCTTGTTGCCACAGACATCCAGAGCCCTTACGCTCTGCGTATGACCCTGTAGCGTCCGGATCATCTTACCCTTCTGGACGTCCCACACCCTTAGTGTCGAGTCTCGGGAGCCAGTCACTGCGATCGGCCGATTATGCAGCACCTTCAAACAGCGAACCGTCGAGGTATGGCCCTGCAGGACATAGATACAGTGCCTATATCATTCGTCAGCAAACCCCGTCTGCACGAAAAAGAGTAGAGATACGAACCCAGACTTGAGATCCCACACCCTAACCATCTTATCGCACCCCCCGCTGACGACCAACGCATTCGGCTGTCCCCACCCCTCACTCGATCCACAAACATCATCCTGCTTCCTCCTCGCCTCCGCCGCCGCATCCATCTTACCCAGATACCTCCTCGGCGCGTCCAGACCCAAAGCTGCTCTCAAACTCGGGGGCAACAATCCATCCAGACCTTGCGGATTGACGACGTTCGTTCCCGCAGGAGTCCTATTATGCCTCAAGAGATGGTCCAACCCTGGGCCTGAACCCTCCTGCGCGTCTGTCCGACTCCTTCCACCGCCACTCGTACTGCCCAACCCTGGGCCCCTCCTCTCCGTCTTCTTCTCGCTCACATCATCACTCGGAGAAGAGTCTCTCGACCACCCACCGCCCGCACTGACCAAATTGACAGCCCAAACGCCCAGTTCATGGCCCACGAGGGTGCGCACGAGCACCCCCGTATGTGCTGAGAAGACGTGAATGCGGGCGTTGGCGAGACCGGCGACGATCCAGTCTGTGTCGAGGGCCACGGAGGTGACGACGCCGTGGTCGGGGTCGACGATGGGGACGCGGTGCGTGCGGAGGAGGCGGCCGCCGCGGCGCCAGTTAGTTACTAGTGAAGTCGGAGAATAGTGGTCAGTCGATTGAGAAAACCCCGTGTGAGGCTATAGAAAGAAAAATACGGGGAGAAGCTTGAGTATTTCAATGTTTCAAGCCCAGCGACTACTAGAGTGATGACCGGGCCATGAGACACATGCCGACCACAGGTGTGGCGCCACTCTGCTGCCACACAACGACAACAATAGGCATCATAGCCAGCGTGGCGATGTGAGATCTGATTTCTGCAGATTTCGTGACAAAAAAGTTACCGAGAAACCAGGACGCCCATGGTTATAAAACTCGGTTGGCTTTGGAACGACTCCGCAATAGGGCGAGCAGGTGTCATCGCAAAGCGGCGGCGAGAGCTCGGAAGTGACGAAGTGTGGGTTCCCTCGAGGCCTCTGGCTAGATACATCGAAGGTTCTTCATGTTTCAAACAATAGTCGACTTCCGTCATAGCGGCACACGCGCAACACAGATACGCGTATCCATAGCGTCCCTTCCCACTCTGAAGGCGCATAGACCATGATTCATGATGGCGAGCACAAGCAAAGCAACAGTTGAAGTCATATAATGAGGACAACGACGTACCTGTCGCGAAAGAATACTTGAATAGGCTGTGGTAGGATGGATGGCCCTCTGGCCGCCGATTGTGTCTCGAGGTCCAAGTCGAGCCGCTCTGAGCGGCCAATTGTTGGAACTCTTCCTCATCTTCTTCTTCGTCCCTCGACATCTCACTCTTCTCATCCACATCCATCACTGATTCGACTTCGCCGACGTACCGATGGAGGCAGCACATTCTCCGCCACAGAGATTCGTCCTTCAGTAGACCACACCAGTAGCGGCTAACTTGACCCGCCCGGGCGAGCGTCTTCGGCTCATCGACGAACCTCAGAACATGAAGCGCAAGTTCGGCCGGAAGCTCCTTCAAGAAATCCCTCTTGAGCAGCGGTGCAATAGTGGTAGAAATGAAAAGGAGCTCGGAGGGGTTGCAGTCTGCGAGAAGCGCAGCTAAATATTGCCGACGAAGTGAGGGTCCGAGAGCGGATAGCGAGGCAAATTCCCGACGAGACAGTTGAAAAGGGTCATTAATGTCAAGAAATGTCAACGAAGACGATGTGCCGTGACTCTGTGGGCGGGGCGATGGGGCGGGTGTTGGTGGGGATAGGACAGGCATGTACAGTGTCGAGGCGTCCGACGGGGCCGCCATCGACGGTGGGTCCATCGGAGTCGGAGTCAGAAGTTGTCTTGAAGACGTTGGTGATGATGGCGAGAATGCCATGGTAGATATAGATGAGGGTTGCTCGCTGTGTGCGTCGACGACGGGACGACCGTGTTGAACGTCTCTGGCAAGAGAGCGTAAGCAGCCCGATGAGCGCTTGTTCCGCCGTGCTGTTTAACGTATCGTGGGAAAGTAAGGTTGCACGAGCCAAGCCTTTGGTTCTGTCACGGTTCGCCTCAACCTCAACCTCAACCTCAACTCGTTCCCCTCCATGATAGATAATTTGGGTGATATGAGCTTTGATTTTACTTCTGTGTCATAAAAAAGCGTACTGCACCATGCAATATCCATAGGCGACTCTAGGAAGGCAAAGTGCAAGTCTGCTCAGCCTCCACTTCCTCCCACTTTGGCCGTCTCTTCCTACGTTTCCTTGTATCTGAACATCCAGTGTTTATCTGATGGGGAGGATATGTGGTCTGATAATTTAGCTTCTGATTCTTTTCTTTTACTTATTGTCTCGGCGTCCGTCCTCGTGCTTTGCCTTCATCGGGCTGTCTGGTCTACTTGGTCGCTGAGGCACTCTGTCAAACGGCAGTACCACCAGTCCATGCTGCAGAAGATTTCCTGGTCCAAATTCTGAACATTTCTCTGATGGACGTGGACATTATGGATACGGAGTCGACATGGATACGACACGTGCATCACGAAGACAGCGTGTGGGATCAGTCAGGGTCTTCACAAAGCGACGGCCATATCGAGTCGAATCGGATGAGTAAGTGCCAACACGTTGCCATCCGTCGCATTTCCCATAAAATCAACAACACTCTCTAGCTCAGACCCCCGCCTTCTCTGCTCCTCCCTTCACCTCCGTTGTCCTCAGTGCGTCCTGACTGCTTCCGCACTTATATCCTGCCCAATATAAACTTCTTTTCTGTGAGTAGATAACGGCGAGGCCATATTACATCAACAGTCGACAGCGGCCCTCCTTACCATTCTCCATGACCAGCGATAACCCCAACCAACCCTCCCGGAGTGGCCGAAGCACCGGCCACCGCGTCACCCCAGTCCACAAACCACATTCCTACCCTCCCCGCAACACCACCACCAACGATACGAACCATACTCGCGATCGATCCTTCGTCGCGGCATCGTCAATTACCACTACCACCGCATCGCAGCGCACTTTCCAGGACTACTACGCCCCGACCCGCGAATCCGAAACGCCCTCCGAAACAGCCCACCGCGTCTCCCGAAACTTCCTCTTCCTCCCAGAAAATCAGCGTCCCAGAACCGACGAAGAAGCAGCGGCGTTATTGAGAAGGTGTGGGCCCACGTCGATGACGACTGGGCCTTTGAGTTTTGGTGATTTTTGGCAGTCGGTCGTTGCGCATCCGGGATCGGGAGGTGGAGAGGAATATGCGCCGACGGGGGCGCAGATGATTTCGTTGTGGATCGGTTCTTGTTTGGGGCTCTTGGAACGAGCGGAGTGAGGCGACATGGATGTGGGTAAGATGGAACTAGGGTCCAGTTTGGCTTGGGATTGTGTTGGTTGAAGAATGATGTGGCGGGGTCTGTGATCGGTATTATCTTCTCTTGGAATTGTACGAGTTGTCGTTACGGTTAGTGTGGACGTGGTTCGATGGGGCCGATAGAGTTGACCTCTACTGCTCGCCCGACGTCTGAGAACACACCGTTGTTTCCTCTCGATTTCTTTTCTATCAGTTCTCCACCAGTTACTTACGATGCTCTGTTGGTACTAAGTCATTGCATGTGGCGAGGTCAATTCAATTTTCGAGCATTGAATCTACCACACAGGTATCTCCAATAACGACGATGCTCATCTTGACGGCGACGAGGTCCGAAACATAACCACGACCAACTCCTTGTGGGCCAATAGTTGATCCATACGGAAATGCCCGACTTTTCACTTCGCCTTTCTTTGAACGTTCATGTTGACAATAAAAACGATGAATGAAGCTAAGGCTACCTTTCGTCCTTGATCTGTCTCTTGTGATTCCAAATCGGTCAACAAAGAGTGTTGCTTTGAAAGGAGGTTTTGAGGTTCGGATCCATTATCATTCTTGCTTTGAGTTCCCATGGATCGTACCCATGCCTGTATTTGCATCGAGGTCCGTACTTGGTCCGAGCAATGCGGCCTTTGTTATCGCATTTCGAGTACACCAAACCATCGAGACTATTCAAGAATAAAATAGGGAGATAAAAGCAACCTCAGAGCAGGAGAAGTATAAGACTTCGACGTCCATCGACAGTTTATACAGTACCTCCCATTCCTCCTGTGTCATATTGACTACCTCCTCCATATATACTGCCCATAAACTACTCTGCCGACGTCTCATCACTTGTAGATCGCTCTAATCGAATATGTACTTCGACTATTCTCCTGGCTCTCCCTGCATTCACCGCTGGTCTGGGAATACCTGTAGTCTTATTACTGACCTTCTGTTAGGCCTTCCGAGTCCCCCATCATGTAGGTGACACGTTCTACCTCACGGGCCCAGGACTATAAGTACGCTAATCACAAATATGGGGACAATGCTAACACGCTTCCTTTGCAGACGCCGCTTCTCTAGAGCTTCAGATTGCCCGAGGCGTACTGCGCAATCAGTGGGTGCAAGCGTTACTTCTGTTCAATGCCACCCAGCCCAAGTGAACGAGCTCGGGATGTGCTATTGTCGGAAGTGTATGCACCTGTCTCCTACGGCACCCACCAGCAAGACACGGCTGCCACCATCGAGACGTCGGAACCCATTCCAAGAGGGTTCCCCCCGTCGTTGAGGTTTTCTGCGACCTTTACTTGGCCCTGGACCGTACATTTCGTCAGTTGCTCCCGGTAATAACAACTGGAGCATTGGACAATGACTAACTTTGCCAACTTTGCCTATTGTCTCCGACCAACACTGACACATCCAGTCGCGAAAGTACAGCTGACATCAAGCGCCCAACTGGCCATCAAAGAGAGGTGCATACCATTCACGTTCATCCATTCCCCTGCCTATTACTTCGTCTACCTAGCTATCCATCCTGACACTTTCTTCTCTTCCAGTCTAGGGCCACTGGACGGTCCATAAGAGAGTAGTGGAGGGGCGTGGGAGGCGCACAGGATGTGCCGCTGGCCGTGGCGCCGAAGGTCTGTCATTCTTATCTTAGAACACAGAGTGTCAGAGAACTGAGCAGCAGAGATAACCGACGCCTTCATTTTCCCTTAGAAGACTCGATGAAGGACAAGCGACGGTTTTACATATTTCTAAAAATCTGCGAACAGTACGTCTCCCGCCACATCCTACCATGCACTATAAGGGACTAACAATGTGGGCATTGATTGCTCGTCTTGAACCAGAGCGCTCCCAGAGTTCCGACCAATATAGAGTATCTACATTGCACGACTTATTAGGGTCGGAGAGTCCTGCACCAGGCGGCCCACGCCGTTCCTCCACTACAACAGATGCTGACCTGAGACAGCCAACCACCAGCTGGGAGACAATGGGGACGAATCGTTCGCAGGACACGATTCGTCTACGACCGCGGACGTGTACGGCTTGACCCCGATCCTCTCCACGGAGGGACACAGTAACATACCTGCCAGAAAGGACACGATCCCTCCCTCGACGGCCGTCTCTCCAACTCCTCCTGGAACTCGAATGCCGACGACTAAGTTCACTTTCGTCAAGAAACTTCCGCTGGGTTCTTCAACGAGGTCACTCAGAAACCGAACGCCTTTCCGGACACCGCCATAGCACCCCTCCCACACGCTCCAGCCCTGCCGACCCCAGACAACCCACTCATCGACCCCACTCCCCATTCCATCGACCCCACTTCTCTTGCATCCTCATTTCATACAGGTATTGGAGGCCAATAGGAGGAAGCGAGAAGAGTTCTTTCAGTGGCGCCGTGAATTGGAAGAGAAGATTCGTTCGATGACCCAGGGTACCACACCACCGACTTCGACTAGCTCCGAAAGAAATACAAGCACGTCCACGGATTACAGCGTCCAAATATCCTTTCGGTCTGGGAGACAGAGCACCAACGGCCTCTTCCTCGACAGAAATGGTTCAACAACTCCGTTCGATAGTCCACCAGCTCCACGAACGGAGACTTCAAAAATACCACGCAGCACCAACAGCTGCCTAGCTCTCATCCTACCCAGACCGCAAACTCGGCCTTTGATCCTCTCGCGCCTTACACTCCACATGCCATGCCGTAGCCTGCGAACCTTGCAAGCACGGAGGAGCCTCCACAAAACCCCGCGCCAAGTTCCCCATACCCTCTGGCGATCCAAACATGGACAGGGGTACATTTCATCCCTTCATCGACGAATATACTAGGGATGTCCGTCTTTGTCGAACAGGCGCACTTCATCCTCACGCCCGAGATGGAGAGGTTGACAGACTTGGAACTCAGCGACGAACCTCAACAGATGATCGATGCCAGACGCAGGGCATAGTCTACGTCTACATCGTCGAAGAGGAAGAAGGTTTTTCGAAGGGTGAGGAGCGAGACAGAAGAAACGAACTACAGAAGTATTGGACCAAAGACGCAGACGAAGACGTCAGAAACACGAGGAGGAGTGACGGTTCAGGGGGATGCGGCCGCTCCGGCAGAACACCAACCAGAGCCTGAACTCCAACACGATTACCAAGGTGAAGGTATAGCAGCTCCGACTGAGGGCGATAGCCATTAGCAGAAGCTCGCTGACCAGTTTCACCCGGTCATCGTGAAGGGTGACGTGCTCCGAGAAGGGGGACGTCGATCCTGGGGCTGTGTGAAAATTCTGGAGAGGGTGGGGCGACGTAGAGCAGGAGTGGAGATGACTAGAGCGAACGAGGGGCGACGGGCGATTAGAGGGAGAGTTCGCGTCGGGTGGCGGATGTGGCCCACGTTCACTGCGTCATTGCTGAGAATCGGATAAGGTCTATTGAAAACTATCGTTTGCATACTAGGAGCGTCTTCATTTTGGTCAATGTATACTATGCGTTCCCATTGGGGCATACTGAGACAAAAATCTCACCGCCGCACCGACCGTTTAGAAGCGCGGCTATCATGGAATCCAAACTTGGTTTGTTTGAGTTCGAAGCGTGTCTCATGAATAGCGATACGTGGCCGATCCGGGCTACCCCATGAACACTGATACAGTAGCTGTAGTCCTCGGCAGATTTCATCACGTATGAAGCGAGCTGTCATGGTAGTGTTTCGATGACATCAGGATGATCCTTATGACTGCCTGGGTCGCAGCTCTACATATGCATGCTTCGAGAAACAGCGACACAGCACAGTTCTACGACCTATAGTGTTTGTCACTGACCATACACAGTCATGCTGTCTGATGTCTGATGAACCATATACAACGTCGGAGTCGAAGGCCCAAAAGAGAAGGGGCACTGTTTAGGTCGGCACACAGCCTGACCATCCACGAAAGAAGCCGACTGTAATATATAAGGGTAGGGGTTTCCTACTCTGAGACGTGCCCGGCACATCGTTTATAGAAGACGCTTCTACTGAAACGCCATACCTAGCAACTTATGCCTATGAGGCTCGATGGAAACAGCAGAGTCCAAGATTGTGTTCCGTCTCGCGCACCTCGTCCCTTGATTCCGACTGGTATCGATCCCCGTTCCGCTCTTATCAATGAATGCCAAAAAGATTACGGAGTCGTCCCTCTCCGTCGTGATGACTGGGTCGACCGACGTGACCTGCTTCAACCATCAGACTCAGCGGAGATAACGGCGAGTTACATATCATGCAACTGGTAGCGCAAGCATGACTGCTAATGCGTTTTGAAATCATTTGCGATTTGCAGCTCGGTGAACTCGACACCCCCCTCAGCGACAACGAGCGCTTGGCGAATAAATTATCATTGGTCAGCTGGGTTCCGGAGTGTGCCCCAGATAAATGAGCCCTTGGCCGTTAGAGTTCTCCGTTATCCGTCATACAGACTACGCTTGGTCGGTACATCCAATACCAGGCAGATCAGCAGAACTCAACTTTCAACGCATCCAACGCTATAGAAGTTGGTGGCGAGGCCAGTCACTCCACCGTTCTGACCGCGACTACCGATGAATATTGTATCAAACGAGTCAGTCGAGTGATCTTTCTCATCGACCCACTCAGACGTTGATGAAGCTTTCTGCGTGACACTTTACCACAGCAGAATTTCGTCCACAGCCCATTCAGCATGCCGACGTATGATATCGACCGAGTCAGTCAGTCTCTCTGTCTCATTGATCAGAGATTCGAATGCTGACATGTCACTGAAACCGTGCAGGCATCGGGGTGGTGTGACACACAGTTGCCTTCCGATGTCAAACATGACACAGCTGCCCACAATGTGTTCAACCCCATAGTCAAGACCTCCAGACGTAACCCCCGTTGTGGCGAATACGCGAGCGACAGTCCTGTCGGCCCGTCGGTGTGCCCCACGGGCATTACCTGGCTTCCCCTCCTCGAATTCTCTTCATCTGGATCACAACCTACGCCAAGTACGAGGGACTGGGAGTTTATTCCATGGAAGCCACAGAGGAATACACGTCGTTCTCGAGGCCGGAATCGGAAAGGTTATCCGGGGCAATTCAAAGAGATGCCGACTGATATCGGGGTGGGGTTCGGTCCCAAGAGAAGTAAACAAGAGAAATATCTCAAATGCGGCTTTCCGACGAAGATCGAAACTGTACTCAACACTGCGACGGTCTCGAAGGTTGAGGAAGGTCGTGACTCCTTGTCTCAGCACAGGAGACGCTCTGCGGGGTTCCCAGACCCTAACAAGGAAGCGTATGGAAGGAGCAGAAATGTGGGCGAGGATAGCGTATTCTCGTCCACGGCTGACTGCACGATACCAGCCACTTCTTGCCAGGGTTCTGCTTCATCCTCACAAGAGCGCGTCTGGTAGAAGCTGGTAGAAGACGAGCGCAGTCGACATTGATGAAGGAAAGGTGAGTGTGCTCTGAGCTGCACAGAGGGATCGATGGACGTAGGAAAACGCAGGACGAAAGGTAGCGACACAATGATGAAGTCGAGTGGACTTGGTGCTTTACATCTACATGATCTGGTTTTCGGACGGTGGATTCCAATGGACAGCCATCTATTTTAAGGATTGAAGATTGCCACGTACCTTACACGTACCTACTCTGACGCCCTGTCCGAAGAAGATCCAATTTCTTTTTCTGTTGATCGATATTTGGACTCCAGTGAAGGTAATTGGTCCAGCGATGTGTTTCCTAGTAAGAAAAAATACACGCGCATCATGAGTCCTAGAACCTCTTGAGACTAAGATGGAAAATACTGTGTATCTGCAATTGTGTGTGAAAAATACGGAGGCCACAAGGAGGCCATGTTGTTCATCACATTTCGCTGTTTGGGAGGCAAAATCCGCGTTGCATTGGTCACTGGCAAGCTAATCCTCGTCACTTTTGTCAAGGAAACATTTCAGAATGCTGGCGGAGGCAGTCTTCTCAGGAAAGGATGAGAGTCAACAAGTCATGGAAACTGACGACTGCCTCACTCTATCACTAAACCCCGGATATGAGGTTAGGGTTTGAGTGGCGTCATGTTGATTGGGTTTCGAGAAAGTACTTGCCTCAAAATTGCTCCTACCACACCGAGACCCTTTGCGCTTGAATTTTTCGAATATTGTTGCTCTCTCTGAGCGGGGGTTTTTTCGTACTGTCTTTCCACTGGAGTAAATTGACGAACTGGAATGAGATGGTTTGAGGGGTCTTTACTCCAGATAGAGCTGCTGGCAGCGACTTCATGTCGCGGGGCTCTTCCTTGGAAAATGCACTGACGAATTTGTTCTGATGTGGAGGGTGAAGTCGAGTTGTAGCATTCGCTGGCTTACTCGCCTGATCTACATCCAACTATTCTCGCCATTCGATTCTCGTCCTAACTCTATCGGTGCTCAGATTCACATCGCAAACACTCAGTCAAGACCGTGACAGTCTTGAAAACGGGATGCAAGGCACGTCTATCAATGCCAAAGTGTCTCGCGTCGCAAGTTTTCGTTCTGACGCCACAGGTACAATTCAGTGCAGCATATAACGACTAGCAATTGCTGGGTAAAGTTCCTCGTGGTTTGATTTGATCCACAGCAGGGGAAGTCCGACTGTTTCGCTGTCTTGTCTTTGTCCACTAGCGTCGACGGTAACAGCGATGAATCAAAACTAGAAGCTCTTTCATGTAGAAAAAACAGCAACTGTGACTCTATCCCTCCTTTGTCTTTGCGCTTCCACGCTGGCGAACAAAGCATAGTGGGTTCAAAGTCCGTTATCACTTCCTTTCGGATGTCGATCGTTCTTGGCGCCTTTGCCCGAATCGAGGCCTCGCGAAGTATGACTTTTGACACTTCCCATTCGAGAAGACTATAAGCATCGAGGTAATTCAAGGATAAAGAGGGAGAGCAATAAGGACCTGGGATAGTAGAAAAAGCATGAAAACTCGATGTCCAATGAAGAAGTAATATCAATTCCCTTACCTGCCCATCCACCACCCACCGAACCCGCCACCTCACCACTGATACTTCATTGGAGCGTGGGCTTCAATCACTCCTACCACCGAGAACTCGTTTTCCATGGCTCTGGGAACACCTATAGTCTTGTTACAACTCACGGGCCTTCAGATACCCACCGGGCCATGGTACTTCGACGACAATCATCCTGCAATGAATCACCACTTGTCATCGCTGCTTGGATTCAAATGGTCGGTGGTAGACCACATCACCCACGATGCTTCCAATCATCGTACCCTTCCCTACAACTCAGGCGTCGGCACCTTCAATTCGGTGACGCCAGGAGGACACCAGCAGGGGAGGCCTCGCCAGGTGGGTGCAATCGCTTTGCCAGAACAGCGTCGCAATACATATGTGAGCCAGCTAGATCTCTTTTGCAGCGATCTGTATTCATCTACTGACACCTCGACGTGCCCTGTCGAACAGTGGGGATACACCACAGGACAACGCTCTGATATGGTTCCTCCGATGGCGCGTAGCCAAAGCTCTTCATCGTCATTGATTGAAAATCAAGAGGATTGTGGAGGATTTATACATCAAGAGGTCAGTCGATAATGGCTCATGGTTAATATCTCCCGGAGTACTGATGAGTATATGTAGTTCGTCCGTGCTCTGGTGTATAGCGAGGAGGCACAGCACGATTCTGGTAGCTTTCTCTTTGGCATGGCGTCGGCTGGCACAGATCGTGATTACGACAACCCAACAATGGTGAACGGTTATGCACAAGATCACATACTCCAGGAGAGTTTGTCACAGAGCCAGGTACGTCTGTCCTTGGATTCCATACTGCAAGACGAAAAGCTGACCGCGATCCAAGGTCGATGCTCAGGCCGACGCAGACGACTTCGGAAATGCGACTGACTTTAGATGCAGAAAATCATCCGGGATATTCGTCTCTCTCGAGCAGCTGGGGTATCCTCCAAATAAGGACTTCCCTGAAGTAGTCAATGGGGAGAGCGGATCCATCAGCCCCAGCGACCCCACCGGTTTGAACAGTCCCATCCCCAGCCGGATTAACGACATATCAGGATCGATCGGCAACTCAGGGGTCGCTCCCAACTCGTTCAAAGAGGCGGGATTAGTACCTGCCGTGTCGAGCACGGATGAATCGAACGGCCATACTGCATCGAGCGCTGGCACCATGCATGGTACGAACATTCCGCATGGGCTTCCCAATGATGTGCCGCACGCGCGAACCCGTGGAAGCGCGAAATCATCGTCCCCAGCTGCACCCGCAGCTCCTCCCGCCCTGCCCACTCGATCTCGACGCAAAGTCAAACAGCACGACGGCGAAAAGAAAGAGAAGCGGCGGAACAGAGACAGGAAACGAAGCAGAAGGTTGGAGAAAAGAAGGCGAAGCAGCAGGATGAAGAAAAGGAGAAGCAGCAGGACGGAGAAAAAATATCTTTCCCCGGGAGGTACGCACCTCGGCAGAGGAGTGGAGATATTTGGTTCACGGAGACCATATAGGGGCAGACAATCGACAACCGTCTCCAGAAGGGAATCACGAAAACGGTCAAGAAGACCGGTTTCATTGTCCCGTATACCCCACCTCCCAAGATCAAGGTTGCACCCCCGCAACCTGTCTTGACTTCCTAGAAGTCAGTTCGGCGATGGGTGGACTCTTAGATCAAGAAGGGTAGGCCTTTTAGGGTACCCTCACCGAAAGAGGATTACGGGCGGCAGTTGGAGGGGTGGAACATAGGCCCACCCGTGGACGCGGAGAAGGGGACGGGGGAACGCGGAGAAGGGAACGCTGCTCGTCTGCGTCCTCGAGCGGAAAGAGAAAGACGGTGAGGAGCGAGGTGGATGATTGGTCAGATGAAGACGCTGGACCTACGGGGAAAAAGCGATGGCCCTGCACATCGGGGCTGAAAGTTCGAGTAATTGTGGCCGCTGTGGCGGTACACCAACCAGAGCCTAAACTCCAAGATTAACCAGCGAAAGGTATAGCAGCTCAGACTGATGGCGATGGGCCGCCAGCTGCAGCGAGCTAACCAGTTTCACTCGGCAACCGTGAAGGGTTGAGAGACTCCGAGAATGGGATGCCGATTCTGGAGCTGCGTGAAAGGGGGATGGAGAGGGAGAGGGAGAGGAGAGAGAAGTTCACAGGGAAGGGAACGGGGACAGGATGGCCCGAAAGGTACGGAATGGTTCTATGGAGGTAATTCAGGCGGTGTATTTCGCTATAGCGCAGAGAAATATCAGTGAAGCATTATTCCGGAGTTCATCTCACCTTCTATCTCGTCAGTCTGGTTTGTATATGTCCTTTGCCTTCTTCGTACACCGTAGCGTGCAACACACAAGGCCTGTGATCGTCGTGATCGTCAACCTGTGCGCTCCGGTCCATACCGAGAGCTGCGTACTGTACTTGCTGGGCCCTGTTTCGCTTCAGTTATACGATTCGATGGCCAGCTATGGCAGCATCGGGGGAAGACTGAATATTGAGCACACACACCTGCCAACGCGCTTCACGTTCTTCCGCATTCATGTTTTACGGCGTCGAGAAACCTCTTGGCTGGATGTTTTCTCCCCAGCAGCCAGTTCAGGAATACTTGTATGAGGAGACGTACTATCTTCGGCGTGAAGCCAGTTTCATCGTAGTTTCCAGTCCTTCAAAAGGCGTCACGAACCACGTACTCACCATGTCACATTTCAAGACCACAAGAATAACACTCTTAATAAATCGAAGTCATGTCTATGAGCACGAGGTGGGAGATGGAGAACAAAGGATGAGCCGAGTTTCAGGATCGGTCCAGGCAGCCCGTCGTAAAGCGAGGTGCCACATCGGTGCCACCCAAGGACACTTCCGTGCCATCGAGAAAATATGATCACCGCATCTCTTTCTCCCACCACCACCATCCACCCACCTCTACTTTCTTTTAATTTCTTTATTTCTCTCTTTCTCTTTTGATTTATTGCTGGAGACTCGGAAAAAGAACATCATGTCCTCTCATAAACGTCCTCACACACCACTGGACGGCGACTCATCCCCCAGAGACTCACCGACTCCCAAAGCAGCGCGAATCGTACGCTCTCCCAGTCGCGCCGCAAATTCCTCGGATTCCTCTTTGTCTGAAGCCCCGTTATATTGCACCCTACCGCCAACCTGTAATCCGCCGTCACATAAACCTACGCCGCTTGCGAACACGAAGGAATTAGAGTCACATTATGCGAAGCATCATGCCCATGTGTGTGAGGTTCGAGGGTGTGGATGCGTTTTTCCGGACGCTAGGTTGTTGGAGCTGGTGAGTGTTCTCGTACACTTTTCTCTCGTCTCCCAAAGCATCCGTTGGGCACAGGGCACGGAGTCGTACCGCACGAACATGGCAAGACTTTACTAGTCTCGAACGTCAAGCCCACCATAGTCTCCGAAGATGTCCACAGTACATGGAACCTCTGGAGCATGATATTGTGGGCGTAGACATTTGCCTGGCTTGGTTTCGATGAACAGAAGGCTCCTTTTGCAACGCTCTATGCTCATTGAGGGCAACTCGCGCCCTTCGTGCTGCATTGCCTGGGCACTTTGATCCTTGAATTTGAGTCTTATGCTACTCTCAGTTGTAAAATTGTCGTCTTGGGCGCTGCAATGTCCCTGCGAACTTCGAAGTGTACGTGGCGCCAAAGAACTTGCGCCACAACAATGCATTTTTCGAAACAGCCTAAACCCGACACCAGGGGCCGCCTTTGGTCTTCCTCATACCCTTCACTATATGCAACCGTGAACTAATCAACTATTCCATTGGATATAGCACCAGACAGAGAACCACGACCCCGTCGCCGAGGTCCGCAAAGAGCGCGGAGACAAGATCGTACGTCCCACTCATATTTTTCCATACTCAACCCCTTGACCCCATTCTCTCTTCCCACGCTTTAAATTCCTGATGCACCTCAACTGACCTCATTTCTCCGTATCGTAATTGCCCAGTTCGCCTGCTTCCTCCCACCGTCCCTCTGCCCGCGCTCCTTCTCAACCCCCAAAACACGCCGTCTCCACCTCATTCAAGTACACGGATACCCAAAACAGTACTTCTTCGCTATCACGAATAAGGGGATGGGAGGGCTATTGAGGAAGTGGGGCGAGGGTGTTAGTTTGGTTAGGCCCGATTGGAAGGCGAGGGATGGAGGGGCAGGCGAGGATGGGGAGGGCGACGGCGACGGTGAGACGGAGATGGAGGGGCACGCAGATATAGAGGGAGGCATGGACGTGGAGGGTGTAGTGGATAAGGGCGACGAAGGTGTAGAGAAGCAAGGAGGAAAGAAAGCGGCGACGAATGGCCACTCGACTGCGTCGGTTGTTCAGCAACCCACAGATATCAGCACACAATATCGAAAACCTTACGCCGCTGCACAGACTGTCAGATCTCAGCAAGACCAACATCAATATCCACCCCATCTACATCAACATACCGATGCGAACACTAACACCACCAACACGCGACCACAACAGCCAAATCAGGCAGACAAACCGAGCCTCGGAATGGATATCGATGCGATGATGGACCAGATGTCTTCTTTATCGCTCGTACCTTCGTCTGTGAGGTTCGGAAGGGGAGGGAAGACTTCGGGGATGGGATTCGCCAGAGCTGGTGGCAGGACGACGGGCGTGAAGGAACATGGGATGGGGAATGCCAAGGGCGCAGTGACGGGAATGACGGGAAATAACGCTAGCAAGGCGCATGGGGCAAGAGAGGGAGCTGACGGTGCGATGGACATTGAGATGAGCAACGGTTCGAACAGAACGGCCGGGAAGAATATGTCGGTCGATCATCGAAGAGTTGAGAAGGAGGGAGCAGCAATATCCCGGAAGGCACAGTTTTCGGGAGGTGATAGGGAAGGAGACACCTACGATGACGCGCAGATAGAGACGAATGCGAGCAATTCGGTCAAGGGGAAGGGGAAGAGCACCCAGAGAGATGTACGCAGAGGCAGGGATGGGGACATGGATAGACAGCTCGAAGAAGACATGAGCGTGGACGATGCATCGCTCTCACCTTCGCCTCAATCTTCACCGCCACTCGCAAAGAGCGGAGCAATACACAGCACAAACAGGACGAATGGAACAGGACGTACCCAAGGCGGGCCACATGCCCAGAGCCGGGGGCGTGGAACGATCGGCATGCGAGGTGGAAGAGGAGGTATGGGATATGGGCACGGTATGAATGGGATGAACGTGGCTCCGAGGGGAGGATGGATTGGTGCAGCTATGCCACGAGCTGCGGGTATTGGTATCGGGGTGAATCATCTTGGGTTGAGAGGCGGTTTGCCGCTAAGAGGTGGGAGAGGTAGGGCAAGAGGCCGAGGTGTTGCCCGAGGTGGTGGACGAGGAGGCGGTGATGGGGGTGGAATGTAACGAAGACCAATGCTCGAGCAGAGAATAGAGAAGTTGCCTGGGTATGCTGAACGTGACATTGGTGGCTAGGGATGCTTCTGAAGGAGACGCGATGCATTGCTGTTGAGCCCAGGAGAACTTTCGTGGAGGAAGCTGGGTGTGACTGGCTGGATCGCAGATGTACGATTTCTTGCTTTCATTTGTCTGTTAACGGTTTTGTCGCTTTTGGCTATGCTGCAATCAATAGTGTGCTGACGGAGTTCTAACATGATCAATTGTGCTCTTAGATTGTTATGGTCACTTCTTTCAGGCCATGTTCGTCAGGGAGTGACGAGGACTCATGGTGAGAGGAAGTGTGGCGTGCTGCACTCCGTGAAACCTACGCCACCTACAAAGCAATGGCATGGGGATAAGTTACTAAATCCGAGGAAGTTCGCATAGGTTCGGAGCCCTAGCGCTATATACATAGGCCTCGCACACTCGCATCGCAATCGCATCGCGAACACATCCCCGCCCCCTCGTATGATCAGTATGCCCAATCAATCCTCCTCCAAAACAAAATCAGACAAAAAATCGAAGACCCCTTCGACTAATCCCACTCTCAGCAATCCAATGCTCGTCAACTTCTCTCCTGAATTCCTGCAAAAGGTGCAGAGTGCGTCGCAGTGGCAGGATATCGTAGACCTGATCTGCAAAGAGCTCAAACTTCCCGGTAAGTGTCTAAAATGTCTCTTATACATGTGAGCCTCTCAGGAGATGACTCCATGATCAACTCGCACTCGGGGCGCTGGCAATGATGTGGATCGCGGATGATCTTCCCGTCATCTTACTCATATCTACTTGCCTTGTAGATATCAACACTCGATCTGGGTTGAGAAGAATTCATAAGGATTTCGACACTATTCAACGAATGCTAAATGTACTTTACGCAACCTCTGTCACCGATGTCATTGCCGCTGGCGTCGTCGCACTCTTTGGAGAGCTGGCAAAGGATGGAGTGTTACTCGAAAGGCTGATAAAAGAGGCTGGTAAAACTGACATCCGCTTCATGGTCATCGGTGAAAAGGCTGCTTACACGAGTTCTATCTTGCGACAGGCTTCCTCGAAATCGCCGTGAAAATGCTCGATGATTGGAATTCGATACGAAAGCCATACATCATGATGATTATCGAAACCCTCTGTCGTACCATTTGCTCCTGTGAGCGCGACCTTTGTCCACAAGTGGCCGAAAAAGCAGCACCCATGCTCATGCGGCTCCTCGAAGACCGACCATTCCCCGAGAGTGACCGGGGGGAGATCGCCCTTAAAGACATTGTCGTATTCGCACTCTCGCATTGCGTTCGCCCCCTCACCCCCGTAGAAGAAGGGCAGAAACCTTCTCCTGTTCTCGAGAAGCTAGACACGAAACGTCTCACGCGGCTCATGGTCTCCCTTGCTCGTAATCCGAGATATTTTGAACCCGTTTTCAGATGTCTTTGGAGCTCGACTTACAGTTGTAGTTCCGCATTCTGGGCCACACCAAGCGCCATCGATTTCTTGGTGGCGTGCACCAAAAGTACACAGTTCGACACTCGAAACTCAGCCATCCTCAGCCTCTTATTTCTCTACGCTCCGATCGAAGAACCCGACGACCAACCTATCTATATGTCTGAACAGTTCATGGTCGAACTCCAACAGAAGCTGGCCGTCGCTCCCGCAAGCATTAGGAGTAGGATAGCTGAGCGTGGAGCAAATCGGTCTGAGACGTCACTCATTATTCAGACGTGGTCCGACTGCGAATGGGAGATGTCTTGTATCATAGATGCACCAAGCCCCGACTGGGTCTCTCTGGGCCACAAACTCGTCGAGTGGATCCTTCGTTCGGAGTACATTCCCAACGGGGCTTGGCTAGACGAAGACCTCAAAACTCGGCAACATTGGCCTTGCACTACCTTCTTCGACACTCTACCTTACTGTGCGAGGGTCCTTCGAGCACGGACACAATCCCCGGAATACCAGAATAAAGCCGATATCCTCGATATTAAATACCTCATTCTAACGGACGAACTGAAACGGGCTAGTACCATGGCTCAAAACTCGCTCAAACGAAGTCCTGAGGTCGCTTTCTTCTACCACGCCGCCTCCATCGGCGCCGAACCGAAAGAGGGCTTACGTTTTTCGAAGAAGGGGTTGATGTGCCCAGATCTTACAGACAGAGTACGGTTTGACCTCCTGTATCGGGCGTCGTGGCACGCTTTGGGGTTGGCTCAGATGAAGATATTGGTAAACAGTGTGGATGAGGGATATGCCTTCGCGATGTCTGCGTTGGAGGACTCGGGAACATACATCCGGGAGTGTCCTTCGGACTCAAGAAGGCTAAGAACAGTGGTTTGCATACATGCGCTCTCGTTGATGTTGGTTAAAGGTCCGGAGTTGACAGCGAAGTCGCCTGAGCTGAAGGTTTGCCGTCTCCCGTACTTACGTCCACGATATAGGCTATTATTGATTCAACCATTTTTACCCTCAGAATGTGCAGGAGATGCTGGACTGGGTCGATGAATTTGCAAAGTTTGAAGGACGCCATATACTCAGAGCTAGAGAACGTTTCGCCACAATCACACTCCTTCGACGTCTCGACCACGCTTGGGTAGAATGGGCATCGGTTCTGCGACAAGCCGATGCTTATCGCGGTGCTCATCCGATGCATCCGCAGAATACGGATGAATACCTCGCGACGCTGCTCGACAGGACCAGCCTCCAAGACTCAGAAATTTACCCTGAAGGCGAATCAAAGAAAGAAAGATATGGGTTAGAGCCTGGTGGGGAGTCATCGAGTGACTTGTATCGCTGTTCGTGGTGCGGAATGCCTAGTGCAGTGTTGAAGAGGTGTAAGGCTTGCGAGAAGGCTAGGTACGTGTCTGCATTTTTTCTCTTTACCTCTCGTGATATGAATTTCGACCCAGATACTGCGACGAGGCATGTCAATCACGAGATTGGAAGGGACATAAGAAGATGTGTGGCAAGAAGACGGACAAGTCTGAGTCTTCTCCAAGTGCGGCATAGAGCTAAGTATATTATGTGAGTTTGGAGACTTCACCATATGTATGTCAGCAAATCTCAGAGGGGTAGCTGTGGTCAGGAATAATAGCTCCAAATGAGAGACTAAGTACTTACTTACTAGTGCAAGGGCCGGGATTGTTCAGATGAGATGTGGCACCTGACACCCGTGTGAAGCGCCACATTACTTTTTCCAAGCACCACACGCGACCAGGAGGGTGGCGTATTGGTATCGAGGTTCGATCCTTATGCGTACAGTTTCGGTGGCAAATGCGACGTGAGGTCTGATCCTGTGAGTACACAACTGGCCTGGATTTGGCTCTTGGTCCGATCCCTTGAACTGCCCTTGTGCGTACGGAAAGCTAGCAGGACTACCTAGGTCCGATCACTATGCGTACAATTTCGTTCTATGTGTTTAGTTGGTTGCTAACTGCTACTCTCTAACACTGTACGCCACCGCACAGACCATTCTGTGTCAAATTGACAGTGTTTTAGGCGTTCGTCTAAGAGAAGGTCCAATCCCTCGTGAGTACGGAAGGTGCCCTTATTTGGACTACCCGATCCACCAAAGTACAGAAATCCTCCCAAACTTTGAGTACAGAACCGCCCAAAATTTGGGTTTTGGGATCGGACCTCGATACCAATACGCCACCCTCCTACGCGACCTTTCATCTTTTGCTTTGAACCCTGTACCTTGGACCGAGCCGTTCCTGCTTGTCTACCAGCGAACATAACTTAAGCGCCCCCGCAGTCACTTGAGGCAAGACATAATGTCAGATGGCAGCTCTTCGAACACCAAGCACAACAAAAAGAGGAAGTCTTTTTTGAGACCAACCGCTTCTGCCTTGAATCCGACACTCACAAACGTCTCTCCCGAATTCTTGGAAAAGCTAAAGAATTCTCCACGATGGCAGGATATTGTCGATCTGATCTGCAAGGAGCTCAATCTACCTGGTCAGTCACATATGCATTGTCCAATTTAGAGAATGGTCTCTATTACCCGTCTTCGGCACTCAAACACGAGTCCCTTTCCTTCGTGATGATGTGGCCCAGTCTATGTCTACTCTCGCGCGATCTTGCTCACACCTGTATCACAGATATCAATACTCGCTCTGGATTGAAGAAGATTCACCGGGATTTTGATACAATTCACCGGACGTTACACACGCTATATGCGGTCACTCATTCCGACAAAGTCGCTGGAGCTGTCGTTGGCATCTTTGGAAAACTGGCAGAAGACGGCATCCTTCTCCGAAGGATAATCAAGGAGACGGGTATGGTCGATCTCTCATGTTACCAAACAGCTGCTTACTCGCATGCCTGGTTACAAAAGGATTTCTCGACATGGCTGTGACGATGCTTGACGATTGGGACACAACGGAGCGGACCTGCGTCGTGATCGTCATCCAATCGCTCTGCCGCGCCATCAGCAAATGTGACGTTGACCTCTGTCCACAAGTGGTTCAAGAAGCGGCACCGATGCTCATGCGCGTCCTTGAGGAGCGCCCATTCCCCGACAACGATTCGCAGGAAACTGCGCTTGAAGCTCTGATCGTAATCGCGCTGTCACACTGCGTTCGTCCAGTCTGTCTCGTACCGGAGGGTCATAAACCGTCCGCAGTGCTCAAGAAACTCGATACAAAACGTCTTAATCGTCTCATGGTTTCACTCGCTCGCAGGCCCATCTACTTCGACCACGTTTTCAAACATTTTGTGAGCTCGACTTACGCCTGCAGTTCTGCCTATTGGGCCACACCAAGCGCCATCGACTTCTTGGTGGCATGTACTAGGAGCGTACAACTCGAGATCCGAAACACAGCCATCGTCAGCCTTTTACTTCTCCACGCTCCAATCGAGGAGCCAGAGGACACTTCAATACAGAACCCCGAAACATTCTTGAACGATATGCAACAGAAGCTGAGCGCTGCTCCGGAGAGAATTCTAGTCAAGATTGGCAAACGAGGGCCGGAGCGGTCTGAGATGGTTCTCATGATACAGACCATAGTCCAATTCCGGGATTATATGGTCGCACTCCTCGCCTCTCCTTCTACCGATTGGATCGCCTTGGGTCATAAGCTCGTCGAGCTGATTCTTCAATCGGAGTATCTACCAAACGGTACTTGGATAAGCGAGGGGTTACGGGGCCATCGCAATTGGCCCTGCGCCTCTTTCTTCGACACACTCCCTCACTGCGCCAAAGCAATCCGAGCGCAAGCGAAGTCTCCTGCAGACCACGATAAAGCCGACATACTCGACATCAAATATTGCATCGCCACCCAACAGAAGGACAGCGCTCGACGTATTGCTCGTAACTCGATAAAACGGAGCTCAGAAATCGCCTTTTTCTACTATGCCGCCTCCATCGACGCTGAACCCTACGAGGGTCTGCATTATTCGAAGAAAGGGCTGAAGTGTTCGGAGCTCACGGACTACGTGCGGTTCAACCTTTTATATCGGGCATCAACTCACGCCTTGGAGTTGGCTCAGATGAAGCTCATGGAGAGGAATGTGGGTGAGGGGTACGCGTTCGCGATGTCCGCGCTGGAAGATTCCAGGACGTACCTTCGGGAGTGTCCGCTGGACTCGAGGAGGCTTAGGTCGAACGTGTACGTGTACGCACTGTCGCTGATGCTGGTGAAAGGTCCGGAGTTGACGGTGAACTCGCCGGAGTTGAAGGTTTGCTATGTCGTTTCTCTCGCTTGCCAAACACTCTCCGTGCATGCCGATTGCTCACGTCGACGTTTTTACTCAGGAGGCTCAGGAGAAACTCGACTGGGTCGATGAATACGCGAAATTCGAAGGACGTCCTATACTTAGGACTAGAGAGCGTCTCACCACCATCACACTCCTCCGCCGCCTCGACCACGCGTGGGAAGATTGGTCCGCCGTGCTGCGGCAGGTCGACGCTCACCACAATTGTCATCACGTCCATCCTCACAATACGGACGAGTATCTGGCAACACTTCTCAGTAGATCGAACTTTCAGCAGTGCGACATCAACTCCGGGCATAAAGCGGAAAGGAAAGGATATGGAGTCGATCTTCCTACGCCAAAGGGAGATTCACCAAGCGATTTGTATCGCTGTTCGTGGTGTAGGACACCAAGTGCGGTCTTGAAGAGGTGTAAAGCTTGTGAGAAGGCGAGGTACGTGATTGGTCCTTTTTCATGTTGCCCGCGGTGATTGACCTACGATGCAGGTACTGTGACGAGGCCTGTCAGTCACGACACTGGAATGAGCATAGAAAGGACTGTGGAGAAAGGTCTAACAAGACTTAAACCTTGCCAATTGTCCAAATTTGTATTTTCAGTGCTGTATCGTTAGCTTTACTCGCATGCTCCATCGTATCGCTGCTTGCATCGCATCATTCGTACTCACGGACAATACGAGGATTGACCCTCTCATTGCTCAAATCGTGAACATCCATCGTATAAGTAGTTCTCACAGTTATGGGGTCTGTGCGCAGCTCTATCTGATGTCCGACTACATGTCGAAGGTCGTTTCCAGCAGGACCGGTATGGGACGGAGATGAAGCAGGAGATTCTATGTGGGCACTATTAGGACAGTGAAATTTTAGGACAGTTATGGGCGTCAGGGATTCTCAGATTAATACAGAGTAGCGTGAAGAATGTCAATAAAAGAGATGCAGTGCAGGGTTGGAGGAAGACCAGCCCCGTTCGAATATTATCTGGTTTTCTCAGATTTTCCTCCAGGGCTGACTGTGTGGCACCGGTGTGGCACCTCGTGGTAAACTTTGCCGATGAAGCACGGATCGAGAGCTTTGCCTATGCTTGCCTATGTCTTTCCATCGTCTTGCTGTTCCGCTTTATCTCTTGCCGTATACTGAGTGACGGACTGCAGCTTTCTTAGGTGCTGTCGAGGAATATCCTTTACGATCGATGCCGGAATGCGCTTGTTTGACTGAACAATCTACACAAAGGTAGTACGTTCAAGATACAGCGATTTTACCAACAGGAATAGATGCCCGGATCCTTTGGGCCTACTCAGGACCCTCTATTCGAGACTCGGACCACACGAGAAATCGAGGAGCTATAGCACAGGCAGACGAATGACGTTATGGACCAAGACAAGGTGCGTGCATTCAATCTTCCCCCGTGCCACCTCATCGCTAACTGCATATTGGACGAGACTAGGAGTTAAAGAAGAGGGCAGAAAATAGATATTTATATGACCAAGATAAGAGAGTCATCGACGTTCGCTGTAAAGCAAGTACGTGTGCTTCATCTTCCACTCGGCCACTCGACCTGACAGGCTATAATTAGGAGGAGAGGACACCTATCACGGCATTTGGATGAAACCAAACTAAACCGAATATGAATCGAGCGGGAAAACGAGATCTTTGAAGGGAACAAGGAAAAATTGACTGATAAATGAATGTACGACCAACTGAGCCAACGGGATTTTTTTCGCCACCACAGTCGTCCCCGCTGCCGCCTCTCCGAGATCATCTATATCCGACGAAATGATCTCTCCTTCGACCCTGCACCCACCACTCCCTGTCATCTACCTAACTTTGGATGGAGACTTGCGCTCTTCGTGCGATAGATCATGCCCTTCAAGCGGACTGAGCGAGAAATGCTGAACCATCGGTCGACGTGTTGAACACGTTATGCCGATGGTCCGCGTGTATCGTTATGGTCCGTTTCATGAGTTTGCGATATCACGAGAGCTCGTAAGCCACTCGGACCCGCCCCACCTTCACCAAACTCATCTGTTGTGCCAGAATGACTGTGCCTCGCCTCCGACGCCGTTCCTCGCCTCCTCCCTCCTCGCAGACCAACTGTCTCCTTCGAATCCTCAAACGGTATCCATCCCTCTGATTCTCTCCCACTGACGCCGTATGGGACAAGCGCTCTCAGAGGTCTATCTGCGGTGAGGTCGTGGGTTCTGTCGTCCTCTAAAGGCTCTACATCCTTTGCCTTAGAACTCCTCCGAGCCCCTTGCGTAGCTCTGCCATCGGAGGTAGACCTTTTTCCTCGGTTTCGCGCCGAATTTTCTCGAGGTTTTCCTTTAGGGATCGGGCCATCGGACTTGTTCTCGGGAGAGGCCTTGCGTGGTCCTCTGGTTTTACGTTTTCTTGTCGGTGTGGCAGAGACGGGAGGGCCAGTCATCGATGGTACGATATGATGACGCCGGGGCAATGGATCGTTCATGCGCGATGCATCTGACTGGGTCCTTGACAATGAAGGGGGTTGGTAGGTTGTATCGTCGGCCGGGACATGGCCAGTATCCAAGGTGTTACCGTAGGATGGAACACCGTGCACGAGTCGCGTGTCAGACAGCGATGGACGCGACGAAACTCGTTCGAGGTCTAAATCGTGCGGCACCTGAGTACCGGGCAGCTGACAATTTCTGAATACGGCTCCGTTGGGCTGCATGGGTTGAGCATCATGCTCGCGTGTAGGAGCAATGAACTCCCCTTTGACACTGTACGTGGTCTCGGATGTGTTGACGGCTCCAGACGCATATCGCTGCTTTACGAAACGACGAACTCCGTCGTCGTTGGCCACATTCCTCGGTTCGATGTCGTTTAACATTGGGGTGACCTGAGTCGTTGACAAATATTGAGGATTTTGTTCGATTAGTGAGAATAGGAGGAACACACGAACCTGGACAGAGACCGCGTGGTTTTCTTGTGTAGGCTGATGTTGTTTGCTGAGTGTTCTCCCGTTGGGTCCTCCAATGGTTATCTTTCGGTATGTCTCCAGGCCATCACGAACTATCTTTTAACCCATTTTTGTGTCTCAGATCTCTTCCAGAGGGCATCGCGTAACAGAGACTGACCTGGGGGAGACATCGCCATAGATTGCCTATTGTCTGGAACTTCGTCACCAGCCTGTCCATTTCCTCCCATTCTCCGTGCTCCGCCAGAGACCTCAGGTGTTCGCAGATCACATAGAGATCTTCAGCAGTTTTCATGTAGGTGGCGGCGGCAGGGAGGGAGGCATGTGATTGTTCTTGGATCGGTTGACGATAGTCGGTGAACATATGTGTTGCCTGGCTTCCAGAGTTGGTTTTGTGGCCGAGGAAGGTCGAAGCGTCGTCGAGACAAGACTGTGAAGTGTCGCGATTGATTGGAGGGGTTATGGGGATCATACGGCCAGTCGAGGAAACAATAGACGCATTGTAGCTCGTCGACGGCTCACTGGTATTGGCCGTGTCAGCCTGCTCGTACAGATTCGCTTCGCTGAACGACACATCCAATGGATGGACAGAAAAGTGGACTTCGTTTCGGTGGACGGGGTCGTAACTCATGTCGAATAGATATTGAAGTCGCAGTTTATGTTGAAAGATACTATCAGCGGTGATGAGTGGAGAATCGCAATGAACGCGTTTGGAAACCAGACACATGAGTTGACTAAGCAGTAGTCCGGTTCAAATACCGCCTAAGGCACGTTTCCTTTGTCCTCTTTGTTTGGCCATGTTCATTATTGACGCGTCGCGACGCGCGTGGTTTCTCTAGAAAGCGTTTTACATTGTCACCTCCCCTCTCCTCCCGAACAGCGCCGTTTTTCTATAATTGCCTATATTACCCTTCGATTCCAATGTCTGAGTCCTGCATGCGCATATGCATCTCCGAATGCAAAGTCGATGTTGGCGGCAAGACAATACATAGGTGTTCCGGAATAAGAAGTAGCAAACAAAGGAGGGATCGCCAGGGCTGTCGCAGTCCGTGTTAGGGCGAGGGAAGATCAACCTGAAAGAAACACTGGGGTCTGTGGTGGAACAAATGGGAAGTGCGCCATGAGAAGCCGTCGTACACAAGACTTTTGTATCCTTTTGGCCCCTTGAGGTGTCCCTTATTGGTCCTCTCCATTGATTTTGTTGTCAACAAAGTGGCCCCCCCATCTCCAAGGCAGTACCTAAAACTGCACCCTCGAATCTCCACTACTCGTCGATGCAGTCAAAAGCATCGGTCTTTCCCATAATCTGTATAACAGGTGATCATGACGTGAAGACTACCTTTGTTTATGCGCTTTTTGTCGTCGATTTCTAATAAAGGACATAGAGACACAGATACGATGTCGAAGGCAATAATTATCTAGCCCAAGGAACTCAAACTCGGACTTCTTTCACTGGCAGTAGGGCCCAGCAATCGTCATAATCCTCCGCCCTGTCGGACTGGATTGCCGCCCATTATACTTTAAGCCGACATTGACCATGACTATGATCCAGCACACCGTCATGATATTATGGGTACTCAGCTTCGAGTAACGAGGTGCGAGAATATATTTTGGCAATAATCTATGTGGTGTATGGAGAGGGCAATACGTGTATTCCAATGCCCTCTCTAACGTCTATATATTCAGTGGAGACGAATGATAAGAAAAAATCGTCGCACAAAACCCCCATCGCCTATGCCTGTTCCAAGAATCCGCTCAAGACCTTGCTAAACCGCTCCCTTTCCTCCCAAAAAGGTGTATGGCTCGACTTGGCAAACTTGACCCATTTGACCTTCTCGATGGAGTTGAACAACGGTGCTACAACGGCGTCGGTCATGTAACCGCGTTCGCTATTCAAAAGAAGAGTCGGAACTTTGATGAGGTGCAGGCGGTCCTTGATGTCCCAATTATGTTCCAGGACATTGTTACGCCTAAGAAGCGAATGATATATGCTCAGTTTGGGCTGCAACGATAAAACAACGAAGGAACCAACATCGCATTGAGCGGGGCAGAGCCCCCAGCATCGTCCTCTGCCTGTTCAGCGCTGTACTGCAACTCTGCGGGGAGTGGGTGGACGTTGCAACAGTTGATATCGGAGAAAAGACGCCAGGCGACCTTCTCCTCCTTCAAAAATGGCGCTCCCTCCTGAACATGCTTCGCCATCGACTCCAACAATATTTCCCTTGGACCACTCGGGAGCTCCCCTATCAATCGCTTCCTCTCCGCGTGTTGGCTAGGGGAGTCGGCACACGAGGTGACCAGGACGAGTCGTCTCAACGCCTTTGGCTGATGCTCCACGATATACTCCATCGCAAGTGCCCCTCCGAAACAATGTCCGAGTAGATCGAAGGGCTTGTCCTGTAAACCGAAGTGTCTGACGAGGTTGTCGAGCTCCGCGACGAAGAGTTCGAACGTCCAGAACGTCTCGGGCTTGTGCGGAAGGTGAGTCGAACGGGCTCCTCCGAGTAGGTCGTAGAAGATGACGGTGGTCGACGGATCGCGAACAACTATGTCGGAGATGGGAAGAATGTAGTCATGAGAGAAGCCTGGACCACCGTGAATAGCGATGACGGGAGGACGGCTGGATGAAGTTGAGCTGGGAGGATTTCCGACGACCTTGTAGTATGTATAGAATGCCTCGCCATTGAATGTGAGGGGAATCGTCCCTTCCACAAATAAAAGAGTTTTGTCCATAGTCTAGACGAAGGAAAAAAGAGAGGGTGAGTGAACGTGTCAATGGATGTAGATATGAGTTAAAATGAAGTACAGATATCGAACAGAGTAGTGGAGGGATGGCAATACAAGGGTCGTTCATTACCTGCTTTATATAAGTGACGAATTGTCTTGTGAATCAGTCTCCTTGACATAATCTTCGCAGGCCTCGGTGTAATGAGCGTCTCAGTCGAAGCATTAAAGGTCAAACCAATTACGGATAAGGGTCTACAGCCCCGTATGTTATAGACGGCGTCTGGGTCAGGAGGATGGATACCTCGGAGACGCCACTGAGACACATTGATATCAGAGTTTTGCGGTCGATGTAGTAGCGTGTTTTGGGGGCAACTGTGACCGTGGCCCTTTCCGGGGTTTGTACAGTTATGAGGCGTACGTAGTTTATGTTCACCAACACCTGGAGTTTCCGACTAGATAATTCAGTTGAGAGCGGGAGAAACTTGGTGTGTGGCGTAGAACTTCTCGATATGTCACGACCGCAGGCACAAGAAGCCTGCCAATCCCTGCAAGTAAAGTTATACTCAGCGTGTGCGACCAAGAGCCTGACGAAACGCCGATGACACCCCTCCGAGGAGAAAGGAAGATGGATCATACCTGGTATTTTGGGTCGCTCCAGGGCCAAAACTCTTGCGCTTGAGGCGGAAGACAAAGCTCTTGGTAAAACCGCATACTTCCTTAATGTGAATGGTGGCGCCACGGATACTGTAACAGATAGGAGAGAGTGGAAGTGCTGACCAAATCGCTGAAACAGCGGTGCATTTCCCCATCGCTTAAGATTTGGTCGCTTTCCAGTCCAGTCGAACGAGCGAAAGACCGACAATGAACGCAAGGTGAAACATTTCCGTGATATGCACACCCGGGACAGTGAGAAGAATACACAAGACGTGAGGCCTACACTCGCTCAGATGGTATGAGTATACGCCTGAAAATACGCACACTAACCATGTACAGCCAGAGATGGAGAAGAAAAATAATTTGGGTAAACGAAGTTCGAATCTGGTGACCGGGACATTACACACCGGGATAGATGGTACAAAAGCCAGACATGTCTATCTCACCTGCAATGTCGGTCCTTTGGTCACGACGAGCGCGAAATATTGACCAGAATGATCAAAAGTACTGCGAAGTTCAGGATGTTGACCTCTAGAGACCCATTCCAACCCATCGGAGGCGCGTTATATCCGTCGTGTGAGGAGCATACGCTAAAACTGGCATGGTCCCCATCGTGTCCGAGCAGTGATAACCAATCCAGAATTTGGATGTGAGGATGCTTGTGATAGCTGTCCTCGTACGATACGAACGACACTTGATGGCGTAAATCCTCCCGATTCAACCAACTCAAAACCAACTCGTGCTGCAACATCATCGATGGATCGGTTCCGCGCAGAACAGGTTTGGGTTCGTATGTACTTGCGTATTTTGACGTGTCCTCTCCTAATTCCGTATATTTACACGGATGCATCGAAGGAGAGGGTAACTTTGCCCCAGTTCTGTTTACGGATGGGCCTACTAGGCCTACCGCGTAGTCGTAATTTGGATTCGGAGAAATCCTCGTCAGTGTGACCCACTGTATATGAATCCGAAGGTTACAAGGTGCTTGAATTTCGGCGGATTCATGATTATGAGCGCACGGTTTGGCGAGTACACGTTGAAAGAGATGAGGGTTGGATGAGGGAGTCAGGGATGGAGGTGGTGTGCACAGGTGCACGTGGTGGCTGACGGTGTCGCCTTGAGGCACCAGTAAAAGTGGGCCACCATAATATCGGTGCCACCCGGGGCTGGCCGTCCTCGACGGATCCTGCGAAAAATCGTGACTTGAGGTGCTTGAGGTCCCAAACTTGAAGTTCAGACAGATTCAAACCAACAGCAGAGTACATAGGCGGATAACGATGGAGACTCGGATCCGCCATATTGAATCCAACATAAGTACAAAACATATCAGGAGCAGAATGGTGGCGCAGAGAAACAGTAGGCAGTTGGAACTTGGAAGTGACGGTGATCGTGATGGTGACGATGTCGCAGTGGAAATCCGAAGGCATGAGAAAGGGAATATCAGAACAGGGTTAAACAGGGTGAAAATCAGCGATAAATGACGGGAATAATGTCACGACGCAAGGAACAACAGCGAGAGAAAGTATACTGGCAAGAAATCAATGTGGGTGTATCAAAGCGAAAACAGGAGGGACAAATCAGTACAACTCTGGAAGGATGTCATGCGATAAATCCAGCACGAATATAGGATGTAAGGAGCCGATAGGGATGGTGGAGCCAGAGTAACACCTGAGCAACTCGGAAAGCAGGACAGAGCAACAGTACAGAAAATGAACAAATATAGAAAAGTACAGGAAAGATGTGGATGACAGTGATAATGCCACTTGATCCTAGGCATTCATCGGCGACGAGTATTCCAGCCACGACCACGCAAGACAGGTGGGGGCGGTTCCGTTCTCTGCCTACAGGAAACTGTTAACAATCGATTCTCAGTTTGACTGTTGAGCGAAAGCTTATCTCCTCCCCCTCGTTCTCAGAATCCTCCTAAGGAACGACTCCCCCTCCTTCTCATTCTCCTTATCAGAGTCACCACCTCGACCACGACGATTATGGAGACATGGCTGTAGTAGCCAAATTGAAACATGAGTTGCATTCTTAAAACATAGAAATCAACGGATTGACTCACGTTCCAACCAAGGGTACCCAAGCCGTCATCTTCCGACGGAGGCTCGCCGGGAGGGAGTTCCTGGGCCGCCGAACTTTCCTCGACGGAGCCACCCCCATCCTCCGAGCCCTGCAAGAGAACGCCCTTCTCTTGCTCATCATCCTCGTTTGAAGCTTCCCCATTCTCCGAGCCCGGCTCACTATTCACCTCACCATCCTCCTGAGAGGAGACCTAGTTAGGTTAAGGCTGATCGCCTTCCGCATCCTCACCGTGGACCGCGCCACTGTCCAGCCCATCTTCTCCCCAAATACTTTCCTCCTATGGCCCCCGCTCTTCAACGCCCGCATCCTCCAGATATTCCTGATGTGGGACCTGGTCCGCTTCTGGCCGCTCTCCCTCCTCCTCACTGTAGGCCGCGTTATCATCCAGGCCACCTCCATCCGAAACACTATCCTCCTCCGCCGATCCTACATCACTACGCCAATACTCCTCGTCTTCCCGGTCGTATAGCTCCTGCTACTCCTTGCTCATGGGGTACGCCCTCTCCAGCCGTTCCCACTCATCCTACGGCTCATCTGTACCGAAATCTCGGACAGGTGACTTGGGGCTTGGTGACTGTGAACGGTAGGATCCGTGAGCCAGAGTGAAAGACAAATCATATAAATTATATGGATCGCACCTGTGGGTCTGCAGGACCCTCCGTCTGGGCGAGGACCCCGTTCTCGGAGGGGTTCGACGAGATCTCCTCCTTCACGACATGAGCATCGGCAAGGTTTCTTTCCTCCGCATCTTAGTGGCCCCTAGCCAGAGTGGGCAGGATGTCCTCTGGTAAGGCTGAGGACACGCGACACTGCCTCTTTGGTGTTGGAGGCTTGATGTCATCGTCGTCGCTCTCTGCGTCGAGTCCTTCATAGCCTCCCGAAGGGGCTACGATATTGCTGCTACGCCTTGTACGCTTGCGGGGAGATCTTCGCCCTTCTCGGAGACGCGAGGACGAGGGCGTTGATGGGCGGGGCGGGGAGGAGAGTAGGGCAGCGTTCTGGATAGAAAATGCACGAATCACATGAGTGTCTAGTTGATGCTGGGTAAGAAAGCTTCAAATGACTTACTTCACCTAGTGGGGCACCCGCCGACCTACTAGCCACAATACGAGAACGGGTAGGAGACTATTGAGAAGCGAGAGTAAAAACACAACAGACAACGGATGATGGTGGTGACAACAACAATGACGACGATGACAACGACGACGATGAGAACAAGAACGATGACCACAACAACAACGACAAAAACAACGATGACGGTGGTGGTGACGAACCCAGAACCAATAGATAGAAAAAAACACAACAATAGAAGAAAATAAAAGCGTAATAGAGACGAAATGATGAAAATACAACCTTGAACGGTACTTTTTGACTTCATTTTCTGTTTCTTTCTTCTCGCATCTTCTCGCCTTCCTCGTCAACGATCACTCTACGCCCCGTCCTCTCCAAAGCTCCCGAAGTCGAACTCGGGCTCAGGGCAGAACGGTTGCCCAAGCGGCACCTGCATCGGCACCATCTCCTCATACCCCGTCGTTCCCACCGACGGCAACGCCAACGACGACGAGGCCCCATTGAGACCATCGTCGTAGTATGGCCCAACATTCCCCTGCGACGTCGCGGGCCACTCACTCGGCGTGAACGAGTCGTACGCGTTCACATTCGCGGTGTTGTACTGGTTCGCGTTCACGTCCGGAGCCGCGTTCCACTGCACCGCGTCTACGTTCACGACGTTCCCCTGCTGCTGCGTGTTCAGGCTGTGGGTGTCGCAGAATTCCTCCGGGCCTGGGATGTAAAATTCGTGCTGGGTCGGCTGGGAGGTGAAGGAGTCGTCCGGTAACGTGGGCGGGGTGGTCGTCGTGAACGACGATGGGGACAGGGTAGAGGATGGGAACGTAATCGGCTGGGGAGAGGAGGTGTCGGCAGTGTGGAAAGACGCCGGGTGTTCATGTGGTTCGACGACTGCTGCGGGAGGGTGATGTGCTGATACTGGTACTGAGACTGATGGTGATAGCGCTTGGGCTCGCAGTGCTCAAGAGCAGTGACGTGGGCGTAATCGTGGGCGTAATCGGGTGCGGGGGCAGGAACAGAGCCATGAGCGAGAGCAATACCGGGAGAGGCAGATGACTCAGGCGTCCACCACTTCCTCTCCTCCTCCGATGAATAGTCAAAAATCCTTGGCGACGCAGACGTCGAACCTGCTGTTGATGATCTATATCCGCCATACGGCCCCATGCCCCTCATGCGCAACGCGGTGGGATGACTGGTGTAGCTGGGAGTGAACGCGGTGTTGGCGAATCGTTGGGGACAGGGAGCATAACGCTCGGTAATGAAGGTGGAATCGGACGCTGGGGGGTGGGAGGGCCGACGCTGCACCGACGGGGAGACTGGACGGCGTATGGGGATTATCGCTCTGGGACCTGCCGAGGACGACGACGCGATGAGCTTAAACCACACAATCAGTCAGGATCATCCAACGATGTAGACGTAACATAAACGACTAACGCTGGGATCCCTCCGGGGCAGTCCTCGCTAGTATTATATTCAATATGAGCAGCAAAAGCAGGCCATTCAAGCTCGATACGCTATATGTGTGCAACCATTTGTCTGTCAGTTCACGACAGTCCATATTATTCCCTTCCCGGAATAGTATCCTATGGGAAGATATTGTTTGGAGAGCACATACCTCATTTAGCGAGACCGCTGCGCTCTCCAGACTGAATTGCCGAGGATGTGGTGATGAGATCAAGACTATAGGTGTTCCCCCCGAGTTGCGATCGGAACGCGATTGATAGCAGTGACAATAGTACATGTTAGGGCAAAATAAAAGTCGTAAAACAAGTTTGGCGGAGAGCGAGTCGAGGAGAAGAGAAACCAGTGCAGTCGAGATGGAGAATGAATGGATGGTCAATTGGCCTTCGAGACTTTATACTCTTCCAGCTTCAAGGTTCCTTTATGCTCCCGATTTATTATCTAGTCTTCCGCAGCGTTTTATGCTGGACAAAAGTACTCCCGGAAACGATGTAGGGGCATCATGTCCGCGCCACGAGGCTACAAGAGGAATGTGGACTCTTTTAGAGAACGAACGAGAGTGAGAATGTACCGTGAAGTCTGAGGCCTTCCTTTCTTTCTCGGGCTTTGTACGCCATTTCAGAGGACGAAAAGACACACAAAGGATGCATGAATAGAAGGAAGAGACATAAGTCGACCTCAACCCCCAAATGGGACATCACGAAAGTCTCTTTCATCGCTTGGACCGTCTATACAACAGGACAAGGGTAGAGGGAAGACTGGCAATTTGACGCCTTCGGACCCACATAGGTCCACGACGAAAGACGCCCGCAGTGCTGCTCCGGGCCCGCATATCATCTGAGAGATGAACGATGATATCCGTGTCGAATGGTGCCCTAGAAAGTGAGCGTCGCATTGTCCTTCAAGCGGCCTTGAAATATGGCCTCCATTGTCTCGTGGTATTAGCATTTGCCACTGAAAAATCGATAACAAGCTCTGACACGGGAGCGAAGAAGTGATGGGTCTGAATTGGGGACACAAAGGAGCACGTGGAAAGATTTATGACGTCAGAGTCGACTATGTAACCCGGACGGAACCCGTAACAAAGAGCCAGTTGCTGAAGAACAACAGTCGTCGCATACGCCGCTGCTCCGAGAGGCAAGCCAAGCGCAGGTCATGAACGTTTGAACGATGGGCAGAATCCTGGAGCGGATCTGCTCGTTACATTCGTAGAGGGCGAGCACCCGCCTAACATCTGGAACCCAGACTAGTTATGATGGAGATACATCAGCTGTTCGGCGTATGCTAGCTCAGCAACTAAAAATTCACGCCGGTCTCTGTGGACTCCTGGTGGCTAAGGGAAGCAGTGCCATCCTCTGACGGAGACTCAAACACCGGTTCTCCATCCACACAAAAGTGTATTTGGAGCTGATTCGTACCTTTACTATCCAATACTGCTCTCCAGATTGTATGGTCATCGATAGGTGTGTCACTCCGACCATCTCGGGCTTGCGAGAGCCGGTGAACGTCGGATGCGCAATCCACACGGGTCTGCGAAGCCGGTGTGCTCGTATCGCTCAAATATTTCCGAGCCTGGTGCTATCTATAAAGTAGAGATTAGTGAGCTGAAAAATTGTGTCGACGGTGGCCTTACTTTCGAAAACGAGGACTGGTCGACTGACCTTAGTTTCGGAAACGTCAGTACGAATACTACGAAGGCTCGAACAGGGTAGGGTACCTTCAAAAATCTATGATTGTGCATCGTAAGCAACTGTAATCTGTTCCAAAGATTCAAGCCATGTATATCTGCTGTTAAAGACTCCAAAGTGTAAAGATTTACGGCTCAGGGTGATGAAGGAGATGGTGGTATGGACGAGGTATGGACTCTGTGTGGCGCCGACGTGGCCCTCGGAACACAGCCACCGGCCGCAACAGAAGTTGAACCGGTTGTGTCTTTGTCGACGTCTACTCCCAGAAATCTTCGGCATATGTGCCTATCTCTCTACAACAGCATATCCATATCGCGGATATTTGACCAGGTCAGTTTCTGGGTGGCACTTTGTCTTTTTTTTCCCCTCAGTTTTTTGCTCGTATTGCTGGAGTACAGTGGACTATTCATCGCGAAGCTCGGAGCACCGTGACCGCAAATCGGGGGTGCCAGAAGGTGCCAGGCAACGATGTTCTACTCAGCGAAGACACAGGACACCATGCTTCTGGCTTGTTTCGCTATAAGCACGCCTTCATCGATTGTCTAGGATGAACCAAACAAGAGGAATTGTTTCGGGAAGGGAAAAAGGCACGAGACCGCAGTACATAAACTGGTGAGTTATTCACTCATCACACCCTACTTCCCTTCATCGACATCTCGCCAGCGAGCATGAATTCCGCATAACATACCCCTTGTTACGCAGCTCGCACGTATGTTGGTATGGGAAGAGTCGAAGGAGACCAGAGAGGTACGTGTATTCAGTCTTCTAATGAGCCGTCTTTTCGTTGAACGGTATCCAGTCGACAATAGGACACGACAGGATCTCTCGAGTAGGAGAAGGAGCGATAAAAGATCGAGTGTAGAAGGAAATTTGACCTCGGTGCGCATGTCTTGTTTCTACCCAAAACGCACCCTCTGACAGACAAATGGCCGTGTTTAGGAGGAATCAACATTCGTCGTGCGAGATCTACGCGGGAGGAATGGGAAGAGAAATACTCGAAGAAAAAAAGCAAGGTGAGTAAGAAAAGAATCTGAGAAATCGAACCAATAGAAACTGTCCCATAAATCTCGTCCACCCACAGCTCGTCACGCCCCGTCGCCTCCACCATATTACCCCACCCAACATCGCCTTCATCTCCCCCATATCAATCCTCCACCACAGTCCGTCACCCCACCATCCTTCGATGGATTTATCCCCTCCTAGCCGCCGTCGGGCACGAACTATCTTCGAGAGACAACTCATGCCCTTCCAGCGGACAAGTGGAGAAAATGCACGATCCTCCTTCAACGGTCATAGACCGTCCAGGCGAGGATGCGCATGTCTTCATATGTTGGCTTGAAGGTCTGAAGCTCCAGCAGTTGTTCCAGTCCTTGAACTGGATGCCGATGGCTCCAGACCTTTCTTGTTCTTGCGCCTTGGGCGCTTGGCCTGACGCTCCGCTGATGCAGATGTCGACGATGACCCGATGCCGTTGTCGTCGTCGATCTCGTCCGAGCGCCTCTTCTTTCGTCGGCTGCCTCCGCTTGACGATGTTGACGCTTCCCCTGCTCCCTCAGATTCATCAGCCCATCCCGTGAAAGCGATCTGCGCTTGACACGCCTCCGTGGTCAGTGGTCTCACGAATTCTTCGAGCTGGATGATAGTAGGATAATTGCTCTGGACATGCGTCCCAGCATCTGCGTCGGAGAATGGAGGGGGATGGACGTGCTGCTCGGGGATGAGACCATTCGCGTCATGGCTGCAGTTGTCTTCGATGCTCAAAGCATCGTGCCCTCGATTCTGACCGTTGAAGGCGCTGCTTCCACTGCGATGGTCGATCGTCGTGAGTCCTCGTGGGGGTGTGTAGTAGCCTCGGGCAATTTGGCGATCAGAGGGCACGTAGCCATCACGCCAGGGGTACTGTTCTTCGACGTGAGCGGGTGTATCGACATTGCCAGACGTTTGGTCTAGGCGAGTTGCATAGTCTGCTATGTCGTTGTGGCACGCAATGGTCAATGTAAATTTCCAATGGCAACGTATAATAGGGACGCACCTTGTCCCCCAGACCCACCTACGCTTGTCGGGTCCGTAGAACGGATAGGAACATGATCCGTCTGATGGACGCGTCTCCGCCCATCGACCTGGTCTTGTCCACGGTGGCCAGAGTTGTTCTCTGAGGCCGAATGCGATTCTATGTCGTGTACAGTGGCACCGGCAGTGTTCTCCCCAATGTATGGGATACCATGGGTTTCGGCCATGTGGTGATAGGGCTGATCCTCGCAATTGCTCGGTGTATCGACATAGGTAGAAGTCTGCTGCATCTATTGGTCAGTTCTGGGCCGCATGACACCTTGGCACGCAGGAGGGCACTGACCTCTTGAAGCTCATCGCCCTGACGGTACGCATCCTTCTATATGCCATGGTCAGTTCTCGAAGTGCAGACAATTTCCCAAGCACCGGAGACGAACCTGCGCTGCCTCCGTTGTAGTACGAGTGCCAACCGTGTCTCTCGCACGGTGTTGGCCATAGGCCCCGTTCATCTGATGCCCCTTTCAGCGCCATTAGCTGCGGGCGAAATATCGACAGGGACACTATGCGTACCCCAGGGCCAGACATCCCGTCTGCCAATATTTGGCTGATCCCAGATGCGAGGAAGATTCTCAGACATAGAAGGAGCTGAGAATAACGCCGAGTGAGCCCTCACCTCCTTCCGCCGTTGTCAGAACACTTACTGGGGGCATGTAACACCAAAGACCCGGAATACACATCTCTAACCGCCTCACCATGTTTTCTTCCCTCGCCCCCATCAGCCGAAGGAGGTGGTTCGCCATCGCCCGGAGGGGTGGACTCAGCTGAACGATCTCGTTGTTGAGACGAGTGGCGAAGTTGACGATGATGGATGGCTGCAGGTCGATGGACGACTGCAGAGTGTGGAGACCGTTCTTGAGGATCGGTCTGGTTTTATCGGCACTCGTGGTGCTCTGGGGAGTGGACGTCGAAGGGGGCGGAGAGCACGAGCGTCGATCCTCAACGCGGGCCCTGTGAGTTTTTGACGAGGTTTGCTGTATATCTGTACATTACATTATTGATTGGGATCGATTTTGAACATCGTAAGTGTATTTCCCTACCTCTCACACGCTGAAGTGCTTCGTGTTTGCTTGAGACCGCCGCATGGATGTTGCGTTGAGGGTTGTGCAGCCCCTTATGGCTCTGCACGGGATAGCGTGGGTCCCTCGGACCATCAAGATGGTCCCCTGCACTTGAGGACGTCAGTTGGTGACGCGTGTTACTGTTCATTGTGATATACTAGAAATTGGGGGGTTGTTTGAGTTGTGGTGTTGGTGTCTGAGCGGAAGGTGGGAAAGACGAATGTCGTGTTCGTGTTGGCTTCGACGGCACGGAGTCAAATTTGTGGCTCGTGTCAGGAGTGGCGTGTGACTCGTACATATCGCACGCCACAACCCTCTACCATGGGCCATACTACTTCCGATGCTCCCAACGGAAGATGCACCCCGCGTCACCTCTAAGCTCGAATGTAGGGATGTAGGACTTACCGAAAGAGTACCAAGACTATAGGTGTTCCCGTTGGGGTGACAAGGTGAGTTGATATCATACTGGAACGAGATGAGACTCATGGGACGCCGCGCTTGCCGGGTGGAGGGAGGTCCTACGAAAATAAGAGATATCGGCACAGAGTTTGGACGCATTTCATGGTCTTATACATCGTATGTTCCTCTTTGTTCTTTCTATATAGTTTGTGACGCGACCGATGCTTTCTTCTACTGTCACAGGCGATGCAAAGGACCACTCTCTGTGGTACGTATATATGTTACTATAGGTGAAAGCGTGTTCACCTATTGTGTGTTGCTAATAGATCACAGACATCTCATTCGCGCAAAAATCAGTTGTCGTTGATGATTTCAGAGCACCAAAAATGTGTGTAGGCTACACAATCCGCGTGACAACTACAGCCAGCCCTTGAAACCCGGCGCTCTCAGACCCGACAGTGAGTACTTGCCATCAGGCTGCTCGAATACGTTGTCCATTCTTACGATGTGTCATCAACAGAAGTAACAGACTCGCATACCAATATCATACCGTTGTCAGGAAGCTGCCCACTTCTGCCAAATACCTCTTTTGCTCTTCGAACATAACCACATGACTACTTTTATCGAACCGCACCCACTTCACCTTTGGAATCTTCTCCACAAAATCGCGAATCCCCGCCCACTGCACTTCATCGTCGATTCCGTTCGTCACGAGGGTTGGGCAAGCGATCTGGTCCACGATGTCGACGACTGACCAGTTCTTTAGCGTTGCGTTGCATACAAAAGCCTCACGTCCACACCTGTAGATTAAGTTGAGCATCGCATACTTATTCGAAGTGGAGATCGAGTCAAACTCACATATGGTCGGTGACAGTCATATCCTCTGCCATCAGCGCTAGGGAGTCGAGCAACTGTTGTGGCCAGGGATCAAGCTTGCACAGGTGTTTCTTGTTGAAAAGAGCCATCGCCTCTTCGTACTCCTCGCTCTCCAAAAGCCCATCTCTCTCACATCTCTTCACAGTTTCCCTCATACCCCCTGGAAAAGCTTCCAACAGCTCGTTCATACACTCCATCCAAAGGTCTACGGAGGCTGGACTGCTCGATAGAATGAGTGCTTTCAGCCCCGGAGGGCGTCGGGCAGCGGCATAGTTCGAGCCGAGCATTCCTCCCCACGAATGACCGATGAGCGAGAAGTTGTCGGATATACCAAAATGATGTATAAGGTTATCGAGCTCATCCATGAAGAGATCAACAGTCCAGAAAGAAGAGGGCTTTTCACGCAGATGAGAGGAGTTGCCGACGCCAATTTGGTCGTAGAAGATGACGGGGATATTGTGAGAGGTGGAGAGGGCTTCGAGTGGGTACATGTACGGGTTAGGTATGCCTGGACCGCCGTGTAGTACGACGAGGGGACGTATGCCAGAGGTAAGGTCACCAACGACCCTGTACCATGTTTTGAATGTTTCGTCTCCGACCTGGAAAGGGATGCGTCCTGTGGACTCGATCATTATACTAATAGTGGGAGACGTAGATTGAAGTGCGATGACCGGGTATTTATCCGTTGAGAATGATCCTTGTCTCACGGGTATATGGTGAGTGAATCTTCGTCATCTTTTACGAGCGTCTTCCTTCCTTGTTCTTCGTCTGTCTTCTTCGGCGTCGGCGGTGTGATTGGAGTTTCATCGAAGCCTCTCGGCATCGAGGCATAGGTTCACGCTTGACGGATTTTGCGATACTCTCGTCACCTGTCTGTTCTTATCACGGTAGAGATGATTTATAGCGATTGAAAGAATTTTCACATAGTCGAGGTGTCCCAATTCTGTATTGGAAGGTATACGAACAACCGTTTCCGTCCCACGCACTTCGAGATCTCTCTCACGTAAGTATCCCATTATCGTGATATACTTTTGTGTTGGTCCAATCTGTGTCTCGTACTTTGAAGAAAGCGCTCTATGGCTTTCCATCGCATGTCAATCTCTGCTTCGAAAACAGCCATGGACTTGTCGCACGTTCAAGCTGTTATTCAGACATTTGAGAAGAAGCGGCATATGTAAGCAGAGGCGCCAGGCGGTATAGCACTTTTCATTCACCGTGTTCACGAGTTGTCCTTCATTATGATATGCCCATAGTATCTTCCAGCTCTGGTGACTAAAATCACTACTTAGGTTCTCCGAACAAAACTATGGCTTTGCGTGTGATCTATCGAGATCAATTGAGAGCTAGCTTCGTCCCATCGTCTACTGAAGCTCCAAATACCGGTTCTCCGTCCAGGACAACAATATCTGACATGAATGAGTACCTTACCTGTCTAATTTTCGGCCGTTTCGGGCTTGCGAAGATCAGAGAACGTCGGGAACGCAATGTACACGAGTCTGAGAGTGCTCAACTGAATCTGCGGAACCGATGTGCTCGTATAAGTATAAGGAATCTTCCGGAACTCGTTGTGGACGAGGAGGTAGAAATTGGGAGTTGAAAAGGTTGTGTCGACGGTGGCCTTACTTTCGCATACGAGCCTAGCAGTCGACCGAGAGTTTCGGAAACTTCGTCAAATACGGAGAGTTTGAACGGGGTAGGGCAGCGTCAAGAATCGGTGATTGCGCATCGAGAACAATGACGATCGGTTGTTAGTATTCGATCAAGATATAGCTGCAAATACACATTTCAGAATGGAAAGAATCAGGGCTCAGAGCGATGAAGGTGATGGTGAAGGAAAGGAAGGAAGGTTGGTATGGATTTCGTGTGGCGCCGGCGTGGCACACTATTTGATCCGTTGAACACAGCCACCGGCCGTAACGGATTTACAGCTCAAAGACAGGTCGAAGAATGCTGTCGTCTACTCGAAGATATCTTGGGTATATGTCCCTCTCTCTGCAACATCACAAGCGTTTCGCGGATATTTCTCTAGGTCACCTTCTAGGTGGTGCCTCTTCTATTTTTTTCCCTCAGTTTTTCCTCGGATCGCTGGAATCCACGTCGCGAAGTTCGGACCACCGGGACCGCACACCAACCGGGTGCCTACCAAAAGGGCGGCGACGTTGTACTTATCGAAGACACAAGACACCATGCTTCTCAATTTTATAGGCTTTTTTCGCTATATGCCCATCGATTGTCTGGGATGAACTAAACGAGCGATAGGGGCGGAATGGACTCGGGAAAGGAAAAGGCACGAGACGGCAGTATATAAACTGGTGAGCTATTCACTCCTAACACCCTATTTCTCTTCATCGACATCCCGGCAGCGGGTATGACCTCCACATAACATACCTCTCGGTTCTTAGAACGCGCGTATGCTGGTATGGGAAGGGTCGAAGGGACCAGAGAGGTACGTGTATTCAATCCCCTAATGAGCGCTCATTTCGTTGAACGGTATCCGGTCGATAATAGGCCACGAAATCTCAAATAGAGAATGAGGGATGAAAGATCAAGTTTAAGAAGAAAGTTTGACCCCGGTAGTCCTTCGAGGTGTGCATATCCCGTTGCAGATCAAAGCGTGTACCACGACGGTCGGACGAATGGTCGTGTTTAGGAGGAATCAAAAGTCATCGTGCGAGATCTATACAGAAGAACTTGGAAGAGACACATTCGGAGAGAAAAAGTAAGGTGAGTGAGAAACGAATCTGAGAAATCGAACCAATAGAAACTGTCCCATAATTTCCGTCCACCACCCACAGCCCGTCACGCCCCGTCGCCTACATCACACCGCCCTACTCAACATCGTCTCCATCTCCCCCACTTCAATCCTCCACCACAATCCGTTACCCCACCACCCTTCGACGGATGTATCCCCTCCTTGACGCTATCGGGCACGAACTATCTTCGAGAGACAACTCATGCCCTTCGAGCGGACAAGTGGAGAAAATGCACGATCCTCCTTCTTCGACGGCTATAGACCGTCGAGGCGAGGATGCGCATGTATTTACTTGTTAGTTGGAAGGTCTGAAGCTCCAGCAGTTGTTCCAGTCCTTGAACTGGATGCCGATGGCTTCAGACCCTTCGCGTTGTTGCGCCGTGGGCGCTTGGGTCGCGACGCAGACGCAGACGACGCACCGACGCCGTCGTCGTCGATCTGGTCCGAACCCCTCTTTCGGCTGGCCCCGCTTGATGAGCCCGGTGTTGGTTCTTGTTCGTAGGCCCATCCTGTGATACGAATTCGGTCCTGAGCGTCTTCCACGGTCAGTGGATCGGGGAGCCGTTCCTCTAACTGGATAATGACGGGCGTGTTGCGGCCAGCCTGCCTCTCATCGTCCGTGAGCAGACTCGAATGACGGATGTAGTCCTGCGCGTTGGAGCTGGGGCCGTTATCGATGCTGTCGCTTGTCCTCATGGACGCGTTCCGGCTGGTGATGGAACCTTGATCGGCGTTCACGCCAGTTGGCAGAAGACGTTGCGGATGAGCTTGGTGCGGGAGTTGAGATTGGTGCGGGGCTTGAACGATCTGACCACCAGGCGATTCATACGAGCCGTGCGACTGGGCCTGTTGCGCTGCGTGGGGGCGAGCACGAACACTGCTAAATGACGGGGATGGGGTATTTTCCGGGCCTTCGCAGTTCTCCGGGGTGTTGACGTAGACGAAGTTTTTCTATGTGCATCAGTTAGTTCTGGATCGTAACAGAATTTGGTGCTCGAAAGGGGGCTGACCTCTCGGAGCTCGTCGCCCTGGCGGTCCATGTTGTGCTATAGGCCCTGGTCAGTCTCCGAAGTAAAGATCTCAAGGAATAAAGACGAACTTGTGTGGCCTTGCGCCTTGGTGCATAAGCATGAGTGCCAACTATCTCCCCCTCATGATCCCGGCGACCGGCCTCGTCCTTTGGAGGCGCCTGAAAATTCTATTAATTCTATTAATTGACGTTGCCAATAAAGTCTCGACAGGACCACTGTGCGTACCCCTGCACCAGAGCCCCCAACGTCCAATCTCTGGTCGCTCCTGGACCCAAGGAATATCCTCAGCCAGAGGAGCAGCTGCAAATAACGTTGAGTGAGTTCTCACGATCCTCCGTCATCGCCAGCACAAAGTACTCACCGGGGGCATATATACCCACAGGTACGGAATGTGCATTTCTAGCCGCCTTAAACTCTCTTCTTTCCTTGCACCCATCAGGCGCAGGAGGTAATTGGCCATCGCCTGGAGTGGCGGACTCAGCCGAACGATGTCGCTATTAAGGCGGGTGGCGATGCTGACGATGACAGATGGTTGAATAGTGGAGGAGGACTGTGTATTATCGGCCCCGTTCTGGGATGTCCCGGAGTGGACAGTCCTACTCTGCAAGCCAGATGCCGAAGGTGGAGGAGAATGGTGCTGTCCGCGGGGTGCATTGGATGGATGCGCTCCATCCGAACGCGATGCAACACTGACGGCCCTGCTGGCCTCGATGCTGTTGGAGTAGGGGCGATGGGTCCGATTGTGAGGCAGTGTCCTTTTAGAAGTTGTACTGCTTGAAGTACGGGGTCGGTTGCTGTCCTCGCCGGGCGGATGACGATCCCCAACACGGGCGTCGTGGATTGTCGACGAGGTTTGTGGTTCATCTGGAACTTGAAGTTCGATTTTGGATTGGGATCGAGTTCTATCATTGGGAAAGTATACGCTTACCTCCCACACGCTGATCTGCTTTGGCATCCCTCGAAACCGTCGCGTGAATCCTCCCAGGGTTGTGTAGAGCCATGAGGGGTTGAAAAGGATGATCTGTGTTGGAGCTCGTCGGACCAACACAATGATCCCCTGGACCCGAGGACGGCAGTTGGCAACGCGTCGTGTTCATTGTTATATACTGAAAATTGAAAGGATGTTTGAGTTATGGTGTCGGTGTCTGAGCGGATGGTGGTAAAAACAAATGTTGTGTTCGTGTTCGGCTCGGCACGGCCGTGGCTTGTGTCAGGAGTGGCGTGTGACTTGTACATATCCCACGCCACAATCCTCTACCAAGGGCCACATCCCCCTCCCGATGCTCCCGACTGAGGATACACCCTGCATCACATCTGAGCTCCATTGTTAGGATGAAAACTCACCCATGGTAATTTAAGACTATAGGTGTTCCCATTGGGGTAACAAGGTGAGTTGATAGAAGTGAACATAGGCCATGCTGGCGTAAGATGAGACTCATCGGACGCCGTGCTTGCTGGGTAAAGGCAGGAGAGGTCCTATGGAATACGAGATACCAGTACAGACAGTGGTCGCATTACATGGTTTTATATGTCGCAAGTTCCTTTTTATTCTGTCTATATGGTTGCTGACGCGGCCGATCCTTTCTTCTACCACCTTTTGTGGCGCGTATACGCGTTACTATAGGTGAACACACTTTCAACAATGGGTTGACAAGAAACCACAGAAGTTTTCTCGTGCAAAAAAGGTCGTCGCTAATTATTTCAGAGCGCAAAAAGATGTGTATTTACAAAAGAGAAGTCCCAAACGCTGTTCACAAAGGGAGCATTGTTCTTTCAAGACAACGAACATATTCTATGGAGACACTACACTTTTTGCACTCCGTGTATCATCCAATCTCTTGCCCAGCAGTCCGGTACACCACCCTTCAACAACTCAGGAAACGACAATCTCTCCCATACCCACTCCTTCCGCATCCTTCCTGTTCCACTGCCACCACCACTGCTTTCTCCCCCACTATTGCCTCCTCCTCCTCCTCCGTCATCACCATCCTTCTTCTCCTCAGCCGCAGCCCCACGTACCAGCTTCATCTTCCCTAAGAACAAAGTCTCCGACTTCACCCTACTCGAACCGAGCACATGATACAAAGACGAAGGTAAAGACGGAGAAATATCGTCATCGTCACGGACAGCACGGAGGACCCACCCTGAGTCTATAAACGTTTTCAGTCCTGTATCCCATATGCCTTGTGCGTAGTACGCCTGGAGCTCCTCTAGGTATGGTAAACCTTTCCGATTGTCCCCAGCGGAAGCGCTACACACATTCCGGTCAACGTCAGGATAACACATCGGAAAGTAAGAAGACGTAGGCGAAGATGAAGGAGTACGATTCGGGTTCATCAACATATAAGGATCGACGCCTCTAAACCTCGGAAACGGAAACCACGCAAAGACTTGTTCGTCGAGCCTAAAGAGAACAAGAACGAACTGGAGATAATCAACGCCTGTCTGCGTTTTGATACTCGCTTTGAGAGCATCGTATAGTGGCTTCCGCACAGATAACGCATGGAACTCATCAGCAGCGAGCGTAGACTCCTCGCCAGTGACCTCGGGGTTGGTGACCCGACGGACAGCGCCCTTCGCCAACCGGAATGCTGTCGACTGATGATCCCCCACTCCTGATTCTTCCCCAACTCCTTCGTGCCTGTGTGATAAGTCACTAGCACCTCCCAATCTCATACAAAGATCAAAACAGAAAAATGTCGAATCGTAGTCGAAGGACGATTCGCCACCTTGACAGCATATGCCGAGAAAGAGAGCGGTTTGGAATGAGTATTGGTGCTCGGATACGAAGGTTGTGAGGAGCGTGGCTTGAGCGGGGCTGAGGGTAGGTTTTGGGACGTTCGTGCTAGCGTCGTGAGTGGATATGTGCGATGCTTGAGGACTGCCAGTGGAGGAGATGCTAGGCATGACGGAAGTGGCAGATGAGAGTTCGGTGGAAGATGGTATCATGGAGACGATGTCATCTGGGAGAGGTCGAGGAGGGACCTCAAGCTCAGCGAGGGTGCGATCCTGAAGGTCTTGAAGTTCGATACGCAGGCGAGCACGACGGGAGCGAGGAAGGTTTCGAAGTCGAGTGGCCCCGACAGGTTCATGGGTCTGATGCTCCGGAGTTGCTCGGAGAGGTTGGGATTCACGAGTAGATGATCCTTTTGTGTCGGAGTTGGGCTGCCGTGGTGTCGTTGGCCGACGAAGGGGTCTGAGAGTCGCGCACACTTTTCTAGATTCAGAGGTACCGAAGTAATGTGGCGTCAGTCAACAACGTTCACGACGCACTGCAGAGATACTAGGATAGTCCAAGACAAGAGAGTGAGCGTACTGGTGATCTCTCCAATCTTTCCTCTGGCAAGTCTTGTCGCAGTATCGTATATGACAAGCACTGCATACACCAAAGTTGTCTCCGTACTCAGACCTCTTCGTACAGCCTGGACGGGAACAAGGCGATGGTGACCTCTCGCGCTTGCACCCTCGGATTTGAGTATCATCCTCTGCCATTTCCGGACGTTTAGTAGTAAGGGGTGGCATCCAACGAGGGATGAAGAGGAAGGACGAGAGACCGACGCACTGTACGAGAAGTGAACTTTCCGTAGGACTATATATAAAAGTAAGAAATAGAGTGGAGTCCATACAGCTATACATATGATTGGTCGTGATGTTGATGAGAACCACGGCGGCGATCCGGGAAGCTATTCTATTATGGGTCCGCACGACCTCAAGCCTCGTCGCAGATCCTACCGATCTTCCAGGGGATAGTCCCTTTGGGGATAAGTACTGTAAAGAAACCTATGAGCGTGTGGTCCGAGGGCTGAAGGGACCGTCATATATATGTGGATCTGAGACAGCGACGAGGAATAGTTTACAGTATATGCATTCACAGGAAAGTATGCAGAGGTTCCCGCAAGAGGACATCTTACCGGGCTGGTCAAGGTTACTGGACTAAGCGATACGGCCACATCGGATTCGATGTTTACTAGCAATGGCTTGCGATGAAGGCACTTCAAAGTAATGAAGGGCAGAATGAGCAGAGCAGCCACGAAAACAGGAAGAGAGGAAAGCCCAAACCGTGACAGAGCCCTTCACGACGCGCTACAAAGACGTCGTGCGCAAAAATTACCGATCATCCACTTACTGAATGGCCAACGTGGGGATCGAACCCAAGACCTTCGCGTTATTAGCACGACGCTCTAACCAGCTGAGCTAGTCGGCCGGTACAACGGCGCTTTTTAGTACTGTAGTATCATGACCACATCGGCCCGACTCATCAACTTCACCCTCTTTAATTCCTGTCCCCAAAAATGTCTGCGATGCATCGCTCATCCGTCATTATCTGGTTCTTGACACGTTCTGTCACAGCACAAACAGACCAACCTGACCATTTCACTCACATAGCCATTCTGGAACATGAGAAGCATGGCACTTTCGTTAGCAACTCACATCAAGATCTTATGCTGTGCAAGTTCCGCGTCCTCGTCCGTCCTCGCCGTCAATGAACTGCCGTTCCATCGTTCTCTCTCATAGCTCTGCCTTGACATGCGTTGAGGCACAATCAGCGGGACCGTGTCGGATTTCTATATCTATAAAGGCGGCAACCTTGGCATCCAGGTTGCCCGAGACCGTATTCGCGTTCTTTGCTGGTCAACCCTTTCTCGTTCTCTCCCTCTTTCTCTTTCTTCCTAGGCTGGCCCTTGTTTTGCTTGATTTTCTCGACGTTCTTTCTTCGTGTCCAGTCTCTACTCAAGTCTCTTCTTCTGCCTGCCTTCGGCCTCACGCCCAGACTTCACGATGCTCTCTCCATCCGTCTTGATCCAGATCCTTGTGCTCCTTGCACCTGCCGTTGTCTCTGTCCCTCTCTCTGATCGCTCCTCTGGCAACTCTGCATCAACAACAGCCGTATCGAACGCTACGATCGATGATGATTTCGTTCGACCCGCTCAATTCTCGAGAATCGCATACTGCTCAAGCGCGGCGGTAGAGGCGTGGAATTGTGGGGCGCCGTGTCAAGCATTGGGGATGAATGGAGTTACGCCATTGGTCGTAGGTGGTGGTACGTGATAGTTAAATTCCCTTAGTCTTGGAATTGTGCTGAATTCTACTCGGATGGGATTGCGCGGCTGATGTATGTAGATGGTGGTCAGACACCTCGATGTACGTCCCCCCTTCCTTTAATCCTCCTCTTCCCTCATGCTCAACGCCCATCCATACTCTCCAAAACACTGTATCCAGTCTTCGTTTCACATGACAACAAAACGCAAAGCATCGTCGTAGCCCATCAAGGCACAGACTCTTCCAACGTGTAAGAACCTAACTACCCCCCTCGCTCCTATCTTTTGCTCGCTTCCTGCCTTCGCTCCCGTCTGATTTTCTGATCCCATCCAGATTGTCGATCATAAACGACGCAGAATTTCTTGATGTCGGGATCAATACCACGCTATTCCCCAATGCTGGATGTACGTCCGCCTAGCCATCTTCACACATCCGTCTCCTAACCGCTCCCGATCCACATACTGCCTCGTCCTGTTTGTTTCCCACACTCTCACTCGCCCATTCACCCACAAACGCACCTTCCTATTCTATCCTCGTCAGCGAACGTCTCCGTCCACGATGGCTTCGGCAAAGCCCAAGCCCGAACCGCCCAAACAATCCTCTCAACCGTCCAATCCGGCCTCTCGACCTACAACGTCTCCAAAGTCCTAATCACCGGCCACTCCCTCGGTGCGGCCATCGCGACGATGGACGCCGTGATGTTGAGGATGCAGTTGCCTACTTCTGTGGAGATGAATACAGTTGTGTTTGGAGCACCGAGGGGAGGGAATGAGGCGTGGGCGGATTTGGTCGATGCTACGGTAAGACACAAGTTTGCTACATCTTTCCATCGATGGGCGGCATCTGATGCACTGGCTGGGTGCTTCGCTGTATATAGCTCGGCGGTAACTTCACCTACATCACCCACAAAGACGACCCCGTCCCGCTCGTTCCGCCCCAATTCCTAGGCTACGTCCATCCCTCGGGTGAAGTCCATATCGTAGCCACGGACGACGCAAGCGGAAACGCGACACAGACTATTTCATGTCCGGGTAGGGAGAACGAGAACTGTAGCGATGGTAACAGTTTGTTGGCGAGCAGTGTCTCTGATCATCTAGGTAAGTTGTTCCCTTTTTTTTGTCCTTACGAGGCGAGGCGGTCTCTGGGTACGGGAATGAGAATGCAATGCTGATGGAGTTGCAACATATAGGACCGTACTTCGCGAATGTTTCGATGAGCGGGTCGTCCTGCCCTCTCTAGATGCACACTGTGCCACCATCATCGACCCTCCGTAGACGAACTTACGATACCACGTATACGACTTCATCTCATTCTCTCCCTACCCTATATCCGACTGTGAGCGGGTTGTGGACGATCGGACTTGAATTGGACTTTGAAGCACTGGAACGGACAGCTCGCTGTCCGGTCGCATGTATTTATTCTTTCTCATCTATATTTTTTATACCAGGGGGCCTCGATACCAACCGCTGAGTATCCCCGTTCGTCCGCAATTAGAACGGAGGACATTGATTATGGGCTGGACAAAGGTCTCTTGAATCCTAAAAACATGCCGAGGGTTCGAGGATGGGGATTTGTGTGGCGTCGTGTGTCAATGTGAGAGGTGCACGACGCGTTGCTAAGTTTATACGTCCGCTCCACTCCTATATCCGTTCAATCGTTCTAAACTTCTGGAGAGACAGCTCCCTCGATTGTTGATAAGACAGCGTCTCGATCTTTGAGTCTGGATTTCGAGACTAAAGACAGCGGTACTGGCTATATGAACCCTTGACACTTTCGGTAACAGCAAAATCTGAGCACCTTTCCCTCGCCCACGAAGTAAGTCGACGTCTTGTTCTCCAGAACCACCCTCAACTTACAGTAATAATCTACATGTGGCAATTTTTCTAGCCAGCTTTTCAACTCCACCAAGTTTATAAGAGTTGTGTATCATGTCGGTAAGCCGAGAGACGATTCGTTTCCCATTCTTGTTGATATAATCTCTTCAATTCATAGCTTTCCACCAGTCTCATCACTGTAGCCACGTCGGATCCCATCGTGAATCAGAGTCGCCTCACCATTTACAACGATGTGGGACGTGAGGCCCTTTACGCAGTCGTAACTACCCAGCTCGTCGACATTCGCCACGAAGAAATCGCATCGTGGTCGAACTCCAGTGACTCTGAGCAGAAGTACAAGCATGAATACAAGGACTTCAGCATGTTCAGAGTCACGAAGGGAGAGGAGGTTAGCACCAGAATCAACCTTGCAACGGGCGTATTCACAGGGCTTACAATTCACGGAGAGCATTCTCAAATAAGGTTTAGTCGAGAGGAGGCGACAGGGTCGATAACTGGAACGGTCGAAGTAGCCGTCGCTCCCCACAGGGACCTCTACCTCTACCAGAGAAAGTATACCTTCCTGGTTAAAGTCACCTACATTCTCGATGGATGGGGCAAATTGTGCGATGTGGGGTCGTTGGGAGGATTTCATATTCAGGAGTCGATTTGTGATGTAGAGATTTACACGAGGGAGTGGTTCACACGATCTACCCCGTTGATCGAGACGAGGAGTGAGGCTTTCGAAGGACAGGCGAAGACAGGTCTCGCGGGCATGACTTGCAAGTTTGAGGATCTTACGGAGAAGGCTAGGGATACGATGAGGAGCATGGGGATCGATGGGAGGATCGGGGCCGGATGTCATACGTGAGGGTGTTCATGTCTACTATGAGACTTCCCACAAACCGAACCATCATATCCTGATGACTGACACGGATATTTCATAGATAACTCACTAGAAATTTCGAGATGAAGCTCCTTCAAGTTGCGGGTCTACCATTGAGCGATGGAGTCTGGGAAGGCCCGGTTTTTCCAGTGTCTCGTTCTTTGTCTCTTTGCGTCGACGGTGAAAGCAACGAATAAAGACGAGAAGTTCTCTTGTGCAGAAAGTTTACCAAATATAGCTCCACAGCTCCTTTGTCTCGTATGGTCTCAAATTGGACAACAAAGTGTGTTGCTGTAGCAGTAAGTCTCTCAAGATATACCAAGTATATGTTCCTTTCGAACGCATGGAGGCTTTGATGCCTTTGCCCGAATCGAGGTCTAACAAAATACGGCCTTTGAAATCGCCTCTTCGAGCGGACTAAAGCGTCGAGAGCATTCAAGTAGACATAGGGAAGGTAAAAGCAACCTGGGTAGCAAGAAAATATAAGAACCTGATGTCCATCGACTTCCTCCAAAGCACCTCCAGACTATCACCTCAATACCTCCTCTAATCCACCACCCATTGAACTTGCCGCCGACGTCCCTCGCCACCAATTGGTTGACAAAAAATGGCCTCCAACCACTCTTGCCTCCGATCCCCCGTCTGCGACCGCAATGGGAACACCTGTAGTCTTATTACGACCGTGTTGAAAGTGCGGAATGGTCGTCTCGCGGCTTGACGCGCTCCAGAAGCATCAAAGGGCGGGTACTGCGGGGGTAGGTCCAGGCGGAATAGCGAATTCGGGGGCAGAGTTGCGAAAGAGTCGCCTGTAGACGTCGACGAGTGTGACGTCGACAAGAATAGGTACAGTCCTCTACCTTCCCGGTGACACCAGTCCAGTCGCTTATACCGATAGGTGCAAACTCTTCACTTTCAGCCTGCAAGAAGAGAAGGCAAAGTACAGCGATAAGAAGCACAAGACAACATCGTAGAGCACTCTGATGTAAGTTGCTGTGAGCCTTTCTTTCACCGTTTCTAGCAGACACTTAGTCCATCTATGCATCTCCTATGTATACAGCGTTCCGCTCAGCTGTGGGTCCCACCACGCCCGGCAACACCCTACCCTGATCCCCGACCGCTTAGCAAGGAAAATTATCTCCTTCCACTGAAGAGGAGACTTGGTACGGACGACCTTGAAGTTGAAGATCAGGTTAGTAACGACGAGGAGACAGCGCCGGCCCCTAAGAGGCAGCGTCTTTTTGACGAGACGACCTTCACCCCCTCGAGCACGGCGAACAGGAACCTGTCGGCTTCTTCGCCCCCGCGGAGTACGTTAAGCAGGGACCCCTCGATGCCCCCATCCCCGCGTATGAAAACGTCAAGCAGGAACCCATCGACGCCCTCATCCCCACGTACAGCAGGAGCCAGCCTATGCATCGTTCTTGGTCCACGTGCAACCACAGGGAATCTTAAATCCCTATATGTACGTTCCTCTTCGACCTCCGTGTACGAGCATGCCAAGGAGGAACCTGTCGACGCCGTGATCCCCAATAACAGCCATGTTCAGCAAAAGCCAGCCTATGCACCGTTCCAGGTGCAGGTGCGACCACAGGTAGTCCTCCATCCATACATGTACGTCCCACTCCTGCGCGGCGAGTCGCGGGTCATCCGCAGGGTACGTGTGGAGTGGGAAATGCCCGTCAAGTATGAGGAGGACTCCGACACGAAGGATGAGAGGCCCATCAAGCCACTCCCAAGGAGAGTGGAGCGCGTGCGTGTCAAGGAGGAGGACACAGATCCTAGCCCTAGGTCTCTCACATTCAGTGGGCCATCAAGTGGGGATGATGTCCCGCCCGTACCGGTGAGATTGATACCAGCAATCTGACTCGTCGTCGTTGCTTGCTAACCAAACCACTCGATTATAGGCTCGAAGGCTAGTACCCTACGAAAGCTCGGACGACGAGTCTGAAGAAGACGATAGCCACTTGTCGCCGACAAGGGGCTCACAATCGAACGTCATATATGATCCAGAGGAAATCGAGAGACAGCTCGAAATGTTGCCACTGTCCGTGGAGGAGCAGGCGCGGCAAGATGCCGAGGCTCACGCAGAACTGTACGGTCATAGCCCGCGTGGCGACCTTCCTCTTCGCCTGCGCTCTGGCTCTATGGCCGCGAAAACACACGCTGAGGGTACTTCGTCATCGGATAATACCCCAGGAATATCCCCCCCTCTACACCGAACGTTTACACAAACACTCACCTCTGGCTATTAACGACAAACTCGGAAGAAGCTCCTTAGGCTGAGCTACCCCGTATAGCCCCTCATCGACACTATCAATCCCCTACATCTTATCCACCATCATCGTCCGACGATGGAGATGGATCGTAATCATGGTCCGTGGGTTATCATGTCTAGAAGAGACAGAGGAGTGGAGGGCAAGAAGGGCGAAGGTCATGGCATCAGGTTCGGACTTGGCCTCCATGAAGATTGGTGGGAGGACGGAGGATGGTGGCAGATACGCCTCCGTTCTGGACAGATTCGAGTCCCGGCACTGGAAGCTCAAGCGCGCCGACTTTCGTTTCTCCTGACGAGCCGCCCAGGAAAAAACCTCGTACTACCAAGTCGCCCACAAAGCCGCGCACGGTGTCGCCCCGGAAGAAAAAGGCGGTGAAGCCTCTTGCATCCGCATCTGCTCCCGTTGTAGCACCTCCCTCGCCGTATAAGAAGACATATGCGCGCCCCGCGGGCACTCGTTCGAGCGGGCGCTGTCGAAGAACAGAAGAAGATAGTCAAGACCAATGGGAAGGCGAGAGTGGATGATGGGTACAAGTTGTCCGGCCACGATAGCTGGATATCGCTGGGACAGAATTCATCACCATATCAAAACAAAACAACTGGGAGCTCCAATGATGGCGAAGGGCCATCAACTACAGCAGCCCAGACACTTTCATTCGGACGTGGTGAAGAGTAGACGTGCTTCCGACGGGAGATACTAAACCGCGTGCTGGATCGAAGTGAAGGGGGTAGGAAGTGTGGAGCGGGAAGGAACTCGAGAGAGAATGGTGACGACTGCGTCTACTACTATAGAGGTTGGGATTTAGTTTAGATGAAGTACTCTAGGTGGGGGACAATGTATCGTGTTCGTCGGCGCGTGATCTTGGTTCAACTCACCTCCATCTTTCCCATTTCGTCTCTTCTCGGCGGGTATCGTCCTTGGTAGGATGTTTTTACGATCGCGAGCCTGCGCGCTTCTGGTCGAAATGATTAGGAGATTCCTTCGATGTCTTGATTCGCGTCTCTATCTGCAAGTCTCTGTGGCACTGACATCATTGCGGTTCGAATGGACGAACGAGCGGTCAGCGGCGAGGTGTCTGACCAAGGAATGAACGCACGTACCTTGCCAGCTACGACATCTCATTCGATTCATTCGTATACATCCAGTGGCGCACCTCGACGATAGGGTGGTTTTAACTTGGAAGAGCAAGTCGAACAGGGAAGGCAAGGCTCACCGCGCCGTTTACCTCCTCTTTTGTAACAACGCCCCCTAGGGCTCTGTTAGGTATTTTATCGATACATTGTGGCCTTTCTAACATATGGACCAAGACGCAGGCCTACCGGTCACATTCCCATACGAAAGTCCTGTCGATGGATCTGGACGATCCCCAGAATCAGCTCCCTGCGCAAAAGATGTGGTCGTTTTGTTACAAGAGTATCGAGGTTAGACCTAAGCATAGCCCATCCCCGTCCTTGCGAAAGTTCGACAGATAAATTGAACAGCATGAGAGTGGAGGAAGGAAGGAGACGCTTGGTGGCGCAGCCTGGCGCAGCTGCCATTGCTTTTCTCCGTCGGCGTTACCACGATGGCGCCGGATTGTGGCGTCATTCTGAGTGGCCCTAGACAAATAAACATGATCATTTTCTGGAATTTTCTTCTGTGTCGTCGGTCCTGTTTGACGCGAGTACGTATCGTACTATTATTCAGAGAACAGCTCGTTGCCCAAGTTTCGTACGCTTTTTCAACACAAAGCGATGAGGATATCTATGTAGCTATCGAACTACGGGCGCAGACGCAAACTCTGAATCAGGTCGTTGGTTTCCACCTCACCGACAGAGCTCATCATCCCTCTCATTGTATGATCTCGTCTACTGGCCTTTCTCAATCATCCAGGTATTCTGGCTCTTCCATGTTCAAAGAAACCCCCGCGTCGGCTCTATATCCGAGTCCTTCACCTGGAAGCTTTATATATCTCCATTCTCTATCCTTTCCCCCATGCAGAACTCTCTCCCCGCTCTTTCTCCCGCTCCGACTATGGTGTTGCGGTCCGATCATCGACCGTCGAGTTGGTCGGACCATAGGAAAGCTACGCCACCCGACCCCTTCGGCGCCGCAACGATTTAGAAGCGATCAGCGCACTAGTGATTTCCTTGTTCCGTGCATCCTGTCAATCCATACCGCTCAGTCTCTATCAATCTCAACATAGCGACCGTGACGCCCAGCAGCCCAGGCTCTTGTTGCCCCACCTTTCCCCATCTACGCTTTCGCGTCGGTTTTCTGAATGAGATGGGCCCATACATACGGATGGAGTTACCAAAAATCGGAGAACCAATTCCTCCGATTCTCGTTGAAAACGCTCAAGTTCAGAGAGGTTCTGGACCAAGTACCGTAGGTATCGACTTCTGCGCTGCTCAGTCCGAACAAACTCTCTCCTGGATGCTTCCCCGTAAGAACGACGTGACTCGATCCTTCTTTTCGTCTCGTCGTAACCGTCTCGTCCAAGTCTGGATGATTTATTTTCGCTACGCATATATGCATGTATGCGCACGGCGGGGATTCGAAGTTCGGGATTCGCAGCTTCGAGCTCGCTTCGAACCAACATGTTGCTCCCGACGACGACGACGGCGACGATACCTCGTGCAGTCCCATGGAAGGCGAAAAAGAGCAAAAAGGAAACACAAGGAGACATATTGTTGGCTGTCCTAGAGAAATGGAATTCGTTGTTATTTGGGACGGGACACATCTGTTCGTGACTGAGATTTATTGGTGGGACGTGGGTACGTGGATAGACGTATTCAGAGAGAAATTGCCGGACTGGACATCGGAGGTTTGAAATGCACGGAGGACGCAGTGGCGAAGATAGGGTCGGAATGTGATATATGCCTCAGGGATCCAGACGTGGGGCGAATGACAAGAACCGAGAAAAATGGGCAAAACTGAAGTGGAGAGTCGAATCGGATGGGAGCTCCTATCCGCCCGACAGGGAGCTCCGAGCGCTCCAGTTCGTTTTTATACTCATCTGGGGTCATATTGGGGATTAGACCTAAAGGGAATACGTTAGGATTATAGTTACAAGCAACTTTTAGACGAGAGGTGGCGTAAGAAATGAAAAGATTACAGACTCACGATGGAGAAATGACCATGGATCATGTCCGGAGGACGAGTTCGATGACCGGACGAAGGCATGAACGGAAAAAAAGCGGCCTGGCACTTCACGAAAGGCTTCCGAATATTCCGGTCCACAAAGCATCAAGTATAGCAAAGAGAGAAAACGAATAATCGCGTGATAATTAAGGTCCGTGCGCGTACGGTTTGTCCCGCGTGGTGCCAGTCCAGCTCGCCGGTTGAAGATCTCGAGACTTTCCGCGAAGGTCTGTCGTCGGAAGCAAAACAGTGTATGCTTTTGTGGGCAGGATCGTCTCGAGTGAAATAACCCACATCGCATCATGAGGCTGTGAAACGACCAGGAGGACGTGTTGAATGCTGCGTAAATTACTACTCAAACACTACGTACTGATTGACTATAAGTCGAGGACATCAGCTATACCATGTGCTGACAAGGCGCTCTTCGCAAGCTTCACAGGAGGGTGCAAAGTAGGAGCTTTCCAAGCACCGACATCGTGCAGTGGGAAGTCTACGCCAGGGCGAAAAAAGGCGTGGTTGTCAGCGTGCATCCGGGTTTGCCAGGTGAGAGATATCTCATCACCACTGGGAACGAGGGCCACAAGACACTGCGCCCTTGGAGGCCCTTGGCCATATCACAGTGGAATGTTACTGTGCAGTCTGCCAACCACGTCGACGGTTGGCAAGTACATTGCCCAAGGCGGTATGACGATCGTAACGAGGCTATGCGACATCATCAGCGACGAGGACGACGAGGACGCAGCATCGTGAAGAACGAGCAGAGATCTGGAGCACAAGAAATCTGGAGAAGATATAGGCGACTGCATGGACAGTGCACAGCTGACTGGAGTCAAAGTGGTGTATCATGAGACCCTAGTTGCCCATGGAGATCTATAGCATGTTGACTAGCCCGAGTCGAAGGTGGCACTGTGGCGACGTCGACGACGTCCAAGTGAGACGACCGCCCACTGGTAGTAGTGGATAGCATAGAGTAGATAAAGACAGAAGGAGTCCAGGGACCTACAGTGAAACACATTGGGGACAAATAAACCTCCTGAATATGCCCGATGTGGCGATACAAGCGGAGATTGTGGGCGTGGGGTTTGGCCCGAGCGGTTGGCGACCGAGGACTGCGTTGCCAGGGCGCGCCGTCGCGACTGCCAAACGCGTCATGAAACAAATGCGCCAACCGTGCGTCACCACGTGCCCGCCGCTGGGACCGCACCGCGCATAAATATATAAAGTCGCGCCCTTTTTTGCGCGGTCTCTCGTGCTTTTCCCCTCCGACCACTACGTTCCCGCCTCTGCTCAGCATTGACCGCGACGACGACGACGCGCAACGATTAAACTAGCATACTGTTACTACCAAATATTTAGCCTATAGCTGCTTTGCTTCTACCGGTGCCTCGCCCCCAACGCACGGATCAGAACAAGCCCTCGTGCGGACCGCCCATATCGCTGCATAAAACTGCATCGAGCAACACACGCACACGCCACTTCCACTTGCGGCCAAACTTCAACTTGCATCAAACACTCCCACACCGCCTCCTCTATAAAACCCTCTTCTCTGCTTCTAAGACCACCGTTCACCCCAACTCGAACTCGACCAACGACTATGGCAGCTACAACTCAGCGCGGCGCATACTCCTCCATCTTTGCCTCGGGCCTCCTTGCTACTCCTCGTGCCCACTCCAACTCTCCACCTCCCTCGGTGTCGCCCATGTCCGTCGACCTCACTATGGACTCGACCCCAACTCGCCCGTCGCCCAACCACACTCCCACCGCATCCACTTCTTCCTCTCTCACTCCCACCCCCACCAGCACAACAAGCGACGTGTTCGGCGAAGTCATCAACCGTTCCCGTTCATCTAGCACCGCAAGCACCGCTTCCTCAGTCACCAACACCAATGCCAATGGTCCTCCGCGTTTCCGTCGTCGCAGGAGCAGCCTTACCGTTCAGACCACGGCCATGGGCAACATCAAGTCTCCCTTGAACAATGCGGGCGCCGCGTTGCAGAGGACGGCTATCGCAATGATGAGCCCTTCAGGTACGCGGTCGAGGAGTGGGACCGTTAGCAGCGATGTTGCTGCGATGACGCTCTCGGAGCCTCCGGCGTCAGCAGATTCCACGCTGAAAGGAAGGGGCAGGAGTGGCAGCTTGGGCGACGCGCTTCGGTATGTCTGTCTTCCCTTCGTTCCTTCCATTGTACCTCCCTTTGTCTTTTGGACGGTGCCACGCGCACCGCTACCCCTTGATTCGCATGCTTATTGTTTTTGCACTGTCGGTTCGAATTCACAGCTCAAGGCGCAACGTCCGTCAAGCCCGTCCTCCGCCTCCGTCCGCTCCCCTCCCGGCTCTTCCCCCTCTCCCACCCCTGCCACCGATGTCCTCTCACCAGCCTACCGTCTCCCACTCTCATGATATCTCCCACTCGCCTTCGCACTCTTATCCACTTCCTATTCGCCGGCCCTCTGTCAGTCGATCACTCACGTCTGAATCTTTTGGGTCTTTTGGGTCTGGTGGGATTGAGAATAGGATGATGGCGTGAGGGATGGAGGCGTGAATTTTAGGGGAGTTGGGGGCTGCACGTTGTCCAGGCCGCGCTATGCTATGCTATGCTACGTTGTCCTTGTGGTCCGTAGGGTTTAGCGTCGCTGGCCGGCGCCGATGTCTATGTGGTTTGATGATCCGCTTTTTCTTCGCCTTTTTCTCGCTCTTCCGGTTGCTTGTCGGTGTCTTTCGACCTTGATGGTGACTTTTCGATCGTTGACGATGCATTCTGCTGTTTCATGTTTCGTGTTAGATGAACTTTTTGCCACTACTAATCCATGTATACCTTGACTTGGTATACCTTCTCATCTTTATATATACCGTGCTTCTTCATCTTCATCGCCTCTTTTCACATCCGCATCTTTTTCCCATTATCATTCTCATTGCTTCTTCCCGCTTTTACTCACCCGAACTCATCATTGCACACCCATCGCATCACTCGCATCGATCATCTTGGACTTTCTGTTATATCACCACCGTCTCATCATCCAAGTCTCGTGCTCTCTTCTCTCCGTCTCTCCATATCTCCATCTCTCTTCCTATTCCTCTTCTCAATCCTCTCCTCTCCTCGTGCTCGATGCTCGATGCTGTGTACAGACGGACTAGACCTGACTCCTCACCACCGCTTATCCTACCGTATACGTATACTCTATTCTCTCCCTTCCTCGTCCTGTCCATGTCTTTGTCCATTGTCCATTGTGCCTATAATCTCCTCCTCGCCCTCGTCTGTAAAAACTTCCAATCCACTGTGTGTTCGATAGCCCGTCCCGTCGTCTATACAGTATCCATAATACGCCACCCCTCGAGAGTATTCTCGAGAGTCGTCCACGCTCTTTTGTCTCGCAATTTTTTTACTACCTACTACCTACTATCACTATCGATACTCGCCTTGCCGTTATTACTACTACTCCCCCCAGAACCCGCTAGTACATACATAAGTATTATCCTCGTTATGAAGAATCGATGACTGCTTACGCCTTTTCTTGCTTTTGCGCTGCGCTGGTGTGGTGTGATGTGGTGCGGTGGTGTGGTGTGATGACATGTTGCAGTTGTTGGGTCCTTTGCGTTCGTTCCTGTTCCTGTGCCCATGAGCTAGAGGGTACATGTATGTGCGAAAGACCTTCCGAGGTCCTTCCTCCAATTCCCGGCCCTGTCCTCCGCCAGCCCCGCCGTCCTCTGTTCGGACAATGGCACGTGAAAAGACCGAAGAATAAAAATCGGTTACCACTGTGACCGCCACCGCCACCGCCACTGTCAGTGTCGATGTTGTCGATGCTTCCGTCTTTTTTTCGAGGTTTGGCGTCGATGTCGCTTATATACTTCCGTCGTTGGTCGTCGGAAGTTTCAGGTCCTTCGAGTCCCCGAGGCCGAGGAGGGAGTTTTGGAGTCGAGGTGAGTTGGTTGGGTTTTTACTTCTTTTTTGGACTGATCATTGCTCTCTCTGACTCCATATTGTGGCGACACTCGCTGAGCATCGTTCTACGCTGCTTTGGATTTCCTGGCAACAACTTAATCATGGCTGCACAGCAGAACGACGGTATGCCTCGAGAGGGTCCCGGGCTAGATTGGCATCCTCGACGAACCAAGAAATACGGGGCATGGGTTCGCATTCATTCACGGTGGCCTACAACTGTTTGTGCTGGCTCTTCGATTAAAGAGCGGCAAATCAATCCTTGGTTGCTCTTTTCGAGCGTGTCGTGTACATAATGCCCGCTTTGGTAACCTCCTTGTGCTTGGATGTGGGGGATGCTTGACAGAGGATGGAAGGTACGGCCACATAAAAATATACGCGCGTGTCATTGGAGGGTTCGCAAGCTCGAGGGTTCGTGAGGATGGTTCATGAGCCGTGGTTTGCGAACCAAAATATCATGAAACGTCGATGTCCTCCATGACGCCACATCTACAGGAGCGCGAATGGAAAAGATGATGACGAACACTGGCACGGGCATGGTTCAACGTAGGTACACACAACCCCAGCACATTACGGCATGAATCGTCAAGATGCACGAGGACAGGAAAGAACCTGAAACGTCTACAATGGTCTTTGTTGGATACTAAACAGGAACTCATTATAACGGCTTTAATCTATAGCATAAATTCAAGACAAAATCGCCACGAGCCAGACCACCAAGCATCCCTCCAGTGGATAATATTGCGAACCGAATCCGACCTCTCCGCCACACCTACCAACCCGTCTACCATCTTTACTTCCGTCACAAAACGTACCGACCGCGTGACTCTGCCTCACCAGAACGTCGACGGCGAGTATGGAACCATTGATGCACCGCGCGTAGCGGTAGGTCCAACTCCTTTGCAATCGCACTCTTCTCCTCCGTGGTCGGGTATTTCTCACGTGCGAAAACTTCGTCCAGGACACACAGCTGATAGGAATTCTTCGTTATATAAGTGTTCCGCTTGATGACCGTGGGTTTCGAGACTGGTTCATACTCGATCACTTCCAGAGAGTCTGCGTCGTTGTTGGCTGGTCTGGTCGCTGTGAAGTCATCACGCAACGCAGGTGGAGGGGAGTCATGAGAGGGTGGCTGCAGCGATTGAACAGGGCGTTGTTCTACGCGATCGGTATGCGCTATAGGCAACGCTTCCTCCTGGCGAGTCGTCGAAACAATCGCTTGAGGATGTCGCTGGTCGTAGGTCCAAGGGAGGGATTTAACAGATTCCGGAACGTGGGTGCCATTCGTGTTTGAGGTGCTAGCTGTATACGGTTCAATCGGGATGGGACTACGGTACCGGTGTTTCGAGTACGTCTTGTCGTTGAGGAAATCGGGGTTCGGAGGAAATTTCGACTGAAGCGGGTTCGAGCGCACGTAGGTGACCCATCGAGAAACCTCGGGCCGTTGTAGCGTACTCGGTAAGGATGTGATTTCTCCGGTGCCAGTAGAATGTAGATTCGCACCAGAGGCTTCAGGATGTGGAGAGTGACGAGACATATAGGTAGTACTGGATAGGAAGGAGACTCCGGTGTGCGCAGAGAATAAGGCGAGGGAGATTTATCGACAGTACAGATCAGAGGGACGAGGAAGTTGGCGAACGGTCGAGACACGATAGCGCATACGAAGCGATTCTTATATGCGCAGTGGGCAAGTTCTCTTTGTCGGTGGCATGAGATCTGCCTGTTGGCACTGATCAAAGCTCGAGCTCCGGCAAGAGGGATTACGACTAGGCTGACACCGGAAGTGCCGATGAGACACAAAGATCGAAAGAATCGCGAACCAAGTCGCAAGAACAAAGCTCAGGCCAAGCTCAGGCTCAACCCTATTCCAGTTTCATGACATGTTCAGAGACAACATGCAGTTCAAGCACCAGTGGTCAAGCATCCAGATAGCATAGCGGCGAAACATTCGAGGCGCAACGTGTTCGAGAAGGTGGCGAGTAGTGGTCAAGGAATTCAAGTCCAACTTGCGGTTGCCCATGATGACGTGGGAAGCGGTGCCAAGGGTCCCGTCTGCTTTCCGCTCTCGGTCACAACGGTTTCCTTTCTGGTAACAATAACACCTTGCTTCCATCGCGCTCAACCGCCGACGCTCCCTCACCAGACCCGCCTTTTCTTCTTTCATTTTACACGACTTCTTCCCAAGGGAACACGATGTCGACTTATCTCCCAAAACACACATCGAAATGTAACGCGTTTCGACGAGCTTCTCTTGAGCTTCTCCGAGCCCATCAGTCTTGACGAGTCTTCGGTATCAGGAAACGCTTGCGTAGGCCGTCGCATTCTGTCTTTGTTGAGTGGGAGACTCGTTTTATATTTGATTGTTAAAGCCCATGTAATAGGAACTTGACTGCCTCTAGGCTGTAGGCCTACTCGCCTTTGTCATCTTTCTTTAGGCCGCTCATGCGTAGCATTCTACCGATTGTACTGCAGAGCATGCGCCTCCAAGCGTAGTCCACGGTGACAACACATCTGGCTACGTTGGGAACATATACGCTACGATTAGAATGCAGGCCCTGTGACTTGCGAAGTCTGCGAGCGATAGAACAATAACGCATGTAAAAGTGCCGAATACGGAACAATGAACTCTGTCGGGGTCCTCGTGGGCGCACGTTTATTCACGGAGTCGAGCGCCCAAACATGGCATAAAGCCGAGGGCTATTGTACCCCCGCAGTCTGTCTTCACACAGGCTCGTCGGCCCCGTCTTCTGCGTGGCTCATACATAAGAACTTTGCAACTTTGCTACTGCTGTCCTCAGTTTGCCAGCTAGTCTCGCATCGTCACCACTTGATCTTCTCCGCCCTTCACGTCTTGACTGTTTACGTCTCTCACTGTTGTTCACTGTATCCATAATCTAGATTTCATTCTGCTCTAATTGCACTCGTTCTGTCCATCTCCTTTCTCTGTATCGATCTGTCACACTGCTTTGAACGCAAAGACAATCGTATATCATCTCCTGGTGAGTCATACCTTCCGTAACCCTATTTCGTTCGAACCGGCCCACTGATTGTCTTCGGACGTGCACAGCATCTCACGACTACTTTGTATCCTCAACAATAAGACCACGTCTCACCATGGCTGCTCCAATGCACTTCGATCTCTTCCCCCAACCCGCCTTTGACTTTCTATCTCGTCCACCTCCACAGAAGAAGCGTCCAGCAGGCCCTCCTCCTCCCACTCCTCCTCTTACCATCAGCAATCTTATCACTACCGCTCCTTCCAGTTCTTACCGCCGCTCTTCGGTCACCGGAATAACTACCTGGGCCTCAAAAGTCATACCTGGAACCCCTGCTCCCACGAGTCCACCGACTACGACCCCTACATCCGGTCGTCGTCCCTCTCTTATCTTCCGTCGCTCCTCGGTATCCTGGAACGGAGGTCGTCGCTCCTCGTTCACCGCCAATCGCCGTCCTTCTGCTTCGTTTCTCAACGTAGCGGAGACTCCGATTGCTGCTACTCCTTCGTTCAAGGACTGCAAGTACGACCTATCAGCGCTCGGATACACTTACGCCGTCGTCCCTCTTCCTACTCCGATGGAGCCCATATCCCCTACACGTCGCTCAGGGATCGACTTGCCAAAGCTTCATATTCCGACGTTCTCTTCCTCCACTCCTAAAGGTTCTCCTACGAAGCCCCATGGCCCACTTCACCTTTTCCGATCCCGATTCCGATCCAAGTCAATCTCCGCCTCCACTCGACTTCCTCTCCCCTCCTCTCCCAGCAAGCCTAAATCCTCCACCACCCTCACGAAGCCCAAATCCAAGTCCAACAAAGCATCGCGTCGCCGTTCGCGTTCTGTCTCTGGAACGGACTCTGCTTCCACCTCGACCAGTGAGCGCAAGAAATCCACGTACGCCAACTTGGCGAAACACGAGTACACGGCCGGTGGCGCTTCTCTCCAGCGCGATGTCGCCCTCATGCAGTTCATGGGCGGAGGCTCGCACGAGAAGAACATCAAGAATGTGATGCGGAAGAAGGCTAAGGCGGAGCGGAAGGAGCAGGGCTTGGATTTCGAGTGTAAGGGTGAAGATGTGGCGGTGGACGAAGTGTGGCGGGATGGGAAGGGTGGCATATGGAGGGATGAGGACGAGGCGTTGGAGTACCACGGGCTATTGGACGGGTATAGCAGTAGCAAGGAGCGCGTGTCGAGGGAGTGGGTCGGATTTGGTGGGAGTGGGGAAGTTAGTCCTACGGGTGCGGCGGAAGACGAGGAGGAAAGGAGAGGCAGTGTGTCGACGCAAGACTCCGATCTCGATCCTCGATACGTCGTTCCCGCTGCTTCCACCGAGAACGTCGCCGTCGATATCGATATCAACGTTCTATCGCATTCGAGTCCTCCTGCCCAGTCTTCTGCGCCCGGCATTACGATGCTCACGGTCCCCTCACGCCCCAACCGTCTTGCTCCTCACCTCCGAAAAGCTCCCTCTTTCATCCTCGAAGCATTCGTTCCTCGTTCACCTCCACCGGTCCCTCACCAGCGTTCTCGTTCTCTCTCAGACGCGATATCCTCTGTTCAGCCTGTGCAACCAACCCCACTGCCGAAGGGCAAAGAACGCAGGAGGCCCGCAGCGCTCGATCTTCGCCCAATCGAGAATCAGACCAACTTGATGCCGGCACTGTACGCTGTTCAAGGTGAAGCCGAGTTTTTAAGCGATTCGTTCGAACCCGCTCCCACATCGGAACCGGAGAATGTACGAAAAGCAGAGATTTCGGAGGTTAGTAGTGTGAGGCGAGGTCTCGGTAGGAGGGCTTCAGTGTTAAACCTGGGTGTCGGGTTGTTGATGAAGGCAGTTGGTGGCGCGAAGAAAGAGAACGGGGTCTGTGCATGAAGTGCCTGCTTGGTCAAGCCCACTTTGTGCACGGAGCTATCGGTACAGGTTGTTTATTGTTTATGTTGCGGCTGAAGTACATGCACTCTTTTATTTTACGAATTTTCATGCTCGGTCATGAACTCTGACTGCTTACCACGATGCATATATACACGTCTAGTGTTCCTTACTTCATGAATCATCTTACTCTTACTCGCCCACTTTTAATATGTTGTTGTGTTCAACGTTCTTTGGATACCGTCTTGTCATGGCCTCATGTTCTATGCTTGTATGCATCTATCTACAAAAATATTGCTTCTACACTTCTGTGTTGAGGTAGAGTGACCACCTATGAATTGACGAGCGACAGAAACTCGAGCTCAGAACAAAAAGGACGAGAAAAATGACGCAAAATCGAGATAGAGAGAAGCAGACCGCCACGCCTGACGGTGTGCTGAGCATCGTACAAGAAATACATATCACCCTTTAAACTTCTCAGGCCTTACACGCCGGCTTGTGCGCCTTCCAATGTTGCTTTTGACATACGCTATCGCAATACCTTACAAATAAAAACGAGGATCAAGACTTGGACAAGAGTAACCGTCGACAAGGGTAGATGTGAACGAAAAACACATACCTAACTTTCCCACAATTCCTGCACTTGTGCAACACCGCACTCGGGTTCCTACACCACGAACACCTATACAACTCCGACTGCGCCCAGCTCGGCATATTCGCTCCATCTACTGGCTGAACCCTATTGTCCGAATGGACGATATATTGTCCCTCCGCCTCCGGATCGTCGGCGCCTTTCGCAAGCCAAGCGTTCAGGTCGTCGCGCGCGGAAGAGTCGCCGTCGGTCTTGGGAGTAGACATAGTAGTGTCCTGCTTCGCGTGGGCAGTACCGGCGATGATTACGTCGCGCCATTGAGAGCAAGATGGAGAAGAGCGGAGATCAAGGAGCATGAGGGCAGCAAGGCGGTTTTCCGTCCTAGGAATAGGTCGACTAAAATAGTGGGCCACAGACTCAGCTTTGCGAATCTTGCTCTTGACGAACTGAAGTCGATAGGACAAGCTGATCAGAAGGAGTAGGCATGAACTGGGCGCGAGCGGACATACCATAACCTCCTCCGAGTCATCCTTTAGTTCGTGACCCTTCACCAACATGACCATCAGCACATAGATGTACGCCACATCTCCCATCCTCTTCGCATCTGGACTCGCAGTGTCCAGAAAAGTCCTAGTATCGTCCAAAGCAGACATAGAAAACGCCACCGCCTCCTGCCATGTCCGCTGTGAATACATCGCAAACCTCAAAGCCTTCTGCGCCAGCGTCATTGCGCTCGTCGAAGCCCTATATAGCATGTTGAATTTCACGTATTCCGTCTGGCCCGAGCACTTCATACCCTTCTTCAAGTACCGCAGCGCTTCCTCTTGATCGGCTTCGCATGAGGCGGCATACCAGAAGAAGGCGCATTGGGGATAGACGGAGGTACACTTCTTTCCGAGCTCACGGGCCTTGGTGTAGCGTTTGGCGGCAATATTGTACTTGATCTCGATGACGTCGGCCTTGAAACGGTCTTCGGGGCCTCCTCGGTCGCGGAGGGCTTTGGCGCACAGAGGAAGTACGTCTATATAGTTCCTGCACGGGAACGGCTGGACGACCGTAGATTTGTTGAATTCGCCCATTATAACGACGGTTTCGCAAGCGAGGATCCAACCTGCTAACTTCGTGCCGAGGGTGTAGTAGTCATGATCTTGAGCGACCTGGTCCATCCCTCTCATGTAGTACGGGGCGTAGTAGACCATAGGGAAAGCCTCGGAGCGCTCGAGCGGTGCGTTTTCGAGAGGGCCACCAGGACCAGTCAGAGCTGCGAAGTCGGCTGCCTTCAGGATTTCCTCGCGAGAATCCGAAAAGCTCGGGGTCTCGAGCTCGGCGATTGGCCATTGGTACTTGAGGATGCCCATGAGACCTGCGTTTCTGAAGCGCGAGTTCGAGCTGAAAGTGCAAGCGGCGAGGAATGGGATGGCTTCGGGGATGGCTTCGAATTCTGCGCGACAATGGAGTGTGGCGCTGGAGAGGAAGAAGGTGCAGACGTCGAAGAGAGAGGGTCTCCGAACGAGTTTGAGCATGAGACGAATGAGGCGGCCAGTATCAATGGCACGCAAGTCAGCAGCGTCCAAAGCCGAGACCGTGATATTCTGGGTGTATACGGACAAGCTGTTGGCGAGGGCTGTCGTGGCAAACTGCAGGGAACCGTCGGGATCGTTGTCAATCCTCTTCTCGATGAAGTCCATAAGAGGTCCACCGAGCTTGGCACCTATGGATTTGCGGTCGTCGGAGTCACAAAGAAGGCTTACTCGGTAGAGACAGTGCGAGACGACGAGGCCAGATGTTCCATTGGGGTGGGTGAGAAGCCATCGCACTTTCTCTAAGAAGTCTACATGTTGCATGCAGTAAGGACCAAACAGACTCATACTTGATAAACGGTGAAAATCCTTGGACCTACCACATTCTGCAAAAATCCGCTTGCACAAGATCGAGTCCGCACACATCTTGACATATATCGCTATGACTACTGCACAGGAGGGACTTTCACCACGAGCTCGCCCGGTGGCGTATGTCTTATTGAGAAGTAGTGTGATTTTGTCCCAGTCCTTGTGTACCTTTTTCAGGCCATGCTTTGTACGTATATCTGCAGAATGTCGTCAGTTAGCGCGGCAGGAAGGGTATACAATAGAGGTACCATCCAGACGACGGCAGCAGTTTCTGGAGTCATGAGGCAAGTGACGCACGACAGTTCATTGAGACAGTTCACCGCGACGCATGAGGCGGACCTCCCAGACATGAAGACACTGTAACAGTGCATTCTATACTGGCTGCGAAAGAGCCCGCATGGCTACGACTTCACAGCAGACTTCTCTACGAGTAGCAGTAAACAGCGCTGGAAGTCTATTCTACGGCCCTCGCGTATTTCGAACATCCCTTCAGAACTTGTACGTTTCGAGCTGCACATAAACATACTGGTTCCGCGAACCATTATAAAGAATAATATGATAGTACAATGACTAACCTGGGAGCTTGCACCTCTTAGTGACTTCCGCGATAGTCTCAGCCCACGAGTACTGGACTGCAAGCCCTGCCAGGACGTCCACTAGCTCGTCGATCGATTCATCGGGTGTATATGTTGATGATGACCCTGGACTGGGTTCAGGAGGCCGGATATTGGAGTCTGGCATATTCAGCAGCTTCCACTAATGCGGGATCGATGTTGCGAGGCTCCAACTTGAAAGGGTGGGAACTTCCTCGACCAGAGCCGACAGCTTCTTAACGGGACAGGTTTGAGTCGGAGAGTCGACCTCCAAACAAGAATAAAAAAATATAGGAGAGAGACCAAGTGCGGAACACTGAAATCGAATTGGTGGAGAGGTTCGTGAAGAAAGAAAGGCGTCTGGCCGGGACAAGGCCGGGACCATAGAGAACGAGGCGCTTCATATGTAGCACGTGAGTGGCGTACAATCTAAATAAGTTATGTGGCCCAAATCGCCGAATTCCCGGCATTCTCCCTCGCTCAAATTTGGCGTTGTCGACTTGTTGTTTGCTTGTTGTCGACTCGTCAATTCCTTTCCTTTCCGTGTGTGCCCACTTTACATGTCCGCAGCCTCTCAGCTAGTGCTAGTCCTCTCGTTAGTATTGCTAGCAAATCCCCCTTTGAAATGCTCCATATCCAATCCTGTAAAGTCTCATTGAATCTTGTCACGATCAACGCAAGATCAACGAGGCCGGTCATCGATTTGCCTTCGGTTCAGTGCAGAGCAATGCTTGAGGGACATTGACCACAGGGGATACTGATGGCCACAAAAATTCTAACCGACCTAGAACGCCGGCTGGTATACCACAGCTTGGTAGCGATGATGGCACGATCCAGAGCGGCTCAAGGGGGTGGCAGAGATTGCAGAAGTAGGTACCCCGACGCCGATGTACTACGTGCGCACGAGCATCCTTCTAGTTATCACATTTATCCCAGCTGACTGCCGTTAACTCCTTTTTGTCTTTCAGAAGCTCTCTGATCCCAAAATGGTTGATTCGGTGTCAGGACTCTGACTTGTTGCTGGTGATTGCCATGATCCACGTGCACACGTTCCTTTGAGCTCCAGATCACCAGTAGAGACGCAAACGGACATGCTCAATACTCAGAACACGGGTCATCGGCTCAGTGTCTGACAGTATGACTAGCACTAGCACGGATGTCAAAGTGCTTTGTGACTTTCCCTTCCGGTATGAGCCTCGAGACTGATTCGTCTTCGTGGTCCGTGCATTGTCTTTCATTGTTCCTAACGTGGTACCTTTCTGAGATCGCCAACGCTGTCCTGAAGGGACGTGAAAGTCGCGGGTGAGTGATGGCATGGCACTGGACGATACCGATATCTCTAGTCCGAGTGACCGTACAGCGTTCGACGAGCATTGGCCCTCATTGGTCATGTAAATTCTCGAATCTGCCCACAGCACATGTATTTGTCTTCCTGTTTCCGCTGCTTGAAATCAAATCCGTGCCACAACAGTGAAATGTGTTGACAGCAGTCGAGCTTCGAACATGCGGCTCCTCCTTTGTGCTGCTTTTCATGCTATGGTCGATCCCGGACTCAGACTCGGACACTTCGCTGGTCTCGGCTAAATGTATCTGGGTAAAGTAGGAGTGTCTGTATCCTCTTTGGGCCATAGTGACGCCTGCGATCATGTTGGCACCCTGCCTCTTGACACTTGTTCTTTGTTCTCTCCAGCTTACATAATCCGATGAAGTTGATCGAGATCATTGGATCAGCGGTATAAAGGCTCTGGGGATGCCTTACTTATTCGACCTCATCAACCCATTTCTGCCACTCGCAAGACGTCGACGTAAACTCACGAAACTCGCTCAAAATGGTCCAATGCACTCAACAGTACAAATTCGGACCCGAGATCGATGGTGCGTTCGCGGTGGCCCTCTCCGTCTTCTATCCTTCAACGAAACTGATCTCCTTCAATGAATATGATTAACAGATTCTATCACCGACTGGCTGAATGACCCGAGACACCGCGGCAAAGCTATCAAGGTTCATCTAGCAGTTCAGGAGACCGAAGTCGACGCTTCACCCTTCGCGATAGTCTCCAGAACAAAGGCTATCTTCATCACCGTTGGCGGCGACACTCGCGAAGGGATCTTCATCGAGGCCATCAGAAATCACCCTGAGAAGCTCGATAATCACAGTCTTCGCGCCCAATGGTCACTCGTCAACTTGGACGCCCTTCGTGAGGAGGGATCGCCGCTTATTGCCTTATTTCTCGTCGCACGTATCTCCGCACGGCATCGCGTTGAAGTTCTCAATGAATTGGCGGATTGGACTACGGATTGTCATTTTGGTTTCAGTAACCGCGGCATGCTCGTACATGCCACGACAACTTTCTTCTTCTGGGCCGAGTACATGGTCGGCTTCGCCTGTTCCGACAGCAACCTCCCGATCGAAGAAGTCTCTCTAGCGGACAGACTCCCAGCTTGCAGGAGAGCAGGAAGTTGGTGCCTAGATTTCAACCATTCGGACCAAGATCGCAACGGGAAGTTTATGACTGACATTCTCCGAGCCCATGGAGTCGTATATCCAGAGCTCAGTGCTTTCATCTGCGAGTGTGTCTCCGAGGAAATGACAGAACCTCTGCCGGAAGTCGTCGCATCCTGTGACTGGGGGTTCTCAAATTCAAAGCTCTCGTATTATTCAGCTGTTCCGAACACGCTGTATGTCCACTACCCGGTCTATAGGCGACACTTTTCCCCAAAAAAATACGAAGTACGAGAGTATTTGTCATACCTAGCTCCTGACGTGGCTCACGAGTGGGAGGATCTTCAGGAGAGTTCAGATGATTCGGACGATTCGGACGATAGTCGGGATTGACGAGTGAATCTCTTTACGATGAGCATGTAACATTGAACGTCAGTAGCGTTGCTGTTGTATGTACCATCGAGATTATCTATACTACTTTAAAATGACTCGGTTACTTTGTTGAGTTATGTAACGTTCAACTAGGTGTACACAAACATCTGTGCAAACATTTGTAGGCTACCAGGACTTGTTGATTTGGTCACGTCCGACTCGGGACGGAATGTGCGGACCTTCAAACTTCTCGCACCGAAGTTCCCATCGACTCACAATACACAGCCACTGCCACATCAGGACCTGAATACCACAGTTATCACTGTCGCCACCATAGGGGAGTGTGAAGGTATGCCTCATCGAACAAATAACTCCCCATTTTTTTTTACTGAGACGTGCACGCCTTCGCTTCTGAGTAAGATATTTATCGAACATACAACAAATCAATACATATCTATATAATACTATCTATGAACGGGCTTGGAGGAATTGATGGGGGAGTCAGTCGTGGACGCGGCGGGTTTGGAGGCGATCTCGGAGTTCGTCGAATTTCGATGGCGAGCATCTTTCGCGCTCTTGCCCTCAATCTCCTCGGGCTCGCGGAGGCTCGGGCGTATTCAGTGGTCGCGTGACAGGGAATGTTTGGTGGATTTAGTCGTGGCCGCGTTCCACCAGAGAACCACGGCGAGATGTAATTGTCGAGGCCCGGGTCTGGGGCCCCGGCCTGCCCCGGCACTTGCCGGAGGGCGCCAAACCGACGAGGTCTTGACGAGGTCATCGACTGCAACGTCCGCCAAACGTCCGCGGTCAGACAGATAACCTTTGCTTGGCTGGAAATCTACTCTAATCTGTCTTTGGGAGAATACCTCCGCGTTATGCGGCTCATACATATCATGGATAGCGGTGACTTGCGCCGATTGTACTCTCTTCTAGCCAGCGAATCATGGCCTGTTTGTCGATTATATCGGCGTGGATATTGTGTTGCAGTTCAGGTAGTGAGTATTTTGAAGGCTTTTTATTACGATGGAATACTATATGGGAACTTCTTGCGGCTCTTGGTGCCCGCGACGGCCGAACGCCCGCGCGCGGTATATATGGACATCGAACTCTGGAAGCCGTATCGTTTGCATCTTCCACTGGTCCCCCCGGAATCTGACCAGACCCTCCATATCATCTGACTCTGTACCGTCACTATGTCTTTTCGCACCAGACCCATCTTGCATGTGGGCTCGGGTATCGTCACGCCACAGGGCACCAAGAGCAGCACCTTCCGTCCACCTCCACTTGATGGAAGCCTCACCGTCCCGGAGCTCTTCCAATGGCATGCGAAAAACAGTCCTATGCACCCTGTTTTTATCTATACACACCCTCAGGCTATTGACGATGGAGCATTACCGAAGGCGCTATGCTACCCCGAAGTCTATCGAGCTATCGGACGAGCCGCCAATATCACGAAGGGCCTCTATTTACAGGCGGAAAGCGTGTATTCTAAGCAGCCAGAAAGGAAAGAGAATGAACCCCCGGTCTTTGGTATTCTTGCCGTCGCTGGTAGGACCTCCTTCCTTCAAACCTTGGAGTAGAACTGACGAAGTGTTATGCCTTACAAGATACAATATCTTACTTCACGCTCATCGTAGCCATAATGCACCTTGGCTTCACGGTCTGTGTCATTCTCATAGTTCTCCTGTATCCTTTTGTCACTCAACCTGGTATGCCACCTAGCCGTTTTCAATATCTACTCGTAACTCAGCATTGGGTATTGCGCACCTTCTGAAGCAGACTGGTGTCATCCAGATGTTTGTCAGTGCTGACCCTGCCATGCAACGCTTAGCTGCCGACGCAATTTCTCTTGCTGGAGAGCTGGAGAGCAGTGTCCGCATTACGGTTTTGGAATTGCCTCAGTTTGAACAATTATACGCCCCTAACGGGAAAAACGATGAGGTAGATACCGACAAGATTCAAGGGAGGATGAATTCGGAGACAATAGCGTTGATAGTCCACTCTTCCGGTATGTCTGCCTAGAGTCGAGTTACTGAACCAAACTCATAATTCGGTGCAGGATCAACAGCGTTTCCTAAACCTATCAAATTCACGAATCATACCTTCATACGGTGGGGGATGCTGCCGTGTATGTTTCTTTTCGCGATGTCGTTACTCTTTCAGTGCCCGGGTTGCGTTGATTCCCCTTTATTCTAGACTACGGTGGAATCGACATTTGCGACCGGCCGATTGCGGCCCATTCCCTCCCTATGTTCCGTGCGCCTGCTCAATCTACTTCTGGATTGCGTTCTTAGCTTATGCGACCTTCTTGCAGATGCTATGGGCGGGATAAATATAGTGTGGACGGTATGTTCTCTCAGTTTCACGGTTTCCAGATCTTTATCGCGTTCGAGATGGATCCTCAAGGTGCACCTTGATAGACATGCGCAGGCTCAATCGTGTCATGCTTCGCCCCTGCGTCACCACCGACCTTTCCTACACCAGAGCTTGTTCTCCATGCCATTGTCGCATCAAAAAGCGAGCTCGTATTCTGCGTGCCTGCGTTCATTGAAGTTCGTGATTCGTCTCTACCAGTAGTCTATCACCCGATGGCTGATCACATATTCGAGCAGGCATGGGCCCGTGATCCACAGAACCTTCCTAAACTCAAAGCCATCAAGACAATTGTAAGTTTGAGTGCTCCCTCGCCATGAGTCGGCCTAATTAATACAATGACTGAAATGCAGGTGTTTGGGGGCGCGCCTTTGAACCCTGGTGTCGGGGACGCGCTCTCTGCTGCGGGGGTGAGACTGACTCCGTTTTATGGAACGTAAGTCTCTTTCCGCAATCTCTCCGCGCTTGTGCTTGTCTTCATCTGCTTTAATTTACTTATTGATCATTTTTCCATTCGGTTTAGCACGGAGACAGGATCTGTCGGGACGTTTGTCCCCGCCGAGATACAGCAGGATGAGTGGCAATATTTCAAGGTGTCCCCTCATATGGACGTAGAAATGGTTCCACAAGAAGGACTTGACGGAGTATTTATGCCGGTTGTTTTGGTGCGTACTGCGCCTTCGGAATTGTTTTCACTGTATGCCATATGTCGAGGCTGGTCCGTCTTGACGAATGAGTCCAGGCATCTGAGACATTTAGTCCCCATGTTTTGAACTCGGAAGTAGACGGTCGAGGGGCCTTCATCACATGGGACTTATTGGAGGTACATCCCACGAAACCGGGGTTCTACAAGGTCTACGGCAGAGCAGACGACCAGCTTATGCTGTCGACCGGAGAGAAGGTAGAATCACCTGTTGTAACCGTTTGTTCATTTTCTGCGTTAATTCACCCTTCATCACAGACCAATCCTGTCCCACTCGGTGAGTTGGGTTCGTAGGTGTTAATGAAGTGTACAAGTTCTCACCCACTTATGTAGAGAACATCTTTGTACAAGACCCGCTCATCTCGGCGGCCATTATGTTTGGTCGGGGACGTTTCCAGAATGGTGTATTGATCCAACCGAGTACAAAAGCTGTGGTGGACCCCCATGACGAGGACTCTCTCAGCGCATTTAGAAATCAAATCTGGTAAGTATTACCCCTTGTTGAGTAGAACGACATTGACTGATGCCACTGCTCCATTTAAAGGGATACGGTGGAGAAGGTCAACGAGTACGCTCCGGCACACTCCAGGCTCTTTAAGGAGGTACTATCTCTTCAGCAATATCGCATCTCCCTCGTAAATTTATCTGTATAGCATAGATGATCCTTGTCACGGACCCAGCCAAGCCGTTGGAGTTTACCCCAAAAGGTACACCTCGACGCCAAGTCTGCATCTCAGCATACTCGGTAAAAACCTCGTTTCTACGGAAGTGGCGACTGTCCCGTACTAACACAGCCATGTCCATCAAACAGGCTGAGATTGATGCATTGTACGAGAAAGTCAAGGATTCGTCGCAAACTGAACTCATACCTCCCATAAATTGGACGGAGAAATCGACCTTGGAATTTGTGGACACTGCCATCCGTCGCGTTGTTTCATCCTCTACTGGTATAGGCCTCGAGGATGACTTGTTCCAGCAAGGGTGCGACAGGTAAATTTCCATTGCAGTTCGCTATGTGCTGGCCCTATGTCTAATAACTCTCTTATTAAGTCTACAAGCCACTTGGATCCGCAACACGATACTCCATGTATTGGGTGTCTCGACCAAAATATCTCTCCACGATGTCCCATTCAATTTTGTCTATACCAACCCTTCCATTGGCGGTCTTGGCCGGTATGTATACAAGATGATTCAAGGTCCAGGCTCTTCAACTGTGTCCGAAGTCGCCACCAACATGGAGGAGATGCGTGCATTTGTGGACAAGTATCAGCTCAAACGAACCGCCTTGGCCACTCGGGCGGGTCCTCACGCTGCCACTAGTACAAAGGACAAAGACAGTCGCAGTGACGTTGTTTTGATCACCGGAACGACTGGGAGGTTTGGTTGTCATCTGTTGGCGCAGCTCCTCGCGGACGACGAAGTTTCTTGTGTATATGCTTTGAATCGTCAGGAGAACGATAGCGGTGTTCTAGGATTGGAGAGGAGGCAGACCGACGCGTTCAATTCTTGGGGTCATGATATTTCACTTCTGTCTCCGAGAAAGCTCGTGTATCTGGTGGGGAACTTATCAGATAAAAACCTGGGCCTTGATGAAGATGTCTATGCGAAGGTGAGCGTCATGGCTATCTCCGCCTTTGTGACCGTCTGATCTAATTTCTCTATAGCTCATCGAATCCGTGAATATTGTCATCCATAACGGTGAGTGATATCATTTTAGCCACACTTTTCCTATCGGTTCGTTGTGTAATCCGATTCTGAATTGGTATACCTCAGCATGGCGCGTAGACTTCAATTTGCGCCTGTCATCCTTCGAGCCTTTGCTCTCTGGCGTTCAAATGCTTCTCGAGCTTTGTGTGCTGTCGAAGTGTGAGGGAGGACCTCGCTTTGTGTTCGTCAGTTCTATCTCCACCCTCCTAAGTTCGTAATTTCCTCGATTCAATCGTTTTCTTTGCTCCTGACTGCATACAATTCAGATCACTCGACTTCAGCGCCAGCCACAGAGGATTTTACAGTGAATCCCGCGCTCGCTATTGGGGGCGGTTATGCAGAGAGCAAATGGGTTGCTGAGCAAATCATCGTCCGCGCGACCAAACATTTAGGGTTGAGGGGCACATCAGTCCGTGTCGGGCAATTGAGCGGGGATACCAAGATGGGAGGGTGGACGACGAAGGAATGGGTACCTGCGATCGTGCATCTTAGTCAAAAGGTGGGGTGTGTACCGATAAGGAACGAGGTCTGTTATTTCCCTTCACGGTACTCGGAAATTTTGATTTATCTCCGCTCAGAGGTTGTCCTGGATCGCAGTGGACACCGCCGCGTCTGCGTTACTCGACATGACACAAAGCGCATCACACGAGCCCATCCTCCACCTCGTCTCCCCGCAACAAGTCGAGTGGGACACAATATTCGGGGCCATTGCTGAAAGGCTCGCCTTACCATTGATCCCTTACGAAGAGTGGGTCGCAAAATTGAGGTCGTCGCATCTCGAAAGCAGCTCCGTTTCGGGCATGAGTTTGCTCGATTTCTTCGAGAGAGGAAAGTTCGGGGAGCATGTCCCATTCTCTACTGACAAAGCGATCCGGTATTCCCCTACGCTGGCTCAGTGCCAAGCATTGAAACCGGAGGATGCAATTAGATGGACGGAGTACTGGCTTCGTTCGGGCTTTCTTCAGGCTGACGGAAAATGAGGGCAGTCCATAATCCGCTGATGTTCTGATGTTCTAGTGATGCTGTACTTATATCCGTAATGGAAGTCGTTTCGAGCCCGTTGATATACCTCTCGTGTGCAAGAGGTCCATATTGTGTCGCAAAACCGGCATCGGCATTATAACGCGTTATACTGCCCTAAACGGCTAGGACGGCACCCCGGGGCGGTATAACTGGTCTACCCGGACTCGAAGCGCGTTGTAACGCATGCCATACCGGCCGGTAAATCCGGGGGTTACTTCCGGGACTAGTCGCGAGTATCACGCAAGCGAGACCAGGGTTCTTCAACGTTATTTGTCACCAGGCTGTGTCCAGCTTAGTCCGGTGTGGCCTGCCTGTAAACCATGAACATTTCACTCTGGTGGTCCCTCTCTCAAAACCTCGCCGGATGAGCACGGACTATTGGATGGATGGTCACTTTCGTAGGTTGTGGCCATAGAGCGACATCGCAACTGTTCATCTGAGTGAGTTTGAGGGTGTTTTAGAGTTGGGTGGGTCAACGCGCGCATGCCTAATCGGGGAACAGAACGGTGCCACCTGCCGGCTTTATAGGCCCGATTTCAGTTTTTCGACATACCGCCCGTTGTAACGGACAATGAACGCGTTATAACGCGCGTTATTCTCTTATCGGGCGTCATCTCGCCGAGCCGGACGTGCCAACGGAACTGGGGTCGTTCTAACCCGGTTACAGCGCACGTTATAACGCACGTTATTGCGGTCCGAATCAGGTCCGGCGTTATAACCCCGGAGCCCTTTTTGCGACATGAGGCTATGAAGGAGCGTCCCACGATACTCGGTCATCGCTTTATACGCTTGGTACCACTGTGCGCATGATGGTACGACCATACTCGTCCTATCTTCAACAGAACATATAAAACAAGAGTTCCTATACACGTACACTAAGTTTCGTCCAAATGTTGCATACAACATACCGGTTCATGATCCAAGCCACCTTAGTAATAAGTAGTCCCACATAGCATCACATCCTGAGGTCCGTACAACAAGCCATATTCACAATCGATTCTTCTGCTGGAGAGGCCTTCCCTAAACGATACGCTTCCCGATGGAAGATCCAACGCTGACGAGCGTCTCGATCGCTGTCTCTGAGGTCTTGACAAGATCCTCGTCGAACCTGGAAACAACATGTTAGTCAATACCCGCAAAGCGAAGGAGCGACACAAATCGAAGACCTGGACGTACTGGATAAGTCCCTTGGGGAACACCGCAACGATTGTACTTCCTCCATACTTGAAGCATCTGAGAAACGAAGTCCACAATCAGTCCAGCTCTCCCTGAACAACATCTCACGACAAAAGTAAACGCCATGGATTTCGAACGGTGACGTACCCAAGGTCCTCTCCTCTGGTTACAGTGGCGCCCGTCTTACTCCCTTTCGTCCACTCGATCGACCCCACAAGCATAGCGCCAATCGCCACGAAAGCGACCTTCTGGCCGCTCCCGGCGTGGGTCATGTACAGAATTGCTCGTCGATTGGACGATAACACGTCGAAGCCGGGTTCATTGACCGCTTGCGGGTTCACTACACAATTCGAATGAAATAACGCACAATTAGCCAAATTATTGCGTGGGAAACGCTCGAGGTGAGGGGCGAGGACAAGAGATCGGGAATTAACGCACCGGTATAGTATTGTCCTGGCACGTCTACAATTTCTCCGATCTCGCCGTCGATTGGTGAATGGAACCTATGGTAATCCGCCGGGGCAAGCCTGAAGAGGGCGAGACTAGCATCATCGAAATATGTGGCGGTTTCTGAGTCTGCAGGGACGTTGAGCAAGTTGGGAATCGTAAAGTTGTTGCCTTTGACCCTATTGAACGTCGATGCGGTCCGAAGCGGTCCAGGAAATATGAGCGTGTGTTATTTATATCAAAAATGGGAGGTAGTGGTATGGGAAGTCAAGGTGGGAGGAGAGGCGTACCAGAATTCACGGGCGAGGGTGACGGTGGGGAAAACTGTCAGCCTGCAGTCCGCAGCGGAACAGATTCCGTTCGGGTCATCTGCATTCTCGACAGGACGAGCACCTGGTTTAAGCCGTCTACAAGAACGCATGTTAGTAATAATATTATGCATCTCAATTATAAGCTGAGGATATGTACCTGGCGAAAAAGTCATTGAAGTTGGCGTATTTGGTGTAATCCGGCTCGAGGAGTTCGGAAGTCTTGATCTTATACTCTTCTATGAACGCAGGAATAGATTGGATGGATTCGGGGGAATCGTATATCTCTCCTTGCTGTGAAGTCAAGAACGGAATTAGACGGATGTCGTACCAACAACGTCGAGCACTTGACAGGGACTACGCCACAATTGTGGCAAGGTGGCAAGGTGAAATAATAGAAAGATCAAGCGGAGACATACCCTGACAGACAACTCTTTGAGAACATTTTCGACAGACTTGTTATGTAGCAGCTTGATTTGTGCCGATCCATAGAATAGCAGATGCATCCCCAACCTGATCATCTCTCAGCATTCCCAGCTCCGAGCACCAACTCGTCCTGATAAAGAACGAACGTACCTCGGATACAGCGGCATGCTCTCAAAGAATTTCTCACCCGTCCCTCTCATCACTACAAAGTTCCCAACATGATAGTTCGCAGCCAGATTCTCCAACCCAGGGACGTATTTCTCCAGCGCGTGTAATCTCGATATCTTGTGAAGAGGCGTATGCGCAGTCAACCCTTCTGGCACTCCATCTCCTGCTGACGCACCTGGAACGTCGGCGTCTGCTGGTGCTGCTGGCCCCGATTTGTCGGATGCGTTGACGAGAACGGAGAGGGTGTCGGCTACTTGCTGATGGCTAGCGTCTGGGAGAGACTTGTCGGGCGAGTCGTGTTTCTCGATGGGTTTGGTGAGGTGATGTGCGGGGATAAGGACCATGGCGATTATTCACGAGCCTTTATTTGTATGATTGTCAGTTGAAAAGTCTAGCAAGCGTTACAGTATAAGCGCTGCACGACGGAAGTGGAGGGGGAGGGACAAGATTGTTGGTCTCCAACGGGTGTGCAATCAGGGGTTTAAAAGGATGGATATAGAACGCTATAATTGGACCATGACGTCAATTTAGCCTGTCTTTGGCGCAAGTTTGACAGCGTTGGCATCGCGATAGGCACAGAGGCACACGAAGAGAGAATAATTCTTGATATTATTCAGAGGTTCGTGGGGGCAATAGCATGAAGGAGTGACCAACAAAGTCACAGCGAAGGAGCGATTGAGCGTGTTTTAGTTGAGCCTGAGAAGCTTGGGGTTGGGCGAGAGACGCTCGTGTGGCGTAGACAGCGCGTAACCACTGTGGCCCAATATGTGTACTCAGGTGTGCTCGCTATGCGGGTCAAACAATCCCTGGCTCCGGGAGAGCAGTGTATATAAGAAGCCCGTCTATTTAATTGATCTTGAGCTCGGCCAACAGAGAAGCAGGAAGACCTGCGTAGTATTCAGGCCGACCTTGAGAGCTTGAACGCTTGCTGAACGCCCGGCTCCGAGTCCATACATTCACTGTTCCCAAAGGCTATGCGAAACAATGTGCATAATCTTGAGAATTTAGCATTGGCACTGTAGTTGACCCGTGTCACTCACATTCCATACGTAGAGCTTCACTACTCTGTGACTCCAAGTCGGCGACGATGATGACCCATGGAGACAAAGCGACAAGTATAAAATTCCTCTACTCATCGACCAATGCCTCACCACTGACCAAACCAGCCTGAAGATTTCAGACGTGCATTCAGATCGGCACCATGGTCTCAAGTTACTCCTCTTCGCCTTCAGTGCCGGGATCGTAGCTGTCAATGTTGCAGGCTCTCCCACCCCATCCTCGACCACACCAGACGTGGTGTCCCTCACTAAATGGACCTTCATTTCGAACCAGCCAACAGGAGCCTTTACTGGTAAACCAGAGACGGGTACTGGTCCTTGGTACAGCCCTGAAACCGACGACGACAACGCCAGTAACCGTGGTTGGTGTGGTTATCCGACCTCGAATGACAATCCTATCTTCGCTCCAGTGAATTACAGTAAGATATCTTCGACCGGTCGGACCATCCTGATCCATTATGTTCGTCGACAGCCAGTAGTCCTTGAGCAGGATGTCGCCCGATAATGCCACATATGCGACCGATCCAGCGGGATGGCATCAAGCCACTTGCTATTACTGTGGCCTAGAAGCGAACATCACCAATCCAAGCAATGGAGTCACGGCGCTCTTGTACATCGGCGACGTGTTCGATGTCCCTTCCGTTTGTTCACCACATTTTCCTCCAATATTCACTTACCTTGATTCATCGGCGTTGGTGCCAGAAGTGACGACTGTCAATAAAGCTGACCTCGAGTTCGTAATCTGCAGGGCCCATGATCGATTGATGTGATTGAAGATGCGTGGCAGCATCTCTATGGGAGTGCGACAAGCGAGCATAGTATTGCGATACAGGGTTTGGAGCGGACCATGACGGGGAGAAGGAACTCGGATCTCCCTTCGTTAAACCTCGCGCCGTGTCCACGACATACGGTTCATCACAAGAACAGCTCGGTGATCTAGAGAGCTGGTGTCATAGTTGCGATAGATAGAAATTGTTTTATCGCACTGAGAGGTTTAGAGTCTCAGAGCTGGTTATGCACGAGTCATGACAGTGGTCCGAACAGAGATGCTTCACAAATTGAGCAAACAAAAGCGCACCATATCGGCCCGGAAGCCCAGTAGACATTTCCCACGCGCCGGAGGCAACCGCTACGGATTGGCTCTCTCTCTCCCTCTCTCCCTCTCTCCCTCTCTCTCTCTCTTACCATCACCCGAACCACAGTGCGATACGACGAACATACTGCTACTTTCATTTCTATGGAATTAGATGCTCAACCTGAAAGGTAATGTCCTTTTGTTTTCCCATGATCCGAAATATGATCCGAATTGGGCTGAGGTTGCCCCTACTAGTATTCAACTTGAACCGTTTTTCGTCACGCCGCGATGTCCTTTCGAAATTCTTTCGAGCATTCTTCTCGTTTGTGTGGAATATTATTATGAAACCAGGCGTCAACTTCCAGAAAGCACCTCTGCACGACGTGAGAGGCTTGAAAAAAAGGCTACTCCGCCGCAAGCATTCACCATCGTTTGCCGCAGTTGGCGAGATGTGACCCTGCGTACTCCTCGTTTGTGGGCTACGTTTCGTATCGGTGACATCGTCTCCTATGACGATTTATGTAGATCAGATCAAGGGAATATCGAACACCACCTCCTCGCCCTCCTTCGATGGCTTGGACGATCTGGAGTTGCTCCACTTACCATGTCCTTAGAGGTTCCCCCACGGCAGTTGCAGGGCCGGACTCCCACAGAAACGATTCTCCGCGCGATATACCCCCTGCTTTGCGAATACTCCACTCGGTGGTACGATATGGATCTCTACTGGATCTGTGTGAGTTCCCCGCGAGTCCCGACGCCCCCGTTGGTACTCCCAAAACTCCTCCGGCTGCGCTGCCATTTTAATTCCGCGATATCAGGACCACTCCATTCCCATGATAGCAACCTTGACTTTTCGACAGCTCCGAACCTTCAAGAGGTGATGATCGACACCTTGACGATGAGTTTGGTCGACTTCATCCTGCCGTGGGCCCAGCTTTGCTCGCTCGCCTTCCACAGCGAGAATGCGACCACGGATCACAGGCTCTACGTCGCAGACTGTCTCAAAGTGCTCTCGCACTGTGTCAACCTCACTGACCTGAAAATATTCGGTGCCGACAGCTTCCCGTATTATTATCGCTCGTCGCACAGACTTGTCGGCTATGAGCCTGCCAAAACGGAAGTTGTGACTTTACCTCGCCTCCAGCACCTCAAAGTCACTACGAAAGACCCTCGCATGATCTTTGGCGTCCTTCCATTTCTGTTTTTGCCCTCCCTTACCACCCTCAAGGTACACGCCATAGATTCCGACAATTTCCTCTCCGTCGTTCGACCTATAGTTGCCGCCCATTTGCATCTGCGTATGCTGCAGGTAGCCTCTCCAATAATGCCGTCTATGGACTCCATCCTTCGCGCTCTCGTTGGCTTTCCGAATATTGTTTCCCTCATAACCGATAAAAAGGAGCTGCTCCGAGATCTCCAGCTCCACTACGATCCTACGTCCGGCCAGCTCACATCCGGCCTCGTTCCGGACCTGCAGGAGCTCTGTCTCTACTCCGCTCAAATTTCTATGAACCATAAATTCGTCCGAGACGACCTCGTGAACTTCGTCTCTTCACGATGGCGTAGACCTGATTTGGTGCGATTGGGAGAGACGGGAAAGTCCGTTATACCTCCCTTCCGACGCATTCGTCTCCATGGGTTTGTCAGAGAAGATGGCAGGGACGTTGTGAGAGAATGTTTGAGGGAATTTGTCGATGAGGGATTAGAACTGGAGTTTCACAACCATGATTCGATGGATTTGGCGGTGTGGAAGACAGCGGGGTGTCGTTGGCCGTGTGAGGTCTAGCGTAAGTCACACTCCTTAACTATCTCGTTGCACTAACTTGTTCCGACGTATTGACGACTTTCCTGCAGGTTGGTTTTATACGTCTGGTGGTGTCGTGCGACAAGATTTCCCTGCGCTGCATGTTGCTCTCCTCAGCGAACGGTGACGAACGCTTTCCACCAACCGGTCTTGTTCGATTATCTAGGCTATACAGCGTCTCACTAGGATATGGCGATGCATTACTGTAAGGGTGTGAAGAGACCATAAAGTATCGGCGAGAATTTTTCTTGCAGGGTGGGGAACAACGCACTCGAATGCAAGTTGGCAAGTTGGTCTAGCTAGCCCGGAGTCGAAATACACTGTCTGAACCGTAGTCCTAACGTCCGCCACGAGCCGCTATGTAGATGTAATCTGACAATTTCACTTTTTGTCTCAATTTTTCGATGGTTATTCGGCCCATAGCTACTACACTGGTGGATTGGCCGTCACAGAACATGAGAGAACGTCGCAGAAGGTCGTATGTGGTCGCCGTTATCGACGACAAAGCCGCGGGCCTTCCCGCGCCACTCTCTTCCTTACCGCCACCACATCCTCCAGTCCTCTGCTTGTCGCGCAATTTTATTGTGCTCATTTGCGACTATATCTCTACAATTTCTGTATACCATCTGAAGTACCACAGAACAGACAGTCAATCTAGAGGAAAAGCGTTACGATGACAAACAAATCGAAGAACCAGAAGAAAAAGCAGCAGAAGAAGGCGCAGGCTGCTAGGGCGAACGGCACAGAGTCTCCAGTCGCGAATGGGTACGTATTTTTCGACTCGAACAGTTCCTTTTCTGTGCTCGGTTTGGGGGTTTGTGCGGGTTTTGGTGGACGTATGTGGTTGTGTTCACGCGGCCGTATGCGCAAGCATTGTACCCTCTGCAGTAGCGCAAGATTCAGAAAGTGTCTTATGTGTAAGGCGGAGAAGGGATACGTGTTTCAAGGCTGCGTTCAAACAGAAGGAATGAAATATGGTCTAGCACTTCAGGCAGCGGCATGGTCGTGGGTGATATGATTTTCAGACTATTATGACGCACTCGTGTGCAAGGATATTTTCGTGCTTGTCTTACTATCTCGTCCAGAAGGCGTGTCGTCTTTTGATCTGATACGTCTACATTACTCTTTCGACCTCCATCTTCAGCCTTCGGTCTGTCGCCACCTATTTGCTGAACCTTATCCACCCTCCCCAGACACACTGACAACGAAGACACCCCCATGGACACCGAACCAACCACCACGACGACCTCAACTCCTCCACCAGAATCCACGTCACCATCTCCGACAACCAGCGCTCCTGAACCCACACCAACCACACCAGCCGAACCCCCCAAACCCAAGTCATCAGAAGAAATCGCCGCCGAAGCAGAATCCCTGAAAGAACGAGGCAACACGTTCTTCAAATCCAGTCAATACACCGATGCCATCCGTCTCTACACACAAGCCATCGACCTCCTCCCTACCTCACCGGCTTACCTTACCAACCGCGCGGCAGCTTTCATGGCCCTAAAGCAATTCCGCCCGGCACTCAACGACTGTCAAGCCGCATCTTCACTACAATCTTCTGATCCGCAAGCAAAGACACTTGTCCGGCTGGCAAGATGTCAGCACTCGCTAGGACAGAGCACCGCGGCACTGAGTACGCTGAGGGCTGTGTTGGAGCTGGAGCCAGGGAATGCGCAGGCTATTCAGTTGCAAGGGAAGGTGCTGGAGTTGGAGGCACATCTGAGGAATTTCGACGGTGCACGGGAGAGAAAGGAGTGGGCGCTGGCGAGGCTGGCTCTGGATAAGTGTTTGCAGAGTATCGAGGGCCAGGGTGGAGAGGTACCGGCCGAATGGAGGCTTTGGAGAATCGAGCTCGATCTCGCGAGGGGGAACTGGGACGCAGCGAACACGGCTGCCAAGTACGTGTCTTCTCTTCTTCCTCGCCGTTGTTTTGTGGTGTTGATTAGACTGTGTTATCGATTGTAGCGATGCTCTGCGGATGCAGCCTAACTCACCAGACGCGCTCACTCTGCGCGGTAACGTTCTCTTCCTTTCCGGCAAACTCCCACAAGCGCTACAACACGCTCAATCCGCACTTCGCTTCGATCCCGGACATGAGCCTGCCCAGCGGTTACGGAAACGCGTGAAGGACGTGGAGCGGATAAAAGAAGAGGGTAATACTGCGTTCAAGTCGAATAAGCTGGAGGAGGCGTTGGCGAAGTATACAGAGGCACTTGAGGTACGTACCTGAAGACTACGTAGGAAGTATGTCGGTGTTTAACTTTGAATTCAACCATGCAGCGGATAGGGGAGAAAGAGGAGGAAGGAAAGGGTGGGCAGATTCGCGCCACTCTGCTCTCCAACCGCGCCACCACACTCGTCAAGGTACGTCTCCTCTTCTCGAGTTTCGCTCTCTAGTTTTCTGATACTTTTCCTGGTACGCAGCTCTCGAGACATGAAGAAGCCCTCGTCGACACCGAAGCCTCGCTCGCCCTCGCGCCCTCGTCGTACAAGGCTCTTCGCACTCGTGCACGCATCAACCTGCACCTCGAAAAATACGATTCAGCCATCGCAGACTTCAAAGCCTCCATCCAACAAGCAGAGTTCGACGATATGCTGAACGATGTCAAGAGCATGAAGGTGGAGCTGAAGAAGGCCGAAGCCGAGCTAAAAAGGAGCAAGACGAAGGACTACTACAAAATTCTTGGTAAGCCTTGTCTCATCATTCACTTCCTCGGTCAGGATGCGGAGGATGTTGCTGATGCTGGACTGGGATACTTGCAGGTGTACCACGAGATTGTAACGAAGTTGAGATCAAGAAAGGATATAGGAGAGAATCGCTCAAGCATCATCCCGACAAGGGCGGTGACGAAGAAAAATTCAAACTCGTCGTCGAAGCTCATGCCGTCCTCTCCGATCCTGCCCGGAGAGAACGCTACGACCTCGGTGAAGACGAGGATGGGCTCAACGATGGTGGTGGGATGGGAGGCGGCATGGGTGGAATGTCACCACAGGATATGGCCAACTTGTTTGCCCACTTTGGAGCGGGTGGACCGGCTGGATTCGGTGGTGGCGGCGGTGGGTTTAGCAGTGGTGGATATGGCGGTGGTGGTGGTGGATCGTTCCATTCGCATTCGCACTCGAGTTATGGGGGCAGGGGACCGTTCGGATTCTGAAGAGCAGGAGTGTCCTGAGACCGGTGTGGCCCATCGGGTGGCGAGTGTGGGAGACTGGAGGAGGCCATTGTGGAAGTCGAAGTGGTCGTTTGTGCCATACGCTATACTCTGTCCTTGTGCATCTGTTTATACTCATCTCTTGTCTGTGATGTCACCCATCTGCTCTCTTGTATCCACTGCGTCATTGAATTCACATTGCCACCATGTCATGCCAACGGGTTTCTCTTTCTTCGTCCTCGTTCTGGTCCGCTCTATCTCTCTCCTGCAGATACTGGTCATTAGTCTCTTCTTTCTCTTACACTTGCTGCTCCTTGTTGACGGTCATTCTCTATCTAAATCAGCTCGACTTCCATCATTCTTGTTCTCCTGCTTCACCGGTCCATCGTCTCTTATCCTTTTTGCATCGAGTCGTACTGTTAGTGTAAAGCAGTATGCCCGATAATGTGCAGCGTGTTTTCTAGGTTCACCGGCATCGCAGATAGTTGCGCTAGAAACAGCACATTGAGATAAACAAGTGAGTCTACATATCATCGACGTATAAAGTGCAACGCGTCTGCTCCTCTCCAGAGAGAAAGCTTTTGCGGCAGAGGCCAAGTTTGGCCTGCAGGGTGTTGATGGCAGAGATCTACGGAAGTAGTGTCAATGATGACTTGTGGACTGAAGGCGATTAAAGGAGTAAGCGACTTGAACAACTCACACCTACGGCTCGCAGGGCCAACGAGCTCCTGCTGCCTCCCATACAGCCGACTCCATGCCACCCGTCGACTCCTCGTCACCCACGTATAATTCCAACTCTAACCCCTTGTCGACAAACTCCTTAAGGTACGCCCGAATTTCATCCTCAGTCCCTTCTAAACCACGATCAAAACCCTGTAGACGAAGACGACGGAATTTCGAGACGACAGGTTTCGTTCCATCCAACCACCGCGATGACACGAAGTTTCGCAAGTCCTTCCACGACCACATGTCGTGTACGTAGGAGTAGTTCCATGACGTGAGACAAAGTTCCTGGAGCTCAGGCAGTAGGTCCGACACGAGCTGGCCAGAGGTAGGATGAAAATGGGGATGAAGTTCGGGAAGCAAATGGTGCACATCTGTCGTCAAAGACGTGATCTTTGGGAAGGCCGCAAGGAAGTCGCCAGATACGGGAAAACAGGGGTAATCGTGCCTCATGGGATCTTCTATATGAAGCATACGCAAGGGCGAATGAGCAGTCGTAAGGGATTGGACGATGGCATCAAACACGTCCGTGTCAAGAAGCCAAAGTATGGCAGTCTCGAGGACAGGCAAGTGCAGAAACGGAAGGACGCCGTAGTTCATGCGACCGTCCTCGGTCGTGAAGACGAAGTGTGTGAGAAGAGGGAGAGTCACGATCTGGGTAGTTCTGGGGGTGTATTTGAAAGGCTTGTGTGAGGAAAACGCCCTGTATCCGTCATAGACTTTGAGATCCGTGAGGTTGCCACATTGCGAAAGCACGGTGAGACAATCTGCTACGAAGACATCGTCATTTTTCGTCTCGTTTTGTCCTTGAAATGCAAGCGAACGAAGCTGCGACCACGGCAGCTTGAAGTCGATCAGACCAATCGTCAAGGTGTCGATCATGACCTCCTGAAGGTTGGGAGCATCTGAGAAATCAAGCTTGTTTCCAGTGTACTGATGACCACCCTGGAACCTAAGAGTGGGGGGTGAATACGGGTCAACGATACCGATGTTGAAGTGACAGCTCAATCGGAAGAGTTTTGGGAAAGATAGCGCAGGGATCTCGAGATGCGGGGATTTTTGACACGTCCAAGAAAGTTCCATGTCGTACCAACGGGAGGAGTGATCGCAAAGCAGCCTATATATCGATTGGAGATAGTCTTCTGCGGAAGTAAGACCTCGCGATTCTGGGTTGAGATACTTGAAGACCACGGTGAGCGGAGCAACTCGAGATCGTTCAAGCCATCTTCGAACGGTATGAATCCGGTTTTGGACCATAAGGTCGTCCGCTTTGAACCCGTCGAAACGACCACTAAAACTGAATTCGCCGAAGTGAAATGCAGCCCACAAACGAGGCGTGGCCAAGGTCACGTCTCGCCAGCTGCGGCATACAACAGTGAGTGCCTGTGGCAGGGCAGTCGTGTCCGCAGGCCAGACATGTCGTGCGTATGGAGCTTTTCGTGATTTTTGTTTGGTTGCGATAAAATCTTCAACACAAATGGTGAAGATGGCGGAAAGTATTTCAAAGGGGCATCGGGGCGTGACGAAAAACGTTGCCATTGTCAAGTTCTGGCGGCAAGTTGTCACGACTGGGTAGTAGCATGGGATTCAACAACTCCGACTGATAAAGTAGCGTAACAGTAATTACCTTCTGAAAGGGATGCCCGGTGATCAGTGCTTGTCTGAACTTAGATTGGCTCTGCTAGTATAGTCGTGACTGGTGCGAGAGAGAGAGAAGAGAGAGAACGATGCGATTCGCAGACTCTGAAGTGAATACGTATTTACATCCGCTCACCGGCGCTTCTCGGAAAGAACCGTGACGTGAATGAATGACCACAACTCCTCCACAGATGGTTCCGCTCACCGACAAGAGCACTCGAGACACCCTCCATAGCTAGCAAGCAGGAACATAAGATTTTATACGCATCTCAATAACGACTCGGAGGAAGTAAAAAAAATTAGGCAGAGCGAGGACGATTTGCACTCCGGCTACACCTCGCAAGGCCAACGAGCTCCCGCAGTCTCCCATACGACCGAGTTCATGCCACTATCGTAAATCTCCAATTCCAACCCTTCATCCACAAACTCCTGCAAGTACCGCTGTATCAGGTCTCTGCTATCTCCACCCGCCCATTGCTCGATGCGGATACGTCGGAAAGGAGGTACTCCGAGTTCTCTAGCATCGTTTTTTTGCGCTAGATCACGTCGGCTCCGTCGTGATGACAGGAAATTATGTAGATCACACAAAAACCATTTGTCCTCATTTAAAATATAGCCTATGGAGAGACAAAGCTCCTGGAGCCCCGGGACAATGTCAGATACGAGCTTCCCAGAGGTCGGATGGTACTGAAGACACAAGTCTTTGTGCGCACTTAGACTGTTCGTGGAGTAGGACACGAGGTCGGGAAAGGCCTGGACAGCACGAATAATGGCAGAGTTATGGGAGGCTCGGTTTTGCGGGTCATCCCAGACATCCCAGAACAGGTCGAACGCGTTGTCTATTTGCAGCATGCGGAGAGGTGGTCGTGCGGCGATTATTGGCAGCATAGTGTCATCGAGGGTGTCCAGATTCCGGATCCAGAGTCTGAGAGATTCGAGGGCGGGTAGATGAAGGCGCGGAATAACGCCATGGTCAATGCGACTGTCACCAGTTGCACATATGAGGTGGCGAAGAAGAGGGAGAGAAACGACCTGTATCTCTTTAGCACACCGGGTTTCGCTGGAATAGTGATATCGGTTGGGGTTCTGCTTATCATCATCGTAAATCTTGAGGTCTACAAGGTTGACGCACTGCGAGAGCACGTATAAACAGTCTGCGACGTAGAGACCATCCTCTTGGATCTTGTTGCGGCCTTGGAAAGCGAGCGAGCAGAGCTGCGACCAGGGCAACTTGAAATCGATGAGGCCTATAGTGAACGAGTTGAGCATGACTTCTCGAAGGTTCGGCGCATTCATAAATTCGAGGTTATTCCCAGTGTACATTTGAGGTCGAGAAAGTGGAGGATAATCGTCTGGATCTATCAGCCCGACATTAAAATGGCAGCTCAGCCGAAATAGCCTCGGGAGGGGCAGCGGTGACATATCGAGATGAGGAGATTTCGCGCAAGACCAGAGAAGATGCATATCGAACCACTGGGATGAGTGGTTGCAAAGCATGCGATATATCGATTGGGATGTCTCTGCCAAGAGTGGTCCGCCCTCCGTTGCGTTCCAGTATTTGTGACGCTGCATGACTACAGTCAGGCGGGCTGCACGAGATAGAGCAAGCCAGTCTTGAATCTTGAACAGCTTGAAGCTGCACTTCGCAGCCATGTGTGCGAGTGGATCCATGAGAAAGGCCCGCTCGAGAGCATCATCGGCGATACCGAATCTAGCCCAAAGACTAGGCAAGCCCAGCGCAATGTTTCGCCAGCTGCGACACACGCGAGTGAGTGATTGTGGTGCAGCAGTCCGGTTAGCGACAAGTTCAGTGGGATCCTTAGGATGTCTCTGCGTAGGCTCTGGGAGCGTCCGTGTTTCGTCGATGTGTCTATCGACAACGAAGATGAAGATGGCCGAAAGAATTTCGGGTGGGCAACGAGGTGTGTTGAAGAGACATGGGGTCGGCATCCAACCTGGCCGTTCCCGAATTGTTGAATAGAACGGGGCCATTCTGAAGTAACGAGTTTGAGATCTGCAGCCTCAGTTAGTAGGTGATGGACAGTGGCAGAGATTTAGAAGACTCGGAGTCTGAAAGACTAAAGTGCAGCACTCAAGCTTGTCACGTGCCGCCGTCAATCACGCCCAAATTATCCCACGGACCCAGAGCTGACACCAGTAACCAGTTGACCGGCAACAAACGAACATTTCTCCAACATTTCTCCAGGTTGTACTTGCGACGCCATAAGCTGTTGATTATTTAGCAAGGGTTGGCAGGGTGACCAGCCATAACTCGACACGTATTTCATTTCCAGACTGGTAACATTCCATACATATAATCTTCACTAACGAACTTCCAGTCAGTTATTCTTCCTTAACGTCCATTCACCCAAACGACCACCACGAACATCCACCCACCTTCATCACTTTCCCCTCTTCCCATTCCTTCGCTCTTCGCCTCCATCAACCCACAGCATGTTCTTCACCCCCCAATTCACTCCACAACCTCGACATAATTTGCAGGGAACAAACCCACTTCTCCCCTGGAATCTTTCCCTTGCCACCAGTCATCACTCGCCGCCTCAATCTCTGTGATTCTATCCCCCTCACGGAACGAGATTTCGTTATCCTCCGCGGCTTCGTAGTCGTATATGGCAATGGCGACGACGCCTTCGTCTACTGCAGCAGCGGGTGGCTCGGGCGCGGGAGGAGCGACGGGGGCTGCTGCAGCTGGAGGCTAGAAACGAGTACTGTGGGATTAGAGAAGGGTGTATGGGGAGAGGAGAGAAGACTTACAGGAGGAGGAGGAGGCGGAGGCGGAGGGGGTGGGGGCGGGGGCGGGGGTGGGAGGGGGAGGCGCTTCAGCCTCTGGTTCAGGCTCGGGTCCGGGTTCGGGCTCAGGCTCATAAGCCGGTTCGGGAGCAGCACCCTCTCCTTGCTCGAAGATTTCGACGTAGTTCGCTAAAGGCCAATCGCGTCAGTTCATACATTCTGGGAGGTGTCACAGGAACGAGTATGGTGCGAAAGGAATGGATAGACGAAGATAACGCACCAGGGAACAACCCGCTCTTCGCTCCTCCTTGTCCGACACCACTCCACCACCCCTCATCCACCATCTCGATCTGTTCGATTATCTCGCCCTCGACGAGAGCCATCTCGTTATCTTCTGTTGCCTTTTTGTACAAAAGGACAAAAAACACGATGATTAGCACAACGTAGGCTTGCTGGAAGCGACAGTTCCAGAGAAACAACGAACCTCATACTCGTAAAGTACGACCGCCACAGTTCCCTGTCCACCTGCAGGGGCGGCATGAACTGGCTCGGGTTCAGGCTCCGGCTCCGGTTCGTGGATCGCCATCTGCGCCATCTGTAATGCCAGAACCGGATTTGCAGTATCAGTAAGATTCGACCTTCAAAGATCAACCACGCCAAAATCAGACTTACCTGAGCAACAGGAGGTGGCGGCGGCGGTGGAGGAGGAGGTGGAGGAGGTGGATGAGCCTCCCACTCTGGCTCAGGCTCTTCCTCCTCTTGTTGCATTACAGGCGGTATAGGAGGTCTGCTGGCCGCCGGGGGTGGTGGCGGCGGCGGTGGCGGCACATATTCTTCGTCCTCTGGCTCCGGCTCGGGGATACGAGCGGGTGGGGGAGGCGCCGCAGGAGCAGATGGTGGGGGAGGGACACTTCTACTGGCGGCACCACCACTGAAGGAACCACCACCACCGCTGAACGAGGGCGTGACAGCTGCAGGAGGAGGGATCGAAGCTCCCGCAGCCCGACTCGCTGCCTCTTCTTCCTCTGCCTGCTTCTTCGCGAGCGCTTGACGTTCGCTCCAGGTTAGTTTCTTGGCACCGCCAGCGGGGGCACCGCGCGAAGGTGGTGGGGGAGTTGACTGAGTTTGTTGTTCGAATGCGGCGAACGGGTTCTTGAGCTTCTTCGGGGCAGGGAGGGAGACAGGTGTCCACGCGGTACCCTAAACATGTCCAGGTCGATAATCCAGAATCAGCCCTCGCATTGCATCTCAAAAGAAAAGGAAAGGCCGAAAATGATGTCGAAAGAGTGAATAGGTACGCACCACCGGTCCAATCTTATCTTCCTCTGCCGGCTTCGTAGACACCTTACTCTCAACCACTGGCGCTGGAGCCGCAGGTACGGGTCTTGCAGCGGCAGGGGGCGGCGGAGGTGGTTGGCTCGCAGCAATCCTCGTTGGAGGCGCATCATCGTCCCACGCACCAGTCGGCGCCTTACTCGCACCCACACCTTCAGATCGAGCAGCAGAACCTCCACGAGCGGCACCTGTTCCACCTCCACCTGTGAAACTAGCCGCAGGCCTCGGCGCACTTGGGATAGAGGGTGGCTTTGATGCGGCCGCGGTGGAAGGCTTCCAGCCGGTACTTGCGGCGGCGGGTTTGGAAGCAGCTGGTGGAGGGGGGACGGACCGAAGTTGGTTCAGGTCGGGGCGACCGATGGGGACGTAGTTTGTTCCTACGGGGGCGATGGGCTCGGCTTTACGGGGTGCTTCGTTTTGGAAGCTATATTTCGCGCCTGATGCTGATTCGACGCGAGACATGATGATAGACGGGGAGACGTCGGCCTGTCATGTCAATAAAAACGCGTTGATAAGTACAAACATTGTCATTTAGAAACAGAGGATGTGAGGCAAGGAACCGAGAGGAGAAGAGCGACAGACCGCCACGGATGAAAGTGATGGCAGATAACCCGAGAATGTTCAAGCTATCGGGTACTGCACAGATTCTCAGGACTTAGTACATGATCTGCTTAGGCTATTAATTTAGTTTAGAACATGTCGCGGCTTCTAAGAGTGCCCAGATGTCCATATCAAGGTGATATTCTAAACCCCAGACTCATACACGTCGATGCTCTGGCGTCGCACTGCTCTGGAGTAGTTGCGTATGCCGCTACGCCTGGTCCGTGCCGACGTCGCAGAATGGTGCCCTACACCAGAGTGGCACTACGACATCCCAGATATCCGACTTTGAATAGATCCCTGATCTTTGAAGGTTTTAAAGAGACCAAGAGGAACCAGTGCCAGAATTAGAATGGCTTTCCAGGAGGTCTGAGAATCGAGTCCCAGGTTGACGATTGCTGGTTCGTCGTCCTTGAGCAGACCGCTCAATCTCAGCTGTGTCTAGCAAAGACATGAAAGTCATGAAATGCGGTCCATTGCTATTCAACGTTCGTTCATCCTCTGTCCAGCAGCTATGTCGCACATGGGACTGACTCGCAACCGCAGTATAGCCACAACACCTTTGCAGATAATGGCTGGATTTTCAAAGTACGCACCTCATTGCGAGCACTGATGACCAAGTGTGTGCCATGTAGGAAGCGAGCTACTGCGGAGGCGTGCGTTGGGAAGAGACCTTTCTTGGCTACCGGAACACCATCACCACACCAGTTGATCTGTACGAATTTCGGGAGTTGACTCTAAGAAATGAGAACAGATGTCAGACCTTCTATCCCCCATCCAAAAGATATAGAAGCAGTCAGAAAAGGCGAGACTTACGTTCGGGTCCACTACTCGGACGAAAGCATACTGAATCCTGTCAGAGCATTGCAGCGTCAATGTACTTCTCCATGTCTTCAGCGTGCGAATCAAACGTACTTTCCATCGGAGAACTCGTCTTCCAATTCCTCTAGACCACCATCACCTGTTGACTGCACCTTCAAATCATTCCCACCTTTATCATACGTGAAGATGGCCCAGTCGATACCGCGCGAATTGACGACGTCGTTGTACGCCTTCGCGATGTCCGGGCTGGACAGATTAACCGTCAGAGACATCGGAGCGCCTCTCTAGTATAGTTATCAGAGCTTAGGGTATTCGATATGCAGGTCCGAGCAGTGGAAGTGGGTGTAAAGGAAAAAGAGATGGTACGGCTGCTTGTCGCGGTCAATTGGCAGTGCTTGTTCTGGGTTAGGGCGATTACGTCATATGGAGGGTTACATTATGAACTTGGGCCACAACGCCACACTTCCTCGCTCGTCTGGCTTGACATTCATCTCAAATCTGATACACGAATGTCCTTTACTATTGGGGAAGACAACGCTTGGCTCGGGAAATATTCGCGTTGGCAGAGACCGAAGCGTATGACGGAGCGAAACCTGTGTTTGCTAGTCTGATGTTCTCCGTAATTGTCTTCCACGCTCAGTTCTTCTCTTCCTCCCACCACCATGTCCAAATCCGAGCAGTCGCACCTTCCCCCTTTGGTCTCTACTGGTGTCTTTTCTGTGAGCTGTTCTGTTAATATCAATGCGCCGAAGCAGAAACTATGGGATGTGTTGCTTGATTTTCCCGAGTACGGAGAATGGTAAGTTACACCTCTGTATATAGGTGTTGTCCTGGACTTCACTGAGATTCATTTTGGTTACTATAGGAACCCGTTCGTGTAAGTCGCATATGTTCTTTTTTTACCCATCGTTCTTGTCCTCACTACTATCTGTACTGGACGGTAGCCGTGTTCAAACACTCGTCGATCCTGAAACCAAGGCTCCCCTTCCGTCTCCGGCTGCGTCGCAGCCTAAAGTTGGTCAACACCTCCTCATGAAGGTCCATATCCCACCTACGATGTCCGATACCTCCAAATATCAAAAGACCGAAGAAATCATCACGCACGTCGATCACGAGGAATTTCGTGTGGCATGGAAGTACGCCACGCTTCCGAAATGGTTGTTGGGCGCAGAGAGGTGGCAATGTCTGAGTAGCCTTCCTTCCCCCGACGGAGGGAAAGAGATGACGAAGTACGAGACGAGGGAAGTGTTTAGTGGTCCGTTGGCGTATATCATGAAATGGTTTATGAGGAAAGGTCTGGAAGAGGCATTTGCTGCGATGGGTGATGCGTTGAAAGCACGGTCTGAGACTGGAGCACAGGACCAAGGAACGCTATAGGAAGAGTATAAAAGGTTTGATAGACTGATATAATGCTCTCCCCGTCAATATTATCCAGGCTACATATATGATCCAAATGGCCTAACGGTCATGGCGATAACACGGCCGAAACATCTATTCAGATAGTCTGTCTCCATAATGGCTTCATCCCAACGCGTTAGCAGAGTACAGTGTATCGACACAAACTAGATACAGAAACTCAACGAATCAAACTCCTCACATTTAAACAACCGCCTTCAATGCTCATCCGGAATAACACTTCGCCCACTCCCCTCCATGCACAAATCTCGTGAAATCAAGCCGCGTCTCCGCCGCATTCAAGATACGCGCCGTACTCGGCCTCGCAAGCGTCGTCCGGTGCGCACTCGGCACCCAAAACAATAGCTCACCCGACGTCCCTCTGACCCACCCATCTTTCTCTAGCTCATGTTGATCTCCGAATTTCTCTTCCTCCTTCCCTTCCTCCTCCCCATCCTCGCCGTCGTGTCCCTTGGTACCGACAGTGGTATCCCAAATGCGAATTGTGCGGTCGGCGGAACACGAAGCAATATAACGATCGTCGGGGGAGAACGCGACAGCATTGATCCTACTCGTATGTCCATTGAATGGACCAGCAACAATATCTCCCGTCTCTGCGTCCCATACACAAACACTACAATCCCACGAACCCGACGCGATCCGTTTCCCATCTGACGATAGAGAAACTGACACGACTTCCGCATTGTGTCCGTGGAAAGGACCCGCGATAGGCTCTCCGGTAGATGCATTCCAAACGCATAAAGTGTTGTCGTCCGAGCTAGAGATGATGCGCTCCCCATCGGGTGAGTACACGAGCGATTGGACCCAGCTTTCATGCGCAGGGAATGGCCCAACGACTGTCTCTCGGGTCTCGATATCCCACACGCGAATGGTATTATCGCGCGAACCAACTGCAACACGCTTGTCGTCAGGGGAGAACCTGACGGTGAGGATGCCCCAGAGATGTCCTTCGAAGGGCTCGTGGACTAGTTCACGGGTGCCGACGTTCCATATGCGGACCGTCTCGTCGAAAGAGCCTGAGACGAGCATTTGACTGTCAGAGGAGAACATAAGTGATTGTACGGGCTGATTGTGGCCTTCGAGAGGTTTTCCGACTAGTTGTCCGCCCGCTGCGCTCCAGATACGAATGGTGTTGTCTTCGGATCCCGACGCTATGAATTGTCCATCGGGAGAGTATGCGATGGTTGTGACTCCGTCTGTATGTCCCTCGCATGATCGCAGAACGGGTGTGTCTTCGGCGGTTCCATCGAGGCGCCACTGAATGATATTGTGATCGATAGAGCCGGTCACTAGCTGATTCCCGTCAGGAGAGAATGCGAGGGATGTGATCGAGTCTGTATGTCCAGCTTGTGGCGCATCGTCACCACTCCCATTAACCTGCAAGTCCCATACGCAGATTGTCTGGTCGACGGAGCCTGACGCCACGCGATGTCCATCAGGTGAGAACGAAACAGTTCTGACTGGACCAGCGTGTCCGTGGAACGGCCCAGCGATACAGGTCCCTGTCTCGACGTCCCATACACGTACGGTGTAGTCCGACGATCCCGATGCGACATAACGGTTCTCCTTGGGGGAGAAGGCCACAGAGTAGATATCTCTTGTATGGCCTTGTAGCGGTCCCGCGAGGAGGTTCCCGTTCGAGAAGTCCCAGACACGAACACTCTGGTCGTGCGAGCCGGTAGCGATACGTTGCCCATCCGACGAAAGCGTCATGGATACGATCCAACTCGTGTGCCCGGTGAAAGGGCCTGCGACGTGCTTGCCAGTAGTAGGATCGTAGACCTCAAACATCCCATCGCTTCTGCTCGCAGAGATATAATGCCCAACACAAAACATCCTATCGATGCCTTCAATGCCGTTCGCGTGCCCTTCAAACGAGACTGCCGCGCTCGTCTCCGTGGACGGATCCCATATACGAGTCGTGAAGTCCCTCGAGAACGCAAGAACGCGATAGCTGTCCGGAAGAAATGCGACCCCAGCTACACCGTGTTCGTGCTCAAGGAACGAAGTGAAGATGACATCCCCGGTGGTAGCGTCCCATATTCGGACGGTGTTATCCTCAGAACCTGACGCGATACGGCGGTCGTCAGACGAAAATGCGACGGACATAATTGGATTCCCATGGCCGACAAGGGGGCCCAGAACCTGGGCTCCCGTTTCCGCGTCCCAGACGGAGACGTTCCAATCGTAAGAGCCGGAGACGATGGAGCGACCATCGTGCGAGAAGGCGATGGACGTGACAGACTTTCCTGGTTTATGAGCGGCAATCTGCATTTGCAGTGTTGGCCAGTGGGGTGCGTGACCCTTTGCAACATAAAATGTGTTCGGAAGATGTGAATGATTGAGTTGGAAGACTGGGGACGATGACGGGGAGAACGGGATGGCGGATAGGTAGATATGAGGCGTGCTTTCGGCTATGGGCATCCCGAAGTAGCGCACAAAACGGGATACATCTTCGACGAGGTCCGCGAATTCTTCGGAGACAGTTCCTGGCTCCTGTAGAAAATCCAATGAGTCACATTTAGCGCACTGGTAAGTAAATAACTCACCTTCTCACTGGCCCCAGCGAGCCATTTCTTTAGCGTCGCGAGAGCAGGAGTCGCGAGGTTCATAGCTCCAATTAGACTGAGGACCTCGATCCAGAAAAGAAGTTTCTCGCGGAGAAGCGATTCCGCCTTCGCGAGAAGATCGTGGTCAAACGAGACGTGGTCTATATGCTCGTCCCAAAACCGGCACGCATAGGAAAGATGGAACGGTATCTTCTCCTGCACTCGCATGTCGAGGTCGGGGATGTGCACGTTGCGGAAATGTGAAGTCTCGAGGTCACATATGTTGAACTGTAGTGTATCGAGCATAAGACCAAGACAGGCATGTGTAAGAAGACGGTCGGCGTCGTTGAGATCTATGAAGAACGCCCCGCTCCGCTCTTTGCTGGTAAGATAGTCTCGAAAAGAAGTATGCAGGGGAATCATGGGCAAGACCGATGTTGCGTAAGTGACGTTGCTCAATAGAGACCCCATGCCATCGACGACGGAACGTACGACCTCTTGTAGTTCATCTTGCGGAGCATCAGGAGCATGTTGACCAAGAGCGATCAAGGAGTTTTGAGATAACGGCTCGAAGGATGCGAGTATTTGGCCCATGACGAATCGAAACTGTATCGGAATATCTTCGTACTTCTCAAAGTCGGGAAATAGGGTTCTCAATACCGTGTCGTAGAGTTCATCAAGTTTCTCTTGCACTCTACTCTTGCCTTTCTTATTTACAAGAATGTCGAAGGCGCGAGAGGCCGTCAAGCCTCGAGGTGGTTTCGCGATAAAATCGCATGCGACTGCAGCCCACTGGAACAACCGACCCGCCTCCTGAGCCAACTGCATGCAGTCCTCGTCCGAAAGACGAGGGGACAGTCTCGAGCGGGTGTAGAAGAGGATATCTTGCTCTGTGTCTTGAGCTAAAATATTGTCCTCCATGCGAAGGACCCCGATCTCTGGCCGATTGCTGAAGGCTTCTTCGAGGTCGCTCTCCGGTCGCGCGGTGAGGAGCATGCGGAAGTTCTCGGGAAGCTCGTGAGCACTGTTGGCTAGGGCCGAAACGAGACCTTCTCGTGTTTCTTCATCGCATTCGTCAAGGCCGTCGATGACGATGACCATGGGTCCAAGAGTGTGAAGATCCTTCAACTGGTCCAACAGGAGGCGCGTAAACAGAGATCGACAGTCACGGTTCCCTAAACGAAGGGACGTGTCCCCGCGGATGGTCTTCACCAAGGCCTTCTTGAAGGACGGATTCTCATCAGATAGGTCACGAGCCAGTGTCGTGATGGGAAGGTGAGGCGGCTGCTGGAAGGATTTGTCGAAGACGAAGGAAGATGTAAGTCTGCCCATATCCTCGAAACGGCGAGCGATTTCGTGCGCGATGGACGATTTTCCGGAGCCTGCCTGACCGAAGAGGACCAGCATGCGTGAAGAATCCGGGCTGTGGACCCATTCTTGCAAACGGTCTAGGAACTGGACCCTCGTTCCAAGGGTGCAGCCTTTGGCTGGGTTACATCGGGCTCCGTCGCCATATGGCAAATCGCGAAGCAATGCATCCGCATCTAGATGAAAACTGAGCTTTGAGTGCTTCGCATATAATATATGTGGATAAACCCACCGATCTCAGCAAGCTGCTGCGCAACATCCTCAAGATCATCTGCAAGGCGTAGCACGCAGAGCTTTGTGGTGATTGTTGTCTGATTAAGAAAAGCGTCGCGAAGCTCCCCGAGAACAGTCGTGTACTTTGTCACCAGACTGTCAGCCTTGCTTACGACGTTTTTCAATAGTCGTTTCCCTGCAAAACACAAGACAAGGTCAGTAGAGAGTCACCTTCGATATTGCGATACATACAGAAGTTTATATCCTTTGCATACGACTGGATGAAGTGTCCGCACTCGCCCGTCTGCTGAAGCATTTTAGTTATGATCTCGGCTTGTTTGGGGTCGTGACAGCGGGCTTCCAGATCCTCCGCCGCATGAACAGTATCCATCATGTCCTTCAGGGCCTCGAGTAGGGTCCGTACTTGATCGTCACGTTCCATTTGGGTGGCGATAGCCTAATAGATTTTCGGGACATTGAGTCAGTGAGGAACAAAAAGTAATGTCGTAATAGACGACTTACCTTGGGAATTGCGGACAGAATAGCCCATGCTATATTTGCATACGGATGAATCTGTCAAATACTCGTGAGCAGATGAACACTAAGACACAGACTATCAACTTACCGCGGCTATCCCGTCGACGATATTTACCAACCCTTCTACCTTTTCCATCATGGGTTCCCATATCGCATACTGGGCTTTGGTGGTGGTCACTGCACTGACGACAAGTTGCGAGTCGGCTAGAACGGTGTTAGCCGTACCCGAAATATCTTTCATGTTGTCGAGGGCCAATTCAGCGACAAAAGGCGCGGCCACAGGGGCATCCTCAGACGATGCGGCCTTCTCGGCGGATTTGGACGTCGACGCCGATGTCTTGAACATGACAACCACTTCGAACGCGCTTTGTCTTCCACGAGGATCGACATATGCGATATGCAAAGAGAACCCTATATGTCCCGCTTGATCAGCATGTCCTCTCCACTGACGGCCTCGCATACGTACGTTCGTTGAGACGAGCCTCCAGTTTCTCGGGAGACAGGCTATATGTGCCGACGAGATTCGGCTCATGCATGCTCCTTTGAGCGTAGACCTGTATCAATACTTGAGCTGTTGCATCTAGAACGCTGAAACCGGGCAGCCAGGCCTGTCAGAACCGACAACGAACGGCAAAAAAAAATTGAAACACCTTACAAGCCGCTCAACGTTTCGTCCCATTTCGCAACGCCCTCTTTCGGAGGCAACGCTTTCGTCTGCTTGATGGTCAGCGCGTGTGTGATACGCACGAAGAACGGCCTCTTCGAGAGAAAGGATACAAGTCGGGGGAGATTTCGAGCTTCGAATACTGAGAGAAAATGAGACAGATGTTCGCAAGTCTTAGCAGTGGATACGTGCCTTGTATACCGAACTTTTCTCCGTCTGTCATCACCAACAACTGTTTCCCCGACACCCCCTTCTCCGACGTCCCTTTCTCCGACACACCCTTCTCTTTCTCAGTCGCTGAGGAGCTAGACGATACGATCGTCAAGAGGAAGAGCGAGAAAAGAATCCGTTTGGCTCACCTGGCTCCCTTTTCCGACATAGTTAGAGGCCTAAAGGAAGTTCAACATTTCGGGAACATGAGCCTCGTATATGCCATGACAGAACTTATACGCACCTCGACGATGATGGCTGGCCCTACGCTACGCCGATAGAATGCTGAACACAACAGTAAGCTATTTGGTGGTTGAGAACGATGAGGAGCGAGGGCGTGCGAGACGCCCTTCGGTCGTTTTGAACCCTGTTGCTGTGTGTTACGGGCTGATATGACCTGAGAGATTCGGCCCTGTCGCAATACACCTTCCTGTGTATAGCCAAAAAGGAACTTTGGAACCAAGAACTCCTGGTTATCAAATGATACGTCGGCGATTAAAGCACAGTGTCTTCATTTTTTGTGTCCAAACTAGCGAATTCGATGTTTCTCAGTCGGGCGAGCATTGAAGCTTATTGAAGTCAGCAAACTGCATATTCTGACCAACAAGCACGGATTTTTGTGGGTATTGGACGAGCAATCCATCGAACGACGAACAGGGTGCGACTGCGCTTTGTCATGAAGATTGATATTTTGATCTGGATTCGTTCCATCACTGTGATGATCAGTCGCCAATCATATGCCCATACTACGGTAGATATCCCACCTCGTGCTTCGACAGACTTTTCCCATTTCCAAGTCGTTGATCTTCATCGACACAGATCAACGACAGGTGACTCTTGAGCGCTTGAGTCTCAGTGATTCAGTATGTGGCCAGTTCAGGGCCTGACAGTTTTGCGGTCAATGACTTTGCTCTCGCACAGATATTTTCTAAGAACTGGCTTTGGAAGAAGGCAAGAAGAATGAGACAGTGGAGGACAGGAGGTGTGGAAGAAGAACAAACCTGAACGCCTGGAAAGAAATTTCCCACCGTTACGCTTTGGTTCAGGCGCTTGGCGGCTTGGGTGTCACAAGCTGATGTGGCGCGCATCCTCCCCTTCGGGATTTGGTATCAAGACCAGTGTTTTGCACCTTCCTACGCGATGGACATCAGGGGAGAATTATACCATCAACTGGCGTGCACATAAAGATACTGTATATACATGGATAGCTCCGACTAACGAGACAGGATGAACAACAGACCAGTGGCACAGGAATAAGCAAACAGATTCAGAACGTAGCAAAGCACAGTGATAAGAGACAGAAATGAACACAAAGGATAAAATGAACGTGCCGATGTAAGTACCGAGACAAAAGCTCAGTCATAGTATATATAGAAGGAAGCGCGAATAAAACATGAAAATAAAGAGCGGAGAGCGCGAGATACCAGTGGATAGCACCAGATCGTTAATGAGCGACAATTGAACAAACACGAAGAGAATAAAAAGTAAGCAGAAACAATGAAAATATATGGTATAGATACATATCCTCCGTGAGAACAAACCAAAACGAAAGAGAAGGGAATGATATCTTGCTATACATCCTGAAGAAAGGAACGGTGGAACGAGACAGAAAACTTGCAGAAAACACGACCACATTACGATCCCTCAGCGGCCCCTGAGTCCGACACACCTCCGCCTGTGTCAGACTCTCCACCGGTCTGCGCACTGGGTGCCTCGATGTTGATAACACCCTCCTCAATATGCATATCACCCTCCTCTTCCACAGGAACGCCCTCGATTATCGCCGGAGCATGAGAAGGCTGAGATAGATCGACCTCCCCTGGAACCGCATTTTCTTCCTCAGCCCCCTCCTCAGCAGCCGACATACTAACCATCGGCGCACTCTTCCTCCTCTTCCCAATCCCTCCTGCAATCCCCATCCCCAATTCTCCGAATCCTTTCCACATATCCGACATACTCCTCTTCAACACTCCCTCCCCTCCTTTCTCCTTCTCCACTTTCTCCTTGATCTGTTCGCTGGATCCAGCAGCAGACCCGGATCCGGACCCACTCCTTCCTCTCCCTAGCCCAAACCCTCCGACATGAAAGTCCAACGAACGACCCCTCCTATCCATAGCAGGCGCCACACCCCTACTCATACTGATTTTCCTCTTCCCCAGTGCCACAGGTGACATCGCCCGTCTCATACCTACACCAATCCCACCTCCACCTTCTGCAAAGACGACTCCAGTACTAGCGGAAGCTGAAGCAGACGTCGCAGGCGATGCGGTACTAGACTGCGTAGACGTCGACGGCCTGGACGAGACCGGCGCGATACCCATAGCTTCGAGTCCTACACCCAATGGCGGGATGACGAACGAGTCGCTTCGAGATTCAGCTCGAGTCCTGCCACCGCCGTAGCCATACCGTTGTCTTCGTGTTCTTGTTTTACTACCTCCAATCCCATTCCCATTTACGACATCTTCTGCTGAAGGCAAAGTCGTGGTCGTGGGTACAACACTATCGTCGTTGAGATTCACAGGCGCGTCGACAGGGGCAGCAGCAACATCGTCGTCAATCGTAGCGGAGGACATCGCCATGGGATTGGCAGAGAAAGTGAGCGAGAGCGCAGAGGCGGAGGCGGTCTGTTGGCGTGGATAGCCGTAGCTCTGATTTCCTGATGCGGAGTAACCCGCAGCATTTCCTGCCTGTGCCTGTGCCTGTGTGGTGCTCGTGGGCGAGTCGGCGGTAGAGGGACGTCCATGACGGAACCGGGATGAAGTTGTGAAGATGGTTGGAGACGCGAAGGCGGCGAGGAGGTTGCGGGTAGGTGAACGGTTGCGTGTGGGGAGGGTGGCGGAGAATGGGCGAGGAGCTGGTATAGATGGACCACAGAGATGTTAGTACAGTCATATGTGTGTGAGTAGAACAACCCAAAGACGTACCAGAAACTTCCTTCTCCGCCCCTCCCTTGCCCAGTTCACTCTCCAACTCCAACGCCCTCCCTCCTAACTCAAGGAACGACATGTATGCATCATCATCCTCTCCTCCATTCTCATTCTCATCCACGTCCGCGTCCATATCTCTTCTCTTGCCCTTACCCTTCATACTAACCCCATCCACCGACACGACCCTTTCCCTCTCTTTCCCTCCACCCACCGCCACCCCCTCGCCATTGACAGAAGCACCAGGCAAAGGCGGCATATCAGTCGCACTAATCCCTCCCAAACTCCCACCTCTACTCCTCCCTCTCCCATGCGTATGCCCCTTACCCTTGCCGTGTACACTAGGCACCCGAGTGGAAATATCCGCTCTTGAACGACTCCTAGACCTCGACCTCGCCCGCCGACTCCTCACGCTCTTAACCTCGTCTCCTTCACCACCCTCCTTAGCTTCTGACCCTGAGCCCGTACTCCAGAGTGACGACTGAACGATCGGCGAGCCAGATATCCCCGCCGCCGTACCCCCAATCTCACCCAAGATCGGACTCAACCCCGCCCCCAACGTCGGCGAATCCGTCGTTGCCGTCCCACCCAAAATCGGATTAGCACTACTAGTACTAGTCGGGCTCCTAGCATTGACCTTCGCGGTGACCCTCGCTGGAATCCTCAGTGACGCTTTGCTAGCCCTCATACTCCGTTTCCTCGCCGCGCTCACCAAGGACACCTGCGACACTTGACTCGATTCTGAGAGACGACGGTCGTGCTTGGCCGTGGGGGTCTTCTGGTCAACGGGTGATGATGACTCCTGATTAGATAAAGCGGTCGAGGTGTTCGGTATCGCAGAAGGGTATGATGAAGGAGGGGCGGACGATTTTTCTTGTACAAGAGGTGGTTTATCATCTTCTCCCTGTTGCTGTTGTTCTGCAAAATCACCCAACCGAGGCGAAGGAATCATAGTGAGTCGAGCTTTACTCGCCACCGCGGTGCCCATGACGCCTACGACTTGGTGGTCTTGGGTATTGATACTTGCGTTATCGCGGAAGGAGTGGCCGTCGATTGTAGATTCCCAAGATCCGGAATCGTTTCTTTGTAGTTGAGATTGGGGGTCGAGGAGCGGGTCGGTGTGAGGTGAGGAGTCGATATCGGGAGTGGGTGCGGTGGGGAGTGGTAAGGGGTCGGTCTGAATGGAAACGTCCAGATGTATCGGAGGGGGTGACTTGACCGGTGACGGATTCTCCGAAGTTGAATCTAACAGCCCAGCAGCCTCCATCTTCTCCAAAAGCTCCCTCCTCTCCACTTCCCACTTCTTCCTCTCACCGATCCACCACCCTTTCTCATCCTCCCACTCCCTCCTCTCCATCTCCCAACTCCCCCGCTGCCTCTCCAACCTCTCCTTGTCCTTCCGCCACGCCTCCTTCTCCATCTCCCAACCCTCCTGCTTCGTTTCCCAGTTCTCTCTCTCCAACCTCCACGCATCCCTCTCCACATCCCAACTCGCCCTCTCCCCATCTAACCGTCCCCCAACCTCAACAGCGATTTTCCATCCCTCCTCCCTCTCCTCCTCCCACCCCTCCCTAACAACCTTCCACCCTTCCCTTTCTTCCCTTCTCTCTCTCCTCTCCCTCTCCAACTCCCTCGTCCGTTTCCCATAACTCGTATTCAGCTTACGGAGCGCGACAGCAAGCGCAGACGTGAGATGGTGTGCATGCAGCGCCGATAGTTGTGTATGGAGATGCGTAGCGATCAACAACTCGCTGATCAAATCTGCTTGTATGGACAGACTATTGCTCAAAGACGTGGTCAGGGAGGCGAGCGAATGCGAGTGTTGAATGGACGCAGTTGAGGGTGAGGGCCCGCCCCGTTCTGGTTGTGCGTCGTCGGGGAGCGAGGAAGAGGAGGAAGAAGAACAAGCGAGTGCGTAGAGTGACTGGAGATACATCTTTTTGCGACCTTCTTCGAAGCGGTGTTTGGCTTGGAGGATGCGGCGTTCGGAGTCGAGACGGTCGAGTTCGGAGAGGAGGTCGGTGGCAACAGAGGGTTTTAGAAGTCTGTTGCGTCAGAAGGAGAATTGGTGAGGAATTAGTGAACGATACAGACAAGATCTAAGCAAGGCGATGGATGAGCGAAACCGGGAGAACGATAAACGTAGTTCGTGCCACAATGTGGCCGCGTAGCTCTCTGGCCTTATTCGGCTGACCGCGAAGTAAAGTAACCACAAAACAAAAACTCGGAAAACGCACCTTATAAACCTAACGTCCGCACTCTCCCTAATCGCCGCACTAACCAACGCCTGCAATTCGCCACTACTCAGCGTCCACTGTGCAGCCTCCAACGTTAACGGCTTATACCTCGCGTAATCCTCATCTCCAATCGCACTCAGATTCAATGGCAGATCTGGGAACTCGATGGGGATTAATGGTGGGAGTGGTGGCAATGGGATTGGAGCTGATTTCGGTGTGTTCGAGTTGGAATTCGAGTTGGAATTGACTGATTTGACGGAAGCGGTTGAAGGAGGTGCGTGTTGATACACAGAAAGCGAGGTCGAAGGACGAGATGGAAGAGGCGAGTTTCGGGACGGTGTTGAGGCTCTTGGTGAACTTGACCGTGGGCTCGAAGAAGTCGAATGACGTTGTTGATGCGGGAACGAGGTCGTAAGAAGCGGAGAAGGCGACGGTGACTGATGAAACGAATCTCGTGAATTGAACGGAGGCGGTATTGATAATGAGGAGACTGGGGGTACTGTGGCGATGGGTGTAGGGCTCGAGGAGGGTAATCGTGGGGGTGGCGAGAGGGGAAGGTCTCGTGTATGTAGTTGGCTCGGGTTCGGCGATGGTTGGAGTGGTACCCGAATCGTCACGTCTTCGTCCAGATGGACTACTGGCTGTGATGGTGACGAGAATGCTGTGGTGGACGGGTCGGGAGTATGGATACGAGAACCAAAGTCGGTGGCGCTGTAGGCCGGTGGACTTTGCATGTCATGATTGAAATCTGGTTCTGTATTTGAGTACGGGCCGTAGAGGATACCAGTGGACGCAGTAGACAGTCGCGCGCTGTCGCTCGAGTGACCATGAGCTGTCGACGAAACAATTGAAGGCGCGAGTAAAGACTCCGAATCTGTTGTGGCACTCGGGTCCTCTACAATCGTTTCGGGTATCACGGCTGTCACAGGTGTTGACACTGGGATAGCAGTCTCCGTCGACGATGACCCAGAGATAATGCTCTCCGGTTCGTCCGAGAAATTCGAACCATACGACGTCTCTCGCGCACGTTCGTCTTCCCTCGCGCCCACAGCCGACGCAGCACTCGCGTTGCTTGGACGTGTTTGTCTCCTCGAACGAGGACCAGCAGGACCCAGTCTCGGTCGTTCGCGTCGAGCAGGTGAAAGTAACAAGGATGGACCAGGCTCTTCCATGGCTGTCTGCGATGATTACAAGGACTTCGCCAGAATCATCCGGTAACGAGATGGGCCTGTTGCATAGATGTTGGGAATGGGAAAAGGGCAAGATGAAGACCTAAATTGGGGAGACAGGAGAGGAGATACGGCGAATATAAGATGAATCAGAAAACCTGTACGGTCTGTGATGATGTATGACGCACCTCGTTCACAGCAAATAATCTTCAAAGCAGCTCGAGTACCCAAATATCCTTGCTCTCTTCGTCGACAGATACGACAAACCAAGTCCAGAAAAGTATTTCCGCTCAAAGATTCGAAAAAGCGAGACAAGCGGGACGACAGCAAACGTGTTGATCCCAGCTCGCGCGTGCCCTCTCCATCAAGCGCTCAGCGCTCGACATCCTTTCCCATCCCCATCCAGCTTCCCCGCCTATTTTCTCGAATCAAAGAATCATGTGTGGGCGGAAACTTCGATGGTCCGAGTCCGAGCCATCGTTTTGTGTTGAAAATCAAAATGGTGTTGAGTTTTGCCTCGCATCGTATTTGCATTTTATATGGACCCATTTTCCCGGCCCGCGTGAAATGGGCCCAAAACCCACTTGCCAGTGCACAGCGTTGGTCTGCTGTCTACAAATCTGCTGTGAGTATGTCTCTGACTCGCGAAAAATGTTGACACTATTCGATGCATTTTACAGGTCGAACATGAATATGCATGAATGCAGAGCAGCCGAGAAACCTTTATTGCAACATTTATGGATCCAGGCGCTGAAGCGGCTCCTTGATCGGGACGAAATAGCGTCCATAATGAACGCAGCCGGCGGTTGAAATGCACACCTTGTTTACGTCCGGCCTCCTTCCGAGAGTCGCCGTTGTGGTCCAAGTTTGTTCGTGAACTTGTGGCATAGGTGCTGGCACTCAGGATGACTCGTCTGGAACTTCGGGCAGCACATCAGCGAGAGGCTTCAAGAAAACCAGAGGCATCGTAGTAGGTCAAACGCATATTAATCTATTATAGCACAACGCACAACTTACACCCACCACTGACTCGTAACATTACGCTACAGACACATCGCTGCGTTACTCACCACGCATCAAGGCCTCGATTCTCATCCTCGTGACCCTCGCATCCCGCACCATATCGAGTATGTGCCCCAAAGGACTCCCCCTCTCGCCGCCTTCTTCCAACCACTTCGTCCACTCGACAATCCAGTACAGCGCGTCCAGAGGCGCAAGAGGCTGGGGCTGCTCCGGCGGGCTTGCACGACCGAAGAAGTGCGACAACAATCCGATCGATGCGTTCGAGCTGCTCTCTCTGGATTTAGGGAACCGAACGACCGACCTCAATATCGTATCATGGCACTCCCCAAAGGTGAATCCATCGTTGAACTCCACTAGAAGGTGCATATGGGCGAGTCGTATGCTCCGCCTGCCTTCGCTGATGCCGTTCTTGAGGTCGGGCAGCTTGTAGGACCCTCCGCAATGAGCGATCCCGGCGTTCTGGGGAAAATCGGTTCTGGATGGGTCGATCCATACGACGTAGGCGAAATATTTGTTGTTATAATCAGAATTTATCATGGCAGGAACGAATACGAGGCGCAAAGAGGCCGAGATACGTCTGGTGCTTGCGTCGACCTCTTCAAATATGGCTATGAAGAGTTGGTGCGTTCCTTGTCTCATGGATTTTTCGGAAGTATCTGACCAACTGCGAATAATAATCCTCAGACATCAATGAAAGTACCTTAACGAAGAGGGAGTAAAATGCGACGTACACTATTGATTTAGACGACATCTAGATAGAGGGGTCGGTGATCTGTTGGTGATGGATGGTTTGAAGAAAATCTGGAATGACGGCAAGTATCCAAGCGAGCGAAGGGCGAGAAAACCAGAGGATGGATGCTCACGAATATAGAGGGTCTGAGAGGATGAGTGATCTTCAAGCTTCAAGGCGTTGGCCTTTTATACCATTCCCCTTTATCCGAAACGGGCGAGATAACAATAACCATTATGAAATCTGGGAGGTGATGGGAAACACGGCACTGTCGTGTTTGGCATAATAAAACCAAAGAACAAGACAACACAATTTGAATAATCAGAGAAACGGCAATAACAAGCAAGCGTCGGACAAAGCGAGCTCGAGTCTGTCTGTTTCAAGTCGGGGCATTCTGGTCGGAACCCCCACCTTGTTTAGGTCTGTCCTTCTTCCCAAAGTCACCACTGTGGCTCAAGGTTGTTTTGACCTTGTTCGTAACGTTGTGACAATCTTGTGGCGTAGGTGTCCTTCACAATGACTCGACTATAGTTTCGGACACGGGAGATGTCAGACTTGTTCTACCGGGTTTCACAGGATTGGAGGTAATCATCGCAAAGACGGAAAGATAATAGTATTCATCGTGACTAGGAGGTCATCGTCGAGTTGCACCTTGAAGATCATTATAAAAAAGTAAAAGAACGGGAAGGTCAAATGGATTTGCCAGTGTGGCGAACAGCGCATCAACGACAGATCCCAAGAAACCAGAGGCATCATAGTAGGTCTAGGAACATATACTAACCGATTATACAACACACGACTTTCCACCGACCACTGGCTCATAACATTACGCTACAAACACATCGCTGCGTTCCTCACCACGCAGCCTTCTTGTCAATTCCGAGTAGAGTCGTCATCCTGACGCTCATCCTTAAGGCGTTGATTTTCATCCTCGTGTCCCCCGCACCCCGCACCACCATATCGAATAGGTCTCCCGAAGGATTTCCCCTCTCGCCGCCTTCTGCCAACCACTTCGTCCACTCGGCAATCCAGTACAGCGTATCCAGAGGCGCAAGCTGCGCGCTGGCACCACCGAAGAAGGACGACAACAATCTGGTCGATCCATTCGAGCTGCGCTCCGATCTGCACTTAGAGAATGAAAGGATCGACAACTGAATCGTCTCAAGGCATTTGGAAGATGTGTATGGCCAATCCTCGAACTCTACCAGACGGTGCATATCGGCGAGTCGTGCGGGCGCGCTCCACCTACCTTCACTGCTGCCGTTCTCGAGGTCGCGCAGCTTGTAGGGCCCCCCGAGATGAACGATCCCGTCCTGGGTGAGATCGGTCCTGGCTGGGTCGATCCATACGATGTTGGCGAAATATTCGTTGTTGTCGAAATATTCGTTGTTGTAATTAGACTTGATCCTGGCGGGAATGAATACGAGGCGCACGGACTCGGACTCGGCCGAGACATTTCCGGTGCTTGCGTCGAGCTCTTTGAAGAAGCCCATGAAGAGTTGGTGCATTCCTGCTCTCATGGATTGCTCGAAAACAGTTGACCAACTGCCGAGCCTTAATATTCCTCAGATTAAAATGAGATTATTTCAACGAAGGCGTAGAATGCGACGTACATTGAGGATCCAAACGACATATGGATAGAGTAGACTTGTCGGTGATCTGTTGGTGGTGAGAGGTGAAGAAAACCTGAAATGACGACAAGAATATAAGCGAGCTAAGGGCGTGAAAACCAGAGTAGGGATACTCACGAATATAGAGGGATCGAGAGGATGGGTGATCTTCGAGCTTCGATGCGTTGGCCTTTTATACCATTCTCTTTTGTCCGAAACGGGAGAGATAACAATGGCCATCATAAAACCTAGGAAGCGATGGCAACACGGCACTTCCGTGTCTGGCATAAGAAAATAAAACAAAGAATTAGGCCAGCAATGACAAAGCGTCAGACAAAGAGAGCGGCTCGAGGTCCGATTGGCGCCGGGATGTTTGCGGCCAACCTGTTTTGGCACTGACGTCGTCCTGGATCAAGGAATGGATTGTCGAAGCTTCGGCGATGGCAATGAACAAAGCGGTCGCGGGAAGACCCTCCGAGTCGTGTTACCAACGTGTTGCTTGCGTGTTGCGTCGTCACGATGGTTGCACGGCGGCCCCCGGGCCAGCACGTACTTACTGGAACTTGACTGGAACCATTGGCAGGCCCGGTCATCAGAGCAGAGTAGCCAGCTGAGATTCAATAGCAAATCTTCTGTTTCCACTAGCAGAACTTACAGAGAGACGCCGACCGTGAAGAAGCAAAAGGAAAACAGAGGTGTAACTTTTTTCAAGGCGGAGACCATGTGCGGAGGCCAAAGCGGATGCCGAGCGACCGGACCGGCTTGCTCGGCTTCCTTGACACTGTGGCGCCGTAAACAATATCGGGTCTACATTGATGAGTGCTGCTGCAAGTTATCCCTCGATAGCTCAATTGGGAGAGCGCAAGACTGTAATTGGAAATCATCTTGAGGTCGCTAGTTCGATCCTGGCTCGAGGGATTGCGGACCGGCCTTCGTTTTTTTCGTTGCTGGAGGAATAGTTTCAATTCGACGCCTCAGCGGGTTTTCCGAGCTTCCTACAAGCACGACGTCCTCTTCGAATCTGATACATGGTGCTCAAACTCGTACTCAAACTTGTACTTTGTGATCATGAATTATAATTGCCTTCACACGAACTCAGCATTGGAACCTTCAGCTGAGGCTAATTTGACTACTACCGCATAACTCACGTACCCACGATAGGAGCGCCTGACAACGTATAATCTGAGCACACCCCTCCGTTCACTTCTCATGTGCAATAGGTGCTAATAACGGTTGGGGATCGAACGTGGCGGACGATGTAAGAATGAATGGATACATTCCCGATCCGTATTGCCCCTGGTGTATAAGAAGACATGAGATGTTGTTAGCAGATGGTCAGGTTAGACGTCGAGGAGTGTACGCACGAAAAAGTTTGAGGGGAAGCCCTGGTCAAAGGGCAATACGTCGTCGATGAACTTGACATTCTCATCGCTCAAGCTGATACTCAAGGCCTCGATGTTCGCTTGCAGGTGCTCAGCTTTCCGCGCTCCCACTATCGGGAAGACGTACGGTGCCTTATGCATCACATAGGCGATCGCGACTGCGACGATGACGCTAATAATCAGGATATGCGACGGATGCAGAGAGAACAGTGTAAACACACCGGCCGTTATATGCTTTGCCCCAACCTTCTCAGCTACAATTCCAAGCGCGTTACACATCTTCTTCTCCGTCTCGTTCCTCTCCCAGGGTCCAAACATCGTTCTTCCTTTTTCACCGGTCTTGCGGCGGGTCTCCTCTTCCTCGTCCGATCTGATGTGACCGCCGGCCAAAACGTTCCAGAAGGTGAGGGCAATACCTGTGAGAGTTGAGGGGCACAAGAAGCATTTTTGGCGTAAGACAAATCGGTGAAGACTTATAAAACAACATGCGAGCTCGCCTTCATGCCGACACATTGGCAAAATCTCGCGCTCGATGTCGCGCTGCAAAACGGAGTACGCCGCTTGGTAGACAACGAACGGTGTCTTACCGTTCCATTTGGCGTACTCGTTCGCCTTCACTACGAACCAGGCTGGAGAATCAGAGATACCCTGAAGTCCAATGCACAGACCTAGTGAGTATGGAGAGCGGGAAACTATCGAAAACAAACTCACGAGATACAGGACTTTACCCGCGAGAACTAGCTGGTGTAAGCCGTCCATTAATTCTTCGACAGAAGTATGAAGGTCCCAAAAGTGGACAAAGAAGATATCTATGTAGTCGGTTCGAAGGTTCTTCATGCTTTGGTCGAGGCTAAGGCGCATGCTCTTGAGGTTGTTACCGACGTAGTTAGGATGCAGCTTGATGCTGGGATCTCCGCGCTTAATGCTGCTCGTGTACTAGAGGACTTCTGTCGAAAACCGATCCAGGACATCATGACGAAATGAACAGACAGACCTTCGTAGCAACGACGACTTGATCCCTTATATTTCTTTCCTGCATCCATTCGCCAATGAATGCCTCAGAAGATCCATCTTGGCTATTTACACGATCAGCGGTCAGCTCTCCAAAAGCAAACGTGAACGAAGAGGCATACTAATTGTTAGCGGTGTCGATGAAGTTTCCGCCGGCATCAAAGTAGGCGTCGAGGAGAGCGAAGGACGATTTCTTATCCGTTGCTCCAGCCCCAAAAACGGACCATTTATCGCCGACGGTGCCGCCGCCGAGAACGAGAGGGGAGACATGCAGAGCCGCGCGCGGGGCAAGTTGCCTATAGCGTCCAAGTTTTGTTTGTGGAGGTGCTGGAGCAGCGTAGAGAGACATGGCTAACAACTGGACAGTATCCTGACGAAAGGCGGGCACAGTGGTGTTTATATATCTATCAGGTCGTGACCCTAAAGGGAGCTCGTCAGCGACCGGCCAGCTTATTGATCCGTGACAATGGCGTTCGTGCTCTGCAAATGCTCGCTCGAGACACTTCAAAAAGCATAGTGTACATGTAGGAGATCAGCCCCTATTGGCCCACATCGAACCCTGAACAAACTCGTTGCTCTCTGCCCACTCCGGTCCAAGACATCGCTGCTCTCGAGTCTGCAACATCCGATCGTGCGCTGACCAAACCTGTAAATTGCGCAGCAAAGGCGTGGCTCCCACGACAAATACTTAGATGCGTCGGATCGTCGTCTACTTGCTTCACGATTGTTCATCGGCGATAGATGGTGGGTTATCCAAGCCAGTTGTTCTTGGCTTCGCCACCGCCTAATCAAAGAGTCTACTGTAAAGCCCTAACACGCCTCGCTGCGAGTCACCGCAGCCTTGTGTTTTTGATTTCCGAGTCACCTTCGACATTAACACGTCGATAAATGCGGATATCACGCGCCGACTGAAAGGATTATGCGCAAACAATGTATACAGCAGTGAGTTGACAATATCTTCAATGAGGTGAAGGGAAAGCAATCTGTAGTGTGAGGACAAAGGCTGGCTCGAGGTGGAAATCAGGTCTACAACAGAGTTCGGGTCTCGTGCGTGTTCGTTGAACAGCCTCATCCAGCCTCATCGGTGACCACTCACTACAGCACCAGTCCCCTCACACATAAAATAACCTGTCACGTAGACAAGCATCGCGACAAACAATGCTTGAACCCGAGATCACGAGATATGGTAGCCTGCTACAAATGACCTCACAGAATGTCGACTTGCCTCAGAGTGACACAAGCAGTACCAGCCTATGGACGAGCAACCAGCCATCAACAAAAAATCAGGTTTCAGCATGCGATCACTCTCAAACTTCGTCATAGGGCCCTCATCCAATACTCCGATTTCAGAGCGCGGAGATGGGCATCGAAATTATGGAATGGGTTATGGGCCAGCGTGCATAGGAGGGGGGGGGCGGGGGGCGCACGAAACATAAGAGCCGAGATGATGACGACGAAGGCAATGCTCGAAGGAGAGTGCGAAGGGGAGGCACGCAAAACGTGCATCCAACAACACTCAGTGTGTTCCAAACAAACTTTGCGAGTGCGACTGAATATCCACGTGTCCTAACTGACACGCCACGAAGCATGAGTAGTATGGGACTCACCTGTCATCTATGCGTGGCTCCATCATGTCTTGTTTGCGAAGACCAACCAGTGGATCGCTACAAGTACAAGCCACTGTCCGGCCCTTGGTCTGCCAACAAAGCCTAAGAGAAGTGACCCTATCAACGCGCGTAGTTCTTACTTTCTTCGTTCCTCGATGTCAAGAAGGTACTTATGATCGATGGGCGTGATCTGAGCACGAATGAACTCACAGACCGTTTTTCAAAGTCTTAGTACTTGCGAGAGAGATCAGTTTAGCTACAGCGTACTAACTAGAGGTATCCGGAGTAACTTTAGAGACGTTTCACGGTAGACCACAATACGTGAAAACTGGGGCAGTGGGCACCATGTTGGATTTAGCGGAGCCTGAAGTTGTTAGGAAGGCCGCGGAACCATAGGCTAAGGTTAGGAGCGTTCTGGACAACCACTCGGCTCCAAGAATTCGGCTTTACTACCTTTTCTGCTCTTCATCATCATCATCATCCTGGACAGTCCTGGACGCTCTGTGCGCATGCCTCTTTCAGAGCCCCATACTCCTGCAACCCCTCCGCTGGTTATCTGTATATATCATTTACGACTTTCCCAGAGCTATACGTCTTTAGCGATGCTAACAAAGCCCTGAAGTCATCCAAAGGCCGCCGGTGATTTTGCTGTAAGCAAGGCGTGAACATATCTTCTCTCCGAAACTCCGGAATAAATCCCCCAGGACTCCGTATCTCATCTCTGGTCTCAGTAGTCTGACATTATGCTCTGATGTTGTTCATCGACATGGCCGCCGTGCTCGGAGTAAGTAGGCATTCATCTGAGGCGCTGACTTGTGCAGTTCAAATCTGGGCTGTCTTGTCCGTTGCAGCCTCGAATCTCCTCCGGTTGACGGCGTCGTGGTACAAATCGGCGGTTCGTACTTGCCATCGACACGACTTCTTTGCCGCGGGTGACCCGCCTGTGTCAGAGGACGCTTATGATGCTCTCCGAGCCAGCTTGCGTGCGTCATCATCATAGTTCACCGGCATGCCCTACAACGAAGACCGTTCTTGCCTGCTGCGTGGCCCCAATATACTCTCTCATCATGCGGTCAAAACAGAACCGCTACGACCGAGTCGATCCGTCCGAACACGCTCTGGACCACTACGAGTATATAAGACGTATCACCTCTTGCACTAATCTCTACAAGTCTAGCTCTAATCATCCTTGTAATTCATCAAAGCTCACTCGTCGTTATCATCACCGTCGAAATGTCTCGTCCTCTTCCTAGCCGCACAACTATCCTCATCGTCGGTGCGGGGCCTGTTGGCATCTCGCTGGCTATCGCGTTATCAAAGCAGGGCGTGAATGATTTTATCATTGTTGACAAGCTTGAGCATACGGCGAATACGAGCAGGGCATTTTCGATCCATGCTGCTACTATGGAGGTACGTTATTACACACAAATTGCCCTATTCACCTCAAAATCGCTTGTTTTTGGAGCATATACAAGATCTATGTCATTGTGGTACTGATATCTCATTGGTCTGAATGGCGTAGGCTCTGGATACGATAGGAGTGGCGGACACTCTCGTTATTCGCTGTACGGCTGCCCACTGTACACACCTCTGCTCTCGGTCGGGAGCTACTCTCTTCACTATCGACTTCTACGATGCTCTTCAAAAATGCTCGAAGTTCCCTTACAGCTATATAGTGCCGCAGAACATCACGGAGGAGGTCCTAACACGGAGGTTGAATGAGTTAGGCGTGGAGGTGTGGAGGGGTGAGAAATATAGGGTCGTCGGAATGAAGGGGACAAAGGGAAGTGAGGATACCGCAACAGTAGAGTTCTCGGGCGGCGAGACGGTGGAGGCGAAATATATCATTGGGGCGGATGGAGCGAGGAGTGTGGTATGTCTTTCAATCTTCATGAACTTGATATTCGACCATTACTTGCTGATTATCACACTTACCTTCGTTCGTCAACAGATCCGTCAAATCTCCGGAATCTCTTTCAACGATCCCCGCCCCTCCAAATCATCCAGTCAAATGATAGTCGCAGATGTCCACTTCGCACAGCCGCTGCCTTCACTTCTTCCACCTTGTCACGAAAACGAGATGTGCCTCATCCCTTCAGCCACTGGCTTCATGCTCTTCGAGCCGTTCCCGTCAGAGGGCTCTGATCTCAAAGGTCCCTTGATTCGTATCGCCACCGCTATACCACCCGAGATGGGCACTCCTCCTGATCACCCTGACCTCGAATATTGGCAGGCCGCCTGGGACAAGTTTGGGCCGTATAAAGAGTCGAAGATCGCAGAAATCGTAACAAGCGCTCGGTTCAGGACACATTCTGCCGTCGTGGATCGTTACTTTACGCGTTTTCCAGGCGATACGGGCAAAAATGATGATGGGGTAAGGAAAGGAGCGGCCGTGTTCTTGATAGGAGATGCCGCACACGTACATCCGCCAGCTGGTGGACAGGGTTTGAATCTTGGAATCCGCGATGCGATCTACCTTGCACCTGTCCTTGTCTCCCACATCCGTTCGACCACCGATGATGACACGTCACTATTAGCCTACGCCAACCTGCGCCGACAACGTGCTTTGGTAGTCATCGGACTCGCCAACGGGATGTTAGATAGTGTGTTGCTCGTAGGAGACAAGATTGTGCAGATGTTGCCGGATACGATGGGGATCAGAAGGGTAGGAGAGGAAGTGCAGAGGGGTTTATTGGAGTGGGGCCTTTGGGGCCTTGGGAGGCTTGGGTGGGTGAGGAGAAAGGCGGGGTATAGTCTGAGCGGATTAGGGCATCGGTAAGATGCAGTGAGCGGGGTATTGACTGAACACTAGTAGGACGTAGGAGCATATTCGTCTTCCAGGGTGTTGTTTTGTGCGAAACCCGATCAGACGATATTTGGGAGCTGGTGGATGAGTTACTGGTTGATACTCTCCAGATACAGGAGCTTTCTTTCTATGTGTAATTAAATTCCACGACTCAATTAGCTATGCGTTGAGGGCTGTTGAGGGACGTCGAACTCGAGATCCATCAGGTGGCACTCAGCGTTGGGCCACATCCGTGGTGACACTTCGACGCGTCGCGCCAAAATCGATTTCCTTGTTCTTTTCCGATTCATCGACAGTCCGCGGACGGTGCTCTAGCCTGAGCCCTGACGAACGGACTTCACAAACATTACTCTGCTACCTAGAATGGATTGCTTGTGCTCTATTAACTTCTGATTAGACTGACGGTTCTGTTACCAAGAGACTGAAGCGCTGACCGTGCTTTCGCTCGTTCAAGCTCACTGAACCGAGCCATGCTGCACTTCGGTGCCGTCCCCCGTCTCTTGTTCCCCAGGGCCACGCTATAAAGCAGTGTAAATTGACTCGGCGAAGTATAAATACGCTAATGCACTTCTCAATAAAGGTCATCTCCTTTTCCTCGTCGCCCACCTTCAGATCCAGCCTTCCTCATGCCACCTCGTCAATCCAAAGCACCACCAATTTACCAACGCCCATCATCCCATCAACTCCTCACAGGAGCGAACTAAAAACCCGAAAACAGCATCCGTACCTTCTCCCGAGACGTTCCCTGGTCCTGTCGTCCTGTTGGATGATGATCCGCGTTATCCTCCGCAGAGCTTTCGGTCCTGGAAACGAGATAAGGACAGGAATGAAGTCACTGAGGCGAGAGGCGTAATCTATGTTGCACCGCCACCAGAGGTGAAAGAAGAGGTCGGGTTCGTGACGGGTTGGACGAGACCTGTGGGTACAGGGGGACAGGCTCAATATAACAGTAAAGACGCCACGAGGGTCAACAAGGGTGTCACTGGAGTGAGGGCACAATCCAAGAGGAAACGAATAGACCGTCCCATCGCGACAGCGACGCCACATCCAGAAATGAACGATGTCGTGGATTACCTGGCCGCGTTCTATCACCCTGTGCCTATAAAGCTCCTGCCCGCCTCGACTCTCACGTTCTCTGCTTGGATAGAAGACTCGAAGGCCAAATCGAGATCCAAACACACCTCCCAAAATCCTCGTTACATCGCTCTCAATACGCCAACCGAATCCATCCGCATTCGCACCCGTCTTGCTCCCTCATCTTCCACAGACTCAGGACCAGGTCCACTTTTTCCCGATCCACTCAACCTCGACGACCTCCTCGATGCCGCTCTTTCGATTCTTCCTTCCGACGCCTATGCCATCCTCTGCCTTGTTGCACATGACATTTATGAGTCTGAAGATGACGATATCGCGTGCGGAAGGGCGTATGGTGCGAGCAGGATTGCGGTGGTTTCGATGGCGAGGTATGATCCGGGGCTGGACGGGGCGCAGGGATTGAACGAAATACGTCCATGGCCGGCGTCCCATTTTGGCGAGCATGGAACGATTGATGCTGCTCCCCCGCCTGCCACGAAGAAACGCAAGAGTGCAACCACATCTCAAGTCGCCGGCACCTCGACGTCGATGTCCCAGAAGGATCTGGGCCAGGAGCCTTCCCAACAGGCACTGACGCCTCTCCGCGCGGCCTTTGCACACCACACTCCGACACCACATCCCTCCTCGGTCTACCTCTTCCGCATCTGCCGTACCGCTTCTCACGAACTAGGTCACTGTTTCGGGATGGATCACTGTGTCTACTATGCGTGCTCTATGCAAGGGACGACAAGTTTAGCGGAGGATATGAGACAGCCTCCGTATTTGTGTCCGGTAGATCTGGGCAAGGTGATCACTGCAACGAGTGCGGGAGCCCAGTCTGTGGAGAGGATAGAAGCGGAGAGGATAAGGGAGAGGTATGGGGCGATGATACGAGTTTGTCAAAGGTTTGCGGGGAGATTTAGGCAAGGAGATGAAGAGAGTAGAGGACCTTGGAAGGCTTTTGGTGCGTGGATTGAGGGACGCGTGCAGGAATTAGACAACGAAGACGATGACTGAAAGTAAGATACTGGCAATAATCTACCGGTGTCTGTGAGTGTCCCAAATTAGTTTGCGTTCTTGTCTCCACCAATACCGAATGAGGGGATTGAGAAGATTATTGAGATTATTCGTGTTCTCGTCGTTGGTATCATGTTCGTGGGTTTTTCTTTTCTTGTGCATAGTTACGTGTCCCGCCATCTACTCAAACCTAAATGACACTCTACCGACATGTTCTGTCATTTCGCGACCATTTATCGAGTGTCATTTGGGTTTGAGTAGATGGCGGGACAAGAAAGAGCCTGACAGCAAGAGCCATCGCCCGGGGTCATCGTGATCAAAAGTAACATAATCGCTGATGTGACCAGACGCGTAGCGTGACGACGCGTCGCTGTCTTTCGCCGCGTCTCACATCGTGTTCTTCCTAGCCTCCTTCTCCCACCATCCCCTTACGCTGCACAATATCTTATATATCGAGATTTTATAGCTATGGCGACAATAATCAGACTCGCACCCCCCAAATCCTCCACAATTCCAAAATGCACACCCAACCTCATGCCATTCCACATCGCACACACAGGCCACGCACCCATCTCAACATACTTCCGACCCAAACCTGCTCCGGTGTCCGCTCTTGATGCCTCCGCAGCTCTATCACCCAATATTGAGTCAGAGACACAGGTCGAAACACAAGCGGAAAGCCAGACGGAGACAGAAATGGAGACGCAAACCCTCACGGCATCCACCTCCGCCTCATCCACCACAGTCGTCTCAGAGACAAACTCCCCTCCCGACATAGACTCTACCAAACTCAAACTCACCGAAGACTCCCAACCTAACGTCACAAAAGCCGAAATCATCACCACGGTAACACAAGTAGTCGTCGAAACCAAACCCATCGCGTTCCGCCAATCGACAATCAAACGCCTCTCGTCCACCGCGAAACGTTTCGTAGCTTCTTTCAGAGGAAGGGCCATGCACGGCGTAGACGTCGAGCTTCCGGAAGGTTATACAGGTCTCATACTTCGTGGACCTCCGAATGGAGATGTTGATCTACCAGTGCGAGGTAAGGCGCAGGAGAAAGGTAGACGGGCGAAGCGAGGATCAAAGAAGGTTATTGAAGTGGATGAAGAAGAGGAGATGGATGTTGACGGTGGTGGCGGTGGGGAGGAAGAAGGAACGGTGAGAACGCTGGAGCCCGCGGGACAGTTCTCGTCGTTCGTGCTTTGGCATCCGGATTTTCAGGTTGATGAAGGGAGGGACGAGTATCTGAGGACGTTGACGGAGTGGATTGGGTTGGCTGCTGAGGTGTGTTCTGTTTTTCTTTTCTTTCCTTCTTTCTATCTTAGTCTGGTATTGAATATACGATGTTAAAATATCGTGGTTTTGGCATGGTTTCGCACAGATACATCGCGTTGAGGAGGAAGAGTAATGTCACCATGTTCTGCTTCTGTTTGAGACTTTTATATTTGGATTTTCTACCGTCTGCCAATTTAGTGCATGTGGCGCGGTGTGGCGCACTTGCAACCGTTTTCGCACGCTTTGACCTGTTGCGAATTCCACGACTGCAGTCCATCGAATCACACATTCCACGCCTGCATAAAATAAGCAAAACACTCAAATGCAGATAATAGATTATAACAATCGGACAGCAAGTTGCAACAACCTCCAGAGAAAAGACAGAACAGAACATAATCCAACACCCAGAGAAAATTCCGAACCACAAAGGAGTCAGGAGAAAAACAAGAGGAAACAAGCTGGCAGAGACAGACGCAGCTAGAGACAAGATAACGTATGTATACTTTCGTACAGGCAATTGATGAGCAGGGACAAGAACATCAACGTGTAGCGTATGACGCGAGGACGAGCGTAGGCATGAACGTTTTCGTGATATGAATTGAATGGAATGAGGTGCGTGAGTAAGTAAGTAGCAGGCAGAGCAGACAGTGCTCGAATGGATAAAAGGCGACAGGAGGGGCGAGGACGACGGGGTGGATATTAAATGATAGTGAGTGGATGCGATGACTATGGGACCACGAGGACCGGGTCTGGAACTGAGGATGATACGCGGACTGCGTAGTATGTAGTCCGTATGATGAATGGAGATCATGCACACAACGAAAACTCATTCATGAACCTCAGAGGAAAGCCGCAACACTTCCCAACACCGCAACCATACCCAACGCCATCTGGACCTTGCGCACCTCCACAGCTCCGCTCGTCGACTCCGAACTCGCGTTGTTCGACGATGACGACTTGCTCGAGGTCGCAGCGGAGGAACTCGCAGTCGACGTCGCAGTGGTCCTCTTGCTTCCTGTCGCACTGGTAGTAGCAGTAGCAGATGTCGCAGCCGCGGTCGAGGAAGTCGCAGCGCTGGACGCGTCGCCGCTGGCCGTCTCAATCGCCACCGTTGCAGCCGACATATACGTTGGCTGGGCCGTGAACTGCGACGCATCCGTCAGGGCACCGGTACCCCACTCAATCGTCGAACCATCGATGACGGTGCTGTTAGGTGGGTCGACGGTAGTGCCAGTGCTGTCGGTGATGGTGAAACGACCGGTCCATGTGACGTTGGAGGAGGCAGAGGAGGTGAACTGGTAGAAGTAGACAGCGGAGTGCAACGACACCGTGGGGCAGGTGAAGTCGAAGCTGGTGGTGTCGCCCGTCGCATCGACGGTGGCGACGGCTATGTTACAACGTAAACCCATGTGGTTAGAATATATTGTCATGATGGGTCGGATAAGAGAATGGAAGACGCACTGGTAAGGAAGACCATGGGGTCATTGGGACCCGTCATCAACTCGATATTCATCGACGTCCACTCGCCAGTCGTGTCAGCCTCCCAAGCGACATGGCAAGTTTCGCCCTCTGTGTAAACATTTCCGGGCGCTGGTTCCGAGGGGGTAGGGTCCGCATGGACGAGCTGAACGGCAGCAAGGGAGAGGAGGGCAGAGAGGGCAACGGTGCTGGTAGATGAGCCGAACATGATGATTTTGAAAATTTGTATAGGAGTTCGAAGACTGAAGTCGCCTGAGGTATGTTATGTTATAAAGATGGGATCTGCGTGGGGCGCGAGTTTGTACGGGTTGAAGATGATAAGGGTATGGGGTGGTCGAGCTACAAGTGCAGTATGGTTCAATTCTTGTCAGTTCAACGCTATATATCCACCATACTCCATGTCTCGGCTGCCACACGATCATTCATACGCGTGTAACTTCCGAGACAGAGCGCAATCACGAACGGCAATCATAACCAGTCCGCTCCGAGACATTCTAAGACAAAAAAACTCACGAGTAGACCAGAGGTTAATAGATACTGAGGGGGTATGTCAAAAGAGCGAAGGGGTCCAAAAGAGCGGCAAAGCCTACGCGAAAGGGAGACGAGGCTAGGGGATGAGAGAAAGATGGACGGCAACGCGAGCCCGGTTCATATAGCGGATTTTCGACGGCTAAGGCACACGCCACGTGTGGCGGATGTATTGAGAGGCCGCAGCCACATTTGGAAAGCGTGGTTGTCGATATTTAGACGTCGATCTTGGCTTGGCTCCGGCGGTGGTTGTCCGTTCGTCTTCGTTCCACCTGTGAATATAGGAGGCTTATATTCGCAACGGCTCAAAGGACCCATATACACCCACCCGCACGGGCCATCTTGGCATGAGGTCCTCCTATGTATGGGATTGTTTTTGTTCGGGTGATAGCATGACAACCCTGGGAAGATCTCTTCCGAGGCACAGCGGTAGCGCCCCGAGCCGAGAGCCTGCGCTCCGGCAATGCGCAGATTCATGTTGAACTACTGCGGGGAACGAAGACGTAATTTGGAGAACGGGCATGTATTTTGAAAGCTAGAATTACAGAGAACACAAATCGTACACCCAGAGGTGACACTTTTCTTCACGAGACATGCTAGAAGGACGAAGATCATGATTTAGCGGACGCGTGCCGGTGTTTCTAGCCCATCTTGAGAAAATACTGTGAGCTCAGCGGACCGGCAGTATAGCGCTCGTCAATGGCTGTTCAGCTAGAGATCGCATTCAGTCGACGTAGCTACCAACATATCAAGACGGAGAAAAATAGAGACAAGTCGGTGGCACATCACATCAGTACAGTGACGGTGTTACTATACCACGGAGATGCAAGCGAAAAAAGGCGTCTCGTTCTACATCTGTTAAGTACCGACTCCGAGTCGGACTGCTTGCGTCGCTGCTCAGGAGGCAGACCATCACAACAACATAGCGATAGCAATTTTCATAATGCTCTGCTAAATGGCGATCTGAATGAAGAAGTACATGTCATACGGGATGGTATCAGGGCGCTACAATGAAAGGAGAGCAATAAATACAAAGCTAGACGGTCTGTTAGAGATGAATAAGTACTATGGAAGTTGCTGAATCTCGGTGGAAAAACGGACGTACCAACAAGAAACGATACAACATATAGGCCAAACACCTTCGCCGGCAACATCAGAGTACACAAAAATAAAAACACACATCTCTAATCATAACCATATGACTGAGCCGTGACGGGTCCTTTTCCCTGAGGCTGAGGAAACCCGTCGGGCGGCCACAGGCGCTTCGCGACCTCTCTATGCGACATCGGCTTACCAGCCGCACGACTCTTCATGATATCGTAGAATACGTCCACATTCTTGAGGCGAGGGCACAGTTGTTTGTGTTCCTTCCAATCCCTACAACACAGCAAAATAGAGGATCAACAGGAGCACCAGTAAGCGTCATATCAACGGAGTCCGTCATCAAAAAGAACGTACACCTTCTGACATTCCGCACTACAGTATGTCACCTTCTGGCACCTCGAACACTTTTTATCCCCATCGTTTTTACATCCCCTCCTCATACACCACTTCTTCGCCTCCTCGCCTAGGCCCTCTTGCAACACAGCTTTCTGCAACAGATCCAAAGCTGCCCAAGCACCCTCGATGAACACGTCCTTCGAATTAAAAGTGAATGGATTGAACGGCGGGAGGTCGTTAGGCGTAAGCTTCATCGTGTAGTCGATCACGGGCTCGAGGGATTTGGTGAGGAATTGGAGGAGTGCGAGGAACATGCGTTGGCGAGGGAGTTGGGGGCGGAGGATGGCTCGGAGGCGAGGGTTGCGAGTGACTTGTTGATGGAAGGGGGTGAAGATCGTGGTGACTAATTCTGAAAAGCACGATGCGTGATTCCGTGTCAGTGTAATGATCATTCACTGTAAAGTAAGAGAGGATAATAGAACTTACTCGGCACGTCATTGTACGTCCCACAAATCGGCAGGGCCTGGTCAAAAGCAGCAAACATCCCCGCCGAAGTCAGCGTTATGAGCAGCCTCTCGCTCTCATCCTTCAACATCACGTGGCACATCATCACTACATCTCCTGTGATCCTGATTATAAGCGACATAATCGTATCGTCCATCTCTTCCTCCTGTAAGCTCGCATGGGTCGCAGCTCTCCCGAGCAAGAAGAACAGACTCTTCCACAGAACATTTGAACGTAATACCGCAAGGACAAACTCGCTGTCCTTTCCTTCTCTTTTGAACACTTTCTTCTCCTTTTCATCCGATCCTGATCCTGATTTCTGCGTGCTTTTGCACCGTATGCTCGCATCCGCGAGCATCGAGATAAGAAGATGCAAGCCCGTCCGCAATGCCCTTCCAGACATGAAACCGTTCAAAGGCCCAGCTAACTTCGAGAGGAACATGTCAGCAGACTCGCCCTTGACGCCTTCCAGGATGCGTGCAACGACGGAGTATTTTCGTGGATGAGATTCGCGGTACGTGAAGGTTGGTTCCATTCGTGGCTCGACGATCTCGCGGAGAGCTTCACAATTCACCATGAAGTCGCCGGGGTTGACGGAGTACATGAGGAATCGGGACATGATTTTGATGGTGCGATCCTTTGGTTTGTCGATCTCTCTGGAACAAAAGAAAAGGAGCGTGCGCCAGTGTTCATTAGGGTTGTGAAGGAAATGAGTTATGAAGTGACTCGAAGGTGACTACGAACTTCAGGAGGGCAGAGTCGATCCTGAACGACGAGTAGAGTATAGATGGAACCATCCTGCGTTCTGAATCGTGTGGTTCTGTGGGTTTCAACGTGGCCTCTGGCTCATCCCAAATCTAAGAATATCGTTATTTAGTCTGAACACGCGGTCATAACTGTGGCGCGGTGGCGTCTCACCCTCTCCATCATACCGTCCCAGCCCTTTGTCAGTGCGGACACCATAGTGGTTTGGACAGCCGTCTTTGGCGGCTTCAGCAGATCTACCGATCCGAGATAAAGAATTTCAAGGGGTGTGTAGTACGGGGATGGGATCTGGAGAAAGCACCATTCTCCGTTAGACCTGTCGCGTCGATGCTAACTTGCTGCTCAATCAGTCGGTACGCACCGGTTCAATAACCTCTTTCCATACATGCGCTGGCATATCGAAAGGACACGAATATTCCATAACGCGCTCCATGACACTCTGGCAAAGAGTATCGACGACGCCTGCTCTAACTAGGGCTTCCCAATCTTTACCTCCGGCTTGTGCCACACGTTGGACTACCTCTTGGGCTGGAGCAACGTCCTGCAATGGATTATACGATGAAACAGGTTGGAGTTCACCGTCTCGCGCGAGCAACTTTGAAGGCACTCACGTCGGTAGTATCTCCCCAAGAGTTCTTCCCGATGTGGAGTTGGACAACCAAGGCATCAGCAACGCGCTTTGGATTGGATTTGACCATTTTGCTCCACCGGAGCGTCTGCTCGGGTGGATGGGTGGGCATAATAATAGGATAATTTCTCGTCGCCATTGCAAGAGATTTCCGGTGTTCACGAATGGAGATGAAAGATAGGGGCGAAGTTTGAACCAAAATGATGTCGCGAGCAAAGCCTCCGGCGTTGCGGCAAACCCCGGGAGGCTTGATTGGGTATGTTGCTCCCACGTCCCCACAAACCCCTCTTTCGTGAGACGTCACCCGTGTCTTCGAGTTGTTTTCGACATCTTTGTCTAAGGTCAGTATGACACGCCCAACAGTAATCTCATTAGCTGATCAGTGGATATCATACTAATATATTTATCTTTCACTTAACTAGCGTCAAAGAGCAGCATGGACCGCGCAGAGTCCGAGTCGGCGAGTGTGGTGGCGACGCATAGCGGGCAACTAGCCTTCCCTTTGGACATACTCCTCCTAATCGTTCAAGACCTCGATATTCAAGATATCTTAACCGTCGGTCAGGTGCGCCATATCAGCAGCATTGAGTTCAATATTGTATCGACCGCTCTATTAGTGTTGCAAACACCTCTACTTCCTTACGAATGCCCGCTCTCTTTGGCATGCAATTCTCCAAACTCGCATCATCGATAATTACATCCCAATTCCGCCGCTCTCATCCTCTGAAAGTCTTCTGTCGCTTTCCACAAACCAACTGAAAGGCATCGTATGTGATGCTCTCACCCTTCGAGATTCATGGACTTCGCCCCATCCTATACCGACCCGAACATTGTCCATACCACGACCTCGGCCTGATGTCACCCCTTCGACGGTGAAGGTCGTTCCTGGACGCGGAAATAGATATGTTATAATATCTACAACGTTAACGACACTTCAGGCGGATATAGGTTTGTCAAATGAGTGTAAACATTGGCTGAGATGTCTCGACGTCGGCGCGCTGAATGTCTTGAAGGATGGCGCGATGGCAAGCATCAAGGAGAGTAGAACGGGCACTTGTGTTGCGACGCGAGTAATTATGCGGCCTCCGATCTTTACTATCAATGAGGATAGAGAGAGTGGAGCGCTAGTAGCATGTGCTTCAAGTCAAGAGTATGTCTATTCGTTCTGCTTGAAACCGTTAGCTGTACTAATAGTGAATGACTGGTTAGTGGTATCCTGACTACGATAATACTAGCTCTGGATACGACGCAGCCGGAGAACGATGCGTTCGTCGTTTTGACTGAATTTCCGACACAAGGTGATCCTCTTTTGCTTTTGGGCCACGTTCTCGCCACAGGCGACAAGGTGGGAAATGTATGGCTGTATGATACCCGCACTGGCGGTGTGATATACGAACTGCAAGACCCACAAGTACCACAAGTACGTTCGGTACCATTCAAAAAACGAATTATATGAACACAGATTGATCTTGTGCGCCACGTATAGATGAACGAGACCGTACGGGTCGTCTTACTCTCGGACTTAGTCCTGACCTTTGGCAACGCATCCATCAAGATTTTTACTCTCCCTATGCCTATCTCGGATCTTCCTCCCTCGGCATCCTTCTCGACGTCCGCCCATCCAGCCGTGTCAACTGCCAACCCTCTCGCTCCTCCCTCTCTTGACCATAATAGCACCACGACTCCGTCCCACCCCGTCCTCTTGCCGACAACGACCCACCGTTGGCGCTGGCGGCTTGATACCATCTGCGTCTCTCCCCTTGTCAGCTCCTTCCCACCCACCTCATCTTCATCTTCTCGCCACTTGCCCTTCATCAATATCCTGGTCCGTTTCGGGTCATGGTACCCTTGGCCTCTCAACATGCTACACCATTACACACTCTCGCCTTACCCTTCGTCTCCGTCCCTCGATCCCACTGCATCTGATGGGCCACAAAAGGCTCACCCAAACCCGTTCGAGACACGAACAGCTCCACAAAGCACAAGTACCACGGGCGCTACGGGAGCGAGTTCCCTCCCATCCGCGCAAATGGACCATATGGGCCCAGTCTTCGCTACTTCGACCGTCGATAATTCCACCGTTGCCCTCACTATCGATATGGACAATTTCAGGCAAGATGTCCACGACGTTCTCACTCGTTATGGTCAGACGATGGCGGCAGTGTCAGGGTCGACCTCTCGATCCGGTTCTTCTCCATCACCTTCGCCTTCCAACCCCGCATCAAGGACTGATTCGGGTTCAACCAACAAGTCTCCCGCCGGTCCAAGCACTGCCTCGAAACCAACACCAACTTCTGGCCTTCTCATTCCGACTGCAACCGCAAATATTGCTTTACCCTACTCCGATGCCCCGGTTTTGAACCACTATACGTCCTCTACGCTCGATCTGTTCGCCGTCTCGGATACCTTGGTCGGCGAGTATGGTACCGCGCTTTGGTTGGACTCGCAGATGGAGAGCACCGTGGGTGATGAATACCTTTTCAATCCCGCAAATCACGGTGCTGGTGCCAGTGGTAGTGGTGGTGGTTATGGAGAAAGCGAGGACGAGGATGGTTGGGATGACGGGGATGGAGCAGGACAGGGTGTTACGCCCAATCCCGCTGTCGGACACGGAGGCTTCGGAGGTGGACATAGACCGCAAGTGAATCAAGCCGGCTCGCAACGTGTCGCCGGAAAAGTTCTTCCTCGACCCTCCTCCCCCTGGGTATCGTCTGCCTCCGCCTCCGTCACTGCCGCCTTCACCTCGTCGACCGCAGCGGAAGAAACATACGTGTCGTATGACGGGCGGTCACAGGGAAAGCGAGGGTGGACTGGTAGAGCGAGGGGAACGACAGTGTTTGGGTTGCATGAAAGGTCGGAGGTGTATCTTTTGGGGATGAATGAGGAGATCGGAAGGGTGGTTGTTGCGTGGAAGGACGGGGGTTTGGGGGTTTATGATTATATGCCTGGGATATAATCCTGGTTATTGGATGGATAGGTGGATGGTGATGAAGACATGACGCAGAGAGAATAACAGTTGCGGTGAGAACGTTGGAATTACATCTGCACATAATTGGGACTGGGAATGAGCGGATGATTGTACGATATTTTTTGTTTGAACAAAAGGTTCTCTAGTGTTCTTAGGCGGATAGTCGGTCTTGGGATGTTACAATAAAGCATGGTTACGGTTATTGTTACTTGTCTGTTGTATAGTGATTGCAATTCAGTTACATCCATACGCCCTTCGTACATGTACAATCTTCAATCCTTCTCGTTCACGGTCTCCCTTTCCGTGGCTTCAATCGCACCGTTGTTGCAGCGACTTGTCACCGGCTTATGAAGCGATGAGAACCTGCAACAAGCGCAAGAGTCAACGATGCTGATATAAATGTCGAAAACGAATGGTGGACGTACAGCGGAAGGCGTCAACCCTAGATCGCGCAACGTCTTCGAAAAGTCCGCATGAGAGAACTGTTTTCTGTGAACCAACTGCCAATCAGACCCATGACATTCATATGGATTGTAGTAGATAGACGGAAGACATACCTTGGAAAATGCTGAGCGAACGATACTGTTTCGACGTCCACTGAAAGAACCTGTCCAGCAAGGAACTCCGCCACTTCTCTCAACGCTACAAAAACAAACCACCATCAGCACTGAACATATACCAGCTGACTTCCCCAGTAACAGCAGCACAAAAACTGGGGGAGTAAGAACCCGACTCACTGGCATCGCTCGATAAAGTGGTCGTGTACGGCTGTCCCCCACTCGCCAACCGGATCTGCAACCTCGTTTCCTTGAAATCTTTTCCCGCCGTTGTTGCCGCCGCCCCGCCACCTGGCCTTGCCGCTGCAGCAGGAGTAGAAGAGGAGGCGGAGGATTCGGGGAGCGATTTGCCTTCGCGAAGGGCCTTTTCGCGGGCTGCTTTTTCCGCGCGTTCCCGTTTGTCGGCTTCGATTTGGGCTTTGATGGCCGCGCGGGCTTTGGCGTCTTCGATTTTTTCTGCGAAGGTGTTGAACGTGTGAGGGTCATTTCGTACAAGGCGATATCGAAGATATAAGCGATAATAATGAGGCAGGAAAAATGGGACTGAAAATAGAACGTACCACGACGTTTGGCTTCGGCGTCCTTCATAGCTTGTTTGGCTTGAAGGTCTTCTTTAGCTGCTCCCATATCCTATTCCCAGACCAGACCACAGTAACAGGCCAGTCGTTATCAAAAATAGCCGTAGGATAGAGATGTGATCGAACGGGAAGTACTCACTCTCCCAGCCTTTCTTCGGAGAGCCTCATTGGCCTGTTGTTCCTTCGCCTCCTCCTTCGATTTCACCGACCTTTTCTCGGCCATCTTGGACCGGAGCTCAGCGAGCTTCTGTTTCTTCTCTTCTTCAGTCAGCGGCTTGATCTAAAGTAAGAAGGATCCTATGCTTTAGAGCTGATAGGCGGGTAATACGAGGGGAATGATGTGAACCTCTTCCGTGGATTCTTCGAACTGGTCGTGACCGCTCTTCTCGGCGTGGTAATTGGCAAGTGAAGTGTTCTTGAAGATCTTTCCACATTGCGAGCATTTGATGCTCTAATTAAGTCATCCCAACGCAATAAATAATCCCTTGATCAGCTCCTCGTTCGGACTATATAATAGCTCGCATTCAATGTGAACGTACCTTCGCCTCCACATCCGCCGCCGCCGCGACTGCAGCTCCTGCTCCAGTTCCATACACTGCCCTCAGAGCGGCCGCATCTTCCTCGTCGTCTTCATCCATCGGTGCATCGCCACCAGTTACTGACGATGGCGCAGCCTGAGCTTGGGCGGAAGGATCGGGGATGGGATCGTCGGAGTGTTCGAGGAGAAAGTCCATTGCTGGTTGAAGGCCACTATTCTTTGTCGCTCGGAGAGCCCCTGTGATTTTATGAAGAGTGAGAGTAAGAAATTTGCGATCGTGTTGGTTTTCATGATGCGAGATTATTGGACGTGGAATAGATGTGGCGCATGCCGGTTCGTAGACGGATGGGTACGCCACAGAAAAGCATGTTGATGCAAAGCAGCTCGCACCGAGTGCTGGTGACGAACAAAGTCTCCCTCTCTGAGAGCTTTGAGGCATTCCTTGTTCGCCTATCGATAGCTTAGCTGTGAGTCAATGAAGCGCTTACATTCGATCCGAGCCGGGTCGAATCCCATCGAAACGAGGACGTCTTTGTCTGACATGTTTATTCTGTTGTGATAGAGAATCAGTAGTCACCTCATATATAGAGTGCAAAAGCCATACTAGTTAAGTGGGTGGATATAATCCTGGTGTGTAAAGCTGGAAGATGTTAAGAATGATGATGGTTGATCGTGTGTATGACTTCACGCTCGGTACGCGTAAGTAATGGGCTGTAATGGGCTTCGAGATTGGCAGGAAGTTCTCACGGATGTGTGGCGTAGAGCACGAAATATTCTGAGCCGATATTTGCTTATATATTTTTTCCTCTTGCCCTTCATGCACATCGTTCGTTCAGCATGTTCTTCGCTCCATGAATGTCTACATAGCCCTCAAAATGCGACATAGTGAAGTATTTCCAGCCCTTATGGGAATCCTAGGCCGCCGACGACATATCCCCATCGAACTGCGTGTGCTGCTCGGGCGTTTAGAGGTCGTTGCTCTCCCATCCCCGTTTTCCCAAAAGTCGTAGCGACTCAACCTTGGAAATGCGTGTTATTCGCGTTGCTATGGATGGTATGTGTGATCCATAGCGGACGGACACATATCTCTGTGTGGTAGCACGTTGATGGCGGCTATTCTGAGCCTTGCACGGTGGGAAGATCATGAACTCATGATGCAGTGAACTACTTATACGTAGTATCAGGACCCCTGACAATCACCTATGAGGTTTGATCTCGGTGCGGGGGTTTGGACGGCGCGTCAGCGCCGAGGTCTGAACCGAAAACGGGGGTTTGGGGGGCGGGTTTTGGCCCGATGTATGATCCAAAAGCGGGGGTTTGGGGAGCGTGGTCAGAGGTATGATCCCAGATTCGGGGGTTTGGGAGGGTCACGGTCAGCAACGAAGGTCCGATTCGGACGAAATTCTGACCTTTTCTGCACAGAAACGGGTTCCTCATGACCATCATTATGAGCAGTTCTCCGTGAATTTGGGTCTCAAAACCCAATTCGTGGAGAACTTACCCTTTCCTAACCTTCACATAACCTCAACTTCCCCTAACCTAGCCCGGACATAACCTCAACATAATCTAACCTATCCCGGTCTCCTCTTGATATCGACTGAAACTCCGCTTGTCTTGCGCATAGCGAGGACGGCTCGGTCAAAAGAGTAGACCAGGTTTGGGTAAGGTCAGGCTATGTCCGGGCTAGGTTAGGGTAAGTTCAAGTTGAGGTTATGTGAGGGATACTCATAACATTTCGAGGACTTTCAGAAGTGGTTCCACAATGATAGAGGCCCAACTAAATTTATTACGATTTATTGCGTATTTTCGATGTATATTCTCGAGGCGGGGGTTTGCCCGCCCTCGAGCGAGGTATGATCCCAAAAACGGGGGTTTGGGAGGCGCGAAGCGCCTCCGAAAATTCGGGGGTTGGGTGCAGGGGCCGGAACAGACCTCACAGGGGGTTGTCGGGGGTCCTGTAGTATCCTGACTTTTAGCATTGAACCTAACTTATCTTCCACCTCTACTTATAAGTCTTCGTTGACTGTATTCTCAACATGCCCGACCATGAAGCCCTTCCGCTACGTACGACAGTTCTTGTAGTCGGGGCAGGCCCCGTCGGGCTCTCTCATGCAATTGCGTTGCTCGAACAAGGGATCACCGATTTCATCATTGTTGACAAACTTGAAGAGGCACAGAACTCATCTAGAGCATTCGCAGTGCATGCTGCTACTCTAGAGGTACGCTTTCTTTTCTCCAATCGCCTTGAGAAGTGTTGAGTGCTCATAGAAACCGAACAATTGTTAGGCTCTCGACTCCATCAATATGGCTCACACCCTCGCCGAACATTGTGCAAAAGCCAAGTCCCTGCACATACTCTCCCAATCCCTGTCACCGCTTATCTCGTTCGATTACTATGGCGGACTTAAACAGTACACTGAGTTTCCGTATATGTATATCGTGCCACAAAATGTGTTGGAGGCAGTGTTTACGAGGCGGTTGAAGGAGAAGGGGATCGAAGTGAGGAGGGGTGAGGGGTGGAAAGCTGTTGGAATGAGGGGATGTGAGGGTGAGAACGGCGAGGTGGGTGATGATGAGGTGGTGGTGATTTTTGATGGTGGGCAGAAGATTGTGGCGAAATATGTTATTGGCGCGGATGGAGCGAAAAGTATTGTGCGTCACTCTCACCACTCTTTCACCAAGTCACTCTCTTCTGTGAATAACAACTCACTATCACACCATTTCACAGGTTCGCCAACTTGCATGCATACCGTTCGAGGACCCACATGCATCATCATCATCTACGCCCACATCCATGTCTACGACCACTGAACAAATAATCAATGCAGACGTAACGTTCACCTCACCCCTCAATCTGCCTCCACACGATGATCAATCCTCACGGGACTACGAAATGACGATCATAATCTCCCCCGGCACATTCGTCCTCCTCGCACCATTCCCCGAACCGACTTTGTCTTCCACACAACTCCAACCTTCCAGCCGAACCGATACCAGCCATGCTCCCGGAACGAAACCCGCAACCTTCTCCTCTTCCTCTTCACCTTCCCAATCATCTACTCCGCCTCGCACTTACCGCTTAGCAGCCGCCATCCCTCCCTCTCTCGGTCGTCCACCCGATAACCCCCCACTATCCTACATTCAGGAGATGTTCGACCGTTTCGGACCCCGACTCCCTCCCGTCACTAACTCTCAGGATGAAAATGGACACGCTCTGGACGGCAGAATAAGAATCGAGAAAGTCTCATGGAGCGTGCGATTCAGGACGACGTCGGCCGTCGCGGATCAGTTCTTCACTCGATTTCCTCGTGCAGCGAATCATCATCGACAGGACGCTGGTTCGGTAGATAACAATCATTCGGGAGCTGGACAAAGAGCAGGACCTGGAGCGGTGTTATTCTTGATTGGTGACGCGGCGCACGTACATCCACCAGCAGGAGGTCAAGGCATGAACCTCGGCATTCGGGACGCACTGTTTCTCGCGCCCGTACTCGCCACTCACATCCGTCAACATCGTTCGTCGTCATTTGCTACGACTAAGACGACAAACGGATCGTCACCCCCCTCGACCGCGGATGGGAAGGTAGACAATTCACCAGCGAAGAATGAAACGATAGACGACTTGGCGCTCGAAGCTTACGCCGCTCAACGTCGCGAACGCGCCCTCTTCGTTATCGGACTCGCAAACGGAATGATGAATAGTATTGCGAGGGCGGGTGGGAATGCAGTTAGGATGGTGGGCGGATTATTTGCTTGGGTTTGGTCTGTTACGATGGGGAGGTTGGTGATTGGACCGCCTGCTACTACTTCGACGTTGGCTCCGTCGGTGCCTGAGGAGGGAAGAAGCGAGGAGAGTGGCGGCGTGCACGGTAGTGATGATGGTGCGCGTGGTACCAGCATTGAAAAAGGTAGGGAGGGAGGTAGTGAAGGGAGAACAACAGCAGGCGGTAATGCTACTGTGAGAGGTGGGCATAGGAATGCAAAAGGATGGTCGTATGAGTCGAGCAGGGTCGTGCTCGAATGGGGATTGTGGAGTGTTGGGAGGATTGGATTTGTGAGGCGGTATATTGGATGGAGGTTAGGTGGATTGAACCATCGATGAATGGGACACAGCTGCTTGGTAGGCCGTTAGTGGGGGCGGTTGTTAGGTAAAACGTTGACTCGGGAGTCGTGACGTTCCGGAACAATACCAAAATACGTCTATTTTATCTGGACATCTCCGTCGCTGGGCCTCTGATTAATGGACTATTACTGTGGCTTTCTCGCGCACGTGTACTTACAAGGAGTCTTTGAGGGTCACACATATATGTAGGAAAGACCGCCCGAGTCTCGAGTCTCGGAGTTACGGTCTCAGTATGGCGATGACGAGTAATGATGTACTTATTTAGAGAACTATTGCGGTAAAACACACCACAGACACAGAGGCGAACTTCGGGACAACTACACAACAACTACCCGCCGGTCTGATATTGTTGGATGTACAAGCCTATAATGCAAGAGTTCATAATTCGAACTGATGGAGTGAATTATGAGACTGACCTCTGGCGTTCTGCCGAGGTGCATACACATCTACGTGGCACCTTGTTCCAGCCACACATGTCAGCTCAAACGTTTGGTATGTGGTGGATAGACACGAAAACCCTGGAAGTTGCTGCGTAGCCCCATAGGACAGCGAAAGAACGCCGAGATGTCGTGTCCGTGGTGGTTTCGAGGACCAGGAGATTTCTCTCCAGCGTAACTTCTTGTTCAGGCTTAATGCCCACACATCCAGTTGGACAGGACTTGTGCTGTCCGTGCCGTCTTGTTTGAGGATTGGACTTGTGTCTGTCGTCCCTCGATTGGGAACTGTAAATGTGATGCTGCAGTTTTCCATCCCATAGTCCATGACGTGAAACTGAGCAATAGTAGACGTCTGGCCCATGCAATGTCACGAATGAACGGTAAGTCAGAGCATGACAACGAAATAGTTATCATAGATAGCCCACCGTCTCGTCCACGAAGAACCGTTGATCGCTTATAGGAACGAAGCCATGAGCTTCTGGCCATGAAAGGTTGCTCGGAGAGAAGACTTTGTAGGGTTCTGAAGAGGATACTTGGATGGATGTTCGTGGGAGATTGATGATAGGGCGGTGTTTCGGGGTCGACACGTTCGTGCCCATGTAAATTTTGTCGAAGTTTATATATGTGCTTCGGAAAGTGTTCTCGGTTCTAGGGTCGTTGAGCGAGGGAAGGTCTGTCAAGACATGAATCGCGATATAGGCGAAGACCATGGCGTCAAAGATGGAGGTCGCAATAAGGAGTATGACAGCCCAACGTAAAATACGTGTAGACAAGGCTGCTTCCAGGCCTTGTCGGAGAATTCGTTAGTAAACTCGAAACTAGAGACAAGATGACAGGTGAATTTACCGCAGCATTTCGACGGTTGTGTTTGGGTCGAGCCACGCCGATAATTGTCATCTTTGGGGAGCGAAGTGTAGAAGCCAGAGGCAGTCATGCTGAGAGAGTAGCTTGGGTATTCGGCGGTACCAGGCGATCAGCTTGGCGGACACTGGAAGCGAGACTCGGATAGGTGGACAGCGGCGAGCATAAGGATGGTGTATGGCTCGGCGGTTTTAGGGGCACGCAGGATCTGCGTTCTTCCTCTGAGAAATGCAATGGCCAGTCAGTAGCGGGAAAATGCCAGATGGTTCCGAACTGGATCAGACACGAGACGCATCATGCGATATCGATTATGGTGCTTATCTCCAACTGGCGGCTAGTAACATAAGCAGTACACTCTGCACCTATAGAGGAATATCGATGTCATTACAAGCAATTCCTACATTCGGGCATATTTGTAGCGATGTGAATTCAAGCTTCCGCCAATCAGGATCCGAGTTCTGGCGGAGGCTCCGACGCTACAAATATGCCCTATTTGATGCAGAATGCTAAGCAGTGTTATATTCTGGATTGAGTACCTGCTCGTAGTGACATGTAGATGTGGTGAAGTCGACCGCACAGCTCGTTCGGTCGATGTCAGAGATTTTTGGGCATTTCCAGAAGTTTCTTTGATCCAGACGGGGAGACTCCTTCGGTCTGTATTTAGTCAAGATGCCCGCAATCAGAGATTGGTATATCAAACACAGAGGTCATCATGTCCGCGGATAACAATGTTCCAACCGAATTTCGATGAATATAACACCGAAAGCTCTGTGCTCGGGTCTCGTTGCGCTCACGGACTATGTCTGAATATCCACAACGTCTCCAATGATGGTCATTCTCTTTACAAAGCCCTGAACTTCTCAACATGCTCGAAGGCGCAAGCCACATTATCGTAGCAAAGATCCCGTGCCAAGATCCTACTTTGCGCTTCACGGCTCCCAGACGTGCAACCAAACCCTGATATCACGATGCATAATATAGAACGGCAACTAGAGCCCAGATAGTCGCGGACAGTCATCCATATGTGTCTGAGACTGCCGTATCTAGGCGAGGACTGTACTAGAATTGAGGAAAGCCCGCGCAGGCCGATCAATGATTCAATCCATACTCAAGTGAGTGCCCATCGTATCATGTGTGTACGATATTTTCTGTGCGTAACATCACCGTTCAACCGCAATCAAAAATCCATGAGAATCACCGCATCGTGCCTATGGACAAATCGAGCCGTAGCGCGGTATAATCTCGAAAGACACAGCTGGTAAGGAAATTGTAGTCCAGACTTTATCCGCTTACATTCAGAGCTGCCATCGCGTCTGGTTATAACAACAACTGATGGACATTCAGCTGGTGTAGAATGAATTCCCCAAAGTTGTGTTCAGAAAGCTGCGTGCATCTGTGTGCATACCGACACAGTATCGTTGCGTCTGGAAGGGGCGAAGAACACAGATACATTGCTGATACATTGCTAATCCATTGTCACTCGCGTCACTTCGCTATGACAGTTCTGAATGAATGCAGAACGGCACCTGCACTAAGATTTCTTTCGCAGGTCGCAACGATTTGGAAAGACCTGCGCACATCAATAAATCACTGACAGCGAAGTGAGTGCGGTGGCCAAGTGAGTGCGGTGGCCGTAAGCCGCATGGTATGTTCAATCCATAATTCTTCAATGCGGGGGGAGGGGGGGGTTGTGGGGAACTCGGAGTCGACATACCTCAATTTCCTTTTGAGCTGGCCTGTCAGCAAATGCTCTAGACCAACACTTCCCAGCGTTACCGAAACCCTACACGAGGAGCAGACAGTACTGATACCTTTACTGGTACGTATTTTCGCACCGGAAAAGGAATCGCAGTAGTTCCATGTTGGCCGTAGTGTACCGTGACGGTAGGAGACAGGAAAGGCAATCGTTGAGAAGTCCACACTGTCTAGTTATTATGTAACACTTCACGGGTTCTTCCGCCGGCGTGCATGGCCTGTTCTTGGTCCAATCTTGAAGCTGAGTACTAGCACTAGTACTCATAAGCAACTCATAAGTGCTAGTCCATTCGACCATTTCACTCATGTACTGGGCCTCATTCAGTCGTAATGATACTTGAGTAGTAGACTCCCTAGGACTGAGATTCTAAGAGGCAACGCAATCGGCTGGCAATCAGAGGTACATAGAAAAGATTTCCCAATGCTACTAGTACTAAGCGGTACCACCAGATTCCCCGGTTCCCTTTGATTCTGAAAAAAAAGAATGCAATGTGTGAGTCTATTTCTACTGCACCCTCCTTGAACAAAAAAATACCCACATAATTTTTCGTGACTAGCCTGATATTCTTCCCAGCGCCCCTCGTCATCAGCCAACATATCGTACAACGTAATCCAATCTGTACAGGTATGTTCTACGCCTGTCCTCTCCGTAGTGAAATTGCGCTGGGAAAAATCTCCCGGTTCCAAGGTCAGATCCAAGCGACAAAGCGCTACCTGTCGAATGTAGTTCAGGCAATGCTGTACGTGCTCCCATCGGGATTTGTGGGCCTTCGCTATCTCGGCTGCAATGGTGTTGATGCAGTGTAACTCGTGCTCCATCGAGAGACTGAAAGGACGCGAAAGCTTGCCGAGGCGGATGATCCCTCCACCAGGCAACGAAGTAAGGTCCCATTCGGGCCTCCCCATCTGCACGCCAAGATCGTAGTGGACTGTCTCTTCCTCCAACATATATACTTGCTTGAAAGAAGCATTGAGACTCATGCTTCTTGGGAAATCATCCTCTATATAGGCTGCAAACGGTGAGTCTTCTCCTCTACAGAATCTAAGACCGTTACTGACTATAATCCACGGTCTCGTCATAACGACTGGACGGAGTGGTAGACTTGTAGAGATATAGTCGATTGAAATGGACAAGGAGGATGATAAGGTACGACGAGATCCCGAGAGATGCGACGGACAGTGCAATTACTCCGCCGTAAGTTAGAGCAGAGCGATGCATGGACAGGTATGTGGTTTTGACGTGCAAATGGTGTCTCTTGACTTTTCCCTCGCAGGCCTCCACTCTTGTAGGCTGCTCAGTTTTTCGTGATATCAGATACTCTGAATCCGAGGATCTTATTTCTGATCTGGCACGCATATGTAATGACCTTCTCTTCGGACCACAACAGCACATGCAGATCAGATTGAAGGATTGTTGATCAGTCTTGAGGATGCGCCGTAGCCTTCAGCACAGGTCTGGATTGCTGGGTCGATGAAATGCCGGTGCAAATTCAAAGAAGGTGTTCCAGTGAAGAAGTCTAAATGGTGCTCTTCTTTCGTCTCACTTCGCCTCAGAGTAGACTGACATTGCCTCCACCCGCACGGTCAACAACTCTCGAACTATCGAATCATGTCCATACTTTTCATATTCATGACAACCATCCTGCTTAAAGCTATTCTGCTCGCGTGGTTACGAGCCGCCTTCCATTCGCTTTCTCAGTCGGAGCTGGCGCAAGATACATATAGTGAGTTCTTAGCCGATGCTGCTATCAGTGTCCTGTGTCTAATCCATTGATGTTTCGTTCTGGGCATGTTTACGGGTAGGCTACGAAGGGAGTGACTTTCCTCGCACATGGTCCATCGACGGAGTCGACCGCGTTTCCATGTTTGTCGAAGATACTACGCACTACCAGCTCGAGAGCAGTGTGGTGGGCGATGGATTCGACAGTGACGCAGAGTGGGATCTTCTCGTGCCTGGCGACGGACTGGTGTACCTCGGCGACAACAAACGACCCTTCAGTGTGACGGTCTTTCACCAGCTGCGCTGCCTCAACATCATTCGAAAGCATCTCGTCTTGGTTGCACGGCACGAGCTTTCCGGACCGCGAGAAGATCGAAGCAGGACATTGACGACTCATTGCGCCAACTATCTTAGACAGATGGCTCTCTGCCATGCTGATCTAGACCTGGACACGGCTGTGGGTAAACCGGAGGTCTCGGTCATGCCCGATGTATACGAATGCCATGACTGGAGCCGATTTTATGAAAAAGTCGAGCGAAACCAGTACCAGTATATGACCTGGTCTTCTGCGTCTAGCAAGGGTGAGTTTCACTGGGCTGAAATTTTGTTTGATCGTTGCATTCTCACGATCCTTACCTTTTAGGAAAGAATTCAACTACGGACGGTCTTACTGACTAGGGTCAATATCAGCCTTTTTGATTGCGCGTAAGGTCCCCACCTCTGAAAGGTGTGCTGTCCTGCTGAATCACAATTCATCTATACTGACTTGACGTTGTGCAAAACGAAGATCTGATTTCCCTGTCATGGGCATGGTGGATCGTGATGGAATGGCCGAGAATGTTATAGTGTCCTATTTCTCTCTGAGTGGTATGGATTGTTTCGGAAGTTCCGAGTCACTTGAATGTCTATCGACCTTTCATATATAAGTCCTACCCAGTGAATAAATCCGCAAATCTCCTAAGACAACTTTTCACTGCTTCCGACGTCCTGCTACTATCTACCGATGCTTTTCTGGAAATCTTCCGCTATGATCTTAATGGTGTCGGCCGTCACTATCAGTTGGGTGTTGGAAGTTACCTTTGCCTCTCCAATTGGGCCGAGATTAATATGTGAGCTATCTCTCATACTCTATCTCTTCTCATAGAATAATCTCATAGACACCTCTGGCTCGATTCAAGTTCACACTATACAGAAAAGTGCCATTCCGTCTTCTGAGTGTAGCAGGGACGTGCATCTAGAGAATTCAGAGGAAAGTTGGTTTGGGGCAGCAGACGCAGAATCAACTCCCGATATCTTGGAGGAACATGATGGGTGAGTCTGGAAGATGATCTTCAACTTGTCTCTGATCGAGCCGCTTCTTCCGTACTATGCTTAGTACAAGTGAGGGGACCGCAGACTCTGCTGCCGAAGAGAATCCCTCTCTATCCCCCAGAGCCTTATGCTAGGAGCGTCGTGTTGAAAGGCGATCTGCGGCGGGCGCAATAGGTACGCAGTATCTGAAAATAAGCATTGACTTGTCTCACGCTCGTCTGCAGTACTGCTTCGTGGGACCGTGATGCAACACTCGATGGATTGTAGAGATGAAATCCAAAGCTACCTGCGATTCTGCATTTTTGTTGATGAGGACCGTCGGATATGAAGAGTGAATCTAAACTGCCACATTGCACTGCAACCTTGTATTTTACTGTATTAAGTGGAATGCGGCACCAACGTATGCGAAGGAACACGAAGTTACTCAAATCTAGTGTCTGAATATACTCGAATGGATGCGAATCTACATAGAAGGCAATCTCGTAGCGTACATACCAATATAAGTACCTCGCCGTAGCGGCCGAAAGACCTACATAATTGCAGTTATATCCAACTCTTGAACACCTCTGTCTTTCCCGCCTGGACTCGTCGTGTCAGGCATCCTACGCGGTAATAAGCCTTCCTTGGGCAGTTTCTGTGACACGCCGACTTAAGGCTAGGTCAATATAAGTACGTTCGTAGTACATCCGCGCGAGTACCGCTTGCTGCAATCGCCACCTTGTCGCCACCCATGACCCGAGCACTTGGTAAGGATTGGGTATGAAAAATCCGGGGAGGCCCGCGCCAACGTTCACTTCCAACGGGATCAAATCGGCGGATGCGTGGCAGAACTCAGCTCGTTTGGAGGTTCATAATCTACATTCTTTCCAGCATCATTCAGCTGAGACCACGACTAGACGCGACAGCTCGAAACATGCGTTGGACTAAGATTTCCTTATCAGCTGTCATCCCTTTGTGTTTACAACTTCGTCAGCGACTTGAAACTTCAATTCCCGACAGACAATAAGTAGCTCAGCAGCATTCGAGTACTGTAAGCATTCGTCGCTATGGAGCCTCCGCCGATAATCGTGTACACTCTCAAAAACCCCACTGGTAGGTGTTCATGTTACCCTTCATCAAGAAACAGCTTTGATGTTCGCTTAGCTCGACAGGTTGACGAAGCTGCTGCCCTGTGCGTCCGCGCATTTGACGGAGGTAAGATCTTACAAGCTGATGCGCAACCAGGAACATTTGCTTATTCTGTTATGTTCCTTGCTTTCTACTCTAAGATTTACTCCTAGATTCCATGTGCGGTGGAGATAGTCGGTTCCATCTCCCGCTATTCTCGTCCATGATACGCGCCACAGCATTAGAAGGCGTCCTCCACGTAGCAAATGTTAGGAATAGCGATAGAATATGTGCAGTTTCCCTTTCCTTTGGTCCAGGTCATGCTTTGTTCGGAAGGTGTGTCCTCTATTCGTATAGATTTTCCAAAGCCTTATTGTCATGCATGTCAGCCAAGCTCAGCGGGAACTCGGGTTCAATGATCTTTATGCGAGTCTTCCCACTAACGTACAGAAGTGGTGGATCGAAACTGTACGACAATCTCCCTGTCAGTATGGACTTTTCTCACTTCATATCACAGTATAGACCCACCATCTCGAAATGGCTTGAAGGAGTTTTTGACGGAAAGGTAGCCCCTGTCGTATTACCTTAGACTAGTATGCTGAGCGCTCATGACAGCGATATCACCTATAGCGATCAACATCGTGGTTCGTTAGCCTGGTCGCTACCGATCCTCCGTATCAGCGCAGAGGCTTGGCGACTACTCTCATACAGACAATTTGGAAGCTGGTAAAAATCTGTCCTGTTTTCGTGTTAAGTATTTCTCGTCGGTCAACTGATATTATCACTTTAGGCGTCCAATGACGATACTATTCTTGGCCTCGTCGCTGAACCAGAATTGGTACATAATGTTTTCTGTACTATATTGGCAAAGTATCATCGCTAACATAGATCACAGACTACTGTTTACAAACCCATGGGGTTCAAGATAGTCGGCAGTATTGATCTCCCCGGGCGGAAAGACATCCTTTCAGCCGTCTGTATGACGAAGGAACGAGTTGCGTGCTCGGTTTGACATGTGTCTACCCGGGGGATCTTGGGGATCAAGAGATTTCCATTGTTAGCGTGCCTCTGTAATGGAAGATTTGAGTCGTGCAAGTGCTAACATACATGCGCTGTGCATCACGACTGATGTGTTTGCTCTGCTGATTTACCGCTTCTCCCATAGCAAGTACCCTCGGGGTATCGTGGGTGCGAATGATTTCGAACTTCCCACCCATTGTCACTAAAAAGCCGTCATATGGTTAGGTTCTGAATGCAGGTCTGTAGCATACCATATCAGACACATCACGTCTTCGATACATCTCATCAGGATCCACACAGTCCACTAAAGCATGCGTTAGCCTGAGGACCTTTCCTGGTTTTGTGCTGCGAAATGAGCTGATTCCTCAGCCATCCACAGCTTTGTTCTTGATTATATATGAGTGTTTCCTCTTTCCTCGTCGTTGTGGTCACATACCACCCCTCCGCTATATACCTGCTACCATCAGCCCCTTGTCCCATCGCCTCTTTGTCATCTAAAAAAAACAGCATGTCAGACTCTCCAAACATCGTTTTCGAGCGATCCTTCTTCATCGGCATAATACTTGCGGCATTCATACACGGTAACACACGGTACCTGTCAGGCTACATGTATGTCACGCTAATGATACATTGGCACAAAGGGCTGGAACTATACATGGTTTCGCAGTCAATCTACTTGCTCTTCAAGAGTCCTCCCGGTACTAGACAGGCTCGCGCAGTCTATGTCATCATCGGCGCGATCATGGCGGCCCTTGTTTCTATCTGTTTTATCTCCAATGTCGTCTTCGCAGACTTCATGTGGATAGATCATCGCGACTTCCCCGGGGGACCGTACGCCTATCTCATCGCAAACAGTTCAGTATGGTGGCAAACACTAGGCACTGCATGCACTATGGTGACGAACTTCATAGGTGACGGTCTGCTCGTATGTTTGATTTTTCAAGTGATATACGACCCAGTTCCTGACGATTTCTTTACCTTCCATTTTAGATATATCGCCTTTGGATCATATGGGGAGCCAAGTGGCCGATCGCTGTGGTTCCTCTTATTGTGTATTTGGGCTCCATCTGTAAGTGACAGATTCCGTAACCATCAGGACTACTCTTACGGCCTTTACTATATACCTGCTGTTTCACTAACCTTTTTCGATACCACGACAGCGATGGCTTTCATCTCCGTGGTTCAAGGGGCTCTTCCTGGGAGCAACTTCTTCCGCGGAAAAAGCGTCAACTTTGGCGTGCCGTGGGCTGCACTCTCTGTCTCTCTGAATGTTATCGTGACTGCCCTCATCTGCACACGTCTCATCTTGATAAGACGCCAGGCAGCAGGTCATCTACCCGCAGAGTTCCTTCAGATGTACACAGGGGTTATGGCTTTATTGGTCGAGTCAGCCTTGCCTTTCAGTATTTTTGGGATCGTTTTCGCGGTTACATACGGCAGGAATCTCAATGTCGCACCTGTATTCCTCTTCATATGGGGTGATCTTTGTGTATGTTCTCGTTATTATGACCGATATTCTCAGACTACTGACTCCATGCGCTGTACCTCGAACCCTCTCTAGTCCTTATGCCCTCAATTCATTATCCTCCGAGTAGCGATGGGAAGAGCATGGTCCAGGGAGCTCACTGCCCAAGTGGCCCACACTAACCCGATGGTTTTTGCGCCACCCGAACAAGCCCACTATAAAAGTTCGGATGTAGAGGATATCGCGTTTGGCACCACGGGGTTACATTCCTCACAGAAGGGTTCAGCAACAGTAGTCGGGAGTTTAGACAAGCGCTCTAGGTCCCCACAGAGCGTTAGGGTGTTCTGATTGGGAGCTGTTCATCACGTCCGTCCTTGTAATATTTATCAATTGTTGGCGCACTAAGACTTACAGATCATCCACATCAGATATATTTCCTGTGTGTCTTTCCAAGCGCGGTGTAGAGGTCTCCGAGTGTTAATGATGGGCTGACCACTATGTCCTCTCGTACTGTTCACTGTCAATTACCTTGTCTCTCCCACCCCCGTAATGGTGGCTGAGCAACCTTCTGCCATACAGAGCCAAATACTGATATTGCTCGCCCTTCGATAAGTGGCAAGAATTAGATTCTCAAAAGTTCTTGGGCGGAAATGAACATCCCTTCGAAGAGCCGATGAGTTGATAACGACTTCCTAAGAAGGCTTGTGTCGAACTTGGAGAAGGACGTGGTAAGAGTGAATCAAAGATCAATAGCAATGCCAGTGAGGGCGCGGCGGCGACCAGCCTGAAGCTTTGAAGCGGGAAAGGCGCGAAATAAACGAGAGCGCGCCAGTCACACAAATGTCATCTTCTGTCACGGTGTGACTGTATGGCAATCCGCATCATTGGCTCCTATTGGCTCGCCACTTCCCTCCACTTCCCCGCTTTCTAATATCTCTAGACCCTTTGTATCACCCATTGTTTTCTTGCCTGACAACTGTATCGACTGCTTTTATACTGCTCGACGTCTCATCATTTCTCTTAAAGACACAACGACCTTCTGATATCGCACCCAAGCCAGTAGTAGCGGCATGGCGCGTCGCGCCCACTCCCCAGGTCCAGCCGCACTTCCCAAAGTCTCCTTCGTAAAGGTCGACGAGGACATATCACCAAAAGCATTCGGGGTCGATGATAAACAGCAGAGGAGCTATGGATGTGCGTTTCTACATCATCTATAATGACCATCTCGTCCTGACGCGACGCGACTTGTTGCCATTGTGTCGAACAGACAATGATTATTCAGAGTTCCATCGTCCAGAACCATATATCCGACATATAGGTATGTGCTCTGAATAGATGGAACTGTTGGGAGTCATTGTAACGAGGGTCTGGCGTGCAGAACCGCTGGAGAGCGAATTGAACCAGCAGGTGGAGTATGACATGGATGAACAGGGTTCGTAATCTTTCCATCTCATTGTCGACGTTCATGTATCGCAGAAGACTAATTGTCAATGTGTGTCACAATTGGTGAACAGACCAAGAGTGGCTTGAAGCGCTCAATCAAGAGCGCAAGAAAGACCAGATCGGACCCGTAAGCTACGAGACATTCGAGATTGTGATGGACCAGCTTGAGAAGGAGTGGTTCCACCTCGTGCGTCTACTATATCTTCTCGTCGACACCTTTACACCCCTCCTTAATATTATACAACACAGTCCAAGAAGATTCCGAAACCAGACATGGCCCTTCCGTCCGAAGACTCCACTTGTGCTATCTGTGATGACCCGGAAGGAGAGAACACGAACGCGATTGTGTTTTGTGACGGATGTAATTTGGCGGTTCATCAAGGTGCGTAACCATGCTTTGTGTAACGGACTACGAACAGAATCCAACATGAGAGGATAGATTGTTACGGAGTTCCGTACATCCCTGAGGGTCAGTGGCTCTGCAGGAAATGTACCGTTTCACCTGAGAACCCAGTGGTAAGTGCCACAACACACCCAATTACATTGTCATGACTCTCGGAATGTTGCGTTGACGATGTATCTCTAGTCATGTATCCTCTGCCCAAACGAAGGCGGAGCATTCAAACAAACCGTTTCAAGTGAATGGGTGCATCTCCTTTGTGCAATCTGGGTCCCCGAAACGAGGGTCGCGAACGAGGTGTTCATGGAACCTGTTACGGGCATTGAGAAAATCTCGAAGCAGAGGTGGAAATTGGTCCGTTCTCTGATTAAATCTCCTTGTGACCCTCAGCTTCCTGATATTAACATCCTTTCCTGATACGTCTCGTTGGACGGACAGAAATGCCAAATCTGTGATGTACGAGAAGGAGCTTGCATCCAGTGTAGCAAGACCTCTTGTTTCCTTGCATTCCACGCGACATGTGCGAGGAAGGATAAGTTACTCATGCCGATGAAAGCGAGTTCGGGCCTGGAGGCACCTATGCTGCAGTGTTTTTGCGAGAGACATCTACCAGTACGTGTAATACTCCATGAACCCAGCACACGATATCTCATCTACGTTATATCGATATCTAGCGCGAGCAAGCGAAAATCCGAGAAGCCGCCCTCGCAGCTGAAGGCACCACCGCTTCCCGCATCCACTCCCGCTCGCACACGCCCAGCGGCGACACCCCCATGACTGACACGCCTATCACCAGTATCAGCACGGCCTCTCCCTCTTCCCCCATACGTCACACCCTCACCGTCCCCCCACACAACCACAACCACACAACCCACCCCTCCCCCAAATCCTCCAAATCCGCCCGCGCCTACACAAAATCGTACAAACCTGGCCCTCCCATAGTGCCCTCTCTCATCGTCACCCGCATCCTGACCTATATTTCCAAGATCAGTGTGCGGAAGAAGAGCGAGTTCGTGGAGATGGTGTGTCGGTATTGGAGCTTGAAGAGGGAGGCGAGGAGAGGGGCGCCGTTGTTGAAGAGGTTACATTTAGAGCCTTGGACTGGTGGGGGTTCGGGTGGAGGTGGTGTGGGCGGTGGTGTGGGCGGTCCGAATTCGAGGGTCAGTGATGAGGAGAAGGCGATTAAGCTTGAGGTGCGTCTTTTCGTCTGACTTTCTGTAGGCTGCTGGGACGTTGAGGGTGATTGTGCTGACACCCTTGTTTTTGGTTTGGGGGATGTAGCATATGAAGAGATTGAGAGGCGATTTAGAGAGGGTGAGAACTATGGCGGAACTTTGTCGGAAGAGGGAGAGCAGGAAGTTGAGACAGACGCAGTTGGTGGCGGATATGATCAAGACGGTTATTTTCGCGCACGAGGACACGATGAGGAATGTGTTTGACAAGATTGCTGCGTGCGTATCTCTCTTTCCCCACTCGGGGTTTCCCTTTCTGACTGTTTTATCTATTTTGTTGTATTTCGTGCTAACATTTTGCTTTCCCCCCCTTTGTTTTTGTATCATTGGGTGGCGGTGGCGGTGGCGCTGTAGGATGGACCGGAACGATTACTTCAAGAACCCCGTCTCGAAAGTCGACGTCCCAGATTATCATGAGATCGTAAAGAAACCGATGTGTTGGACTATGATCGAGGCGAAGCTTGATAGACATGAGTATTGGGACTTGGCCGTTTTCAAGGTCAGCCTCACTCCAGAATTCTAACTTCCCATTTACAAGACACATAAGCTAATTACCGAGTTATACCGTACGTAGGGCGACATCAGGCTCGTCTTAGACAACGCAATGTTGTATAATAAGGCTGGAACGCCGTATTATAAGACTGCGATGAGGATCAAGGGTGCATCGGGGCCGCTCTTGGAAGACTTGGATGTGTTGGCCACGTCTGCTCCGTTTGAGTTCGGGCAAGGACCGCAGATAAAGTCACAGCTTCCTACTCCAACTATTGGGCCGCCGCCACCATCAGAGCTGCCAGGAGAAGATTCAACTTCGATGGACCATGCGCCCACTCAGCCCGAGGTCTCTGAGCAAGAAGTCTCAGAGGTCGAAGGACCTCCTGCCCCTGCAGTCCAAGACGAACCACCAACAGAACTATTACAACCAACCGAACTACATCCACTGACTGATCCTCAGCCCTCCGCCTCCCACTCTTCTCAATCCCTCACGACGTCTCACTCCACCGCTTCCTCCTCCACACTGACAAACCCAATAGGCAACCTCGAACCCCCGCTTTCCTTCCTCAACCTACTCCTCTCTTCCTCCGTCATTGAGGACATGCAAGCTTCGTCAGACTTCATCATCACATCCGCCCCATTACCTTACATCTTGACGTACGAACTCGGCGAACCCGTCCCTCCACCGCCTGCTCCTCCTACACCTCCACCGCCTCCGACACCACCACCCCAACCAGAACCTGTATTCGCACCTTCTACTGCTTCGCGTCATCAGTCTACCGCGCCCAAGGCCAAAGGTCGGAAGGAAAGAGCGATCGATAACAACCAGGACAAAGAGACGGAGACAGATGCTGTGGCTACGGTTGAGGAGCCAGCGAGTGTGAATGAGCCTAGTAGTGCAAAACCAAAGAGGGACAGGAAAGCGGAGAACGAGAGGAGGCGAGAGAAGGAGAGGCAGAAGCTGTTAGATTTGAATGCGGGCTTCAGGGCGCCTGTTGGATTGAGGACAAGGAGGGCAGCTGCGGCGGAGGCGGCATTTGAGCAAGAGGCGGCTACTGGCGGAATAGGTCAACCCCAGGTGCAGGACGGCGACCATGACGTGGGTGATGACAGTGGTCATGTGGAGGATGTGAATCGGAATGTGGTTTCGGTTGAGCCGGAAGTTGAGGTGGGTGAGGATGTGGAAGCTGGACCGAGCAGGACAGCGCCGACGTCGGAGGCGCAGGTGGAGGCTCAAGTGGAGATCGATGTGGAGGGAGAAGAGGTAGATGTCGATGTTGAGATGACGGACGGTGGGGATGCAGCACCAGCGTCTGCCCAGCTATCGGTCGAACCATCAACTCACCAACCTTCACCATCCGACGAAGCCGAAGACGAAGCCGAAGCTCCGGCCAAACAGCCAGATCTATCCGCGAAGAGGGTGGGCGATCGCAGTGGTACGAAGCGGAAGCGTCCCTCCTACACGCCCAACCAAGCACCTGCTATCCTCGAAGATGTGGGCAAGAGAGACACTTTCTTGAATTTCGATGCGGGCTGGATCTTGCCGCAGGGGTCAAGAAGAGGTGGGAGGAAGCCACCGGTGATTCAGATGCCTGCTCCGGGAGAGTCCGTTCCAAAAAGAGCCAAACGAAGTACGTCCCTTTTCTACCCTAGTCGCCGCCCTTGTCTCAATCTATTTGGACAGTCCATGCTTCAGAAGCAAGTAGGAGTCGTGATACGGGGACGCAAGAGAGAGAAACGGCTACTGCTTCCGTCGCACCTACGGAACTTGCCACCGAAGACCACAGGGAGGTTTCTGTCATTTCACCATCAAGTATCGTAGCTGTGGCGCAAGACGAACATATGGATCCCGAAGCTCCTTCAATGGAAAGATCAGATTACAATCTCCACGAGGGCGTCACACAGCGTGAACATTCCGTCCTCGCCAGTCAAACGTCTCGAACCTCGCCGTCCGTCGTTGAACGTTCGCCTTCTCCCCTCAGAACCCGATCACGTCGCTCGACAGCTCGGTCCCAAACCCAAGTCCGGTCACAAACCCAGACCACATCATCACCTAAGTCTGCAATCCCCATCGTATTAGAGCCAAATACGACGCTAGTTATGGGCGCGGACGGAAGGATGGTTCTCGAGGTCTTGGATACACCAAAGACGAGGAGGGAAAGGTATATGCAGCGGAAGAAAGGTTCGAAAGGCGATAAATCAAATGTTGCTGGCGGTAGCTCGTCTCGGGCTGGACCTTCAAGCGTGCGGTCACTTGCCTCCGTGGCGGGTCCTTCACATCTTCGGGTTTCGATGCTGGCAGTTGGTGATCCAGAGGTAGAGTCGGAGTTGAGTGCGTTGAGTGACTTGGAGGACGATGGAGCGGAGGAAAGCAAAGAGCCTGAGTTCGAAGCTACAGAAGGGTCCCCACCGGTAGAAGAATTTGAGCAGGTAGGGGCGTCCGAACCAGAAGAGGGAGCCGAACTGGTGGTGAAGTTCGTTGCAGCAGAGGCGTCGCCACCGGTCGAGGAAACTGAACCAAGGGAAGGCCATGGACAGACGTCGGAGGCAGACCCGTCAGAGGGGCATGATCCGACGGTGGATTCTGAACCTTTGAAGGGGCTCGCGCTGGACGAGGTGCCTGCGTCAGGCAAGGGAGCCACGCCGATGGAGGAGCCTACACCACCGAGAGTAGAGCCCGATGTTGAATCGAGCCCAGAGGAAGAAGCACAACCCAAAGACGAAGAAGCCGACGTTGAAATCGTACCTACAGAGCAGACTGAGAGTAAGAGTCGCACGAGGAGAAGTAGCGGAAAGAGAACGGGGAAGGGGAAAGGAAAAGGGCGAGTAAACGCACGAAGACAAGGAGACGCAACAGCAGGAACGCGGCAATCCAGTGGGGATGGTATCATCACGTTGGAGAAAGGGAAGTATCTCGACGGCGGAACTCTTGGTGTGTTGATATCTGTCCTCTATGTCTGACGCGTACGGGAAGCTGAGCGATCTGTTTTTAACGTGCAGTCTGGGCAAAGTCGCGTAGGTCCCGCCCGTGGATATCTCTGGTGGCTATACCCTGACCAATTGATCTATAGCGACATATCCATGGTGGCCAGCCGTTGTATTTGAACCGGATGATGAGGGTATCCCCGACCGCGTATTGGATAATCGTCCGCAGACGAAAGAGAAACTCCATCTTGTGCGGTTCTACGACAAGTCTAAATCCTGGTAAGTGTACGCGATACGTTCATTCTCGAAATGTTACTCACAAAACTCGACCACGCAGGGCATGGCTATCACTAGACCGTCTCTTCATGCTGGGCGAGGATAAGAGTCAGTGAATTTGGACTTGCATTTGCGAAGATACTAACCAGAGGTCTACAGAATTCGACGAGCAGTTTCTGAGCCAGAGCCCACGCCAAAGGTTCAAGAACAATAACTTGAGGTCTGAGTGTCGGGCAGCATATCAGTGCGTTCTCGGTCACTTTTATACTGCCTTCCTCCACAGGTTTTGAACTACTTCCCGCACACAGGAGCGCGATAGCCGAGATGGAAACAGCGGCCAACGGGGACTGAAAGCGACTTACCGATTCAGAGTGAATGCGTCCGACGCTGTTCTATCATTCTCTATTAGTTTGTTTATTTATGTATCACACTATGTATTTCTTGGAGCTCTCAGAGTCTAGACACATCAGTTCGATCTTAGCGTCCGCTAAACCTTTCAATGTTGCAAGTCACCCGTTGTCAGCAGATCCAGTACTTACAGGTCCGTGATGAGATCATACTACGTTCTCTACTTCGCGTGCTGAATTGGTGTATACGGGACTGGCAGGATATCTGGAGTAAGCTAATCGGAGCGGTTCTTGGATACTGTCTAAATACTACGCTTGATTCACGCAACGAAGTCTGGTGGTAGGCTCTACCAGACAACATAGCTCGCGCTTTACCCCGAATTCATTGTCTCTGTTATCTCCCGCAAACATATCGCAAAAAGGGTGAGCTGTCCAGGCATTTCGCACCCGGCCGATGCATATTTTAGATTCGGCAGTATGTCTTCATGAAGACATGAGGCCACACAAAGGCTCAAATCTCAGAAGCCAAGCTGATCAAAAGTGACATGCCATTTAAGAATAAAGGCATAGTACCCACTCTTCGTGCGTCCCTTTATTTCCTTTGGGCGTTCCCTTACTTGTCTTGTAACTCGCAGGTGTAAGCCTATCAATGATCGGGACGTTTGTGTATCCCAGCCTGCATGCATTTGTCCAGGCCAAATGGTTGAATTGATGTGGCGTTGGGTGTGAAACGAATTCGGGAACATCAACCATGCTCGCTCACATGCCACCTACCATCTCCGTCGACCGTTTATTTTGTATGAATCAAGATGAGTTCCTCGCTCATTCATCAGGAACTTGGAGCATTTTAGAGCATCTCTGCATTGACGTCTCCGTGAACATCGCGGCAATCTAGGGCAGAAGCCTAACATGATGCACGCCACCGTATCTTATGTCTGTGTGCAGGCCAATCACATAATCTCTGCCCTGTGTTTCATCGCACGGCAGTGACACGATGACACTATAGGTATTTTCCTCGTTCTTTAATGTAACCTTCCAGGAGCTTCTATCTTAAGACACCCCACAACGTTACTCTATATAAACATCCGTCGATACAGTCACGTCGCTTTACTCCTTTGCTCATGGCTTCGCCTAGCGCTACCAAGGACGTCTCTGGACTCACGGCTCGTCTGGCGGGATTGACTGTTGAGGAACAAGTCGCAGCACTTTGGGCCGACGATCCACACTCTGGTCCCACAGCGCAGCTGAATCCTGGAGGCAACAATCCGTCCGATCCCTCGGACGTGTCAGGCCGCCTCTCTAGAGACTTCCCTGATTTTCCCGAGCCAGACTCAGAGGTCGGAACAGCCTTCCTTGCCTCTTACAAGAAGGCTGTGTTAGGGCCCGGAGGTGGAGGTCCTGCCGCAGTGGATTATACCATCCGAGAGCCTCCCTGTGCTAATGTTAACGTGGCACAAAAGCAAGCCGCGTGTCCCAAAAGAGGGTCCTCTCTCTGCGGCTCATGCAAACTGGTGCAGTACTGTTCAAAGGTACATCCCTACATTTTTTACGATGTCGACGATCTCGTCTCAAGGCTGTGCAGATCTGTCAAGCTCAACACTGGAAAATCCATAAACAAGGTCTGGCTATTCGCATTTTCTGGCTTGACTTGTTTCCGACTATGTGCTCCAAATAGACTGTAAAGATCAGATTCGAGCGCCTGATTGGGAACCAATATGGTCTTTGGAAAAGCGTACCCCAGCGTTCGTATCAGACGAGGATATACACGGACCTCGGAACCCCCACTCACTTGGACATGCCTTGTATGATTTTTCATCTCAACTTCTTGATCGAGTTTGGCCAATTGTCTCATCTTCCTATAGGTGGGGAAATGTCCCAGCCGTGGATATCCTTAATCTTAATCACGACTCAGACAATCAAGCGGATACCAATTTCACGGTTGCAGCGCCAGGTGAGCTCTAAGACTTGTAACTTAAATCTGCTCTCATTATCCATTGTGACTTTCTGTGATCCACAGCCTCCGGTGACTTGCGCCATATTATCCGAACAGTGAACCAACTGCCTTCGGATTACAACGGAGAACTCACGATCGTTCTCAACGACAGAGATCCATATGTCGTAGCTCGAAATCTGCTTCTTCTTATACTTCTTGCCCTACCAGATAAGTCTCGAGGTCCCGATATGGCCCTTCACTTCTGGTATTCTGTCTTCGTGCCCATGGAATATAATTCCCAAATGACTCTCATTCTTCTCGACTTCCTCACCGAGAAGTTCAAGCTGGATGAAACTTCCCAATTATCCTCGACATCCACCATCACTACTCATGACTGCTCGGATGTAATCACATTGATGACCGTACTTGTGCGGTCGACCTACCAGATTGGCGATGCCGCCAATGAGCTGCACCGAGTCCGGTAAGCCGCTGTATGTCTCACCGTCGTCCTGAACCTCATCAGTGAGGGAAACGTGTGACCTATAGGTTCGCACCATCGCGATTGGACCTCCATCACCGCCAATACTGTAAACTAGAACCCTCTCACCGTTTGGCGTTCCTAGAGTTCCGAAGATTTGGACTTCTTCTTCCATTTGGCGCGTGTAACGCGCAATTCAACTACCCCAACCGTTTTTTGTTCGATTACGATGGGAAGTTTCTCCTTAGCGATTTTGCAAGTCCCCTTGAGTCTTGGGAGTAGGTCTCATTCCGATGTCATTCTATTACAATTCTCATTTGTTCCGCATCAGCATCATGTCCGTAATGAAGACAGGCATCGCCCATGGATCCCCCCGAGCAGACATCTTCGGCTGTCTTTACTTCTACGTCTCTGATCAATTGCGCGAATTCGCCAGGCGTTTGGACCGTTTCCGTATCTCGTTCAAGCTGTTCAACGAAGATTCCGGAGCGCTAGCCGCTAGCATTCGTTCGAATTCGCTTTCGGGACTCGGTCTTCCGTCCTCGACACGGTTCGACCGTATCGCTGTCTCAAACATCATTGACCCTAGCTATGTGGGACTTCCCCAAGTTCTATCAGACTGGGGCCCTCTTCTTAGCAAGGAAGACCCTCGTGCCACCCTCTTGGCTTATTCGCTCAATTGGCCCATGCAACATGCAGGCGCAAAGCCTGGCAGAGATGATGATATTAAGAAGTGCATGGATGTAATGCAGAGACTAGGAAAGGTGTAGCTTACTATTACTTTTCCGTGTACTCGACTACTAACTCAACTTCCTAAGCTTCCGAAACCACCTAACGCTGCTACTGAAAGCATGCTCCGTGGTTCGCAGTGCCTTACTCATGGTACCTCTATCACCATGCTCATGTTTTGTATGTTTCTCATAGCATACACGGCAAAACTTATCGTCGTTATGTCAGTCCTGACCGCAGTTTACGACAACTCGCAGGCTTTCGAGGACTATTTGGAGACATCTGGACTTCGGCATGCACTCGACGAGTCCCAGTTACGGCGCAAAATAAAGCATGCAATTGTTCCTCCCGTAAGCTCGGTTGTCTGCCTGGGTTGTACTATGATCTAAAACTTGTCTTTTCACAGCGTCTTTGCGTCCCTATCGAAGCCAGACGAAATGCGCTCCCAGAATTTCCAGACGACGAAAGCTGGTACTTTTGGGTGAGTTATCAATCTTATAACTTCTTCCAACATGGTTGAACCTCTGTTTTGTTCCTAGACTAGTGTCAGTGGGCATAGCTGGACTGAACGTTTCTTGGAATTTAGTCGTCGTTGAGATGGCATGGCGGTTGTGGCCTATCTTGTTTGTCTTGATTTCCGAATTCGTATGTACTCTTATACATATGCCGCGCGCACAATACCGCTCAAAAACCAATGTTACGAATGTCAAAAAGACAAAAGGGAAAGCAATTGCTGAGCGATTACTGGAGGAGATAAATACACATTCCGTCGTGGTAATTACATGAACAGACAAACAACAACGGGCAAAAGGTCAAGCAAAAGAGCAGTACAGGACAGCAACAACGCAGCGAAACAATGCAAGTTGCAGAAATACATGATGATAGAAATACATGATGATAGGGGAAAATAGAAGGAAGATCGAGAGAAGCATACTTGAGACGAGAAAGCAGGTGTCAGAGCAAGAATTAGGCAGACAAAGGGAAATAATGATGACGAAGGTAAAGATTGAGACTGATGGAACGGGATATATACGGATAGGATTGAAGATGTGAAGAGGGTTATAGGCGAGCGTGGTGTGGGGGCGGTATTGGTGACGATCAAGCTAAGACGAGATGCTGGACGAATGGGATAAGTGTCGCGGGTTGGTTGATGTGAGACACCGGCATCGCGTGGGGCGAGTAGGAATGCTCCACTATATTGGTGCGATGCGTGTGCTTCCGAATCAGACGGAGTCGCTGGAGGTCTGAAGCCTTCTTCATCTTCGTTACTCGTCTTGATTGACACTCGAAGGTCTGAGAATCAGATAGAATGTCAGTATCATTCTATGAACCAGAGTGCGAATATATGGATACTACTCACCATCGCGGCTTCGACCACTTTCAGGTCTTCAAACTGTCGTCGTTTGGGATCGCTTCAATATCTGCTGTGCCAATTCTGTCTATGATCCGAAAGGAAATGATAGCCTTCATATGTCGGCCTCTCATCCCCTCTCGTGAACTCGAAATCTCTGTCCCCGTACAGCTCCCGATAATCCTCGTCTGAGTCAAACGCCGTGTCCTCTATTTCCTCAACGGCGACATCGGACTCGTTGCGGACGTCGTAACGGGACCGTTCTACGTGTACTTCGACGCGGGGAGCCGAGTTGAACGCCAACAGAGAATCACGCTCCTGGAAGCTTTGTGATGGTCCATTGAGCGCCGCCGTTGCACTTGGCCACACCATCGCCTCCGTGGGCAGCTGAGGAGCCGCTTCGTGGGTCTGGCCGTGACGATGTGCCGCCGTCGTGTACCCTGACACGACATTGGTAGATAAGAACTGGGCAAGACGATCATGACGGAGGAAGTCGTCCGGTCCAAAGTCAATGTGAGCATCGCCGTCAGGTGGGTGTTTGCTCTCGTATTCTTGCTTCTCCCAGTCCTCAGACGACCCATCGCCGTCATCGCCTTCAGAGTACTCGTCCTCAGGATATTGAAGCTCTCCTTCGATGAATGGTGACGCGCTTCGTGATCGCACTGGCTGAGCAGAGTGGTGCTCGAGGTTCAGGACGTGCGTGTTGGAGGGGGGGAAGACAGGTGACGGGTGTTGTAACCGGGCCGGCTGAGGATAATCGAGGTCGAAAAAGGGAATATGCCCGGTGGGCGGGGATGTTGGACGGTATATGGGTGAAGACGGGCAGCCGGGATCGATCATCCAGGGCGAGGGAGTTCGGTGGGGCTGGTCCGGTTCGTTGTAAGAGCTAGAGCTTGAGCCTTGAACAAATTCAGGTTCAGGAGTGGGGGAACGACGACGACGGGTGTGACCAGTACGACGACCGGTCCCGATGGTGTATGGCTCGGCGTGTTTCATAGGTTTCTTCGCCGTCTTCACAGTTCTCTTTACACCACCGGGGTTCCTCCTGTCCTCGGCGGCGGGAGAAGGACTGGAGCCCCTGAAAGCGGCACGACATTGAACCGTATCAGAAGCAATACCGGAGACGTACATGGATACGTCGGTGGTGGAGGAAATATCTGAGAGTGTGGGTGACCGGAGTAGGGAGTTGACGGTCGCCTCATCGGACCTCACATCTTCAAGTGACGAAGCACGGGTGTAGGGGACTTGCTGCAGAGTAGTTGTGTTGGCCAGAGGTGAGAGACTTGAGCGTTGACTTGAAGCACCAATGGTCTCTTGCGGGAACCCGAGGAGAGATGACGATGGGAAGGGCGCGAAGCGTAGGTCCTGGAGCTGAGGTTGGACTGTGGTGGGAGTGTGGGATGGTGAGCTGAAATTGCTGGACATTGTGGGTGTGGGGCTTGGTGTGTGGCGAGCGGGGGGTGTGCGACGGCGGAGCGTGGCGGGAGTGTGGCGCTGAATAGGGTGGTGTCCGTATTACGTCATGTGTCAGGGCGAAGCGTGGCGAGCAGCGATTAATGACACGGGCTCATCCCGACATATAGTAATACACTACTCACCGATGTAGAGGTCGAAGATGAACGATGAATGCCTTTTTTGCGTTGGGAGGACGAGTGGTCGGATAATGGAGACGTAGACTTGCGCCTCTTGGGGCCACGAGAGTCCTGAACAACAGCGACACAAACAATTGGCATCGACATACAATAACCGAAATCAAAATGGGAACAGCGTACCTCAGATTCGTCGGATGATGTATCGTTGTCCTTTGGGGGCAGAACCGTCAGCCATCAGCCATGGTGTCTATGCGCCACATTGTCTGACACTCACTTCAACATGGGAAGACCTTGAAGACGAAGACGAAGGACGGGATGGGGATGGGGATGGGGACTTGCGCTTTTGACCACAGGAGCCTTCGTCGTCGGACTGTAAAGGACCTGGTGAGTAGAGCATGGGAGGTGAGTGTGAGTGTTCAACGAACCTCGGTGGCGCCACCATTGGCGGAAACGGGGAGCAAGCGGGAGGGAAGAGGGGCGACGCGACTATTTGTCGCGACAAGACGGTAGCCAACCTGGAATGATCTGAAAGGAAAAGGTTCAGCACTCAGATGAAGAAGGGGTCGCAGAGGAAGGAATCGGGACATACGAGGTGAGGAGGATAGTCCCCACGGCGCCAAAAAGGGCAGAAGCGATGTCAAACATCGTGTATGTTGCAGTTGTAAATTGTTAGTTTATATGTGTCGAGTGCAGGACGCGAGGGAGCTTAGACAGCAAGCGAGTTGTGGACGATGATGGATGCACGAGAGAAAGAGAGAAGAAGGGAGGCGCGTCTCTTTTATATGAAAGAGGACACAATGAAGGACAGGAACAGCCGAGAGCGTGTTTATGTAAGCGTATGTGGGTGGCGAGAGGTGTCAGGATTATCGCTTCTGGTGCTTCGATCAATTCTTGCCTAATCGAGCGTTCCCTTGTACCTCCTTTTTTCGTATCTGTGACTGATCTGAAACAATTTTCATCGTTTCAAGCTAGTAGAGGTCACATCAATACATCAGACGCAGTTCGAACTACTCTCTCTTCAAAGAATAAAAACAATACTCTGAGTACAACGCAGAGTATGAAGATAAGGAACAGTCGACGTCGAAAGGGCACTCACAACACGAGGCGACAGTGCCGTGCTTCGAAGCAAGCTACAGCCACCGATGCATTACAGCCTCTATGCTTTGACCTTGCTTTGACCTGTACCTCATCCGTTCATAATCCTATCTTGGTACCTATAGCTATACTCGCAGCGTGCAGAGTGAAGCAGAGCATTTCCTCGCGTTAGCCGTGAAGACCAAGTGAAGACTGACGCAGACTGACGCATGGACAAGAGTCGCACGGTGACAGTCGAAGAAAAGCTATTCGTGGGAGATAATTTGTCAGCGCACGAGAGGGGCCACCCTTCCGGAACGCAGGCCTCAATGAAGGCCCGCCACAAAGAGCCGAACTTCGCGTTTGGAGCCGTATACCAAACGCACTCGCGCGAGCAAAAATGTATCTTCAAAGCAGGGCTGGTAAACACACATCGAAAGTAAAGAAGACTCGTAGATCCCTGAAATTCCACAGGTGCCCATGCTCGTAAGTATTCCCGTGCGACTACAATAATAATATATAGAACAAACTTCCCATTCTCCAGCTAACTACAACTCTCCCTTCACATGTGTATGCTCGTCCTTCGACTGAGGCTCGGTAGCTGCTGTGGGCTCTGGAGGCGCCACAGGTGACGCGCTAATCTCAGCATCCTCCTTCTCCTCCTCGAGATCCGCGGGCGTCGTCGCCTCAGCCGACTCAGTTTCAGTCTCAATGGCTGCAGAGCCAGAGGCCGTAGCCGTCTCAGGCTGCACCTCCTCCTCATACGCCGTCTTCGCATCCGACACGATTTGACCCGCATCCCCCGTCTTCGGCGTCGTCTCCTTCATCGCCTCTCTCTTCTTCGCATCCTTCTCCTTCTGCGCCTTCAAAACCTTCAAAATCGGGTCGTCCTCCTTCCCCTTCCCACCCTTCAGCGCCTCCTCTACCGCTTCATCCGTCGCAGTCTTCTCCAAATCGTCCACATCCTTCTCTGATTTATCCTTCTTCATAGGCATATCCCTCATATCGCCCAAGCTGCCCCCGAACCCGTGCGTATCATGGAACCCCGTTCCGTGTTTCTTGATCGCCTCCTCGAAGTCGATGATGTCGGAGAAGCCACCATGCGCGAGCGCGATCTTTTGTGCTTCTTGCGCTTTCTCGATCTCTTGTTCTTCGGGGCTAGGTTCGAACTGTTCTGAGCGCGCGGCGGCGTTGGCGGCACCGAGGTCGGCAGTTCCGTCGATCAGGGAGTCGAAGAATTTGACGAGAGATTCGTATTTGAGGATACCTGATGATCGGGATCAAGGACAGGTCAGACTTCAGACGCTAGACGCGCAAGACCACAATAACGAAAGCGAGCAGGGTGGCCTATATGTTTCGAGGGCATGGAGACAATAGTGGGAAAGTGGCGTACCTTCGAAGAGAACAGGCTCGATCGAACCGACGGGGTAAACTAGCACCTTCGAGTCCTTCTTCCCGCCAACAGGTAGTCCCATCTTCTTCGACGTCTTACTCGACCAATCCTTGTGACTCGCGAACACGATCTTGTCCTTATACTTGTTTGCTAACACTCGCCACAATATGGGGACGCCCTTTGGTTTAGACAAGAGGAGTGCGCGGGGCATATCAACATTCTGGATGTGAGTGAAGCGAACGAAGTCAGAATTGGTGAGCCGTGTACGAGTCTCAACATAGACGGCGATACGCACCTCCTTTGCCCATGGCTCAAAGTCAGGTTGATAGTAGAGTTTCTTGTTGTTCCCTGGGATGTTTCGTTCGGCGAAGTAATAGAAGGAGCTAGCAGTGCGCTGGGCTCCATCGAATAGTATTGGCTTCATCTCGCTACCGCGGGGGAAGAGCTAGATAAACGAGTGATTAACACAGAAGCCTCTTGAACATCAGAAATAATGCTCAGCGTACCTTGACAGTTGGGAAACCTTGCACGCCCTGTTCAGCACAGAGAGCCTTATTCTTTTGGGCATCGCAGTCGACGGCGTAGGTTGGGATGAGTGGATGCAGACCGAGGGCAGCTTTACTGAGCTCAGGAGCCATCCGTTGACAGTGCTACGAACATTGAAGGACTGTAAGGCCAATGAGGAATTGAACAGGAGTGAAAGGGAACATACGCCACACCACGGCGCGACGAACGCGACAAGACTTGTTTCCTGCTACACGGTTAATATCCACGTCAATTGAATAGAAAAGAGTTGTTGCGCACATTATTTTTCATGACCTTCCTGAACCCCTTCGCATCGATCGGCTTCACAAGCGTATCCTTTGGCCATAACGCAGCGTTCGTAAACGCGGGCGCCAAAGTGAGTGTCCAGAGCAACAACTGAGGAAGCATGTTGGACACGTCCTAAACGAAACGTATGTTCGCGCTGACTATAAAGAGGCAACACGAATAGGAGTAGACGGGCGGTGGAATGGAAATGTATCGATGGGACTATGGACACCAGGCGGGGTTCGGTGAACAAAATGAAGAGTTCGCCACGACAAGGTTTATAAGGGAAAGATCATAAGCCCCTGGGGAGAGTCGGTGGTGGTTCGCACTGACGTGGCAGATCGTATGCACACCGGTTACGCGTCGTTGTGGACGCCGAGGATTTCGTGTCGTCTGGTTTCGCAGCGAACGATGTTAGATAGACATCAGCTCGATGGTACGGAAGCGTGTGTATGGGAAATTTGAGGGCGAATGAGAGTTTATTTGGGGACCGCGTTGGAGAGCGTCCATTTTTGGCGCGGGCGTGGGTGTTGGGAGGAGAGAGGCTGGCGGGTCCGGCTTGGGATTGGGTCGTGCTTTCTCAGACTTTGATATATCCACGGTTGTTTTCAGCCCTGACAGGTTGTTGACAAAGGATGCGAACACGTTCCTCTGATATTTACGAGCGATAATATAAATCACGCCCATGCCAGTGAGTGTGCCACACAGAGCATCGGCGCCACACAGACTCGGATACAACGCAAAAGATAACGACGACGATGTCTCAGTGTTAGAAAAGCAGAAAGAGCAAGCAGTTTTTCCATCCCTCAGATTAGATGGAACCGGTTCCAAGAGCGAGAAGCTCTTGGTGCGAAGATAAAGTCACCTAAAGCGTGGAACCCCCCCGAATTAGTGCCTGTTTGCTCCCATCGACTCTGAATTGGTATACCCAAAACCGAAACCGATCACGATAAATACACTGAAGAAAGCAAAACACACAGCAAATTATCATGAAAATCAAACCCTGCCAAAACCTCTACGTTCGACACCTCAACACACCAGCTCCCCGCTCTCCCGTCTTCATCCTTGCTGGCCAACCGCATTACGGACGGTCTGCCGAATGACTGGCAGAGCCTTCGTAAGGAGTTTGATCGCTTTCTCCTCATCTATACACCAACATAATTTGCACACCAAATAATAAGGAACTCGTGGAAAGAGAATGGGCAACTTGCAAAGACGCACCGATTTCACAGATTGCTCCATGTCGCTTTCTCCAAACGACCTCTTGTGGGTTACCCTTCGCCCTGAGGTAATGCCTAGATGGTATGATGACGAGAGAATTCTAGTCAAGTATATCAGGGTCACAGAACAAGTAATGTATACCATGATTCGAAAATTCGAATAGTTAGTGGACTCACCTTATGGTACCACTTGATAGCGTCAGGGTCTTTTTTGGGTAGAAGTGGTACGTCGGCATGGCCCACGACTTGGACCACCAGGAATACTTTCCGCATGATGGCAGCCACTGAGTGAGAGTAAGTATGTGAGTCGAGGAAGAATTGTAAGGAGAGGAAGGATTGTTTTATGGATAGACTCTGGTATCAGAAACAAACGTACTTCGCGCATCCATGAGTTCTCTCAACGCCAATACTCCCGGTCCATGTCCGATCAAAACAATATGTTTGGCGTTTGTGATCCTACACGTCCATCCATTGCTGTCAGACACACCAAAAACAGCGGGATTTGTATAGAATCTTACACGACGTAGTTGTCCCATAGATATGTCATCAGATCCCTCGTGTACTCTTCCGGTTTGCGTTTCTCGTACTGTCCGTCATCGTTGAGAGCACGTACGCAGTGTTAGGACATTTTAGAAGAAACATACCGCTCGGTTGGCTGGTACCGGTCTGGGAAGAATGTTGATGTCGAGAAGGGCGTATTTTTCATTGGTTATCCATTCGACCAACTTTCTTGAGGCATCAATCTGTGTATCAAGGTGAGTGAACGGATATGAGCTGGAATAACTAAACACGCGAGTATAATGAGGAAACGGTGATACGAACTAAGTAGGAGTGTTCCATGTGTACATTGCATTCGAGTGTGTTGGCGATTTCTACGCGAAGATCTCCACTATGGGTATCGATTCATCAGAAAGTGCGCACCATTTATGCGGGCATAAGGAAAAAAAAAAAAAACAAGACGCACAACCCATGGGTGAAGATAACTAGCACATCCTTGTCGAAAATTTCTTTCCTAAAGTTACACGGATGTTACGGTCTTCGCCAAGCTTTATGGATGAGACTCGTTGCTTCGACTTACGTGCACATAATCTGCTGAGAGAACCGATCTTGCTGCTCTTCGTAGAGGAAAGGGACCTCGAGCATATTATGCTTCTGATACATGTAGGCTTGTCTGTGCTCCTTCAATATCTCTGTGGAAATTGAACAGACGACGCAGTTAGCTCATGAAATCTGATCGTTGGTATAAATGTAGCTATACATACCGGGAATGGAGAAGGTGTTGTCTTCGAATTCTGCAATGATCGTCAACACTAATATCTCATCCACGCGCAAGGCAGTAGATGTCTACACGTACCATCCTTCGGCTCACAAGCTTTTGGATCCAAATTATGCCAATACTTACTCTGATGTACCGCGACCTGCCATACAGTCTCAGAGGCAGCCTCCGATGCGACGAGGGGTCCCAGTTCCGGTGGCGCTTCGCCAAGCAACGTTCGTCCTACAGACAACGCGGATGTTGAAGTAGCCTCGAGATTGTACCCGCCCTATTTATGATCGTCAACATGCATGGCTTTTTATCTTTAAAAATAAACCCAACACACTGACCTCCAACGCAACAACGACGCGACCGCCTGCTAAGCCAGAGAGCATGTGCGTCATGTGCGCATAGCCCGCTGGTGTGACCTTGCACTCTCCGAGATGATCGCCTTCTGCGGCGTCGAAGCCAGCAGAAACTGAGAAGAGTAAGCACAGAAATTCACATCAGGGCTACAACGATGTGCGAACGTACTGATGACCATCTCTGGACTGAATTCGATAGCTATGGGCATCACGATCCGTTGAAAAGCGTGGATGTAGTCTGCGTCCCCTGTACCTTTTTCAGGCCATGGGATATTCACGGAGCTTATGACGTAGACACGTCAACTTCATTTCGATAATTTGGGAGGTTGCTCGAGCGCTTACAATCCGAGTCCTGGACCTTCTCCAGACGAAACCATGCTGCCAAACGGGCCCGATGGGTAGAAACGCCCGCCTTCGTATCGGTGTAATGATATGTAGAGTACGTTGGGATCTTCGTTGAATGCCTTTTGTGTTCCATTACCTGGAGCAGCGTCAATTATCCTGGATTCAATAAATTAGATTCAGCCACCTACCATGGTGGACGTCCCTAAGATGCGAAAAATGTCAGTACCGAACGGGTCACATGTTTATGGTCGTCGAAGCCTTGGCTCACCAGTCTAAAATGAGTACCTTCTTGATCGGAGTGAGATTTTGCATGACTTTGATCGCGACAGAAACGTTATTGAAGAAGCAGAACCCCATAGGCCTGTTGGGCTCCGCGTGATGTCCAGGTGGTCGAACAATGGCGAATGTTTTGAGCAGTTCGCCACGCGCGACGGCCAGTGTCGCCTCAATGACACCACCACAACTGAGGCGAGCGCTGAGTGGTGTCATTGGGTGAACATAAAGAGAATCGGCCTCGTAAAACGACTCAGAGAGGGTGAATTCCTCGGGTGACATGTCTGTCAGCGTGTCAAATGGAGTGCGTCAGATACACATTCGTTTTTTCAACAAGTGATTGGTGAGAATTTTACCCCTGAGCTGCATAACATGTTCCCAAAGCGCTTCGCTGTGTACAAGAAGTACCTCTTCCTTCTCTGCCTTCCTGATCTTCAGCTTTCGCATCCGAACAAGACATTTGTGCTGATGGAACAGGTCATATATGTAGCGAATCCGTGCTGGTTGCTCTGGATGGTCTCCAGCAGAGCTCGTGTTCTCATCTGAGTGCAACATCATCTGAGGCTCATAAACATATCCCACAGTGAGGTTGTCCGGAGCCGGAGGCAAGGACTCCCGTGGCTCAGAGGGCTCGGTGGGAGCGTCTGCCGAGGCCATATTCCAGTCTTCGGAGAGCTCCGGAGGAGCAGTGCCATTCGCATCCCCATCCATGAAGGCTGTCGTCTAGTATTCAAGAAGACGGAGACACGGGCGAGCAGAGGTGAAGTGAGAGGAGCGAGGACAGGGCGAGGTTTAACGATCTACAGGATGTGGCCGGTTTGAGGCGACTGAGCGTGCTCCCGGAATTTCGAACTCCGCATTTGGCGGTGGCTGTCGGTGTGGCCCAAATAAATACGGTGTGGCACACATCAGTGGATGCTGGGACTGTAAGTAGAAGCCGAACATCATTCATGATAACATAGATCGTGTCAGAAGAGAAATTAAATGTACAATGACAACTGACATACACAAGCTGCTCTCACTAACTGATACTAAGACTCAATACAATTTTGCAGGCCGGAATCTCATTTCAACTCGGCGTCCTGCGGTCATTTTCGGTCCCCGCCAATGCCTTATTCGGAAACGAGGGCAATGATCGCGCCGGTTGATCAACAACGACACCTTCGTTCATCCACCATTGTGACTAGCAAGTTCGCCGTTCGTCGTCGTCGCGAAAGAGATCCGAATACAAGGACGGGGATCCTGGTCCATTCCACCCTCGATGGCCTTCACTCGAGCCCAGAAACGTGCGAAAACGCCACATCTACCGACAGAGCTACTTGCCGCGATTGCACGCCAATTGTCGTTGGATGAACTGACGTCCCTTTGTCGAGCCAACAGACAGTTGCACGAAATTGCCATCCGCGAGCTCTATCGGAGCATGCACATATCGTTCTGCGCGTCCAACTCCCGTTTCGGCTCAAGTTCTTCCAAGTCAAGCAAGACGGAGTTGGTTAGGGTAAAGAAGACAAACTTGTCTGAAGACATGCGTCGTCTATGCGAGACCTTGCTCGGAGACTCTGAAAAAGCAGGTCAAGTTCAATGCATTGTACTGAAAAATATCGAGTGCGTTTACGATTTATGATCTCGTTTGGAAAGCGTTTGTTAGCACTGACTTTATCGTATTATATCTATAGCGCTGCGATGTCGGACTCCCAGTTGTTGGTAGACGCTTTGACGAAGTTGCCATCTCTGAAAGTGCTCCGCATCTCCTATCGTGGGTCTTGGAATTTTCATCCACCATCGTCTGTGTCGGTCAAAAAACCTATCAATCGTTGGGAGAAATTCTTCAGTGGTGCCGCTACTCCCCTCCTCCGAACCCTCGAGCTGCACGTGGATGATATCAAACCAAGTTCCCTGCTCGCGTTCCTGCGTTTACATCCTTCACTGGAAGCTATCGATTTTCATTCGGCTGTCCAGTATAAGACGTGCGCGACGAAGGGGATCCATTCCGACTCACTTCCTCAGCTCTCGTGCCTCTCGTGCCCTGTCAACTGGCTTCGTTGGATGCCGTCTAGCGGTTCTCTGACGACTCTGTCGTTGTACGGCATAATTAAAGTCGGAACTCACGATTCGCTGCTCCTCACAAAAGAAAAATTACGTCCTTTGACAAGCATACCCAGCTTGAAACATTTATCAATCCACCTTGCGTCTTCTCCAAAGGGCACGAATTTGATCACGTGCATTGGGAGCTTTGTCCCGGAATTGGAGGAATTAGTCATTAAATTGTCCCTTTGCCTTTGTGCGGCGTATTTTTTATCGGTGGGTAGCTTCTCGTTCAATCCGCGCATCACTTCTGATCATAGGATATTGATTAACAATGTACTTGTTCAGGATATGTCCAACATAGAGTTTCTGTCCTCCTTCTCAACCTTCAAGAAACTTTCGTTCTTAAAAGTCACAGTCGATAAACGTCAGCCTCTACAACGTGCCATTTTGGCTCTTCATCAGAAAAGGTTGGGAAATGGTCAGAGATTGAAAACGATAAGCGACGAATGTTCGACACTGGATCAGATCGTTCTACAAGGAGGATGTCACGGTCAGCTGGACGCATCTACTTTTCCTGGTATTTGTCTCTGACGTGAAGTCTTCTAGTTCGCGAGATTTGGACAAAAGAGAAACAAAACTGGGTGATGGCTGGGGTGACCCAGTGGCGGCGGCCCTAGCGTCGGGCCCATATCTTAGTCCCGAAGTCAGAAAGTTGTGCGCTTTATTTACGTCTAGATTTGGCCAGCCTAGTCTATTACTTTAAGCTAGAGGGTCAAGACGGAGAGAAGGGCTGTACTCGCGGTCTCCTTATACTACGTACGTACTCGTGCTGACGTAAAGTCTTCTAACACGCGCAGACCAACGTGCCGGTTCTCTGCCCACCTTCCACTTCTTTCTGTCTCTTGCTCGTTCACCTTTCCTCCAATAAATCCCAGTTTATTTGTGCATGACATCTGAGTTACTAGTATTCATTTCATAAACATTTTTTTCCACCCAGGCCCCTCTCCCTGTTAAAATATTTGATATAAACTCATGAGGGCTACAACAGCACCTCCCATAAAGATGGACATAGAGAAGGCACTTATGGTTGCATTGACTCTATGATAAAAATCTGAAGAAATCTTCACATATATTAGATACTTTTACTGATGTGAGGTATGACATATGTAATGGTCCAGTCATTTAATACAAGAAAATACACAGTGGGCCACATTTGACTTCTCCTCTAGTGATTCAAAACTATTGGGTTTGAGGGGTGCTCGCACAATTTAGTCTAACGTCCCTACTCATATGAGTAAGCCTGACATATGGAGAGTTTTAAAAGCATTTTAGAACCAAATTCTGTGTCACTGCTAGGGCACAGAGTGCAAAGTTTCCACAATGGGCCACACAGCGATAAGGTGATGCAAGGTCCTTAGCTGTGTAATGCAGCTTTCGCCCTTTCATGTGTAACATTGGAGCGCTGTATAGAGTGTTGTGTTATATTAGCTATGCCAACGTCAGCACGAGTACAGTGCAGTCAGGGTGAACGCCAGTCGCTCGGCTCGACGCTTGTTTCAATTTGACGCCGTAGAAGGTTGCATTTGAATCTCCGCTTGCAATTCACGTACGACGTGTTCGGCAGTGCGAGCTTACACATCTTGTCCTCTTGTTGATACTGTCATATTTCGAGTTTTCACTCCCGTTTCTTAATACTGCAATCCTGAGAACTATTCGACCTGGGGTACGATTCATTCGAATCGACGTCAACTTCAAACCCCTAGTACTAATTCAGGTCGTAGGCTTCTCGTCAGCCTATTCGCAGCGAAGTTGCAGGAGGATCGCGGTCGAGCATCAGTGACGTTCCATGCGTCTTGAACAGGAGAACAAAACCCACCTCTGTCTTCCGACAGAAATTCTTAGCGAGATTGTTGAACTTGCTCCGCTGGGACGGGATGACGTTGTGTCACTCTGTCTCGCAAGCCGTGTTTTCCACGCGCTTGCAGTTGACAAGCTCTATCGAACCATCTCGCTGAAAAACATGGCCAATTCTCCTGAGCTCGGCGTCGATTATCTGCATTATCGTGTCGCCCGACTATGCGAGACCCTTTTGGAAAACCCTGTCAAAGCACATTGGGTGCATAGTCTGGAAATCAGGGATCTAGAGTGAGCATATACACGACTTCATTCCTATTGTTCCCTCCTTGATCCTCTTTTATTTTGCACAGCGCATTTCTCCCAAGCTTGCAAGGAACTTTCATGTTGCTTCAGCACACCATCGTCAGGCTACCTAACCTCACAAATCTCCATCTCGCCGATCAGTTTTCACAGGCGCGGTCCTTCCACTCCCCTATGCCGAAAGTTTGGATACAATTTTTGTTCTCCCTCATCACTACACCAACACTGCGCAAATTCACATTAGCCATGTATCATATAGAGCCGGTGGTCGCATATAACGTTATCTCCCAACATCCCTGGCTACGTGAAATCAACCTCTTCGGTGTCAGCTCTGGTCCAATGAAGTATCCGACGATAGAGTTTCCGCAGTCGAGGTTTCGCATTCATAACCTCGAGAACTTCCGAGCCCCACTCCGATGGTTATTGGATGTCCCATCCGTTGACACACTATCTACCCTGTACTTATATGGGGATCTCGTGTCCAAAGGGTTCTCACAAAGCGGAGTTTTTTTAAACAAACTCCAAGAATTCACAGGCTTGAAGTCGCTGAGCCTGGAATACCGGGAGTTCCCTCAAGTTACCAATGGGGCTATCTTGGATCATTTGGGTCAATTTGTTCCCCGTCTCCGAGAGCTCGAGATTCGTGTTTGTTACTGCGTGTGTTACCATCCCATGCGCTCAGTGAGTCTATTCAATAACATCCCCCGTCATGTATATAGGACACTGCTAATGTATCTATTCACTTGCAGACCCACATGGAGGGTCTTGTCCATCGCGTCCTTCCGAACTTTGAGGCACTAAGGACCTATACATGTATTGTTGCAGCCCCCCATTCCCTTCGTTACTCCCGCCACGAATCTGACCACGGAGGTCAGCTAAAGGAGATAGGAAATGCCTGCATGACGCTTAGACGGATTACAGACTTACATTGGCAAGATGGCGGAAGTTTAGGTTAGTGCTTCCGACTAGCATGTGTTCGACCTACGTCTTTGCTCAATGTTGTACGAATAGATCATATACTGCAGAGCTGGGTGGTCGGAGGGAAAGAGTGGGCTTTGATGGACGAATGAACTCAGCAGCGGGATGAGTCTTCGAGCGTGTGTGTGAACGATGGTCATTTATCCGGTTTCGATGCACGACGACCACTCTAGGGCTATCGATGTGAGTATGCACACTATTATCATACAATTGCTGAAGTTTGCGTTCTCACTTCATTGTCCACTCACACTTTCTCACTACACTCAATTTTGCACGCTCTTCCATGCTATACTCATCCTGTTTTGCTGTTACCGTCACATCACAATCTGCCCATCCTTCGTGCGTCGTTGTCGCGTTCGAGCACGAGAAACAACTATGCTGGTGCCACAATTTCCGCTCTTACAAGCCTTACTTAGCCTTGCTTTTTGATGCTCTGCCCATGCGTTTTTTTCATACCTATCACCGTACTATCGCATCCCCCACTTCTTGCGCCTTCGAACAGATATCAAAGATTTCTAAGTCTTTTATCCGCACCGCTAGCCCTTGCCTATGCACGCACGCAGCACCACACAATAATATTGTACTACTTCAGAGCCACATCCAGATCCTCGTGTCCCGTCTACGCAGACCTCCTCCGCACAGGCGGCTTTGTCCGCTTGCGCTTCTTCCCATGGACGAACGCGTTCGCCGTTTTGAGGTCTCGTCCGAGCGGGTCCTCCTTCTTGACCTGGTAGATGCGGACGATCCAGTTTTCTGACGTGAAGGCTTCCTCTGCAAACACGAATCGTAGACATTGGGTTAGCGATATGCATATAGGGTCCACAGGGGAGAGATAGAGGATCAGAGCCAGAGAAAGTACGCACCAAGGTAATCGAGGGTGGGGCCTTGACGGGGCATTTGTTGTCCTCTGACACGGTCGACGGGCTGCTGGCTACCGAACAATTCCGAGAACCTACGCATCACGAGGTCAGCGATACTACTCATAACAAGAGTCACAACACGATAAATACCTGTAGTAAGACATCTTGTACATCAAGCTGTTCTTCATCGTCGACGACGCCTGCTCGTCAACACGGTAATCGCCACTCGGGGTGAAATAGTTCGGCTCCTGGATCTCGTCGGGCCAGACACCCTGCGCGATACGAACCATCCAAAGGAACTTGTTGATATCGTCTCCGGAGTAGCCGATCAGACCACCGAAAATGACGAGGACGTAGTCAACGTCGTGTTTGCGGAGGATGGGGTAGGCAACCTCTTCGGTGCTGGACATGGCCTTGCCGACAGTGGCAATGTGGGCTAAATAGACGATGGAGTGATCAGTCTGACCGTCGCTACCAAATGCAGGGGCGAGATGAGAAGAACGCACTATTGTTCCAGGTGTTATTATCCACCAAAGTGGGCCTGTCAGCCATGCCCGCAATCTGGTATCCATAATCCCACCAACTCATGACGACGGCCGTCTCCGGAGTGTTCTGCCTCAACCAATAATACGCCTCCCTAAAGTCGTCGATGATACTCAACCCATCCGCATTATGGCTCGCCAACACGACCGAAGGCGAAGAGTACGCATTCGAGGTGACCCAGGTACAATGGGCGACAAAGAACAAGAGGATACCGACGGCGTTGAGGACGGCGGTAAGACGCGCGTCGATGCCGAAGATACCTTTCTGTCTGTCGGCGGCCTTCTTCTTGGATCCGGTCGAGGAGGAACCAGTGGTCATCCCGACGAGAAGCTCGCTGACGGTTTGGTTGGAGTTGGCGCCTTCTGCGGCAGCCTTTTCCTTCTTGGCTTTTTTAGCCTCCGTGTGGGAAGGGGTACCCTCGACGGCTTCTTTCTTTTCGGTAGGTTTCTCGGGCTCTTTGGGATCGATGTAGGTATCAAGGAGAGTTGAGAGGGCGATGGCTGCGGTGACGACAACGACCGGAGTGAGGGTGAGCATAAGACGGACCATGACACCAGCGAAGTAACTGGCGACGAGGGCGTAGATGATCACGAAGACGTGTTCGTCACGGAGTTCACGGAAGCAGAGGACGACACCGGCAGGGAAGAGGAAAATGAGGAAGTGAAGGTCCATGAAGAACGAAGGCCAGGCAGTAGGCTGGTGCTCGGACACGGAAGCGATGATGGGGATGTACCTGAGCACCATGTTCAGTGGAAGAACTGGAGGTATATGTATGTCTGTGACTCACTTCTTAGCATAGCCGGTGTCCCAGAGCGAGTAGAAACGACCAGTCCAGGGAGCGATGGCGCCCTTGTACGTGAGTCCCACGATGCCGATTGCGCCAACGACACCCGCGGCAATAGAGGACGCGAAAAGCAAGTTGTTGAACTGTTTTGATGAGACATGAGAGCGAACAAGCTGGACAAAGGCGACAATTTGAAGTAAACCGAAGACACCTGGAAACAATCATAAGCTACTGCAGAAGCAAAAAAGAATTATGAGGTACGTACCGAGCGCTCCCATGTGCTCACTGGTGCGCACGGGCTGGAAGCCGACAAAGGGCACTTGCATACTGGAAAGCGTGCCGATAGCGTACCAGGACGAGTAAGCAACATATAGCTTGTTGCTGAAGCGGCCCATGAGCAGGAGCGCGAGAGCGTGAAGAGGGATCATGTTGGTGATGAAAGCGTAACCACCTGTAATAACTCAGCACCAGAGATCGATATATTTCATGGTCGTCAATAACTCACCCCAGGCAGCCACCATGTAGAAGTAGAACAGAGCGGCGAGGGTGCCGAAGAGAGCGCTACCGTTCTTGAGAGCCTTGATCCAGAGGAAGAAGGTGAACATGAGAAGGAAGATGGCGATGGCTTCGTTGTCGTAAGATCCAGCTACGGAACGAGAGATATATCCGGGCACGATGCCGATGAGCGCTGCAGCCAAGAGACCGGCACTTTCATCCTTCATTTCTTTCGTGAACCTGAGAACATAAAGATCAGCGGAAGCTCGGAACAAAATCTCTCGAAGACAGTAGTCAAGCACGAGAGAAAAAAAGGAAGCACGGAAAACCAATTTCTTTTAGTGAAGCGCGGGATGTAGTCAACTGTCCCCAATGGCGTACTCGTCTGAAAACCTCTTCTTCACATGAATGAAATGCAATAACGCTCTGACGGGGATTTCGCACAATACACGTCACTGTCAAGCTGAATACACCTCCGTGTGCTCTCGGTACCTCGTAAACTTAAGACCAGTGACACCACCTCACTCGTTGTAGTTATCAGTCCGAACAGGGGCTTCTGAGCCAGGTGAGACCAACGAAATCACGAGCAGTTCTCTCCGGTGCAGGGGTAGTCGTCACCTTTATCCCGAGAGGTGGGATATATCCAAATTGCAATACCAGTCCCAAACAATGAAAGAAGCTGAACAGCATTCAATAAAACGAAACACTCACATATATGTAGCCCACGCCGTCAACGAACTAAAACCAGGAGCCAACAACACACAAATGTTGCGAATATCGACGGGAAGGTTGATTGCATGGAGGAGGCTGTAGATGACGCCGCTAGTGGCCATCAAACCGGGGTAGATGGTGCCACCGACCACACGTCCTAGAGGATACCACGCAGTAGGATCGAACCAGTTCCAGAATTCCTGTGATGTGCTGTGTGATCAGTATACGAAGTAATCTGAGTACACAAGAAACGCACGTAGAAGCCTTCTGAGGCAAGAACTCGCGTAGCTCGGCTTTGCACATACTTCCGTTAGTATATGATCCAGACAGCTCATTCGTGTAACACTCACTAGTTAAACCATGGGTCGCTACACACCACAGACATGAATTCAGCAAGACAACAGAGTGTATTCAGCCATTGTCAACGTACAATTCATGGATAATACTCTCAAAGTTGATGACAGCAAACAAACGCGAAGCAATAGCAGCCGCCGAGATGAGGCCCAAAGCAACGATCCGTACCAACGAAGTTACGTTTGTGACCGTCGCCGGGGACAAATTCGAGGGAAGCGGGTAGGCCTCTGGCATCTTGCCCAATCCCTGAGTAGGATAACAAGGATTGACAAGGGTGATAGAGGCGGCCGAGGTTAGAACAGAGTGAGTAGAACGAAGGAGAGTGGAGGTATTTAGAGACGCGCTGGCTGCGCTCTCACAGCGACGTGTCTCCCCGCCACGTGGGCTCTATTTCGAGTTCGTTTGCGCCACAGAAGCGGCGCGGATGTGGCCCGCTCGTACTTATTTATTCTGTCTCTGGACAAGTCCATGAATGAAGGATGTGATTGACAGAAATACAGTGTGTATTGATATGCGTGAGTGGTGGTATCTATGTGTACAGTGCTAGTAATCGACTAGGAACGAAAGCAACGAAAGCAGCTCGACACGACAAAGAGTCTCAGAGACATGCTCAGAGCGTTTCAGGTTTTGCTTTGTTAGTGGCTTGCTCAGGAACATCTTTGAACATGTCCGAAATAAGCTCCATGGGAGATTTGTCCGAGTCGACCATCTTGTCAGCAGCGAGTCGCACCCCTCTATTCGCCAGAGCCTGCGCCTCATCAACCAGTTCCCCTACATCAGCAGCTAACGACTCCAAACCATCTTCCTTGTCCCCCGCTTGTGTACTATCGGCGTTCGTAAGATCAGTGTGTTGCCTCGGGGAGGCTGGATTTTCTGGTGTTGTCGATGACTTCGTGAGCTTGGTGTCAGTGGCCTGAGCGGGTTGCTTTTGACCACCTGTACCTGGGCTAGCAGCACCACCCGACCTCACACTAACAGTCTGTGCCGCCGCCTTAATCTTCTCCGCGAAGTCCACCCCATATTCCTCGAGCATTTTCGAGCCTAACGAAGCTTTATCTCCAAAGAAATAAGTGGAGTTTCCTTCACCGTTGGCGATAGCCTTAAGTTGCTCCAGACGGGCTAGAGAAAGAAGGGCCGAGAGCGCCATTTGACGTTGAGCAGGGGATGGTGAGATGTCGGGGGAGGAGGTTAGGGAAGAGGCGAGCTCTGCGACTTGTTTTGAGAGGGCGGAGGCTTCGAGGATGGATTGTTTGTTCCTTGAGTGTGCAGAGTCGATGTCAGGTTGTAGTCGATAGGTCTGGCCCAAGGCGGGAGGTGGAATCATACCGGGCTTCAGCTTCACGGACGATGACGTTGTAGGTAGCTTCCGCTTCGTTGGCCTTGGCTACGAGCTTCAGAACACATTGACAGGATTAGCACGATACATCGAGAATGGTTGAGCTTGTGACGGAAGACGACATACATGCCCTTCTGACTCAAGGATAACTCGTTGCTTGTGGCCCTCCGCCACATTGACCTGCGCTTGCGTATCCAAAAGCTGCTTTCGTCTATTACGCTCGGCTTCCATCTGGAGCTCGAGTTGGCGCTGCAGATCATCGTAGGGACAAGTTGAGTGGATTGATGCAAATGTGGAAGGGTTGGACGAATGACAAACCTCGACCTCTCGATTAGCTGGTTGAAATGTTTGAACTTCGAACCGGGAGCACTCGACGCCCCAGTTCTATATCGCACAGTGGTTAGCCATACAACCGACATTTATAGAGTGGTGGGAAGCGTACTGAAATGGTGTTCCCAATGACGACGTTCAGCTGCTTGTTCAGTCCATTCCTATCGCTGATGACCTATAATCGCCACCCGAAGTCATTTCAATGTCTTACACCCCGAGCTTCATTACGTCGACTGACCTGATCATAACTGAACGACCCCAACACACTCCTCATCGCCGATTGTCCAATCTTCGTGATATTTTCATGGACATCGCTGACCGCAAAACAAGCCTTATAGCTGTCTTGCACACGATAGAAAAGCGAGCCGGAACAGGTGACTGGGACGTTGTCCGCGGTGTAACCCGGGAGCTAGTGTGCGATGCAAATGGTATGTAGATGTCAGAGCTACCGGAAAGGAAAGAGGTTCGTAGTGGGGAACGTACCTTGGGTATCTGGATGGATGATTCCCTCATGTCCAGGTTGACAATCGTATGATAAAGTGGGATCGCAATTCGTAATCCCGGTTCGAGATGGACGGGGTCTCTTCCAAGTCTGTGGCACATAGACGTGAGTTCTGGTCAACAGCACAAAGCCGAAAACAAACGAAACGAACCTCAACCGCCATGCCTCATGCCCCTGGTGTATGATCGTGAAAAACCCTCTCTCTAAGGGAAGCCGTGAAGCAGGTCGAGCAACACCAGCGACCGTACCCGAAGTAAGTCGGCGAGCCATACAAGCCTGAGAACGTGCGACAGCTAGACTACTCATTCTACTTCAGAAGAACCTCGAGGTAAGAACGAGCCGAGTATATGGTGGACGATGCGAACGACAACTGAGACCGGAGTCCGATGCACAATTGGGATATCAACACCAAGTTCAACTTGTAGTTCGCGAGTCGTGACCGGTGTGTAGTGTGCGCTGACTCCCCTCTCGGACGGCAGCATCAGTCTTTAAGTACCTCGTCAACGGGCTAACAATAAAACGCGGTCCCCAGACGCGATCCCGCGAGCGGGAAGACGAACAATGCAGCGCTGTACGAAGCCGAGCGAACGCGCGTCAGGAATGCGCGACTGCTCGGGGCGTTGTTGAACGGTATGGACGCGCAATTTACTTGCCGAGTGGCCGGGGCACACGCCACAAAGGCTTCGCGCCGTTCGCATATATAAACGAGCAAACGAAGACCAAGAAGAAATAACTCTCTCCTTCTGAATGCACGGCAACCAGGTTCCAATTCGTTCTCGGATTCTCTATTTTCTCACCCATGCCTGCCAACTAGTTAGCCAGGCCATAGGAGAGCTACTGTGGCGGACTAGGATCCTGGACAGATGGGCTTTCTCGCTCATTTAATCAATTTCATGTCTATGACATGCAAACTAAGTGACACATTTAGGTAGTCCGACATATATTAAGTATATTTACAACTATTTAGAGAGCTTGATGCAGTAAACCATCGTCAATGAATATTCTGCGACGACGAGTGGGGAAAGTGGCAAAACAGGGAAGCTGGACGCGCGCCGAAAGGGCCCGGCTATTGCCGAATGAGTGGCGAAAAAGATGTCAAAAGGCGCCACACCCCCTTGCCCACCGATTTCGTACACATAATCGTTAGACGACCAGCAGCAAGAAGTACCCATAGCGTTTTAAGATAGATAATTCTATCTGTGTAAATATTTGTGGGGTTCTGCACGACTTTCTGCGCTCAGGTTTCATTCGGATGTTTGAGAGGTGCAAAATTGGTCATTTCTCTAAAACCGTGCCGTCTAGAAGCCAAACAGTCTGTTAAAAACAAGCAGACCTTGGCAGAGGAATTATTTTGTTCGGTCTCCAAGACCATAAACTTTTTGTATGAGGAAGATCATGGATGCTGGAGCTAGAGCCTCACGAAGTGGGAGCCTCTTGTGGCGCCTTAGCCAGAGGATCCCCTCAACAAAAGATGTCCCATGCAAAAGTAGGCAACCATGGTCTGCCAGAATAATTTAGAATCACTTATGGCATGTCCCCATTTATACCACACATAGATTTCTACGAGCATGTACGCTGATATTAAAGGCGAGTCGAGGTGTCCATGTCGGTCGAGCTCCCTGCATGTGGCAAAATGGCCACACAAACCCCATCTCCGACAACATTTCACCATCTTCTACAAAATACTCACAAGAATCACACAAAATATTTTTACATATCGCACGGGACGATGTAGGCCTACAAGTAATCTAGAGCGATGAAGGCACGAATATGTGTGCTTGAAATTCCAGAAAAGTTTGTCCAGCTTCTATGTCCGTCCAGCTTCCTAGTCCGCCACAGTATTAGATCCTGCATCTTTAGTCGTATCCTACGTCGTTGACGGCCTGGCCGTTTTGCCGGCATGAATATCCTGCATGTGCCCATATTCATGTATTCGATCCTGAGCCCCTAGAAAGTATTGAGATCTGGTTCGCCTCTCCATGTAGAAAATCTCCAAAGATGGTTGAAAAGATAACCACGTCTTCTGAGGACAAATGACGAGGACTAGTGTATGGCCACATCGTTGACAAAGTGTTGTAGGAGCGGCAGGATCATGTTGGGGGAGGAGCTTATTCGTAACCTAAGGCAATCTGGTATGTGTCAGACATGCTAGATGCATCCAAGGGGAGCAGCCAAACGACGTACTCTCGTGTATTCCCTGCTACTGGTTTCCCCGTGACAGTGGCCTGGGGCCACTCAGTGTCGACCAGCCGTACGAGGGACAATGACCATGTGTGACTATTCCTCCACGGTGTCTTGAGTGATGTTGCTTTGCATAGGACCCGGTAAACACAGGGAATGTAGGGCTCTTTGCAATAAAAACTGAGGGATGGCGGCGAGCAGTTCCGCGTCGGGGAGACGTCCTTTTCACGGAACCCTATAGCATTAGCTTGAACGTCGTCCGTCGAGCCTCAAGTTTGCCAGAAGTCATGTAAAGGTGAGGCTGGGCCTTAACGAATAATCCGAGGGTAGACGAAGCGTTCATTCCATGCAGCAGCGGGTGGTAAGTAGGAGAAGGAGAGAGCTCACGGGAACTCTGACGTTTGGTTGGCACCGGGCCGTTGGTCTCTTGCCTCCTCTTGCTCTTCCCCGTCACTCGCTTTTGGGCTGGATTTTTCTAATACAATCCTGAAGCTTGTGGTCAGCTGGTCCCTCTCTTACATTCAAAAAGAGTCTTTACAAAGGGTTTCCAGGATCCACTAGGATTAGGCTGGGCTGAGGAAGTTTTGAAGTTGGCACCTCCGTGTCGCGAATTTGATATCAGTGAGCTTTGACCTGAGGATTCGTAATCTTTCTTATCGTTATTCATGACCCTTCTTCTAGATAAAGCGACGAGACAAAGAAACATGATGCGTGCGCGTTCCAGAAGATGATGTTGCGACGCGTACGGTATCTGTGCCGTGCCACAGTCAAAGTCAAGTAGGGGTTTTATGTTTCGGGTTCTGGGATGGACCCAGCCCAGAGTTTTATGAGCTGACGTCACCATGCGGTTCGAGCGTCCCACCCGAATCCACTTGTTTCCACGCCACACAAACTGGACCCCTCTGCGTAAAGGCGCGACGCGCGTCTGCCTGTGCTGCAAGCTCCTCTGAACGCGTCGCGTCGTGCTCGCTGTTACAAGTTGCTCACAGTAACCCCGACGCTCGACATGGACCAGCGTCCACCTGCACGACCGCCGGACGGTCAACAGTTCCTTTATAATATGTATCCTCAACAGAGACCCCCTCCTGTTCAGCCGAATTTTTATCGTGAACATCTTCCCCACATCGTCCCCTCACAGGGCTTTAACCTTCGAGCTCCCGCTGTCCGTTCAGTAGATTATGCGGCAGGTAGAGATGCTGGCGCGGGACTAGACGGAGTAGTTGGTCGTCGTGATGATACTGTACGTGTAATCATGTTGCGTGCAGGTTCGAGGCTCATTCGGCCACAGGGTCACGATGTCGAAGACGAGACATGGGAACCATCCCAGGCCTTTAACCACCCAAACCAGGATCCTCACGCTTTCGGTCCTGCCAATCGTGCACCGGTATGTTTCTCTAGCTACTAACGTTGTTGTTCATCTTGATCACTTATAGTGCAATTTACGCAGCCGAATTCTGACCAGCCATTGTTCAACGAAGGCGACCAGGAGGGCATCTTTGGTGACTTCCACACATTCTTCTCGGATGATGTCCCTGTCCCGTCTGTCCCGAAGAAGCAGTCAGCCTGGGCTGGTGCCGAATGCTACGATCTTGCGGTGATCACTTCGCGTGTTAACCCATACATACGGCCAATTGACCAGCGAGACAAGATATATCAGAAGGTTGGGGCGGTTTTGGGCGGTCGCACTTCAGGTGCAGTAATGGAGAAGCTACGTGAGCTTGCACAGTTTCATCAGGTGTGTTTCCTTGTTGCGTTGTCCCGCCCATGGACTCCGAGTCGCGTCCTCACTGTTGCTTTCAAGAATGACGATAGCCCCAAATTTTCTCACTTGAAGAAGCTCCTGGGTTCAAGATATCTTATACCCATTCGGTCTGTCCTTGAGGGATTGAATGACCTGAGGAACGGTGCAAATAGTGTGGCGGAGGGTGCAAAGGCTGAGAAGTCCAAGGTGAGTTGAGACAGGCTCTTTCTCGGTGTCCGTGAGTCGTCCCTGACATCCGCTTAGAAGGAAGCCATGGACAAACGTGCAGGCGAATTCTTTCGCGATTGCGCAAAGGAGAATCTCTGCCGTGCAGAGAAGCGCCCCCGTGCATACTCCGAGTCTTCGGACAGTGGTTCCTCGTCGGACGATGACTCGTCTGACGATAGTTTTACAAGTGGACGTGGCTCTCTCAGCCCGGAGCAATCGAGACCGTCAACTCCAGCGACTGGAAATCGTGACGAGAATATCCCGCCACGCGATGCCCCTCCCTCACCGTCACGCCTTCGTCATGAACAGTCCGCGGCTTTATCCCACATTGACTCCAACAACCTCGCTACCGCCTCTCGCTCCCCCACCCACTCCCCCTCCCCCTCACCTTCCGAACGCCGTCATCGCTCCCCTTCGGCCACCCATCCGAATGAAGGCTCACGTACACCCGGTGGTTCTAGTTTCCGTACGCCCTCGCATAACGGTTCGCCTCAGCAGGCATCTCGCACATCACCGCAAGGTCCTGCGGTGTCTTCATCAAGATCCTCGCGTTGTGCTGATGCGATGCCAGAGCCCGATGCAGGTGTTCATAGGTCGAAGAAGCGACGGACGGGCAGGTCTAACGCTGTTTTAGTTAGTAAGGTTTTGGAGAAACATCAGGAGGTGGAGGATCGGCGAACACGGAAGTTGGTGAAGGTTGTGCGCGAGGATAGCATGGAGCGTAATAGACTCTTGGGCCGCCTGGTCGGCGGTATGGAGACGATGATTGATCTTTACCGTCAATCCATGGACGATTGATCTAGTACGTGTTGCGTTCACCTGCTCTAATTAGTAATTCGAGTCCTTTCTTGGTCCTTCCTTGCTATTCCCTCTGTCTGGTGCTGTGAACATCTTGTACATTTACACTACACATAATCCTGTCAGCTTACTGTTCCATAGACTACTGTACACATTCTCGAGTCCTGACTTTCTTGGTACACTTCTGAATCTGTCCTCCAATGTCTAGAAAATTATGTATGTAACATTATTATGTATATATTGTAGATACATCAATGGTGAAAATACTCTTCGAGAGTAGGAGGGGGGCATCGGAAGGTATCGGAGATCTGGTTACGGCCTCGAAGACATGTCATAGAATTTGTAAGTAGGATGCCAATGCGGTAGTAGCGTCCGATAGGAGATGAGTAGACACGATGACGCTTCCAATGGTCTAGGAAGGGCCACTGGTTAAGCGCAACTGCAAAAGCATGCTCGACTTCGATACGGAAATGGGACATCTTCGCGTTGAATCTCTGCTGGTCCTCCGATAATCTGGAACCCGTATACGGACTCATAAGCTCTCTACTGATTCCAACATACGCAGGATCCCCGAACAACTGATAATACTGCTCCCTGCCTTCTGAGTCCCGTGTATAGGCCCGCTTCCGACAAGTTTCCTTCAGCCCACTATCGTGCAGAACTGCATTGTCATTTCGTCGTCCTTCGAAAGGCCCAAACAGGTTGGCAAAAAGCCCATTCGGAAGCACAACCCCTTGATACTTCATGGCATGGAAGTGCTTGTACCCGCTATAGGCGATACGCTGAAGGTACGATGGTCGGCAGATGCGGCGAATAGTACAATCGATGAAACCCCATACAGTTTCGGTGGGGGCACCTGCGGCGTGGATGGCGGCTGCGTACGCACGGATCTTTTGACGGCTGAGGAGGCGGTCGGAGTCGAATCCGAGCAGATGGGACCAAGTATCGTCAAGGAAGAGGAGGAGGTCGTTGATGACCATCGAGACGGCACAAGAGGACCGATCAAAACGAGATGTGATATCATGGATGTCGGCATCCATACGAAACCGGTAAAGTAGGATGCATAGAGCCTCGACGGAGGAAAACGAGTATCCCTCTCGGGTTTTGAAGGGATCAGGGATTTCCATGGCTTGTGATAGTTCAAGGATCTCGTCGACTGAGAACCTAGTGATGTTGATCGTGCCTGTAAGTATCTTCTCGAGAGCTCTAGAGCTGAATATACACACCCAAACCAATAGTGACAAGTGTCTGAAGAAATTTTCCTTAAATACTCCTCTGATATACGACATCCTCCTTGTTCAGGTTGAAGGTACTTGCGTAGATCGGCAAATACCATTGCGATACCAACACCGAGTGAAGATGTTTCGAGGACCCGTTCGATGATAAGTTGCGGCTCTGAGTTATGTTCCACAGCGAGTACCATCAATGTAGGGATGAGAGTACATTGAAGGAAGTAAAGAAGTAATTTAGATAGTTTTTTATTAGGCGGCATAGTGCTAGATGTGTGTGCGCGATAGGAAGGACTATTCTACTAGTACTTAGGTGAACCAGCGAAGCTGCTAGGTGCGAGTCGCTGGCTGGCGGAGCGGGCTACGTCATATGCGGTCCCATGCGGTTCAGCTGTTCCACAGTGGAGCAATCTCTGTCCAGACAGAAATGAGCTCTGGGGCCGTATCATAAAACCCCTAGTCAAAGTTATTGCCACTCAGAACCGGATGGCACGTCATGTGATCGTGGTACTCGCCCGATTGAGTCTAGGCTCGCTTTGTTCTGAGATTAGGCCCAGCATAAATTAGAGCGCGTTCGACGCGTCTGCTTTCCCAACTTGCACCCCGACTCCCATCATCCCGCATCCCGCATCTGCGCATCCTGGCTGTTCTTCCTCACTACAATAACCAAACATCTACACAACAATGCCCAAGGTACCTTCTTTCAAGACGCTGTGGGAGAGACCCTCCCCCACCTCGATCTCGAGGGCGCGCGCAAAGGTCTCAGGGTGCGTGTCATCTCTTCTGCTATATGACTATTCCATTAGTTGACATCCTCTGCCTTCGCTCTCATTCTCTATCGACAGCGCTCTCAACAGTGTCACTCGTGCCGTTCAACGCACTGCTCGGGCGCACCGAACAAGTGCATCGAGCTCGTCGGTGGCGTCTTCATTTGAAGACGCCTCCTCGTCTACGGATCAGTCCTCCCAGGTGCGTCGCCTTTCATTATCTCTCTATACATCATTCTTATAGATTGTTTTTATCAGGACATAGAGACTCCCCGGAGCACCATTCTCTACGGGAAGGACACAGACAGTTCGTCTGAGGTTGATGTTGAGGTGTGTGTCACGGCCCTTAGGTGTCCCTACAGTATCTGACGACGTTATTGTTCGAAGGTTGTTAGCACCTCATCACCAGACGATCAGGAGGTGCGTACTACATTCGGTAGCTGTTTCGGTCCACAAGCCTAACATATTTCACAGACATCGTCCGGTTCCTCGTTCATCGTGCCCGCTACCCCCTGCGATGCTGAAGAGTCCTTCGAGTCCTTCACGCACCCAACCCCACCCCCCGAAACACTGTACGAGACCATCGCGTCTCGTTCTCTCCGAGAACAACCCGACGTCGACACACGTCTCCCCGTCAACCCCTTCGCCGACTCCCACGCCACCCCCGTTATCAGCTACTACGAGCACGATACTGTTGTCCAGAACAGTATCAACATCCAAGAAGAAGAAACAAGCCCCCTGTCATACACCGACCTCGCCTGCAACACCGGACTTGTCGATGCCTGGACCACGATCTCCTCCTCATCGAGTGGCGCACCCCAACATCCCAACGAACCTACGCTTCCTACACTCGACTCCCTCTTCGCGAGTGGCATGCTCGTCGACCCCGGAGTCCTCCCTCAGGAGGTCTTCTTCAGCTCCTCCAACATGAAGCGCAAGCGTACGCCCGAGGATGAGGACGAGGACCAGTCGAGCGATAGCGATCGCGCTCCCGACTACCACTACGCCACCGACCGCCCGTCGAAGAGGCGCGCCACCGCCACCTTCAACATCCCCAAGCTCATCGTCCCCGACCATCCCATCTCCATCGAGGCCGCACGTCGTCAACAGGAATATCCTGTTGGAGCTCAGACACACTATGTTGACGTCTTCATGACGTCCGACAATGAGTCTGACTCTGAAGCGAGCTCAAGCAGCTCGTCCGACACATCATCCTCTGCTGCCTCGTATCGTGGTCGTTCTCGGGTTCGAAGGGCTCGGGATTTCCGGAGCCGTCGCCGCTCTGCGGCCCCTAGCCCTCCCCCTTCCTCCTACGCTGCTAGCAGCGTCTCGGGTGACTCTTACAACCTCTCTTATCCGGAGGTCTACATCAAGTCGGAGCCCCTTTTCTAGTTTCTTCTTCTTCTTCTTCTTCCTCTGTGTCATTATCCTATGCATGCTCTTCCTCCGTTCTCGTGTTTACCGCTACCTTACAGCCTTGCTATTCGTGTATCGTGCTTTCTGTGCTCTATCCCTGCTCCATCTTCCCCTTCCTAGTCTCTCCTCTATCTTCTCCCCTTCTGTATCACTAACCTGAATGGGCTGCCACACACTGGCTACCCTCGGCTCTTTATTCCTTCACACTATAGATCTGTTGCAGTTCCTGCTTCATGCTTCCCACTTCCTGCTACTCGACGCTCTTGACTCTGCCATACTCTCCATCCGCTTTCTGTTTTCGTATCCTAGCTTTAGCTTTCGCTTTCGTTTTCGTTCTCAGTGCTACTGTATTATTAGTGAAATTACGGTGTGTCGCTAGTACTGTACGTCGTTACTACACCACTATTCAATCCGTCATCGTTGTGTTATCGAATAAATGGGCCACATTGGCGCCAACTTAAATTTCTTTGATTTATGCTTGCAGTGGGATTGTCTTCTGCACAAGCACCGTATCCTGGTGGCCACCAGGAGCGTGTGTTTCAAATAAGTACAGGAGATGCTCGTGGGGATCCTGAGGACTTGTGTATTGGGCCTTACTGGTCGTCTTTCGAAATGCCTCAAGTCCCAAAAAGCATACTGCGTTGCAAGGCCGACTAGCTCAGCTGGTTAGAGCGTCGTGCTAATAACGCGAAGGTCTTGGGTTCGATCCCCACGTTGGCCATAATGACTGCCAGACTACCGTAACGGACCGACGGTAGGCGGGCACTCTATTTGCTCTTTTTCACTCATACTGTTAGGTTTTTATGTCCACTCACTACTGGTATATGTATATTCTTCGTTTGCTCCTTTGTTTTCCACGGGCTCAGCATTCGATGAATACGGAAGTACACATTGATTCCACGCTGCTTCACAGGCCAATATCTACTTCCGTTGAACTAAATTGAATCGCCAGATCATTCATAAACTTTCCCGATGCAGAGTTGTACAGGGCTACGCAAGCACCGACTACGAAGATGACCTAGCGACGGCATATAACGCGTCTTTATCCCCGCTCTCATCCACCAAAGACTTCAAGAACCCGTCTTCCTTCTTCAGAAGCTCGCTGGGCCTATCGAACTCGACCTATCACAAGTCCCGGTAAAAAATGAGCTTAAAAGTCCTTCTACAGGGGAAATGTGGGGTCGGGTACTCACGATCTCGCCAGCGTCGAGCACCATCTGAAACACGAGGCGATCAGCGTCAGCGGAGGGAGGGTGAGAACGGTGGGAGATGACCTACGATTTTATCTGCGTCCATGATAGTTTGTAGACGATGCGCGACGGTGATGACCGTCACATCTTTCTTCAATTCCGTCCTCAGCGACTCTTGGATGACAGCATCCGTTTTATAATCAATCGCGGACGTCGCTGCAGTCCCAACAACGTTAGAACGGTAGTATTTTCACGGAAGGAAGATAAAAGAGTGCAAACCTTCGTCGAGGATGAGCAGTTTGCTCTCGAGCACCATCGCCCGAGCCAACGCGATAATCTGACGCTGTCCGACAGAAAGATTACTCCCCCCACGCGCCATGTGAGTGTCAAGCGTAATCATACTCTCCTCTCCCTCATTTTGGACAGAGAAAAGTCCGGCGGAACGGAGAGCGGAGTTCAGCGTCGCATCGTCGAATTGGTCGAAAGGATCCAGGTTGCGTCGGAGGGTGCCACTCAGAAGTTCAGGCTAGTATGCGTTGTTAATGATGTTTTACAGATGCGTGTAAATATAGGAAGACGGGCAATACTCACCACTTGAGGGATAATGGTGATATGGCTACGGAGTGAGTCCAAGTTGACGGAGGAGATAGGCAGTCCATCGTAATACACCTCGCCCTCGGTAATGATGCAACGCAGCAACGCTAGAGTCAACGAACTTTTCCCGCTACCGGTACGTCCAACGATTCCGACTCGTTCTCCAGCTTTGATCTCGAAGGAGATGTTATCTAGCACTTTAGGACCGTCCTGAATAAGAAATCACATCCGAATCAGTACTCTATCCTACTGTGAAATTACTCATAAATGGATAAGGTCTTCACAGCGGAGTATCGTGCGCTCAGGTTTTCGACTTTTAGTTCGCCACTGGAAGGCCAGTACGCAGGTGGAAGTCTATCCTCAGTCGGAGATGGCTCTTGCTCAATGACCATGTATTGCTGCAGACGCTCGAGACTGTTTCCTGTTGGCACACGCACCGTGATATCAGCACGAAAAAGCGCGCTCAAAAGGGAAATGATTTCGTACCATTTACTTCGAACTGGTTCAGCTGTTGCACAAACCATATAATCTGCTGGCCAAAGCTGAAAGCCAGCGCTATATGCCGACAGGGCGAGAGTTTCAGCAACTTACGAAAAAGGATCGAGGCTGCAATTGAGGGTGCTTACTCAAGGTGAAAGCGGCATTGGACGTGTTGACATTCGTGTGTCCATATACGTAGTAGAAGCCCAACGCAGCGGCGAACATGCTGCCCATACCGTTCACACGAATGCTGATCCATCTGCAAAAGTCGAGACAGAGTTCAACACTTAGGTTTGACATACACGCATAGGCAGGAGGGTGCGTAGGGATTCGTTCTTACTTGCTCAAGTCGTTGAAGACCCGATTCGCACGGGTGTATTCATCGATTTTGGCGGCGGATTTGAGCAAGGTGGACTCCTGAGCGCCGTAGGCACGGATAGAGACTAGGAAACCACCATAAGCATCGAATCAACGAAGACATAAAAGCTACGCCAAGATAAAACTTACTGATCCCTTCGACAGCCGCACCGAAATGCGCTACTACCGGTGCTTTCGCCTTGCTCATTTCTCGCTTCACCGACAGTTGCGCCTTCATGTAAATATTTCCCAGAGTAACCCCTAAAAATATGTTAGATCATCGCCTCGCATGAGGCTGATGCGATGTCGAAAGGGCGTACCGGCAGCCGCGATGACTATCCCGACGAGACCTACTCTTGGGGTAAAGATAAGGATGACGAAAAACCGAACAGTGAGGACTACCGCGACTTCGAAAACGGAAGAAAAACCGTCTGGAATGACGGAGTCGACTAAACAATACTTGTCAGCGACTAGGATCATCTAACGAAGACGTCCTAGCTATAACTCACTTGCGGATACATCCAGTGTACATCTAGTGATGATGCGAGCTACCGGCGTTTTGTCGAGCCATCTATCGCATTGTTGTATCAGCGAACGAGTACGGGCCCTGAGACAAATGAGATACAGACCTCAGAGTCGTTCTCAAAATGCTAGAAATAAGCCTCCGATGAATCATGCCGGAGGCTCGTAAAGCACCCTTGAAGAGGATCATCTGTGCGATAGCATATACCACGGACATGCCTGCACAAAACAAAATATAGAGAGCCAGATAGCTGACGAAGGATTGAGCACGCTGGAACGTATATCTTTCGAGTCCATCAAGATACTCACAACGTGACATTAACATCTTCGGGACGATGGGTCAAGTATTGATTTGCCCATTGTCCGAGGATCCAGGGTTGGAGCACCTCGATAATGCATTCGAAGATCGTCGCCAGCGCGAACAGAGACCAAAACATAGGGCCGCCCAGTGCCTCAATGTACATTTTGACTTTCAAAATCGTCAGTTGAGCACACGCGACGGGAAAAAGTCCAAAATACACTGACATGACTGCCAGCTGATGTGACCCTCAGCTGTCTCCTCTTCGAGGACGAGCTTCCCATCCTTCTTATCTTCCTTCTTCGATGCCTCTTCATCGAGGTCAGGGACGTCGACAGCTGCAGCAGCCCTCTCCTCCACCTCTTTCTCCTGTCTGGCTTCTTCCCTGAGTTTCCAGTTCTTGGCTAGAGCATCTGACATCGTTCCTTGACTGAGAATTTGACCGTCTGAACCAAGGGATACGACGAATTCGGCGATTGGTGCTGTGATACTGACGTTGTGAGTCTGTTTCAGCCCAAAATAGCGTTAGAATTGGCGTGTATGTTAGGGTTTGGAAAGCACGACACACACCACTAGAAGTAACGTCCTTCCTTGAACAAGAGGACCAGTAAAGCACTTTTCGACAATCCATTTGGCCGTGTGCACATCCAGCGCGGCAAGAACCTGCGAGGCCCGTATGTCAACGTCGAGCCGTACAAATCGAGAGCATAGACCTTACATCATCCAACAAAATGATCTCCGCAGAAGAGTAGACAGCACGCGCCAGTGTCACTCGAGCCTATTGTAAATAATGAGACTGACACTCTTTCACTCGACGAAGTGCGTTACTATACTTTTTGTCCTCCACTGAGTGTGAGGCCCCGCTCTCCAATTTCAGTTTCGTCGCCGGCATCGAAGAGGGATAAATCATGGGTAAGACCGCACTGATGTATCACTGCGCCGAGAACAATGAAGTTCGATGGGCCTTCCTAGCAGACTTATTATCTGATTAGAGGAGAGCGCACCTTGAGAATAGCGATCCTCGTTAAAGAGAGAGTCGAAGAGAATATTTTCCTACCCGAAGACATTGCTAAAATCAACGGCTATTATCTTCGGTTGACGTGAGGTCACCCACCTTGATGGTGGCATTCATGACCCAAGATTCCTGCGCAGCGTACGCCACGCCTCCGGCTCTTGGAAGATTGAACCACGAATCAGGCCCAGATTGTACAAAGTGCATCTCGCCTGTTTGACGCAGTCAATACATGTTCAATTGAAGACATTCGTTGGACCATCGGCTGCTTACCCAGAAGTGCCATCAGAAGCGAGGTCTTCCCGCAGCCTTTCAGTGTATATTATGATTGAGCGAAGAAGTACATGTCTGGACAGCAGAGAGAAACAACGCACCCGTGGGCCCGACGATAAGGTTTATACATCCTTTCTTGAACAAAAGTTCTTCCTCAACGCGTAGCGTGAAGCGCCGTTTCGACGGCGTCGTGGCCCCTGAGTTGCTCTCATTGGACCAAGTAAACGATGCGGCTCTAAATCCGATCTCATTAGTCTCGATAGGCGTCACCATGTCCGAGAAGGTCTCGCTTTCGGGTGCGAATTCGTCTAAGAGCTCAGTCTAGTAGTAGAGTAGAGAGCAAGTCAGGCGCGAGGGGCCAGGGGGATTCAAATCGGACAAACCTCTGTCAGGAAGTCTGTGATACGGTCGAGAGAGACTTTTGCTTTGATGACCGGTGGTACGAAGAAGAGCGAATGCGCCAATTTGGTCCGCAGAATATTGAATACTGTCGGGAAAGCGAGTTGATCAGACTGTAGCATGTGAGAGGGTGTCCAGATGACTTACGTGCTATGGATGCGAAGACAGTGGCGGCTATATGGCTTGCTCGTCAACAAGCCCATACAATTCAGACGAAATTCGAGTCATACCGTCTAAAACTCCCTTCATCACCAGAGCCTATCAAGGTGATGAGTTCATTAAAACCAGTATCCCAGAGTCGAACGGGTGTGCCACTCACATAGAAACTGTAGGTTGCAGCCTCGGTCAGACATGGGATGATGAACCTTGCATCATATACATGGTCAGAGTTTAGAAACCAGCATACAAAGCCAGTAAAATGAGGATGACGCACTGGCAAGACCTCGTTAACAACGCCAGGACTTTGTTCTTGAAGAGCCACTCCAGCTCTACTTGACGCTTCTCGTTGATGGATTCGCTCATCTTGCGCTCCCAACCGAACATCTTTACCATCCTGATGACGCTGAGCGCTATTTAGGAGTGAATCAGTGGATAATAATCCTCACGCAAAGGGTAGAATACTTACTTTCTGTGACGAGCTCGACACGATCGTCGCTCTAAGTTACAGTACATCTGTGTTAGACGATCTATATCATTGACGACCGAAATTCTTACCTTTTTCGCCATCTCTCGAGAGACATTTTGTAACAGCTTAGCGAGGAACCTCGGAAGAGGTAGTCCTAACAACGTAATCCCAAGCCCTGCCAATGCGCTGAGAAATCACATAAAGCCACAACGAAGTTAGCACTCGCACATCCTCATACAGGATCTGATCACATCACCTCCACCCGAGGAGCTTGTACAGAAAGATGGTGGACCCGATGATCCCGATGGGTACAGACACGAGAATTTGTAACACGTCCATACTCCTCCCGAGCGACTGCAAGTCGGCGGATATCAAGTTGTTCATGCGTCCGACAAGACTCTTCGAAGTGGCAGGTGCAGTTGTGGGAGGTGTGATAACTGTAGAGTCTTCGGACTCTTGGACGGTCGTACCCAAGTCGGAGCGAGCTTCAGCAGTCTCCGTTGGTTGCCCATCAGGTCCACCCGTAGATGTGGACTCAGCATCGATAGGCGCTGCAGTACTCTCCGAGGTGACGGGTGTGGTCGTCCCAGAGGGAGATGTCTTCTCGTCGCCACTGATGTCCGCAACCATCCGAATCCGCAACGCGTGTTGTAGGACCAATTGAGTGAGAATTGACTCCATACGCACGATTATGATCGAATTGATTTGTTGATAGTTCTGCATGAGCACAACGTTGACGAACGGCGCAAGGAACAGCTTGAAACGGCCACGTTATCGTTAGCTCCAGAAATCTTATTACAAACATTTTAAACGAGGTGGAACACACTCACGGAGAGTGCCCAAACCCAAGGGCGCACGATCGCACCCTCCCCAGATTTCTCCAAATACATCAAGAGTTGCCGAAGGACATAGGGCGACAAAAGTTGTGTACCCGTCTGACACGCTATAAGGAAGCAGCTGGTCGCGAGCTCGCGTCGGAAGACTACAATTAGCCCAAGCAGCATACGCCAATGGCCAAAAGCTTTCTTCGCTTGCACTTTTCCTGTATCGTCTACTTCCTCGAACATTTTCGAAAGTGGATCGCATTGGGGAAACGCGATGCGCACGAGGTTCTTGACCTGATCTTCATCGGCTAGAGGAGGCAATTCTGACAAGGGTAAATGGAGAGCATGGTATGCCTTCCAGACGAGCTTGTCCAGGTAGATGAAGAGGATACGGGTCAACGGCGAAGCCGTCTGCACTGGGTTCGGAGGCGTTGGATTCTAAGGGTGGCGACGGTGTCTTTAGAATCTGGTCAGCGTCGAACTCATTGGATATGTGCTTACAGCAGGGTCGAAAGGGACATATTTTCTAGGCGTGAAGAGTGGCAGGAGCACCCCAGTGAAGGTGAGGACACAGAAAATGGCCCACACCAGCGAACCGTGCTCGGCAGGAGACTCTGTGTACGTCAGGAAGGGGACAATATCGCGGACAAAGAGTACGCCCCATGCGATCGCCAGGATGAACCTGGCATGGCTGACTGCCACTGATAGTCTCTCGGAAAAGATAGCGAAAAAAGCAAGAATGCAGTTATAGATCTGTCAAAATGAGTCAGCGCGTCAATCTGGCATGAGAGAAGTGGCGACTGACGAGGGTAAGGCAGAAGGATGCAATCGTTCTTCTGTTAGAGACATCGGCAGTGAGGAACCAAGATATCGAGAGGCCGGCTACTACAACACAACCAACGAGGAGACGAATAGCTTCGGATGTGAAGATTGGCGCTCCACCGTGAGCAGTGACGCGTCCGTTCAGTCCCTTCACGTCCAGAGGACTGATCTGTGTGTCACTTCTCCAGGCAAGGCAGACAGAAGACTTGGTAACGAGCACCAGGAAGGAAAAACAAGAAACGTATAAGGGGATAACCAAAGTGTCAGACCACGGGCTATCGTCTCTGGACCTGGCTGCTTCAGAGACATAATGCTCGGCCTGCTGGACCACAAGGGTCGAGTTCAACATAACAACAAGACAAAATTTAGGTTGGACAAGCACGAAGTTCGCCTAAACGTGGGAGATATGGAGTCGAAGCAGGATGGTACAGCAGTTGCCGGTCGTCGAGAAAGGAGTCAGAGGGTTGATATCTGTGACCTGAGTTAGGTGCATGCTATAAATAATTGAGCCACCATGAGCTGCATAACGCACGCTCTATAAGTAGAGTCCAAATGAAGACGCGATAAGAACTAGTATTGCATCACACGAAGGTCCGAGCTCAGATGGGTTGAGATGGGCTGCTGGCAGCGGGCTTTGCTGACCGCGATAATACGACTCTGTCAAAGCTCTCAGCCCTGGTATTGCTAGAATGCAGAATTTTCAGCAGCGTAGATGCAGAAGATGTCATACCTACATTCCAGTGTACCTGACTTACGATAATGTAGTACAAGTCGACAGGTTGGGTAGGTCGGAACGTTCGAGGCGGCACCTACTCCTGTCACGCGTGGCGCTGCAATCAACCGTTCGCGTGGCACCCTGAGAAAGTGTCCCCGTCTCCGCAGGTCTCCGCTCAACTCAGCGACGTTCAAAGATTGATCCTGACTGTAACCCTTCATTCATCCTTTGCTCGCCAAGGAACAGGACATTTGTTCTCCCTGTGCTCTCCTTTCTGCCATCCAGGCTGATGCGATGGTGCAAACACGATCACAGAAGAGAACTGAAATGATTCCTCATCTTCCCGTAGAACTTCTTCTCACAAAGATCGCCCGTCTCTCCTCCCAAAAGGAACTCGTACCTCTTTGTCTTGCGAACTGGCAATGGCATGACATCGCGATCAGAGAGCTCTATAAGAGCATACACCTCTGTGAGACATGTAGACCAATTTTTGTAGAAGGAGACGAAGACGAAGACGATGAGATCGAGAATATTTCAGCTGAGGCACCAACTACGAAGTCACTATCGGAGCGACTCCGTTGTCTGTGTTGGGAACTTTCGCTTGACAGCTCCAAAGCCAATCTTGTGGAAGAAATAGATATCAAGGAAATGGAGTAAGCCTCTCGTTTCATCCAGCTGCCCGTCACTCTCCAAGTCCGTAAATTGATTTATCCCTTGGCTCCTGTTTAGGAGCAAAACAGTCACCGGCGAGTTACGTGTTGAACAAGGCCGTCAAATTCAAGAACTTGTCCTCGTGCTACCCAACTTGCGGGAGCTTGTGCTCCTGTACGTCCCCCAAACTAGACTAACATCCACTCGAGCTTCGCAGATTGAGCTGGTTCTTTTCTTATGTCATGGTGCACACTGCACTACTTATTCACCGTCGTTGTCTATGTCAGTCACAAATCCGACATACATTACCTGGATGTCACCTTCACTGATTGCCTTCAATCGTCGGAAAATACGAACATATCGTACACACCCTTACCTCCACATCGCTACACGTGTTTCACTGGTTCCATACAGTGGTTCGATTACCTGCCTAGGCGAGAGACCATCGCCGAGATAGTATTAACCGACAATACAAGGGGTTTCTCCGATCTTCATTGCATGGTCGGTCTTCAGTGCTTCACAGGGTTGAAGTCTTTACAAATACCAGGATCCCTGTGGCAATACACGCCCTGGGATATGGACGTAGCAGGCTACCACGTTGTGAAAGCTATGACTATCATTAGCGAACATGTCCCTTAGCTCAAAGAACTTGTATTGTGCTACGACGAATGCCCATGCAGGCTCCTTGTGGTACAAGAGGTTCTTGTTGCCTGACACTTCGGTCGTTTAAGCCTGCTGATGGTATCCACTTTTTTAACTTGGCCTTGTAGTCCGCAGAGCCTCCGACGAAAGTCTACTTCAGAGCGCTCATTTCACTGAGAATGGAGGTCATCACTTCCGACTCGGGCCCCCTAATGTTTGACTGGGGGGAGGATGGGCCTAAGCACTCGGTTGATGAAGATGTCCTGTCTGATCATATCCGTAGCATAGGAGACAGCTCCCCCTCCCTACGTCGGTGCGCAATCATCGACGGTTGTCGAGGTCAGTGTTATCCGGTCGAGTTTCACTTTATGGGCGACATGTTTACTCTTCTGTTGTAGGTAATGAGTACTGGGTCCGTGGAGAGAGTGGATGGACTTTGGCGTGAGCGCGCGGTTTGATGGTCCAAAATGGTCACAAAGATGGTCTGAATCGGGTTTCTCATTTGCTTTCCTGGTTCGTCATCACTTCAACTCGCTGGCCAGAGTTATTTCTCACACCTCCGGACGCTCATGTACTTGCTTTGATTTGGTCATTTTCTGGCTTGTTAGTAATCTTCTTTTCATGCGGTCCATGTCAACAGCCTTTCTCACCCATCTTTGTCGTGCCGCCGTGTTTTCCGGGGCCTTGGGCCACTGGTACTTTGACCCCGCCTGATTCTGGTCGATTAAATCAGTATTTCTCTCCATGATATTCGTCTCCAACTTCCATACCAGCAATATTGCGTGCTCCAGGATTTGCTTTCCGACTTTCATCCGCCCTATAATAAGGGACAACCGTGTTTTGACCGTGTTCTCAGCCCTAAACGTTCTTCGCCATAAAAATCAGCTTCATATGTTTGTATTTATCAGGGATTTAAGCTGATGGCCTACCCTTCTACCCGTCTACATGTGCGGCATGCAGAACGATGATGAGCCTCGGGGACGGGCCACAGTGGCGCGTGATTTAAACCCCGTCGGAAACATCCGGACCGCTTGCCGGCCGTGGTCCGTCAGACTCAGATGGGTTCCCACAACGCCACCTCTTTCCTAAACCACCACCATCCCTGTCGTCTGCCCCAGCTCCTCGACGCAATCTACCCACAATCCTGTCCAGACAGAACTTAAAGCTTAACTCAAAACAGTTACCGCTGGTAAAGTAGCTTCGTATACTGTTTCACGGCAATTATGGCACCCGGCACGAAACGCACGTCGAGCGGAACCATGAAGCAGGGCACCCTCTCCTTCGCCGCAAAGCGCACCGGTTCTGGACCGTCTGCTTCTACAGCAAAGTCTGGCAAGAAGACCATCGGTGGCAATGCTAGTCCTTCGGTCAAAGTTGCCACGCCGAAACCGACAACCGCTACAATCGAGGTGGACAGCAGCGAGGGAGAGGATGACTTGTTGGAAGAGTACATCAGCAGCGAGGATGAATTACCGATGACTGTGTCAACGGAGCAGAAGAAGAAGCTCAAGGGCACGAAGCCAAAATCAGAGGTGGTCAACTCGGGAGATGGTTTGGAGAACGCCACAGCTGCTGAGACAGCCGAGGATGTGAAGGACGAGGTTCAGGAGCCTGTGATGAGGGAGAAGCTGAACATGGATGACAAAAAGTGGAATAAACAGTATGGCCTTGCTAGGGTGAAGATGGGAAATTTGAAGCCTGGTGCGTTTGCATTTCCTCAATTAGCTCTATCCCCCCTGACGGATCTGGTTTTGATCAGTTCATTGTGAAGGCGACAAGAAAGTACACCATATATTGCGAGTCTTCGACATGTACGTCAAATCACCCTCTTTTCCAACAACAATACTGACGTGATTTGGTATTTCTCCAGGTCGTACGAATACGGACCATTTATTGGTGTAACTCGTCTCGAACGTTGGGAGCGCGCAAATGCTCTTGGTCTAAATCCTCCCCCAGAGGTTCATCTCGTTATACTTCTTCGTGGCACCGCATATACTGACGTGTGCATCCGCTACTCGTTTGTTCGTAGATCAAAGAGATTCTGATCACGGAGCAAGGTGTCAACGACAAGAAAATTAGAGAATCAGCGCTCTATGGCATGGTGTAGATTCTCCTCCACTGTTCTTCACCATTCGCGGTTTTCTATGTTTCCTTCCTTGTCCGTTATTTGTTGTTGACTGTTAGTCGTCCACCGGCCGTGCACCGGCCGTCCACCCATTCTCTGTCTACGTACTTTTCTCCTCGTTGTTCTCTTCGTTCTCGTCCTGCCGTTGCTGTTCGCTTTCACTTACCTCTTGCTCGTCGCTTTGAACTCTTGGACCCGTTCTATCGTCTGTACATATGAAACATTCTCTACTGCTGATCTGAATATCGTGTATACAATACTAGCTGCTGCCTTCCATTGAACGCTTATGATAAGAATAACATTCTGCAGTCGTGCCTCGTGAACTCCGCGTTATCCTTCAACTTCGGACGGTGTATGCTTCATCTACGAAACGGAAGTTGCCCAATAATATAATCGAAAGAAAGAACAAAAACGACACTAGAGTCTGTTACATATTACATGAGTGCGAATGAGATATGTACAGTATATATGCATGCGTGGAACGAGATCTCCATCGTCATATCATCCAAGCTCGCCCGTCTTGATATAGATGATCTCCCGTAAGTCTAAATACCCACATCCACTCTCGAAATCTCAGCACCCTACACCCTACACCCCTCATCCATCACCCATCATCCATCATCGATAGTGAGCCTCTACCCCCTCCTCACGAACGCCGCAAAGTACTTATTCAAGTCCTCCATCGCACCCTCCAGTGGCACGACCGTGCCGACGTATCCATCCGGCCTGACGACGACGACGGCGCCTTCGTCCCCGATCCCGTAGTTCTTGTACATGTCGCCGCCAATTTGTTTCTTGGCGCTCGAGTCGTCGAGGAGGACTCTGTATGGGAGGACGGACATGGGGGTTCACCATGGGAGTGAAAATAGCGGGGATGGTTAGCATAGACGTTGCCTGAAATCTAGGCATATATGGAGGGAGAGGGGTCTCGCGAGAAAGAAGGAGGAAGAATGAAAAGAAGGAGGATATAACGTACTTCGACCAATGCGGCCTAAACACCTCCGGCACCGCCGTATGCACAAACGTCTCCTTCTTCCCCATACAAACCACCAACACATCAAACATCTCCGTCCCCTTCCTAGCCTTCCTCCCCATCCCCTGATACCACCCCTTCTCGTCTCCCTCCATCCCCTTCGCCAACGCCTCCACATGCTCCACCCTCCCATACGTCCTCTCCGCCTGCACCTTCGCTCTTGTTCCCTTCGCATTCGCTGCGCCTGGGGCCACCGGCTCGCCTAGACCTGCGAATACGAGGATCTTGAAGCGAGAGTCGCTGGGACAGAGGTCTTGGATCTCGAAGGGACGTCTGTCTGCGCCGCGGAGGACGATCTGGGGGATCAACCGTTCGCCGATGATGAGGTTCGAGGCAAGGTGCTGGTGCGTTGGGGAGGTTATGGCCGAGGGTGCGTAGTGTACACCTATGCCGGATGTGAAGAGCCCGTAGGTCTGGAAAGCTCTAAGCGAGGGAGACGGGCGCAGGGGAAGGAGGAAATACGGAGTCAGTGAGGTTGGGGGTGATTTAATATCAGGACGGATGAGACGCACTCGAAGAACTCGGCGTGTGTGACGCCTTCTACTAGATCTTCACCGTCTGCAACGACGTCCTCTATTTTCGGCTTGATGGAGAACAGCTTTGAGAACTTCTTATCAAAGTCGATAAGGTCTTGTGCGTATTTCCGTCGCTCGAATTCATACTACATAACAACAAGGTGTGAGCAGCGAACGCGGATATGGCGGAGGAATGAGGAAAAAAGGAAGAAGGGAAAATGCGATCACGCACAGTTTTGAGCACAGATATGTCCGCCCATCCACGCAGGACATGCGTTATTTTCCAAACTACCATATCGACGCCACACATCACTCAATCAACCAAGATCTGACAAAAGACGAGGAGGGAACATACCGAGATTATGCGTATCGTTCATACTTGCGTTCATCCCCTGGCCCGCTTTCGGAGAGTGCGTATGGCACGCATCGCCCGCGATGAATACCCGATCCGACACCGAATACCGCTCCGCCACTCTCTGTCCAACTGTACCACAAAAACAAAAACAAGACACATCAGGTCCGGCATCGTACCTCACGAACGAACGATCAAACTCACTACTATAAAGCGCCCACCACTCCACGCCCTTCTCCATATCACCATCCTTCACCTCCATTCTATAAGGCTTAAAACTCCTCGCCGCAACCTCCAACAACTGAGCCGGCCCAAACCTCCCCAGATCGACCCTCCCGCTCTCCGGGTCCCTCACATCCACGTCCGTAAGCTGTATGTACAAGCGGATCTTGTCCCGCTCGCGCGGGATGATCATGCACGAGCCGCTCAGGGTGTGGATCGCGCATCGGTTTCGGACGTCGGGGAAGTCGGTGGAGGGGTGGATGTCGAGGACGCCCCAGATGTATTCGGTTTGGGAGCCGAGCATGGGGATTTGGAGGGATTTTCGGGTCCAGGAGTGCGCGCCTAGGGTTGGGTGGCGGGTGAGGTGGGGTGGTGGTGATGGGGTGGATGCATGGATGGGAGAGAGGAGAAACGGTGAGTCGGTCAGTTGGTCAATTGGTCAACATGATTTCATTTCTAGCCAGAGCGGACGCACCATCTGTGCCAATGACGAACTTCGCATGCACGATCTCAGTCTCGGGTTCTCCAGGCTGTGGTGCCAGCCTTTGTAGCTTGACCTACATCACACATCGCGAGGCCCAAGAGCAACAAACAAAGAGTCAGTAACGGCCTAAAACCCATCCCTCTTCATTCCCATTTGTATCTTCCCGCATCCCCGTACCCACGTCCCGCAAAGAACCTCTCCCCTCCGCCCCCCTCCTCACAAAACGAAATCCCCACTCACCATAACAGCATAATCCTCCGCATCCCTCAGCCTCTTCTCATCCGCAGTGATCTCCAAAATCTTCGGCACCACCGGCCTCTCCACCCTACAATTATGCTTCTCCATCGACTCGAGGAACATCCGTTCTATCTCGCCTTGGTGCAGGATGGCCTCGAAGGGGAAGCGCGCGTTGGTCGGGGTGATGTCGGGGGCGCGGCCTGTGCACTGTGGGTGGGAGGGAGCGGAAGGGAAGGAGGGAGAGGGTGAGGTGGGGATGGGAGGAGGTGGGATGGGAGAGGAGGAAGTGTTGCGGTTAGCCAACTGTCTAACTGTGGCACACCATAAACGAGACGTGATAAACGTATGATGACAACTTACCTCAAGCCCACCATCCGGACCAGGATTATAAAATGCCTAATAATCGCCACATCCACATCGATAGGAAAAAAAGTGGTGGTTAGTTGTTAGAATACCAGCGCCATCTCAAAGTTCAGGTCGAACCCGAATAGGGGCTAACGAAGGTAGGAAGGAAGAGTACGACAGAGGACTCACGGCCATGTGAAGCTGAGCTGCATCTTCGAGTAATGTATCTGCTAGGCCGTAGCTCTGTTAAAATACACAATAGCATAAGTCGTTGGAAAATGTGAAGAGTGCGAAGGGAGACAGGAAAGGGTGAAGGCATGCATGCTTACCTGCAGAACTTCGATCGTCCGCGGTTGGATCCCGTCCGCTTGGCCGGCCATCACTTTCGTCGGTCTGTTATACAGAATCGGGATCAGCATCGGGACCAGCATCGGGATCGACGTTCATTAATCAGTAATCATTTCGTGTATGCTCCTTCATGAGCAAGCGAGCAGCGTTCCGGTCAGGACACATTAGCAGGAGCTACGAGCATTGCTGATGTCGCTCTGATCAACCTTAGGTCATGGATCTTTCCGTCAACTGACGACATGCCGGCCTTAGAGATCATGAAGGGCCCCCACACGCACAGGTATCCTCACCTCGCCTTCCCCACCATCTCCGTCCCTCATACCTCCACCCCGCGCACCGTCACCACAACCAACATTCACCCGATAAATACTCTCCCAACCAAAAGAAAGAAAGAAATACAAACACCCACCTCTTATCCACAATCCTAACATCCACACCCGCCATCGCCAACGCATTCGCAGCCATAACACCCGCCGGACCAGCACCGATGATCAGCACGTCCACTTTACTCTCCACCGGGGTCGCGCTCGAGCTGTTTACTTCGGAGGCGGAGGAGGAGTTCGCCATTTTGACGCTGTTGGTCATGTAGTAGGAGGGGAACATGATGGAACCAGCGCGTTGTGGAGGGAGAGGAGGAAAGTCAGCTTAATGCGAATGTCGGAGGATGGGAGAGGGGAAAGAATAATGAGTTTAAGGGGGTGTAGGCACGGAGACGGATGTATATTTGTGGTCGAGGGGGGAGGAGAGGTCGTGAAGCCGGCGGGAAGAAGAGAATATTAATACAATGGAGGTAGGTGTGTTCAGCCAGCTCACATCGTAGCTACCTATTACCTACATACCTCGAAAAATGTATTACCAATACGGAGGTAAAGTAACGACGACGAACACTCCGCGAACCAATAGCCTTCGGATTCAAGCTGGACGGGTTCGGAGGTAAGGTGGTTACGGGCGTTTGATATCCTTTAATTTTTTTCGCTTTGAACACCTGCGGCCGAGGAAAAGTGAATTCAGGGCGTCAGTGACAATCTGGGCGGATCGAGACTGCGGGGGAGGGGTCGACGTTGGGGTGGTGAGGAACTGATGAAGGTCGCGATTGGTTACACGGGCTACGGAGTGAGCGGAGGGGAACGGTTGGAGGGTCGACGGGACGGTCTGGAGGGCTCGAGAGTAGGTCGATTGTCGTGTTAATTTACTCGGAGGATGATGGGACCTTTGTGTCAATGCTCGATACGAAATGCGAACAAACGGGATCCGAATCCAAGTCGTCTTCGAAGTTCGTGTCAAGAGCAGGAGAAAGACGTGGCGTACGGCGGATAGACGAGTTACTTATAAGTATGCGAGCACGCCTGGAAGGTAACGTACATAGACCGGAGCATTATGTATCCCGCCACGATTACTTCGAGGACAGATGGAGGTCTTGTCCTGCAGAAATCAGCGCTAGGATGCGTCACCCATGACCCCGCTGACCACGTCGCGCTCGCGTCAAACCCTGCCTTTCCCGGTCTCTTAGCCCCCACCATCTAATCATCAACAGATCAACCGCGACGGATTTGTCTGTAAATCATGGATCATGGAACAGCTTGAGAACGCGTGGGAGCTCGGGATACGTGTTTGGAGATGTGGGCTGGCTGGAGAAGGTGTGGCGTGCAGAGGATGAGTTAGGGAGTTAGTCCGGGTACCGATAAGGTACCCAGGTTCACCCTTCTGTCGGATGTATGTGTCCTGGAAGAGAAAGGAAGAAGGAGAATTGGACAGATGTGGGAAGAAGCCCAACGCGGTTGCACGGACACTGGATGTTGTGCATGGACGGAAATGGGTTTGGCTTTCCCTCCGTTTTCCACGCTCGTCACGGTAAGCTATATCGAGCCCTTCAACTTTGACCAAGACGAGACGACGTACACCTGTGACAAGGGACGACTTGAGGTCTGCAACGGAGACTACGGAAGACTATCTGCACCGTCTTTGCAGATAACAGATGATAGCAGAGCAAAATAAATTTCATGCCAGAGTATTATACAGTACATATGGTTCCCGTGAATTAGGTATCGGTGTCAACTAGGACCAAGTGCCATTAAATTTAGAGCGGCAGTGCAAACATTTCAAAATCCTCGACTCAGCTTGCTGTAACATACAGTGATTCCAGACCAGTAAGGTCACGAAGAAGGCACGAAATGGTCGATGGGATGGGCCACATAGGTTTGTTCTCGACAAAGACACACAACCAGCTCAGAAATGGTTTGATGGCCGTGAGCGGGAAGACAAGACAACCGGAGTGGAAATATGTCGGCCGGTAGTGCTGGCCACGCGCGAGTAAGGAGGGTGGTCTGAGCGCGAACGGCGAAGTTTCGATGACGCAAGTGATTCTTGCCAGTGAGTAGCCCTGGTATTATCCGTCCAGTTCTGAACCGAGGATAGAAAATGGCAAAGCACTGGAAAAATGTACACATGATGCCTGTGGGCTAGGCGCCTACGAGAACATCTTCTCAGGACTCACTGAAAAATATCAGGGGCGACAGCAAGTAATGTTAAATAATGAGAACAGGCGGTCCGACAAACTTACCTTGTTGGCAGTCAACAGGTTACAGGACTCTGTACACGTACATATCATACCGACATCTACACCACCGCTTTATTTGCGCGCAGTGCATCCATCAAACTCTTCATCTGCTCCCCCAACTCCATGAAGCGCTTCTCCATCTCCCTCTTCGCCTCCTCACCGCGCTTCTTCGCCTCTTCAGCCAACTCCACGAAACGCCTATTCATCTCCTCGTCACGCCTCTTCATGTCTTTTCCCAGCTTCGCCACATTCGCTTCAACAGTCTCAAGTCGGCCTTCGAGCTTGTCTACTCGGTCATTTATTTCAGAAGAGGCAAAGTAATATGTCGTGAGATTGGTTGCATTTGAGTATAGACACAGTCGGCTTGGACATACCAATTTCCTCGGCCTCGACCTTTGCCCTCATCTTGTAAAACCAGTCCGGGTATTTCTCCTTCGCTCTTGCCCTGTGTTCATCGGTGGTGACAAGTAACTTGAAAAAAACGAGCTCTACGCTTTCCGAGAGCGAGGAGATTTGGATCATGGAGATTGAACGGAGATGGTCGAGGGAGTCCAAACTGTTTAATAGCCCTTCGGAGCTGCTGCCCTGTCCGACAGAGGTATCATACCCGCCAGTGTCATCGGTACACATCGAGTGGTCAAAAGATGTGTCCGCGGGCAAGATCTCGCGAGGCGTTGTGGACGTGGGTGATGTGAGAGCTTGAGAGTCCCACGAGCGAACGAGAATCTCGTTGATTTGACGAGTAAAACGCGCATCTTCTGGGTTGAGAGAACTCGAAGGCCTGCCAATCTCGGGACGGACGCTGACTATGCATTGGTTCGCGGAGACGTTCAGGACACCCGTGATGTCCATGCTCTTTTCTCCATCAAGGTCGGACACGGCGTGCGAGAGCGGTGAGCGTCGATAGACTGAGTAGTGTAGAGAATAGCAACGTTTGAGGGGCAAACGCTTGGAAGAGCGACGATGCTGAAAGAATATGTGAGCGGCGGAGGGTTTGGGCGAGACCGTTGACATTCGATCATTCATCGTTCTTGGACGAAAAAGACACCGTGTATGTGCGTCTAGAAGGTCATTAGCAGTGAGTCGGGTTTCGAGGTAACAGCAATAGGTTGGAAGTGTCACGGCGGTGAGAGTGATGGCGGTGGAAAAGAGAGGGGCAACGGCCGGTTGACTTTGAAGTTGATGTGTGGCGCTAAGTTGTTCGAGCGCCAAACTCGCGGTTTTGTGGCATCGCCTGGGCCACAAATGACCACACCCAATTTTCTGTCTATCGACATAAAAGTTCCGCCAGTGAACCAGCATCTTGTCTAGACTATAAAGCACATTCGTTCTGATTGTAATTCTACATAGGCCTGATTATACAGCTCTGATTACACGTCACGATCACCGCCCACTCGTCTCTAACTCGTCTCCACGCCTCAAATTCACTCAGGCCTCCACTCGCTCAACCACACGTTCCTCGGACCTCTACATCAATCAACACAAAAACGATACCCGTCAACAACCACACCAAGCAATAAATCAACGAAGGGAGGGAAGGGCTGAAGAAACACTCACGGCAACGAACTCTTCCCCCTAACCAAAAACTTTCCATTCCCAGGTTTCGCAAGCACCTCGTTCGTCTCTCCGTCATAGACTACTTTTCCGCGCAGGATAGTGTAGCGCGGCCAGTCTTCGAGAACGAGGCCTTCGTAGGGGGTGTAGTCTGCGCCGTGGTGGAGCTGTTGGGACGGACGAATTAAACGGTCAAAAGAGGAGATGCAACAGTCAGATTCGAGTTTTGGACAGGGGAGCGTGAGAGGATGGGGGCGCGCGACGAACCTTGGATTGCGAGATGGTGTACGGCTTGCGTTTGTGTGCGGGGCGCCAGATGATCAGATCTGCGTCGCTTCCTGGCTGGATCGTTCCCTCTACAGAACACGTACAATTCGTCAGCCGTTGGCAAAAAATCGACCCCCCCTTCCGCCCGGCGAGTGTCCAAAAGAAGACAGTGGACTCACTCTGCGGATACATTCCATCTGCACACAAATGTACCACATTTAGTATCCGCTGATTCGCATGGATAATTCTTGCCAGGAAAGAAGGCTTGAGGAAAGGAACGTACAAAGCTTCGCGGCGTTGGTCGAATTGAGCTCCACGAACCGCTGCGGCGATATCCTCCGCTTGAGCACGCCCTCGCTCCACAAGATCGGCGTCCGCGTCTCCACGCCCGGCAGTCCATTCGGTATATACCTGAAATTGCCCAGGCCGTGTGCGTGTTTCGTCGGGTCCGCTGTTAGGCCGAGCTGTTCGAATTTACCATAGCACATAGCACCACAAAAACACGATCAGTAACGATTCGAGGTTCAAGAGTGAGGATGAATAAGTAGAGAGTTGAATAAGAAGACGCACCTGTTTGCCCCTGGGATCATTAAACCGCGTCGGCGCATGATCCGACGAAAACACCGTAAACGTCCCATTCGCAAGGCCCTCCCAAATCCTCTCCTTATCCCTCGGATCGTCCCTCAACGGCGGCGCACAAACGCACTTCGCACCCTCAAACCTCCCCTCCTCCCCTTCACCCTCTCTATGAATACCCCCCGTGCGCATCGCCCGCCCATCCAACACCGCATAATGCGGACACGTCTCCGCGTACACGGGCAGGAGCCTAGTTTGGGCTTTACGGATGTGGGAGACGGCGTCGGGGGCGGAGACGTGTACGATTAGGATGGGGGTGTCGAGGAGTTCGGAGAGGGATAGGGCGCGGTGGGTGGCTTCGGATTCGACGAGGGGGGGACGGGAGGTGCCGTGGTGCCAGGGTTGGGTCATGCCTCGGGATTCGAGGGATTTGGTCATCCAGTCGATGCTGGATGGGGTGGAATGAGGCGTGTGAGATGGAATGGTTGAGGGTGTTGGAGTTGAGAGTGAAAGAGTTGGGAGTGAAGGAGGGAGGGGAACTTACACGTCGGCATTCTCGCAGTGCACCATGGTGGTCACACCATACTTCCTCGCCGCAAGAAGCACATCCAGAATCTGTCCATCGTTCAACTTCAACGCCGCGTACGTCATATAGATCTATCACACACAAACATGGTCAGTACAATCATCTTCCACCCTCACCCTCCACCTTCCACAATTCACAAGTAAGAACAAAGAAAGACCGACCTTAACACTCGTGATCCCCCGCTCCACCAGCGCCGGCAGCTCGACATGCATCTGCTCATAATTCGGATCCGTAACGATCAGATGAAAGCCGAAGTCGCAGAGCGAGTGATCGTCGGAGAGTGTATGGTAGTTGGAGGCTGCGACGGAGAGGGAGTCGCCCCGGTTTTGGACGGCGAAGGCGAGGATGGTTGTTGTTCCGCCTGGAATTAAAATGTGAAGAATTTGGGTTATGAGTATGGAGACCAATTAGAATAGGGGAGTGGAGGATAGGACAGGTGAGAGGAATGAGGAAAGATGGACTGTAACGTACCGGCGAGGGCACTCCTCGTCCCGCTCTCCCAGTCGTCCGCGGACTGGGCACCAAGTGCCTTCGCAGCCGACTGTGCGACATGTACATGACTGCATTCCAATACACCAAACCATCAGCATTATTCCTCAAACTCCAATAATGGCCGCAAGAAAAGGAAAAATGAACGAAGGAAATGGGGAAAGGAGAGCGCACCTATCAACCCCACCAGGCGTAACACACCCACCCTCCGCATCAATCTCCTCTACACCCTCCTGCGGCGGTATACCCACCATCAACAACACAATCTTCCCATCTCTAATCCCTATGTCACAAGGGACCTGGTCCGAGGCTGTGACGACGATGCCGTTCCGGATGATGAGGTCGAGGGGGATGGACATTCCTACGCTTCTCTGGGTCTATGGTTTGGGATCTGGAAACTGAAGCTGAGGCTCCGAGTACTATTATCGGCAGCGGTGCTGGCTATAGCTATGGCTATGATAGTGTTGGTATGGAGAGCGATAGCTATGGCGGGTATACCAAGCTGGAGGATAAGGTGTGAAAGCGCGTTCCCGGAAGGAGATGAGGACGTAGGTGCCGTTTCTGAATTAATGAAAACGGCAAGGTTAGCTTCGGCTGAAAGTCGCGATTGGATGGAGGAAGGAGAAGGGTCGGGACGACTAACCAAAAACACAAACCGAGGAAAGCCAGGGACTGAGGAGGAAGGAGTGGGGGGTCAAATATCATCCGCCCTCGACTCTTTCTCAGTACAATGGCCAATCTGGCATGGCACGGCCTATCACAAGGGAGGAACTCGACCATGCAAATGCAAAGAATAACGAGTTCGATGGCCGTTCGACTGAGCTCGCTCGCCGGGAGTCAGCGCAGACCGTCTCAAGGACCGAAAGTCGTTCGCCGCCGCTCGTTCAGTGGCAAGTTCAGGATCAGGATCACGAACGCGGGGATCTCGTTTGCGCATCCGTGCCGTCCAAATTCAATCATCGCTCGCGTGGGCGGCAACTCCTGGCAATGCAGCAAGATCTCGATCGACTCGTTCAATGCGGCATCGTAGATCGCAGGCACGGGGCACGGCAGACCCGCTCCTCTGGAATTTGCAGGACGCCCAAAGTGCGGCTCGGGTCCACTCCTCCATAACCGGTGCCACCGAGTCCGTGCTGGAGGAACGCCGTCGGGGAACGACATGAATAGCTCGCCGCGGCTGGCCGTGGCGTACTCACAACACAACACCACCAGCAGAGCCACGAACAGCGCCAGCATCTCTGCCAAGTATCAGAGTCCCTGATCGCCACTGCCGACAAGGAGCAAGGGCAAGGAACTCTGACATGAGATTGGATGCGTAGGATGCGGCATTGGATAGGGGCCCTTGCGGCGATTTCCCCGCAATGGCAACGCGCCAATGAGCGGACATGGCATGCTTCATATGTGCACGGCCAACTCGAAGTCAAACGAAGTCAAACTGGACTCTAAGCTCGCCAGGGTGAGGCTATAGCGTTTTACAACATACGACTCGCCACGTATGGCCATCGCAGTACTTGCACTGTGATGTTTAGCAGCGGCGAACGAGCTTGCCTTGTAAGTAGGACTAGATGGGACACTGGTTCACTACGGTGACGGTAGGACCAGCCAGTACCGTGCCGAGCTCGGTCATCTCACATCTCATCTCTGTGAGAGCCAGCTGAGGATCTGCCCAGTGCGGACTTGCCAATGGGGAGCGCCTTGGACGTTCGAGCGGTGAGAACGAGGAGACGAGGATAGGCGGCGGCGTAGGGCTACTGACATAACATAACTTGCCTGCCTATGATATCAGGTCCTTTCAGAGTTCAGAGTTCAGAGCAAGGTCAAAGTCGTGACTTCTGATTCTGCGTACGTCTAAGTGCTCGTAGGTGCTCGTCTTCTCTTCTTGCAGTGCCCGGAAGGATCCCATTGGCACTTATCGACTGCAGCTGCCTCCTTGGTGAACGCACCATCTTGCCCTCTCACCCACATCTACCCACCCCCTCTCCTCCGCCACCCCTCTCGCTCATCTCCCCCCCCCATTCCCCCCCATTCCCTTTGCCTTTCCCCACCCCCTTTCACTCCCACCCACCCCCACTAAACCACAATGCCCCGCCCCCTCCGCGTTGCCTCCGCCCAAGTCGGCCACATCGACCTTACAACACCGCGCTCCTCCATCCTCTCCCGCCTCATCTCCCTCCTCGACCAAGCAGCAGCCCAATCCGTCCAACTCGTCGTTTTCCCCGAAACGACATTCACGACATTCTTTCCAAGGTATTTTTTGGGCGAGGCGGAGTTGGGGAGTTATTATGAGAGGGATGGGTTTCTTGAAGGCGGTGAGAACGTGCCGAAGGGGGTAGAGGGAGAGGGAGGAGAGGGTGGGGAAGAGGAAGGAGAGGAGAATGTGTTGAGGACATTTGTGTGCCATGCGGGCAAGTTGGGGCTCGATGTCGTCGTGGGTTACGCGGAGAGCACGCCCGACATCGAGGCGTTGCGGAAAGGCTTATACACCCCTTCCTCGTCCTCTTCGTCACCATACCCACAGGGTTACAACACGTCCATATACATCTCTGGCTCTACTACTCCTTCTCCTTCTCCCACCAGCACTGGTACTTCTGCTCCCACCAGTACGAGTGCGCCACTGCCTCCAGTCCTCTCGAAATACCGCAAAGTCCACCTGCCCGGAACCTACGAGCCTTTCAGCACGGACCCGAAGACTACGAATCAGTTAGAGAAGCGGTATTTCAGGCCTGGGGACTTGGGGTTCGAGGCGTTCAGGGCGCCGGGGTTGAAGGCTAAGTGGCCACCAGCACAGGTAGAGGGAGATGAGGTAGAGGGAGATGAGGGAGAGAAGGTGGAGAAGAGTCCGATTGTTGGGATGTTGATCTGTAATGATAGGAGGTGGGCGGAGGGGTGGAGGTGTTATGGATTGCAGGGGGTGGAGATTATGTGTATTGGATATGTGAGTCTCATCGTTTCTTTTCAACGTTCCTCGCTCCTTGTACCACTAAGTGCTGACGTTATGTGATGTGGTGTCGTGGGTTTTTTTTTTGTTGGGGTGGATTGCGGGATTAGAATACGACGGCATGGGCGCCCGAGCTGTGGGGTTCGTCGCCGGATTTGACGAGGGAGCAGGCTAGGGAAGATGCGATGGTGCGTTCGTTCGTCTTTCCATCATCATTCGTCTTTCTTTTGTCTTTACCGCGTCGCTTCGAGGTGGCGTTGATGGGTGGTGGCGGGCCACACGAACTTGTCTTATAGCTCACATCGTATCCTTTCGTGTATGTAGTTCCACCATAAATTGGTCGTTCAGGCGAATGCGTACACGAATTCTAGTACGTCGCTGTCCTATTCGTACCATGAATTTCCTACTCAAAACTATCACCTACCCCTCGCCCCTCGCCCCCACCCCGCCCTTCCCACCCACAGCATTCTGCATAACCTCCGCCCGCACCGGTCTCGACGACAACCACTTCGAGCTCATCTCCGGCTCCATGATCGTTTCTCCCCAGGGCCGCATCCTCGCCGAAAACAAAACCTCCTCCGACGAACTGATCGTTGCTGATGTTGATCTGGACGAGTGTAAGCCGGGCAAGGCGAAGACGTTTTGTTTTGAGAGGCATAGGAGGGTGGAGTGTTATGGGAGGATTGTGGGGCAGAGGGGGGTGGTGGAGCCTCCGGAGGAGGCGTGAGGGGGGAGGGGAGGAGGGAGAGGCTCATAGTGTGCGTATTGTTATGATTATTTGGGAGATCAAAGACAAGGTTGGGAAGGTTTATCGCAGGCCGGGGCTGCGATGTCGTCGAGGTCTAGAAAACGTCGTGTCTCCCTATTTTCTCTTTTTTTAACGGGCTGTTTGTGGTTCTCTATCGCGTGCAAATGAAGATTATATCTATTATCTCACAAATGTTCGTGACGTTGCGCCATGCTTATATCGCTTACTACTTACCCCCGACGGAACGGTGCGTATGCAATGTATCTCAGACATGAATTTAAGATTTGCGTGTTATGACGAACGCAAGCAAATCACCCGAAGTCGGGGATATATCTATAAGCCGTCATCGTCGTCTCAGTCGACGAAGCTTGAACGATGCACAACACCATGCACGACGACGACGACGAAGACGCAGGCCCTTCGGGGTGTTTCGTCGGGGGTTCGTCGGCCTTGAGTCGGTGGCGTGCTCAACGTTGGCCTCGAAGATTTGGGCGGCGCGTGGCCAATCAGGCGGGCTCCCTTACGGCCGAATCATCCATCGCATCCCTTTCACCTTTCCCTTCCTCTCTCTCTGCCTCATCCCAGCCCAGCCTACCCATCCGTGCTCGTGTTCAGCAGTCCGTAACATCGCAAAAAGATTTAACTCTTGGTTTATTCAGGACATTAGGAATCGGAAGAGGGACTTTAGGAAGAAGAAGAAGAAGAAGAATAGGAAGGACAGGGGGAGCGCCTGCCTCGCTTGAAGCTTGAAGTTTTGACGGTTGCTCGAAGTTTGATCTGCTCTTTTCTTGATTATCGACCGCCCGACCGAGCGACCCGTACGAAACTCGAATTCGCCAACTCCCACAGTCTATAACTCCTACGCTTAGACGCCCGCGTTCTTATACCCTCTGACTACTACTATGCCCGAACGTTCCTCGGAATCACCACAGGCGGCTTCGGGTCCCAGTCCGCCTGCACAACAAAATCAGACGGCGGCGAGCGCACCGCCTAGCACGAATGCGAACAGTGGAGGTACGGGAGGAGGAGGGACAGGAGGTGGGACTGCGGTGGGGACGACGCTGCCTGGGTTTCCGCCGTCGACGCTTTCGAGGCCGTTTCGGTCGAGGAAGAATAGGCCGTGCGATGCGTGTGTACGTTCTCTTTTCTTCTTTTTAAGAGTTTCGAGACGTGATCTTCGGCTTGGCTTTTGCTCGAGGTTTTCGTTACCCCCTTTGATTTCATTTCATCTCGTTCTTTCATGCAACCTTTGCATTGCTTTCGCTCCGTTTGACTCTTTGACTTACGACTTGCTTCTTTCTTTGGGGTTCGTGTGGCTCGTTGAATGGAATGCGCATCTGGATACACAGAGAAAAGCAAAGACGAGATGCGCGATACCGGACGTAGGACCTCCCTGTGTCGAATGCCAGTTCGTGCTCTTTCTCTTTGCTCTTCCCCCCTTCAGTTCTATGTTGCTGTAGAAAGCTCATCGGGACTGACCTACCTCTCCTAAACACCTGCGACACACCGAATAAAAACGACCTCGAACGCGACCTGCTAACTGACCGCAAACTACCCCACCACTTCATTGGAACATTCAACGCTCGACAATCAATACTCGACACTCGACGCTCAACCCCACACTCCACCTAAAATCTATTTTTATCTCCTCTTTTCCCTTTCCATCCACGTTATCAACCCCACACTCGCACGCACGCACGCACACTCAAATCACACAAACCACATTGAATTGCACAATCAGACAAACCCGGAAAAACTGCACATTCGACGAACTGCCCCCCGAACGCAAAAAACCCGCCAAAAGACCTCCTCCTCCGCAAGACGACACGACCCTGCCCTCCCTCGCCGGACCTTCGCGTCCTAACGGCCATCACCACCACAATCCCGGGAGCGGTGGATTCGGAGGTAGTGGATTAGGAAGAGGAGGAGGAGGAGGAAGTGGATATGCGAGTCCAGGAGGAGCAGGAGAACCGAGTAAAAGACAGCGCACGTCGTCTGATTTGGAGGGTATGCATGCGTTGATGGAGGCTGCGACGCAGGCGGAGTATTCGCCCTATCAGCCGAATGCGAGATATTTACCACATCCGACGCATTCGAGGACGAGGTGGAGTTATGGCGCAGGTGGGGGGTATACTTCCTATGGCGGGATTCCTCCCAGTGCAGGTTCAGGAGCAGGAGGGGGAGGGGGAGGGGCGATGCCCCATGCGAACGAACCGGCGAGTTTCGATCTGAGCGTGTCGGAGACGTTGGCGCCACATGTCATCACGGTACTCTTAACGGACGATCTGTTGCCGATTGGGACGCGACAGGCGGGGCCGGAGAGTAGTCAGGCGGAGGTAAGCGGGAGCGGAGGGGGAGGAGGAGGAGGAGGGGGGATCGGTGGGGGCAAACAGAAGAGTGGGTATATTAGACAGATATCGGTGGATAGGAGTAAGCCGCAGGTGAGTTTTTGGTTTTGGTTTTTGGTTATGTTTTTTTGGCGGTGGTGGAGGTGGAGGTGCGAATTGGGTGGCATGTTGGCATTTTGTCATTTTATCATTCGTCGTGCCATTGTCTGGATGCTTTCGCCATTCATATCCCTTATCCCCTCTTCCGCCGCGTTCGTTCCATCCTTCGTTCTATTGAAAACGAAACCCGCGCATCGCATGCGTCCGTTTCATTATACCTCCCTTCGGCGGCGGCGAATAACATGCCACTCACCTCTCCCCCTGTGCTGCACCCGTTCACTCACGCGGCGTGCTGTACTCGCCTACTCACGCGGCGCCCTGCACTCGTTTACTCTTACTCACGCGGCGTCCTGTGTTTTCCCACTCGATCCAACGCAGTATATCATATTCAACCATAAGGCGGATCGTGAGTGCCTCCCCTTCTTGAGTGAGCGTCATGAGCCGTGCTGATGATGTTGAACCCGTTTGCTCTTGTTTGTGTACCCCTCCTTGTCCCGTCCTCATTCGTACCCGCGTCTTCGTCCCCGTCCTCATTCGTCCTCGTCTTCGCTGTTATCTGCCGTTTGCTGTCTGAACGACCTCGACCCTCACCATGGACTATCGCCGCCACCTGAACCTCACCATCCTCACCGATCTCGATACGTGTGCTTATGCGCATGAATACGGACACGACCATAATCACCTGTGCGCGTATGGCCACGACTATGATTCTGACCACGACGACCCCGACTCTGACCACGACATCGCCCACGACTCTGACCACGACATCGCTTATGACCCGGCTCATGATCCCGCCCACGACATCGACTACGACCGCGTCCACGTTCTCCCCTACCTAGGCCGTCTGAACGCGCACCCATCCGACGAACAACTCAACCTGATCCGCGCTGCGCTCTCGATGCTGAACCCCCCGCCACCCGAGATCCATCTATTACTGACGTACCTGCACATGTTCAACGCCGCGTTTCCGGTGCTGATTCCCCCGCCGGCGCCGGCTTCGATATCGCAGCAGCAACAGCAGCAGCAGCAGCGAAGGAATACGGGGACGGGGATGGGTAACAGTAAGCCGTCGACGCCGAGTAGTGCGTCTACGACGCCGACGACGACGCCGACGGGGACTGTGGGAAGTCAGCAGTCTTCGCGTTTGCAAGGGAATGCGAATGCGAATGGGGTTCGGATACTCAATACTTCGCCTGGGGCGTTCAATAACACTGAGACCGGCAACAATAACAACAACGATTCCGGAACCACCTCCACTTCAAACCAGTCCAACCCCTATGCTTCTCTACACCTCGAATCCCATCTCGACCCTCTCCTCCTGCGCAAGATCTACCTGACCACCCTTGCACACACGCCCCTCTGGCGTTCCTCGTCGCGCAACGTCCGCAAGATCGATTTCACGGGCAATGGGGGCGGGTTCGGGGGCGGCGGATGCGGATTTGGGGGTGGGGGAGGGGAGGAGGAGAGGGCGGTGGGGAGGCTGGTGGGGGTTAGTGTGGCGCTGTTGGAGGCGAGTGGGAGGCCGGTGTTGGATGCGGAGGGCAGGTATTTGGGGTTGGCGAAGGTGTGTTTTCTTTCAAATCCTTTACCCTTGCTTTTCGCTCCGTGAGGGAATTGGTGAGAGGGGACGACTTTGTTGTTGACGTTGGGACGTAATAGACGATCGCGCAGGCGCAGCTGTTGGGGCTGCATATCGACTGTACGACGTGGGCTTTGCCGGCGTGGGAGAAGGATTTTAGGAAGGTGCTTTGGTGGGGGCTGAGGATACACGATGCTTGGTGAGTCGCGTTCTTTTTTTCTTCCATTCTGTTTTCTTTCTTTTCTGTGTGCGAGAGTGTGTTCCCTTCGCCGCGTCCATGTTTTTCTTTCGTTATCACCGCGCTCATTGGCTGTGCGCCGCGCCACGTCACTTGTTCTATCTGAACTTTGCGCCCCTCGTCGTTCTATCTTTGCTCTGCACTGCCTCGAGTTCTCATTCCGCCCGTTCCGTCCGTGCTTCCTGGTTTGGAAGGACGGGCTGAAAATGGCTTACTCGCTGGGAATCCTCATTGGAGAGAAGATGGACGGGTGAGAATTGAATGGGAGATGGGATCTGCGGGAAACCTTCTCGGGAGGCCGTTCTGGAGCGTGCAAGACTTCCTATCGTCATTCGTAGACACCGTTGTATGACCGGTACTGCGCGCCTAGTTCCAATTCTTTGAATTGCTTGGACGGCGAGGGCAAACACTACAGATGTACAGCGAACGTAGTACTATGCTTACCTTTGTTAGACCATACTCACCTCAACTCTTGACTTCCTTGTACAGGATGTCCTTCCTCAACTCAAGACCGTCACATATACAATCCTCGAATCAGAACGTCCCGCTCCCAACCATCCAACAAATAACCACCATCACGTCGCACTCGCACCCCTGGCCCGTCTACTCCGACTCTCCCTCAAATGCCAATAACGACCGTGCTCGCCCTATGGACAGGTCTTTCGGACAAGTACAGTCTCAGCGTGAATCACGCTCGCCTGCGTCGGCTGCGACGTCTCCTTCATCTGCGTATGGAGTGTCGGGCGGACCTGGAGCACGATCGAGCGCTGCACCTTCGCCGATCGCTACGGCCACGGCAGCTACCTCCAATCTTGCCATCGCCCCGCATCCCAATCCCAATACTCTCGCCTTCCATCAGCAACAACAACTGCAGCAGCAGCAGCAGCAACATCAGCAGCAACATGACCTGACAGACCCTGCGTACCAGAACCCGACCCGATCGGCAGAATCATTCCTGCATCTCTGTCGCCTCTCGCTCCTCGTATCGAATTTCCAGGAGAGGGTGTGTACATTGCAGAGTGAGACGCTGAGCAGACAGGAGAGGTTGGAGAGGGTTGTGGAGGTCGAGGGGAGTTGCGCGAAGTTGTTGGGCGATGTGAGGAGGGAGTGGGGATTCGATGGGGCTAACTCGGCGGCGGGGAAGGAGACGGGGGCGGGGGAGACGATACCTACGGGTGTGGCATCGTTGATGACGTGCTTGCTCGGGTTTAGGTGTATGTTGAGGAGGATATCGATTGAGTTGAATATTGGACTTGGGAGCCCGTAAGTCGATTTCGATTTCGATACGACGGCTCATCTGACGGAATTGTCATTGTCAGGTTCACACCTGATCCGGAGACGTTGGAAATTTTCCGGGAGGTGGTGGATTATGTGGCTTCGCTTCCTGCGCCTGCGTACGATGGCTTCTGGCTGCCATGTACGTGTCTTCCCCTCCTCTCACACACAAATTTACGGATCTTACTCACCCGATAAACTACTTGCAGATGTCGGGCACATTCTCTCCTCCCTCACGTCCTCACTCATCCGTCTCTCCCTCGCCACAACCTCCACTCCGACCCCGCCCGAGTCAGCATCGCACTCCCCGTCCCTCTCTCCACACCATCATCCTCATTCGTCATCGACAACGACCCTCCGCGCCTCATTGCACACGAACCCTCTCGTCCTCCTTTCCAGACTCATTGCTACCCTGCACACAGCGTACGAGAAGTACGACTGGGACCTCGCAGAACCCGCGCTGATGAGGGCGGAGAACGTAGCGGCGTGTTTGAGGCCCAGCGTAGACGAGTTTGGAAACGTGGTGGCTGCTCTAGAAGGCCGGTTCGATCTGCCAGCCGCCGTCGAGGCGATGGGCGGAGTGGCCAGCGGTTCCGGCGCCGGCAATGTCGGGGGTAGTGTTAGCGGTAGCAGCAATGCGGACGGTTTGGCGCCCATGGACCTCGACCGGGGCAATATGTCGGTAGGCATTGGCGGGATGGATGCTGTGACGACGGGGAACGCGGGGCTTCAGGATGTCAGTATGGAAACCGGGTGGGACATCGATCTGAACGCATTGGGTATGGACTGGGTGGACGAGATCATCGCTGGGGTGGGGATAGGCAATGGATGGGCGTTTGGGATGGGTACGGGGTTAGGGCCGGGCCCAGCGCCGGGACAGGGACCCGTCGGTGTTGGTGTCGGTGTCGGGGGTGGCGGTGTGAGTTCGTTAAATGGAGCGCTGGGGCCTACTCCGAACTTATCTAATACGAGTCCTGGAGCGGGGACGGCTGGTGGGAGTGGGATGATGGTGGACGGAGGAGGACATCATACGCACCATGGCTTGGGGAATGGAGGGGCAGGCTTTGTCCACCCGCATGCGCATCAACTTCATCATCCACAACAGCAACAGCAACATCATAGTCATCATCACCCCGGAGCGGGAGGTGGGCCGTACGGGATGAAGGTCAACGTCGGTGGCGGCCCTATCGCCGGCCCTGCGAGCGCCACTCCCGTTCCTTCACACACACAGCAACAGCAGCAGCGACGAAGGGCGCAATCACAGCACCTTCAGCATCCTCAGTTTGGGAATAGCCAAGGTTCTGGGGCGCAGGGTGGAGGAGGGTCCGGGAGTGGGGGGTATGTGTAGTGAGATGAGTGGTTGTTGGCGTTGGGGCTTTTCATTGACCCCGGTTGATTCTGTTCCGTCGTCGTGGGTATATATGAGGAAGACATGCAGGGAAGGAAGGATATCCGGTGCTCTACGCACCTGTACTAATACGCGTTGGAGCGCAGACGCGGCACTGGGGCAGAGGGAGAAGTATCGCGCGAGGGGGCTGGCGAGAGGCAGGGGGGAAGCGGGGGAAGAGGAAGAGGAAGAGGGATGAACACGGTCGTAGACGACAGGATCCGTCATCAACTCCTCTAGCCGACCTCGGCGGTGTTCCTATATTGCGCTCGGCTTGAGCGGCGTTTACCTCGAAAACAGCCCGGATTGCACGCTGCGGCATGCACTCGCTTCCTCTCGACCGTGTGCGAAAACAGCTGAAGTGCACCGTTTCGTCCACCACCACCGTACATACTAATTATTTTTTCCTCGTTCGCTTTCGTGCCTGTTGTCCTCACTCTATTATTAGCGTCTATCGTGTATGTTTCTCGCTCAAGGTCTTTCTATATGTATTTCCGTCATCTCAAATGGCCAGGAAGGGTTTCGTGGGAGGTTCGAACGGGGATTATGTATATGGTGAGGAGGAGTTCCATCCGTCCGTCGGTGTGCGATATGCCGTCGGTTTGCCCTTATATACTTATCTCTCTGCGGCGTCTGTCTCGCTCGGAACTTGACCTCGAGCTAGCTCGATAGGTGGCACAATGGCTCCGAGGAAGACGTGTTTTTGAACGTTCCGGGCCAGCTGTGAAGCGGTGCGCTCAACAAGCGGGCATGCAAGTCATGAGCCACTGTACCGGATGGAACGAAGGCGGATCCAAGCTCGCCGCTGCAAGAACTCACGAAGTCTTCTCTTTGTCCCACCTTTTCTACTGCTGTTGGCATGGTCTTATGCATGAATGGAGCTTGTGACCTCTAGCATCGAAACGGGTGGCACCTGCGTGCCAGCAAGTACTGCCTTTCCTTTGTTCAACCTTCCCTTATTCAAGTTTGGGCGGCGTGGGAAGGATCTTTGTGTCATGTTTTTGAATCTCCGCTCAAGGTTTAAATGACACAAAGCCCTCACTTTCGCATCCTCCCAACTCTCTCCTCTCAACTTCTCCCTCATGTTGGCGACCTCGACGAACTCACCACTAGGCTTCTGTCAGAGACTTATTCTAACTCGGGCTCAAGATTCTTCCGTACTGGCGCCATCGGCGCACAAAATACTGTACGTCCCAGCAGTTAGACGACGCTTACATAACGTGGGAACTCCCATTTGGCGGGAGACTCGCGCAAAATTGGCGGGGGCGATGGGCCCCTTGGGACACCGGACGTCGCCTAACGTCTGGGAGGTACAGTACTGGAGAAACTACCGCCTCTGCGTCGTCTCCCAGTTGAATTGCTCACAGAGATTGCACGACACTGTCCTCAACAAGAAAAATCTTGCCTTTGTCTCACTAGTCAACACCTGAAGGCCATCACGACAAAAGAGCTCTATAGGAATATTCGCCTGTCTCAGCCTCCGACTATGAAGGTCTTGAAGCTTTATGCTTTTCAGGTTCGAGTTCACAACTTGTTCACATCGCTCTCGAAGAGCAGTGCGAGAAGAGGCTTCGTTGAAACGTTAGAAATCGAAGGTCTTTGGTAAGTCTGCATCTTTAACCCGGGGTTGGAATGTCTGCGAGCATCGTGTAGACTGAAACTCGACTCTTGTCTTCATACAGGGATGGGATCTTTTTCGTGTCTGGAGATCCCAATACGCGCCTCGTTCACCTCATTACAGAGATGATCGCAAACCTGCCAAACCTCATGACATTGACATTTCTGTACGTCTCGCAATAAAACCCCTTCACTTGATCCAAATGTTTCGTTCTTTCTGACTCGTCCTCCGACCCGTCTGACCTCCGACTTGTTTATGTATCGTAGCCAACAAGACGACTTGCAATATTGTGATGCCCGCGTCGCCGACTGCGACGACAAGAAAGCTACTGAAACGGACCGTGTGCCTTCTTCTCCTCCTCACCTTGCTTGTTTCACTGGCTCGAGCAAATGGCTCAAGTGGCTCCCTAATCGCAGTCGTCAAACTATCTCCGAACTCGTCCTTGTCGATAACGATCCTGACTGGACCGCTGGCTCTCTAGAGACTCTTGTGGCTGATCTTAGTGACTTTACTGGGCTGGAATCGCTACACGTTCAAGCTGGCTCAGGCGCCCTCAACGATCGTCTGTCCCCCTCTGCTGCTATGGCCTTCGTAAGCGAGAGAGTTTCGTGGCTTAAGGAATTGACGCTATGCTACTACGATCATTGTCCATGCCTGTCTCTAGCGATGGAGGTACGCTCTTTTTCATCCTTATGTTTGAACTATCGAGATCAATACTTACTGTTATATTTGCCTCTTATTGATTATCAACGAAGGATCTATACCCATCTGCGAAGCCACACTTTCCAGCGCTCGTTTCTTTAAGAATCAGAGTTTTTGAACCTTACAGTTTGTCGGTTTGTAGAGGCAGCCATGTCGTCAGGACGGGAGCTATCACTGCTTCAATTCGCGTAGTAGGAGAAGTCTGCCCGAAATTGGAACGCTGTACGTTGATCGGTGGCTGCGGAGGTCAGTGTTTCAGGTCCAGGACATTTCAGCACTAATTCTCTGGCTCTTTTCTGCACATGATGCTCACCTTCCGTTAACCAGATGATCTCAAATGGGTGCGTACTAACGGGTTGGGCAAGAAAAACACCTTGGAGTTGGAGAAATCTGAAAAGCGAGATGAGGACATCCTTCAAGCTGGTACGTACGGGAGATCATCGTGATATGAGGAATAATATCTTACTTACTTTGCTTTCAGCCTTTCTGAGGTCTCTGGGTTTCGCCCCTCGTACGATTCATTGATGTCTCTTGATACTGTTCATCACTATCACCTCCGCTATTGGTTGAGTTTTCTTAGCGAAGCTCTAGTAGGTACCCCTCTTATATTATCTACGCCCCACCCAAGTATCGAATCTCCTAATTCACTGGCATCCGCTTCCACGCTGTAGTACTTAAGTACTACAATCTACGGTTTATTATAATTCAAATTGATCGTTGTCGCCCTATGCAATGTAATATCTGAGAAATTGAATGAGCGTAAATGGTTCTAAAGAAATGGCCCGAGAATCGATCATTGTCACTAGAAGGCACACATTTCCGCAAAGTAAGCAGCAATGTTTCGAGAGACGTGCACTGTTCTGTAAGGAATAGAAGATTGAATTTGTTTTGATGGCATTTTGGGCGCACAGACATTTTGTATGCGCTCAGCCGTCGTCCTGCCCTCTGCTAGCAAGGACCACCTGAGAAACTTTTGTAGTATATATTTGTTGTCGTGATATGTGGCACTTGTGTGGCGTCGCCGTGTCAGCGAGAGCGTGAGAGATTATTGCGTGTCGCATTGGATCTCCGCTTTATTCTCTCCCACAACTCCTCACCGGGCCGCTCGTTTCCTGTTCACTGTTTCTTCACAACCTCGACTGCATCATCGACAGGCTGGCAAGTATGGATACTCTATATCTTTATCCTACACTCCGCGACTACGAAACAATTCCCCATCAAAGGCAGCTACCGCATCTCCCGGCTGAGCTGCTCACCGAAATTGCACGGCACTCTCTTCAGCGCGAAAAAGCTGAGCTCTGCCGCACTAGCAAACAGTGGAAAGAAATTGCCACAAAAGAGCTCTTTAGAAATATAGAACTTCTAGTACCTTTCTTCCATGATGCTAAGATGCTTCAGACTATGCAGACTTGTACTCGGTCGTTATGTCAGTCAATGGTGCGGAGCAGCATCAACCGAACGTTTACTAGTACACAAACCCTGGCCATAGAAGGCTATAGGTATGCTGTTACATTCACGTTATCTCAGGTGCTAAGGATGCCTCGACAGTAGACTTACCGACTCTCGATTTGACTTATTTAGCGAGGTGCTCTTCGAAGCTGACTCGGACACGTCTACACCGCTCGAACCCCTGATCGAGGTCATGATCACCAGCCTGCCGAATCTCAAAAGGTTGTCAATTATGTACGCCTTCACATACCTCTTGATTTCCCCATACGCCTGTCTTCCTCGACTTTCTGCTTGCTGACATTTGTCCTACCCGATAACCCCCGGTCAGCCGACTGAGAGACTCGAATTACATGTATCGCGAAATTGACCGCAACATCTTAGGGGACACTTGCACGAGAAACCCCTTACCCTTATCCACACCTGGCCTTATTGCGTTTACTGGCCCCAGCGCATGGCTCAATCGTATTCCTAGTCGACACACGATATCTGAATTGGTACTCGTCGATGAAAATCGCAATTGGTCCTCCGCATGTTTGCAGAAACTTGTGAAAACCCTTCATGAATTTACTGCACTAAAATCATTAGAACTGCAGACTAACCCGCACTCCCCTGATGACGATCTATACCCGTCTTCCACTATGGCTCTCATCAGCGAGCAAGTCCCTTGGCTCAAAGAACTGACATTATGTTATTACGACTTCTGCCCTTGCTCGTCCCTTGACATCGGAACGGTAAGCACCTTTCCCCGCGTATCCAAATGGTAAAGCCGAACATTTATATTTTCTACATCATTTATATATGTAGGGTATACGCTACCAGAAGCCCGATTTTCCGGAGCTTACCTCCCTGACATTGAGAGTGTTCTCGCCAATCTCATCTCTCCGGGATCCTTTCTCCTCCGCATGTGGTAATCACATCACCCCAAACACGCTCCTCGATTTTGCGATATACAGGTTAGGACAAGCTTGTCCAAACCTGACGTGCTGTTCATTGCTCGGCGGTTGCGGAGGTCAGTCATATCATCTTATGCCATTACCACTTCTTTCGCAACATACTTATTCTCATCCTCATCTGTAGCTGATTTGCACTGGACGCGTAAGAATGACGATACATCATGGGACCCTAAAGCCGTAGTCAGAGGTAAGAAAAGATGGGAGGAATCACTTAGCGATCTCATGGCTGGTACGTGCATCATTTCAGTAACGGTGCGAAAACCTAGCTTACTTTGGCTTAGGTCTATCTGAGCCCTCGAATGTTAAGGCTCAAGATGTCTGGTTCCCCACGAACGATTGGGCCTCTCTGGATGAATTTTAACTTTCTTGGGGTGTACATAATGGTGGGCGGTCGGAGTCTGTACAACATATAGACAGGCTGCCGGGGGAGCGAATGAACTTCTCTGAATGTTATATTACTCGGTCCTGCCTCATTCCTGAATGGCTAGTATAGCTGTGTTTTTTCTGCGTGTGGCTCTCTTTGTATGGCGCGGTTGTTGAGCAAGCCTGAGAAAGCCAGCACGCGGTGACGTGACGCGGTGCCAGCAATATCTCGAACTGGACGCGCCGCAGACGCGTTCAACCCACTGTCATTGCCCCTTCGAGATCCACTGTTTGACCGGTCGCTAATCATACTCGAACTGCATGTCCAAAGACGGGAGGTAGTGACTGGTATATTATCCAGCTAAGTATCTACATGGTAAACCGCACAGCGTCAACTTATACATTTTTCCGATCTTCATTCCCCTACGCCATTGCTTTCACCGTCAAAGCTCCTGAACAATCCTCACCACCTCCTCCGCACACCCCCACGAACATTGCCATCCCGCACCGGAATGTCCATAATTATGAACGACCGGGATCTTCACCTGACCCGAAGCAGTCGACGAAGGAAGGCTGGCGGCCAAATCATCGCCGCGCTCGAGTCTAAGTCCACCTTCGCGCGCCGGCCGGAACCCGACGACGTGTTTGAGGATTATGTTGTCGAGGAGGGAGGAACTGAGCGACTGTGTTGTGGATGGGAAGGGGTTGAATGTGGAGGGCCGGAGGTGAGGTGGGCAGAGTTCAGGGAAGAGGAGGAGTGCGCGTCGTTTAATGTCTTCTGCGGTTTCAGGGCGTGGGTCTTTGCACCTATCAATAGAAACGAAGTCGCATAATAAATATCAAGCGGAGGGGGTATAATATTCAAGGTAAGAGACTCACCAATCCCCATTCTCCCTCGTCCCGCCGATGATAACCTGTCCGCTCCTCCGTGGAATAATATACGTCCTCTCCCCTCCCTCTCCGCTCGCGTCGTTCAATTGTCCGACCTGCAACGTCCGACCTTCTTTGATCCAAGGTGCGTCCAAGACCACGACTTGGCCACGGACGGGGTAGACCGTCTTATCGTCCACGTCGCCGAGTGTGAGGGAGCCAATCCCTGTGCAATTGATGATAGCTAGCGGGGTAGGAGACGATGACGGGAGATGGTTTAGGGCTGAAGTGAGCGATGGAAGGGGTGTAGCCAGGTGGGTGTAAGTTCCTCCGAGTGAGGTGAAGAGGGCTAAGAGTTTGTGGAGATAGGGCGTCGTATCCATCGTGAGAGATGTGAAAGAGACGGCATGCTTTGCGAAGGCAGGTAGGTCTTCCTTTAGAACGACTTTAAACTGAAAACGATGATTTCAGCACTGATCTACGCTTTGATCAAGGTAACAGAGCAAGTGGGACGTATCAAGACTCACGTCCGGCAAACCCTCGAAAAGCTCGATATGTTTCTCCCCTTCCGTTCCATAAAACTCCCTCTGTGTCAACCTCAAGATCGCACTTGCTTTTCCCTCCTCCGCTTCCTCCTTCATCATGACCTCAAACGTCCTCATGTCCAGCCTCCGCTGCCGCTCATCATCATCTGCCGCAAAACTAAGATGGTGGGCTCCAGCAGCAGAAGAACAGTAAGTTGGATCGAGCGGTGAGGAGGGTATTTGTGTGGCGAGGATATGGACTTTGTGCGAAGCTTGGAGCAGACGGACGGAAGTGGTCAGGCCGATCACGCCCATCCCAATGACGAGGATGGGAGACTTCTCAGAGCCTTGGGAAGGCATGGCTAAAGTGGTCATCGTGAACGTGTGCAGTAAGTCCCGAGTGACGGAGAGAGCGACAATAGGTGGTAGAAGTGAGAACTGGGACACTTTGAGGACATGATGTCGAGATGGAGGAGATGGTCGAGGTGCGGCCTCTGTTGGCCTGGCCGGGCCACTGTGGCACTCCGCGACAGGTTTGATGTTCGCCGGCGGCGAAACCTCCACAGGGGCTGGTTCGGCTCGTTCATTCGCTGCAACTTTTTGTTCCTTTCCGCCACGACCACTTCGCCTGCGCCTTGCCAATTATTGCAATGTCCATCGACATAGCAAACTCCGTACGCCGAGTGTTCAGCGGATGGGACACATCTTGGAATGCTTTGTTTGAATCTGTGGCCACGGCCGGGTGTGAACAGAGAGCGGTGCTCAAGCGCTGTCGTTTGTATGGATTGCGCCTCGTAACGATTATACTCAGGACCTCTTGATTCTCTCTTTCACCACCAAGTCGCTTGCAGTGGTTTCATCGCTGCACCATGTCTGCCACTAAGTCCATTCTCGTCATCAACCCTAACTCCTCAGAATCCGTTACAGACGGTCTTCGCGAAACGCTCAAAACACCACCTGAGTGTACACTCGTATTCTACACGGCACCATCCCATGCACCTCCCTCCATCAACGACGTTACAACAGCTGCTTTGACCGCGAGTGCGTGCTGGGAGGATATCAGAGATAAAGGGCTCTTAGACCAGTACGATGCGTTTCTCGTTTGTTGCTGTACGTTCGTCCGTCCATCTCTTCTCCCTCTCATCTGACGTTTCTAACTCTGACTGTAACTCATCTGATCTGGATTGTCGGCGCTGGAACGACAGTCTCCGACCATCCACTGACCCACATCCTCCGCGAACAATCTACGAAACCCATCATCGGCATCCTCGAGTCCGCCATAACCACCGCCCTCCTCTCCACCCGTCGTTTCGGCATCCTCACCACCGGCTTTGGTTTCAAATTCCTTCGCTCACAAGACGTTTACAGTTTTATGGGAGGCAACTCTGTGAGGTACGCTGGTTTGGTGACGACCGGATTGGGTGTCGTAGAGTTGAGGGAGGGGGACAGGGATAAAGTGGAGAAGAACATGAAGGAAGGGGCGGGGAGACTGGCGGGGATGGGTGCGGATGCGGTGTTACTGGGATGTGCGGGTGAGTTCTCTTTACCTTCGTCGTTGATTCGAGGTTGTTTGGGTGGAAAGGTGATTGATCAGCTTGATGTTGTTGGCATTGGTGGATGTAGGTATGGCAGGCATGGAATCGCTAGTGCAACAAGGCGTGAAGGAAGCCGGTCACGCTCCGGTGCGCATCGTCGATGGTGCACGAGCTGGCGTGGAATTCCTCGCGTCTCTTCTCAGACTGGCTTGATCAGGCTTGCAGGCATCTGTACGTCTCTACTAGTTTCGTGCTCGGTCGGGGCATACATTGTTGTACGCCTTTCTTGGGTTCGTAGATCGTCTTATGGTTTCCAAGCATTGTCGTGGCTTTCAACCATGTTGGATGGAGTATTTCTGTGGTCTCAGGACCGAGAGGCTGCACGCCAAATGATCGGCGCCGATCATGTTCATTATGTCAGCGTCTGACACTCCTGAGCCACAACGCTCTCGACTCCTTTCCGTCTCCTGTCAAGTCAGGGGCTAAATCTTTGTATGAAGAAATTTTCCTGACGCTGCTGTGCGTTACCGAAGACAATGTGAATAGGGGAGAGCTCCTCGTCTCATAGGGAAAAAAGCATGCCAAGTTACGAGACCTAAAGATGTTCTGATGACGATACGTTCTCAGGCATACCAGTAGCAGTTCGGATATCACATATCGTACCGGTAGGCCAAGGTCATCGAGTAACTGGTTGGTTAGCAGTGTAAGTAATAGTACTTTCGAGATGGAGGTCAAACCGTCATAAAGACGAAGGTATGCCGAACCAGGAAACATCTAAGGGTAGGTCATAAAAACAACAAACGATAAAACACTCTAGCTGTCAAAGAGAAAATCCTGCCACATCGTACACAATCACAAATCTAGCTTGACACTCTGTGCTCAAATACAAGGTGAGGAGGAGAAGACAAGGACGGTAGCTATCATAGCAACAAAACAAGAGGCAAGAAATCAATGAACTAGATCACAAGGCCTTGGCCTCATCCTGTCTCTATTTTTTGTTCGCATCCTCGTCTCACCGTGTCACGACGGGCACGACACTCACATCTCCTCCACTGCCCTCAAGACTACTAGACGTCTTCTCCGACGACCGTGAGTCCAGCTTCTTCTCATCTTCCACCACGCTCCGCTTCTCCACATCGGAATCGTCCTGCGGGTGACCGTCGTATGTGTGGTGAGGAGGATAGGAAGAGACGAGAGTTGGGTATGTGCGAGATGCGTTGGGTGAGTCGAGGGAGGACGAAGGGGAGATGAGGTTGAAGAGGAGGTAGAGCGATCCTGAGACGATGACACCGAGGGGCCATACGACGGAGCTACGATCACAAGGTATGATACACTCAGTATTCAGATCAAAAAGGGGAGAAAGAAGGAACGCGACGTACAACAGATAGCTCGCCCCGACCGGGACATTCAATGTCTTGTTCACCTTCAACGCAAAGCCAGGAAGGTTCGGAACCAGCGCCAGCGAAAACGCAAGGATAGCCCTCCAATTGAATCCCCACGAATACCAATACGCGCTCCCCTGCTTCCCATACAACCCCGCCAAATCCAACCTCCTCTTCCTCAAAATCCAATAATCGGCCAACATAACGCCCGCCACGGGTCCCAAAAACACGGAATAACCACCGAGGAAGTTCGTAAAGCTCGTCGCCGAATTCTGCACGATCCAAGGACAGGCGGCGACGCCGAGGATGGCACAGATGTATTGTCCGCGGCGGACGTTGATGTAGGAGGGGAGGAGGATGGCGAGGTCGTTGCCGACTGCTGTGGAGTTGGCGGAGATGTTCGTCGCGATGACGGCTAGGGCCCAGCAGACCGCGGAGAAGAATTGGGCGGCGCGGGAGGACCAGAGCGCGGAGACTTGGAGAGGGTTCCAGGTGGAGACGCCGTAGATGACTTCGGTGGCGGAGGTGACGACGACACCAAGGATGCTGTTTGCCATATATGTCAAGGTCAGGTTCGGCTCGCAAACTGAGGTGAGATGGGTGTGATAGTGGATGTACTTACGCGCAGAGCGTAACGGGAATAGTGAGCGCGATGATATTGGTCCATGCGACGGTCTTCGGACTCTTTGCATACCTCGTAAAGTCAGCGATATTGAGCGCCAGGGTGGCTTTCGGAGCGATAGCTGAAGTCATCGCGGAAAAGAAGACGACCGCAAGTGGCGTAGAACTAGGCTTGCTCCCTTGGGAGAAGATAGGACCGAACCCATGCGCACGGCCGACTGCCCATCCGACTGAGGTGAGAAAGAGCGCAATCGTAAGATAAGTAATGCACGTTCGACTCCAATAAAGGTGGCCTACGCACAAAGAGTGAAACCGAAGATGGGCATGATGACGACTTTGACTGCGAAGAGATATCGAAGTTTCGATATGTGTATCCAAAGGAGTGGAAGTTGGATTATGTAGAATATGCTGAAAAAACAAAATCGATATGGTGAGTCACGTCGGTGGCGTATATTAGAACCTGAAACGCAAGACTAACAAGAAACACAGCAGCTCTGCAGATGTAACATGGGCCGAATCAGGCAGGTGGTTAGGAAAACTTGCGAACGACGGCCAAATGGCGGTAAGCATCGTCTAGATGGAGACAAAGAATTAGTGAGCCTGAGCCACCAACCGAGAGACCCGAAACATACATTCACGCATTGACCACCCTGGTATGTCTGCGTTCCGAACCAGACGATGGCTGCTACTGCACGACATAGGACAGCGACAGCGGTTCCTCTGATACCAAATGACTGCGATCGACGTAAGATGAGACAGGGTCAGGGTGAAGTTAAAAATAGAAGACGTACTGCACGGGCGAAGGTAGGGAAGTTGATACCATACGTTGCACCAACCCAGCCGTTAGCTGCGCATGCAACAGCTATTGTTCGAAAGAACGACTCAGCGGTCGCGAAAATATGAACGAAACAAAGTACCCACAGACGAGAACGTGCCCAAGAAGAACAGCGCCTATCGTGGCTCCAGGAGAAAGTCCGCCTGCGACAGCAGAAGACGCAACCTGGTACTGACTTTTGTTCTATCAACTCACCGGACTTGTATCACGATACGAAGAGACAAAGACCGACCTGATACCTGTTTGTCAGAAAAGTCCTATCAGTTCTGATAGGTCTTGTATGTGAGACATAATATCAACACGGAAGCGTACCGAAGGCCTCTGCAACCCAATATCCTAACAAGTGGAAAGTTCCCCACTTGCGAGGCCCGTCCGGTAAGGGGGGGACAGGGAGGAGATCAGGTTGGCATTTGATATCCTCCGAGGTCGCGCCAGCCTCGTCCGACGGTGCAGAAAAGGAGGCCTCCTGTGGCTCGATACGAAGCTTGAAGTCGCGAAACATGGCCTACTTGTTGCGTTTCGTTCGTTCCTTCTGAGGTGACCGAGCCCGACCTTGGAACGGAAAAGAGGCAATTGGTAGCGCGACTTCGCTTTTAAGGTCTTGGCCAGAAGAGAAGCAGAGGATCAAGCGCATCACGCCAATCAATTCTCCTGTTTATCACGCCCAGGGGTGTTATCTCCAGAAAGCAACGGCACAGCATGTCTCGTTATCGCACGCTCACGCCCCACGTTTGGTGCTTCGCCCCCAGTCCCCCGGGCTTCCCCAGATATCGACGTGCCTGTGATTGTGCACGCCCCGGCAGTTGGCCCCTCGCACTCTCCCGGGGCCGCTCCGCCACCGGCGAAGGCAAGCGTATTTCAAACAAGAGGCCGGCGGGAACTCTTCCGCGGTTCGATTGCCTCCGGACGCGTTCCTTGTTCGCCGTGACGTTCTGTGCAAAGTGGACTATGGCCCGGGCCCGCGGCAGATATCCGCGCAGACTACAGCCATCCTTGATCCATCCACCCGCAAATCGACTTGAGTTCTTGCGCGATTCGGACACGAGTCGCTGCCAGCACCACATATACATACACTAGTACCAATTATGACCCTAACTCACCCTTCCACCAACCATCACTCTCCCCTTTGCGATCCACTCAGTCATGGCCCCCACCGCTACCTTCACTTCCGAGCCCGTCCCAGCTCACCCGGTCTCAAAGCCTACTAATCCCAATGGCGTTGACGCCAACGGCTTCCACCAGTCGCTCGATAAACTGGAGGAGAACCCTCTTCGCAGGACCTGGAGGGGTAACGCAGAGGGCACTATTGACCTCGGCACTGTACCCAAGTTCGACAACCCCTATGATGAGCGCGAATGGATCAAGGTTCGCATTACCCTGTATCATCACCCCTCTGCTCCTCTGACAATTGTTTTCTCGTTTTCAGGCTCATATGGCTGCTGCTTTCCGCTTCTGGGGCAAGTCCGGCTTCGGTGAGGGTATCTCGGGTCATATCACCGTCAAGGACCCTGTTCTGCCCGGGCACTACTGGATGAACCCATTCGGTGTTCACTTCTCCTCGATAACCGTACGTCTGCGCCACATATTTTACTGCATACGTTCTTGAGCAGACCATCTCACCGTATTGTTATTTCTATCTGCATTCTCCGCGCGATCCGCTTTCACCCGTCATCCCCACACTTCGAACGTTTGCGGAATGCCGCGGTACCTAAACCGTCGACCCTTTCTTGGTTTCACACCCTTCTCGACCACTCGTAGAAATCGAAGCTCTGCCTTGTAGGACCAGACGGCTACGTGACGAAACACGGCGCTCAGCTACCCATCAACACTGCCGGTTTCTACATTCGTAAGTCTTCGTTCTCCTATTCATCCATTTCGCGCCCCTCGTTCCTCCAAACACTGCTCGCTCTCATGTTACGTAGACTGAACCTCGGTCTCTGAACGAGTGTTATTCGCCACACGTTTATCCTATACATCGTAGCGCAATCTTCACACCCATACCACAATTGTTTACCCTATCTAGCAGCATTCTCGGCATTTTTTACATCCTTACGCCGTTTTGCCCTCCCACTCCACCTTCGCATTCTTTAATCCCGAACTAAAGCCTTCTCGTACTGGATGCTAACCTTATTTTTCACTCTCCCCTCACACGCAAAGACTCCGCGATCCACAAAGCCCGCCCAGACGCCAAAGCTGCCGCTCACTGCCACTCTCTCTACGGCAAGGCATGGTCCGCGTTCGGCAAGCCCATTGACATCCTCACGCAAGACGCGTGTCTGTTCTACGATAACCTCGGTGAGTGTCATTCGTTCGCGTTCGCCTCGTGTCCCATTCCGCATCTGTCGCCCTTCGAGTTTTGGCTCGAGCTCCGCGATACCTTTGGAACCCAAATGCTGACCGGGACCGAATTGTTTATTGTTTTACCCGCATCGCCGCCTCTTTGCGCCTCCCATCCCATATACATCAACGTACACGCCAACTTTAACCCAATCCCATATCTGTCATTCCGCTCACACACCTGGCTTCACATCCCGCACCGCAACCACGTTCTCTCCCCTCCCACGCCGAACTCATCTTATCGGTCCCGCACGCGCCCACCACTCCCACCTCAATGACGATGCGGCAATCTCACAGGCGTCTACAACAACTTCGGTGGGATCGTCCTCGCTGCCGAAGAAGGTTCCAACATCGCCAAAGCACTCGGGCCGAAGTTCAAGACCTGTATTCTCCAGAACCACGGGCTGATCACCGTCGGTGAGACCGTCGACGAGGCCGTGTTCTTGTTCGCTTCGTTGGAGAAGATGTGCAAGGTGCAGCTGGCGGTCGAAGCTGCCACGGCGGGGACTTCTGGGATCAAGAAGACGGTGATCGATCCTGAGGATGCGGAGTTTACGGCGAAGACGATTCAGTGGTATGAGAATACCTATATTAGCGTGAGTCCCTCTCTTTGTTTTTATTTTAAGTGACTTGTGGGGATGGTCAGATGTTGATGGTCTTTGTATTTGATGGGCAATAGTTCCAGCCGGAATATAAGCTCCTTGAGGAAGAGACGAACGGCGCTTTCCTTCGGTAGACTGGTCGTAGCTTATTGACCACCTCCACCAGCCATCGTCGGAGTCTCTCCCCTTCTTGCTTTCTCTTTCTATCTTCTTCAGGCTTCTTCGGTTCCTTCTCTCCTGTTATTGTATGTACTTCAAATTCTCCGGGTGACTTTCTAGTCATCCAGTACTCATGCATGCTATCCATTGGCATATGTATTATCACCACTATCTACTATGTTTCCGAGCCTCCTCTATGCAACCATGCTCTTTTTACCTACTTACTACTCTTTCGTTTACCTTGCCGTTGATTTACGGATGCATATGGGGGCCACAATTTACGTTGAAGTCCGCATATTCAATAACACAATTCAAAAACCCGATAAAATGTGGGAGAAATTCTCGCGTTTGCTGACTTTTCAACTGAGATCGAACAGCAGAAATTCATCCTCTACCAGTTTGGCGAATGGTTCGAGCGTATTGGCCTCACTAGCCGTGAGAAAAACTTGCTCTGTGTATTTAGAGAAAACCTTCATACTCTACGTAGAGACTCCCTCTTCTCACCTTGTTCTTATTACGACTCAGTGATCGTGGTGTAGTAAATTTGGGCACGTTTTTTAAAGAAATTCTTCCCCTGTTTAGGGGCTGAGATGTATGTCTCCTTAGCGTAAGAGAGTCCAACATGCTGCCCGTTCATGCCCGAGAAGAACTTAACTGCAGGATCGCTCTGAAGCAAAGGCCGCGGCGAGTGGGTTCGACAATGTGGTACCAAGTATATATACCCAGTCTTGACTTTCTTGGAGGGAGCTTGGCGTTGATTCTCCATAGGAGAACCGGTGTAACTGGTTCGATGTTTTTCTTCACTATGATCGAATAACGCAGTGTACAAATTTGAAGCAGAAGACCTAGAAGTTGGACGCCTTATACCGCTTTCATCTCGAGCTTTTCTCAAGACGCATTGATGCATACTGTGTGTCACAGGATCGATAGTCAAAATCGTACTGGAACATAAATAAGAACAACATCAAACGTAGTAACCACATAGTTTCAGAGCCCAGAAGAAATTCTGACAGTCTACCAGTTACCCAACGCTTCTCTCTATCGTACCGCGCCTCGTGGTTGTTCGTAAACTGTCGAAATCAATTCTTCCCAGTCTCCTTCACTAAAGAGACCACAAGCGGCAGAGAGGGAGTGAGGCTGCCCTCTTCCATGGGAAGTAATACCCCGCCCAGCTTCCATGAGACTGATTTCTTCGAGGGGGTGAACTTGAACGTCGAGATGAGAAGGGAAAGAACGATCTCTGTAGATATACATTGATTTCGTCAGCGAACAGATAATCAACGGGGAGGATGGGAGGAGGGTGTCGACTTACTCATCTCCATTTGGGAGAATTTGAAGCCGCTGTTGTGATAGTCGCAATTCGAACGTTTCGCTCGTCAGTTGTTGTGCTTTCACAATATCATCTGAGATGAAGGACCCACATGCATGCCCTTCCGCCGCCCAAAAACGTCAACCTGAAATCACAAAGCCACATATTCTCAGCAGACCATCCTTCAAATCTGGTAAATTAACTCACAAGTTCGCATAGACACCGGGTACTTTCGCATCTGTCACGCTCTCCGGAAGCGGGTTCAAGAACCGTTCAGGCTTCCACTCGTTCGCATCAGGACCCCAAATAAGTGGGTCTGTGTTGATGGCGCGAATACCGATGTAGATCGTAGTGTCCTCGGGGATGAACATCTCGGAGACTTCTGAGTTACCGATCGTGGTTGGGACATCGAGCGGGACCATTATGTCCTTTCGTGCGCTACAACGAAGACAAGCGAAGGATGTTAGATGATAGAAGGACAGCCTGGGAAGGTAAATAAAATGGCGTACGTGCGAGACATAATCAAGACGGGAGAATACCTGCTCGATGGTGCGGTAAGTCAGGGCTTTAAATTGAGAGTACGAGAGTCTGAGCTTACAGGCGAAGCGTCTCGCGGCAGACAGCCTCCAGATACGGCAGCTCATGTAATGTATCGTAATCCAGATCGCCAGACTCGGAAGACTTGTAAGCGTTCAGCACTTCCTCGCGCAGTTTGTCCTGTACGTCCTGATTCTCGGAAAGAACATGCAGAATGCGAGTTAGAGCGGAGGAGGTAGTATCCATCGCCGCGAAGATCAGAAGCCTAAGGCCATTCGCAATAAGCATAAATCCGCAAATAGTCGAGACAGAGATCAACGTACGACATCTGCGCGAGAATCTCTGACTCTGGAAGCTTCATATCTTCTGAAGCGGAAATATTGGCTTGCACTACGAATGGCAATGAGTACTGCCTCGACAGTCTGCACATGTAAGAGCATGAAACACTTACGAAGAATAGACATGATATCCCTTCCTTCTGCAACTTGATGCACGACCGCGTCATCTCCCTTCTGTAAGGCCTTCTTCTTTTCCTCGAGGATTTTGATTGAGGTTTCATTCATGATGTCGACGATCTCTGTTACGTTATTCAAGTCTTTCCAGGGAAGATTCTTCGCCAACCATCTCCGGACCCAGGCTGGCACAATCGGCACCACCAGGGGTAAAAATGGTCGATAGAATTCTACCTTTGCGAGCGCGGGTCTACCATTTGAGTTCAATCAGCTCCACATAGATTGAGCGAGAAGAAATAAGAATCGATGGCGTACGTGAATCCTCTGGCTGCTTCAGCATACGCGTTCTTGACATTCTCGTCAAGGGCATTGAAGCTGTATCCCAGACCGCCTTGGCCTACTAATTCGAGCGCCACGCGCCCCATCCATTCCATTATGTCCAGTTCTCGGGGCCCATCTGAGGTTTTGGCCTTGATGATGTCGCAAAGCTGTAGGGTGAAGAGATTGATCAATGGGAAGAAACAGTTGGAGCAGAAATGAAAGTCCGCTCACTTGATGAGTGATCTTGTAGAAAACAGGGATCATGTAGCGCATGTGGGCCGCAGAGAATACTGGATTGAGTAGCTTGCGCTGCGATATTTACTCAGTTTTGTTCGACCGAAAGTTATTAGGGAATAGCACGAACTTGGCGGCGATGATGTTCACCTACAATGAAACAAGAATTAGTACTTGATTCGTAGATACTCCAATGGCACGGCTAAATACTCACCCAATGTGCCGGTCAAATTCATTCCGAAAAATATACGGTTGGATCTGGAAGCGAGCGGGAATACAGTGAGTATCGCGTCTCTAACACAGTGTAGACCGTGACACAGAGGCAGGGATAACATACACGATGAAACCGCTCGTCTCCTCAAAGACGTATTGGTCTTTGATTAGAATATTGTGTAGCGCCTTAGGGTCGCTGATGTACAGCTGCGTATCCTGTGTAATCTCAATGTTAGTACGCACGATGAGCGAGCAAGGATCTAGACGCGTACTCCCAACAATCCCCAAATACGGATAATTCTTCCGTAGGTTTGGATGATGTTAGTATGGAAAGACATGCCGCGGTTTATGTCGAATATTTGCTTGAGATTGCCTGCAAAAAATATCCAGATATACGCCATGTTAAATAGACGAGTGCTAGGCCAGACTCACCATTGATGAGGGACAGTCTCGGCGGCCCGGGGATCTTGTGAAGTGGAGCTTGTCTGATCCAACGTCTCGTCACACTGACCGCAAGCCAGCACACACAGAACACAGGCAGGTACAACAGCACCTGGGTCGCAGAGATCATGGTTTTACTGAGTGTAGAAGAAGCTGTCCCGGGAGTTATGAGAAAGGGTGGTACGAGCATCCATATGGAGTTCATGCTGCTCGCTTTATACCCTTCCCAAGGCCTGTGAGAAGATTTTCAGGGGCTCCGATACCATACCGCTCCGATGTTGGTGGGGGCTGGCACAGTTCGACATGCATCTGTGTACGGAATACATCCTGTTCCACCAAAATACCGCATCAAGTGAAGCCCGTGTGAGTGTGTGTCTGCAACTGAGGTAAAAGAAGGCCGGCGCATGGAAAGAAGAAGCCATTGTCTTGGTGATTTAGCGATGGAAATATCCTTAAGGCCTATCACCGACAATACATCGTCAAATCGGGCCGCCATGACAAGATATAAACAACGTACAGAGTGGCAATGTGGAAAAGCTACATCCTCACAGTTTGTGGGTGAGGAATGAGGATACGCACGGAGTAAGGGTAGTTGTCGAGCAGGTAGGTGCACGGCGATCACCGTAGGCTTTTTTAATCCACCAACAAATCTGAAAAGAATTGTAGGAAAAGCGGTCAATATGTTATGATCTAGAAGTAGCATCCTTGACGATATTCACCGTGTTGTTTCCCGATGACACTGTAAGTATTATGGAAGCGGACCGCTCGTTCATTTCGAAGGCGCGCCAGTAACGTACGTCAGGGCACGGTGCGTACCTGGGTGCTCCAGAAAGAACCTTGGCCTCCGGGTCAAAGCAACACGCATAGAACGAAGCACAAAAAACGTCTTTGCATGATACACTCTACGGTCTTCGATGGCCATTCGTCAAAAGCGCAGCAACCTCGAAAAGTCGAAACCGTCGTGAGTTCAAATTCAGCGAGCCAGACCTCAAAGTCAGAAGATTGCCGAGCGGTCACCAAGGGACATGAGAGATGAACGTCAGCTTTGAATCCATGTTCGATAGGTTGAAACCATGAAGGGACGGTCAACTAGTAGGAGGGTCGTCTGGTTGGAGGGGAAATAGGATAAACTTGGCCGCCGTGAACTTCGGGCCACCGGTTTGAATGCGTTTCGGACCGGTACCACGAGTATTGCTCCAGCTTCGACCTCGCAGATTGCAGTGAGTATTGTTCCGTGGGTGACTTACTGCCGACCGAAGTATTGATTTGCGTCTGATGTCTTCGAAAGATGATTTTCCGTAGAAATTTGTGCAAATCCCACAGAAAGGAGGCTCGGGACCGTTTTTGATTGATTGGACCTCCTGTGTTCGTGTTTCTGTGCGCGAGTAAGCACCCCAAATCGCTCTAAAAAGCTACCCAGTAATGAAAGTTGAATGAAAGTCTAAACGCGCAGGAAGGGGTGGAAGCAGGTTTCAAAGGCATTTGCCGCGCCGTCTCGTGGGTTCTACGTTGTGGCACCGAAGTGGCCCACTTTTCTGCAAGACCATGAGTTCGATTCTGACGATCGACTCTTCATTGACCTGATCGCGATATTGTGTTGAGATTATAAAACATCAACTGATGTCACTCGATGTCCTACCGAAATGTAGGTATCGCAAACATAAAATGTAGTACACACAGTTTCAAAGTACAAGACGCAACTAAGTACTTGATGATCAGTCGACCAGTCAACCAACGCTTCTCCATATCGTACAGTTCACTGCCAACGGGCATCTTGAGTCTGTCTTCGTTCGTTCAAATTCAAGATTAAATCCTCCCATCATCCTCCACCAAAGAGACCACAAGCGGCAGAGAGGGCGTAGGGATGCCATCTTGCATGGGCATGGACACCCCGTGCAGCTTCCATGAGATCGGTCGAGTCTTCGAGGGAGTGAACTTGAACGTCGATATGAGAAGGGAAAGAACAATCTCTGCAGATTATGTTGTCAGCTAAGTACCATGCGAGCTAATAACCAACGGAGGAGATGGGTTGCAGGTGTAGACTTACTCATCTCCATTTGAGAAAACTTAAAGCCGCTGTTGAAACAGACATCGTATTCGCCGTCCGAGGTCAGTTCTTGTGCGTTTACTGCCTTGATGTGGTATGAAGGACTCACATGCATGCCCTCCCGCCACCCAAGAACGTCAACCTGAAAGCACAAGCCGCTTAAGTACCCTATCCTTCAATATCGATGAACCGACTCACAAGTTCGCATAGACACCCGGCACTCTCGCATCTGTCACGCTTTCCGGCAGTGGATTCAAGAACCGTTCAGGTTTCCACTCGTTTGCGTCAGGACCCCAAATCAGTGGGTCTGTGTTAATAGCCCGCATACCGATGAAAACTGTGGTATCCTCGGGAATGAATATTTCGGAGACTGGTGAGTTTCCGACTGTGGTTGGGACGTCGAGTGGTACCATTATGTCCTTTCGAGCGCTATGGTGAGGATAAATCGTGGATGTTAGAGAGTGAAAGGGCAGTGTAGCAAGGGAAACCAAAGGGCGTACGTGCGAGTCATGGTGGCAACAGGAGAGTGTCTGGTTTGATATGTGGTAAGTTTGAGTCGTAGCGTGAGAGCACAACAACGTGAGCTCACAGGCGAAGTGTCTCGCGGCAGACAGCCTCTAGATACGGCAGCTCATGCAACGTATCGTAGTCTAAGTCACCGGATTCGGAGGACTTGTAAGCGTTCATCACCTCCTCACGTAGTCTGTCTTGTACGTTCTGGTGCTCTGAAAGAAGGTGCAGGAGGCGAGCTAGAGCAGAAGAGGTGGTATCCATCCCTGCAAATATCAGGAGCCTAGGAGGGCCGCCATTGATTAAACAATAGTGTGGCGTATTCTCATGAGAGCTTGACATACGACATTTGTGCCAAAATTTCTGAGTCAGGAAGCCTCGTATCTTCTGAAGCAGACATATTGGCTTGCACTGAAGATGGAGCTCAGTGCCACGCCAAAAGTCCACAGGTATAGAAGGACGAGAAACTCACAAAGGACGGACATGATATCTTTCCCTTCCGCAACCTGATGCAGAACCGCCTCGTCTCCCTTCTCAAACGCCCTCTTCTTTGCGTCCAGAATATTTGTCGAGGTCTTTTCCATGACATCGATAATGTTTACCATCCTATTCAGGTCTTCCCATGGGACGGTCTTCGCCAGCCACCTGCGGAGCCAGGATGGACCAACTCGCGCCGCCCACGGCAGGAATTGTCCATAGGGCTGCAATTTCGCGAGTGTCGGCCTGGCATTAAAATATAATAATATACAGTGAGATTAAAATTAATAAGTTGAAATCAATGGCATACGAGAATTCCCTGACTGCTTCAGCATACTCGTTCCTAACATTCTCATCGAGAGCGTTGAAGGAATATCCTAGACCGCCTTGGCCAACTAATTCGAGCGCCAGGCGACTCATCCATTCCATCATGTCCAGCTCTTGGGAGCCGCCGGAGATTTTGGTCTTGACGATATCGGAAAGCTGCAAGGTGAAGAGAACGTTTGATGAGAGCAACGGTTATAGCTCGAAGAATTGAAGCAGTGCGCTAACCTGATGAGTGACCCTGTAGAAGATAGGAGTCATGTAGCGCATGTGGTTCACGGAAAATACGGGGTTGAGTAGCTTGCGCTGCAATATTTACTCAGTTCTACCTCGGCAGAAACCTACAAGGGACAGTAGCTCACCTGCCGGCGATGATGGTCACCTACAATGAGATAGTAGTGAGTACACAATTTAAACAGTAATTCAATGGAATGATCAAATCCGCACCCATGGTCGCGGTCAAGCTCGGCCCAAAGAACAGTTGGTTGGATCTATCGGCGCACGAAAGTACAGTGAATAGCGCGTTTCATCCACAGTGAGAGCATAACACCGGTGAAGAAATAACGCACTTGAGGAAGAAAGCGGTTTCTTCAAAGATATACTGGTCTTTGATCAAGATATTGTACAGTGCCTTTGGGTCACTGATATATAGCTGGGTATCCTATGGATACGGGTCGAGGTTAGTACTCTTAATCTATGGAAAGAGACGAAGAAACTTACGCCGAGATACCCCCAGATCCTGATGATTCTCCCGTATGTTTGGATAATGCTGGAATGGAAGGACCAGCCGTGGTTTACGTCGAGAAGTTCTTTGAGATTGCCTAAGAAATACCATCAGGATCTGCACCATACTGATAGACAATGATAAAAAAGAGACCCACCATTTATGAACGACGCACTCGGCGGCCCCGGAATTTTGTGAAGAGGAGTCTGTTTAATCCAACGTCTCGTCGCTCTCGCCACCAGTAGACCCACGCACAGGACAGGCAGGTACAAGAGCCCCTGGGTCACAGGTATCATGATACTTCTTAATCAACGAGGACTTGTCTCGGGAGTCAAAGCAAAGGATGGGTACCCGCAGCCACGGAGAGTCCATACCGCTCGCTTTATAACATTTGAAAGGGCTGTGGGAAGGCTTTTGGACCCTCCGATGGGAAGCCATCACGGTCTCCGACTCTGTGGGTACTGGGATAAGTCGGCGTGCATGTGTCAGTATGCGCAATCGATGCACAATGGTCGACGTACGAGTGCATGATAAACGGTAAACGTACGTGTGTATGCGCAATCCACACTGCTCGACCCAAATACCCCATTGAGTGAGTTCTGTGTGAATGCGACCGAGGTAAAAGAAGGGCGATGTAGTAAATGGAGAGGTCATCGTCCAGGTGATATGGGTATGGGAGTCTCTTCGGTGCGTATGCCTGCCAATATGTCGTCAATTCGGGCCGCCATGACAAGATAAAAGCCGCGTACATTGTGTCAGTGTGGGGAAGCCTGCATTCGCACATTGTACGAAGTAATTGGGAAGGGAAGGCTTGTTCACAGAACAACAGCAATAAAAAGTACAGCCTAAGTGCGCAGGGATAACCGTAGGTTCCTTTCCTGAGCAGAGACTAGCAAATCTGAAAGGAAATGTATAGAATTCGGCCAAGATATGGTCATCCGGAAATAGCACTACTGGTTCCCATTGACAGCACAAGTATTATCGCAGCCGTTCTTCGGTGAAGCCGAGATAACGTACGTCGGAGGCTGGGTGGTACAAAAGCCTTCGTACATACCGAGGCAAAGAAAGATGTGTAGTATGCTTTGCTCTAAGATCTTGGGACTCGTCAGTCACGGTGGCCAGGAGCATCGTGACGGTTCCGAATCCATTGACACTGAGTGTTCAGTTCCAATGGGAGAGTGGTCAGGGGATTGATGCATAATTAACAAGTGATGCGATAGCAAATAATCCCCTTAAAGCTGTTGTAGACTTGTGGACGCAACGACGGCGAACTCAGAGCGTCGTGTGGCAGAAGGAGAAAGAGGATGACGCTTTGAAGTCAGAATTGAACGCACCGGCGGTTTGTTTGGTGGCGTTTCCAACCGGCATATCCGGGCCGAAGTCGGATTACAACGCGTGCCACAAAGTGCCACACAGAGAATGGATCGAGGCAGCAGTGCCAAACACTTCGGCATATCGAGAATTATATGAACAAATAAATATCCATGGCGATAATATACTTTACACCCTCTTTTTCTTCCCACCACCACCACCACCCGTAGCAGTCGCCGTCGTACTGCCCTTCCCGACCTTCCCACCCCACCTCCCAAAAATCATATTGCCCCTCAGGACCAGCAAGTCCCTGAGCATCCCCAGGCTATCAATCATGACGTTCAGCTTACTTCCCTCTACTTCATGCCACTCTATCGGTACCTCTTCGACGGGTATGCCCATTTGAGTAGCGAGCAGTAGAAGCTCGACGTCGAATATCCAGGTGGTTAGGTGTTGTGCGGGGAATATGGACTGGGCCGCGGGACGGGTGAAGAGTTTGAAGCCGCATTGGGTGTCGCGGATGGAGCCTACGCCGACGATGCGGAGGATGAGGTGGAGGGAGAACATGAGGAAGTTGCGGATGAATGAACGCTGAAAAAAGCCAATATCGAGATCAGTATCATTGTTAAGTTGTATTTTCAACACGAATAAGACATACCTTAACAACAGCTTCGGTCTTGACCAGATGCGCCCTACTCCCCACCGCAACACATCCTCGATCCTCCCTGCCCTCTTTCCGCTGCTTCTCCTCGACCCCATCCAGTGCGTCCCAAAGCCCCTCCAGATCCTCAAACCGACTCGCCCCATCCGCATCAACCATCAATAGTCTCCGTCCCCTCCCGTGCAACATCCCATGCCTCACAGCCCCTCCCTTGCCCAAATTCTTCTGGAGAGTGACGACCCTGATTTCGGATTTAGCAAATGTGTGGGATTGCGAGAGTGTGAGCGCGAAGGAGGACGTTGAGTCGGAGGAACCGTCGTCTACTATAAGGATTTCGTAGGTCCGTTTGGGAGGAGGGGCTCGAGTTCTCGTGGTGCTGCTGCCGTTCGTTCCGATTGCGTTTGAGGTGGAAGTCGAAGTGGATTTAGCGGTTCCGCTTTGTTGTGGTTGGGAGTATGATTGAAGGTGTGCGACGGTAGACTCTAGCATAGCGGGTAACCTTTCCGTCTCGTTATAAGCCGGTATAACGACCGTCAAGTCCACTGAAGGTTCGTCGAATAGGGAGGGTAGAGGGAGTGGTTTTGAAGGAGAAGCGCGGGAACGGTAGACTTGTTCGGACGGGCGTGTGGGTATTGGGCGTGGTGAGAGGAGGATCAGAGCGGAGTATGCCTGTAAGTGCAGGTTATGCCGCCCCACCCAAGTGCAGGTCGAACGTGGTCAGCATTCGTCGCTCCTTCAATGTCTCATAATCAAGGAAAAATAAAGGAAAGGAGGATCAGAACAACCGATGCTCCGCCCTCGAAATACATCAAGTTAAGGTAACACGGTGCGACCTGTGTTTCTCGTCGTCGCCCTGGCGCGGACCATGTACAGCAAGCATCTAATCGCGGCCGTACGTATTTATACGAACGCGTGAAGATGAGACCTGGCCGCCCGAAGCTCTTAGAACAAGGATGATCTAGGAATGCATCATTTCTCTCCTTTATATTGCCAGCACGAGCATGTCCGCCATGCGGCCTCAATGCTGGCCCAGCACACTGCACCTCTACCCCGCATCTTGGATAAATTGGACTTACCACTCCGAAAGCAAGCACCAGTAGCCCAGCACCATACAGAGCAATCGTCGTTGTGTCCATAGCGTCCCTCTTGTCTCGTCCGTACTTTGGTTAATAGCGGCAGCTACTGGTCAGAGGTTGCGTGGCAGGGAAAGTAGTCTCGACCGTCCAGCTGCTGGCTAAATTATAAGCTAAAGCGATAGGGATAAGTATTATCAAAGTCGTCCCTCCTAGCGCATCATCAAGTGCTGGCAGACGTGAGTCGTGGGTGAGAGAGAGAAATGAATGGGTATAAAGGCAGAGAAGCCTGCGGTGGACGACGGGTGAGAACAAGGTGGCGACCGCTGCGTGTGGCTGTTTGGAGAAACACGCTTGCCACGTCAGACGGTGGTTAGTGCCACAACACTTCTCCCGGCCTGTGGCTCCTAAACTAAAGAATAATGGCCGGTACGTACTCTTACGTACTAAGCTTGATATTCACAAGAGCGCCGCAAAGACGTGCGGGGGCTGCTTCAAAACGCAGAAAAGGGAAACAAAAAGCAATGGGGAGGATAGGATCATTGGCCAACGTGGGGATCGAACCCAAGACCTTCGCGTTATTAGCACGACGCTCTAACCAGCTGAGCTAGTCGGCCATGTTAGAAGTCCTTTTTAAGAGTATATACCCTAATGTTTCGGTTAATCGAGTTGGCGCGATCACGTGCCTAATGAGTCCACGTCGCGGTCGGCTGATGAGGAGCTCGTCAACGTCTTCGACGACGTCGACGGCCCTGAGGTATCATTACTCTGTGGCCATACTACTTCGCCGCCATGTCTGCAGCATTGCCTTCATTATCGGTCCACCCATTGGCACGACATTGAAGCGACGATGATCTTGTGTCCCCCCAGCCGGCTCCTTGTGTTAGCGCGCTCATAAGCGCAAACAAACGACGTCCGAAGGCGGCAGGTCATATCTTCAACCACCATATGGACGCGATAACGCGGCTCTATCCTGCGTGTACCTCTCATCAACCAGCTGATGTGCATTTGGGCTGTGGGACGCGTATGTGCGTTGACTCAGTCAGACGGGACCGATCCTGAAAGTAAGCGCCTGCTTAGTGCAAAGAGAGTCAGAAGCAGAGACCCAACGATCCTTACAACTTATCATCTTCTTCGACATCTACATCGGCTCTGTGGGCGACGACGACGGCCACGATCATGGTCCACGTCGACTCTACGTTTGTGGTCCAGCAAGCCGGCTACTACGTCTCCAAAGTAGTCAACCACAAGGACGAATCTGTATGGTCTAATACTCTTGCTATTCCATTCTATATCACTGGGCTTTCGTTCGTCTCTCTCGTTCTTCACGGTATCTTTGCATCAGTCCCTGTGAAGACGTTCGTACGATTGGGATGGGCGAGTGAGTCGAAGGAGGTCGCGTTGCCGGAGGTGAAGGGCGTCAGGGCACACGTCGCTGCACACGGAGGCGCGGTCATCTTCGCATCTGAGGTGTTGAGGGTCATAGGATGTGCGGCATTGGTGGGTCTGTCGGTGACTACCTTGACGATGAAAAGTACTTTGGACGGTTTTGTGACGATTACCTTTGTGAGTAATACTCGTCTGTATTTCCGGTCGTATAGTCTATTGATCTCAAGCGAATTGGTACAGATCTACGCGTTCATTCTTTCGTTGTTCACCGCATTCTCTGCTCGACCGTCAATTGTAGCTGACCATCTGAACTTGGTTCTGGGAGTGGCATGGTTCATCTACTGCATCCGTGACGTGGCCCCCTTCTTCACCTACACCGAAAAGCCAGTGGATCATGGATTCCTGTTCTGGGAGTTCTTCGGTGTCCTCACCATCACTGGAGCAGTCCTTCCATCAATAACACCAAGGGCATATATACCTTACGACCCGTTGGTGTGTCCAGTCGCACTGTTGTCATGTCCGACTGAAGACTGATCTTAAATGAACGATATTGTAGGAACCGATGACACCCAACCCAGAGCAAGTCGCTTCTCCCCTCTCCCGCATCTTCTACAGCTATCTGGACCCTGTCGTGTGGCGTGCCTACCACGTCAACCACATGTCTCTCTCCGACCTGCCCCCTCTCGCAGATACCGACCACTCAAAACACCTCGTTCAACGCGCGTTCCCCCATCTCGACCCCCTCGCCTCTCCCAACGATACCAAGGCGACAAATGCTAAGGATCGTGCCAACGGTGAAAGCAATGCTGCTCCCAAGCCGAAGGCCAGGAAACCGAGGAGTCACTTCCATACCGTGATCGCGTTGCTCGTCGTGTTCAGGAAAGAGTTTGGCTCGGTCGTTTTCCTCATTTTGGCGAACAATGCTGCATTGTTGTTCTCGCCATATGGGTTGAGGCATCTTCTGATGTATTTGGAATCGGGAGGTAAAGACGCCATCGTTCGTCCATGGGTTTGGATTGCCTCGGTACGTCGCACGCCACATTTCTCGACGAACCACACCATCGATATTCACTCATTTTGATATCGGCTCAGCTCTTCCTCGCACCATTCGCCGCATCCCTCCTCATGCAACAATATCAACTCCGCCTCACCCGCATGGTCGTCTACATAGAAGCCATCTTCACTCAACTCGTCCTCCAACATGCACTCCGCATCCGTGTCGTCGCCGAAACCAAGGCTGAAGCGACCCCCACGCCTGCCACCACGTCCTCGCACTCCGAAACTCCATTCATCGCTCCTTCCGCAGCTGATTCCGAGCAAGACCAAGCAAAGGGCTCGGGTTCTGGAGGCTCAGACTCGGGTCCAGCGACAGCAGAATCAGAAGCTACCGCCGTTCCCAGTTTGATTGGAAGGATGAATAATCTGATTTCTTCGGATTTGCAGGCGATTGGGAAGGCGACAGATTTTGTACAGATCGTCATTGCGGGCCCGATCATGGTGTTTGGGACGATTGCGTTCTTGTATAACATCCTTGGGTGGAGGTATGTTTTGTCTTTTCGAGTTCTTTCTTTCAAATTTTCGCCGGGTTTGGATTTGGTGTGGCGGTGTGCCGAGATTTGAGATGGTCGGTTACTGACCAGGTTGCTTTGGTGGATATCGTTCGATCATTTGGTCAGTGATGCAGTGCGCTCGCCGGGTTTGGAAGTATGCTGCTTATGATGCCGCTTCCTGCCTTTGCGGCGAAACTATTGGAAGGCGCTTCTCGTGAAGTGTTTAAGAAGGTACTCTTTCTTGTGACTACATCCCTGATCGTCATACTGAGAAAGTCCTCCTATAAATAGAGCGATGACCGCGTCGAGATGGTGACTGAGAGTGAGTTTTAGTCTGGCCCGAATTGGACGTTCGAACGGGTGCTAACTACTTGTCTTCCTCAACGAACAGCTTTGAGCGTCATCCGCATGATCAAGATGTTTGGTTGGGAACGCAAGATGAGCCAACACATCGACGAGAAGCGAGAAATCGAGATGAACTGGATATTCTGGAACAAGGCTTACGGCCTTTTGACTGTGATCTTCCAGTCAGTTACTCAGTTTCCATGCACCTTTCGTCTGCAAAGATCTGAGCATACGTGGTTCTATAGTGTCATCATTCCTGCCGTCACAATGGCCGTCACTTACAGCTTCTACGTAAGTCCTTGTCGACAAACTGCACTTGCAAGTATAATGGCTAACGCTTCCTTTAGGCTTTAGTTATGCATCGTACTCTCGACGGTTGGTCTGCTATCTCACTCCTCATCCCTTGTCTCGTCTAATGTATCTCTCTGCTAGCTGCCACTGTCTTCTCGTCCATTGCCCGTAAGTCGACTCAAATTATATCCTGTCGAAAGCCAGAGTTCTCATTGAAGAATCATTTCCTCTCTAGTTTTCGACATTCTCAGACTGCGGATGTCCCAAATGTTCATGTTCATCCCCATAGTCATCAAAAGCAAAGTCTCCCTCGACCGCATCACAGACTTCTTAAACGACGTACGCCCCCCTCCGCTTCCCTCCCACTCCTCACCCTGACCCTCTTAACACGATTGCTCCATCCAGACCGAACTCCTCGACGAATTCACTCCCGAATCCTCCACCCAGCTCGAAACCGCTGACAATGCCATCTCTCCCGAGGAGTCGCACGAGATCGGATTCCGCTCTGCTGCCTTCTCCTGGACGAATGACAGCGCAAACCAAGGCGTCGTTACTCCTTCCAAGAGACGGTTCATGTTGCATGTCGAAGACGAGTTGTTGTTCAAGAGAAGTAGCATCAATTTGATCGTAGGGTCTACCGGATGCGGGAAGACGTCGTTGTTGATGGCTTTGCTCGGTTAGTCTCTTGACGGCTTTGTCTATTTGGTGCGAAGATGCTGATATTTGGTTCGCGGTGATGTGTAGGTGAGATGCACTTCGTTCCTTTGGCTCCGAGGTCGTGGTTCAACCTCCCGAGAGACGGCGGTGTGGCGTACGCCGCTCAAGAGTCTTGGGTTATGAACGCTACCATCAAGGTTCGTCTGACCAATTCTCACAATTCCATTTTTCTGTGTGAGGATGTCTGACCCTCAACTTTCCGTTTAGGAAAACATCATCTTCGGCTCTCCGCTCGACGAAGAACGCTACGATAAAGTCATCTATCAGTGTGGGCTGATGCGCGACTTGTCTCTGTTCGAAGCCGGTGATCAGACTGAAGTCGGCGAGAAGGTACGTCTGTCCATATTGTATCATAGCTCAAGATGCTGACCGTACTGTCCAGGGTCTCACACTCAGTGGCGGCCAAAAAGTGAGTCCATGTGTGTCGCAACTCATTGCCGTTTATATTTTTGACCAAGTGTTGTGGACTGTGTAGGCTCGCATCACGTTGGCTAGGGCTGTTTACTCTTCTGCCGAGATCATCCTCTTGGACGATGTACGCCTCTGCGTTTTGTATTCCGCGAAGAGAGATCCTGACATGATGTCATGTTGGAATGCAGGTCCTGGCAGCATTAGACGTTCATACCGCGAAGTGGATCGTAGATAAATGTTTCTCTGGAGATCTCATCCAGGGCAGGACTATCCTCCTGGTCGTAAGTCCCCACCATCCCTCCCCTCGTCTCCCCTCGCGTGTTCTTAAAATTATCTGATTTCGGTCCCGCACAGACTCACAATGTCAGCATGGTCGTTCCCATCGCCGACTTTGTCGTCTCCCTTGGCTCTGACGGTCAAATACTCAGTCAAGGCACCATGTCCGACGCCCTCGCCAACAACTCCAAACTCCGTCAGGAAATTGCCAAAGAAAAAGCCTTTGAAGAGAAGGCTGAGCAGGAAGAGGCCTTTGAGGCTTTCGAGACTCCTGCTCCTGGTCAAGTCGTACCGGCGCAGAAGGAGGAGAAGAAGGATGGGAAGTTGATCATGGAAGAGGAGACGGCGGAGGGACATATCAGCTGGAACTCTGGTGAGTTCTCTCTCGGGCCCCCTTAGCTGGAGGCAGAATATGTTGTGCTTAAACGCAGGGTTGTTGTAGTGAAAATGTTCCTCGGCGCATTGGGTGGACCTGGATTCTGGATCGGCTTCACGCTCGCTTCGTTCTTCGAGTGTAGTATCGAGTCCGTTCAGCCATGGTTGCTCGGCCTTTGGGCTACCCAGTACGAAACTCACAAACCTGAAGATGTCAATGTCCCCTTGTATGTTCTTTGCACATCGTCGATCTAATTCATCGAGCTTAAAAATGTGCTGACCTTTGGATTATCCGCATCCTAAACAGCTACCTCGGCGGCTACGTCGGACTCGTGGCGCTCATGGTGCTTGTCTACGTTTGTGCCCAAATCGTGCTCACACTGGGAGCCCTGAGGGCTTCGAAGTTACTGCACAGGAGGCTCATCGAGACTGTCTTGGGGACGACATTGAGGTGGTTGGACAAGACACCGGTGTCCCGTATCATCACGAGGTGTACCCAGGATGTTTCTTCTGGTGAGCTCTGTCGTACTTATATGTTTCCTCCTACACGTTCTGACGCTATCGTCAAAGTCGACACGACCATTCCGGACATGTTTTCTCAGCTCTATGAGTGCATGATCATCTTGATCGTCCGGTACATCGCGATCTTGATCTACACGCCTAGTACTTTCTGTCTCCTGGGTATCGTCATCTTCATTGTTGGTAAGTTGTCAATTCTACCTTCTTGGCCAGAAGCAAGCGTCTGATCCGGATGTATTATACGATAGGTGGTACCGTAGGGAACGTCTATATGAAAGCTCAGCTCTCCGTCAAGCGCGAACTCAGCAAAGCCAAGGCGCCCGTCATGGCGCACTTCGGAGCTGCTATCGAGGGCATCAGTGAGTCTGCTCTCAATGCCCAAAAATTCTCATAGAACAGGGTATCTGAATGGTGCACAAAAATAGCTTCCATCCGTGCCTACGGCGCACAGGAGTCCTTCCTGCTCAAGTCGACCGTCAAGATCGACGAGTACACTCGTGCGAACAGGGTCTTCAACGATCTCAACAGGTGGATCGAGATTCGTGTCGATGCCCTTGCTGGCCTTTTCGTTTGCTTCCTTGGTGTCTACTTCGTGTACGGCCACCCGGGCGTCAATCCCTCCAACACTGCGTTCACACTCAGTAAGGCATCTCACTATTATTATCAATAGTCACTTCTCAGCCCCTCTGAGTGGACAAAGACAAAGACTCGGACACTGACTGCTGACTGTGCATGGGCTATCTCGATTTTTTTCAACAGCTATGGCGGTTGACTTTGGTCAGATGATCCTGTTCTTCGTGCAGGTGCTTAACATGTTCGAGGTGAACGGAAACTCGCTCGAGCGTCTGCAACAATATATGGAAATTGAACAAGAGCCGAAGCCGGTTGAGGGCGGCATGCCACCTGCGTACTGGCCTTCGAGTGGTGACCTCAGGGTCGAGAATCTCAGTGCGCGCTACTCTCCTGTACGCATATGCATCCTTCCTCTCCCCGTTATTATCCAAACTCGGTGTTGAAACTAACCATGGTGCAATGCAATGTGATATAAATTATAGGACGGCCCCGAGGTGTTGCACGATCTCAATTTCGAGATCAAGGCTGGCGAGCGCGTCGGTGTCGTCGGAAGGACAGGTAGCGGCAAGAGCTCGCTCACGCTTTCGTTGCTTCGGTGTATTTTCACGAGTGGAGAGGTGTACTTCGACGGTATCCCTATATCTTCCGTCAACCTCGATGCTCTGAGGAGTCATATCACCATCATCCCCCAGATGGTGCGTCCTTCGTCTGTCTACTTCATCATCGTCAGACCGTATGCATGCATACTCATACGCTGTGGATGTTGTTGTTGTTGAACTTGTGATTTGTAGCCCGAGCTGTTGAGCGGGACCCTCCGTCGTAATCTCGATCCATTCGACCAATTCGACGACGCGACGTTGAACGCTGCGCTCCGTTCCGCCGGTCTTTTTTCCGTGCAGAACGAACTTGGCGACGAGAGCACTAGTATTAGTATGAGTATGAGTATGAGTATGGGTATGATCACGCTCGATAGTGCGGTGGCCCGTGGAGGGAGCAACCTTTCTGTTGGGCAGCGGCAGATTGTTGCGTTGGCGAGGGCGATGGTTAGGGAGAGCAAGTTGCTTATTCTTGATGAAGGTTTGTTCTTGTATCACTTATTTTGCTTGGATTGAGTTGAGTGGGTTTGGATTTGGGCTGACGAGTTTGGTGTTGCACTTGCAGCGACGTCCGCGATTGATTATAAGACGGATGCGGTGATCTAAGAGTCGTTGAGGAACGAATTGAAGAAAGACGTGACTATCATCACCGTCGCGCACAGACTACAGACCATCATGGACGCTGACAAAATCGTACGTTCTCCTCATTCCCATTCCTCATTCCTCATCCCGCCTCTCCGTCTCCCCTACCCCTACCCTTCTGTCAACGTACGAGTCACTCACGCCACCTTCAGATAGTCCTCGACGCCGGAAAAATCGTCGAATTCGACAGGCCGAGTGTACTTCTCGAGAAAGCTGACTCAGAGGACGGGTTCCTTAAATCTTTGGTGGATGAGAGTGGCGATAGAGAGGCGTTGTATGCCGTTGCTGGGGGTACCGGTCGTTCATGAGTTAGAGGCTTGCGATCTTGGGTATAGTTTTTCTTGGTTGATATGTATTTTGGGTTTCTGGTTTCTGCATATCGAGCCATGGCAGTGTATCTGTACCGGCTAGGACCACGTCGTATGAAATGGGGTGTATCGAAGTTGTAGGGAGTTATGCTTCGCCATGTGTTCCTCACTTCTCTTGAGACTTTTACTGTGAGCAATTAGAGGCAGGAAAGAAAATAATCGCAGACGAGTCGTACACGATGAGCAGTGAGAAAAAATGACGTTCGAACACGTTTGAATGCGAGGAAGACCAGGAAGGAGCGGCCAAAGCTGTGGATGATTCAGAGACGGCCGGGCCGCGCCTTTGGGGTGGTGCCACCACGGAATCTGCGCCAAGTGATGCTCGAATGGGTGCTCACTGTCCCACAACGTCTTCCCCTCTACGCAATCTATCATTATTCTCTCTTCGCTCGTCCTACTCAATAATTCCAAGCGGCGCTGCATCAATAGTGGATGCCTAGCGTCTCCGTCTTACCAGCTTCGCCCGTTGTGACAGGGTTCTCCAAGCCTTCTTTCCTCCGTAAGTATGTTCTCGAGCAGCACTGCTTGCCACTTGCGTCCTGCTTCTCTCTTAACCATCCGTACTGACGTAACCTAATGTGTTCTACCTCAATCAGCGTCCAAGAAACCACTCCCAGCCCATTCCAGCGATATGTCGGTCGCGGAGATTCGTGAGAACGCGGTGCAGCACGCACAGTCCGTATTCAAGACCGCATCGCCCTTGCATATCATCCGGGGTGCGCGCAGCCAGCTCGACCATGCCAAGGTGTGCGATGCGCAAGGTGATCTGAAGGGTGCGTATGCAGCGTTTACGAAGGCGGGGACGTTGGCGAGGATGGTCATGGATACGGATGAGTTCAAGACGGAGATGACTCCGGGGAAGAAGGGCGTGCTCTGGAATGAGTTCCAGACGTTCTCGCAGGTCCGTATTTATTTTCACTAAATTAATGTGTAAGGACCGGATGGATTGAACGGGATGTGGGATAGAACGACGGACGAGATCTTGCTGCACGGACGAAGGAGCTCGAGCTGAAACTGACTCAGGTCGAGCAAGCCGCGTCCTCTCAGTACGTCCATCCTTTTGCCTCTCGTAGCCTCCTGCATGTTCACAAGTCTCCGCAGGCAGAATGGCAGCGCCTCGTCCGCAGACGGTCCGATTCTCAAGTCGGGAGGCAGCATCGCAGACCGCATGCGTTCACTGCAGGACGCAGGTCTCTCAGTGAGCGCAAATAAACGACTATCCCGCGATCTTCCCTCCACGCCTTTCGCTCTGCCCCTCTCTCCCTCCGGATCTACCTCATTCTCCTCTCCCGAAGGGCCACTCTCCAGACCAAACAGACCCGGTCCTCTAGGATTAGGACTCTCATCCCCCTCCCTCTCCTCCACTTTCTCACAGACTCCACTCCAACCACCTTCCTCCTCCCAACCGTCTCAACCACCACAACCACAACCACAATCGACCCCCACCTCGACCGCATCCGCACTAAGCCCCTCCCCACACACCCAACCCCACGCCCTCATCCCCGCCACATCCTTCGGCCCCCCCTCACCCAGCTCCTCCGCATCCTCCTCCCCCCGCACCTCAATGTTCAACCTAACCGAATTCAACCAAACCTTTCCCTCCATCGACGAACTCGAAGAACACGAAGGCCCCGGTTCCTCTCCGCAACCTATCGCACCCATGTCCACAGGCGCGTCTACGTCCAGTCGACGTTCAAGACGAGACCTACAATACACTGGCGGGGAGCAAGCGCAATCGCAGCGTTCGCCCATCCCTCCACCTATGTTCTCTCCGAAACCATTCCCTATTATGCCCGTCAATATCAATAATCCCACTGGTGCCCGACCCGCTTCTACGCCCATCACGCCCAATATCGATTCATTCGCGTCTAGGCCTAGTTCGCCTACTGCCCATGGTCATGGTTCCTATGCGCCTACAGCCCACGGTCATGGTTCCTATGCGCCTACCGCCCACGGTCACGGTTCCTATGCGAATTCGAACGGGAACGGGAATGGTGCGGTTAATGGGATGGTGGTGACGACGGGGGGCATCATGAATGGCGTGAATGGGAAGTCACCGCTTTCGCCTACTATACCACATAAACCTTCGAACCTGAGTCTTTCCATGAAACCGTCGCGGTCGCCTCTGAATGCGTCCTTGCCACTCGCTGCTAATGGGAACGGGAATATCAATGGAGCAGCGAACGGGGTAGGTGCTGGGGACGCAAGGGAGAAAGTCGACGCGCTGGCACATGTGAAGAACGCGGCGGACCCGAGGGAGCTGGTTGAGTTGACGCAGAAGGGAGTGAAGATATTGTTTTTGGATGTTAGGACTAGGGAGGAGTTTATGAGGGGGAGGTTGAGAGGACAGCCGGTGGTTTGTATTGAGCCGAATGTGTTGGCGAGGGAGAAGTGCGTCCCTTCTCTCTTCCCTTTTTACACATCTTTCCCTCATCTTGCTACTCACGTTAAGTGTATTGCTGGGATCCGACTGATGACTGACATGACAAAAATTGAATCCACAGCGTCACCTCCCAAACCATCGAATCCTCCCTCTCCATCGCACCCCGCGAAGAACTCATGCTCTTCACGAACCGTGACAAATTCGACCTCGTCGTAGTCTACGACTCCGATTCTACCACCCTCGGCTCGCTCGCATCCAATTCACCGCTTTCGGTCCTCGTGAAGGCGATCTATGAGACCGAGTTTAGGAAGATATTGAAACAGGTGCCGGTGGTGATGGTGGGGGGGTATGAGGCGTATAAAAGGGAAGTTGGGGCTGGTGGTGGTGGTGGAGGAGAGGGGATCAATGAGGCACCGTCGCTTTCGTTGTCTATGAATATGAACAACATGAACGCGCCACCGCCACTCGCGCTCGCTTCGCAGCCGATCTCACCATCTACGTCTACACCCCCGACTCTCCCCAGTATCCACGAAGGCTTCCAGTCCTCGACCCCACCAGCTCTGGCTTCATCGTCCACGAACAATAGCAATAGCAATAACAACAGTAACAGGACCAGTCCGCTTTCGAGCGCGAGCACCGGGAGGACGAGAGCGGGAACAGAGTCGCTTACCTACGGTTCAGGTTCTTCTGCGTCTGGACCGGGCGGAGGTTCAGGCTCGGGAGGGCAGCATTCGAGGGACGCGGCGTCGAGCGGGTATGCGGATCGGAGGTCGTTGGATCAGATGGCTATGCCTATGCCTGGATCGTCAGGCGGGTTGGCGAGGAAGCCTGTGATGAATTCGAGGTCGCCGAGCGTTGGGAGCGCGACGTCGTTTTCGAGGGGTGGTTCGGATAATGTGAGTCTTTTCGTGTCCCCTTTTCCTTCCACGACTTTCTTCGTGAGTAGGGCGGAGTGTTCGGAGTGTTTGTGAGTAGGGCGGAATGAGACTCACTGCTCACTGCTTCGCGGCTGGTAAATCAGGTTTCATCGCCTACGATACCTCAATCTATGATCGGCAGTACCAGTATCCAATATCCATCCTTCGGCAGCCGGCCTAACAGCCTCACCTCTCCACCATCCTCCTCCTCATCTACCACGACCAACACCAACACCACATCACCGCACGCAAACCTCTACACCACCGTCTCACCACCACCCCAAGCCTCCATCAACCACTCCGCGCTCTCCCGTCGTCGTTCGGACTATATCGACAACGCCCAAGAAGCTCTCTCGAATTTCAGCAGCGGAGGGGGCAATTACAACAGCAGCGGAGTGGGCAATTACAACAACGGCGTGGGCGTGGGCAGGGGGCCGATAGATTATCCAGATATATCGGGTCAGAGACAGGTGTTGAGGCCTCCGCCCGCGGCGGCGAGTCCGGCGCTGGAGAGACAGGATACGAGACCGAGGTTGGGACATGGGCATTCGTTCAGCGTTCAGGTCAACGGGGTGCCCAATGGCGGAATGATGCCCAATGGCGGAATGATGCCCAATGGTGGAATGATGCCGAATGGGGGGATGGGGATGTCGATGCCGCCACAGCCGCCGACGATTCCGGGCCCGGTGTACGCGGTGACGTATTGGGGGGATGTGCAGCTTGGGCAGTCGGGCTTGAGGAATTTGGGGAATACGTGTTATATGAATGCGACGATGCAGTGTTTGAGCGCTACGGTGCCGTTTGCGAGGTTTTTTACTGGTGCGTTGTTTCTCCGTTTGGGTTTCTTCCCCTTCCATATCTGATGGTGTCTGTTGGTTTGGATAGAGGGACGATGGCGAGCGGCGGTGAACATGATGAATAAGATGGGGACGAAGGGAGCGATCGCACAGGCTTTTGCGCATATCTTACATGAGATATGGCAAGGAGAGATGTCTTTCTTCTCACCCATTTCTTTCCGAGTACGTCTCCCCCCAATCTCATTCGTCCCTTGAGTTCTCATCGCTAATGTGAACATACAACAGCGCTCGATATGCTCCTACGCCTCCCAATTCGCCGGGTCCGAACAACACGACTCTCAAGAATTCCTCTCGTGGCTCCTCGACGCACTACACGAGGACCTAAACCGCGTCATTTCGAAGTCGACGTACGAGGTGACGCCGGAGAGGGAGGCCGAGCTCGAGAAGCTGCCGCAGCAGATCGCGAGCGAGCAGGAGTGGAGGATATATAGGATGCGGAACGATAGCATCGTCGTCGACTTTTTCCAGGGACAGTTTAGGAATCGGATGGAGTGTATGACTTGTCATAAGGTATGTGGGGACCAGTGTCTTTTCGTTCGCTCTCCCATTCGGGTATTGGACATTGTGGACGTGAGTTTTGACTTACCGTGTGGTGGTAGACGTCAACGACGTATAACAGTTTCATGAACTTATCGCTGCCGGTGCCGACGTCGAAGCATGGCAAGATCACGTTACAGAACTGTCTCGACGCTTTCGTCAAGGAAGAAGTCATGGAAAAGTCTGATGCCTGGTATGTCTGAATTTCCCTTTTGCACAACGTTCGCAGTCAACTGACATTCTTCACCTTCACCTTCACAAGGAACTGCCCGAACTGCAAAGTCCTCCGCAAAGCCACGAAACAACTATCCCTCTCCCGGCTCCCTCCCGTCCTGCTCATCCAATTCAAGCGCTTCTCCTTCAAGGGTCCCTTCACCGACAAGATCGACAAGCACGTCGATTTCCCGCTCAAGGGCCTCGAGCTGACGAACTACATGCCCCCGCCTCTCCCGCCCGGTGTTGATCGTGGACAGGCGGCGGTGCAGTATGGGAATGATGATCCGAGGCAGCAGACTCCGCCGTATAAATACGATTTGTATGCTGTTACGAATCATTTTGGGAGTTTGAGCAGTGGGCATTGTGAGTCTTTTATTTTCTCGTGCCGAGTGGCCCGATAGGGTTCAGCTGATCATTTGTGAACTTGTGCCTCCAGATACGGCGTTTATCAATTCTCGGGGACAATGGTTGTATTGCGATGACAGTCGGATCACACCATCGGACGCGAAGGAGGTCGTGGTAAGTCGATTGGTATTCCTTTGCCATCGCGGCCCCTACTGCGTGCTGATCAACCATCGATGTTTGTTTGACAGGGAAAACCGGCGTATGTCCTGTACTATAAGCGTGTCCGATCATAGAGCTAGGAAATCTATCTGTGTATTCCACCACAACTGCTATACTTTCTTTCTTTCATTCTCTCGCTTTTTCTGTTGAGAACCTCGATAACCTTTTTCTTCTTCTTGCTTGCTTCTTTCCTCGTCTGTCTGTTGTTGGGCTCTCTGTATCTTCTCCCCTTACTGTCTCCTCCAATTTCTTTTCTTTCCTTCATGACCTCTACAAGAAGTACAATACCGTTTTCCTTCCTTGCTCCTCTTCCTAACTTCTCCTCTTTTTACTCGGTTCATCAGTTCAATTCAACTTTTGGAACTTCACTTGACCATAGCTACCGCGCCGTACCCCACCACACCACACCACAACGCATTGCGATCCCGACCCGACACCCTCACGCCACGCCACGTCACGCCACACCCACATCCCATGTAATTGTTTATATATAGGTGCGATACTTAGGACTCTTTTCTTTCAATGCCTCCTCTCTCTCTCTTGTCTTCCTTTCAAGTCTCTTTTTTTTCTCTTCATTTCTCTGTCAGACTCGGCCTCAGTAGTCTCAATCGGAACCTTGGGTGCATGCGGACCAGAATTGAGGAGATACTGCAAGGATGGAGCACCGATTTTATTCGTTGGTGTCGATCGTGATTTGCAAGTGGAGAGGAAGGGGGAATCATTGTTTCGACATCACAGTACGATCCCTATAACGACTTCCAAGCAAGCTTCAGTGCTTGAGAGCCTGAGAGAAGGCAGTTGAGGCGATCGGCTGTAATATGCTCACGCAATGCTAAGAATGTTTTGAGGGCAAACTCCGAACGGCGAACTCGAATAAGTAACTTGGACAATGGCAGCTTTTCCTGTCCTCCCGTCGCTCCACTCTCAATGCATAGCGTCACTAAGCGACGGAACTAATCGAGTTTCTGAATACACCCAGGAGACCCAATAATGTACGGGACTGTGCGCAATCTAAATACTTACGGAGGTAACAGCAGCGGCATATAACGCGTCGCTGTCCCCGCTTTCGTCCACTAATGATTTCAAAAATCCGCCTTCCTTCTTCAGGAGCTCGCTCGGCCTGTCAAACTCGACCTGTTGCAAGTACACAGTGTGAATAAAAGAGACGAAAGACAGGTCGGCAACCACGGAAAATGGAAACTGGACTCACGATATTTCCAGCGTCGAGGACCATCTGAAACCAGAAACACAACGATAAGGAGAAGGTAACGTGTCAGCGCGATAAAGAGCTTGGGCGAGGTAAAGACGGTGAAGTTGGAAAGACCTACAATTTTATCGGCATCCATAATGGTTTGAAGACGATGGGCAATAGTGATGATCGTCACATCCTTCTTCAGCTCAGTCCTCAACGACTCCTGGATCACGGAGTCCGTTTTATAATCGATCGCGGACGTCGCTGATCCACCATAAGTCCAGATCAAAGACAGTCCCGTGAATTATAAAGGGAAGCACCAACCTTCGTCCAAAATGAGTAGCTTACTCTCGCGTACCATCGCTCGGGCCAACGCGATGATTTGGCGTTGCCCCACCGAGAGATTACTTCCGCCACGAGCCATGGGAGTATCTAGCGTGATCATACTCTCCTCTCCTTCGCTTTGAATCGAATAAAGACCAGCGGAACGAAGGGCTGCGTTAAGTACAGCGTCGTCAAATTGATCGAATGGGTCCAAGTTGCGTCGGAGCGTGCCACTCAGAAGCTCAGGCTGTGATTCAGCCACGAAGGTGTTCAGCATTAAAACAGGCGTTGAGAATGATCACATACACTCACCACTTGAGGTATGATAGTGATATGGCTTCGGAGCGAGTCCAAGTTCACCGAAGAGATGGGCAAGCCATCATAATAAACCTCTCCTTCGGTGATGATGCATCGTAGCAAAGCCAACGTCAAGGAACTCTTCCCGCTACCGGTACGTCCGACGATGCCGACACGCTCTCCGGCCTTGATCTCAAAGGAGAGGTTATGTAATACCTTGGGACCATCCTACAAGGTTTCATTAGTAATTGTAGGTTGATTTAAAACGACCGCTGAATGGGAAGTTCGTACGTTGGAGTATCGTGCGCTGAGGTTTTCGACTTTCAAATCGCCACTCGAAGGCCAGTATGCAGGTGGCAATCTATCCAGGACAGGCTGGGGCTCTTGTTCGATGACCATGTACTGCTGTAGACGTTCAAGACTATTCCCTGGTGTAGTTATAGGGACGTCTCAATATGTTAGGAAGGTGCGTTTCAAAGAGATTTCGTACCGTTGACTTCGAACTGGTTGAGTTGTTGGACAAACCACAGAATCAGCTGACCAAAGCTGACAGCCATCGCTGCGAAGGAATGAGGGTATCAGCAAGAAAGAGTCGACGAATCTTCGGCATGGCTTACTCAAGGTGAAAGCTGTATTGGACGGATTGACGTTCGTGTGGCCATACACAAAATAAATCCCCAACGCGGCAGCGAACAGGCCACCTAAGCCATTAACGCGAACGCCGATCCATCTGCAAAGCTGAGCTCAGCATTTGTTAGTGAGTCACGACAGGTAGAAAGGGCTTACTTGTTCAAGTCGTTGAATACACGGTTTGCACGAGTATATTCATCAATTTTGGCAGTAGATTTCAACAGTATGGACTCCTGAGCGCCGTAGGCGCGGATTGAGACTTGAAATTCACCATCAGAATGATTCGACTAAATTTCGCACATTATGCTAGAACGAAACATACCGATGCCTTCGACGGCAGCACCAAAATGGGCTACCACGGGTGCCTTCGCCTTACTCAGCTCTCGCTTCACTGATAGCTGCGCCTTAATATAGATATTCCCCAAGGTACCTCCTGCAGAGCGAGTTAGATCGTGCCCGCGCATGAGGAGAAGCGAAAACAGGCGCACCAGCAGCCGCGATGATTATCCCAATAAGTCCGACTTTTGGAGTGAAGACAAGCACGGCGAAAAAGCGTACGGTAAGGACCACTCCGATTTCAAAAACCTGAGAAAAAACATCGGGAATGACGGAGTCGACTATGCAATCGCCATCACCATCAAGCAGTGAACGAAAATGTCCGTGCAGTTATGACCCACCTGAAGAAACATCTTGAGTACATCTAGTAATTATGCGTGACATTGGTGTCTTGTCGAGCCATCTATCAAGATTTGTATAAGTGAAAGAAGCGTACGGCCACGCGTCAATATACGATACGGACCTCAGAGTAGTGCTCAGAATGGTAGAGATGAGCCTTTGATGGAGCAGGTTGGAGGCTCGTAAAGCGCCTTTGAAGAGGACCACCTGTACGATACCGTAGACTACAACCATGCCTACACAGAACGTGACGTATGCACCGAGATAGCTGTCAAAAGAATGAGTATGGTGAGACGGATGACTTTTATGCCCGTTTTGCTCACAAAGGAACGTTGACGTCTTCTGGACGATGGCTCAGATACTGATTTGCCCATTCTCCCAGGATCCAAGGCTGAAGCACCTCGATAGTGCATTCGAAGAAAGTCGCTACTACGAATATGGGCCAGAATACAGGGCCACCCAGAGCCTCAACGTACATTTTGACTTTCAGGATCGTTAGTCAAGCATGCGCGCCAAGGAAAAGTCAGAAATATACTGACACGACTGCCAGCTGATGTGACCCTCAGCGGTTTCCTCTTCAAGGACGAGCTTTCCGTCTTTTTTGTCTTCTTTCTTTGCCACTTCTTCACCAAGGGCAGGTACATCGATCTCTTCTGCAGCTTTCTCTTCTACCTCAAACTCGTGTTTAGCTTCTTCTCTGAGTTTCGAGCTCTTGGCCAGAGCCTCTGACATTGTTCCTTGGCTGAGGATTTGGCCGTCTGACCCGAGAGAAACCACGAAGTCGGCAATCGGTGCCGTGAGACTGACGTTGTGAGTCTGGGAGGACATACGACAGCGTCAGCTGGAGGGATATGGTATGCATGTTCGAAAACCACGAGACATACAACCAGAAGTACGGTCCTTCCTTGGATAAGAGGCCCTGTGAAGCACTTTTCGACGATCCATTTGGCCGTATGGACATCTAGCGCGGCGAGAACCTGCGAAATCCGACTGTCAGGATGAAATGTCGGCTCGTAGAAAAATTAAGGGTGTAAACCTCACATCATCTAACAGAATTATCTCCGCAGAAGAGTAGACAGCACGCGCCAAGGTCACCCGAGCCTGTTGTAGATAATGAGATTGACCCTCTTTCACTCGACGAAGTCGGTTAGTATACCTTTTGTCCGCCACTGAGTGTGACGCCCCGCTCGCCAATTTCAGTTTCATCGCCAGCATCGAATAGGGAAAGATCATGCGTAAGGCCACATTGATGTATCACTGCGTCGAGTACGTGCAGTTGGATGAGCCTTCGTAGCCCATTTACTGTCTGATTAGAGGAAGGCCTACCTTGAGCGTATCGATCCTCGTCAAAGGGAGACTCGAAGAGAATATTCTCCTACCGAAAGACAATCTGAAATCAACAGATATTATCTTCGGTTTACGTGCGCTTACTGACCTTGATAGTAGCATTCATGACCCAAGATTCCTGAGCAGCATACGCCACGCCTCCAGCTCTTGGAAGGTTGAACCACGAACCAGGTCCTGCTTCTACGAAATGCATCTCGCCTGTTTGACGCAGTTGATACATCTAATTTCACGGGCTTGTTATATAGAAGGTTGCTCACCCAAAAGAGCCATCAAGAGCGAAGTCTTCCCACAGCCTTTCATGACAACAATTTCAGTGACGAACCACATGCGTTGAGCTGGGTAAGAACGCGCACCTGTGGGCCCAACAATGAGATTGATGCATGCCTTCTTAAACAATAGTTCATCCTCAACGTGCAGTGTAAAGCGCCGTTTCGACGGTGTCGCAGTGCCCGGTATGCCCTCATTGAACCAAGTAAATGTCGCGGCTCTGAATCCGATATCATCCGTCTCGACGGATGGTACCGTTACCGGAAAAACAACGTTTTCAGGTGTAAACTCATCTAGGAGTTCAGTCTTAGAAAAGAGGACAAGTCAGACATGGGCAGACGCGGAATGATACTTAGACAGACCTCAGTCAGGAAGTCCGTGATACGGTCAAGAGAGACCTTTGCCTTAATGGCTATTGGCAGGAGAAAGAGCGATTGTTGCAGCTTGTTTCGAAGGATCTCAAAGACTGTCGTGAAAATAAACTGATCGAATGGAACTCCCGGAAATGAACATAGGGTCGCTTACGCGCAATAGAGGCGAATACAGTGGCAGCTGTACGACAGGCTTGTCAAGAGCCCATCAGTTTCAAAGAAAACTTAGGCTCACCATCCAAGGTTCCTTTCATCACGAGTGCCTATACAGGTGATGAATACGCGGTAACTAGAACTCGACGCTGAAACGGGTATACCACTCACATAGAAACTGTACGTCGCAGCCTCGGTCAAACATGGGATGATGAACCTTTCGTTACATGACGGTCAGAGTCTAGATACCAACATTCAAGGCCAGAAGAATGAAAGCAACGCACTGGCAACTCATCGTTAACAATGAAAGGACTTTACTCTTGAAGAGCCAACCAAGCTCTATTTGGCGTTTCTCGTTGATGGATTCGCTCATCTTATGCTCCCAACCGAACATTTTTATCATCCTGATCACACCAAGTGCTGTTCCAGAGTGCGTAAGTTGGTAGGAATTCTAAAGTACGGGACATGAGACTTACTTTCGGTGACGAGCTCGACACGATCATCACTCTGGAGTCAAAGGAGGTTGAGAGCTGAACGATATATGACCTTGATGACTATGGTTCTGACCTTTTTCGAGACTTCTCGAGAAGCATCTTGTAATAGTTTGGAGAAAAAACCCGGAATGGGCAACCCTAACAACGTGAATCCAAGCCCTGCCAATGCGCTTGAACACCACACAAAATTAGAGCGAGTACATGTAATACAACATCGAAGGATACTACCTCCACCCAAGAATGTTGTAGAGAAACACGGTGGACCCAATTATCCCAAGGGGCACAGCCACAAGAATCTGCAAGACGTCCGTGCTTCTCCCGAGCGCTTGCAAATCCGAGGATATCAAGTTGTTCATGCGTCCAACAAGACTTTTGGATGTCGCGGATGTCGTTGTCGATGGAGTTGGGACGAGTGTAGAAGCTTCAGAATCCTGAGCCGTCGTTCCCGAGTCGGATCCAGCTTCCACATCCTGTGACTGGTGCCCGTTCGTGTCAGATGTGGATACGGACGCAGGGCCGTCGGTAGCTACAGTGCTCTCTGAGGTGACGGGTGTCGTGGTCCCAGAAGGAGAAGCCTTAGAATCGGCATTGGTGTCCACAACCATCCGAATGCGCAACGCATGCTGCAAGACCAATTGGGTGAGAATAGACTCTGTGCATGTAATAATCCTCGAGTTGATCTGTTGATAGTTTTGCAAGAGTACAGCAGAAGCAAAGGGCGCAAGGAAGAGCTTCATTTAAAACATGGTATTGTCAACCTCTGGTACTAAAGTCGAAAAACAGGTAAAACCGACTTACGGAGAGGACCCAAACCCAAGGTCGGACGATCGCGCCCTCCCCGGAGCTCTCCAGATACATCAAGAGATGTCGGAGACCGTATGGAGAGAAAAGTTGTGCGGCCGACTGACATGTTATGAGGAAACAGACGATGGCGAGCTCACGACGGAAGACAATGACTAGCGCAAGCAGCATGCGCCAATGGCCAAAAGCCTTCTTCGCCTTTGTATCCCCCTTGCTGTCTTGTACCTCTGACGTCTTCCAAAGCGGATCGCAATGCGGGAAAGCGATGCGTACAAGGTGCTTGACGTGGTCTTCATCGGCTAATGGAGGTAATTCCGATAGAGGCAGATGAGGAACATTGTACGCCTTCCAAATAATGTTGTCCAGGTAGAAGAAGAGAATGCGAGACCACGGCGAAGCGGTCTGCAGGGGATTCGGAGGCATCGGATCCTGTGGTGGTCCGAGATCTCTTCAGACTTCGAGTATTGATAAACTCAGCGGGGACACTTACAGCAGGATCGCAAGGAATATATGCTCTTGGCGTGAAAAGTGGCAATAAGACACCGGTAAAAGTGAGAACGCCGAAAATCGCATACACAATTGGACCTTCTTCCACGGGAAACTCTGTGTATGTCAGGAAAGGGATAACGTCGCGGATGAAAAGCACAGCCCACGCGACCACCAGGATGAGCGTGGCATGGCTGGAGGCTAGTGAAGGTTTTCTGGGGAGTACGGAGAAAAATGTAAGGACGCAGGTATAGATCTGGCAAACTGAATCAGAATCACTCGGGCAAAAGAAACGTAAAGACTGACGAGGACAATGCAGTAGAGTCCAATTGCACTGGTTTTAGAGCTAGTAAACCAAGATATGGAGAGGCCGGCTGCTGCCACGCAACCAGCCAGGCGAAGGATTTCTGATGTGAAGATTAGCGCCCCACCATGGGCACTGACGCGTCCGCTGAAATCCTGAGTCACATCCGCGTCCGGAGAACTGTTTCGTCCTTCGCTCGCCCAGACGAAGCGGGTCACGGAGCGTCGAGACTTGACGGAGGAGACTACATTGCGGATGAAAAGGACCAGGAAGGATAGACAAGAAGCATAGAGTGGAATCGCCAGAGTGTTGGACCACAAAGCATCGTCTCTGGAGTTCAAGGCTTTGGAGATATAATGCCCGGCTTGCTGGACCACAAAGGTCGAGTCCAACATGCTGACAAGATGCGAATTGAGCTGACCAAAGGCAAGCCTCGCGTGGATGTAGATGATATGCTGTACGATCTAGGATGCGTCGTGGTGGTACACCTGAGAGTACCTCTGTCCGAGTCGAGAATGGAGCCGGAGTTGGCGTCAATGATGGTTTTGATCTAGGGCTCTCTACTAAAAGTAGTTTGGCAGCCATTCCTTTACTTAAGGCACGTTGAATTGCGCGATAAGATGGTCCGACGGGTGCACGTGTGGCCGTCGAAAGTTGCGGCCATAAGTATCACTGTGACTCATGCATTGTCGATACGGTAAGTTTGCTTGGTTCGCATACCTTGCATGGATCAATCGGTGAGATAGGTCCGGTAAAGACAAACATGCAACAGTTAGTATAGCAGTAAGCTGAGATTGCGAGCGACATGAGTGCAATGGCGACCTGGTGGGCTGCCGGAACCGACCCAAATGAAACTCCGATGGAACTCCGCTCGTGTTAGTCAGGTATCCAACCAAGAAGGCTTGACTCACTGCAGCTGATATCATACTGAGTATACGCAGTACTACTACCATGACCATTATTGTGTCCTTTCTCGGCGAATCAAGAGCAGAGACAATTTAGAGATACTGTACTTTTTCGACGAAAGGTTCGTCACACGTTCTCCGCGCTGGTGAACCGAACAAAACCCTGCGTGACCTCACGCATAACGCATGTTGAGCGAACAGTGACCTCGGCAGGCGCTTGCGCAAAATAATCATTTTTGCAAGCGCCTACGTTGTTTTCTGAACCATTTACGGGTCCCGTCACGCTCACGCACGGTTTCTGAACCGTGACCCGGGCGAGACTGATGGGTGACGTACATTTTTGATGAACCTTTGGTCGAAAAAGTACAGTAAGCTTGCAGTTGTGGCCCACTTACAAGTTCGCGTGGCACTACGGCGAAGTCCGCGTCGTGTCAAGTTGAATCACTGGCCGGATAAGTCCACAAGGACATTCCTCTTTCAATTTGCCTGTATATCGAGCTATCACATGATGGGTGCTCCAGTTCTGGCCCGAGACCATGTAGAAGATGTTCATAGGTGTCTAGGACCCGACGTCGACTCGAAGAATTGTAACTGTCGTATATAAAGAGTATGAGTACACATGAGCATCAAGCATCGTCTCGAGGTCATTTCTGGACTATTGCTACAAGCATGCACTGAAGACGTTTGACGTTCATTGAAGATAAGTAAGAGAGATAACAAGAAAGGAAAAGAAAGACCGAAAACAGAACTCTACCATGAACCACGAATGAAAAGCAGGAAATAAAGAAATAAAAACGAAGAAACAGCATCTCATACTTCTCTCAAGCCCACCACCACCTCCTCACCTCGATGGCCCAACCCTTCCTCGTTCCATCCTCACCCACATCCCCCAACACCCTCACCTCACCCTTCACGAAATCGAAGTTTGCCGGCGTCAGATCGCGCTGCAGAACCTTCGCGTTCTTCTTCCACTTCTCGTCCTTCGACTTCAGCGGCAGCAGCGCTTCCGCGATCCTGACTTTCTTCACAGTAGATTTGGAGTTGGGTTTCGACCCCGAGGACGTGGAGAAGGATTTTGTGCGATTGAGGTCGGAGGTGCTAGATAGATTGGAGACGGTGGGGGATGGAGGTGGGAGGGGAGGAAGCGGCGAGGGCTGTGCTGATGGAGAAGCATCGTTCTTGTTGCCTTCGCCAGACGGAGCTGCCAGTGTTTCAGGCTCCGTTGCAGGTACTGGTGGAGTAGGCTGCTTCTCGGAGGTAGCTGGAGGAGGAGGCGCCGATGTTTCTGTACTGGGTGCCTGAGACTCTACAGGTGCTGAAGTGGCATCTGCGTCCTGAGCTTTCTCGACGCCTTCAGAGGCAGCTTCAGGGATATCTTCCGACGGAGTAGCATCCTTCTCCTCCGCCGCCTTCGGCTCTGACTCTGCAGGCGGCTTCTCCTCTGACACTTCCGTCGCTTTCTCCTCTTCGGCACTCCCCACATCACCTGCACCGTCTGTGCCCTCATCCACGATCAACGATATCATCCATCTTCTCTCGGGCGTCGGTTTCGGCGGCATAAACGGCGGTGGCACGCCCAGCTCCATCTCAAGATCGTCTGCGCCCGTCTGACCACCTTGTTCCGTCGCGTCCACATCCATACCCGTTGTACCAGTGCCAATATTTTCCTTGTCCGCGCCTTCGGCGGTGGAGTGTACACTGGGTTCTTCATCGTAAGCTTGCACGAGGAACTTTTCTGTCAGAGTTTCGAGAACGATGTCGCGAGGATCTTCATCGTCGTCGTCATCGTTTTCGTCCTCCTCGTGCGGACGGACTATATCGAGCTCGAGTCGTCGTCGTTTATGTGGGCGATGGTGGAGGTTTGAAGACTTGCGATGAGGCCGACGGCCAAATGCTAGAGGATCGAAGAGGACATCGCGAAGGATCGCCGGTTCATACTCGAACCTGACAGGAGGGTGAGTACCTGTGCAACGATGGGAGTCAAAGAAAATAAGAGAACAAAACTCACCCAGCTCTCCCTGTTTGGCCATCGAACGTAACCGTCATCGCCGCACACCTCTTCTCCTCCCACCCTTCATCACCACATCCAAACTCCATCCACGCCGGTGCAACCTTCGCCACCTTGCCGTCCGCATCCCACATCCTAGTGCTCCACATCCCCGTATCATCGTCGGACGTGTCCTTACCATACTGCGGGCGCTCGCGATCGATGAGAGTGGAGGGGAAGGGGATGTTTGCGTCGAGGATCTCCATGGTTCTTCTGCGTCGTTTAAGTCGCGAGACTTCGTCGGGATCGGGCGTGAATGTGCGTTTTGTTGAGAATGATGGCGATGTGAACGGTGGAGTGGAGTCTGCGAGTACGAGCGAGCGACCTTCTGCGTATTCTCGAAGACGCTGTTTTCGGTTCTTACGCCCGAGACCTGGCTGATTATGCGCCGTCCCTCTCTGTAAAGGCGACAAAAATCGGGAGAAAATGGTTATTAGGACACGAAGCGGTAAAAGGGCGAAAGAAATACGCACCGGCACAAACTCCACATCCAAAATCTCGATCCCGCTGCCATCGTGGCCGTTCCCCCACCCACCACTAAACACCTTCCTCCCATCCTGTTCCATCTCTTCCTCTTCCTCTCTCACTTCCTGCCTCCTCCTGTCCCCACCCCTATTTTTATTTCTCCCCCGTCCACCATCCACTCTCTCGTCCTCATTCTCCAACACCTCCCCTTCCTCTCTCCCCGCTAACCTCTCCCTCTCCCTCTCCTTCCCCTTCACAGCATTGACCAAATCCCACCCTCTCCACCTCGCGCCCTCGCCACCAACGTATTTACCGATCCCGATACTCGACGACGCAGGTGATGCCGCAGAAGAAGGAACGACGATCCGAATCAACACCTTCATATCCTTCCCCCTCCGCCGCGCCTCGGCGAGATCGCACCACCTCACGAACCCAGCATGCACCGCACAAGTCGGCAGATCCGAATCGTCCGTATATATCCGTCTCTCCTGCACCTGTGGTTGCGAGAACAGATACGTCGGTGGTTGTTGTGGTGGTGGTGGTTGTTGGCCAGGAGCCATCATCATCTCGCGATCATACAACGACATGCCCGCCTGCATCTGCGCCTGCATCTGCACCAAAACATTACTCGGCACGCCCTGCGCCTGCGCCTGCATCAACTGCACTTGTTGCTGCTGCGTCAGTCCACTGCTCACCCCACCAGCAGCACCCGCAAGCACAGCCCCCCCACCCCAGATCCTCAACTTCTTCGGCCTCCCAAACGGCAAGAACCCAGCCGGAATGAGCACCGTCACCCTCCGTTCCGTCATCAACTCCTTCTCCCTCTCTCTCTCCCTCTCCATCTGCTTCTCCCGCTCCTTCGCGAGCTGGATGCGTTTGGAGGCGGATCGGGAATGTGTGTGAGCGTGTGAGTGAGGTTGAGTCTTGTCTTTCATTTCGACATCACCGTCTCCAGGACCGGTGGTGGAAGGATTGACAGCGGTAGCAGTAGCAGGGGTGTTGGAGTTGGGTTTAGATTCCGTCGTCGTAGAGTCAGAGTTTGTCGTCGTCGTCGTCGTAGACGCAGCCGTCCCAGAAAGCCTCCTCGTCTCCGGGAAATAAGGAAACGGCAAATCCGGAAACACAAAAGTCCCAAGATCAACAGGCGGGAACGTCGGCACCACCACCTGCTGCTGCTGCTGTTGCTGCTGCTGGGACGTCGTTGGTGCAGGCATCGTGCTCAACCCCCCAAGGACCTGATTCGGCATCGGCATCTGGTGTGCAGGTCCGTGTCCCCATGCCGGGAGGAAAAGATCCCGGTCACGGTCGAGGTTCGGATTCGGGTTCCACGTCGGGGTCGAACCGTGCACGTAATTCGGGATCATATTCGGATTCTGCGAGAGCCCACCAAGTCCATGGCCGATGCCCAAATCACCACCGACACCAACACCGCGCGCATAGTTCGGCGCGAAACCGTTCGGGTTGTTGGCAGGGTGATTCGGGGGTAACGCCGGATTGGGCAGATGCGCATGCGGGTGCGGATGGAGGGAGAGCGAGATCGAAGAGCTGTTGTTATTGTTGTTGGTGTTGTTGTTGTTGCCGGTGCGCTCGCGCTCCCGTTCACGTTCCCGTGCGTCTCTTTCCCTCTCGCGCACGCTTTCTCGGTCTCGTTCCCGATCCCTGTCGCGTATGCTCAACGGTTCCCGGTCTCTTTCACGCTCTCGATCGCGACCGGACGGAATCGAAGGTGCGAGGCCTTGTTGTTGCTGCTGCGACGACGGATGCTGGTGCTATTACACAAGAGAAAAAGGAAAGCGAGTCAGTCTCGACGGTATTGCACTGAGGATAATGAGGAGAACGACGATGAAGATGACAACAACGAAGACGAAAGATAATAAAGACATCAACACAACAAGAACGTACCACCGAATGCCCGTGCAAATGCCCATGCTGATGCCCCAGATGCCCCGGATGTACCTGCTGCACTTGCGCCTGCGTCGGATGAGCATGGACATGCGAATGTGGATGCGAATGTGGGTGTCCAGGGGGCGCCGAACCCGCCGAATGCGCCAAATGCTGCTGCTGTTGTTGTTGCTCTCTTTCCCTCTCGCGCTCTCTCTCCCTTTCGCGTTCGCGTTCCCGCTGAACCTGTTCCCGCTCCCGCTCTCGGAGCTCGATCTCCCTCGAACCCCCGGGCGCTTGGGCACTATACACGTCTCTTCCTCTCCCCCCACTCCCGCTACCACCACCACCTGGTCCAGACGGCCCAAGCCCAGGCGACGGTCTCCTCAAAATATGTGCTCCCATCCCCATCCCCATTCCCATTCCCATGCCCATGCCCATGCCTATCCCCATATCCATCCTATGCTGCTGCTGCTGCTGCTGCCCCATCCCAAACTCATGTCCATGTCCATGTCCTCTCGGTAAACTCGGATACGGCGGCAACACCAGATCTCTCTCCCTCTCATCAATCCACTCCCTCTGCACCCTCTCCAACCTCTCCCTCTCCCTCTCACCTCGATCCCTGTCCCGCTCGCGCTCGCGCTCGCGTTGTTCCCTCTGCTCCCTAACTAATAACTCCCTCTTGACTTCCCTCGCGGCCTCCCTATCTCTCTCTCGTAGCGCTGACCCGGATCCGACTCCGATACCTGGTCCTGCGCGGGCTATCATCTCCCTTTCCCTCTCACGTTCACGCTCCCTGTCTCGTTCTCGCTCCCGTTCGCGCTCTCTTTCTCCCATCCTTTCACGTTCACGTTCCCGATCCCCAATCCGCTCGCCCATCGGTATCGTCATATTCAAATACGGAAGTCCATGCCCTTGTGAACTCTGCGAAAGCGAATGCGCATGTCCCGGATGATGCTGATGCGCGCCGCCGTCCCTGTCCCTGTCCACATACGCACGACTTGCGCCACTGTTGTCTCTGTCCCTGTCCGCATACGCACGACTCGGACTCGCTCCAACATCTGTATACGCACGATTACTCCCAACACCAACGCCCGCGCCAGAATCGGGATACGACCGACTCGGACTCGCGTCTGGACGTGAACGTGGCGACGGCCCCTGTCCTTGTCCTTGTCCCTGTCCTTGTCCCTGCGATTGTCCTTGTATTGACGAGGATTTGGGTTGCATGGAGCGTGAGGAGGACGATTGTGGGCGTTGTGACTGTGTTTGGGATTGGGATTGAGATTGTGGAAAGGCGGAGGGGGAGAGCATGGAGGAGGATGAGGAGGGTGGAGGTTGGGATTGTGGGTTGGGTGGCTGTTTATATGTGTGGAGAAGGGAGTGGGTGGTAGTTAGTGTTTGTGTGTTGGGTTGGATGTTGAGTTTGAATGAAAGAGGGTGAAATAGAATATGATGGAGGGGTATGCAAGAAAAGGCGGAACAAGATAGACGGCGAAAAGACACGAATGAGAAGGGGGTAAGGATAGGAAATGAAGGGGCAAAACCACAACCAACCAGAACCAAAAGCAAAGAAAAGAAGAAACGCACCATCCCACTCTCCACCACACTCCCACTCCCATCCCCCCTCGCCCTCGCCACCGCCGCCGCCCTAATCATCTCCATATCCTGCTGCGCCCTCTGCCTCTGCCTCTCCCTCTCCCTCTCTCTCTCCACCTTCTCTCTCTCCCTCTCCCTCTCCGCCTTCTCCCTCTCCCTCTCCCTCTCCCTCTCCCGCTCAGCATCTCTCAACCTCTCCATCTCCCACCTCTCCCTATCTCGTATGCCTGTCACCATCGCCAACCCCGACCCCGACCCCGACGCCTCTCGTTCTCGTTCACGGTCTCGAGGAGTGAGGCCTATAGAGTCGCGTTCCATCCGCATACTCATACTCCCCGTCCTCTCCCTCTCCCTCTCCCTGATACCCTTCACCTCCCTCCCCCCAGCCACAGACCCAGACCCCGAAGAGCCAGGTCCAACACCGACACCGACAGCAGGCGCGAGTCCCATCTTCCTATCCAACTCCTCCCTATGGTGTGCTTTCTCCCTCTCTATCTCGCGTAACTCCCTCTCCCTTTCGCGCTCCCGTTCGCGTTCCCGGTTCAGATCCCGCTCTCGTTCGCGATTGAGGTCCCTCTCCCGGTTCAAATCCCTCGGAAACTCGCGCTCTCTCAGCGCGAACTCCCTCTCCCTCTCGCGTTCACGCTCACGCTCCACACGCGCCCGACTCGCCAGCTCCCTCTCCCTCTCATACTCCGTATCCAAATCAATCTGTCTCCTCGACGGTCCCACACCAGCACCAGCACCACCACCACCACCACCACCACCACCACCACCAATCGTAGACCCAGACGCCGCATGGAGCGAAGATGACGGACCAGAAGAAGCGGAAGCGGAAGTCGACTGTGGAAGAGGTGGTGGTGGAGGGAAGGAAGAAGATGGGAGCCCAACACCAACGCCGACACCAACGCCGACACCGAGCACGGCCGCCCTGCTCTTCCTCGCGCTTGAAGAAGATTGGGGTTGGGGTTGAGAGGCCCGCTCACGCTCATACATCTCCCTCTCGAATTCGCGGTCTCGTTCCCTCTCCCTCTCCATCATTTCTCTCTCCCTCTCCCTATCCCTATCATCACGTCCTCCCAACCCACTCATCGACTGCGAATGCGAAATCTGATGATGATGCCCAGTAGCAAACCTCGGCGAATTCGCAGACTCCAGCTTACTCGAAATATTCGTATTGCTCGAATTCGAACCGACGACGCCAGGTCCACTTGCAACGAGAGACGGTAATGAAGAAGAAGAAAGAGCGCCGGATCCGGATCCGGGACGCGCACCATGAGCATGACGCGATCCTGATCCTGATCCTGGAATTCCAGCGGCACCCGGGCCGGAAGGCGGCGGAGGCGGGTAGTCGGTCTGTAGGCTGCCCATGGCGGGAGAAGAGCCGGGACCGGCGGTGGCGTACGTCGCCGCGTGGGGAGGTCCAGGAGGTGGTGCAGGGTACTGTCCTTGTGCTTGCTGTCCTTGTAGCTGGTGTTGGGAATGGGGGTGTGCGTGGGTCGCGGACGGGGATTGAGAGTGATGTTGCTGCTGCGTGTGATTGTTGTGATGATTATGATGGAGCGGATCGTTGGAAAGCGAACGAGCGCGGCCGGCGTGTGCGGCCTGGTGATGAATGAGCAAAGGAGACGGTGGATGTCGATGTCCACCACCGCCCCCACTGCTGCTGCTATGGCTATGGCTCGAACGCTGCAACGACGGCGTTCCCGGGGCGACGTACATCGACGACGGCTCGTGGACGGCGATGGGCGACGACGTGTAGAGCGGTGCGTGCGTGTGAGCGAGTGCGGACGACGACGGCGAAAGCATTCTCTCGTCGCGACTCGTCGAGCGTCGACGTCCATGTCCGTATTCGCGCTCGATCCTCTCCCGCTCCCGTTCCCTTTCACGCCCCCTTTCCGCCCTCTCCCGCTCGATCGCCCGTCCTTTGTCTCTGCTCTGCATATCCCTCTCTCTCTCTCTCTCCCGCATATCCCTCTCCATCAACGCGCGCTCCCGTTCTCGTGCGTATTCTACCCCGTATAGCGGAAGCGGAAGCGGGGGAGGGGGCAGTCGCCCAGATCCGACTGGGCTTTGAATGGGGTGGGGATGTGGGGACGAGGCATGCGATATCGAGGGGGTGCGGTGTTGAGGGGGAGGTGGGAGGGAGTGATCATGAGGGGGTGGGTGTTGTTGTTGTTGTTGTGCATTATTCTGCTGTTGTTGTTGCTGTTGTTGCTGCTGCTGCTGCTGCTGCTGCTGTTGTTGTTGTTGTCTCCGTCTGGTCTGGTCCTCCGAAGGCGAGTCTTGCAATAGCGCCGCGACGTTCATCCTCTCTCTCTCCTTCCTTCTCTTCCTAATCTATCGATGGATGGCTCTTCAAAGTTGTGAATACAGTCGAGGAAGGTGACGGTGACGGCGACAACGAGAATATGGAAGAACGAAGAACGAAGACAAAGAACAAAGAACGAAAACGAGGCCAGAGCGCACGCGCGTGCGACGGACTGATGAAAATGTCGAATGGACGATCACAGGAACGTCCCGATCGAGATCCTTCCCAGCCCCTTCGCCCTCTCCCTATCATACGTAGCCAAATCAAATTGGGACATGTGTGATGTAAATTGTACGTTTCCGCGTTCTCGGCGCAACGCGTGCAAGACGCCAACGCCAAATTCCAATGTTAACGTTGAGTTTCCCGAATCCGAAGGCGTCATCCCTTTCCCCGCGTTCTCCGTTCGCAGCTCGCAGCTCGCAGCTGCTGCTGGCAGGCAAAGTCGCACTCAGCGAAGCCTTCCTCCTTCTCTATTCCCAAAGCAACTAACGAATCATCAAGCACACCGTCCTCTTCACACACACCTTCTCAACACTCAACACTCAAACCCCCCTCCCTTCCATCCCCTCGAGTCTCAGCCACCCAACCCACTCATCACAATCACGCACGCATGACGTCCCTGACGTAAACGGTAATCCCACCCACAAAAACCCAAGCGCCCGGCTATCTCCATCTCACCCATTGGCATGCATCTCCCCGAGCTTCGATCTCTGGGTTTTGATACGTAGATCTCAGATTCGAGCCCCTCAAGGCCTCATGTCCGAGAGTGGGTGGATTGGCTGGACCAATCATGTTGCAGGGAGGGATGAAAGGGGAAGGATGGCGTCCGGGATCTTCCGCTGGGGCGAGTAAGAACGAAACGCCACTGTGTTGAGTACTTGTCGAATCAGTGACAGTATGGGATAGGGGGTATCTGGATGGACAGATGGATAGCGCCAGCGCCACGCCGCGCTGTACTACTTATAACTAACCAACTTACACCCGCCCGAGGACTTGCTTCAAGACTCCAGATCCAGAAAAGGAATCAAGAATCACATCATGATGGACGAGGAATGTTGACTAGAATGACGATCATCATCACATCGTCTGGCCAGAGCTTGAAACTTGTGTAAGACCAGAGACGGTCAAGCTCGTGAACATTGCAATCCATGATGATATCGTAGACTTTTACCTGTCCAACGAGGTCGAGAACGAGTAAGTAGTCCAAGCGAAGACGAAGACGAGCATGAACTTGATGTAAGCACTTCAAGCAAAGCGCCACCGTGATTCAGACAGACAGGACAAAAACAAACCACATTACCGTTCGGACTACCACCACCACCATCACACACCGAACGAAAAAAGCAACAAAAAACAGAAAATGCAGATGCGATCACAATATTATTGTATGAACCAGACGTGTCGTGTATGTAATGACTTCTCAACCCCCAACCTCCCACCCACCATACCACCCCGCCTCCCAGCCAACCAACCCCCCACTCATCCACCCTCCCCGTCAACCATCCAATGGTCCACCCTCCTATCCAGCCAACCACCCACCCACCACCAACAACCCACCACCAACGTCATAACTTTACAAAACCACACAGACCACAGACCCACAAAATTCAAAACTCAAAACTCAAACGCGTAATTGAAGCTCGACGAGACGAGATAAAAACAGAGATGAGACAAGACAGGACGAGATAAAACAGGACGGGAGACGAGACGAGACGAGAGACAAGAACAATGACAATCACACTTCGTAGATCCGACTTGAACGTTCAACCCACACCACAGGCGCTGCTGAGTGCTCCAACCTCAAGCACTATGCACACATCTCCGCCCGCAAGGACTCCTCCCTCTCCTATGAGCAACGCCTACTACACCAAAAAATCAACCCACCACCAACTACCCACTCCTCTCAGCAGCCCGAAGACGCGATATGAAGAGTTGCGTCAGGACCCGCTATAGATTATATATGCCTGGCTTATACGGCCGACTCTAATTCCGGTGCAGGCGTGTTCGTCCCACTCGGAATATTCGCATTGATCTCGTCCAGGAGATCCGAAGCCGCTTTCGCGCTCGCCACCTATTATGCACGACGCAGATGCAAATCAGAAATCAGAAATCAGACCGGCAACAACGACGCACGAGTGTGAGGAGAGGAGAGGAGAACAGAAGAGATGGAGGTCAGACGCCATGCACTGGGACATATAGCGAAGATGTGTGGAATGTGGGACGTAAAATGGGGATTGTGGAATGGAGACAGATGTGTAAAGTAGAACGTACCCTCAGATTATAATGCGTCGTCTTCCCCTCCTCGATCACGCTGAACCTGAGGAACCTCGGATCCGCCGCGATGAAGCATTTCATGCCCTTGAACAGCGGCACGTTCAGTATGACGGCGTATACCGCTTCTTTCCGCATCACTGTACGTCGGTCAAATGGGACCGGCCAGATTCACGTTAGTTAGTTCGTGGGGCTCACGGGGTAGATGGGATGCAAAACAGAACACAATATATTGGTTGGAAGAAACCGATGATGGGAGGAAAAGAACCAAGAAGACACAGACGAAAATGAAATGACAGAGGTAGATGTATAGGGAAAGGAATAGGAATAAATGTATGGAAGAGAAGAGAATACGCACGAAGCCTGGCACCCCGCCCGTCCGCTCGTCTGACGTTCACCCGCAACGTCCCCGTTCCCCTTTCCTTCCACGCATTGTCCGAAGTTAGGAAGTATAGTTTGCCTCGTACATGATGTACCGTCTCCTCGTCTTCCTCGCCCGTCACAGCTATAGCACAAATCATCCATCAGCACCAGAGCCAGTACACATATAACCCGATTCCACCGAGAGCCAACCAGAAACCACACGAGGAACGAAAAGGATAAGTAAAAGCATAAAGACCACTCACTCTCCTTCTCCTCCAGCGTCCCCTTCTTCCTCCCCTCGCCCCACACATACCCGTCCTCATTTTCCCCGTCAGCAATCTCCTTATCGCTATCCCTCTCCGCCCTCAACTTCTCCCCAAACGTACTCCCCTCCCTCGTCCGACTTTCGCTCCTCCTGCTCTCCTCATTCTTGTCCTTGTCCTTCTCGTCACCATCCACCCCCTCGTCACTCCCCTCCTCGCTCTTCCTCCCATTCCGACTCTCCGACCTCTCCCTCTCTTCCTTCTTCGCGCTCGACGTCTCCGGATCCGCAAGCGACGTCTCACTCCCATTCCCAATCGGACTCCCAGCCCTAGCCCTCTTCGCCGCCGGAATCGCAAACCCTTGTGCTCCCCCCTTCGCATACGCCCCAAACCCTCCCCCAGCCCCATTATTACCCGTCCCCGTCCCCGCCGAATTCCCGAACACCGACGACCCCCCCGGAGTCGATCCGAAGACCGACCCACCACCCCCAAACACCCCACCGACGCTCGACCCCGATCCCCTCCTCCCATGTCCACTCCCAGGTGACTTTGACCTCGCTAGAGGTGACTTGGGTCGATCAATCCCGCTAGATGATTTCGCAGAGGAGAATGGAGATGAAGAACCGACGAAGGCTTCAAAGCCCGTCTTGCGCTTCGACCCTGCGGATGGAGAAGAGGCGGAAGCAGTCGTCGGTGGAGTGGCGCTCGTGGTGGCGGAGCCATTGGTGGCAGTGTGTGAAGAGGACGCTGTGGACCATGGAGATGGTGATTTGGACGAGGATCCGAAGAGGTTGGGGCCCTTGACGGAGGCGAAGGGTGAAGCCGCCGAGGCGTACGCGAGGAAGCCGCCGCCGCTCTGTACATGTGAGAACAATAACCATGAGCACAGATAAGAGGCTTGGAAAACAAGGGAAGACTGACCGGCGTAGGCGCCGGTGCAGGCTTCGTGACCTTCTCAGAGTCAGGGGCCGAAACAGGTGGCTTAGCAGTGGCGGGAGTGGTGGTGGGAGCAGCGGCAGCAGTCGTCGTACTCGAAGATCCAGAAGCTGCTCGTTCCCTCGAGCTCGACGTAGACTTCGCCCTCTCCTTAGGCTTTGTTTCGGCGGGAACAGGTGGCGGTGAAGGCCTCTTTGTTTCACGCGGGTTGTCGTCCTTGTCGGCGTCATCCCTCGGTCGCTTGGTCGGGGCTTCGTCTGACTTGGCAGCATCCTCCTTCTTTGGCATCTCCACATCCGCATCCTTCTCTTCGCCAGGGGGAATGGAGGGCGGTAAAGTGGAGGGTGGAGCGGGAGGCGGTGACGCAGGCTCCGTGGGTGCAAGGCTCGCAGCCCTTTCCTCGAGCTTGCGTTTCTGTGAGATGGGCTTATCGACCGAGTCTTCCGGTATATCAACATGTTCAGCAGGTGCGGGTGTGGGTTTGTGAAGGGTAGAGTAAGCAGGCATGGGTATGGGAGCAGATTCGTCGGGATGAATATCCATCGCCGGAGGCTGAGGACTGCGTTCTGCGTCCGGGATATGCACATCAAGATTCTCTTCTGATGAAGAACCATGTGCGGGAATTGCAGCAGAGAGGAGTTCGGGTCCATCCATGCTGTGGTCGTGGAGCTCCGCAGAGGCGCTGTCATCGTGCGACGCGTCCTCCCCGGCTTCCTCGATGTCGTCAGCGGCGGCGGGCGTTGTCGGCGCATCGACCTTGATGAGACTCTCTGTCGAGTTTCGTGCCCCTTGTTGTTGTCTCCACGAGATGTCCTCAACGCCCTGACTGATTTGACGCATCTTCGTTTCGTGTGGCGGGGAGCCACTGACAGGTTGCGTGGACCCTGGTCCGTCGTCTGCGTCGATATTCTCGTCTTCCTCTTCTTCTTCTTCGTCGTCTTCGTCGCTCCCGTTATCGTGTGGACGATCGTTGACCAGGACGAAGTCGTCTTCCTCGTTTGACTCGGCGGTGGAGGCAAGGTTGGTCCGGTTCTTTTTAGTGGGGCTTCGGACATCTCTATCGCGCCTTGCCGCTCGGGCATCCTAAATGGTAGACAATGCAAGATATAAGAACAATAGTGAGTACAAAAGATCAGGCGAGCAAAAGAAACTATCGATGGATTTAAAGCGAGAAGTTCGTACAGCATCTTCTTCGTCGTCTTCCTCGCGCTGAGGCGTCGCTGGCTCTTGAGAGATCTCCCGTTCTCTCTTCCTCGACAGTTTCAAATCGTCATCTTGCTCGACATCATCTTCTGCTCATCGCACAGCACAGCGTCCAAACACATTAATGCACAAAAACATGCGGCAAACACAAGGTCAGCTCATAGAAAAGGGCCAGAGGGGAACGAGGACAGAACGCCCACTAGAGATAACCAGACGACGGACCTTGCACTGACCCCTGCTCGTCCACTTTCGGTGGTGTATCTGGCTCTGACATCTCTCTTGAAGCCAGCTCTGAATATGTCTGTGGTATTGTTGAATTAGTACGGTGCTCGTTGTGGCCGTCGTCGGGGATGATGGTTGTGCGCAAGAAGTGAGAGTGAAAGAACAGGCAGGCGCCTCTTGCCTGCCGTGTCTTGTCCACTCAATTTGCCTTTTTGGGAATTGGTCTATCAACAGGGGTGGCCACGTGCGTTATGCGTGACTCTTTCCCCCCTGAAGCTTTCAGAATTGTTTGTTCAGAGACTTGAGAGAAAGCAAGAGCGCATCTACGCCGTGTTTCTATAGTGTGCTCAAGTACATGAGAAGGAATGCGGAGAGCACCAGTGTGGCTGTCGGAAGTGAGCGGTAATCTACAGTGATGAAGTAAAAACGGACCGACTGCACGGTGAGGACAAAACGGGAGCCTATGACGAATGATACTATGCGGAGGATGAGGGGCACAGGGGTAAATGATTTAAATGGGAACATGCGAGGACAGAGAGGACAACAACAAGATGAGTAGCAGGCATGCAGGATATCAAAAACAACAGAGAAGCATCACATCGATATCGTCGAATAGCGTGATCATAGGTCAACCAAGAATCGTGAATCAGTAGGTGGAAAGTAGAGTACGGACGGAAACAAAAGCAGGCAATAGGAGCCCAATAAGTAGTTAAAAGATGCAAAGAGATCAAGCCGAAAAAAAAGCAGCAAATTAGGATAGCAAAATCAAACACACGCTAATGTCAAGATGGGGGTGCAGGATCACTGGCAGTTGCAGCAGCATCGTGCTTATTCCTGTCATCCGCCATGACGAGCATGTTCCTCAAGCTCCGCTCTAGCACCGGCTTCGTCAACACACTGCACAAACAATCCCGTCAGTTGTTGATCGCACTATCAGAGAGAAAACACTCACTAGTCCACCCCGGCCTCGAGATACTCCTCCTGATCACTCAACAATGCATTCCCCGTAACACCCACAACGAAATCCGTCCTCCCCATCTCCCTCAACTTCGCCACCGCCTTCAGCCCGCTCAACACCGGCATCTGGTTATCCAAAAACACAATCGAATACTTACTCTCCTCTGTCCCCAGTCCAGTCCCCGTACCCGCGCCCGAACCTCCATCCGTACTCGGCCTCGTATCATCTGCGAACCGAATGCTCGGTGGCTCCTCCGACGAAGGCGTCGGCTTTGCGCTCCCTGTACTACCCACCACAGACCCCGGCCGTACGGTACGCGAGCCACATATCATTTCAAGTGCGATCTCTCCGTTTTCAGCTACAGAGACCACACACCCGAGACGGGTGAGCATCCTGTTCATGAGCATTCGCGTAAGGGGATCGTCGTCGACTACAAGGACGTGAAGACCAGTGGGCACGGTGGGCATTTTAGGCTTCGTTGATGGATTATGAGTTAGTGTTGGCGGTGGTGTAGGCGGTGGCTGAGGTAGTGTCGATGACGGTCTTGGAGGTGGTGGTAGAGGTTGTGAGTCGGATTCTGGTGCGGACGAGTCGTGTGCAGGTAATGTGAGAGAAGTATGGATATTCAGACCGGCGGAACTCGGTGGCGTACTATACGCAGGACTAGGCGCGTCGTTCGTTGCCAGATCTGCAGGATAAGCGTCGGTCATCGGCTGGCCTTGTGCATCGAAGGCACGAGGAGGGAGGGTCATATGAGGAGCGGGCTGCCTGAGGGTTGGCGTGTCCGAGTTGCCTGAGTTGTTGCGATCCGCTTCGTCCAATATTGGCGGTATAGCTGTCGACAGGCCCGGCTCAATTCCGTCTAGGACAGCGGCTTCAGCACTGATAGGGATACCGTTGAGTGTGTCCTTGAGCGTTCGTGTGATGATGGAAGGATTGGAAGGGTTCTCGCTCGACCGGGTGGCAAACTCGACCAGACCACCTGAGTAACAACGCGGTTCAGCAAAGCCGTTTTAGGAAGCTGTGTGGTCAGACATACCTTGCTCCATGAGCGACTGGAGAGCAGAGGGCGTCTGGGAGACTTGCGCCATGTACGGTCCAGGGCCGTTTTCCCCGACCTTGCTATCAACTGTCGGGAGCAGCGTCGCCGTTGCATTCTCCATCATACCCGCCGCCAGAGCTTGCCCGGTGGCCTCTTTCCGCTCTGCATGTTGTGCCCCACTATACGAAGGAGCAGCGACGATGGCTTTCGCCCCCACACCGAACGCTATAGGACAGCATATGGTCGTTCAGCTGAAGAGAATTGACGGAAGTTGAATAGAGACGTTGTACGCACGTAGTTCGACCCAGAATGTCGATCCCTTGCCAACCTTCGACATCACACCCAATCGTCCCCCACTTCTCTTGACGATCTGCCTCACAAGTGCGAGACCCAAGCCGGTCCCTTTCCCACCCTGCTGCTTCCCTCTCTCTGTCTGATTGAACGCAGCTGGTAAACCCGACACCGATTAGCCTCCCAGGATCGTGTACGATGACCTTTTCGTGAGAGATACGTACAGAACAGCTTGCTCTGCACCATCTCCTTCGGTGGAATGCCATATCCAGTATCCGTCACCTCGATTCTCACCACGATACTCTCCGGCTGCCTCTCATGTCTCGCATTATGCTCCCTAATCTTATTCGCCGAAAGTCTCGTCATGCCATCTGAGCCCTGACTATCCCCCCGGTGCGCCGCACTCATCCCCTTCCCCATCCTATTTCCACTCTGTTTCCTCCTCTCCGGATTTTCCTGCCCCACATCCCTCCCTCCCGCAACCTTCTCATCGTCATGATCCTCGTCCTCGTCGTCATCGTCGCATTCACCCTCATGGTCCCGATCATCCTCGTCGTCGTCCTCGTCGTCTCCACCGGGCGGCACATCAAACCCACACGCACAAGCCGGCACGATCAACCTCGTCGTAATCTTCAGCATACCCCCCGGCGGCGTAAACTTACACGCATTGCTCGCCAAATTCGTAATGATCTGCATCAATCGCGTCTCGTCGCCCACCACGATCCCGTCCGCATAAGGATCAGCTTCAAACTTGGAGGAAATCTGTTCGGCGGTGAGGCCACGCGCGGTGTAGGCGGCCCGACGGGCCACTTCGTCGATGCATTTGTCGAGGTCGGTGATGAAGGAGAGGTTGCGAGCGTCGGCGGCGAGTCGGAGAGGCACGAAGAGGGAGCGCATGACTTGATGGAAGGGGTACGGCTGAAAATGATGTTCGATAAATTGGTTACAACGGATATTTACCGGACAAAATATGCAGCATACCTTGAACACGGACTCGAATCTCCCACTGTCCATCCGATTGAAGTCAAGCACGTCGTTGAGGACCTTGGACATCATAGCTAAACTGCCTTCCAGAGCTTTGAACTCGATCTCTTGAGCCTGCGGTACCACGCCGGAAGCCTCCATGTTCTGGGTCGCCAGGACTAATGCAGATCAATGCCAGTTACATGATTAGCCGAACTTTTGTGAGGAATAAATGCGCAAGAACGACGTACGTGCGGTGTTCAATGGAACCCGGACTTCATGAAAGACGTATGAAGTCAACCGTCTCTTTGAGTCCGAGGCCTTACGCTCGTTGACTTGCGCCTTCTGCGTCGCACGGAACTGCACCTTGAGTTGGTCGCGCAAGGTATACAATCTGCGCTCCGCCTAGATTTATCGGCGGATGACGATTAGTGAGAAGTATTTGGACGAGGCAGCAGATATAAACACACCGTTTCGCGCATGTAATGCACATAGATCAAGAACCCATGGAAGACAGCGAAGTTGAGGACGTCTGAAGTGACACGCCTCAATATTGAGCAGTAAAAATCTGAAACTCAAGCTTACTTCTGACCCAGGACGTGCGTGCCGGAAGAATGAGCACACAAGTTCTGTGCGAGTTATTTCTAAAGTTAGATCATGACATCGAGGAGAGAAGTCATCGTGGGTACGCACAAGACGAACCAGGTGACGGCACCAATGAGCGCCGGGAGACGTTTCATTTTCAATCCAAAGAGCGCAATGGTCTGCATTCCGGTTGTATAGCTATAATATCCGAAATAAGATAATAAGTGTCGATCATACCTCATGAATGAATGACGTTCACGCACTAGAATGTCGCGAGGAAATCTTTGGTGCCGCACGTGAAGTGCGACCTTGTTCCGGTGAAATACCCACAAGCGTACATGTCGGCGATTTGATACCATGCCCTTTGAAGGAAAGAACAAAAGACATTGTCAGCGAGAAAGTCTGAATGTCAATGATAACTCTGCGTACTCACCAGGACCAGATGGAGAACGTCAGGAAAACCTGATAAAGGTTTGACTTGTCGCGCGGCCAGTCGTACATGACCATACCCAGGATCGGAAAGGTGAGCGCGGGTGTGATCTATTCTTGGCAGAGGTGATGTTGAGCGACTCGGGAAGTTGCCGCAGACACGATGGGTATGCGAAGGAGTACACAAATAGACGATGAAGGCACGGAAGTGCGGCACTCCATGAACAGCCAAATGCCCTCGATCGTGCACGTTTGCACGACCAGTACGACAAAACAACGTTCAGGAAGAAACACGATGCAGCAATAGAGCAGTGGACTTGGAGTGAGTGGAGCACCACAGCGCACGCTCCGTAGCCCTCCTGACAAACTTCGGACATAGAAGATAAGGAAGAGCGAGACGTACCCCATAGTAAAAGATGTCGTCAGCCAAAACACGCGGACCAGGAAGAAAGATGACGGCCAAAACCCAGTTGATGATCAGGAAAACTGAAGCCCAGAGCGCAAGCGACTAGCACAGACAGCAGTCATTCAGCCGCCCTCACGCCATCGAGAGAGTAAGCGCGTCGACGCACCTTGCGCATGAACCAGCTCTCCTTCGCATAATGAATCTCCGCCTTTTGATCCATGAATCTGAGAACAAAGAAGTCGACGATGGCAGGCCATACCCTCCAGCGCAGCATAATGAGTGGCCAGCAAGAAGCCCAGAAGCCGGTGGCGTGAAAGAAAAGACTGTCATGGTCCGTCGTCGTCCCTCCGTGGTGATGGCTGTTCGACTTCTCGGGACTGGCCCCTTGTTCGGAATGAGAAGTAGACGACTTCAACTCCTCCTGCCAGTTCCTATCGATTACTACCTCGTCTACCTCATCTCCATCTTCATTCTGAGTGATCGGCGCCCGTCCAGCTGTAATACTACTCTGGGCTGTGCTCTCCTCGATGATTGAAGAGGTCGATGGCGAGGTCCCGGTGCCCAACCGTCTGCGCAGGCGTTCCCAACGAACCCGAAGGCCTCCGTCTATACGTGCCTGTTTGCGCTTTTGTCGGCTGCTTGAGGAAGAGCCTTGCTTTGTATTTGCTATGACAGGGGGTGGGAGAAGAGCGTCGACATTTGCCGGAGTAAGTCTCGCAGACTGAGTGAGAGTGATTTTTTCGTCAATAGGAGTTGCCTTTTCGGAGTGAAGACCCATGGGAATTTCCTCGTTATGCGTCCATCGAGCGGTGGATGAGGAAGCCGTGCCGAAACCAGAATGAGACCTGTGCTGCCAGCCTGAGTTGGGGGAGCTCATGCGAAAGATGAGAAAAAATGAACGAGCTCGCCGTTGAGACCGATGGCGACAACGGAAACGACGACGGAGAAGACGACGACGGACGAAGGTAGGGAGAAGAAAGAGCTGCGATTACCACTGTCACTGCAAGCGCTGTTCCGCCGGTCTGCAAATCTGGGCCTTCCAAAAACGTCATCGCTTTCCCATCCCCTGGACCTGGCGGCGTACCTGAACCAATCTCGTAAACGTGGCACCCGGCGGCACCTTTCATGAACCATGATGCACGACTCAACTGAACTCAAACTGAACTGAAGAAGCTCTCTGAAGCCTCGAGGGACCGACGAAGGTGCGAGCCATAACTCAAAGCGAGGTCGAGAAAGTGGTAAGGTTCGTTACTATAAAGCCGAACCTCAGAGACTACCTATTCTAGCTCTTTGTTCGCCGTGACTCGGAGACCGATCTTAATTTTTTCTTTCATCCAGAGCAGACGGATAGCTTACGGGGCATAGTAGTCTGTGTAAAATACCTTCTACATACAGGGAGTCGTAGATTCCGCGACTGGTGAGGAGAGCGTGCTTAAATCGGAAGATAAAGGGCGGGTTCGCCCCTCGAGGGCAGTAAGGTAAGTCTTATCGAGAATACAAAGAAAGCACAGTAGCAAGCCTTCAACAAGCAGATGGAAACCGCAAGAAGCAATTATTCATTCTGCGGCCAGCGTACTTCACAAGATCAGGGAGTGTCGGTACTACGCACCGTGACCGTGACGATAAGTCAGTCCAAGATGTGGTCGAAGTAAGTATTGTACGATGATGGTCAAAAAAAGATCGATTCCTCGCTCAGCTGTGTGGAAGCTGGCTTCAGCTTCACCAAGCAAGTTAGCATCTTCTGAACCGTGCACCAATTGTCGATGCCACTTTGAAGTGCTGCGTTGGGGGGTGCAAGAAACCCACGAAAGCGCGGCACGGCGCGTTCCGCTCCGGGTGTGTTGCATGGCGGCAAAGGGTCACCGGCGCCAAGCATCCAGCCGGCTGGCGCGGCCGGACGTGGCACGCAGAAACCAACGACATGGCGCTGGGTTACGTAACATCCTCGAACAGCGAATGCCACCAGGAAAAGTGATTGAAGATGGGGAATCCGAAGTAGATTTGACGCCGAGCAAAGCGCAGGGGAAGATATAGAAGCAGTTGTCAAGATACCGGCATGGCAGCTCGAGGCGTCCACGACGAAGTTGCGACGAAGTATTGCCCAGGTTTGGCCCAGGTGGCCCATTCGCGGGCTCTACAGCATCCAACAAGATATTGTCGCCGTACAGAACCCCTCCATACTATATACCATTCCATATGTCTGATTGGTGTGTGATGTTCTTGAGACTGCCGGTAAGGGCATTACGTTTGATAGGCGTACAGATAGTATGAAGCGGCCCAGAAATTTCTGACAACGCACCGCAAGTAATTCACGCCTCCGTAACTTCCAGTCATCGTTCATATTGGTCTGAAGAGCTCAAAAGAGCTTCATCCGAAGGAGATATTTGTGTTCATACTAGCTCAGAAGATAGAGGCGAAACCGGGGAAAGGAAAGAGAGCCGCAGCCAAAGCGGCTCGCGCGAGACGATGGGGGTGGGAAAGTTCAGCTTGTTGTCGGAGTTTGTTTTGACCAGACACCTCGTCGGGACGACCTGATCCTCGCTTGACCTTGTTCATCCTCTTCCCTCACCCCCACCCTGATTAGAAATACTCCTCTTCCTCTGGGTTTTCCCCTCATCCCCCTAGTAAATTATCTCCTTACCCTCACGTTCTCAATTTTCTTGCGCCTTGCCAACTAGTCCCACCGTCCCGGCACTGAGTTTAAATTGACTTGGCATCGCCCGACTCATGGCTACATTCATCACGCTCAAGAACGGGGAGCAGGTCAAAGTCAACGGTAATTGAATTTTCTTCTTTCTTCATCTCCTCCTTTTTTTATTCAGCTCATTGTTCCCCTGGCCGCACAGACCATGTCTATTGCTCGCCCGCGTGGTCCGTCCGAGATGGGACCCCATACTCTGTGGCGCGCATCATGGAGTTCTTGCCCCCCGAAGGCGCCTCGCGCGCAAAGGGCAAGGCCTCACAGCCAACGCGCGTTCGCTTGGCGTGGTACTACCGACCGGGCGACGTCAGCGACCGCCCCGTCGCCGACTCCCGCCTCCTCCTCGCCGCCATATTCTCAGAGATCACCGACGTCTCACAGCTTAGGTCAAAGTGCTTTGTCGTCCACAGGGACAAGATCACCGACCTCGCGGGTTGGAAGAAGCGCCCGGATCGGTTTTATTTCAACCGGCTCTTCGATCCGTATATCAAGAAGGAGTTTGAAGTCATCCAGTCCGTCGATGTCAGAAATTGTGGGTTTCGTCTCTTTTCGTCCTTGCTTTGAGTATTGTACTGAGAGACCTATTACACAGTGCCTGACGACATCCGGAAGGTCCTTACTACTAGATACGAATACGTTGTCGCCGAAAAGGAAATCGTCCCCGACCTGACCGATGCGCTACGCAACTGCGATACATGCCAGAAATGGTGCCCACCGTACGTACAGTATCCCTCCTATTTTGCTGATACACCTCTCGATTGTTTTTCGTCTCCCCAATTTTTCGCTTACCATCGGCACCTTCGCTCGTCTCGCAAACCAATGCTTACTCATCGCTGCACTCGACCAGACCCGAATGTGTTCGTTGCGATCGCTGCAAACGCTACTTCCACATGGGCTGTGTCCAACCCCCACTCATCGCAAAGCCCACACGCGGCTACGGTTGGACGTGTGCGCCCTGTTCCCGCGCCCACGAAGAAGCCGTCGAGGGTCACGTCGTCGGTCGTCACTCGACACCTACGACTAAACCGAGGTCGAATGCTCCGCCAGCCAGAGGAAGAGGCAGACCGAGGAAGGACAAGACACTCGCGGAGAAGGAAGAGATGATGGAGGTGAAGCATTTCAAGATGTGGCCGTTTAGGTATTTCGGGTGAGTAACTTGACAAGTTCGTCGAGAGCAGTGTACTGAGGGTTTGTGCAGTTTACATACGGTTGCAGAGGATACCATGGGTGAGTTGTCTAGATTAGGATACAGAATATAGCGTACTGATTACATCTATAGACCCAGACGACCTCATATTTCCTCGGACGACCACTCGTCTTGGTCCCAAATACCAAGCTGTCATCCCGCCTCTCCGCGGCTCTAACGATCCAGGTACGTCTTATTCATCCTCCTCGGAGCAATCGGGCGTCAAATTCAACAAGCAGCTGTAGAAACCGACGAACGAGGGGGTGAGAACACAATCGAAATCCTGAGCCTCGTGAACCAGATGTCGGAGAGGCAAGGTGCGTGGGAACTTTTCTTCCGGAATCTTGCCATCAACTGATGTTTCTATATCGGGTTGACTCACCGGATCTCGCCTATCTTCGGTAGTCGCTGAACGTACGTAATCACCGGTGTTCTGGTTTGCAGCTCGCTTTGCTGACCCGCATGTCATGCATTTTTTTCGCTCGGTCTATGTGTGCAATGATTTGACTTCTTTGTAGTCGAGGCGCGGAAGGCGAAGTTGACTACCAAGCCAGAACTCAGGTCGAGCGTGGACTGGTTGACTGAGGTCATCAAACGGTTCTCAGAGGCATATCTTGCACAGAAAGACCTAACAACCGCCGATATCAATATGCTAGATACTTTCCGTCTCGAGAAGGTATGCATTCAATTCTTGTATCACGGGCCATTCCTTGTCATCATAATCTGTTAACTGAACCTCTCGCACCCAATCCGTCATCGTAGTGGAAGTCAGCACCGACGAGGTATACGGATCGGGAATGGGACGAGGAGGAAAAGGCTGCGTTTGAGCACGCCATCCTTCAACATGGAGCTGAGCTCCGTCCTGTGCGCGATGAAGTCGGGACTCGTACCATCGCCGAAGTCGTCCGGTACTACGGACATTGGAAGGCGTAAGCTTCTCACTTTATATGCGCGCGCTCAGCCCAGAACTAAATACTGTTCATTCAGTGGCAAAATCCGCGAAGAACTTTCTCAACGCCGCAATACCACATCCAACGCTCCAGCAATCTCTCACTCCCGATACTCGGACGAAGAAGGCTCCATCGTCCGTACTGCGGGCAAGAACTTCAGCTGTGGCGCATGCCGTACAAAGGACACGACCAAGTGGTGGAAAGCTCCTCGCGGTCTCAGCTCGAGTGTCCTTTGCGATAACTGTGGGACGAGTTGGAGGAAATATGCGGATCTGAACCCTCTGAGGCCAGTGAGGGAAGAAGCGATGGCTGCAAAGGCGAAGACGACGGGGGAGAAGAGGGAGGGAACCCCGTTGAGTGCGCCGGCGAATAAGAGACTCAAGGCCACCAATTCGGTGAGGTCAAGCCCTGCACCAGCGGCTCCGTCGGCACCTCAGATGCGCTGTGTGGCATGCCATAAGAACGGCCCTGCGAGTAAGGTCGTCAAGTGCCAACAATGTCAGATGAAGATCCATGCAGGTCCGTTTCCCTCAAATTTACTTGCCTTTACAAAGGTCACTTACGGTTCTTCGATGCTCGTGTAGGTGCTTGTGGTTTTGTCCCAGATCCTAGCGTCTCGGAGTGGTACTGCGACTTGTGTCAGAATGAGAAGGTTGCAGAAGCTTCTCTGGTCAGTGTCATACGTCAACTTGTTCATTTATCCGGTACTGAAGACTGGTTTTCCTTGCAGAATACCGATTGTGTGCTTTGTCCTCGTCCGAAGCGGGACCGAAAGAGCAAAGAATACTACCCATTACCCGACACCTTCCTCCGCGCATGTAAACCAACGGAAGGACAAGGTTGGGCTCACGTCGTGTGTGCTGTCTTCCATTCCGAGATTATGTTCTCGGATTCTTCACGGCTACGCGTCGTCGAGGGTATCAGTGCTATTCCTAGTTATCGGTGGCAGGCGGTAAGTGCATAACACATCTCATCCAAGGCGAATGTGAATTGATGATTCCTGTCGCTGTAGAAATGTGGGATATGCAAGGAGGCGGGAGGTGCTGTGGTGAAATGCCACGATTGCTCGCAGATGTACCATGTCTCTTGTGCGTGGAACAGGGGCTGCAAGTTCCAGTTTGAGATGCAGCCTGTGAGTAATTTTCCATCGTACGTCGTACGCTTGCTTAACCCTTTGACTGCACTAGGTCAAGAACGTTCGGCGCGACCTCGCCACTACTGTCAACTTCAAGGATGCGACTGGTCATATGGTTGCGGTCGTTCGGTGCAAGGAACACTACGACCAGAAACACCAGTACATTAACCTCTGTGAACAGAATGAATTCGGCGAGGTATGTCTTCTCTGCATCTCCGACTCTCGTTTAGATCCTCTTCGTCTTACATTGTCCTGCAGACCGCGTTGCAGGTCTTCTGTCGGAACTACAAACAAGTTCAAGTCTCACAATCGCACGCCCTCCTCCGCAAAGCCCAACGGCTCGACGAGATCCTCCTCAGAAGTAACCCAACACCTGCGCTCAACGGTCACTCCGAAACACACGTCACTCCTCTGTCTTCCTCCACCAACGCGCCTCAGTCTCCCGCTCCTCGATGCGCGGAATGCAAGACCTCTCATACACCTTTCATGCATACTGTCGGATCGAGGTTCATGTGCCATCGTTGTTGGTTCGATAAGGAGCTTCCGACGTACAGGGAGCCACCTATCGCTCTGCTGTGATATCCTATCCTTTCATCACTCCTTTATTTCTCCCTGTGTTGTCGTTTTGTTGTCTTTGTTGCTGGGTTCTCGTTCTCGTTCCTTCTGATTACATACATACGGGGACATGGCTTGAGGTCGTTAGTCCCGTTTGTAACATACCGCTCTGATATTCATCGTTTTGCTCGACTAGGCGAGCCTGGGAATCATAAACAGTGGACATGTAGGTGCCGCTGGACGTGCTTTGAGGGCTGTTGTCCATCAGTGCGTTACGCCAAGAATTGCAGACGGTCCGAAAGGATAGAACGGGGACCGACATCATCATTCACTGGTATGCTGCGGTTTACGCCTCACCCACATCTGAAACTCATACTTCACGCCTTTCTCCTCCTGTACACCCTTGGGCACCTCAAAGCCTACCCACTCACTCAACTCCTCGTGTGGCGCTCGATTCCACTGTACACCCTCCTCCGCCGCTCTTGCCCCCGATTCGCCTTGAGAGGTCAAGAAATCTGGCATAAAGACATTGCAGTCTTCAAATGCGGGTTCAAGAATACGTGTAAGAAGGACGCGGTCGACGAAGGCGGCAGTAGTGGGGTCGGGTGGAAGAGCGAGGGATTCGTTATGGAGTGTGGCGCCACCGATGATGAAGGCGTGATGGATAGGTTTGAAAGACTCAGGAGCAGGTGACGGTGGTGGATTAGATATACGAGCGAGCGCATCGGCCAGATTAAGGTGTAGGAATGTCGGAGAGGTTTGTGGTGTCCTATTTTCGACCAATAATACATCGTGAGCTTTGTAACACCGCGAGCTAAACATATAGACGTACGATCCGATCTCATACTTCTCATTCCTCGACACCACTATATTCACGCGATCCTTCAACGGTCTAAACTTCTTTGGGATACTTTCCCATGTATTTCTCCCCATCACGACCGCGTTCACCTTCCCTTCCGGCGCAGTTTTTGTGGCGCGAGCGAAGTAGGACATTTCTTGAGGAAGCTGCCATGGAAGACTTCCGTTCTGTCCGATACCATTGGTTCTGGTTGCGGCGACTATGAGAGTGAGACGAGACATATTTTGAAGTCGAAGCAAGCCGTGGCTGGGGTCGAGAGTAAACTTGAATCTACACTTCGATCGACTTTGTTATAGGGGCGGTGAGCGATCACGTGGCAATCTATTCCACGGCGCCAGGCGCGCTCAACACTCGCAGTCATCTGCAGACAAACTTCATCACAACCTTCCAACTGTGTACGCGAGCTCTCCGCTATCATTCCTTGGGACATTTGTGAGAGCGATCGGCAATGTTTTCTTTCCAGGAAATCAAGCAGCTGTTGATTTCCGCGAACAAGTCGCGATCGCGACCTGATTCATGGGCGACGGAACGAATCGTGGATAAAACGAAGGCCTTGGCTGCGGCAGCAGCGCTACTGGTTCGTGAGTGCATCTATATTTGAGAGCACATTTGGAGACAACTTCTAGGAGCTCGAAGGTAAGTAGATCTTTATAGCAGAGTATACACATGCATTCGACATCTGCACCTATCGTGTCGCGAGACGCGCATTCCCAGCTGAGCTGAGCTGAGCTAGGCCAGCTCTCTAGTGCTTACAAAGTCCCAGGCCTGCCTGCCTTTGTTGCGAAATCGAACCTAATTTTCTCATGAAGCCAAGCCAGATGGCCTCGTGCCCTCGCTGCCGCCCTGACGGGAGAAGTACAAATCGGATCTCCCGCTCCTTGATGTTGGACTAGCATATATACCAACCACTCGCCTTGCAGACCTACAACCGCCCCCGACATGCTGGATCCGACCTTCGTGATACAGGTTGGACAATATGTCTCGAAGGAGGTCTATTCCGTACGAAAGAGTATATGGACCGGTACTCTTGCGTTTCCGTTCTACGCGTCTTGTCTCTCTTTCTTAGTTCTTTCGATCCGTGTTATTTCGTCCACGGTCTTTCTCCGCTTCAAGAGGCGCTCCGGATGGACCAGTGGAAGGGAGGGTAGTCTGCCGAACGCGAACAGTCCCAGCGGACTTGTCGTCGCTCATGGCGGAGTGCTCATCTTTGTATCCAAAGTTCTCCGCCTGGTTGGTTCTACGACATTGTTCGGTCTCGCATTGGCCTTAATTTTCAGAGCCGAGGATCGCAAAGCCAATGCTACCGGACTATTATGCCTTTCATTCGTCAGTTTTCCTCAGCACTCTACTATGAACATACGCTAATCAATCGTCTAGCTTTATACATCTATGCTGGCCCTTTTCGCTGTGTTCTCTTCAATGTCTTCGTTGACGTTGTCTCACGTTAATTTCGTGCTGGTGGTGTCCTGGGCCGTGTTCTTGTTCCGCGACATCGTCCCTCTTCTGACCTACACCGAAACTCCCATCGACCATGGTTCGCTGGTATGGGCGCTTTTCGGAGTATTGACGTTCATTGGTATCCTTGTCCCACTCCTTACGCCACGACCGTACATACCCTGCGATACTGCTGTAAGGGATTCAACAACGTCTTTATACCGCAAGACGTCCTCCTGATTTTTCGTCACAATAGGACCCGATGCCTCCGAACCCAGAACAAACTGCTTCACCGCTTTCTCGAACCCTCTTCTCCTGGCTGGACTATGTCGTGTGGAAAGCATACCACGCTCCTCATCTTCCCCTCTCAGAGTTGCCCCCACTAGCCGATGAAGACCACATCAAGAACCTTATGCGCACTGCATTTCCACACCTCGACCCTCATTGGAGTCCACAAGGGCCGGGCGGGACGGGAAGATTCAGGTCAAAGAAATCATTTGGTCACTGGCGCATGGTTCTTGCGTTGTTCATCGTCTTCAAACGCGAGATCGTCACCTATTGTTTCCTCGTAGTGGTGCAGAATCTCGTCCAGTTCATTTCTCCGTACGTACTTCAACATCTCTTGATATATCTGGAGCACGGAGGGGAAGGCGCTATTGTCCGCCCATGGGTTTGGGCCATCTCCGTGAGTAAGATCGATGTGCACTCAGGGATACCAAAAAGAGATTGATAGGATAATGATCATTTCTCCAACAAGTTGTTCCTCGCGCCCTTTGCTTACGCTCTACTCATGACGGCGTCTCGGCGTATCGACACGACCATCACCGTGCGCATGCAATCATTTTTCAATCAACTCATCCTCCAGCACGCACTGCGCATTCGGTTGGTCGCAGACGCCACAGCTGATTCGAATATATCCTCTACCGACACTTCTACGCCCGCCCCCTCGGAGAATACTTCAACTGCCGAAGCTTCTACGTCTACTGCTCTATGGGACATGGACGACGAGACTGTCACTACCGAAGTGGGGTCTGAATCCGGAGCTACAGCCCAGGAATCCGAGGGGTCTACATTCGTTGCGTCCCCTGAGGCGAAAGAGGAAAAGCCCGCCAGTGTTACATCGAAGAGTCTCGTTGGGCGTATGAACAACCTGATATCTGCGGATCTGCAGACATTGGGGAGGGGCACAGAGGTTTTACAGATCATCGTATCTGTGCCTCTTGGGTTGGCCGGCTCCCTCTGGTATCTGTATAAACTGCTTGGATGGAGGTAAGATTTTCCCCTATATCGGGCAGGTGTTGGTGCTAACACGGGGAACTTGTTGTTATAGCACATTTGCGGGGTTCGGGATTATGTTGTTGTTGCTTCCTATCCCGACTTTCACCGCTAAACTTTTACAAGACGCCTCTCGAGAGGTGTCAAAGAAGGTAAGGAAACGCGCGCCTGTGACATCACCATACCTTACTTGACTATGACCCATATTCTGTAGAGCGACGATCGTGTTGAACTTGTCACCGAAAGTAAGTTTGCTGTGCACAAAACACGAATGTTCGCTGACAGAGGAACTCTCCAACAGCACTTAGCGTTATCAGGATGGTGAAAATGTTTGGCTGGGAGCGTAAGATGCATCAGTCTATCGACGGAAAACGTAAAATCGAGCTAGATTGGCACTTCAAAAACAAGGTGTACTCGCTATATACTATCGGGTTTCAGTGCGTTACAATCTTCGATCTATCCCCACAAATCTCAAACTGATCGCACAATTATCAACAGGTTCATTGTCCCTTGTGTGACTATGGCTACTACCTATAGCATCTATGTAAGTGGTGGATCGTGATAGACTTTCCACTGCGAGAGTACACTCAACAAACTTTATAGGCACTTGTGATGAAACGAACATTGGACGGTCCGTTCTCGATGTCTCGAAGTACTTGGGTGCTTGCTCACTGTGACGTTCTATAGCGGCCACCGTTTTTGCCTCTATTTCACGTGAGCCGCCGTATCCTTTCCCTTCAGATTATGGAGCATGCAATTGATATCTAGCCAGTCTTTGATATTTTGCGAAACAGAATGGGGCAAACACTCTTCACCGTGCCTGCACTTCTCAAGAGCAAGGTCTCACTAGACCGTATTACAGACTTCCTGACTGAGGTCTGTTCGCTTTTCGTGATTACCAACCTTTATCTGGCTAAATTTGTCCTGACCAACTTAGACCGAACTCCTCGACGAATATACAGCTGTCAAGGAGGAGGTTTTAACTGACGTGGTTCTCCCAGAAGACCCTGATGCCATTGGCTTCGGAGCTGCTTCTTTCACCTGGTCCGATGAGAGCGCGTCCGGCGTCTTGACACCGTCAAGGCGACAATTCACGCTTCGAATCGACGATGAACTATTGTTCAAGAGAGGGTCCATCAATTTGATTGTCGGACCCACAGGTAAGTCTTTCGTCCTGCTCCCGGAGCCCCACATCCAGTACTAATCGTATACTGGAGGTTGTGGGAAGACGTCACTTCTGATGGCGCTGTTGGGTAAGCGCCTTCCCCCTTTGCAAACTCAACGAGGTGGTAAAGTGATACAATTGTAGGCGAGATGCACTTCGTACGATCTGATTGGAATTCGTGGTATAACCTTCCGAGAGATGGTGGCATTGCGTATGCTGCTCAGGAGTCGTGGGTCATGAACGCCACGATCAAGGTGCGCCATCGCTCTCGTTTTTTGTGCGATGTATTGCTTTATCATGGAAGTTTTGTTCAGGAAAATATTATATTCGAGACCCCACTTGATGAGGATCGATACAGTCAAGGTGGGCTTGTGTGTAGCCGAAACACGAAGTTATTACGCACGCTGAAGAGGCTGATTGACTACTTCACACGATAGTCATACACCAATGCGGTCTTACGCGTGACCTTTCCCTATTCGACGCCGGGGATGAAACGGAAGTCGGCGAGAAGGTCCTTATTCACTCCTCTTCCTCTACTGCTTCTGCTGTTAACGCCTGTAAAACCTCAAGGGTCTCACACTCAGTGGCGGCCAGAAGGTATGCTGTATGCATCCCTTGGAGATGAGAGCACCAATCTCATCGTCTGCGTTATCAGGCCCGAGTGACGCTCGCTCGAGCTGTGTACTCTTCGGCAGAGATCATGATTCTGGACGATGTGAGTCTGCATCACAAAGATTCATTCCTCATAGCGAATTAGGCTTACAGGGTTTTCAGATTCTGGCCGCGCTGGACGTTCACACAGCAAAATGGATCGTAGATAAATGCTTGACTGGGCCCCTTGTGCAAGGAAGGACCGTGCTTCTGGTGGTGAGTTGCTTGTTCGACTCATAGTTGCCCTTCGTTGATATTTCGTTGGATCACGCAGACTCACAACATTAGTATGACTGCGCCGATCGCTGACTTCGTGGTGTCCCTTGGTTCGGACGGTCGGATCCTCAGTCAAGGGACAATGTCGGACGCTTTGGCCAAGAACTGGAAGCTTAGAGAAGAAGCAAAGAAGGAGGAGGAAGTCGAAGAAAAAGCAGCTCAAGATGTCGACGCACCGGCTCTTGACGGAGAAGCAGAGAGGAAAGAGGATAAGGTGGGCGGGAAACTCGTCGTGGAAGAGGAGACTGCTGAGGGCCACATTAGCTGGCAGTCAGGTTCGTGGATGCTCGACTCTGGTAGTGCTTTTAGCGCTTGATTGATCGTCTCTGCAGTGAAGATGTATATCGGAGCTTTGGGTGGTCCCATCTTCTGGGTTCTCTTCGTGTGCTCGACAGTCTTCGAATGCGGCATCGAGGTAGTTCAACCTTGGATCCTCGGACAATGGGCCGAACAGTATCTCACACATCCCCCCGAAGATGTGAATGTTCTCTTGTAAGTCTCATAACTTAATCTCTCACGTGGTAAGATTGACTTCTCCGAACAGTTATCTTGGTATCTACATGATCTGTTGTGTGACCATGTTCGTTGTCTTTGCTGTCGGACAGATAGTTCTGTTCAAGGGAGCTTTACGAGCTTCCAAAATTCTTCATCAGCGACTTATTTCAACCGTGTTGGGAACAACACTACGGTTCGTACGGTCTCCCGCGATCGCTAGGCCACGTTGCTCATGTCTCTTGTTGTAGATGGCTAGACAAGACCCCGACGTCGCGAATTATTACGAGATGTACTCAAGACGTTTCCTCTGGTAAGCGACTGTAGGTACTCCATGCGATGAGATATTGACCATGCCTATCAGTGGACTCCGCCGTCCCCGAGTCTTTGGCCATGGTCTTTGAGTACGCAGTGATCCTTTCTGTGCGGTTCATCGCGGTTATGTTCTACACACCCAAAGTCGGTCTATTTGGGATACTCATCGCTGCCTTTGGTATGTCCCTCTCTACACCTTGGCTGTACTGAGCAACATTCTGACAGAATGGACAGGAGGCATGCTGGGGAATATCTATATCAAAGCACAGTTGTCGGTCAAGCGGGAGTTGAGCAAGGCCAAGGCACCCGTTATAGCACACTTTGGCGCAGCCATCGAAGGACTTGGTATGCTCCACCTCAGTCTATTCTCCAATGATGTGTCCACTGACCCAGAGTGCAAAGTGTCCATTCGTGCCTATGGTGCTCAGCAATCCACATTACTCAAGTCTGGCGCCAAGATCGACGAATACACTCGAGCGAACCGTGTCTTCAACGATTTGAGCAGGTAGGAACGTTGGATTCGTTGCGAGAGACTTTTTACTGACATATGCATTTAGATGGATTGGTGTTCGCGTTAACGGCCTGGGAGGCCTATTCGCTGCTGTTCTGGCCATGTACTTCGTGTACAGTGACTCTGGGGTCAACCCGTCGAACACAGCCTTTACTTTGAGTAAGCCCCTGTGTTGCGATACTTTCACAACGTCTGACCTTGGCAATGCCGCATTTTAGCGATGGCGGTTTTCTTTGGCAACGTGATCTTGTGGTTCGTTCAATTGCTCAACCAATTCGAAGTGAATGGTATGTTAGCGTCTATAGGAGATCCTCATACACATCATCTCACAAGTACTCCTGGTTTATAGGAAATAGCCTTGAGCGCTTGCAACAATACATGATCATCGAGCAAGAGCCGCAGCCGGTCGAGGATAGACAGCCACCTGCATACTGGCCTTCCAGCGGCGCGCTGAAAGTCGAGAACCTTAGCGCGCGATACTATCCCGTAAGATCAGTTATGATCTTCTTTCGATCAGCAAGACCGAATATCTATTTGTCTTTCAGGATGGTCCTGAGGTATTACATGGCCTCTCTTTCGAGATCAAGGCTGGAGAACGTGTCGGCATCGTTGGACGTACAGGTAGCGGGAAGAGCTCCTTGACCTTGTCTTTGCTTCGTTGCATATTCACCGAGGGCGAAGTTTATTACGACGGTCTACCGATTTCCTCAGTCAACTTGGACTCACTTCGAAGCCACATCACGATCATACCGCAAGTAGTGAGTACTCCGGGGACCACGTACCTCTTCGTCTTCTTTTATAAAGTTTTACCTTCTGCAGCCCGAACTTCTGAGCGGCACGCTCCGGCGGAACTTGGATCCCTTCGACCAATTTGATGATGCCACGCTGAACGCTGCTCTTCGTTCAGCCGGGCTTTATTCTATCCAGAATGAAGGATATGAGAACATGATCACACTCGACACTAACACGGCTCGTGGTGGCAGTAATCTTTCCGTCGGACAACGTCAGATCATTGCACTGGCCCGAGCGATGGTCCGCGAAAGCAAACTGCTTATCCTCGATGAAGGTTAGGCGTCTAATTTGTGGTCTAGCATAAATACTAAATTTAACGTGACTTGATGTTCCAGCTACGTCCGCCATTGATCACAAGACGGATGCCGTGATTCAAGCATCGCTAAGGACCGAGCTGAAGAAGGACGTGACGGTCATTGTCGTTGCTCACCGACTACAAACTATCATGGACGCTGACAAAATCGTGAGTCGGCTATGCCTGTCACTCCACATTTTTGTTCGTAGTAAAGCGCATACTTACCGAGATTCTCCCAATCGCGCGCAGATGGTTCTCGACGCTGGAAAGATAGTATGTTCACGGATCTTCTGTCCGCGTCTCCCTTCACTGATACTATGTGGTTTCCGCCCGCCACTTAGGTTGAATTCGATAGACCAAGTGTCCTGTTAAGGAAGGAGGACAGTTTCCTCAAATCGCTCGTAGACGAAAGCGGAGACAGGGACGCCCTGTATGCCGCAGCTGGACTATGAATGCGCGGTCTCCTACTGTAGAGCATGGACTGTGATTCCTGCCAACTGCGGGACTATGACCTTGAAAGAAGTCTGCTTGTTCGTTCCAAATACACCCCAAATACTTACTAGGGAGCGCTGCCTTCGCCAGCCGGTAACCTTGCTCGATGGGTTGACTGCTGACCTACGCAACTCACCTGCCCAAACCATTTTTCCTCGACAAAGACTTCAAGTTCAAGGTGTAATAGTAATTCTTTTCCGCATTTCTTCTCCGGCGCCAGATCGTGCTATAGTGTACTTCGACGTTGTTCAAATTTCAAACACACTTCACTCCATATTTTATGGTTGTAGATAGCCGGTACTGTGTTGCTATCGTCCGCGACTCCATTGGACATTAGTCTCCCACAGGCAGACCTTGGTGTTGAAGATCGGACGTTCAACGTGGCAAGCAAGGTAACATTGAAGGCCGAGAGGGGTGGCGCTTGCCAGTGGGTGGCGCCGCAAAAATGTGCCAGACGGACATCCGCATTAGGAAGGAAGATATCAGTGGCTCGGGCCGCTGACGACTCTCTTTCCCATTTTCCATCGCTCATGTCTGCGTCGCTTTGCCTTCCTCCTCTCGCTGGCCCTGGGTCTTCTAGGCTCGAACTTTCACCATTCGACGGATACGAGTGCATTGCAGACCTATTCATTCGACTCCGAGTTTCACCTCGTACAAAAAAGAAATTTTGTCGAAATTTATCGAGCCTTCCTCCGCGAGATTCCTTTGGCAGGAGGGCGAGCCGATGTCGTGTGCAAGATCGCGTACGGTAGCGCTGTACCGAAGCTGACCCACGAAGCTATGATTTACACAAAGCTCAGTAGCATTCAAGGAGGCTATGTGCCGTATTGCTACGGCTACTTCACTCAGGGCGCCATGTCTTGTCTCGTGCTGGAGTATTGTGGAGAAAGCGTCGTCGAGAGTTTTGGAGACCTGTCTCTAGACATCCGGTATGATAACAGGCAATGACACTCCCCTATATCTTGTCGCTGACACGGTGTCCGCTTTCCTAGAGGCCAGATCATCAATGCCTTCTTTAGCATCCATCGCGCTGGTGTAGAGCATAATGATGCGGCCGAACGTAACATCGTATGGGACGGCAAACATGTTTATATTGTTGATTTTGCGGACGCTAGCGAAGACCACGCATGCGCCGCTAAACCTCCGATCCTCAATACTGTGGCCGTTCATGCAGCAGAGTTTGGCTGCTCAGAATTATGGGACTTGCTTACGGAGCTCAGGCTTTGGCACCCCTGTATGTCTGAACTCTCTTTGACCTTATCCCTCCTTCGTTTTCACAAATATACAGCTGATCAACCTGATTATATGCCCGTCTGCTAGCGGAGGTATGGTATGCTGGCCAAGCCCTTCCAATGCAGATTATCTACACCCCTGCCGAGTTCCTCAGGTATAAGCCCTCCTATTGGACGAAGGAGGAAGCAATAAAACAGGCTTGGGATGTTATCAAAGAATACACGAAGGTCTACATGCCCGCGGCTTACCAACGAATCATCGACGACGGTCAGTGGAGTCTTCTTAATGTCATTGGACGCTGTATCTTACTGGAGTTCGTAGAGTTAAAGACCGAACAGGAAAAACAGAAGAGAAATGCAGAGTCGGCTGTCGCGCGGCAACAAGACGGACGGACATCTAGCCGTAAGGCCACAAACTCTGGCGTTGATACTTCGGTGCTCCGCAAAAGCGGCTTATCGGGAGGATGTGCTCCATCTGGCACTTGCCACGCCTCCTCAAGCAAACGTTCAGCGGCCGAGGAGGATGGCGACGCCGCCTCAACGCGAGCGGCAAACCGACGAAAGACGGCCTCCGTCGACACATCACCTCCCGAATCCCCTGTGACAGCGAAGAAAAGGCCTGGTTCCCGAGGAGGGGGATATAAAAAGACGTCCCCAAATTATGTTCGAGCGGTGCCTGCCGTTAGTGTGATTACGGCGGGCGGCCCCTCTTCTGGTACTCGCAGCAGAAAGAAAGGAACGTCTCCGTCGAGATGATCCTTATGATATGTTCTCTCGTCTGTAATGTCATCGCACTATATATCTACTGTTGACTACCGTCAAGTTCGAAACATATGTAGCACTTTGTAAACACACTATATTCGCTCACTTGCTTGGGTCGACGTCATGTCCATAACTTGGGGGTGGCTTTGTGACGACACTTTGACAATCACCACCATCTCGCAATATCTGTCTGGTTCAAAATCACAGCGATATAAATCAAGGGAAAGTTAGCCACTGATAATAAAAACTACACTGGACGCTCAGCGAAAACTAAGACTCGACTCAAACTGAAACACAAGGGTATGTAACATGTCCACCAATCCCATCCGCTTGACTACTACACCCCAACCCCCACATCCGTCATCACACCCTCCATATCCGCATCATCATCCTCTCCAAGTCCGCCCGCTAGGTGCAGGTGCAGCCTCCGTACTATCAACCGGAACCCTCCTCGGTCCTCCACTCGTCTTCTTCACCGCCGTCCTAGACCCCGCTGCACCTCCCGCACCCGAAGTAGTTTTGAATGCCGCCGTCGAGGCAGATGACCTCAATTTTGCCGTTGACGTCGATGTCGAAGACCTGAGCGTCCTCCCTCCTGTCGTTGCTGTTGAAGTGGATGGTTTGGAAGAAGCGGCGGTAGAAGTGACCACGGAAGTCGTTGGGCCCGTCCTTGCTTTTTTCTTCACCGCATTCTCCTTCCCCACAGCATCTGCCCGTTTTCTCGAGGTCGATGCTCCCGCACCTGTAGCCTCACTGCTCGTCCCGGTCTTCTCTCGCTCCTTCTCCTTTGCTTTGCCCTTGCCTTTATCTATGCTCGGGCCAGCTCCTGCTCCTGCTCCAGCTGTGGGCACGGTCTGCTTCTTCTTTGGAGCCGGGACGTCCAGCGCAGGGTTCGATTTGGCTGCAGCCGTAGCCTTGACCTTCGACGTCCCAGCAGCCCTACCCTTCGCTCCCTGCCCAGACCTCACTCGCTCCTCCATCGGATTATCGTCCTCCATCTCCTTTTGCATCCTCGGCACCTTCGCTCCCACATCCGGCTCCCGCATCAAATCCTCAATATCCATACTCTCGTCCTCCTCCCCCAGCATCCCTAACGCCAGTTGCGGCGCCGGCAGTGGTGGCGGACCTCCGTTTTCTGGGGAATTGCCCATGAGCAGGATGCGGCTGAGCGGGGAAGGGCGCGCGGGGGAGTAGGCGTGGATCATGTGTTTGGCGTGGGGCTTGGCTTGGGGGAAGGACGGGCGGGCGGAGGGGTTCTGGTGAAGTTGAGATTGGGAGGGGTTGGGGTTGAATGGGTTGGAGGGGTTTTGTGAGGGGAGGAGCATGAAGGGGTTTTCGGAAGGGTTGGAGGGGCCTGTGATGGGTTGAGACTCAACGGCTGGAGGTTGCGGTTGTGGTTTTTTGACAGGGTCAGGATGTGGAGCGGGCACTGGGACTAGTGCTGGTAGTTCGGAATTAGATGACGATGCGGACGGAATCCCCCAAGGCGGCGTAGTCGACGGTTCCTCTGGATCTACATTCATCTTACCAGACCCCCTCGAATGGACGATCTTCCCAGGATGTTGACTCGCCACATTTCCGCCACTTCCCGAACTCGTCGTTCTTGTCCTACTTGTGCCCGTGCCCGTGGCGGGTGCGGAAGTAGTTGCGACAGCAGCGAGCAATTTGCTCGGCGGTAGAGTAGACTGTGGGCTCGGAGGTGGAAGCACGAAGTGGCCCAGACCTAGCCCCATCCCACTCCCAATATTCCCCGCTCCAGCTCCAGGGGGAAGATTCAATTCCGTCTCGTACGACGGGACGACGCTCGGCCCTGCACTACCACTCCCACTACCAGCCGAACCTCGTCGAGAAGATCTCCTCGAAGACCTCCTCACTCCTCTTGCTTGTGTTTGTGTCTCCTTCGGCTTCGAGCCGCTAGCACCCGCGCCTGAACTGCTACCACTGCCACCAGCCCCCGCCCCCCTCGACTTCGCCAACGCAGCCTTCAATCCCGCTCCCTTTCCCCCGGGCTTCACAGGCGATCTCACCTTGGACATCCTCCGGGCTTTTTCGCGCGCCGGGCTTCGGAGTGTGACATGCGTGTGAATATGGATGGGCCGGGAGGTTGAGGAGCGCGATTTGCGGGGGTTGTGTGATTTGGAAGGGGGTGCTGGTGGGGGAGAGAAAGGGGCGGAAGAGGTAGGTGAGGGCGGGCGGTCGTCTGCTTCTGGGATGTCGGTGTCTGTGTCGATGGGTTCTGGGGGGAAGTGGGAGGCAAGGGTGTTGTTGGCTTTGTTGGTGTGGTTGTGATTGTTCTCTAGTTGAGATATCTGCCACGAACGTCTCTCTTCGAGGAACTTCAGCCGTTCAGCCTAAAACAATGACATCACAAATTAGCACCTCATCCATCACGCCACATCCAAGTAGAAGAAAAGCAGACAAGTCACGAACCTCTAGATCCGCCCTCTCCCTGCCCACCTGCATCGCAACCTCCGTAAACGCAAGCCTCTCCTGCTCCAACTCCTCCCTCCCCTGTTGTAGCTCTTCCATCCCTTTACCTAACTCTCTCGTGTCCGTCGCGGTAGCGGGAAGCATGGTCAATTGTGGTGGATTCGCTGCGAACTCATCGAAGAGGGCTTGGGCGCGTGTGGCATATTCTGTTTGCTCTTTGTGTGCTTTGTCTAAAATATTATTTGATGCAGGTAATCAGTGATTGATTACGCTGAGCTAGTATCGCGAGAGGAATTTACCGAGTTCTGAACGCAGCATCTCAATCGTCGCCTTCAGTCTCTCGATCTCCTCCCCATGTTCACAAGGTTTGAACTTCCCATTACCTGCCCCCGCCTGATCGCCAATAAGTGTCGTCGTAGTCGAAGTCGAAGCACTCGGATCAGCGTTATTGTTGGAGGGGGAGTCTGCGTCTGGGAGAAGGTCCACGATAGCGTTCCGGAGACGTGTGAGCAGCGAGCTTAGTTTGTCGAAGGCGGTGTCGGAGGGGCCTATATTGCCTGGGTGGGGGAAGAGGTCTAAGGAACCTAGGGGTTCGGGCTATTCACCAGCCGTGAAATAAAAGTCAGCATTATAGACAACTTTCAGGTCCCCAACCCTTAGAGAGTGTAAGAACACGTACCGCATCCTCACCGTCTGGATCCTTTCCTAAAGCTTTCTGCAATATCCGCTGTACCGTATTCGTAACATCCACCACCAATCCCTTAACTTCCGCATTCTCCTCCCTCAACCTCCCACACGCCTCCTCCGCCTCTTCCAACGCACACTCCAGCACGCCCTTCCCTCTCCTCATCTTACTACCAAACTTTTCCTCCACGATCTCACCATTCCCAGAATTGACGAGCGTCATCCCCGAGCGCATCCCTCCCGAGCCTGACATGGAGGAGTGATGGTTGGAAGAGCCGCGGAGCTGCGAGTCGGACAGTTTGTTCCATTTCTCTGTGATCTTGCTGATTTCGGAGTCTCGCTTTTGGAGCGCGGTGGTATGTTGGGAGCGGAGGGCTTGGAGGGACGTGCGTGTGCGTTGGAGTTCGAGGGTCGTTTGTTTGTGAGCGGCTTCAGATTGGGCGAGCGCGCGGGTTGCGGTGCTGCATTAGTTCATGTCAATGGTCAGATTAAGACGTAATGATTTGGATGATGAGAAGGAGAAAATGAAGGAAGTGTCGGCGTACGCGAGCTTGGATTTGTGGAGATTCGTTTCGCGTTCGGCGTTTGCTGTCTTCTCGACGGCGGCGCGATGCATGGTGAATAGGCGGTCGTGGTCGTAGGACATAGTCCTCAGTTTCGTCGACAGTTCCTCCGTCCGTGACATGTCCTCCTGCGATACCGCCCGGTAAGCACTCTTCCCCTCGCCCACATACCCATCGGCAATCGTGGACCACAAAAAATGCTTACCATTCTTTGAGATAACATCCCCATCAAACACTTCACAACGCCGTCCATATCAGCATTCGAACACCCATCCAGCGAGAGTCCGGGAGCCGTTGCAAATCCATGCGCTACGAGTTGCGAGTTGAGGTGTTGGAGTGTTGAGGTGGATGTGACGGATGAGATGGAGGACCCTTCGGAAAATATAGGAGATGGCAGCGAGGTGGGCGATTTGGCGTAGTTGAGGAGCGTCCAGTGGACAGATTTCTTCGGTGTTGTCGTGTTCATGTTCGCAAGTCGTCCGTGTCAATGGGGCGGGCCGATAATCAAGACGATGTTGCAGACGTCGGCGGTATAGTATGACCACAGAGGCGTAGATATACCTCAGCGCCGTCAGAGGGGAATGTGCGAACGCTCTATTCGTCTGAATGTCGTCGACGCCGTTGAAGACGTTGGCGAGCTCCGCACGAACCTCAGCCGACCGCGACCTGAGCTCAGGCACGTGATCGCGCCGACTCTCAACTAAAACATTATCTCGATCGATTAATTTAGCGATTGGACTATATACCTGTGGTAATACCCATAAACATGGCCGACTAGCTCAGCTGGTTAGAGCGTCGTGCTAATAACGCGAAGGTCTTGGGTTCGATCCCCACGTTGGCCATTGTACTTCAGGATCCCGTTCCTTTTTCCACGTCGCTTGCAGTGACCGCACTCATCGTATGCAATTGGGCTTTGATTCTTTCATCTAGTCCACTTTTCCAAGCCGGCGCACTCTCGTCCAGCACAAATGCAACACCATATATGTCAGATCGCTTCTCCACCTCGAAGTGCTTGTAGCAAAGGCCAGAGAGAATAAAGATAAGTGTAATTTTCATACACCCATTCCGTACGACGTGGTCCCGGCTGGTACAGATGCATTGACATGGCCAGATATGCAGAAGCAAGAAAGACAAAATATGTATGAAGCAAGAAAAAACTAGACAAGATCGCAAGCCTCTGAATCTATGAGCGACTACCCCCAGCAACGGCATACAACGCATCTCTATCACCACTCTCATCCACCAAGGATTTAAGGAACCCGCCCTCTTTCTCGAGAAGAACGCTCGGCTTGTCGAATTCGACGATTTTTCCAGCATCGAGGACCATCTGAAGATTGGATAGATGTGGCATGAGCGACTCGTACACTGGTGGGAGTAGGGGAAGATGGAGAGACGGAATGAGGAGACGTACAATTTTGTCAGCATCCATGATGGTCTGTAGTCTGTGCGCGACGGTGATGATGGTTACGTCCTTCTTCAGTTCATTTCTCAACGACTCTTGGATCACAGCGTCCGTCTTGTAATCAATCGCGGACGTCGCTGCAACAGCAAACCGTCAGACCAAACCCACTCAATCGACGCAAGAGGAGAAAGAATCAAGTGGCACAAGTACAAACCTTCATCGAGAATAAGCAACTTGCTCTCCCTAACCATAGCCCTCGCCAAAGCAATGATCTGCCGCTGACCGACAGAAAGGTTGCTCCCTCCACGGGCCATAGCACTATCGAGCGTGATCATACTCTCGTCGCCTTCGTTCTGCACGGAGAAGAGACCGGCGGAACGAAGCGCAGAGTTCAACGTCGCGTCGTCGAATTGGTCGAACGGATCGAGGTTACGGCGGAGGGTGCCACTCAGCAGCTCGGGCTAAATTGACAACAGTGTATGAGGACACGGTCTCACAACAATGAAGTAGACAAAGGACACACCATCTGAGGGATGATCGTGATATGACTCCTCAGAGCATCGAGGTTGACGGAAGATATAGGGATGCCGTCGTAGTAAACCTCTCCGCTCGTGAAGATGCACCGAAGCAACGAAAGCGTGAGCGAGCTCTTGCCGCTACCAGTCCTTCCGACGACACCGACGCGCTCGCCAGCCTTGATCTCGAAGTTCAGGTCGTGCAACACTTCGGGGCCGTCCTTGATCGCATTCCACCACGGTCAATGTCAAGTTGTGACGATGATGTGAAAAGATACGTACAGGAGAATACCGCGCACTGAGGTTCTCAACCCTGAGCTCACCACTCGAAGGCCAGTACGCAGGTGGCATGCCGCCCTCAACAGGCTTGGGCTCTTGTTCAATCTCCATATATTGCTGGAGACGCTCGAGGGAGTTTCCGTTGACCTCGAACATGTTAAGCACCTGGACGAAGAACAGGATCAGCTGACCGAAGCCAACCGCCATAGCTGTTCAGATAGCCGCAGTCAGTATATTTCTCCACTCAAACGGACCGAGAAGTGAAGGGCCTTACTGAGGGTGAAAGCGGTGTTGGAGGGATTGACGCCCGGGTGGCCGTAAACGAAGTAGATACCAAGGAAACAAGCGAAAAGTCCACCAAGGGCATTGACACGAATCCCGATCCACCTGTTGAGATCGTTGAAGACCCTGTTCGCACGAGTATACTCGTCTATCTTGACGGTCGACTTGAGCAGGACCGACTCCTGTGCACCGTAAGCACGGATGGAAGCTATTGTGTGTGCCATTGAGATACCCTGTTCTATGAGGATTTAGAGGATTTATGGAGGACTCACTGATACCCTCGACAGCAGCTCCGAAGTGCGCCATGACGGGCGCCTTGGCTTTGCTGAGCTCACGCTTGACGGAGAGCTGAGCTTTCATATAGACGTTGCCCACGGTACCACCTATCGTGAATCCGGATCAGACGCTTGCTTTTGTCCAAGAAGCTTGTGATTATAACTCACCGACAATGAAGATGACGATGCCCAGAAGACCGACGGTTGGCGTGTAGACCAAGATTGCGATGTAACGGACGATCAAGATGACCGTGATCTCATAGAGATGGGAGAACATGTCCGGAATGGTCGTGTCGACTGTCATTGCACAATTTCAGAACGTGTAGGAGGAAACATATACGATAGAACTCACCAGAAGAGACGTCCTGAGTACACCTCGTGATGATACGAGACGCCGGGGTCTTATCCAACCACCTCATAGTCGTCCCCAAGACGGTCTCGATGAGCCGCCTGTGCAGCAACTTCGATGCCCTCAGAGCTCCCAGTGTGAGCACGATTTGGGCAGCAACGAAGACAAGCAACATGAGCGCGACGAGTCCGACGTAGCCGCCGAGGTAGCTGTTTAGGATGCGGAGAATCCAAAGGTCAGCGCAGTGTTGAAGCTCTATGAATGAGGTCGGTAATGTGAAAGGACATACAAGGGGACATTGACATCTTCAGGCTTGTGAGTCTCGTATTGGGTAGCCCAAGCTCCAAGTAACCACGGTTGAACGACCTCGATACCACACTCGAAGAACGTAGCGAGCGTGAAGCCGATCCAGAACCCAGGTCCACCCAACGCGCCGAGGAACATTTTCACTATAATAATCATCCTGTTAAGCACAACGTACGCTGCTTCCAACTAGGGGAAGCCAGGTAAGAGCTCACCAGAGTTCCAGCTAATGTGTCCCTCTGCCGTCTCCTCTTCCAAGATCAACTTCCCGTCCTTCTTCTCTTCCTTCTGCGCTGGTACGACTTGACCAGGTTCAGGCGTCTCGAAAGCCTCAAAGGCCTCTTCCTGCTCAGCCTTCTCTTCAAAGGCTTTTTCTTTGGCGATTTCTTGACGGAGTTTGGCATTGTGGGCGAGGGCGTCGGACATGGTACCTTGACTGAGGATTTGACCGTCAGAGCCAAGGGAGACGACGAAGTCGGCGATGGGGACGACCATGCTGACATTGTGAGTCTGTGTGTCACCGAAATCAGACAAATTTGAGCACATGCGAGCACGGCCGAGGGGAGGGATGGTGGGAACTTACGACCAGGAGGACAGTCCTACCCTGGATGAGATCTCCAGAGAAACATTTGTCCACAATCCACTTCGCGGTATGAACGTCTAACGCGGCCAGTACCTGCATTCCAACACAACATCGTCTCAACATCTCTCTTCGCGGAATATAAAATGTAGAGACGTACATCGTCCAAGAGGATGATTTCGGCCGAAGAATAGACAGCCCTAGCCAACGTGATGCGAGCCTACACAGTCCACAACATTGGTCAGGAATATGGACGACAATGAGTGGCGATACACATGAACTCACTTTTTGGCCGCCACTGAGTGTGAGACCCTGGACAGTATGGTCAGCATCTTGAGCTGTGATACAATATGGACAGACGCACCTTCTCTCCGACTTCAGTTTGATCACCAGCTTCGAACAGAGACAAATCGCGCGTCAAACCACACTGATAGATGACCTTATCGTAACGTTCTTCGTCGAGCGGAGAGCCGAAGATGATGTTTTCCTATATGAAAAGTTAAGAATGAGTCATCCTCACACGGTAAATGGAATTGTGGAGATTAGCCAGACGGACCTTGATGGTAGCGTTCATAACCCAAGATTCTTGAGCGGCGTACGCCACACCGCCGTCTCTCGGAAGGTTGAACCACGACCTCGGACCCGAAGGAACGAAGTGCATCTCGCCTATACATCGCCACAAACCAAATATCAGCATATTCCTTATAGTCTGGTGTAGCAAACCTGTAAAGTCATTAAGGGACTAACCGAGCAAAGCCATCAACAACGACGTCTTCCCACATCCAGTAGACCCCACGATCAAATTGATACTGCTTCTCTTGAACAACAACTCGTCTTCCACATGCAACATGAACCGTCTCTTGGAAGGCGTAACGACGCCTTGGTTTGCGCTGTCGTTCGTCCAGGAGAAGGTGGCAGAGCGGAATCCGATCTGGTGCGCGTCTTCGGGAGAGATGGCGTTGGCAGCGATTTCGAGCTGGGTGGAGGATTCGGGGGTGAATTCGTCGAGGAGTTCGGTCTGGATGAAGCAATCGTGTTAAGAGGGTGAGGGTGAGGAGTGAGTGAGAGGGAAGGAGGGGGGAGCGTACGTCGTTCAGGAAGTCGGTGATACGGTCGAGGGAGACCTTGCTTTTGATGACCATTGGGATGAACATGAACATTTGCGCCATCCTCTGTCTGAGAATATCAAACACTAGAAAAAAAATCACCTTTCGATGAGAACTCTGGACTTCGATAGGAGATATTGAATAGACTTACGGGCAATGGACGAGAAGACAGTGGCAGCTAGTGAAGGAACGTATTAGATGATACAAAGGATGAAGGGTAAGATAGCAGACCAACCGTCAAGAGTACGATGCATAACTAAAGCCTGAAAGAAATCGTTAGCCATCATCCTTGGGCATTTCGTCGACAAAGACTTACGTAGAAGCTGTAGGTAACTGCCATCGTGATGGCAGGAATGATGAAGCTATAGAACCACGCATGCTCAGACGTTTGCAGACGATGGGTGCACGGAAATGGGGAAGCTTACTGGAAGATCATAGTCAAAAGACCGTACACCTTGTTCCAAAATATCCAGTTCATCTCGATCTCTCGCTTCTCGTCGATGTGTTGGCTCATCTTGCGTTCCCAGCCGAACATCTTGATCATGCGGATGACGCTCAAAGCTGTTCATCGGGAAGACAAGCAGTTAGCACCCGAACAACTATCCAATTCGGGCCAGACTAAAACTCACTCTCAGTCACCATCTCGACGCGGTCGTCGCTCTATGTATAGGAGTACTTCATCATTATAACGATCGGGTATGTAGTCACAGGAAAGCATACCTTCTTAGACACTTCGCGAGAAACACCTTGCAATTGTTTCGACGCAAAGGCAGGAAGCGGCATCATGAGCAGCATACTTCCAAACCCAGCGAGCGCACTACATCACCAACCAAGTGACCGAACGGCACCCACCAAAGCAACCCAGTCAGTAATCGGCCACCTTTAACCTCCTCACACCGCCAAACACAAGCGCTGCGAAAATTTAGAAGAAGGAACTCGAAAAGACAAGACATACCTCCACCCAAGGATAGTATACAAAAACGCAATCGTCCCAAACACCATGATCGGGCACGCAATAACAATCTGCACAAACTCCGTCGCCTTCCCAATCGCCTGCAAATCCGAAGAAATCAGGTTATTCATCCTCCCAATCAAACTCTTCCCGCCTTGTCCTGACCCACTCGCCACTTCCTTTGCCGCGACTTCTTTACCCGCGGACGGGGGAGCGGCGGCGGATACGGCGGTGGCTTCTGATTCCGCTGCCGTCTGGCCCGAATCTGAGCCCCCTGAACCAGAGCTCTCTGCTTGCTCTTGATCTTGGTCGTGGTCGGAGCCAGCTGCTGAGGGAGCGATGGACGGAGTTTTGGAATGCGAGGGTGTGGTGACGGGTGTGGGCGTAGCTTCGGTCTTGGTCTCGGCGACGACACGGATACGGAGTGCGTGTTGGAGGACGAGTTGAGTGAAGATGGCTTCTATGTAGACGACCATGCGGGTGAGGCGAAGTTGGTATTGTTGCATGAGGAGGGATGCGGCGAAGGGCGCGAGGAAGAGCTGAATCGATATCAAAATGAGTGAGTATTGATGGTGTGGCCTGTCGAGCAATGTGGCGTGCGACGTACCGAGGCAATCCAAACCCATGGACGAACGATAGCGTCTTTCCCTCCCGATTCCAAATACATCAAAAGATGCCTCAACCCATATGGCGAGAATAACAATGCAGCATTGTTCGCCAAAATCAGGAAAACGACCGAGCCAAACTCTTTCCTGAACACGACGAGCAACGCGATCACGGTATGGAAGTGACTCCTCGGTTTCCTTGCCTTCGGCTTGGGGGCAGCATTGCTTTCGCCGTTGGCACGATCCTTAGCATTTGTCGCCTTGGTATCGTTGGGAGAGGCGAGGGGGTCGAGATGGGGGAACGCGCGCTCGACGAGGTATTTCGAGTGGTCGGTATCTGCGAGAGGAGGCAGGTCGGAGAGAGGCATGTGGTTGACGTGGTAGGCACGCCACACGACGGGGTCCAAATAGCTGTAGAAGATGCGGGAGAGGGGAGAGGCAACTTGCTCTGGGTTTGGTGGCATCGGTTCCTACAATATTGTTAATTGAGATGGGTTCTTCAGTTTGACGTGACAGTAGTACGACTGGACGCACCGACGGGTCATAAGGTATGTACGCTCTCGGTGTAATTGATGGAAGGACTGCTCCAGTGATGGTGAGGACACCGAAGAGCTCCCAGAACAGGAATCCGTGATCCACTGGCTTTTCGGTGTAGGTGAAGAAGGGGGCCACGTCGCGGATGCAGTAGATGAACCATGCCACTCCCAGAACCAAGTTCAGATGATGAACTACAATTGATGGTCGAGCAGAGAATGCGGTGAATAATGAAAGGATGAACGCGTAGATCTGTAGTAATTCAGTTGAGATTGATAGACCGGAATTACTGACGAGTATTACTCACAAAGGTAATTGTCACAAAACCGTCTAGAACGCTTTTCAGCGTCAAGGTAGTCGCCGACAAACCCACCAACACTGCACATCCTATAACCCTCAACACCTCAGAAGCGAAGATGACCGCCCCTCCGTGCGCAGCGACGTGTGCCCTGAAGCCCTTCACCTCTGGCAACGCGCTCTCCTTCGACTCGCTCGCCCATCCCAATCGTACGAACAACCTCTTCACAGGTGTTGATGCAAAGATACCGTGAAGAACGAGAGAGACGAAAGAAAGGCCAGTGATATAGAATGGAATGGCAAGAGTATTAGACCATACGGATTCATCCTTGTGATTGACTACTTTGGAGACGTAGTAGCCGGCTTGCTGGACCACGAACGTAGAGTCGACATGGACCATGATCGCGGTCGTCGTCGTCCACAGAGCCGATGTCGATGTCGAAGAAGATGGTGATGGTAAGTCGTAACAATCGTTGGGTCTATGCTTCTTAAACTTTTGTGCACTAAGCAGGCGCTTACTTTGAGGGTCGGTCCCGTCCGACTGAGTCAACGCACATACGCGTCCCACACAGCAGAGATGACGCCGAAATGCACATCAATTTGTTGATGAGAGGTACGAACAGTAATAGAGCCGTGTTATCGCGTCCACATGGTGGTAGAAGATAGGACTTGCCGCTTTCGGACGTCGTTTGTTTGCGCTCACGACCACGCGAGCATAAGGAGCCAGGCGGGGGACACAAGATCATTGTTCCATTCCAGTCATCTTGAGGGCCTCTGTAACTCTTATACCTCGTTTCAACAAGCTTCCATTCTTCTCAGATCCAATAAAGGAATACTAATCCTTCATACAGCAGCGACCGACTTATCAACGTTCAATGAACTACACGCCCTTCAGGAGCCGGATCATAGGCTCGAGTCACAACGTCCACGTGAATACTAGAATCTGGGCCAATAACGTCTCCTGCATTCTGCAAATCCAACTCCGGACAAGGGCCTGTATGTATAAGCGCCCCTGGATGTTTGACGTTGCCTAGGCTAGGACGTTCATGTACGGAGACATCAACTACTAGAACTTGATTAGTGACAGGATGATAAGGCAGTTGAGACAGCGAGGGGCAAGTACTTACCGAAAATGAGCTGAGTGGGGGACATCGCACCGAGATGAGGTATATCTCCGTCTGCTTCGGAAGTGGAACATGGCAGTACAAGTTGTGTTTCGACAGGGCTTGGAATTATAACATTGTTGAAGATGTGCTAGAAGCGGCGGCCAGGGAACATGTCTGCATGGGAGGAGAGTGCTATCCGTAAGCCATTCAAGACAGTCCTGAGCCTGAATACGCGAACGAGCTTCAGGCAGTTCTACGGCAGATGTTTTCGACGCCAAGTGAGGCCTGAATCAGTGGGTCTAGGACAGGTTAGGAGCGTTTGAATTCGCGCGGGAAGCCACCTTATACCCCGTTCGAGAATGGAGATGATATGCCGAAAATATCGCTACTCCCTCAAGTAAGACGAAGCTGGGTCAGTAGTTTGAGCTGGAGAGAGAGAGATTACCTGCTCGTTTCAATGCCGACGCAGTGAAGCCAAAGGTTTACTTCAAGAGAGCCGGAGCCGCAGACTATCGTAGATAGCTTGCAGGCTACCAGGCGTAGCAAAAATTCGGCGAGTGTAAACGAATCCCAGTTTGGCTTGGTTGTCGGCGTCTTGAACTTGCATGGGGTAGTCATTCATAGCATTTTATCATGAGGGTCTCCACAGAAACACAGAGCTCGAGAGTGTCCATGAGAGTGACATGGTGTGGTGCATCGAGGAACTGTCGTAGACATTGAGGTTCAAGCTTTCAAGCTTCAAGGTCGAGGGAGAAAGAAACCCGATCACTAAAAATAACTTACCGTCTGCAGGTACGCATGGGGAATGATGCCGACGGGTACCTCCCGAGGAAGGCGGCACGATCCGTCTGTGTCCTGAATCGTCCTGGTCCGGGACCAATTGAACTTCTCCTCCCCGAAGCTCACAATGGCCAATTATCGGGCGATCACCATTCGACGAACCCAAACGCTTGCCAAACGCTGAGTTTCTCTCGATTGTTCGACGTCATTTGACCAAGCTACCCTTGACATGAAATCTCATCACCTTGGAAGGAAAACTTGTCCTCCCTGTGGAATCTCATTTCCTCTTCTGCGTGGACGCTGGATAGCCATCCTGACTTCAGAGAACACGTTCCCCATCGAGCCTTGTACCGGGCTCAGGATCCACAATTGTCGTCGACGCTCGTTTAGTGCGTTCGAGACAGACGCACATCGTTCGTTCTGGACTCGGAGGCCCGGTATGTGCCCTGGGTTGTCGAATAGGGTGGAGACGGAGACGAAGCAGTGAATCCATTTGACGAGAGTGGTGAATGGCGATCAGGGGACGTTGACCGTATGTCCTTTTCAAGATTCACATCGATGATCCCCTCGCCGTGAAAACCCGGTCTTCATTGGTGGTGCAGGTCGGGGAGGAGTAATGCTAGTATGAGCAAGATAGGCGGGCGCTAGACAAACTCGGATGAGGAGATGGTCGAGCGAATGTTAGCTACCCGCGGATGGCTTATTCGGTGAAGCACCTCCCAGAGGAGTTGCTCAATGCAGTTCCCGCTATTGCGAGGCTTCCATTGGACATTCTGACAGAAACACTGAGGAAATGCTGAAGATGATCACATCATAGCGGATCCACTCTCTTTAATTTTGTCATTCGAGATGAGACGTGATTTTTGGGCAGAGTGGTACTGATCCCAGCTCTGGGGTCCTCCTCTCGTTAACAAGATGTTCCGCCATCCTGTCGTGTGTGCATTGTACATCTCGCAGGAAAGTCCTCCGGTTGCTTTCATTCCTGATCTTAGCCATCATGTTGTCTTCGCACGTGCCTACAAACAGCGGACAGACATTCAATTCAATATATCATCCCGGACCCCCCCACGTCCAAGCCTCCTCTACCCGCCCTTCCCCCCTCTCTTCGTCCTTCCTTCCATCCGAAACTTCATCTTCCCTCCTAGAAGATGTCTCCTCGCATTTTCAAAGATATACTCGTCATCATTTCCACCGCAGGCGTCACAACCGTCAGCGTAGGCCATCGCGTCCTTGTCTCGCCACTGCTTATTTTGAACTAAATCACCAACTTCTACTTCGCAGCAATTCCTAAATGGTGCACTCACCGTCGCCCTTCCAACCATAGGAAAAGATCTGAATTTTCGTGAGGTCAGTTGCTACAATTTTCTTCCTTTCCTTCACGACCACTCAATCATCCCGCTAGGCCGATCTACAGTGGCCCATTGCAGCAAACTCGTGAGTGGCGCTATTAGTGCACATAAACCGCGTTTTGATTGCCCCTGTCGTGTTTTGCAGCTTGGTGTATGGTTGCCTGTTGCTTTTCTTCGGGCGGTTGGGCGATATAGTAGGGGCCCGGACCATGTTCGTTGCAGGCTCCCTATGGTGTTCCGTATGGTGCATGGCATTCCAATCAAAACCGTTCTCAAAAATTTACCAGAAGAATATTTCTCGTAGGGCCATTGCCAGTGCATTCACACCTAATGTTCCATCTTTCATCATCTTTGTGGCACTGCAAGGCGCAGGCGCGGCCACCAATACTCCAGGCTCCATCCGCGCCCTAACCTCACACTTTCCGCCAGGAAACAGACGAAGCCAAGCCTTTGGGATATTGGGTGCAGGACAGCCTATTGGATTCATTCTTGGCCTCATTGCCGGTCCGTGCTCCATTACACTTTCAGACGCTCTACCGTATTTGAGACTGATCTCCACGTCCCTAAGGCGGCCTGCTTGCCAGTGATGGTGCCACTTGGCGTGCAATATTCTACATTCAAGCCGGGCTCACATTCATGTTCTCTGTCCTCGGTTTCGTCGCAATCGAAAAGGACGAGGAAAAGTCTAAACGGTATACCAAAGGACTGGACTGGTGTGGCACTGTTCTCAGTACGGTCGCGATAGTGCTCTTAACCTACAGCCTCTCGTGCGTGCTCTTCATCGGATGTTGTGGCCTCAGACTAATGCCCTCATTAGAGAATCGACGTCGGCAAAACGTGGCTGGAGGACTCCTCAGATTCCTTCTCTCTTCTCAGTCTCTCTCCTCGGTTTGGGTTGCTTCGTGCTTTATCAGAGATGGCGAGATTCGAAGGGTCGTTCGGTGCTGGTGCCATTCAGGTTACTGAACCATCCGGAGTCAAAGTTGGGAAGCATGACCCTTCTGGTGTTCTTTGCCTGGTCTGTCTGATTTTCCATTTCCTGTAGCGTTATGTTGGTATGCTGACTATGTCTACCTTCGAGCGCAGGTTCACTTTCAATTCTCTGCTATACTGGATCACCCTTTAGTGTGTCTTTATTTTATCGTCGAGCTTATCACATTGACATCGTTCGTCTAATGAGTTTGAGTTTTGCGCCAGCTTTCAACAGGTGAACTTATTGACGCCAATGCAGACAGCAGTGCGCTTCATCCCGGTTGCGATCTCGGGTATCGTAGTGAACACCCTGACGGGCTTCGTGATGAATCGCGTCTCCGGATACATCATTATGGGCATCGGTCTACTTGCATCCATCGTACGTCATCCATCCGGGAGTTATGTTCGAACGATCTCACGTACGTCCACAGGCAGCACCGATGATATTCGCTTTCCTGAATGGCAACTCTCCGTATTGGACGATGACGCTCTTCATCTTGATCTCCGTCGGTAAATCGCATTGCATCACTAGTCCCCTCCCTACCCACCGTATTCATCTCAGCTAACCTTGCTACTTATTCTGTAAATAGTCGGTTCAGATGCAGTATATCCAGTCGGGAATCTCCACTGTTGCTCCGCCTTCAACGAAGACTCTCACGCCCTCGCAGGCGCGTTGTTCAACGTCGCCATCAGGGTAGTGTACCCACTTTCCTCACCACAAAAGTGACATGATCCCCAGGTTGCTTGGTACTTATTTTTGACTTTCACAGATCGGCACCTCCCTCGGCCTCTCCATCACCTCGAGCATATCGACCTCCGTCTCCGGGCACTACCTTCGCACCCACACCCACTCAGAACTGTCCGCAAGCTCCCCCGAAGTACTCATGGCGGGCTTCAGAGCTGCGGGCTGGACCTGTTGTGCGGCATCGGGAGTCAGTTTTTTGATCGCACTCGTGCGATTTCGGGGGATCGGGATCGTAGGGAAAGAGCATGTGGGTGCTGAGGGGGAGGGCGAGGGTGCGGGCGGTGACGGTGACAGTGAACAAGGACCCGCGAAGAGCTCGGCGGCGACGATCAAGTTGACTCGGTTCAATATCAAGACTGATACTGATACTAATACTGCGGGCGATCAAAGTCAGAGTCGTGATCGTGCAGAGATTCCTCATCAGATTCCTCGGGTGCCAGTGCCGCCCTGGAGAGATCTAGAAGGACAGGGGTACAGTCGCCGGCATCATATGCACCTCAATGTTATGACCGCCCCTCCTGTCTCGACCGATCTGTTTTCACCGGAGACGGAGACAGAGTCCCCACGGAGTTTGACGCTGGTGGAAGGGGAGGTGGAGGGTGCGCGGTGGCAGTGGGGGGAAGAGGAGGGGGAGGTCGTGGATATCTCGAGGCTGAGTGTTCCATGAGTGTGAGGGCGACAGTATGTGTGTATTTGCGAGATTATATGCGTTATAGGTTAGGGGATAGGGGAGGGAGTGGGTGGTGATTTTTATCGTGTAGTTCTACCGTACTTTTCTCCTTTGTTGTAGACAATACGAAATCTTATCCATCTGCTGAAGTATATGCATGCAGCGTGGTCGGCAAGTCACACTGCCTCGCGCGACCATTGGCTGCCAGTGAAGCAACAACGCGTAGGTGCAAACATTGGCGAGAAATAGCACTTCAAATGATTTACTGGAAGTAAGTAAAAGATGAACAGAAGCGCGTGACTCGGTACGAGCTGTTGCTTGCTCAGAGCAAGCTTTGAGGTTGGTGTATACATCAAGATCTGGTGAGCGGGCAGTTGTAAATTTCTACATCAAATAACACGCGGAAGGATTCGACGACTTGGTCCATGCATCAAGAATACAGCCAAAGTAACAAAATACATCTCATAGGACAGTAATAATATTAGCTTCGTTTCCACCAAACACGGGGGTGTCTCCTTATTAGAGCCTGGCAGTCAGAGCTTTCCCACTCATCTACTCCCCTACTCCCATCACATCCTCCCTCTCAGACGCAGACGTCTCTTTCGAGTCCTCGGAACCACTCCCCGAACCAGGAGTGATAACGGAAATGAATTTGATCGCACCATGGCCAGCGAAAAGTGGGCCCCCCTCGCGTCCGAGTCCGTGTTCCTTCTCCAAAGCCTCGTGCGGCTGAGAACATTCCGTGGTGGATGCTCTTCGACGGAATGTTGGTAGCTTGAAAGACGATACCTCGACAGTCTCCTGGACAGGATGGGTGTCGGAGTCGGGAGCGTTGCATAGCGTGTGTTAGTAAGGCTTGACTTCGAGTAGAAGGAAGTGTTGCGCTTAGGCTTTAGCTTACATGCGTAGTGCGGATGTGGAGTTCGAACGTGCTTCCGGTCGATACACCGTGTTTGCCCGGACCCAAGGGACCTCGTGCGTTGAGCCTGGACGGAGGAGGGTGTTAATACGTCCAGATATGAGAGGATTGTGGTGAAACTAACGAGGCCAGTAGAGAGTTGGAGTATACTTTGGCAGAAATACATTAGTAAAGAGGGGGGGCACGATTTTATATCAAAAAACATACATTTTGCGTAAAATGACGACAATGTGATATAAAGGCCTGAACGAAGCGATAAATACCAGTCTTGTAGGTGCGCTTTTATATAATTCGGATACTTACCGGTGTCAGGGACGATGATAGCCTAACATACAGGGAGGATGATAGCATATTAGTCATTGGAAAAGCGAAAGCGAGAGCAGCAGATGCAAGACAATAACTGTCGGTGATGAGCATGGCCGATGCTACAATCCTACATGAGTGATGTAGATCAATGTTGTGTACAATTCATCGTGGCGTAGCGACGTTGCAGCTTACGCGGTGATGAGCCCACTCTCTAGTGAGCAACAGGAAGGGAGTCAGCAGACTTCTACATCGTCGAGACTGACGGAAGACATACCAATGGTCCAGAGAATGAGAGTGCTGATTATATGGTCAGTTCTAGCGACAGAAAGAAGAGTGAGTATCAAGAGCATCGTTCAATGAAGACGTAAATCTCACTTGACAATCCCGGACCGTAACCTGTGCAACCAGTAACAGAGCGCGGTCGTGTTCAGTACATCGATGAACACGTCACAAGCGATTGTAGCCGTCGAAAGCCATACAAATCGCTGCCCATATATCACAGGGCCGTACTGATGTAAAAACACCGTTACTGTAAGAGAACCACCGATCTCAAGGAGGGAAACGCTCCAGGAAATCAACGAAATATGGATACGACCCGAGAGGATGTACACTCGGTAGGCATAGTAAGCCTTCGTAGCTGTGTTAGATACAGAATATGCTGGACTGGAACATGAAAGCATTTACCTGAATCGTAGCACTGACTACGCCATGTACGAAAACAGAGTAGTTGACGCTCCAGTGTCCCTCCAGAAGCTTATCCTGATTGCCGAAGGAAATGATGCTCATATGGTACAGGTATACCCAGAACAAAGCTGTGTGTACAGTCTCGCAGATCCTGAAAATGGAATCAACACGAATGCCGTGACCCAAAACAATGGATAATGAAACAGCGTACCAAACAAAGGAAAGCTGTGTCCGGCGTCTCAAATCAGCATCTAGTGAGCGGGAGGAAGTCACTGGGACGGGACGTACTAGACACAGGATGAAAAGCCTGTCACAGAATTTGCTCCTCCAGTAGAAAAAGACCTGACAGCAAGTAGTTGCCCAAAGTGCAGTCGCTATGAGGACGGAGACCTCGAGTCCAGAAATTAAGTAAGACCATAGTCTGCGGAGAAAGCAAGGCATCGGAACCCGGTGGGACAGACATCATAGAAGGTGAGCCTGAGGTGTGATAGGGTTTGGAGGAATTGACTCGCCGATTCGAAACCTCCGAGATTGTATTATATATATGCATGTCCAGAAAAACACGACATCGATAGAAGATGTTAGTAATTCTTAGTATCATTGCTCAACCACCCGGTGACATACCCATCAAGCCGCTCAAAATGGTATCCAAAGTGCAGGACTCACTGTCTAACGTGGCAACAACTTGAACACTTTTAGTTGGAAGGACGCCAAAAGGGTACGGCCAACCCACGATGCTAGCGCTTGAGAAAAGTTTCAAGGAGTGGTTTTTCTGATCTTTTCAGACATAATCCATCATCATCGAGGGGATCATTATCAATGTATTTCCGAGAATGCCCGTTACCCTGAAGTTCTAGGGTTTTGCGCGGGTGTGACCAGAGACAAACCCGTACCCGTACCCACCAAACACCGTACCCGTACGGATACGGGTGACCCGCGGTGTCCTACGGGTTCATCTCTGGCCACCGCACTCCCTCAATTGCGGGTTATGTCATACAGTGGTGAAACTGTTGAGGGTGCTGGAGTGCACGAGAAGACTGTAACATGTGTGCAGGATGTGAGTACCGTCACTGTCGCTGTCTTTCTGTGATTTTTGTGTGTTATCCTTGAGTCATGAGCCGCATTGAGGTGACTACCGAAGTGCTGCCGAAACCCCGACTTGGGTAGTCAACACTCTTCAACGTAGAGCATGCGGTTGAGATGTGTATTGGAGCCTCCTGAAGTCTGTGCGATGTGAGAGCACACAAGAGAGGAAATCATGACCAAGATATGTCACTGAAACTTGTATTCTCAGTGTTGGTAAGTGCGAGCAAGCCCGTCATGAAAACCGCGGGTGTGACGGTATTTCACGGTTTGAAAGTGCTCAAAGTAACCGTACCCGCGCCACCCCGACCCGTGCAAAACACTAGGCCCTGAACTCTTTTGCAGAACCTTGTGCTTGACTCGACAGCCGTAGCTTGGAGATCTTTGAAAGTGAACAGATCACAATAACAGATGATCGAGCTCAATCGAGACTGGCAGCTACTCTACAGTGATCTGGGATGCGTAACTTTCTGTCTTGTAAACACTGTCCTCGAGCTCTTTCGGGTTTGCGTGGCTTGATAGCTATGCATCGGGGAATCGTGGTCTATAACGGTAACACACTACATGCTGCAGCAGTATGCCATAATCCGTGCCGTCGTATTCTGCTGAGAATGTCAAGGTATAAACGATGACAGAAACCTGCCCTTCCAGTAGTATGTACGTTGATGGTCCTGTCAGCAACACATCAGGATTATTCTCCTGACCCAACGCTCAAGACAAAGGAAGAGAATCCAGAGTATTAATTAGCTGATACATCCGGGTGCAAGACTCCGCCAGATACTGGAAGAATCAACGGGGCCCCTCATCCGCACATTTGAGGGTATAATTCAAGTTCATTTGTGGACACCTCTTCGACGTGACGATACCTTCTAAAAGATCTCTCCTGAGATTCGAGGTTGAATGAAAACGGACCTTGGTTTCCAATCATCTTCGCCTGATGTTACTCGCGCCATTCGGTTGAACGCTAGCTGCTCCGATGCTTACAGGGGACTAAGTACCTCAGGCTGATGTCCTCGGTAGAGGTTGAGACAACGGTGCTCAGGCCGCCAGCTAGTATCTTCCCTGGTCCAGGGTAATGAGCCATATGTAGACACTGTGTAGGAAGACAGAGAACGGGGCTCGATGAAATACGGGTTTGAGCCCGTCTTGAGTCAGAATGGAGCAGCAAGACTAAAGCAAGAGCGAGTTCGGGTAGTCACGTCCGCGGAAAGCAAAGAAAGCGCCTCATCGGGCCAAGCCAGCACAAAATGGTGTTTGCCGCGGCCACGTTGTTTTGACCTGACGTAATCTAACTGGCAATGTTCAGGCTCGACTCCCAGCCACGATGACCTGCGGCCTATTGTTTGCAGCTGCTCTGATCTTATATGTAAATGTCTCGCATTCTAACCTTGTTTGCTATGGTGAACTTCCACAAATACCTAGCAAGCCTCCCCTTCCGCTCCGCAAGATGCATCAGAAAAACACGATAGGTCGTCTCCGAGCGTTTTGCTGATGTGGTGTTGCCTGGCTCAATGATTCGGTTGGATCTTTCTAAAGTAACCTTCCTAAGGTTACTAAGTTTGAAAAGCTGCTCCTTCCATCTTTCCCATCAAAAGGACCAGTAGTTCTGACCGGCGACACGAGAGACCAATAAATTGCTCTGGCTTCCTCCATCCGGCTCTCACGCAACACAGGGGCCTTGCAATGTCTCTGCGTAGTCTCTATATTATCCTCGCCTGTATCCTGCTCAGTATGTTACATACGGTCTTCAGATGGAGACAACACAGGCAACGTCGCACATCACTTCCCCCTGGGCCCCGACCACTCTTCGTCTTGGGTAATATCTTCCAAGTTCCCGATCCCAGGAATTGGATGGCTTGTCAGATCCTGGCAAAAGCATTTGGTACGAGCTTTACCCGTAAATTTTCTACCTCACTCTGACAACTCCTAGGCCCAATTGTTTACTATGAGCTATTTGGAAAGCCCGCCATTTTGATAAGCTCTCATGAAGTTGCGACTGAACTCCTCGAACACCATGGAGATAACTATGCCGACAGATCCAACAACACTGTGATGGGTGGAGAACTGTCAGTAATTATTGGCATTTAGCTCTCAACTCATATTGAATATTGATCACTTTAAATTCTACAGCGTTGGATGGGACAGAAGTGTCGGATTGCAGGCTGTCGGTCCTCGCCACACCCGCTATCGTAAACTACTCAATACTATGCTTAATCCCACCGAAGTACGAAAATTACAGCCCCTCCAGGAACGCTGCGCTGCAAGACTGCTGTTGCGGCTTCTGAAGGACCCCGAGCACTGGTACATGCACATGCGTCCATCGATCAGTGAGGCGCTCGTGCATATATGCTACAGTCAGGATTTTCCTCTCGAAGAGTTTCCTTATATCGCCATGGCGGAACGTGCGTGGTGGATATTCAACAATGTCGCAACCGCAAACTCTTTCGCAGTTGATTATCTCCCTATTTGTGAGTCTCTAGATGCCCCTATCTCTATTGATGTGACTACACTGTCATATAGTAAAGCATCTACCGGAGTGGTTCCCCAGTGCAGGCTTTAAGAGACAGGCCCTACTATGGCGGGGTGAGCTCGATGAGCTAGGTTACGGGTCATTCAAAATTGTGAAGGAACATGTGGTATGTGTTCAAGAACTATTGTTTCTCACATAATACTTTTGTTTAATCGACTAAGCATTGTAGAGGAAAGGAATTGCAAAGCATTCATACGTCAGCTCTCTGATAAAAGCGCGGAGTCCGCTCAGTCAAGACGACGAGGATGCTATCTGTTGGACGGCTATCGGGTTTTTCACAGGCGGGGTCGATACTGTGTGTCCCCCCTCCCTCGCGACCATTTCTCGACACTAAACTCACTACATCATATAGACAGCTGCAGCCGTCACAACTTTCATCATGATCATGAGCCGCTACCCAGACGTTCAATGTCGCGCTTACGACGAGATTCGAGATGCTATAGGAACGGATCGCCTACCGACTCTTGATGACCGCCCGCGACTTCCATACGTCACAGCTTGCATGCTGGAGATGTTCAGAATGTTTCCTATTGTACCTCTGGGTAAGAGATCGCACCTCTACATCAGTATCACCGTTTGACGATACCCAATGTCTTTTTCCTGGTAGGAGTTTCAAAACGTGCGAGTAACAATGACTGGTACGATGGGCACTTCATACCGGCTGGTCAGTCCTAATCTTGTTGCGATTGTCAGTCTTTGTTTTTGTGCTGAAGACAGGCCGTGACAGGAACAATGATTGTTTCTAATATCTGGTGAGCATTGCGAGACCATTTTCAGGCAGAAAGAAGTATTACTGATCTTGGGACATAGGGCCATGAGCCGTGACCCAAATATATACGAGGATGAAGACACCTTTAAGCCGGAACGATTCCTCGCATGCCATCCCAGTTGCAATGCGGATAAGCCTGGCTTTCGCTCGACTCGCGTGTTCGGGCACGGTCGAAGAATATGTCCTGGACGTCACCTTGGGGAGTTGATGGTGTTCATCCAGATCGCTACCATTGTTGCGGCATTCTGCATCTCTGCACCTCGGAACAGTGATGGAAAAAACACCGTGGATTACAAGTTCGATTTTGTGGATGGATTGATCGTGTACTTCGATGGAACTTGATTGAAAGATTTCTGATGCTACGCTTATATCTGTGTTACTGTTTACACAGTCGCTGATGATTTTTATTCCCTTAGATTTCCGAAACCTTTTGAGTGTGCTATTACACCGCGCTCAAAGAATTTGGCAGTGCTGCTTGAACACAGCGATGTATAGCAAAGACTGTCCTATTGGGATATGGTTCCAGTACTATCCACAAATCTTGAGCAAATTTTGGCGTCAATCGCTTTTGGGCCCACCTATGAAGGGCATGTGGGCGGCGCAATTCATATCATTCTAAAAGCGACCAACTTATTTCGATCAAGAGCCTGCCTCCAAGTCCTGGAAAGGGTGCATCGGGACCAACAGGTTCTGCCTCCAATGGACTCGTACTTTCCGTTGAGCGTCGTTTTTTAATTGCTCTATCTGCCATAGTCAGATTTATGACTGAACAAGACCAAAACACTTGTCGTAGAATGCTGCTGCTTGTCCTATCAAGCGCCGTCCGAATTTAGGCCAGAATCATCTTCCTTTGTTCCTTGCCTTGATCGCGGGCCGCGTGGAAGATAGCGGGAATGTCGAAGGGTTTGTTAAATCGGGTGAGCTCTGTGGGTATGGAGCCGAATTGCGGTACTTCAGGTACTAGACATGAGGGGAACACCCATTCATCAAGAAATAGCAGACTGGGCGGTGTAGTTGCGACCAAACGCTGACCCCGGGCCATACCTGCAGCACGCTCATGGGCGACCGTCATCCCCCCCCCTACACACACACACACACACACCCATCTCCACCCTTCGGACGTTCAGACTTCATGGTCATAATCATGTCGCACATATGTTGGTAGAATTGATTCTATCTGCATAACACCTGACATTTGCCTCTGTAGGACAGGGACACCAGACCTTTTATACATGATCTTCCACCTGAACTCGTTACTCAAATCATTGCCAGCATTTACGCACATGCAGAAGCGAAGTCCAGGCGACTATCTATCCAGTCACTATCCCTCACCTCCAAGTATATTGCACAAGTCGTCGAACCTTTCAGATTCAGAGCCATCTCCGTATCACCACAGAATGCAACGGCTCTTCTGTATGTCTTCGAGACCCATCCAGCTCTGCAGCAGTATGTCCACTCCTTGTGGATACGAGACACCGTTCCCGAACGAAAGAGCCCTCTTCATCTGATCCCTCCTTATCGGACGCCCGCATGCGTTCCCACGAGGAAAGAACTTGGCCTGGATCAAGACCAACCGAACTTGGGCCCCCGGTGAGTGTCCTGTCTCACCCTATTCCTTGACCATTGATTATCCATAATGACCCAAAGTGGTTTGTGTAGCAATCTAAGTCTCGTTGCCACTCCCGCTGTATCGACTATCATCAACGTCGTGACAATATTATCAGCTTCGCTTCATAACCTTGGAGCTGTGATCTCTCAACAATCTTCTGCAGAACGGTCTTCTCTTCTTGGCCAACTTCTCAACATTCGGCTTCCTCTTCTCTCATCATTATATATGCGATTATACCGCCTCGACGACCTCCACACGCCATCTCCCTCTTTCACAACATGTGTGCCGCACCTCCGGACATTTCACCTGTTCATCAAATGCGCTCAAGGAGATCTTTCAAGCATCAATAGCTTTGGTTCGCTTGACAAACTCACAACTACGTCTGCCGTTTGTCGATGTTTCCCAAAACTCGACACTTTGATCCTTTCAGGGACTTTCCACGAAGAGTGTTTCCGCCAATGGTGGAATACGTATACGTGCTCGCCCATTGTCAAAACTTCAGAAACTTCTCAGCCCTTCGGCCTTCAGCTCCCGCCTTCTCTCCGCCAAGTAATTATCGTACCATTCCGAGCTCCAAGATGTCACTCCTCTCCCGAATATCATCAGGTTCCAAGCCACCCATTCCCGTTTCACCTTGGAAGAATTCTCGAGGGCCAGGCACTAGTGTCCCTAGCCCTCGACGCAGAGGAGTTGACTTCGGCGGGAGACGAGGGAGGGACGTTGCTTTGGATTCAACATATTTATATCCCTCTGGAGGATGAGTGGTGGGAAGTGTTACAGTCGGGCGGACGGAGGGTGATCGGCTACGATGGAAACAGAAAGGATAAGAAGACACTGTCTGTAGTTGGTGTATACCCGCTAGATTCATTCGGCCTCTTTGTCGACTTGTAATACAGAAGTACTTAGTCTATTCCTTCACTGGCTGTCGAAAGTGAGACCCCCGGTCCTATTACTTATGTTTTCTACTTCTCAGCTCTTGTCTTTGTCCCACCAGGTTCCAGTCCGAAATGAAGTATGTGTTTGTTTTCAGCCTCCGTGTTTACTGGTACGCATACGCAGAAGCTTGTTGTACGACTTAGTGCTAGTGAAGTGTCACTGGATAGACCAGCCATGGGCCTCAGCGAATCTGATCGAGTCTCCTCTTTATTGGAACATTTTGACTGGACACTGTGACCACGATCGCCTTGACTTGCGATAGAAAACTAGACTTAAACAATTACACAGGGCTGCTATTTTCTGCGACCTCCTTCCGCCAAGCCTGAAAGCAGGAGTTCGTTTATCTAGTAGGCACAGACGAATGCCCACTGTAACCGTCAGCGTGCAGAAATGGTTTCAGAAAAGAGCCGGAAGATCTTGGAATGATCCCCGTGAGTCGTCAGCGGCAGTTGCCGGAGAACTATACAGCAGCAAGCCACCGCTTGATCACGTGTGCTAACAGGACAGCGGGTGGCAAACAGCAGACAACAGGGCCGAAGCAAGGTAAGGAACGCCGTAGACGACGACGAAGGCATAAAACGCAATGGTGCGCCCCTCTGCTGTTATGCTGCTCGTATTCTACTCACTTTTCTTGACAATTAACAGGCCGATACCAAGTCAGCACCCACCAACCCTATGAGGGAGCTCCGCATCGAGAAGCTCGTTATCAGTGCGTACTTATATTCTCGTATATTGCCCGAATACTCAAACAGTCTCGCCATCTCCTTTCGCCGACCACAGACATCTCCGTTGGCGAGTCTGGTGATCGTCTCACCCGTGCCTCGAAGGTGCTCGAACAATTGACCGGTCAAACCCCCGTCACCTCGAAAGCCCGCTACACCGTCCGCACGTTCGGTATCCGTCGTAACGAAAAGATCGCGGTGCACGTCACCATCCGGGGTCCCAAGGCGGAGGAGATTCTTGAGCGTGGTCTCAAGGTCAAGGAGTACGAGCTCCGCCGCCGCAACTTCTCCGAGACTGGCAACTTCGGTTTCGGTATCCAGGAGCACATCGATCTCGGTGCTCGCTACGACCCTGGTATCGGTATCTTCGGTATGGATTTCTACGTTGTGATGGGCAGGCCCGGGTCGAGGGTGGCGAAGAGGAAGGTTAAGACGGCGAGGATTGGGCCGACGCACAAGGTGAAGAAGGATGACACCATGTCTTGGTTCAAGTCGCGGTTCGACGGTATTATCCTCGTGAGTCTCGTTCTTTATCCCATGCCTTTGCGTTTTGGTCGAATTGACCCTGATGTGCTTACTTCGGATGCATTTAGAAATAAACTGTCGGTCGTTGCTTTTTCCTATGTCACTTCTTTTCTGCCGCTATGATATTACTGCCACGCCATGTACCAGCATGCACACCCACCAAAATGCATCCCCTCCTTCTCGGGTCTCTGTAAGATAGTGTGTGAACCGTTCCTTGTTGGTTCTGACCGAACGCTCTCATCCTGGTCGCGAGATCAGTGATTTTTTTTTTTGGTATATGCGTTTGACTCGTCTGGCCCCTGATCTGGCTTATGATGCTGGCACGTCTCCTGCAGCTTGCTCCAGTATAGACCACTCCAACCACTCTAGCATCATATAGTCTGGGGCCGCTTGTCGTGAACTGTCCTTGGAGTTCTGTAGACTGGTCGGAACATAGTGCAATCTGACAACAAACGACGGCCTGATTTTTTGCCCATAATACTCGTACTTCAGCCCGTGTATTGGTCTCGCCTTCGACTCGACACCCTCTTGTCATTAAATACTCTTGTCTTCGACCCGCAACTCCGATCTCTGTCACCATCTTCGTCCCATCCTCGCCGACCGGCTTCTATCACACCACCTTTGGTGTTCCACTCCGTCCGCTCTCCTCTTCATTTAAGACTCAATTACGTCGGAATAATTTTGTCTCGGGCCGTGGACGCCTTGCATCTTGACTGGATTCCAGCACCCGACATTGTCTCCCATAGGCAGAGTAGACGGAATTTCAACCGGACAAGCTAGGAACCCTCAAATCCTGCGCTGCGCGCTCGGCTCAGGCTCGTCCATTCGTCTATTGACTATTCGTCTGGCTAAACACACTCGCGATCTCCGAACTCGGCAGACTGAACTCCGTAGAGTCCGTAAAGCACAGATTGCTCTGAATCATGAAGGCACCAAGAGAAAAAAGGGTCGAGCATCAAGCAAAAAAAGAATGAAGAAAAAAATACAGGCGAACCCGATACGGTCATGTAGGTCCTCGGTTCAAAGCTGATGGCGGTTCGGAAATCGGAATGTGGTCGGGTGACCTCTACACATAAGAGAAGACCGTGAAGGGCGTATGGTCGTTCAGCTGTGTACGTCCATGTCGCTCTGGCAACTTTTCTTTCTTTGCCTTTTTTGAATTTCAAGAGGCGTACGGTGTGGACCGACGAGTATTCGCTGGCAGGCACTTGTACTGACTAGACCGTGCTATAGCTGTATATGGCTACAGAAGATTGATTCGGCGGACATGAAGGCCTGAGATTGGCGGTCTCCAGAGAAACGTCCATGGCGAAAAGCTCTCGATCTCGACTGTGTTCGACTTGGACTGGGTGAGCCTAAGAGGGCGAGGTTCGCGAAGCCGTCGATGAATTCGTGGTTCGTGTTGGAGAACGGTGGAAATAGAAATAGAAGTGGAGGTAGCTATAGAGAAGTGGGAGCCCCATGGGGGTCTACACGCTACTAGGTAGGGCTAAGCTGCGAAGTACCTCGAAGTATGCGGTTCCGGTGATGATGGTGGATTCAGAAGGTGACGGATGGGTTTCCGAGGGGAGTATGGGAGAAAGAATAGAGAAGGTTTGCGAGAGCAGGTCATGGGCGTGAGCGTATCGACGGATCAGTGTGAGTGCTGTGGATGGGGCGGTGCTCAGTATGGATCGGACTTTCCTTTTTGAACGTCTTCGTGATAGAAAGTTTGAGGTGATTGTTCGGATGGGGTAAGGACTCTGCTGGGTATTGGACGGGGGATATTCGCGCCATGGAGAGATCCGAGGACATTTGTTAGTTGCGAGCATCGTGTTGGTAATGGAGAAACTCTATTATGGGCATTTAGAAACCCTCTATAGGGGGTTGTGAAGTTCATTCATGGAGATCGGTGGCGCTGGAGCTGGCAGCTGTGAGGCTGATCTATCAATTCAGAGAAACGTTTGTCGTGCATAGTATACGCGCTAAATGTAGCGCAGGATGGTTCGACTCGAGACGGGGATTTTGTTCGTTACACAACTGTCGTCGATAGGGACGTAAAAAGATGGGCTCAGATGGTTTGATCATGCGCTTCGAGGGTGCAGAAAAAAAGGCGACAAGGAACAGCCGTGCTAGAGGACCACAGCGACTTCATCCAGTACTTCACCCTCTGCACATTAATTTCATCTGGATCGCGAGCGGCCATATTCAGTGTGGGATACCGGTGAAACTGGCGTGCACAAACAGACGCACCGGTGTGGCAACAGTTTGGCATTGGACCTCCTCGATGAGACCGTTATCATCTCCGGGCCACACTGCCAATGATACGAACGTTCGCGAGTCTCGCCTCTACTCCAAAGCGGAACAGAACGGGAGAGTCACCATGGGCCCAGCCCTCTCGGCGTCGTGTTTATCGCGTTTTTCCCAGCGTACGTGGATCCTCCGCGATATTTTACAAGTCCACCACAGAGTTTGTCCACAAATCCGCAGATATGCTGGGCATAGCGAGATTCATTCGATCTGCTCCAAAAATGGACGGTTGAACCATGCGCAGACGTTGCGGGGAGGAGGACTGTGGGGAAGGTTGGGCCACAAAAAAGGAATTATGTCATACGAATAATCGTGTCGTCATCAAGGCCGGGGTGCTGCCTTATGCGGACGATCGGCCGGCGCCGAGAGAGGGAAAAATGGAAATTGAACTGGGGATGAGGGGTAAAGTGGTACAGCGATGGTAGTATATATATTGCCTCGACTCCCTCCGAACGATGCCTCCATCCCCCGCATCCCCCATTTCTCTCTCACACCCCCACCATGCCCTCGTCAGTCTCAGCATTGGCTTATTCGCCCAGAGCCAGCCCCCTAGGCAGTCCAACCACCGGCTCTCCTTCTCGTCGCGTACAGACCAGGAAGGGCTCCATCTGCGCAGGCGATCCTTGGGGCACTCACTCTCAGCTTAACTTGAACCCCTCGCGGTCAACTTCTTGTAAACTCACCATCGTTCGGGTCAACGAACCACCCGTGCATCTTGACGAAACTCCACCCTCACCCCAGCAGCGTCGCCACCATGGATTCGGTGGCCACAGACGACAGGGTAGCGGCGGTTCCATCCATTCCAACTCTTCCATCGGCGGAGGAAACAAATCCGATGCGCCTTCGAGGATCAGTTTTGCCGGAAACTCGTTCGTCCCCCCAGGATCGTCGAGGGACGGGAACGGTTCGCGTCCGACGAGTCCTGTTATGAACCGGCCGCGTTCTCCAGGCGGAGGTCATCACCATCGTTCCTCTACCACCTCTTCCAACAAACCTCGACTTTCTCCAGATGAGCTCGTAACCCTCGCCCGCCAGACTTGTACACCTAGCGCCCCTATCCATGCCGTCCCGTCACCAGGCGCCACAAAACAACCTGGTACAAGCCCAGCCTCCTTCACTGCGCTTCCCGATGAGTTCTTCCTCCCCTTCATCGATCGCGCCGCAGAAGTTTCCTCCCTCTTCTCCGGACCACCATCGGCCAAGCTCCTCACGCTCCTCGAACAAACATTCTCCACCTCGCCAGTCTCTTCTCCAATGTCTCAATCGGAGAGCACATCCCCTTCCTTGGACGTTTTCGCCGTCGACCCAAAACGTTGGACATTCTCACAACTCGAACATTGGCTGAAGAACATTGACCGTGATCAGGCGCCTGACCCCTACTGGGTGGCGAGTGCGCGCCGATGTGTCCTCGCCCATAGCGAGCTCATCTGGGAGCGCCTCAAGGGAGCTTTAGGTGTTCCTCCGGAGTTGGACGAATCCGATTTTGAGGAGCTAGGCGACGTTATCAACGTCATTCCCGACATGGACTTCGTTGCACCCGAGCGTGGAGACAACCCTGACCAGGCGACGGGTCTCGTCGACGAAGTGCTCGCCGGATCGATGTCGCCCGAGTTCCCTCACATCGCAGAACACCGCGCGGCGACCGAAGACATCTCAGAAACCGACCTCGCTCCTTCGCTCTCCATCGAGCCCGTCCTCGCTCCCACGTCTCCCCAGCCCCTTGGCGCCGACCACCCACCGACGCGTATTGGAGCCCACCGCATGACCGACATTTCGGAGGATATTCGCGAGGAGAACGAGGAAGAAGGCGAAGGAGGTTCCGGTTCTGGCCTAGCGAGCGCCGCCCAATCCCCACCCAGTGAAGTCATCCAAGGTCTTCGCATTTCCACCGTCCCAGCATCGCCTAGCATCCTCGCTTCCAGCTCTCCATCTGCTCGTCGTCTCTCACTTTCTGCCTCTCCCCTTCCTCCGATGGCCGCTCTTCCGACCGACAGGATCTCGCCGCTTGTTATCGACGAGCAACGCGGCGATGGATCGCAATCACCCGAGAAAGATGGACAACATAGCAGGGATTCCTCGCCGGTTGTGGGCATGGGTGGAAGGGTTGGAAGCGGGTGGAATTATGCTGCTAGTACGGGCAGTGCGGGCTCGGATTCAGTGTATGATGCGGTGGCGGAGAGGGGCCCGGGAAATCCTCTTTTCCCGACGAGCTTTGCGAGGTTGGCATTGGGACCGACGCTCCAAGCCAAGTACGTTCTTTCTCTCTTTTTATTGGCATACTGTCTCTGGTTTGCGGTGCAGAACGCTAACCTTGATCCGTTATTGTGCCGTTTGTTAAGCAACCCGAGCATGAGGTCTCCGACCGCGCCGCCACCGCCTATGTTTGGAAACAACCCGCATGCGATCAGGATGGCGATGCGTGGACGGAGAGCTCTGCCGAGTTGGGCGGAGGGATGGGACCCGTTGAAGCACGAGTATGCTCTTACGCTGGCTAGCGGGAGCAGTGTCGGCGGGTATTGAAGACGAGACTGTAGTGGCCTCACAAAACTTCGGGTGGTCAGGTAGAGGGGCTGGTCATAAAGTGGCATAGACACGGTCACGGTGGGAGGTACTTATTGAGCAGCTTTGAGACGCTGGCCGCTCGTGTGTTTGTTTTGTTGCGTGTGCTTGTTGTCGTCCTTGACCTTTTCTCGGTTTTTTTTGGATCTGTTGTGCTTTTTTCTATTCGGGTTTGTCGTCACTATATATACATGATGATGATAATCTCACCTGTACCATGACCTTCTCACTCGCTCACGACCTGAAACGTTTCGCTTGACTTGCGTTACTCTCGGGATCCGTCACGGTCTCATCCATATCGAAGAGCAGTACTAGTGTGGCGTGTGGCGCAAGTAAGTTATTGAAGCTCCCGGTGAACTGGCGCCCAAGGTGCAGGAGTAGACGGGCCGGAGACGCCAATTGCAAGCAGGTTTGGTTCGTCTCGAGGCTCTCCATCATCGTCTGCGTAACCTCCCGCTATATCTGCGCTCGCTGAGAGCAGACCATGTCTGCCAAACGAGACTCAGTACTCAGTCGACGCAGCACTCTATACTCTAGAAAGGGTCAGAGGTTCGACAGCTCCGACTTTGGTTCGGCTGATCACGGTGTCCCAAACCAAATTTTCTGGGGCCACTTTTGGATGTCTTCCTAACGATCCTTCACGAGCATTCCTTCCGAACGTAAAGTTGCGCCCCCGCTCCCGCCTTGCTACAATACCGCGGATGTACCCAGACCCGTACAGGATGGTCATCGGCATCGCCAAGGCCCAATGATTGCTACTGATACACTGCTCTGTATTTGGGCGGCTCATCACCCAGCTTCAGCATCTCCTTACACAACACCGACAGACACTAGCAGTGGCTATGTGGCCTTGATGATAACGTCCCGCTGCACCACCGCAGTTTCCGTATCATCTGATGTGTATCGTCCATTCAGCCAACGACGTTCTCACCCGTTGTCGATTACGGGAGTCTGCCACACAAAACTATCGTCGACATCAAGGCATTAGCACTGTGTGGCGCTGTGTCAGGGAGGGCCTCAAATACGCACGCTGAGGGGACTCGCGCAGGCGCTCTTTCTTCGTCCCTCCCGCAATCCCTTGCCCTCCGTTGAAGCTCCTCGTACTACGAGATTTATGACTGCTGTTCTATTACACTTATTCGGTCTTGTTTATGCGATATTATGCTTCACGGCTGCCCCTTGTACTCAGGCGGAATCTGTCAATCGTACCATTGACGACGAGTACGGCGATTCCATCGGCGGAGGCAATGTGCAGTACACACCGTCAGATGAGTGGGGGCAGGGATCTACATGTACTGGATGTTCAGCCACGCCAGATAAGAGGTCCGCCTTCGACGGTACATGGCATGACGCTACGCACGACTCTCAACGACCTACGGATAAGACGGTCAATATCACTTTCCATGGTCAGTTTATGCTACTTATGCACATGTGAGTTGACCTATGCTGACGCATATCTTAGGAACAGCTGTATATGTGTACTTCATTCTCGATGACAACACCGCCTCAGGGATCACCACCGTCACGAACTTGAGCATTACGGTGGACGGGCAGAGCGCCACACCGTTCGTGTTTACTCAGAGTGGCGCAGACGATTATGTTTACAATGCGTTGGTGTATTCCTCTCTGAATATGCAACTGCAAGACCACATCGTCCTACTCTCCTCGAGGGGAGACCAATCTCCGTCGTTATTGTTATTTGATTACGCAGTCTACACGTGAGCCATTTGCACTTCAGCTAGTAACATCAAAGGCCCATCAAAGCATAACTACTGACATAAACTGGTGGTGAAACAGGGATGATGTGGAAGATCCTCAACCGAATACGACATTCACATCGACTTCATCTTCATATTCGCAGAGTCCCTCCAGCGTGGTCCTTCCGGCTCCGACACCACACTCCAAACGAGCACCAGTAGGCGTGATTACCGGAGGTGTTGTCGGCGGAATATCGATCATCTTTCTGGTAGCACTATCTATCTTCTTGCTACGCGCTCAGCGCCGCCGCAGAAGCCGGCGAGATCCATACATCCCCGAGAGGATGCTGGTCGATAGGTACCTCGAACCAGCGCCAAGTTCCGCGCCACTCATGTCTTCAACTCTTCCAGCTCTAACAGTACCATCCCAAGTCGCTGCCCTGGAGAGCAAGGTCAAGGCGTTGCAGGGAGCGGCCGGCTCGAGGGACGGATTTCTGAGAAGAGAGGTTGCGGCGGGCCAGAGCGACACACCATCTAGTGTTGGGATTCATGGACAGGGAGTTACGGCGACGTCAGGTGTTTCTGGGTCCAGAGGGAGCAGTGCAGACGACGATATAAGAGAGCAAGTTGCTGGGATGCAAATTGAGATCGCACGGCTCCGTTCTATGCAGCGTCATCAGGAGGCAAGGCTTGACGGGGAGATAGAGATGCCACCTGAATACAGCGATAGCGGGCGGTAGATCTTGAGAAAATATGAGTGATAGCTTCCTTGTGGGTGACGCCGTTTGCAGAGAGGGCGGTGTTATAATGGCAATAAGCTGTGAGGAGCTTCTTGACATGAGTTGAGACGTCCGCTCGAGCGTGCTTGCTGTTATCTGTGCTTTTTTCCTCTTCGGGTTTGTTCTCAATATATATACACAATGTGATGATAATCTGACCTGTACATTGCTCTGCCCACTTGCTTACGACCTGAAGTGTTTCATCAGGCTCTCGTTACTCTCGGGCTTCGTCATGGCCTCATCTCATAAACTCGGCCATCATATATGGGATATCGAGGCCTGATTTATAAACATGGTTCGCTGTGAGCAGATCTCACTGTCGGTGTGAGCGTGCTGGTAGTTGTTTTCGGTGTGGCGTGTGGCGCAAACAAGTTATTGAAACTCCCGGTGAGTCGGCGCCCAAGTTGCAGGTGGCCGGGCCGGAGACGTTTCCGATGGCAAGGGTTTGGTTTGTGTCGCTGTGTTGAACTTGCCACCGTCACCATCATCGTGGAGCCCTTGCCTTCTGCATCCTCTCTCATACCTCACCTCCACAATATGTTGAGAAAAGAGGATACCCATCGCACCATTGCGCTCACAGTAAGAGCCGACGTCGAAGATGCCATGTGCTTTCATACATTCATAGACACGCCTAGTCACACTTCGTCGACACGTTCTTCCCAAAGAACTCTCCCCTTCTCGAACCTGTCGTCAATCACATTTTCAGCCAAATCAAGAGGCGAAAGCTATGGAGCTCGAGCGATAATGCGTGGAAAGGTCTACCAAAGAAGCCTGAGAGCGAATCCGAACTCTACACGCCTTTGACCGCCATCTTGCAGGAGATCACTCGAATGGCCCTTCAATTTTGCAGGACCTACAATCATGGATATCCCTCTTCCATCACCTGGAACGACGAGCACAGCAAGAACATCCCGTCACCGTTCGCCCTGGACACCAGACCAGATATTGTCGCGTCTTTCATGGAGAAGACTTCGTGGCGATTCCTCCATGTTATCCTTGTGATGAAGAAGGCGAGATATCTCGCCGCTGCCTCCAATGTCTTCCGACTTCTACAATATATCCGTACGGCATTGGAGGAACAAGTGGATCGGCGTTTTATGTTTGGGATAATGTTCGGAAAAGGTGATCTCAGTATATGGCTTGTAGACCGTTCTGGCGCTATGGCATCGGAAACCTTCGATATCCACGAGGTTTGATTTTTTGGATTCCTTCAAACTTCCATGCTCCGCTCCTAATCACTTTTAAAACAGACCCGGAGCAGTTCATTCGTATCATTGTTGGTCTGACCCTCCTCCCTCCCACCGACCTTGGGTGGGACCCTACCATACAGATCTACGTCCCGCCAGAAATTCCTGGCCATGGTCAATATGGTTCTGGTCGGTATTCGTACGAGGCTGGAGAAAACTCTAGTATTGCTCCTATAGACTCGACATATAATCGTATGTGGGTTGTCTCCATGAACAGACCGCTCACGAACGGCGCGTCCGATCTGGATCAGGAGACATTTGTACTCTATCATGCTCTCAGCTTGGCTCGTGCGGAAGTCCTTTGTGGTCGTGCTACACGAATATGGCTGGCCTGGAAGCTCACTGACATGGATCTCCCTGTCAAGGAGCGAACGGTAGGATTTGTCTGAGTAAATTATCCCTGTGGGCGCGTCATGACTGATAGTATCTTAGGCCTACGTGTTCAAGGATGTGTGGCGAGATGAACGGCGGGGTTTGGAAGGCGAGCTGTACGCCAAGGCATTCGTGAACGGCAACAGTGGCGACGGCATCGCGAAGGTCCACCCGTTCGGTACTGTTCATGTCGGCCACGAAGTCGATGATACGCTGAACCTCATTCGCAAGAAGGTCCCAGTTCAAGGTAAGGTCATCAGACTACTCCCCAATCGTAGTGCCAACGACAAACGAATCGCTCTATTCGGCTATGAGGCCCCTTTGCTTGATGACATTATACACCCGTGGCCGCAAAATTTGTACAACCTCGGGGCGGACCATCAATCACCGTACAATCGGATTCATTCTCGTCTAGTAATGTCGACATTTGGATGGTCGATTCGCTATTTCAAGTCGTTGCCAGAAGTTATGGGCGTCATGCGTGACGCTATTGCCGGTAAGATCGTGCTTGACCTTTCTATGCCCTTCTTACTTCTTACCCTATCTTCCCCAGGCCATCAGTTCATGTATAAACAGGGCGTTCTCCATCGCGATATAAGCTATGGCAATATCTTGATCGTTCCACATGGTAAGGTCGGAAATCGGGGCGTGCTCATTGACCTCGACTTTGCAATCGAGTTGGAGACTCATAAACGGAGGAAGGGTGCTGAACGTAGCGTGAGCCAAAGCCCTATTTTATTTCTTTGACATATTAGACACATCCGATCTCAATACCTCCTTCATAGGGAACACTCGCGTTCATGAGCGCCGAGGTTATTTCCGAGTCGAGATACTTTTGCCTGGATCCAGTGTACAGGAAGGGCTTGAAACGTGATGACGATGATGATGACCAGGATGGCGGCGGCGGCGTCTACGACATCGACAGCGACGACGATGACGACGACGACGGTGACAGCTCCACATGCAAGAAATCATCCACAACTATGCCAGATTCCGAAGCGTTGAACCCGCATTCCCGTGGCGTGAAGCATCAGCCCATTCACGACTTGGAATCTTTCTTTTGGGTTCTCTGCTGGTTATGCGTTTACCGTGACGGGCCCGCTCATGAGCGCAGCAACTGGGGCGTTTCCAATGATAGTGCCACGAAACTTCAGCAAGCTTTGGTTGACGTTTTCGAAACCACGGACCTGTTAAAATTCGCCGAGGCGAAACGTGGGCTAGTGAAGAACGAGGCCTTGTTCGAGACTACGCTCCTCAAGAACTTCACCGATTTTTGCGCCCCTCTTCGCCGCGAGATCCGCACGCTCTACACAGTGTTAGGTCGTGCATACAAGAACTCCAAACGGTTGAAGGAGTATCCTGTAGAGTCCCTCTACAGAAAATTCCTTCGACTCTTCGACGCCGCTCAAAAACGTTCCTCAATCGTCAAACACAACACGACTAACGCCGACTACATAGCTCACGAGGAAGCTGAGACGCATAGGCGCGAAACGCAGTTGGAAATATGGGCGACACCATCGTCTGACAAGAAACGAAAGCACATGGAGGATGAAGAACAAGGTTCGCGGTCTACTCCTGCTGACCACCCTGTAGATGCGCCCGACGTGTTTCCTCCCCGTAAGGCCCGACGACCAAACCACCCATCAGGACCCTGACATGCGCTCCATCTCGCCGGTTGGACGGTTGTATCGTGCTGTAGAGGACTGTGTGCTCTAAATGTGTACAGCATTATTTAGTATTGCCAGTGGTTGATTGTTATGATCTGATGAATAAAATGATGATTCTAGCGAGCGTGTGCATGGTACAGGGTTTCAATTTTGTGAGCTCAAACCCAGCGTACTCCGATTGCATCTGAGTTTGCCCTGATCGGAGACTGCCGCGCAATGAGTCCAATTGTTTCTTGTTTCTGCCTGTTTCTAGTCACAACCTTCACCGTCTTGCTTCCACCAACTCCCATTCCTTGCCCTCTTTCCTGTAGATACTTGCCATCATGTCGTGGTTCACTAGCCGTAGACGTTTGTCGGTACAGGCAGAAGTGCCCTGGCCTGGGTGGTTGGACGACGAAGCTGCGAAGGCTCTCACCGATCCCTCCAGTGACGACTCATACGCACTGAATCATGATGAACTGAAATGGGTTCATGTACAACCTTGGCTTTTGTCCAAAGGTTACGACCTCCGCCCGCGGTTCCGTCCAGGCTGGGTTCCTTCCTGGGGTCAATCAGGAGCTCCCCGGCGATCTCGCCACGAAGATGCGATCATCCATGGCGTATGTCGCGCATATCATTGCTTGTTTCTGAAGTATATCTCTCATTCTACTTCCCCGCACCTTGTCTGGTCCAGAACGTATATGCTCCAGTGGTCATGGATGCTGTTCGAAGAGCTGATGGACGGAGAGTCCTCATCAAGCGAGTATCGTTAGCTCATGGTGGCCGAGACGTCGCAATCCTCGAATATCTGGCTTCCAAGGGACGCGCGAGCGACCCACGAAATCATACCATCCCGCTCCTGGATGTTATTCGCACCCCCCCCTTCCGATGTCTTTTTTATGGTGTTTCCATTATTCAAAGATATCACGTTACCGGAGTTCGACACATTGGGCGAGGGCATAGACTTCATGGACCAGTCGTTGGAAGTATGTGCATTCGTATATCCCTGCTCATCGAGCGCTACTGATTACATCCCAATCTTACGCAGGGTCTCGTATTTCTGCATGAACATCGTGTTGCTCATAGGTGCGTACTGTTTGATCTACGACAGCAGGATATAATATAATGCTGCCCCAACCTGACTGGATTTTTCAGAGATTGCAGTATAACTAACATCGTTATGGATTCCAAGAAAATGTACCCTCGAGGATTACATGCGGACGCATCCCTGGACGCGCAGGGCCGAATGCTATCGGGCGCTCGCACGCGAACTCAGGCCGGCGGTGTGAAGTACTATTTCATCGACTTCGGTGAATCCATTCTATTTGCTGCCGACGAAGACGCACGGATAAAGGAACCCTCAAAGGCCAGTATACATGCTCCAGAAACTCGCGCAAACCAAATAATGCCGTACGATGCCTTCAAACCCGACATCTATACGCTTGGGAAAACTTTTCAGGAACAACTCATTGAGGTTCCCTTCTTTCACTCTTTATTGTCTTGTATCTTTGGGTTGACTCTTTCCTCTTTTCTACTCGGAGGGTAGGAGTTCGTGGGCGATTTCGGCGCGTTCAAGCCACTCATCGAAAGCATGATACAAATCAATCCCGACGAACGGCCGACCGCTGCTCAAGCCTTGGATCAATTGCGAACAATCTCTTCCGCATTTTCTCGCACAGACCGACACAGAAGAGCGCATTGGAAGCGTTATCATGATCCTTGGACAGCTCCTGTAGCGGATGCAGTCCATATGATCAGCGAAGTCCTGTGGGTCCTTCGAACGTGGAAGTGGTGAATTCGTTCTGAGTTTTCCATCGTCCTTGTATCACATCCTCTGCGACGCGGTGTTCATCCGTAACCATGCTCGCGCCCGTCTTTCACTTTAATATGCATTACTACGCTCTGGACGTATCTCTACTGTTATACGATACCCTGTCTCGCCGTTTGTTCTCCATCATTGCTTTCTTAGTGCATTATCGCTTTCCTTGTTTTATTTTTACAAATGTTATGATTTGATATATGCAATCAGGTTTTGCCTTCGGTTTATGACCGTCACAACCTGTTCCAGTAGAATTTGCGTCTACGTCGACGATGTACCTCAGCGGACCAGCGGCGGACGCTCGTATTGACTAAGACCGTGTCTCGCGTTCGTACTCGCAACTTCACTGCTCTTGTTCCATCATGGCATCTGACGTTCCTGAGCGAAAATGTGAAGTTCATGACGAATAGAATATGCCAACAACTAGCAAAAACACCCAATTAATGAAATACAGTACAATCCGCGCTCCTCAAATCTTACCCTTCCCCTCACAATCTAAACCCGAATCAAAGCTCATCTGACCTTCACGTCCTCGACGCTACTTCCCTCATCTCCTCTCGCACTTACACCATCACCCCCAATGATCCCGATCCCCTTTACCCCACCCCCGTTCTCATCGTTCTCCCGCGCCACTTCGGCGATATGGGCTTCCCGTTTATCGCGCCTGACGAAGAGGACGATGAGGGCTGTACCGACGATGTTGGCGGCCCAGAAGGCGGTGGTGACTTTGTATCCTAGTGGCTGGAAGAGGAGAGAGCAATATTTTAGATCGAGAAGAAGAGAGGAAAAGGTAAAGATGGGGAGGAGAACGAAGACATACGTAATGTGGTGCCTTCGAGGAGGGGAACAAGAGGTTGGGCACCCACGCGTTGAAGACATACGAAGCCTGCCCATCCACAACTGATATTAGTCTCATCATCTCCAAAACCGAACGACCTCGTCGCATAGATGACAGACTAAAAACATACCGTATTTAAGAACCCAACCGTGATCGCTCTCCCCTCCGCATTGCCCGACGTCAGCTCATTCGCCCAAGCTAACATCAACGCTCCCGTCGACGTGACCGTGAAATTTAAAAAGAAGCCCGCAAAGATCGCGTTCTTCGAAGCTGGCCATGAGGCGAGGATGGCGTTTCCGATGAGGGCGACCGTGCCGCCGAAGATGATGACGGGGTAGCGGGTGTTGAGAGCGTCGGAGACCCAGGAGTAGACTAGGGCCATGACGATTTGGAGGGCGTAGCCGCCGGTGGGGATGATGTTGATCAGGGTTACGTTGGCTGGATGGGTTTGAAGGATTTGAGGGGAAGGGGAGGAGGAGAAAGGTCAGATCGAGTGGGGAGTAGGTTACAGACAATATAAGACGTACTCTTCCAAGGGGCGGTAGCTTTGAGCCAGAGGTTCATGTACGCATATGAACTCAACCTGTGAAACAAAAGGGGGCATAATTCAATAGGTATCCTCAACCATACTCTTTGCGAATTAGGCTTACCCGAGTACGAAACAGGTATAAGGCACGAAGAACGCCCACGGGACCCAGCTCGAGAACCCTTTTTTGAACGTTTGCAGCGAGAATCCAGTAGGCGGTGCGCGTTTCATTTGTGCCATTCGCTCCTGGGCGATGTCGAGGTGCTTTTGGCGGAGCCACCAGCGAGCGCGGGGATTAGGCTTATTAGGGATATCTGGGATGAGGAAGAGGCCTGCAAAGGCGATGGGGACTGTAATTCAAACAAAACAGAATAGGGCTGTGAGAGTTAGGACGGAAGACGAATGATCGCTGAGAACGTACGAGAGATGACTCCATCCCTGCGTTTTCGAAACCAGGTGTTGTGTTAGACGCAGACGCAGACGTGGACGTGGATGAAGTAGATTTATAAGCACGTACATAATGAAAAGCCATTGCCATCCTGTCAAGCCACCTACTCCGTTCAAATTGGTGTGAACAGCAGCTTGCACTGATTTTGACCCGTGTGATCAGTGGAGTGCAAAGTATTCAGATAACGCATGTATGACTTACGATATCCGCTGAACTAGTCACACAGGGCAGGCGTGATTGATTGTCAGTATTTGATCTCTTTTGATTCCGGGACAAAATATTCACCATCGTTCCTGCAGCCGAAGTCGCTTGAACTAAAATAATTCACGCGAAGAGTCAGCTAGAACAAGACTGCGAGTGATATTTGGAGAACTCACAGATGACAGCACGTTTTCCGAGCTCACTTGGGCCATACCAGCTTCCAAGAACCCAGATCATTCCGGGGTAGGATGTGGCCTGAGTGCAGGGTGAGTACAAACACAAGCTAGAAGCATAAGAATGAGAGGTAGGGAGAGCACACCTCAGCCATTCCAATGAAGAAACGCAGCGCATATAGTGTTTCGACGTTCTTCGCAACGGAGCAGCACATGACGAGAACGGTCCATAGAATCTCGCCTATATCTCCGGTAAGTCCAAACGGTCGTCGATGAACGCAGGTAAAAGAGACGCACAAAATGGCAGCCAGATGGATGGAGAAATTTTGACCATGAGCAAAGTGCCGGGAAATTGACTGAACGAGCAAGTGTGAGTGAAACGAAGTCGCGGTACGAATGAAGGGCATCGCATACCCGATGACATAGCCGGCAGTGAACATGGAAAGAAGGGTGTTGTACTGGTTCCCAGTGAAGTCGAGGTCCTCCTGCATGCCGCTCACGTAACTGTGGCCCAAATTGAGTCAAGAGTCAAGGAAGATTTGGACGGGACACATACGCATTAGCGATGTTGGCCTGGTCGAGATATCTGGTATGCCCCAAATATCAGCATCTACAACACATAGAAAGCATCTTCGAACGTACTTGATGAAGTATCCCAGACATGCGATGACGAACAAATGCAGGTCGAGCCACTGCACGAACTTACGCTCATGTTCAGGCTTCTCGTCCCGATCCCAGACAATCCTCGAGATGCGACTCCCTAACGAGCGCTTTTCTGGCACGTTGTCAACTACGCTCATCGTGGCCTGGGTAGTTGTCGGAAGACTGGAGGAAGGAGTTCGGAAGTCCGGAAGGGAGGAGAGAACCTGCTATGGCGGGTCTCACATTCGAGTTTTCAAGGATATCGGACAGTGGTGAGAGCGGATGAGCACGCCATCGAATCCGGGCCATGACAAGGAAGCTAGAGGGAGGAAAAACCGACTATGCCGATGATAAGATTTCCAACACCGTAGATTGACTTGAACGGAGGTGGAGCAACCAAGATAGACAGCCCAACTTTGATTGTGTACATCGCGTTCCTGAAGCTTGCGGGAGGAAAAACCGGAACATACGAGCTGAGGTATCGTCACCCGTCATATAAATGGCGCAATTGTTGGCAATAATACCGGACATGTCGAGCAAGGCGAGACGCGCATTCGCGGTACTGGATGCAAAAAAAAATGGCCGAGCCGTCGCCAGTGGGAAGCCGCGGCGGGCTTTTACGGTAATTCCAAGGGGGTGCCTGAACTTCTTAGTGGCGGTGCTGCTTCGGCTTTGATAATGTTTTCGCTGAGTCAATGCAGCTGTCATTCTCTTACCATCTCGCGTTATCATATTATTCGGATTTTTGCTGGGGAAGGAACAGGATGGCTCTCCCGAGACCGATGTTTTTTGTGCCAACCTACTTATTCCATCAAAGTGCACCGACGTAGCTCTCCATAATCGCGTTCATCATGGCCCAGTCGTCCAACTCTAAGCTTCCTGGTATCCGTATCGCTATCGACCGTGGTGGAACCTTCTGTGATGTTTGGGCTTTCATTCCTCAGCATCTGTACCACGATCCTTCCACTTCAATTCTAGGAAACGCGGTCGTTATTCCCAGCAGCTTCGACTTGGATGGCGTACAGATCACCTTTAAGCTTCTCAGCGAGGATCCTCAGGCATATGATGATGCACCATCAGAGGGAATCAGGCGCGTACTCCAGATCGCACACGGCAAAGAGATTGAGAAGAATGGAAAGTTGGACACCGGTATCATAGGTGGGTGCCATATTCTTGATCTCCCGTATGCATGGACGCCCATACGCCGTTTCGCAGATTCCGTGCGCATGGGCACTACAGTCGCCACAAACGCGCTCCTGGTACGTTCATTACCGGTCTGGTATCGATATGAAACTCATGCATACGGCTGTATAGGAACGCAAAGGCGAGAAGATTGGTCTTGTTGTTACGAAAGGTTTTGCAGATTTGCTCGAGATTGGTGATCAGACACGCCCGGACCTGTTTGACTTGTCCATCTCCACTAAACCATCCTTGCTCTATTCGCGAGACAACGTGATCGAGGCTTCAGAGCGTGTTACCCCGGAAGGATGGACTCTCGATCCTCAAGGTCAGACTGTAGAAGGACTGCTTGCTGCGGCGAAGGAGACGGAGGAGGACGGCGAAGTGTTCATGGGTGTCAGCGGAGAAGTCGTGCGTGTGCTGGAAACGCTTGGTAGGCTAGGCGCATATCCTCGTTGTATTTGCGCTCATTCTTTGTAAAACAGACGAAAAGAAGATTGAGCAGGATTTGCAGGCCATGTATGAGCGAGGTATTCGCTCACTGGCCGTCTGTCTACTACACTCATGGACATATCCTGGTGCGACATACTCACCATGAACGACAATTTGAGTCACTTACCCGCCTTCACGTTATCCAGAACACGAGCAAATCATATCCGCAATAGCCACCCGAATCGGCTTCACCCATGTCTCGCTCTCCTCCTCCCTCTCACCCGCCATTAAAGCCGTACCCCGTGGCAACTCCGCCGCGCTCGATGCATACCTCAGCCCCATTCTTCGCCGCTACGTCGACTCCTTCAACAGCCATTTCGAAACCGGGAGAGCAGGCGACCGGACGGACTTTATGAAAAGCGATGGCGGTCTTGTGTCTGCTGATAAGTTCTCGGGATTGAGGGCCGTACTATCTGGTCCGGCGGGAGGTGTGGTTGGATGTGCTTTGACTGCATACAGCAAAAAGAGGGCAAGACCGGTTATTGGTTTCGATATGGTATGCTCTTGTTATCTTTTTATATCATGTGGCGGTGGCACCGTGAGGGCTGACTGTCCTGGTCGCGCTATGTGCAGGGTGGAACATCTACAGATGTCTCTCGTTACGCCGGGACATTCGATCTTGTATTTGAAACTGTTACCGCGGGAATCAAGGTCGCTTGCCCTCAGTTAGGTATCGAGACTGTCGCAGCGTAAGCTCCCTCTAAACGTACGTGGCTTCTCGCTGAACTTTTGATCTCCTATCTTCAATACAGCGGCGGTGGCTCTCGGTTGTTCTACAAGAACGGCCAATTTGTGGTCGGTCCTGAGTCCGTCGGTGCTCATCCTGGACCGGCTTGTTACCGCAAAGGTGGCGAGCTAGCAATCACGGATGCTAATGCAGTATTGGGACGACTTATTCCTAGTCAATTCCCTGGTAAGTCGTTCTCGTCACACTGTATCCGACGATGACTCCTCATCTGACCGATGTTCCAGCCATTTTTGTCAGTCTTGCCTCGTGAAAGCATGATGATTTTGTCTTACCTTTGACTATAGGGCCCCAATGCCGATGAGCCTTTGGACGTATCTGCGTCGGTACACAAATTCGAGGAGCTTACCGCCACTATCAACGCAGAAAGACCTGACGAGCCTTATACTCTTGAACAAGTAGCCGCAGGTTTTATTCGTGTCGCCAATGAGGGAATGAGGTGCGATTCTTTCTTTCTCGGTCCTACTGTATCAACGATCGCCAGGAGTCTCACTCACTGTGTATCCTGTTCTATCAAGTCGACCAATGCGTTCCGTGACCGAACATCGCGGTTTCAGTACCAGCAGTCACGATCTCTGCTGCTTTGGTGGCGCAGGTGGTCAACATGCCTGTGCTATCGCTTCCGGCCTCAATATCTCTACTGTCATCATCCCTCGCTTCTCCTCCATCCTCTCCGCCTTCGGCATCGCCTGTGCCGACATCAGTGCCGAGGCCGCCACTCCATTCTCTGCCACTCTCGACGATTCCGCCTCCGTGCACTTCCAAATCCAGGAGAGAGTCGATAAATTGAAGGCGGACGTGGTGAAACAGCTTGACGAACAGGGTGTAAAAAGAGACGATGTGGAGTTCGAAGTGACGGTGGGGGCGGGATATGACGGCTCGGACACGGTGCTTCAGATACCGTTCAAGGAGACGTTGAGGGAGGATTTCATTGCCGCGCATCTGAGAGAGACTTCCTTCTCCATGCCGAGGAAGGTACTGGTCTCGGGAGTGCGTGTCCAAGGTGTCGGCAAGTCGCTCAACGTCACGCCGCCTGACTTTTCGGAAGAGCTCGCAGCGGCTGAGGCTGCTGCGTCCAAGGCGTCGAGTGGTGGCGAGCCTCTTACAGTGCCCAAGGCGACGTCTACGATCTCGACATACTTTGATTTCGCGGACGGGGTTGGAAGGAGGGTCGATACGCCTGCATATACGTTGGGTGATGTGGAGACGGGCAGTTGGATCAAAGGTCCTGCAGTCATCAGCGATACGACGCAGACGATTGTGGTGGAGCCGAATGCTGAGGCGGTGGTGCTCAGCCAGCATGTAGTGTTGAAGATTAGGGATGAGAAGGTGGCGACAAAGAGTGACAAGGATGGAGAAGAGGTGTTGGTGGCGGATCCGATCACATTAGCTGTGTTTGGAAACCGATTCATGAGGTGCGTTCGAATATCGTCTTCCAACTAATCTTATTTTGATTGTGATTGATAAATGACGGGGTTGTTCAGCATTGCGGAACAGATGGGCCACACACTGCAGAGAACCTCTATCTCTGTTAGCATCAAGGTAAAATTCCGTTCATGCGATGCCATCTTCCCTAGCTGATCGTTTTTCTTCCGAACAGGAACGTCTCGATTTTTCTTGCTCCATTCACTCCACAGACGGTGCACTCGTCGCAAATGCGCCACATATCCCCGTTCATCTTGGATCGATGCAGTACGCTGTGCAGGCTCAGCATCAGCACTGGCTAGGCAAATTGAAGCCTGGTGATGTACTGCTCACGAATCATCGTAAGTCTCATTCACATCTGTGTAAATTATGTCGAGTTAATCATCATGTCCAGCGCAATGGGGAGGAACGCATCTACCTGACTTGACGGTCGTCACCCCCGTATTCGACCCTGCCGACCAGACGAAGGTTTTGTTCTATGTCGCCAGTCGAGGACATCACACAGATATGTGCGTTTTCTTCGAATTCTTTCTAAAGCAACTCCAGCTCTAACGGTCATACCATCTGATCTTTTGACAGTGGTGGAACGAGCGTTACGTCCATGAATCCGATCTCTAAGGAATTGTGGCAAGAAGGTCTTTCCGTCACGACCTTCAAACTCGTTTCTGAAGGCCACTTCGACGAAGATGGTGTCTGCGAACTATTCCGCAAGGCTGGTGACTACCCCGGTAGCAGTATGACCCGGCGGATAGATCATAACCTCACCGACCTCCACGCAGCCATCGCGGCGAACGTGAGGGGTATTGGGCTCGTCGAGGCGCTTTTCAAGGAGTTTGGGACGAGGAAAGTGTTGTTCTACATGAAGGAGATCCAGAGTCTGGCAGCGAGGACTGTGAAGGCTTTCTTCAAGGACGTGTATAGGAAATTCGAGGGGAGGGCATTACGTGCGAGGGATTTCGTGAGTACTCGGGATATCTTCGGCGTGAAAGTTTCTAGCTGATGTTCGACCACTGCAGTTCGATGATGGGACGGAGATTGTCATCGAAATTCGCATCGATCCTGAAGAAGGAACGGCTGTGTTCGACTGGACAGGGACGGGTCCTCAGTCATACAACTGTTTCAACTCGCCGATCTCTCTCAGCTATGCTGCTATTATCTATTGCCTGCGCTCTATGATCAATTGTGAGTATATCAACCAGGGTCGAAATGATCATTTTCGAAACGACGCTAATAGCAGATTGCAGCCGACATCCCAATGCCGCTGAATCAGGGTAAGTATGCTGACCTTCTCCCGCGACAGTCACAGGCGCTTATTGGTGTCTTTTTGTAGGTGTTCTTGACCCCGTTACCAACATCGTTCCAGAGGGAACCATCCTTAATCCGAGCGGTGTCGTCGCCATCTCTGGATCGACCATCTCATCTCAACGTCTTGTGGATGTCATCCTTCGGGCTTTCCACGCAGCGGCGGCTTCACAAGGGGACGCAAACTCCTTAGGTTTCGGCACCGGTGGCAAAGACGCGTACGGCAATGTAACACCTGGCTTTGCGTATGGGGAGGCGATCGGTGGCGGAAGTGGTACGTTTGCCGCCGTTCTACTTCTCTCTGGGCGCAATGTTCACCCAAAGACACAGGCGCTGGACCAGGATGGCATGGTTCACATGCGGTGTCGGTGGTACGTCCTAAACAGTTGTCATACCCCTTGTAACTCCCGTGCTGATAACGAAATGGCTTCTACCTCTCACTGAATTAGCACTCTACGAACACACGTCTAACCGATGTAGAGGTAGTCGAGGCGCGCTGCCCACTGCTCATCACACAATTCTCTATTAACAGGGGAAGTGGAGGTCGTGGTAAATGGAATGGTGGTAAGTTCGCAGTTCGTCACAGATTGATCGTGGATTGCTCAAAGAAGCTACATTCATATGTTTTAGGCGATGGATGCATTCGCGTATTCCGTGCACGTCAGCCAGTCAACTGTTCGATTGTCTCGCAACGCCGTGTTTTCGCACCGTTCGGACTCGAAGGTGGCGGCGACGGAGCGAAGGGGACGAACATTTGGTGTCGTACAGACCCAGTGGATGGATCATACACCGAAATTAGCTTGGGGAACAATGCGATGTTCGCACTAGGAAGGGGAGACAGCATCAGGGTTCAGACGCCTGCGGGTGGAGCATGGGGAAGCCAGAATGCATAGATGTCAGGCGAGTTTCTGATTGTCTTTTCCTCCGGGGTATTTATGAATCATATATGTTGGATTGAGTTTTCGAGATGTCTCGAATTTGTAACAGTTTGCAAAGTCTCTCAGTGGATCATGGCAGTTGTGCATGCTATAGGTCTTGCTTTCCGAAGCATTGGTTTTGGCGTGATGGACACATTTGTCTGAATGGTCTGACTGGTCACGCTTGACCTCTTCATGAGTAGCATTGCCGTTCTGTGGCTTTAGAGAGTAACAGAATGAACTGAGCTTCAGTTTGAATCTCGCGTATACAAATACATCGCCGTTGATCGGCCCTTCGCTGACCGCGTGTCAAGCACGGCCAAAATCAAAACCCGACTAGACCCAAAAACCTCCTTCACACTAACCTTCGGACACCACTTCTGATTTTTGTGTGTACCAGTCTACTAGCGCTCAGTTGTGAGGTTGTAATTGGTGACTCATTTTTCACAGGCCTTCCCGCCCTTCCCATATTGACCGACTTCGCTACTCTTCTTCACATCCAGGTTTTGTTCTTCGAGTGGAAGCTTTGACGCTCAGCACTCGGTGTGGAATTCTCTAAAATCGGACCAGCCGGAACATAGTGCTCTGATGTGCCGAAGTCTTCTTTGTAGGCGCTAGTCATTTAGGGTACAGAAGAAAGACGGTATATATAGTGTTAACACTTTAAGATTTGGTCGGAACTGGTCGATAAGGGACACGCAGCAGTGATCTACAACTCAATGGGAGGTCCGTGAAACCCGTACTTATCAACAAAGGCTATCCAGATTGCCCTGTGGCTCTTTGTTCCCCATCATTAGATTCCGGAGAACAAGCTTTACTCATTCCTTTTTACCTCCCTGCTCTCACTGCCTCTTGTCATGCTTCCCTTCCTCTTGGTATCTACTGCCTTGGCTTCTTTCGCCAATGCGCAGTTTTCCGTCCATCGACCAAAGAACATTAGCCAAGCAATATTCAGCGGGACACCACTAACCTCTGCGACAAGTACCCCCAGCGCCACCACTACAGGTTCGTTTTTCTATCGTATATTACGAGCGAAGTACAACACTGACATTCTTTGGACTGTCGTGCTCGTTGTATGTTCTCCATTCCTCGGATCTTTTGAGTAGGCTTAGCTACATTCGCTAGCGCATTGATCGTGGCGGAGGTTTTCGACCACGATAATGCATCGCAGGCATGTAGTACACATACTCAGTCAACAATTTGCTTGTCTAATTTATGTGTATAGATCATTGATCTCCAAGCAAATACCAGTCTGTACAACACATCAGCATATGCGATTTACGAGCACGGGCCACCATCGAAAGTGGCGTTGTTCAATTTGATGACGGACACCTCTGGGAGATCGGATTACGTTGCCACGGTCTCACGTCCCGGGGCCACCCTTCCTTCAAAGGTCAGGGTCAAGTGAGTAACTTCCCTGTATTGTCCCGAGACCGACGCCTGAAGTTTTTCCGTCATTCGAAGGTATTTGCAGCCATCCTCGATCCCAGACAAGGTCAATCGTAATTGGGCAAAAGAGGCATGTAATCTCTTAATGTTGAACAACACAATTTATGACATTTACTTTTCGCAGTCATTCAGTAAAGCCTTCGAGACCGTGGATTGCATCCAGGGAACACCGGACGTTCAAACCATACAATGTGATCAGACAAACAATTCTTGCGCTATCAAAGTTCCCGCCCCAAGCTTCGCCCTCGTTTTCCTCACAGATGATACAGGACACGAGAAAGCATCGACCTCGGGATACTTCGACCCGCTCGCGACCAGTAATGGTCATAAAAATATCGGTGACTCTAGGGGTAGCACGAGCCCTCTCTTGATGCACCAAGGTTCTAGTAGTACGATGGAACGCCACGCAGTGCCGTGGATAATCTGGTTACTCATGGGTGCTATCTTGGGTTGGTTAGCTGCTCTGAGGATTTACCAATGGCTATACTCACACGACTTCCGTACTGTCTGAGTTCTTTTCTCCTCGAGAGTCCCCGAGTGTCATCCCTCGTCATTACTCTCACGACTTTCTTGTCTTTGCCAGTGACCGCCGCTAAGTATGCTCACGATCTCAGTTGGTTGGACTAATATTGGACGTTGACTACCGTATATCTCGCATTGTATTGAATGTATAGTTTACTTTACCATTTTCTGCCATATCGCACCAATCGAGCGTCCAGTTTTGCAGTACTTACTTTGCATATCCTCCGGGACGGAGACCTCACGCCACACAAACATTAATACTCGGCTTTTGCCGGTTGACACAAGTTCGCTCATAATGGAACTCAAACTCTTCTTCGAATTCCTTGCTTCCCCTTTACAGCCTGTCCTGACAAGGACCCCGGCCTGCGAGTACTGGAGAGTTTCATTTTATGCACCTGCCCGACTCCGAATTTTCCCGCTACACCAAGATCACTGTATCTTCCTATAATGGTTCAGGTCTAGTGAGCCAAAAAATTGTTGTCCCCGTCGCCTGAATCACTAGTAGACGATCTCCCACGATCCCACACGCAGCGTTCCAGCCAAGACTTATCAACAATTATCTAGGTTAATCCTCAGGATATCGACAAGTTTCTGTTATCGCAGTTATCAGCCGACCGTCAGGCCCAAGGCATATCCAGTAAGTACTAGGCCTTGACTACGGCTGCTCTTTGCCTGTTCGTCTGCTGTCGAAAACTAGGCTTAGACTGGAGATGCTCCTGATATCCTATCGTTGAGCACCCTCCTTATATCATGAACATCGCCGCCAATCGCACCTCGGTGGCTGTGCCTCGAGTGTCGCCGATATGACAACTTGACGAAGTTGATGAGAAGAGAAGACTTACCCAGGTACACATTATTCGGCGGAACGGATACGGGCAATGCTTTTTTCCGAGATATCCCAAAGCCGTCCAGCATCGTCTTCATGCTCGATACATTGCGTCTCTTGTGACAATCGAGTACCAATATCTCAGGGCAGTGCATGCATCAGACAGCCCGTCGAGAAACATATCAGGTCGGACCTAGAAACAGAACCGAAGCTATGTTCACTGTTGACTCTATCCTGCCTCCTGAGTGGGAAGGTGCTTGATCCGCGAGGTGAGAGGCGATGGCAGATCAACGCGGGTTTTAGCGCCCGTCTTCCTGGTGTAAATATAGAACTGATCCTCTACTACGAGCCTCCTCGCCGGCCTCACCACTAGTGTCGACTGTTTGGCGGGCAGGGGAAATCTTGGCGAAGGGCCACACAGCTGTAATCTGTAACTTGATGGAGGCTCGATAAGTGCGCCCGCGTAAAGTGCATGCGGCAAAAACTGCCCGCATGGCTCACTGTCGGAGGCGAATATGCTTTATATATCATGGCGGTGTGCAAGCATACGATCGTGCTTCACCCTTGCCCCCCGACGACTTTGACCCTCTCCTGCGATGCTTTTCTTCTTTGTTTTGGCTGCCTTTATCTCTTTATCTGATGCTCAATTCTCTGTCTACCGCCCCAAGAATGCTGATCAAGTCATCTTTGATGGAAAATCTGTGACCTATACTACCTCAAGGACCACCACCGCCACCGCCACAGGTCCGTCTTTGTTTTATTTCTCTCGATAAATACACAGGTAGGAACTGATCTTTTGGGTCATGATTTTTCCCCCACTGAACAGGTCCAGCAGCTACGTTCACCAACGCTGCTGCCTACAACCAAGACACATTGCAAGCTCCAGCACTACCGGTTCCTGCCCCGGCGACCGAGTTCTCCATTCAATTGGTCGATGGCGGGATGACAGGCCTGTCTATCAAGCAGAATGGCGCCTTCTACGGATTCTCGGTGGAGATGTCGGTGGCGGAAAACGTTTGTGAGTGCCCGCTATCCTATCCTGAGCGCAGCGTTAGTACGGGAGCTATCCATGGACTGATACATTCATCAAAAACACTACTAGTGGGCCGCAACAGGTGGCTAATTCGCTTTACTCGTGTCTCGAAACGCGTTTGACACATCCGGATCCGTCTTAGTTCGCTACTTCAAGTACCATTTCTGAACCTTATGGCGAACATCCAGGAGCGGGTCGGATCAGTGCTCGTACGGGTCGGAGGGAACACTCAGGAGCAGGCAGCTATGGTGTCCAGCCTGCCGAATTCAACATCCGTTAGCATGAGCACCGGATCCCTGCAGTGGACACCAGATTTACTGTACACGATGGCAAATATATCGGCCCTGACAAACACACGGTGGCTTTTGGGTACGTTAGGCGCTCACCGTCGTAGAAATATTTTTCGCTGATCAGCATATTCTTTTATATTAGGTATACCGTGGTTCCAGGCCTCCCCGTTTGTGCTTGACATTGTCCACCAAGGAGAACAAATATTGGGAGACAAGGTCATAGGATATCAGGCGGCTAACGAGCCAGACCTCTACGCGCGCCGTGAGCGTTATTTGAATTCGTTTCATCGCTCTGACCTGACCGCATGCACCAAGATGGCAACAGACCAAGTGTAAGTCCGGTGGTGCTCAACCTCTTCCTCGATTTAGCCTCTCATGATTGAGTTTTTTTTCAGACGTACACCGCTCAGGACTACGTCAACGAGGTCGGCGCTTTGGTCGATCAGATCAGCACGGATTCGGCCATCCCAATGAAGAACAACCTTCTCGTTGCACCCAGCCTGGCGGGTAACTGGAATCTGAGCGCTATCTGGAACACGTCTTTCATCTCAACGTATAGCGATAGTCTCGCTCTGCTGTCCGTTGAGCAGTAGGTTCCGGCCCACCCTCTAGCGCTTTTCAATATTCTGATGCGTCATCGTTTACCATTAGCTATCCAGAGAGCGCCTGCGACACAGTGACCATACCCGTCGTTCCTCAAGATGCTTTCGCTCAATACCTCACCCATAGCTTCTCACAACAGCAAGTTGCGAAGTATCTTCCCTCTACGGCTCTTGCTCAGCAGTCCGACAAGCAGTTCTTAATGTCTGAAACGAATTCCGGATCTTGCGGAGGTTGGGCGGGCCTCTCAGATAGTTTCGGAGCGGCACTGTGGGCGCTGGATTACGGCCTTACTATGGCCTATAGCAACTTCACGGGCGCTTTGCTTCATGTCGGTGGCTTGAAGTACGTGCAATCTTGGTGAATCTTGTCCTTACGTTACTGACCATATCTTTTAGCTCCTTCTACAACCCATTCTTCAGTCCTCCTACTAACCAGTCGGTGAGTGGTGGATTATCGCCTTGTAATGCACAAAAGCTAAATCCCTTTCCCCCCTCGCTAGCATTATCGGCAATGGACTGTGGGCCCTGTGTATTACAGCGCCTTGATCATGGCGGAAATCTTGGGTCCTAGTAATGCATCACAGGTAGGCATTGTTCGTGTTCTCGTCAATGCTCTGAATGAAGTAACCTCGTGCAATAGGTTGTTGACCTCCAGGCCAATGCGAACTCGGACTATACACCAGGATATGCAATCTTTGAGAACGGGTCGCCGACCAAAGTAGCATTGTTCAACTTGATGACGGATCCCTCTGGTAATTCGGACTATACGGCTACGCTCTCTATCTCGGGTGCCACACTTCCTTCACAAGTCACGGTCAAGTATGCAACTTCTTTTTCTTTACGAGTGGTTTGAATCTCATCTCTTTATATTGTAGGTATCTGCGCTCGTCTTCGGTCTCCGACAAGGCTGGCTATACGTGGGCGAACCAGGTTTGCTCTTTCTCAACATCGGAATTACCATCCTCTGACAAGTCTTCTTCGCAGTCATTTGGTGACGCTCTCCAAGCCGATGGTCGCCTGCAAGGGACGCTCGACGTTCAAACCGTGCAATGCGACCAAACAAGCAATACTTGCGCCATTAAAGTTCCAGCTCCCAGCTTCGCTCTTGTTTTCCTCACAGATGACGCAGAAAGCGAAGCAACGCCGTCCGAGACCCTCACGTTCTCGACCAGTACGATTGCAACAGCGACCGCGGCGTATGTCGACCCGTCCGTGTTGGCGACGAGCAATGGACAATCCGGACTTGGTTTGGATGGTGAATACAAGGGGAGTACGAGCCCTGGCTCTGTGGATCATTTTAATTCTGCGGGACATGCAGTACCGTGGATGACTGGATTAATCATATCCGTTCTTTCGGGTCTGCTTGTTGTTTTGCGGACAATTTAGGAACGAACCTGCTTTACGATTTCTGTTACGTCTTATCTCTTCCTCATCTTCATCTGGGTATTGGGTATATCTGGATATTGGGTATCGTCGCTGCTTTTATGCCTTTTCACGGACTGTCGAGATGCTCACGGATACAATCAATTCATCGGACTATTTGTAATATTTGACGACATGGATTATCGGACGTTCGCATACTTACCCTTGTATAATTCATAATGAAGTTACAGTACTGCTTTCTGTACTACAAGTAATATCGTTTTTTACAAACAGTGGCTCTCCCTGTTCAGCGAGAACTTTCATTTGTGACCGAGAGCGAGAAGACAATCCTCAAGAGCAACCGCCACCGCCACAGATCATAAGTTCGAGCTCCGCTAGACTCAGATGTGGCACAGTCGACGGACAATGTTGACACGAACTTGATCCTTGCTTGCCCGGTCGAAGTCTCGTCCCCTCTGCCTTTAGAAGACCATAGGAACTGTGATCTGCAATTCCTGGATGTGTTCCTGTGCTTGAGCTTTGAGCGAGAGTCTGATTGTTATTTATCCCGATCTCTGCCATGACACGGACCTACGTATATTATCAATCCTCGTGCCAGTGATTGGCCCCACTGGCAGCCCAGGACGATCCCAATTACATTTCTTTCTATCAGCACTTCTAGTTGCCACCAGTTACCTAGGTTCATCTTGTGCCTATATTTACCTGGTGGTCTTCGTTCCTGAGCCTTCTGGCGAAATTGTCCCAGAGCCTCAGATATCGGAACTGCCGAACACCGCGACCGACACAAACTCGTTTGGCTTGCATCTAGCTTTGAAGGTGACTATCTAAACTCGTGATCTTGGTTCCTCGGACGGCGGCCGTGTTTCATCATGTCCCATCTTCACACTGAATAACAGCAGTCCGTTCTTGTCCATTATTCTATCGTACGTCCCATTGCTCTGTCATCCCTCGGGGTCCACCATGGACTGTCAAGTTTGCCTCATCTAAAACCAATCACATTGTTCGGCTGCGCCGTTGAGGAGCATGCTCTGAGTGCAAAGAATAGGTCTACGCTCAAAGCGCAGGGGTGCGGTTTGACTTGAACCCAACACTCGTGAGTAGTGTTCATTATTCTCTTCTTTATCAGAAAATCCACGGGAGGACAAGTGGTAAATCAGCCGTTGAGGACTATCAATGTCTCCCTGATTATCACCACGTCTGATGCACCGACCGATGCAGGACATATGAAAAGGCCCTTGTGGATGCGTTTGGATGGTACAACCTTCGTTTTCGCTCATCCTCCCGTCAAGCAAACATGTCCCGTTTCCCACCCCACACCGGTATGTGGCATTATCCTTCCATCATACTTCTAACTATGACCCTCGCAATGACCTTGTGATGTAGGCTTCAACTCCACAGAGACCATTCACAATGACACTTACGCATTCGTCGATCCTCTCGAGCCCGCCGGTACCCACAAATCACACTCCATCTTCATCACCGCGCCTCCAAAGGCTTAGGCCGTCGTGCTGCTATCTCATTTGCCCTCTGTGGCGTTTCGAAAATCGCGATCGGAGCTCGCTCTTCTCTTGATTCCCTCGAATCGAAAATCCTTGATGTGGCCACCAAAGCCGGCCATCCTGCGCCACAAGTTGTCAAGGTTCAACCTGATGTGCTCGATAAGGAGAGCGTCAAGAATGCCGCACAGAAGATAGAGAAGGAGTTCGGGCCCGGAGGAGTAGACATCTTGGTCAATAACGCAGGATGGTTGGAGACTTTTCACCTTATGGGCGACATTCACGTGGACGATTGGTGGTACACCTGGGAGATGAATGTCAAAGGGTTGTTTTTGGTGACGCAGGCGTTCTTGCCGTTGCTGTTGAAGAGCAAATAGAAGACGGTCGTGAATTTGAGCTCGATTTCAGCCCATTTGACGGCACCTGGTGTAGGTGCTGCCGCGCATGTATTTTTCCTTTAATCTGAAGAGACTAACGGTGTAATCACGATGACAGGCGTCAGGGTATCATTCGGGCAAGCTTGCCGTATTGCATGTGACGGAGTTCATGAACGTACGTCTTTGCCCACTCGTTTTTCGCCTAGCGACTCATTCTGTGTACAGGCTGATTACGGCGCGCAAGGCCTCCTGGCATATGCGGTCCATCCCGGAGCCGTACTCACCGACATGGGATTACACGCACCCACAGAGCTGCGACACTTGTTTATTGACACACCTGCATTATCTGGAGATTGTATCGCTTTCTTGACGCGAGAGAGGAGAGAATGGTTGGCTGGTCGTTATATCAGTTGTGAGCATCTTGATACTTGTGCCTTCCTTGCTCATAAAGGTCAGTTGTAACTCAGCTCTCGCCACACAGGTACTTGGGACATGGAAGAATTCCTTGCGAAGAAAGACGAGATTGTGGATGGCGATTTGAAGCTAAAGGTTCGGATGGTCGTATACAAGTCGTATAAGGTAGTTTTTTCAAGCTTGAGGAGCGGAATCATGCATGTAGTAGCCGTAGCTTGGCAACATATATTTTCTCGCTAGATTCAACCGCTGGAGAAGTGGCTCGAAATTCGATCATCTTGCTTGACATGCCCATCCACCCAGAGGAGGATGATTTCACGGTGGCCGTGATGTCATCGGAGAATAGCCGCCGGCCACGTGTGAGCAGCCCAATGAAGGATGATGTGAATCGAACTTGTAAAAGCGCTTGTAAGTAACTTAAAGAGCCATCACGACGTCACACCACATCGCACAGCGCTAGCGCACCTATAAAAGCCAAGTGGGGGCACAATCCTGCTTCATCTTTCATTATCTTCTATCTCCGACTTGACAAGTGGCCGGCGAACTTGGGCAAGCATGGCCAGGTGCGTTGTCGTAGATGAACCAAGTCCATGCAGTTCGGTGAATACTGACGAATGAATGGATTATGATATAGCAATCCAAATAGTGTCACTTCGCAGACCAACCTTCTCAAATCAACGCTAGAAAAGTCGACCTTCGAAGATGGTGTGAAGCCTGGCTCGACAGGAGATGCAGCTATACCATCGAGCACGAAACCACCATCCAATCCTGCTGCCGCTTACCCGACAAAGGATGGAACGTTATACGTGTCTAAACCCTTTCGGTCTACGTACTCGAAGAAGTTGAAAGCAGCAGTCACATTCGTGCCACGTACATCACACTTTGACATTGGGAATGAGATGTCGGGTACGAACGAATTCCGAGTGCGTGCTACACGTCATTTCATTCAAGCTATCACGCTGATAGGACACCATTCTTCAACTTGTTAGGGTTTCTTCACACTCTTTTGGATCTCCATCTTCCTCTTCACCGTCCGAACCTACGTCCGAAGTTATGAGACCAGCGGCTACGCTCTCAATCTCGGTTTCGCGACTATGTTCTCGAGAGATGCATTGACTCTTGCGCTCAGCGACGCCGTCCTCGTCCTCAGTACTGGTCTCTGCGTGCCATTCGCCAAAGCCCTCAAACGAGGATGGATCAACTATTATTCTTTCGGGATCATCATCCAGCACACTTTCCAGACCTTGGTATTGGCGATCGCCGTTACGTGGACGTTCAACAGGTCAGCGCCCTTCATATCAAAATTTGTTTCGACCTAAGCTTGATGCATCCTAGACAATGGCCATGGGTCCAGTCCGGCTTCTTGACTTTACATTCAATTGTGAGTCATCAGCTTTGTCCACTTGTTTCGCGGTGTTCAGCCTCTTTGCCTCTGCAATGTTTCAGACCATGATCATGAAGATGCACTCCTATTGTAATATTAACGGAAACCTCCAATCCGTCTATCAATCGCGGGAGAAACTTCTAACCAGCTTGCGCGAGGCAACGACTCGCGTAGGAGGTTGGGAAGCAGCCGTCGTCGCCGCCAAATCACACCGTGCAGAACTCGACGGAGCTCATCTCACCGACGACCCATCTACGCCCTTCGTCGGTACACCCATAATGCCCGAAGGAGTCGGCGCTCAACGCTCATATATCGATGCCAGCGACGCTAATGCTCTTCGTCGTCGACTCAATCACGCCGACAGCGCCGACGGTAAGGAATTTGGGGACACAGCCTCGAGAGCTTCCGATAGGTCTTCGTCGCCCGCTGCTACCGACGCGGACGAAAAGGATAAGAAGAGAAGACCAGACGCTGCATATGCGCTTGTCGACCATCCAGATCAGCAGATCGCTGATATGGCGAAGGATTATGTGGAATTGGATGGGGAGCTCGTCAGCACCGGGCCTGAGTACGTGAGGTGGCCAGAGAATGTGACGTTAAAGAACTTCGCGATGTACATGCTTATACCGACGCTATGCTACGAACTGGAGTATCCGAGGACGGAGAAGTGAGTGTATTCATGCTTTTGACCGGCATGTGTTCACATCCTTACCGCTGGTGTCGCCTCCCTCTAGGATTCGACCACTCTATGTGTTCGAAAAGACCACAGCGACGTTCGGAACGTTTGCTTTGCTCTACACAGTCACAGAGACGTTCATTTTGCCGATGACGCCAGGACCGGACAGCGACCAGTCATTTGCGAGAAGTCTTCTGGATTTGGCACTGCCATTCATGGTCGCTTACCTGTTGCTTTTCTATATTATCTTTGGTGTGTATATCCAAGCCCTCTAGTAGATCTGGCCCCTCAACCTGACTTATCTGGCACAGAGTGTATATGCAACGCGTTCGCGGAACTTTCTTAGTATGTCTATTCTCTTCTTCGACAATTTCCATCACCATCTCATGCCTCTGTGCAGCTTCGCCGACCGTCAATTCTACGAAGACTGGGTTCGCACTCCTTTTCTTCATGAATCTCTCGTTCGACCCTCCTGAACGTACCCTTCATTTGTCCATTACTGCATACGGATCCGGATTGACAGTGGAATTCAACATCCTGGGACGAATTCTCCCGCAAATGGAACAAGCCAGTGCACACATTCCTCCTCCGACACGTCTACGCCACGACGATCACGTCCTACCGGCTCTCTCGCTTCTGGGCGATGTTCGTTACCTTCTTACTCAGCGCTGCGGTGCACGAGCTGGTCATGGCAGTCGTTACACAGAAGATTCGGTATGTCTACCCGCTTGCCCTTAATTGTTATCACGAATTCCTCGATTTGTTGATTGGGTTTTGTTTTCAATTTTGTAATGGGTAATATAGAATGTACCTCTTCGTGATGCAACTGTTCCAGATTCCACTCATCGCCATCGGTCGACTCCCAGCCATCAAGCGAAACAAGCTCATGGGCAACGTCGTGTTCTGGATTGGACTCTACGCTGGCTTCCCCCTGCTTTGTGTCGCCTACGTCGCGTATTAGGAGCTCACGGGGAGAGTGGGATGGGAGTATCGAGATACAGCGGATCAATCTGGATCACATAGACGATTTCATGCATTTGGCTTGTGGATTTACCTTTTGGGCGGATGGGTGTCACATACTGGGCGGGCGGGGCGGGGTAACCCATATCACTATTCTTCACTTTACTGCTATTGTATATGACTTGGCTTACACGCTTACAGGTACATCTTTACTATAATAGCGGACATCTGGCATGCAAATATTTTCATCGTTCACCACTCAGAAACCTCCGAGCTATCCTTACGGACAAGCTTGCGAATGCGATCATGGCGCTGTCACGGTAGCTGTGTACATATCAATGCCTTGAAAATACTTATGCCCACTTTTGACCCTTGCATTTACGAGCCGTAGAGTGCCAGTGTATTGAGCTCATGTGCTCGTCGAAAACAAGTTGGGCCACTCTGGTGGCGTGGGAAGATGAACACGAATGTTCCAAGATTAATAATTCGTATCATACAAAGGTGGACTCCCGGTATCGTCAAGAAATGTGATACTCAAAAAAGAACACCACCTTAAACACCAAGAATGAAAGTCAGGGTCCATGATCACAACCGCCGCAGAGGCCATATCGCTCTCCGCGTACGACCGCCACTACATTTGCATGGGCACCGTCGGGCCAGCGCCCTGAATCGCCTGCACCAACAACGTCTCCGCCTCCTTTTCTACCTCCTTCACGGCCCCCGACCTCCCACCTTTCCATTTCGTCGGATACACGCCCGTGTCGAATTCAGGCACCAAGCCCTCCATGCTCAGCAGTCTCTCCAATTCAGGTACATGTGCCCTCTGGACACCGACGTTCGCCCCGCCCATTCCAGCGCTCCAAGCACGTAGTGCGAAGTTCCTCGCTTTGACGACGTTTCTTGACTCATCGAAGGCGTGGTGGAGGGCGGGATGTGCGAACAGATGAGGATAGTAGCGGCCGCTGATGAAGGTTAGAGGGACGACGACTTCGCTGCCTGGGGTGAGGATCGGTCGAAACTTGTAGCCTGGTGGCGGTGGAGGGAGGGGGTAGTAGTATCCATCTGATTTTGATGAAGAAAAGGTATCTTTCTTCGGTGAAGAGCTTCTTCGGGGAGCGCGGTTCGATTCAAGACCGGTAGAAGGGTCTGGAGGGTGGCCTGGAGGACCGGGGATTGAGGACAAGGGATCGGCACCCACGTTCATCGCTTCGACTATGGAAGTGCTCGTGTCACCGACAGAAACGGTAGGTGCTGGATTAGGAAATGGAGGGTATTGAGCGGATGGATCGGGAATGGTTCGAAGAGGAGTATTCAGGGACGGTGGGTTTTGAGGTTTTGAACCGCCTTGTTGCGATGGTTGAGCCGGGTGATTGAAGGAGAACTGTTCCACATAATCTTCGTCGGCGAGCTCGAACAACATGCCGCTAGCCCTACATTCCTTTTTCACCTCACCGTTCTCGCGTACAAGGTCCGCTACGAACACAGCTTGTAGCATCATGAATATACTTCTGTCGATGGCCCCCGCACCATTGGACGGATTTGTCTGGGAAGGACCCGAAGGCGGGAGTATGTTTGCACCTCCAAACGGTAAGATCTGCCGTCGTGAAGGTTTCAACCGAACTAGCTCGTCCGTCCAAAGCCTTTCAGCGCCCCACCAGAGTCCCTGGTAGCGAGTTTGCTTCTGTGGTATTTGCAGTGGAGGCATCTGCCCAGATGAAGGGGAGGTCGCAGATGCGGAATCGGTGAGGTGGTCCTCCTGGGAAAGACCGGACGGTATAGGAGGCGAAAAGGCATGAGAGGTATTCGCTCGGGATGCAAGAGCGGCAGCTAACAGAGCACTCTGTGCAGTCGTCATCTGTGTTGGAGGTGACATGGAGTTATGTTTCCCGGGAGCAGGGCTGTTTGGGACAGTAGGGGGCATTGAAGGATAAGGGTGCGGGGTATTTCCAGTCGAATGACGAGGGCCAGAGAAGCGAGGCTTGTACGTCCATTCGTCCGTCGGCGTCCATGTTTTTGCAATATTGTTTGCGATCTCGAGCGCGAACCAATAAGGAGCTGCCGCCATACGGAATCTGGCATCACGAGCGAGAACGGTGTCGGCGAGCGCGGTTTGAGCAAGAGGTTCGAATGCTTGAATGCTGGCTGGATCGCTGAGGAGTTGATCGATAGGAACAGTATGGAGAGCGTCTCGGACCGCGTTCGACGGGATGTAGACCGTGTATGGCAAAACATCATTGTCCGGAATATGGTACGTATGATTGGTGCCAACGGCCTTGATCTTGTAAACCGTGCTTTGACGAACAGTCCATTTACTTCCTTGCCGTTGCACAAGCCGATCCGTGCCTTCGTGTTTGACTGGGATATTCTGCGTTAGGTCCATCATCTCGACATCTGCACCTGAGGGTTGTGCATCGTTCGTGCCTCCGGCCGAGACCACTTCGGAACGCACGATCGTATCTTGAATCAGGCCAGGCCAAAATACGATGTTGCTCGTCGTAGAGTCGTGCCCATAGATTGGCGGATGAAGCTGGAACCATACAAGCTCGTCGTCCCTATGCCACCTCCTCAACGGCATCTCTAGCTCGGAGTACATGACCTGCAGGTCGGCATATCGTTCTGAGACCATCGGTTCCTGTGGCCCACTCGTCCTCTCTTTGCGCCCTTTGAGCGGTCTAGGTGCAGTGCGAACGACATGCGGTTGTGGTTGACGGGGAGTCTGCCGAGGGTTCCTGGCCCGCGGTATAGGTGGGGCTCGTAGTGGACGCATGGCCGATGGGGTTGGATTCGATGATCGCAGACCGAGGCTTTCTGTGACTTTCCGTTGAGGCGTCCCCGCACAGTATTTGCAGAAGCAGTTACTTCTGTCCATGGTGTCGTCTTGCATGAGCCACATTGCGTGGGGGATGAACTCCGGGATAGAGCGGAAGCGCGGGACATGAATCGAGCCTGTAGTGACGATGAGAGTCAGCGTACGAGAAAGGCAGTGCGATCTAAGTACGAAAAGGGTATGAAAAGTTCATGTGAAGTATCGAACATCCACAATTTCGGCGGCATCCAGTGTGGCCCCGCATTTATAGTCAGATATTTGCCCCGAGCACGAGCGAGATGCCTATAAAGTAAGCACAACTAACTAACCAATTAGATAGAGATCATGCCGAGGAGCAGACTCCTTCCCCTTGTTATGATCATAGAACTTGTAACCCTCCGGCCACTTTCTAAAAACATAGTTCTTGTCCGCTAAGAACGCAAAGAACGCAAACAAAAAAATGAGTTTCTGGACATCTGTAAGAAGACCTCAGGAGTGTTAACTGAGGAACATCACATACGTGGTAAACCAATCCTCTCCGCCACATGCTGCCCAATCTGCGTGCGCCAGTGTATGGACGCGCCTTCGTCATCCTCGATAATGCGGTGATAGTTCACGTGTCCTTCGTGGTCCACGACCTTCTTCGTATCATTTCTCCATTTCGTCGAGTCCCCGTCTGTGCGTGGAAAATCGAGAAACTCAGGGTTAGGTGGTAAGGTACGGTCTATGTGAGAGGCGCCATGACGTCCTCGACTGGCCATAGTTGAGCAACAACGAAGGCTTCCGACCACAAAGAAGACCGAGCCTTCACTAGCAAGTTTCAGAGATGCAACTCCAGAAGCAAAAAAGCGTTAAGATTTCGATCAAACAGACATAGAGAGTCGTGGAAGCCTACAGCCTAAGGTTGACTCGAGCTGCTAGATAATGACGGTGACTAGTTCTTCGCGCCACGCCGTCGGACAAGCGGTTCTCAATTCACGTCACGAGAGCCAAACAAGACCAAACAAGACCCCCCAATAAATTTGCAGTGTGGCACACGAATGCCTTCTTCAATCCTTCCTTTCAGTCTCTACTACAAGTTCACACAATGGATTCCTCTTTCCTTCTGTTCTTTTCTTGCCCGACGTCAGTTCATTGACCAGCCGGCCCGACCGACCCATTCGACTCAAACGCCGTGATATATCTACGCCCCGTGCAGCTTTACCCCTCCTGCCCCGGCGTTAAACTACGCGGCAAGAACGAAGATTTTTGCCCCAGCAGAACGTCTTTCCTGTTTCGCATCCACTTGGTTGCTCTTTGTTGGGCTTGACGCTTTGATTGGGGTGTACATCCGTTCGATTTTTGCTCCACCTTGTAACATGTACATATGATAATACAACGAGTAGAGCACCGGTTTCGATGCCACATATTCATCACCCCGTCCAGCAAGCAGGAGCTTCAGGCATCGAGGATTACTTACAAGAAATCATCCCGACTCTCAAAAGCGAACAGCTCATCCCATCCTAAAGACAAAATAAATAATAAAAAGACTTCTTCTGTTATTGTTATTCTACTTCCTCTTCTTTCTTCTTCTCCGAGAACTATACGACAACGAACAAACGACATCAACACTGAGTACTGAACACGCTACAAAACTCGAATGTCCACCATGTCTGTGAGGAAGCGTCAAAGAGCGAATGAGTGTAGGAGCGGTAGGGCAGGAAGTGGGACGGCATGGGCATGGGCATGGGCATGGGCGAGTAGAGCGCCGTGAATCGAAGGACATAGTAGGGGTCGTTGACTGGGGGGCTGTGATGGAATGACAAGTGCAAGAGGAAGAGGACGAAAAAGGGATGGCAGGAATGGAAAGGTCGTAGGCAGGGAAGAGAGGGAGGAAAGACCGATTGGTATCTAAGGGGTTTAGGAAAGCCGAAGAGAGGGTGGGACGGAAGGCGGGATGTATAGAAATTGATAGAAGTAGAACAGATACGGCGAGAACAGTGGCGCTGACAAGAATAAGGGACAGAAGGAAGAGAACCAAATGAAACAACAAGGAAAGGTGAAAGTAGGAGTGGGGAGCACCGCAGTGGGAAGTGTAAGTCCGCTGGCCCGAAACCCTTTCGTCACCCATCCAATCCATCTAAACACACGCCTAACAAGAATCGCACAAGTCCCATTTCTACTCCAGACCCGTCCTTATCATACAAAGCTTTTTCCGTTCAATCTCTTGTCCGTGACCTCCTGCCTTGTCTTCTCTTCTGCCTTATTATCCTATCCTATCGTCCAACCCACCCGCCCCCCATACGCATACGCCCAACCCACTTGCACACACATCTTCCCATGCCATGCCGCCCCGCAGCACTCGAACAGAAACCAATGACAATGACAGTGACCGACAGAGGAGGGTGAAGGTAGGAGAGGTCAAGACAGAGACAAAGGGGGTAATATATATATAAGAGCGGATGGAGCAGGCCAGTGATTGTGGTTGCGTGAAGTACAGTGCCTTGAATGAAACGAATGAACAGATATATCGACGATGAAAGAGAAGACAGAGAAAGCGCAATGCTGTGGGGTGGCAGTGGATGGTGGACTAGATGCGGCTGTGGGGGATGACGTCGAGAGGCTGGTGTGTGGCGTAAGTAGGGAAGGGAAAAGGGGCAGGAAGGAAGGGGTTCAAGGGTGATCCGATTATGCGGCGGTGTACAAGAATAAATTGTTCGTTGCCGCGATCTATACATACATGGAGGGTAGTCCAAGCCCAGATGTTGAGTAGAGGGTTAGTATAATGTCAGGGGACACGACGCACCGCGATCGTGTTCTCTTTCGGATGCCAGCTCGCATGCAGGATCTTCTTGTTGAAGTCCAATGTCTCCAGCTGCATGGCGTCTCTCAACCCACTCTTCATGCCATTCTTTGCTCCGATCTTGCTGTTCGGCGCCAGAGGACCACCGATCTTCTTCGCCTTGAACGCGGATTTGTCCGCCTGCAGCACCACGTCGTTGAGCGTGTCGACGTCGAATATCCGCAGGTAGTTGTGATACGATCCCGTGAGCACATGTCTATCCCAGCAAAACGATATCAACAACAACATTACGCCACGCCACACAATATAAACACCGCAAAATCCGACCAAAATAGTTTAGCAAGTAAAACAGAGAAGAAAAGACAGGGAGAATAACGCACCGATCGTCACCACTCCACGTACACTCGAACTTATCGAAGATACAGTCGTTCTCATACAAATCGCATAGCTTGCCCCTCAGATGATCGTGGATCGGGATGGTCTTTACGGGTCGCGACTCCATGTTGATGTCCCAGATCTTGAGATTGAGGTAGTCCCTCGAGAGGATGTACCGTCCGTCACGACTGAACTTGACGTCCGAGATGGATGAGATGATCTCAGAGAAGAATGACCGATTGGCGGGGTCCTCCTCCTCCTCGAACACTGGCATACGCAAAGCGCGACAAAACGTAAATGTTGGTCATGTTGGATATGATATGCGCACATGGTAGGGAAAGGGGCACGTACGTTTCGCGTGTCGATCGCACAATGCAGAGTCACGCATGTCGGCAAGTTTGATGTTCGATTTTGAACTCGAATACATGAAGAGATTGCACTGCTGTGGGTGGAATTCGGCGGCGGTGATAACCTCCGTTAGCTCCTCCATGTTCACAGGCTTGATGTCCACGATGTCTACAAACAACACGAAGAAACGCGGACGATTGCGTCAGCACAAAATCACGCCCTCTGACAACATACGAGCCGCGAGGATCGCAGAAGGACCACTCAGAGCGGTACGGAATAGGTGTGGGCTAGCAGGTCGGTGGAGTGCGTCTAAAAGACCACGTACTGAAGCTCCGATCACTGATGTTCAGGTTCCAGAGGTTTATCCTGAGATCGTCGGCAGAAATGAATGTCTCCTGGTCGGAATTGACGGCGATGGAATGGATGTGGTAGGCATGTGCGTTGGAGTAGACTTTGCGGGGTACGGCGGCGATGATGTTGTCTTGAACGTTCATGCGAGGTAGCCTGAGCTGATTCTTCAATGATGGTGGTGGCACCGCCCGCTGTCCGTCTGTCAGATTTGACTCTGAGACCACCCGGAGCGATTTCTCGAAGACCTTCCAGAGTTTGATGGTTTTATCTGTTTGTGATGGTGCAATGGATCCGAGTGCGGAAATGGGCCCAAACAGAGTCAACGGGACGGGGCGAGATGGAAAGGCTAGACGGGAGAGGATGGCAAAAATACGAACCGTTTGTCGATAGAAGAAAGTGAGCCTGGTTCTGCCGCTTGCACCATCTGATCTTATTGATCTTCTCCTCGATTTCGAGCGACTTGAGGTAGTCGAACTCTGGTTCGTGGGACTGGAACTCGGTGTAGAACTTGTACTCGCATGCCTTTTTCTGGAGGGAGAGTCCGTTTCAAGAAACAAGTGGACAGATAGCATGTGAGGATTAGAACGATATAATGCGAGCATGAATTGAGAGGAGGGCGTACAAGATGGGTGGTGTCAGCCACAGTGACATATCTGTTATGCAATCAGGATGAACGCACCTGCTCGTTCCGCTCAAAAAGAACTACACGACCTCCCTTGTCACCTGTTGCAAGATAGTTTCCCGTAGAGTCGAACTCGACGGTGGATATGATGTCGGCTACGCAATAATTAAGAGACGGGAGGATGAGCGGCGGTGCTTGATAAGCGGGCAGAGAGCACACGATGGATGTGGAGGCGCCGTGTGCCCGCAGAGGAAGAGAGGAGTAGCATACTAGGGGATGGCGCACCTTCTGTGATGTCCTCGACGTCGCCCTTGTCACCGAAACATTGGGCGAAACGCCAGCCTCCAGACGCGTCGGGATCCATGATGCTTTGGGTAGGGCTCGAGTGGGGTAGCGGGCTTGATGAGCTGATAGGACGAAGGGTATGTCAGACGGACGTTGTGGTCAAGAGGGAGAAGGGAAAGCACAGACTGTTTGTCGTTGGGTAGGGTGCGTCAAATGCCGTCGGAGTCGTGCGTTCGTCGACGTCGTGGGCGATGCCGGGCGTTGAGGTCGTGTTCGGTGGTGGTGAGCGATGTGGCGCGGCCCCTTGGCCGGAGACGGCGCGCCTTTGGCCTTGTTTGGCCTCGCGTCTCTCCTCCCGGCTTTCTCCCTTCAGCCATCTCTTCTCTCCTCCACGAACATCCACAAAGCCAAAGCCATGCCCATCGCACCCATCACAGGAAAGCTCAGGAAGCGCCTTTGGCTCGACCTCTCCACGTCTCTCGGCCTTGGCACAGCATGCGCATACTTCTTCTGGTCCGTCTTTTATTCTTCTTTTCGGGAAACATTATACTCATCCGCCCATACAGGTACAACGTCCATCTCAAGCGTGGTAAGCTCATGGTCCAAAACCGCGGGATGCAGTTCAACTGTTTCACTTCACTTATCTGACCACTTGCACGCATTCCACAGTCCAGCGCCAGGAGGAGTTCTACCTCGCCCTCGAGCGCAAGAAAGCCCTTGCATAGACATGCAGGAGTCATGATGGAATAGAACGAGGACCCGTTTGTTCTGCTGCATACCTATCCAAACCAATACATCTTTCTTTGCAGCCATCTCACCCAATGCGAGGCCTACACTGCCTTCGTCGTTACACGACCCCACCAATCTCGTGATATAGCCGCTCCGCCCCGTGCTGGCCGCGACCTGGTCTCGAACATGTCCATCATGACCGTCGACCGTCGGCGCAAGGTCTGGACATTATCCCAAGTCGCCTAATGCATGTGCGATTCCCATCCTCGTTGATGTGCTCGCCAACCTCGTTTGTAGATTGTGGTGGCAGGTCGACCATAGAACGAGCCATCTTATCGCCCACTGGTTGTCTCTCGAGATGTCCTCACGGCTATGGCTTCAATCGGTACTAGTCATCATCACCACTGGAACTCCGAGCGTAGCGGGAATGAGAGACCACCTCTAGCTCGGCATGCTCAGAGAATACATCTTCAGCTGCACATCCTGCTTCGCCAGTTACTATTTCTCACAAAGTGCCAAATCTCCAAACTGTTCAAAACTCAGCACACCCTTGCGGTCAACAGCTCAATTGGGAGTGAGAGCCTTTCCGGAGCATGGACGTTGAGGGCTAAAACTGATATTATCATTAAGTGAGAGATGTAGCAGATCAGCGGAAAAGCCGTTGTATATCCTGAGAGCCGCTTGGGCGTTGGTGGTCTAGCTCATTCTGTACAACTTGTAGACCATCGCTCACAGTAGTTTTGTTGAGTTATTCTGGTCCGGAGTTCCGTCGGAGGAAAGGAAGATATAGTTGACCGGCTGTCCCCCGTTGTCCTCCAGAACTTATTAGACAGGTACCCGTCTCTCTTTCGCCCATCTTGAGCATCGTTTTTGGCCTCTCAAGACTTCGATGAACTCGTCTTCTCGCATTCCGTGTATCCTGCAACCTCCGCCCCATCGCTACATCGCTCTGGTCAATATGCCCGGCAAAGCTCCGCCATGGTATCTTCCCGAAACCCCGATGCTCTTGTAGTCGACTGTCGACAACAGGTCACATTCCTCGTCGGAATTTGAGCTCTCGACGTCCAGACTCCAGAGCTGTCCTCTTGCTCCTCACGAGGCTTCGAGGGCCGACTCAGACGGCCCCATGACCGTCGATGAGGGTCACGGCCGTCGGTTCGTTCTTCAGGTCCCGAGTTCTATAAAGCAGGGGAGCCCTGCATCGGCTTCGACGCCCTGCTTCGACCTGGACTTTTGCAGATAGTCCACGGGTTATTGATAATTTGATCAATCCGGACGTTCGAACTCACGATGAAGCCCGTACGAAACAACATAACGGCCCCTCTTCGACTGGTATCAGATGTACTCCTTCTGTCGGGTGGGATTACCTCTGTGTGTGGACACTCGCAAACGCGCACTGTATCTTTGCTGTTCGAGAACGACGGAAATTGGACGGTGAGTAATCGAGCTCCATACGATTATCCTTCCTCAGACCTCCACCGCTCTTTCCGATAATATGATTACTGACCTCAGTCCTCTATTTGAACGGGATTATATGTAGAGATTCGCGGATGTACCCAGCGCGTTGTACTATTACGAACCCGTGTCCTTCTCTGAAGCGACATCTATCTGTGAAGCGAGCAACGAGACGCTCTTGGGCTCCGACCTTCTACCGTAGTGAGTTCAAATCACCATTATTATTTGCATCCAGTCCGCACTGCACTTTTATCGACATGGTCGTATTGACCGACATACATCGCATCGTCAGTTTTTCGAACCAGTTCTCCTACAAAAAGTACCTAGGCGAAATCGACTCGACCACGAAAATCTGGGTGTCCGACAACTCCAGCCAGACCGAACCCGTGGCACATGCCCCTCTTGACGATATGCTCGTACAATCGCGCGGGGATAAGCACTCTGAAGCAGCGAAACATCCCGTCCTCTGCACAAACTCCCCACCGCTCACATCCCAAGTCGACACGAATTTCTCGTCTGAGGAGATTTATCCGCGCACTACGATCGAGTCGGATGGGGTAACTTTTACTGGGCATGTTTTTTTTTTTTTCAGTTTCATCATTTCCGAGAGGGAGAGGGAGATCTAATGCGAGCGTGCGATGTGTAGGACTCGAGATCACCTTTCGTTCCGGTTCATGGGTATACCGTACGCGAAGCCGCCTACTGGCGAGCTGAGGTTCAGATACTCGGAGGCGTCGAACGTAACGGATGTGGATGCAACAGGATGTAAGTTGGTTATTTACCTCCCTCTTCAACCCGGTATTCATGGCTACTAACGACAACATCATTTCTGGTAGTTGGACCTGCATGCCCTCAATTCGGATATTTCAACGGAAATGATTATGGGCTTATGCCGTGGGGCAACAGCGAGGACTGGTGCGTACCAAGTCTCGTTCTCGTTAATATGTTCTCTAAGCTGAACATCTTTTTGTTCGGTGGAAAAGTCTGTTCTTGAACGTCTATACGAGCTATATACCTTCTAGCTCAGACGTTCATGGGAATCAAACTTCTCTTAAACCCGTGTTGTTCTGGATCCATGGTGGCGTAGGTTCTATCCCGTTCTTCCCGTCGCTAACTTCCTATCTCCAAACTTCTCATACATTTCGTTTTACGGAATGATAGGGGGCAACACAAGGCACCGGTGCAGATGCGACCTTCGACGGTGGCCCGCTAGTCTCCCGCACAGACGCCGTCGTCGTCACCATCAACTACCGCCTCAACATTCTCGGTCTCCTCGCTCTCAACGACACCACTTCCTCAAACTCAACAACAACATCATCCGCAGCAGTAACAGGCAACTACGCCCTCTCCGACAAAATTCTTGCCTTGAAATGGGTTCGACGTCACATCGCTGCCTTCGGAGGCGATCCGAACAAGGTGATGATATTCGGCCAGAGCGCGGGAGGGTGGGGCGTTGTCGATTTGTTGATGACGGAGAAAACGGAGGAGACGGGCGTGGAGGGATTGTGGTCTAGTGCGATTATTCAGAGTGGAGGGGCGAGTGTGATACAGAGTTTGGATGAGGCGGCGGAGACGATATGTGAGTTCGCCGCGCTACCTTCTCTTGCACGGCTATCCCGCATGTCTACTGACATGCATTCCTGTGGTTTGTTTTGATTGTTTGGTCAAGTGCCCTATATCGACCCGCTGTGCCCGAGCGCCGTACCGGAAGAGCGTCTTTCATGCCTCCAATCGCTCGACCTTGACACGCTCCTCAATATCACGCAGAACGTCACCTCCTGGCGCACGTCTGCTGACGGCGTGTACAGGTCGACGTATGCTGTCGATCAGGCCAAATTGGGACCTGACGCTGTGAATAGCGTGCCTCTGTTGTCGGGGTACATGCCAGAGGAGGGACAGTCGTAAGTCGCTTTTCTACTTGCTATCATAGGTGGAAAAGTCAGGACTAAAACTCGTGATTGTGGCTATGTTGTGACATAGATTACTCGGGACGACCGTCTCGCCGAACTCTACAGCCTCGAATTTCACGACGATGTTGGATCTCACTGTGGGCGAAGCTGTGGCGGAGAATGTCACGGCGTCGGGGCTGTGGAACATCACCGATGCCTTTACTTCCTGTGAGCATGAATACAAACCTAGACACTGTGGATATAGAGACTGAAACGGTTTACATAGACAATGCGACGGTCGACGTCTACAGTGACTACCTTCTTACCTGCGATAACGAGGATCTTATTACGTCGGCAGCGGCGAGCAAAGCGTTCCCGGATATGTTCGTTCCTTCATTTATCGTGTCACCGTTTTCATTTCCTTTTTGCTCACACTTCACTTCTTTTCTATATGGTTAGATATGTCTATCAGATGCAACGAGGTTTCGCGCTCTCCTACTACAATCCCTACGGCCTCTGCTCTTTCCCTGTTGGCGAGCCCCAGCCATATTACAGATGTCACTCAAGCGATCTCCACGAGGTAGGTCGTCCTACCCCTTTCTCAATAGTAAACAGAAACAGTCTTAACCAAACCTCTAAAACCAAACTTTGAAAGGTCTTCGGAACCTACCATATTTTCAACCAAACCGCGCGTGAGCCTCAGGACGTCTACTACACGAACCTCATCCAAGACATGTGGGCCTCCTTCGCGCGCACGGGCAATCCGAACCCAGATGTCGCGTACCTCCGTGCTAGGGGATACAATAGCACGTTGGCTATATTCAGCAATTCGACGGAGTCGGAAGGTCAAGCTCAAGGGTGGAAGTGGCCGAAGTTCGAGGAGGAGAGTGCTGTTGTGGCCGAGTTGCAGTGGCCGATATTGGGGAATGGGACGAGGGTAGGGATGCCGGACGCTGAGAGATGCAAAGTCATTCTTGGGGAGGACTGAAGGGAGCCAGGAGCCGTCGCTCATGCTGCCGGTGAGAACGTGGCGATGAGATTGACGCCGACGTTGTACATTATTTTCCATCTATGGGTACGTTTTCAGAGCGCCAAATGCGGGTATACGAGGTCTATTGGCTACGGCTTTTTGGAAGATGCGTACTTCGAATTCGCGTGGCACCGCTTTTTTATGTAACTCCCCAATGTCCGCTCAAGTTGAACCTACTTACGCCACCCTATTTGGCGCCACATATTCATTATTCCATTCCATGCCAAGTTATAGCTAGGATGATCCGTGCCGATAGAATGTGACCGGCGGTTCTGCCCAGAGGACGGTTGGTATGTGACCAGAAGCTGGATGGAGTCGTCAAGGAGAGGGTCGAGAATTCCTCAGGTGTATCTTTGTTGACGAAGGCTCAACGAGCAGCCTGAGGCAAGGCAACGTTTATTCGAGATGCTGAGGAACTGTCCCCTTCCAGTGTAAAGAACGGAATAATTTGTGCCATGTACATTGTCCATAGAGTGCGATCCAAAAGGACATCAATACGAGGAAAGCTGTGCCACGTCGGAGGCAAACATCACCGCCTGGTCCCGCGACGTGCGCGACGATGTTTCCCGTGACGTCGGAATATTTAGATGCCCGTTTGAGCCACAAACGGTTGTCTCGCGTTCGTCTCTCACCATCCACTGCTTCAGGTGCGTACTTTTCGGACACAATCGCAGGAGTACTTTGCTTTTCTAGACAATTGATGGAGAGCCGATCTTATCAATGTTCCTGGGCGAACGGCTGCGCTGGGTCATCCTTCCAAGTCGACCATCCTTTCCAGGCGACGGACAATGCACTGAGACAAGAACGCGAAATAATCTCCTTCAAGTTGGAGCCCCTATATGAATAGTGAGACACTCGCCTCCGAAATGCAACTGCCTCGTCAGGCTCCATACGTCAGTCCGGATCCCAACACGGTCACTGCTATTTGTTCGGGAGATCGAAGGTGGGGCTCTGCCAGTATAAGAAGGGGCCATTTGCCAAATGTCAAGTCCTAAACTCCACTATCCCCCGAGCTCCAAATACTTCACGTCATCATTGGCACAGACCTTTTTCTTGAACACTATTCTTCACGACCCTTCACGGTTCTTCATTCGCAACACATAACAAACATTCATACACCCCACTGCCGTGCCGCTCTTCAAGCCTCAGTTTACACGACTCCCCATCTCAACCCAAACATACTTCATCTGAGACCCGTGCCACCTATCATGGACATCTCTCCAATATCCGCTCCTCCGAATGTCGCCGAGGAAACTGTGACAAACTCGATCACGTCGCACACGTTAGCTTATAAGCAGGAGGACATCGAGAGGAGGCACACGATCAGAAAGATGAAGTCTTCATCCAATCTTCATGATATCTTCCGTAGAGGAGAGGGTGGTTGCAGAAGAGGGCCGACATCGCAAGTGCGCTCGGCCGCGTCCTATACCAGTTTATAGGGGGGCTCCATATCGAATGAAGATGGAGGGTTGGGGTCCTTTAGAGCAAGATGGACAATGTTCATGGTAAGTATGGCTCAATGACGGGGTATCAAGCATGCTTATGTGGAGTTGGCAGGACGCTGTGATGGATTTTATGTACTGTTACGACTTCTTATGCACAGGGCCACATCAATATGCGGTCGCGACGAATATCATTATGACTATTGGACAAGAATTGTATCAATGCACGTTTTCAGCAGTTGCTGCACATCTGTAGAACAATAATTATAAACCCGCACTGTTGTACAAAGGACGTTGTTCGTTCCCGTGACAGATCTTCTACGCTTCATACGCTTCAGTCAAATGGAGTTAATCCTCGAACAGAGGTTTGAAATCCTATAGGATCAACACGCATAAGTCATGAACAAAGGACCGCCGCAGATCTAGGCCCTCGTACCTTGTTACCATCAAGACTCTGCGTGGGACCTAGCTCATCTAACATCTCCAAATCACTCTCTGACTCAGTCTCACTCCCCGAATCCGAGACTTTGACACCCGCGCCACCGCCACCATCCCGTGGCGCCAACAGCGCCTCCTCCAGCGTGACGCCTACCTCTTCCCCTTCCTCTTCCATCATCGCGAGAAACTCTTCGGCGTCCATATTTTCAACACCCAGCCCGGAAGCGCGCAATGCCTCCGCGTCCGCCTGACTCATTTGCGAGCTTGGGAGGAAAAGTGGCTCTCGCTCTTGTTCAAACTGAGATCCGGTCCTCGCCTGAGAAAAGTGGAAACCGTTGGACTGTTGAGACTGCTGCCGAGGCACAATGGATGGAGGAGGCATAGATCCGTACGGCGCTCGACTGAGCTGTGAGGTTTGTGACTGGTGTTGCTGCTGCTGTTGACGCGCAAACTCGGCGGCGTCGGTCCGTTGTACAGCTTTCATGGGCGGTCGTCGCCTCTCGGATGCGGGAGTGCGAGGCGCCATGTTACGATTTCGTTCAGGGGACTCTTCTCGGACTCTCTTACGCATTTGGGAAGACGAGCCTGATGCGGTGGTCCCGCGCGATTGCTGTGTGCTGTTGGCGCCGTTTCCTCCAGGAGGAACACCTGGGACCTGGCTTGTGGAGACGACGAACAGGCTTTCGGAACTGTCTTCCTCGACGTCCACAAAGAGAGGCGCAGCAGGTTCGGTAAAACGGAGATTGAGCGCCAGCGACATAGATTCTGCATATGCTATGGTTGCCTGAATAGACGGAGAAATATTAGATTAGCCAGACACGATGCTAGGGATATGGTTCATGGGTTGCCTCACGTTGAACTCTCGCAGGTGAAATGCGATGGACGTGGGAGGCGCTGATACCTCGTACATATCGAATTCCTCTGCACTCATTGTAAGTTCTGTGGTCAATTGGCCACCTCCTGCAACCAATAATTCCGTCAGCAATATGCACGGAAACAACCGTACCGCGATGGGTTGGGTGACCGCAGGCCACCCGTACCTTTCAAGTCCACCGATGTCTCTAAGCTCCTTACTCTAACTTCTGACTCGTCGAAGACCCATGTCAGCTGCGGATCAGTTTTCGCACTCTTCGTACTGGGGAAATGATCGATCATGTCCTTCAGGGCTTTGGGACCTATGGTCATCCGAGACTCCGTGGGATCATCAGGCGCATTCGGCGCGAGAAGCGACGTGGGCGTGAGCAAGAGTAACCGGTGCGTCTTCACGATTCCTGTGCAAACGACAAACCCGATAGGCGTTAAGCCAGGCTCAACCCATTTCTGGACTAAGCAGCGAAAAAGAAGAGTGGGAGATAAAGGCTACTCCTCTCTTACCATGTTTGCAATGCAACCGGATGATGAGTTTGCTCTCAAGGCTATCTTTGTCCTCGTCGTCGTCTTGGCTCGGACCATCTGCCGACCCTTCCACGATGGATAGATCGCATCGTTCAACCGTTTTCTCTATAGCACGATGTCGCAGGATCGAGAGGAAGGACTAAGATTAGCGCCAGACGAAGTTTTGATGTGAGTTTGAGCTCTCGAAGACACGAAGAAAACAGCCGTTCGTGTCAACTCAAATGGAAAGTCCCAACCTTGGTCAACAGCTGACCCGTAACTGACTTGACCTCCTCGATTTCTTCCGCCGCGTATGGTCCGGGGTTCGTCCTTTTCTCACCGCCGTCAATGCTAAACTTGGCGAAAAACAGCTTGCTGTACTGAAACCGACAATATGCCGACATTGACGAATTTGTCGCTGAGAGTGTGATTCCATCGTGCGACGCATAAATCGTGAGGTCGTCGCCGTATTTAGAAAGACAGGTAAGGGCTCGGGTGAATGCTGGAGTAATTCTGAATTGTTAGGTGGCACTGTGCGAGATACGACAAGAGCATGCGTCCTACGCTTCAGAGCAGTCGCGTCAAGGGTTGCCTGCATGGTTACTTGGCAAATGGTATGTGATGGCCTGGAGACTTTCGTGATCATGAGTATCTCATCCGGTGCGACGCATCGTTCCCAAGAACTCAAGGTTTGCGCTACGCACGTACGTTGTAGCGCCACAAGTACACCGGCTATAGACTAGTAGTTTACTGGGAGAGAACGAGAACTTCTGAATCATTATGAAGGCTCAATGCTGATGCGTTGTTGCTTACCGTCTCTATTCACCGAACACAAGGAATCTCTTGTGGACGCCGCGCGATGAGAACGAACGGAGCCACAACAGAGGTAATTCGCCGATGACCGTGTGGAGTAGAACGCGTCGAATTTTAAATGATCGCAAGCGAGACGCGAAGCGCGTCTGTCACACTCAGGTCACTGTGACATATCGTGACGCTGCTTTCCTTTCCACGTATACAGTCACACTAATTATAGCACCTGTCACTCAACGTCCTCAACAACGCTCACGCACATCAATCCGACCATGGAGTCCTCAGAACTTTACAATGTCAAGCAGCAATTCTTTCTTGGTACGGTCCACTGCGGCTCGGCTTGTTCGTCTTCTGACCTAGTTGATAGGAGCGTTCAAAACACTAGCGGACTTGCCACTGCCAGAGGCAGAGTCAGAGGATTACATCCCTATCCTGTTCTACAAAGCTCGCGCGCTCATCGCTCTAGGAGATTCAACCGCTGTTTCGTCTCTGATTCCGACAGACTCCGAAAACCTTGCATTAAAATCTGTCGCTGCGCTAGCGAAGTACACATCAGGGGCAGATGCCTCTGACGCAGCCTTGGAGGAGCTGAGAGACCTCGCGGTCGAAATTGAGGGAGATGACGCTGACGCCACCGATCGTGAGAAGGGGTGGGTTCGTGTTGTCGCTGGGACTGCATTTGCACGTGCAAGCGAGGTGGAGGAGGCTTTGGAGACCCTTGGTGTCGCTTCAAGCACGGAGAATCTCGAAGCGTACGTCTCTGCCAGTTCATCCTGTCCTTCTCATGGGAGCCTTGTGGTATATTTATGTTCAAACTGTCCTTTATCTTCCTTCTATATTGTTTCACACACAGAGTCGCAGTCATTGTTCAGATATATTTATCCATCCACCGGCCTGATCTTGCTCGGAAGGAGTTCGAACGCGCGAAGCAGTGGGCTGAAGACGATCTCCTGTTGCAGCTTATCGAGGCTTCTATCGGTCTCGCGACTGGTAAAGATGGCTACTCGGATTGCAATTCTTTCTACACCGAGCAGCTGGCGAACCCTTCACTTTCCTCGCCACACCTCCTCACAGCGCGTGGCGTCACACGTCTCCTACGCGGTGAGATCCCGGAAGCGAAGTCTGATTTCGAGGAGGCCGTGTCGCAACAGGGAGGCCATGAGGATGCGGAGACATTGGCTGCAAGTGTGGTCGCTGCAGGGCTTGGTGGTGGGAAAAAGACCGATGCTGAGCAATTGTGGAGGTAAGCAAACGCTCTTTGTCTGCCCAATTCTCTCACTCCATCGGTATGCTGACCATCTTTGAATCATGCACGCTTAGTCGATTGGCAACGACTTTCCCCACTCATCCATTGGTCGTCGACGTCAATTCGAAGGCTGACTTGTTTGACGAACTTGCAGCTAAGTTCGACATCCCACCTCTCGCTGTTCCTACCACCGCGTAGGGTCATGAGGATTTGTCTTGCGTCATGTTTATCACACGGACTCGTGCAATATTCATGGATCAGAAGGACCGGTGACGTTACGGTTTTCAAGCTTTACCGTTTAGCAGGTCAATCTTCGAAGCTTCAAGCTTCAGGACTTTAAAGCTCTATGGTCATCTTATTGAGGCCTTACACGGATGCTGCGCGAAATTATGAACCCTAACGCCAACGCTTCACGCGGAGTGTCCGAAGTCATCGTGTTTGAGCTCATGATGCTAAGGTTTCTTATCGAGGATGCAAGCGACAAAGTCATGCTTCATTAATTGTTCCCAGTGGCGCCAACGGTACCGCAATCTCGTTGCGAACAACAAGCAAGTCCTATCGTCGCAAATCAGCATCGGGCTCATATGTTGCGGCTCGCGTGCCATGGCGCCCGTAAGGCTGCCCAGCAAATATGATCATGGCAGGCGGTGGGAAAGACAAGGACAAAGATGGTATAAGCCAACTTTCTTCTCCATTTTCTCGACTCCGCGACTTATGATCGTGGGCGACGCTCCGGCTTAGCGTAGACCCAAAGGCACGAGGAGATGCAGAATGCAAACGGAAGACTATTTGACAAAAAATGACGAGCGCACGTAGTAGGCGCATGCGTGAAGCGGCAGGGGCTTGGGAAAAGGAAGAACGGGGAAGTGGTAAGAATAGATAGGCATGGCTCTCACCCGATATGGAACAGGGCGCTTGAGCAGCTCCAGTTTTACCACAGTGGCAGGTGTTGACCGTTGAGACGGACGCCTGCTTCCCCTCCGTAAACGAGAGGCTCGCAGTTCGGAACGGAAGGATATCTTGTTGTTTCCGAACGTCCTGTCGCAATGCTGAGCAACACCTGTGGGAAAGCAATTAAGCCATGGGGTCGTCTCAGGCGAAGCAGAACAGGGTTAGTGACGACGGATGGACCTCAGTTGCAGCCCCGAGGGAGAGACCTTGGAGCGAGCGGTGGACGCGGGAATCGTCGCCATTCTGCTGATTCTGCCCAGTCCAGCTCACTGGAGGATGTTTACTACTAGGACATATGGACAAGGTTTGCAAGAATCAAGAATTCAATAGTGACGCTGTGAAGATCACTCGACAAATGCAGGACCATCAAGGCAGAGGGCTGTACGATACCCTCGCGCTCTATTCTCGGAATAGCACTTGCTGGCAAGACAGGCAGCGAAAAGCAGGACGAACAAGCTCGAGTGAGGGGCGATGTGTGCGATTACGCTTCATCGGAGCCGTCGTTGGTTCCTTGGGACAGGGATAGTTGCGATCTAGTAGTGCGACGTGACGTGGTCGCGCGAAAAGGCGGTATCTGGCAGTACAGCGGTATTGCAGTTGAAAACCGAGGCATGGGAGCGAGTCAAGTATTATAGGCGCGCGGCTAGGCTGGGCCAGATCAGAGAACAAAGGCGGAGACAGTGGGGACTGTACTAGCTCAGAAGATAGGCTTCTGTAGGTTCACGAGTCCAACCTTGAGAAAATACTGGGCATAAAAAGTATGTTGATTGCGGTAGCAGCAGAGAAGACAGCTCAGGCCAACAGAAGCGGGCGGTCCCTCGAGACGCTGAAGTTTTGGGTGCCCCAAGGAGAGATGTACCGTCAGCATCGTGCGACAGCTTGGGAAAGAATGGTGATGCATATGGCATACCGACCTCCAAGACATCAGGGCTGTCTAAAGCAGTGGGAGTGGGAGCGTGTCGCTGTAGCAGCGGGATTCGGTGACAATTATTTCATCGTAACCAGATTTGATGGTGTTGAGTATTGTTAATAGGGGTAACAAGGAGACGAATAACTGCGGCGTCGACGACCCGTAGTTCTGAGGAAAGCAGGATTCGGTCGGTTTTGCCTGTGTGCACGATGGGTCGCACAACTAGCCGTATGGGAGCGTTCGTGAGAGTCAGTTTTAGGGGCAAGCGCCTTGCCGACAAGTTCATCAGGAGCAGAAAATGAACTGAGAACCGGTTGGTAGGGTCAGACAGGCAAAATCCTATGCATCTCCAGTGAGGTGACGCAGGAGCTAGGGCAGCTGATATCGCTCCAAGCATGAATTCAAGTGACCGACATTTGTATGCGAGTTATGCCGGATATCTTGGGAGATTCTAAGGAAGGAGACCGGTCAATTGTGGAGATTCGTGGCAAAGTGCAAAAGAGAAGACAGTTCAGTTGAAAGCCTGCAGCGGGGAAGACCGCTGACGACGTGAAGGGAAGTAGTTACGTAAGCCTGTTGCCTCCGTTGCTTGAACGGTGTTGAGTAGCACGTCGACCACCACAACACGGACGCGTACACCACAGCTACGGTTGCCCTGGTGTATCAGGTCTAATTTCAGGATTCGCTCTTCGGCTTGCGTCCTCGACCTTCGCAGGAACGTTGACAGGTTCTCGGGGTCTTAGATTACGTAATCGACGCGTGCTTTTTCGCGTGCTACTCGGGCTACACAAATGCTCTGCTGAGTTCTAGCTCTACTGTTTTTGGGGCTACACTCCCTCAGTAAAATAGTAGAAATGCCGCAAAAATTTATGAAGGCTTGTACAATGATGTAGATAATTTGAGGGCTTAGTGCACAATTATCCAACCTAATATAGGTTCATAAAACAGCCAAACACTGGTCTGTACTGCTGTACCACACCCAGAGCTCCTGCTGCTCATCTCTTTACAAACCAGAGTGTGTGTTAAATATTAATGGGAGCCATTCAGAACCTTTTGGTACTATACAGTATTGTTATGGGTCATAATAGGTTGTACACTCAATAGTGCAGTGTGTGACCTCGCCGAGGTGGGGAACACTAACGGCCAGCCAGAAACACACAGAGACGAAACAGGCTGAAGTTGTCTCTGTTGAAGATCAGAAACATAGTTAGATGTGGAGAGAATCTCAAAGCATAATCTAGTCAAGCCCGTGAGGGCGAGTCTTATATACTGTACCATTTGAATCGGTT